GGTCAATCGCACTCTTCAGGGTTATCTTGAGGTATCCCGACTGTATCGGCGTTCCTTGTAGGCGACGGTCTTAAACAAGCCCGATAATGTCTCAATCGATCTCGAAAGACACGGACGGCCTATCATTCCTCTTAAATGGCCCTGCTGCGACCCCGGCATCTAGCATACACCTTTCTGTTTTTCGACTTCGAAGGTGTTTGGTCGCTACAGAAGGGCCTCTTACCCTGCCTTGATTTGTACTAACCATCCAGCTGCTCCTGAGCTTAGAATGGGAGCCTAGACTTTGAAGAAGAAGAATCTGGATCTTGAATAACCTGGGACCTTCAATAACCTGGACCTTGGACTCTGGACCTGGAATCCTGGATTTTCGTTAAACCTGCCTTCCCTTGAGCTGGTTTACCAGTTGCATCCCAGCTCTTTCGCGTGACCGTAGCAGACAAGAAGGCCAAGTATGCAGCACTCTTTTTCCTTCTCAGTCAAGTCAAGTCCTGCTCTAATAGATGTCTACTTAAACTTCAAGACCTTGGACATCGGCTATTCTGTTCGATCTTACATCGAATGGAGTGTACCTCCAGCGTGGGCTTGAAAAGAGATAATTAATGGATGAAAGACATCGCCCTTCGACAGGTACCAGGTGGTTCCCTATAAGATGCTTGTCAGCTTTCACCAATTTGTCGAACGAGTCGAGTACTTATGTGTCGACGTTCAAAGTCGAGGTCGAGGCAGCTGCCGGTCGAAAATCACGAAGTTTCTTTGTGGCGACATTGAGAACAACACCGCCAGCGAATTTGCGCAGCCGTGACGCCATGTACATATCACGGCATCCTGACAGCCTCCGTGTTGTCGGTATTGGGTTCGCGAGACCTCGACTGTCATGTGCTGTATTTTCGTGGCATATAAAGGTCCTTCAACGCCTACTGAGCTCACCCTCGAGGCGGCAAGTACCCCCCTTGTAAGACATCGAAAGCGGCGCTCTGCTAGCCATAGCTATGGCGTAGCGAATCTTTGTCACAGCCGGCCTCCACCGCCTGGATGCCAGAGAACAACCCGGGTAGAACGATAGCAAGTCATTGCACTGGATTGTATGGCACAGCGTAATCTCCGCTCCATAGTATACCTGCTCGAGCATCTCGCGGTTTCGTGGTGCCGGTCTTTCACCTCGCTCGGCGTTGGTCTCGTGGGACGTCGCTCTGCCCGTACGCTATTCGCCGACTCGAGTAGGAGTACCAGAAGCTCTTGTGCCTGTTTGAAAAGTACAATGTAGCCTCCGCCGCCTCAAAGTTACCCATTAATGACTTGGCGTGTTGTGGTCCCGGTCGTAGACCTCCGCTTGCGTCGACATTGGCCTGCGGGATGCCGGTCTGCCCATACGCCACCCCCCAATTCGAGCGGAAATGCCAAACGTTATTGCGCCATATTATAAAGCTCAGTATGTCCTCCGTCGCCTCTTAAATGCCACTTTATGGCTCCTGGAGTTGAGCACTTGGTTGTAAATCTCGTTGGTGTTGGTGTCGACCTGCGGGGTACCCCTCCACCTGTATGCGCACCCTCGACTCGAGTAGGAGTTCGAAAGTCGATGCGCTTTTTCGAACAGCTCTTTATGACCTCCGCCGCGTCCAAATAATCCCCTGAATGGTTTATGGTGTTGAGGGATCGGTCGTGAAGCTCGTTCGCATGTGCCACTGACCGTACGCTGGATGCCCCGCGGCCTGTTGTTCGCCCGCAACGTCGAACCTGGAGCTCAAAAATTCACCGGGGAGACTGCAACGCGTCAAATATATCTTCCCAAGGCTTGTTATCCTTGTTTGACCCCTTTATGTTGAGGAATCGCCCCGGGGGCTCGGTGGTTGCTGACGGCGATCGCTCTGTGCCGCGGCTCCACGCAAATCTCGCCCGCCACGCCGAATCTAAAGATCAAAATTAGCTGCGGAGCATCTCGAGGTCTCAAATGATCCTTGCTAAGGCCTGTTGTCCTAATGCGACCCGTTGGTTTTGAGGGTTTGGCCGCGGAGTTGGTGATTGGTGTTTGCGTCGGCTTGATGGATACCCCTCCGGCCAGATCTCGCCCACCACGTACATTATAGCGCCAGAAATAAGTTGTGGAGAACCGCGAGACTCCAGAAAAGCTCTTCCAGGTCGAATTACCCCCCCTTTACGATCCCTTGGTGTTGAGGGACAGGCTGGGAAGTAGGTTGTTTGTATTTGCGTCGGCCCCAGGAGCCCCCTCCGCCTGCAACTCGCCCACCATGCCGAAATATAAGACAAAAAATAGATGCCGAGAATTGCAAGGAGTCAAACATTCATCGCAAGGTTGAATTGCCCCTTTACGACCTCTTGCTGCTGCGAGATAGGCCGACGAACGTGCTGGTGCGGGGCTGTTCTGGCGCGACAAGGCGGCGGAGTGAGAGAGGAGCGCGCCCACGCACAACAAACGCATCCCTACCGCAAGTGGCACCGCAAATGCGGCCTCCGGTCGTCTGGCAGTACGCACGTAGATGGGATGATATCGCCTACGTCAAGCAAACTCTATACGGACAAATCCCGCGCACGTATCTACGTAGATTAAGACACAAGATGCGATACCAGCTTGGAAACATGAGTATCAAGCGTTCGACCATAACAGACGCATGCCCACCGCAAATTGTACCAGAAATGCAGCATCAGGCAGTCGGGAAATGCGCACGTAAATGGATGAGATGTAAGCTACAACAAGGGCATTCCGCCGCAATACAGCCTCCATTAGCATGGCATCGCGAATGTCGTTGGGATGACAAAGCCTACTTCAAAACACAGCTAGGTGCACACAAATCAGGCGCATCAACCTACTTTGAGGCCCCAAGATGCAAATGGTAACTTGATACAACGAGTGTCGAGTGCGTCTGCCCGCAACGAGTGCATGCTGTCAACAAGCACTCTGATTGAAGCATGCAGCAGTGTAGTGATGGCAATCTAGCGATGCTGTCGTAGAGGGGATCGTGCTGGCTACGTCAAATTCACGGCTACGCGTAAGTCTTGTGGATGCCGATTCCATCATTGTCAGCCTGGGTCAACTTAACGCTCACAATGCCGTGTGCGAGCCTACGCAACCCTAGGCTCATGCTGCACTTCATGCAATCACCCGATGTCGTCCTGTTGTTCTTATAGCCATTCCGCGTTTCTGGATATCGTCCTGTTCACGGCTTTGCAGCACATCATACCTCTGGGCGTGGTGTTGACTTGGTGAGGGGATATTGCACCCGCGTATCTCGATCGTACAACTCTCAGGTAACCACCCAGGCCCTTCACCACCCCCACCAAAGTACAACATCCTTTACTGGATGGATATTCGTATCTCAAGTTGCCAAAGATTCTCAATGTCAAGTTGTCGGTGGCGTCATCTACCGATCACCGCTGGCAGAGTGGTCAAGCAGCGCTAACTCGTGTACAGATGAAAGGAGATCCTACCTTCGAACCGCAGTCGCACCTTCTTTTTGCGAACTTCGCTTTTTTGCTGTGCCCTGCTATATAAGCATTCCCAGGAGGATTCTGGGCGGCCAGCGCTGAGCACTGGCATTTTACTTGTCAATTACTTCGTTTTTGCCTCTTGTCGCCGCTTCAAGGTCGGCATATACAAGAACGTCTTTCCTTGGTGGGTATATATATCTTACAATTGGGAAGTTTTCCTAATGCTAAGTCGTCGGTGGCGTCCATCCACTGATCACCGCTGGCAGAGTGGTGAACGGTGCTAACTGTCTAAAGGTGGCCATCTACACGTCCCGAGTTCGAAAAGCAGCCTCGATCGAAACATACAACTTCTTTTTGCTATTTTTTGCGGCACAACTACCACGCGTGGCTCCAGGATACCGACAACAATGCACTCGGACCACATGAGCGGCGAGGATCGCTTTTTGCCTTCCTGCCATACCTGAGTTTTGTTACACTCCTCCGAGATCATTGGCGGTCCTGTGGCGACTTTGCAACCCACGAGGTGCAGAGATACCATCGCTACCTCTGAGCCTGAACTCGCTCTTACATGCTTGCAGGCCGTTCTGGGGCGACTTTGCAATGTGCAAGATGCCGAAATCGCGATCCTGGGGAAGCCACACCATCCACCACTGCGCCTGGGTGCTTCATGAAAGCGATGGCTTCCCCTCGGCCTGGCACCTGCCGTCAGGGAACCCAATCAAGTTCTACAGCGCTCTTCTTATCCTCTGGGCTATTTGAGGTGATCTTTTGAGGCGGAAGACGCTCCGCAGGACACCTTACGGATGATGCTACTTCCAGTGAGACACAGGCTTTCTGCAGTTTCCAAGTGGCGGCGGTCCTTGCACGATCGGGCTGCAGACATGCCCATCGAAGGCCACACCTTGATTTCACCATCACTGTGTAAGTATTATGACTGTAAGCTCGCCTATATATCAAGCAAGCTTGGGATGATGAGCACATGACGATCAAGACAGTTAAGCAGACACAAGAGGTGCACAAGGTTGGTGGCAGAAAGCCTTTTGATTGATTCTATGAGACAATTGTGAAGACCATTCGTATTCGATCGACCATGTTGGGAAAAAGGTCAGCCAGATCCATCCATCAGATGACGAGAACATTGTCTGCCATCAGTCGCATCGCATCGCGACAGTAGAGGAATCCGAAACAGACAAGGACAGAAAATCGGCTGAAGAAGAAGAAAAGAAAACGCCAGGCGCCTTCCATGCATCAAGTCGTCAGTAACATAACGTCATGACATGATGTACAACCAGATATGCAGTTCGACACGACGGTGTCTGGCAGGAAAGCAACAACAAAGGAAAGCACTGGACGATCAGTCAGTGATCGTGAGTGCCATGCCCGAGATGGACGTATATCGCGCTGAGGCGTCGTGATCGAGTAAAGAAAGAAACAAAGGAAATGGTCGAAATGATCGAAATACGGCATCGCCGAATAGAGTAAATATCGGAAACATTATACGCGTTTGGTATATGTGCCGTTAAGACGCCAGTGCAAGGCCAGAGCAAGTTGAGCGACTACTCCAAGTCACCAAGCTCGTCGCCGTTCTGGTAGTAGCTGACGTTGTTGTACGCATCATTGCTGGTGTAGGAAGGGCCAGCAGCGTACGCGTACATTGGGATTGGCGGAGTGGCCACATAGGCTTGCGAGGCAGTAGGGCGGGCAATCACACCGGGATCCGCGGACCGCCCCATGAAGGTCGGCGAGCCGTTCTCGCCAAGCAGTTGCTGAGCCAGGCGGAGCGGGATGTACTCGAAAGTCACCATGCCGGACTGTGCGGGACCGAATTGCGCATGGAAAAGCTGCTCAACCGTGCGCTTCGACGGCTCCGAGAAACCTTTGAAAGTGGGAGGGTGTCCGTACTGGCTGTACATATGGACCATATCGCGAGGGGTGCCACGATCGTAGGAGCTCATATGCGCACGATCGATGCTCTGATGGACGACACCGGTCGGAGGGAACAGGCCAACGGTACGGGCGCTATCGATCGAACGCTGGAACTTCGACCAGTTGTCGGGATCCGGAAACTTGACCTCAACGCCGGTCTTGCGGATATTCTGGTTGATCCAAGCCTCTTCCTTGGTGATGAAGAGGCGGGGACGGCAGTAAGGGGTCTGCTGCATGACTGAAGAGTTGCGGAACTTCTGCACAAGGGCCTCACGTCCTTGGATCGTCGCATATGATAGCTCGGCGTTCTTGGACGAACGGTAGCCCGGCCAACCGCGATGCTCGACCTTGTCAAGCATGGAGATCATTCCGGTCATGTCCACGAAGTTGATGAAGGCATATCCGACATTGTGTCCGGACTTGAAGTCGATGCGAAGATATATGAAGTCATAAGTGCCAAAGCATACGCGATCGAGCAGCGTCTTGAGCGACATCTGGACAAAGTCAGCAAGTTCAAGGTAGACTTTGAAATAAGGTCAACTTACCCAGTCCAGCTTGTTCGGAATGTTTCGTAGCATGATGGTAGTGCGGACATCGGAGCCGGCAACGATCCTCGATCGATAAACCTTGTTGTGTGCGCCATCGCGCTCCTCGCGGGGCTCCATGGTAGGCGCATTCACGAGGGGCGCGTGACGAAACTCCATGAAGCGGCCTTTGTCGTCGACACGAGGGAGGCGACGGTGCGGTGAGTTCGGGGGACGAGGACCGGTCCAGTTCTCGGAGCGGATGATGTTCCATGACCACAAACCCTGGGAACTGTTAACATGGAGCGAAGCAGATGATGAGACAGGAACACTTACATGCTGGTCCATACGGGTCAAAGGCGTCTCAAGAAGACTAGCCCGAGTGCGGTTGGCCACCTCCACAGAGTAGAATTCGAAGCGGAAGACAAACGCCATCAAGTTCTGGTCAGTTGAAACGTGGACGAAGTCGCGAATTGGTCCAAAGCGGGACAGAGCAGCCTCAAGATCGTCGTGCATACCCTTCAGGTCGTTGAGGGAGAACATAATGGGCAGAGTGTCCACAACCGGAGCGGCTTGAACTTCGACACGGATCTGTCCCTCGAACTCATCGATGGCCGCAGTGTCCTGCGACTTCGCGATGGCGAACGTATAATTGTCGACATAGCAGCAGCGGAACAAGTGCTGCTCCAGGATCAGCTTTCCAGCTCCGGCGTCCTGGAGATTATCGAAGCGGAGGTAGACGCCCCGGCTGTAAATAGGGACACACATGTCGAAGACGGCGTACTGGGAGAAGGTCAATGAAGTGAAGCAAAGAAGGGACATGGTGATACATACCTCCTTCATCTTGTCCTGGACCTTCGCCAACTCTGTCTCGTGGTCCGAGCCTGCCTCGATGTCACGATTGCCATCTGGAATGAGTTGAACGAGAACGTAACGTGAAATGAAATCACGGCTAGCGGTTTCGATCTCGTTGACAAAGACCGGGAGGTCATGGGGCTGCGGATTGAGACCGTGGTAAGCAGTGTGACGAATGGCTGGAATCTCGATAACAGGCTTCTTGCCGGCCGCCTTGCTGGACTCCGGAACTGCGGTACGACCGCCCTTGCGAACAGCCTCCGGGGTGTACAACGTGGGGTCGGTACCAGCGAAAGGGCTGGACGGCGGACCGCGCGTGGAGGAAGAAGGAGGGGGAGAGTGGTTGGGAGACATTGTGTGAGACAATGTGATGTTGGAGAAAGATGTGAAAGGGCACAAGAGTACAAGAGGAGGTATGATGGTCAACACTAGTCGGCAAGTGCCAAGCTCGGACCAAGGATGGGGTGAAAGAGTCGGAAGATGGTGCGGAGGGAAGAGAGAAAAGTGTCGAGGAGCAAGAGAGTCATGGCCTTATACTCCACGAAGATGACGCTGGCTTGGCGACCCACCGCGGTACCGTTGTCGACCCTTGTCGACGATGATGGCCCTTGCACTCACGGTCTACGGTGAGTGCTGAGTGGGACGAGGCGTGCTGGAGGGAAGTTCTGAACGAGGTGTCTACCCTCTCCTGGCGACAGCTCTACACGCAGGGGGTGTTTTTGCACCGGAGTTATGTCATTCGAAAGCCCTCGTCGAGTTGTCCTTCCTCAGCGACTTCCAGGGCTGAAGGTGAAGGTTTGTGGGTGTGCAGGCCTGCAGCAGCATCGCTCACATCTTGGTGTTCTCTCGCGAAGCCAGCACAGCATCGTCTACTCACTCAATTAGCGGCTCCCGAACGGCCGAAAGGGGCAAGGCCAGCGTCGTGGACGGAGGGAGCCGCAACAACGTGTGGGGCCCCAGGGCAAGAAGCCCATATCAGGAGGCCCTGATTGGAGCGCCGAGGAGCACCTGTGAGGGCAGAATGGGAGCCTCCGCGCGATGAGATCGAGCGGTGAGGGCAGGCAGGTCACGCCATCGCAGGGATACGCCGGGCGCGGTCTATAGGCGCTGAGCGTGGAAGCCGGTAGGACTGGCCTGAACGATGAGCAGAAGCCTGGCGAAGCTCGGCCAGGCGTGCAGCTCCTGTACAGCGGTGCGCCCGACGCCCGATGTCTCTAGTGCGTGAAGTGTGCTGCCTGAGGAGCAGCGGGCGCGCTGAGGAGAGACAGAGCAGCGGGGAACCTCCAAGGGAGGCACGAACGTCAGCACGCCGGCCACCTGCCCTACCATCTGGAATAAGGCACACAAGCACGCCAGCGCGGCCCCTCGAAGCTGGGAGTGCGCACACGCTGTTCAAAGTGGATGTGGCATGACACACGATCCCCGAGGCTGGCTGTGGCCTCAGTACGAGTGGATTGTGAGAGTCAAGAAGACCGGGAGCCAGACGAAGCCTTATAAGGCATGCCCATGCATCCACTCTGCTCTAGCGTCATTGTCCGAAGTAAGAGAATTCGGGCGAGGCCGTGTAGAGAGCGCCTCCCCAAGTAAGAGATGCCAGACAAGCTGCCGAAGAGGCTCCCACATACATCCAGCTGTCACCATAGTATCACCAGAGATTACATCAAGTGCTGCGGACGCGTCGCTTGAGATGTAAAGCATCAGGCCGTGTTCTGTATGGCTGCTGTCATGGCCAGCCAGAGTCTATCTATTCGCAGTTCCGATCCGCCTTCAAACACCCAAACTCGTCCGTTTCGACCTTTCAAGCGTCCAAGAATCACAAGGCGTCCATTTTCGATACCCAGACATTTGTTCACAATATTACCCCTATCCTTATGTAAGCCATCCGAGCGCTCAGCGCGGCTGTTGCATTAGGCGCGCAGCCACCTCGTATCCGATGGGGCGGCCCCGTAGTGCGTTCCCCGCCACCACAACACTTTGTACCAAGTATTCTCCTGCCAGTGTACTCTTCCTAGCTTCGTCGTTCTTGTGCCGGCCTTTTAGGTCGGCCTTGACCCCGTACACGGCGTGGGGACGATACACAATGCCGATAGCAAGGGGTTGGCCTTCCTGAGCAATCGCGCAAGGAGCCGTATCAACCCCAAGTTTATGACCTTGTTATCTTCAAATGCGCAATGCGTTTTGGCATCTCGGGGTCACGGTCGTGGTGGTGTAGGCTTGAGTTGGTCTCGGAGACTCGTCAGGGAGGCTGTCGCGCGCACCTGGGGGGGAAGTGACAATCTATGACTGGAATCAGTGACAACGAGGTCGCAATTTCTCAGGCGCATCTTGGTTGTTCCGCGATCGCCGTTGTGGTGCGCTATGCTCGATTCTGTTCTGAAGCTCTTGGACCGAGAAAGCCGGCAGTCGATCGTATCGCGTCGAGCGCGCAAACTCCCCAGCCTCTGTTGAGTCCAGATCCAGAACTCATTAGCTGTTGCGCTCCGCAGAAGTATTGATCTAGCTGCTCGCTCGAATGCTCTCGTTCTGCGCGGTCGCTCGAAAAAAGCTGGGGGCCACCCAGACTCACGCGGACAGGAAAGTGATGGCAGGGACCATCTGGCAGCTGTTAGTAAAGAAAAGCTTGAAGAGGCTTAAAATATTGCTTAGCTGGTTCCCGTTGAGATCCGAGCAGTTGTATGCTGGTTGTTCTGGCTGCCGTGGCTCCATTGGATTGGGTTGCGAGAAAGGGTAGGCACACCCGTCGACAGTAGAGAAGGAGCGCGACCTGGCAGGCGTCGACCCCCGCGAGTCGATGGCTAGGTTTCTCAAGAGGATTCTTCTGGGGGTATGCGGCGAACCTGCAGGCGGCCAGCTCCTGTGCTTGACGCCGCTCTCCAATCGGCGCCTGCAGCACCAGCGCCGGCGGTTGCTCATGCGCCCAGCATGCGCCACTCATACGGTAGCATAGAACAACCAGCAATGTGCCTCGGTATCTACGTGATCAAGAGACGCCAACGTACCTCCTGTTGTCGTATCGGCGTCGATGACACCCCAGGGCTGGGGTTCTGGGTTGATGTGGTGGCGCTGCCGGTGCTCGTGAGCGAAGCAGCAGAACAAACGACAGCAAGTCGAGCTCAGGCATGGAAGAATAGCTCCGGCAGCGTACTCGATGCCCGCAGACATTTGAGAGCAGGATACCCCTGAAACTCTGGCTACAGTCTGACAGCTGCGAGCGTCAGTTTCTCTGCGAGGAGACGATTGGCCTCCGCTGTGCGTGGACTGCCGTAGTTGGTGCACTCGATGTCCAGCTATGCGACTCTATAAATCGACAGACGACGGGATCCCATTTCCTGGCAGGCTCAGCATCACACGAAGCTCACCCTCGCATCTAGGACTACCCGTTAAAGACGCCCAAGGCCGAAGGCCAGCTCCTGAAGCGTTCGTTGCGTCCGTGTTTACTGTGTCTTCAGCTACACCGGGTCGCCGCTCGCACAGGCAGGCTTCCCGGGCGCTCTCATCCTGCAGTGAGCCTCTCCATAAACGTCGAGTAGTCGAATGGCCAGTTCATCGAAGAGCTCTCCATCAAGGGACCAGCCTGGCTCGAAGCTGAGTCTGGTAACACTTGATCTCTTCCCAAGCTGCACTCGTCGCGCTCCCGCTTCGAGCTTCAGTGCACGGACTATCAATATGTTGCTACCTGAAGCATTTGGCTCACTCGTTTGCCTTTCGTCCACACCGCAATTCGTCACAAAGTTTGCGTCCGCCTCCACGACTTTCTTGCCTGTGGCCCACTTCTCGAAGCCTATATTCCCATCCAAATCTATCCCTCGTACCCCCGCCATCATGGCCGACTTCGACCCCATTGACGATGGCGTCGACGACGCTGTCGAGAACGCCGCCGCGCTGGCGAACTGCTGGCTGACTCACTTGCGCGACTTCGACTGCAGCACGACCAGGGGCGGCGTCACAGAGGTCCTCGCGGAGATTATCAGCGACGACTCCGACGACCTGATCGACTACGACGTTGTCGACAAGGCCGAGTGCTACACCAGGATGCTTGAAGCCAGCTCTGCCCTGCGCGACTGGCTCAAGTTTGAGCACCACACGAAGCCACTCATCGATTCCGGCTTCAGCAAACTCCACCTCGCGGTCAACGTCGCCGACTTCAAGGACACGGCGAAGAAATACAAGTAACACACGCCAATAGTAAGTGACCTAATAGCCAAGGGCAAATGGACTCTCTAACCAATTGCAGCGCCTGTCGCCCGCCGTCCCGGACTTGAGGTCCAAGGGCATTGTGTTCAAGGTTCCCTTCGGCTATCTGGCGGCCCGTTGCATGAACCTCGAGACTTCGGCCATGGACGGGACCGCCGTCGCCAGCGGCGAGATCGAGCTGAACGAGGACGGCAAGGCCGCGCGCTTTGGGCACCCGGTCGATCTCCGTCGTCACCTCCTACGCGGTAGAAACAGATTTAAGAAGGCCCTCGCCGCCTACCTCAGGGCCGCGATCGGCGGAGTGTACAACCATCTGGATGGGCGGAGTAGGCGCTGGAGGGGTGAAGGAGACTGGGTCCTAGTATGGCCTGGTGTTTAGGTCCGGGTAGCAGGATGATACCACATACTTATTTCTGGCGTCAAGTCTCCTTTCATGATTCTGTCGTCTCACAATAATGATTCAACGCATACGTGAATTTCTCTAGTGTTTGTATGACAATGGCCATTGACACTGACCTTTTCGCTGGTTCTTAGGAATCGGCACAGTGATGCGCTATCCTCGCAGCCTAGCCCTACCCACCCCCTTCACTTCGTTTGCAGCCCCCCGGTCGGTCCTGTTGTGGTTGTTTCTGTCCACTTAGCTCGGTTCCCGTCCACCAGCGTCTCCCTCTTTCTTGTCAACCGATAACGCCGATTCCTGCAACTCCTCTCCTGCTGCCGCTGAGAACGTCGTCGCTGTTGGCGCCTCTGCTCTCCTCGACGAGCGTGCCTACTTCTCCAACTACGGAACGGGCAACGACATCTGCGCTCCCGGACTCAACATCCCTTCCACCTGGATCAGTTCCGAGCACGCCACCAATAGAAGCATCACAACGGCTCGAACCTCTCGGTCTTCAAGGTAAGTAAGCACCCCTCCGATCCGGGCTTGACGTGGTGTCTCGACTTCGTCGTTTGCGCGCTCCAGGTTCAGTCAGGCTGCATCAAGGCAGGCTTTTTGCTCAGAGCGCATCTGGAGCTTCATTTCCGTTTCCTGCGGCGGCAGACGCAGCTCCTCTGGTTCCTTACGCTGCACTCACAAGTTTGACTGACTGACTTCATACTGGCTCAACATCACTCACGGCCGCTTCTCGGTCACCGCCGTAAGTATACCTCTGGCAGCTACCCACAAGAGCTACAACTCTGTGCCTCCGAGGACGAGCATCTTGACCCCTCCAATCTCATCCAGTCCCGGGGCTGGTACTCGGAGAACAGAGTTGCAGCTTCTCCTCCTCGGCTCCACAACCATATCCACAACTCCATGCTGACCATCTCTACTAGGCCACCATGCCCCTATTCGCCCCTCTCACCCTCTACACCGCTCACATCCTCCGTCTGCGCAACCTCATCCACCGGTGCATCAAGGCCCTCAACCGCGCCCGCCCCGCCTTCCTTGCCCTCCTCACGTCCTGCCCCGCCGACCCTTCGCCCGCCCAGCTCCACCCCTTCCTCAACTACGTCGAGATACGCTTCGCAATCGGCCTCAACATCCGGGAGTACTGGGCGTGGCGGGCGGTCCTTGCGGTGGTTAGGCGCTGGGGGGATACGGCTTGGTGGGTCGCGGGGCTGCTGTGGGCGGCGGTGGGGTGCTGGGTGCTGGGGAGGGGGGTGTAGAGGGTGATGAGCTTGACCTCGGAACACACACTAGCCCAGACATCTGTACCATGGCTGGACGTGGCTCGCCAACACCTTACATCGGAGAGGAGCACGGCAACTTTACGCACAACGACTTCATCCTCGACTTGGGCCTGAGGTCAGTAGAGCGGTCTCTCGGGCGGTCTTCTCAAAAGGCCTTCTGTTTTGTAGCATGCATGCATTTGGTGCGGATTTGGGGGTGGGAGAGCGTTTGTGCCCTTTTGATACCCACGGATAGGAAATGGAGTTTGGTCTTTCTGTCTCCTTGGAGCCTTGGTTGTGGTGATCGTGAAGTCTTGTCTTGAATCTTGCTAATGGTAATTGCAAGCTCGATTACACACTCGTGAATCCATTGTTGCTTCATGAACATCATCCAGCTCAAGCAATATCTAGATCACCTACTACAACCTTAGTCAGTCTCACTCCTTGCCCACGGTCTCCTTGTGCTCTGCGGCATTCGCCTTGATCGCCCTCTCAACCTCCGGCGTAAGACCCTGGTGCGTGGCTACGTGCTCCAACCCATCCTTCTCATCGCCTGTGCGGTACACAAGCTGGTGCGTGTTGTGATTGATATGGACATCATCGAGCGTAACAACGACGTCGTCACCAAAGATCCGTGCCATCTCTTCGAGAGGTATGCCTTTCGTCTCGGGCAGGAACTGCAACATGCGTCAGCACCGACTTTCCCCTTCGAAGATACAGTGACAGCAGTATGGTATGAACTCACGAAGTAGAAGAACACCGTGCCAAGTGCACAAATGATGATGAACACGAGATAGAACCTCCAGCCGATGTTTGCAAATGCTGTAGTCGTGGCTTGCAAGTATACCAGGTCAGTGAGCGCAACGGTGGCCATGCTGAGACAGACGCCCTTGGCACGGATGTGGTTGGGGAAGAGCTCCGAGTAGAAGACGACACCCGCGACGTCGACGCCCATGCTGTAGACTGCGAGGAAGAGATAGAACCTTGGAACGCAAGTCAGTAACCATGGTAAGACACTCTTGAGGAAGATGAGACCTACATCGCTACACCGGCTGCTAAGGCTGCTTTGTTTGTGGCTTCTTCGGCATAGGTGGCTACGATAGCTGCCTCGATGATGAGACATACACCGCAACCTGCGACACCGAAGAGCATGAGTGGTTTACGACCAACTTTGTCCATGAAGACAGCGCCGACTGCGTTGAAGACGATGCCGACGGAAATCCAGCCGCATTGGAGTTCGAGTTGTTGTTTCCTACCTTGAAGTCAGATACGTTGTCCAGGGCTTAGAAGACAAAGAGAACTTACGTGTCGAACCCCAATGTCGCGTACAATGTAGGACCATAGTTGTTGATGACCAAGACACCCGTTGATTGACCCACGAACGCAAAGCCCATGGCAAGCGCCGTCCTCCGTCGATACCCCTTCTTGGTAAACATGGCGATCCATCCCGGCTCCAGGGTGCGGTCGAGCTCCGTCTGCTTTCTCATCTGGTAAAATTCGCTTCGTGCAAACTCCTGCTCGGGGTCCCCCTTGACGCTGTGTAAGCGAAACACAATCTTCTCTGCTTCTTCTACACGGCCCTTCATGAGGAGGAATCGTGGCGACTCTGGAACGATGAAGATGATGGCAATCATCATGGCTGGCCAGAGAAGGGCGATTCCGAGCGGACCGCGCCACTTCGCAGCGTCGCTCTCAGCAAAGTAAAATGCCATGCCCGTGTAGCTGGCAATGGCGTACCCGAGCGCGATATTGACACCGTTCATGCCTACGAAGAATCCTCGGAGTCCAGGGGGCGCAAGTTCAGCCGAGTATGTTGGTGCTGTACTGTGTTAATGCTGCTTAGACAATAGACTATGCACTGTTCCACTTACTCACGGCCAAGAAGCCCCAGCTCCCCCAGCCCGCGATGAATCTGGCGGTAATCAGTTGACATGTTTACGCAAGGCCATCAATTCTATACGTACCTGGCTACGATGAACATCTCTATGTTTCGCGCACCACACAACATAGCCCCGCCTACGAGCGAGAAGATCGCGCAGTATAGAACGCCAGCTTTACGACCCCATCGATCCATGATGTAAGAGCTTGTAAGGATGCCTATGACAGCTCCAGCCTGAGGCGTATCAGTTCCGGCGGAGGTCTACAAGACTTCTGTGGGAGTGTCATACCTGGAAGACACCATTCATTGTTCCGATGAGGGCCTCAGCATTGCTGCTCAGCTTTCCTTCTGCATCCACGAGGCCCATATAGACCAGGAAAGGTGGCTCGCCTAACGTCACTCCGATCACTGATGCTGGGTGCCCGAAGGCTACCTGTCCGAGCGAGACAAGCCAGCATACTAGGAAGTTATATGCATTGAATTGTGATCTCTTCGACGGATGGACATTGATCTCGTCCGTCATGACGGGCAAAAGATTGTGAGATTGCAAAGATATCCAAGAATGGGAATTGGAGAAGAGACTTATTGTAAGTGATCTGAGGTAGTGAGGGTTTAAGCTATTTTATCTGCAGGCCAGGCAGAGATCCACGAGCTCGGTTCGACAAACGCATATACCGGGCCCAGTGAGCCGGTTCTATCGATTCAAACATCTCGAATCTCATTTTCCAGCCGTAGTGGCGTTAATATGGGCCAGTCTGGATGGGAGACTCGTACCAAGACCCGTCATCCTAGGCTGTGCTGGGCCTGGGATGCCATGACCAACGACCCCACAAGCTTCAACGTCAGCTGTCTTGTGGTGCAGTGACCTCTAGGCATACCAGTGCGTGAAGACCCACAACTTAGGACCCGGACTAAGACACGATGGCGTAAGGAAGGCGATCGCTGGCTTTCAAAATCCGGGGTACGGTAGAACTAGCATACCCGGGAGGGGCATGTTAAGATGTCGATGTTCAGATGATGACATTGTTGCAGTCGAGCATATGCTACATGAAGGTGTCCAAGTAGTTGGTCCTTGTAATCGATATCAACAACACGGCTGTGCTTCAATTCTTCTCCCACAGCAATTCTGGCTGCCGTTGGCGTTGCGCTTGCTGACTCTTAGCGACTGACTCTGCTGTGGACGTGTCGATATTCGCACCCCTGTCTGCTGTCAAAACCGGTACATGCGGGGTAGCGTGAACATCAGCAATAATGGCGTGGAGGTAGGAAAATTACCAGAGAAAAACGGCCGCGAATCGCCGAAAAGAGCCGTGCTCAGTAGAAGGTGCGACTTGGAAGGTGCGATGATGCTGGCTCGAATCATTGGCTTGTCAAGTGTGTGTCATGGTCATGGTACACATGCATTGCGATATTCAGCATCAACACTGAGTGGTCGTGCAAAATGGGTCGCGATGGCTGTGGATTTGCAGATCCGATCTCATGGTCATTTGGGTATCATTGGCTTGAAGATGCCAGGTCATCACTTTCGTACCTTCCTCTATTCCTCCTCTTTTGCATCGCCATGCCTTTGTTCCAACTCCGTTCTCCACTCTTCGAACTCCTTGCTCACGATCCCTCCAGATGCATCCCTAACCTCGCCCACCTCCACAATGCCCGCCTTCTTCTCCAGCTTCAGCCTATACACCTTCCCCTGCTCCGTCACTACACTCCTCAACCATCCCAAAAAGGCCGCCGCAAAGTTGATACAAGTGTTCCCATCCCAGCACTGCGTTCCCCTCCTCACCATCCCTGGAATCTTGTTCGTCTCAAGTTCCTGTACCCCCGTCAAAATACCCAACTTGCTTCTCCATCCGATGATTATTTTGGGCACACCGAGCAGGAATGACTGCGCCCAGAACTTCAGGAGCTTACGCTCAAACTTGAGGATGTCACGGTTAGACGGGTTGGGAGGGAGTGATTCGGCAGTCTTGAGCTCGATCCAGGGGATAGGCTCGGTGGGAGAGGAAGGTTTTGGCGCGGAGAGGCCGTCGACTTCACCACCGAGGAGGAGGGTGTGCGGGCCAAATCCGGTACGAACTATGCTGCAATGCTGAGCGTAATTCGAGACTGGGGCTCGTGGGCGGGCTTCGATGGTTTCCTTTGGCGTGTCCGGGGGAGGTGTAGAAAGGAGCGATAATGTTTCGAACTTGTAGCCCCAGTATGTCATCATCTTGTGATCGGGCATGTTGGGATCTTGCCATTTGGGTCGTGGTCGCGTTGCTTCCTGTGCCCGTTGCGCAGCGCGGGCGGGGAAGTCTTCCTCGATGTAGATGGTGCCGTCCCGAAGAGTCACGAACATGGAAAACTCGGCAAACATATCGAATGGTGCCGTCATGATTTTGGTCATCATGCCTCGCCATGTCACAAAGTCTGCTTGCTCTTTCTTGCCCGTCTGTTTCTCCTTGCTCATCACAGCCCGCAGTAAGCTGTCGAGATGCGGATCCGTCTCATCTTCATAATGGCGGAAGGTATTGTAGCCTTCTTTCAAATCGGCGCCTAGTTGTGGGGGACAGTAGTAGTTTATCCCGGATTCATCTTCTTTGTATTGGTGATGGTCATCGTAGGAAAAGTGGACGACTTCTTGCGGGCGCTTGATGCTGGCCGAGGCACCTCGGAACTGATTTACAGGCTGGATATGGAAGCGGGCGCTGGGTTGGGCCGGCGCCGGAACCCGGTCGTTGGTGGATATGCTCGGGCTCATTTGGGGTGGTTGTGTCGAAGGTGTAGGTGGCGGCGGAGCAGCGCGTGGGATTGCCTGCGTGCGTGGCCGCTTTCGAGGAGGTGATGTCCGCTCGTTTTCGCGGTGGTGGTCGTTATCATCGTCCGGGTGGGGATGTACGGATTTAGGAGGTTTGGAGGGCAGACTGCCTGGAAGAGGGCCTAAATTCGCGACGTCTTGAGCGCCCTGCCGGGTTTGCGCATTCGGCTCTTCTTGCACCATTGGGCTTGTCGTGGTCACACCAATTGCGCCGTGGTAGGTAGGAGGGCGCATACGGCGCAGAAAGGCTTCGTTCCCCAGACGCGACTGCACGCTGACGTTCGTTCACCAGGACGCGACTGTGGCCCAAGCTCCGTTCCCCGCAAAAGCTCCGCGTTACGGCGGGCCATAGCAACCACCAACACAAAACACCGCGCACTTTCCAACAACACCGCTTGAAACAACTTCTTCCTTGCGAGCTCTCCCTCACCGTCCGCAACACCGAAACCCACCTCTCTCACAATCTCCACAATGGACCACCGCCGTCCCATCCGGCCACCCCCAGGCCACCCCGTCGGCGCCCCCCGGCGCCCCCTCTTCACCACCACCTCAACCACCTCCTCCCAACCCTCGCGCGCCAACTCCCGCACCACCGCAGCCTCCAAGCCCACCACTGTCCACATCTCGCCCGACGACCCCAACAACCCCGACGACGACCTCGTCGAGCGCGACGCCACCGGCAGCTACAAGATAATGGCGCCGTCGGCCGCTATGAAAGCGGGTGTCGCGCCGCCCATCAGCGCCGAGCAGGAGGAGAAAGACCAGGAGGACCAGATCATTGCGCTGTATGGGAAGAGCAGCTGTCATTGGGACCAGGCTGGTAAGTTTGCCCGTTCTCTTACTTAGCCCCAGGGAGGGATGTGGTTTACGCGAAGGTTAGTAAAGGAAGAGATGGAGACTTTGTGAGGCGTAGCGCAAGCTCGCTGTTTCAGGAATTGGACCAGTTGTCGCTCGGTGACCAGGAGGAATGGGAGCGGGATGGGTGGGGGTTCTGGGATGCGAATGCGCGGATCGCGATGCTGGAGACCAAGAAGGGAATTGAGGTGGAGCGGTTCTGCAAGTGGATCTGTGATGGCGGTCAGGCTGAGTGGGTGGAACATGCTGACACGTGCGCAGCGGTCCTCGATGAGATCAGAGCGGCCTTGAAGTCGAGCTTGGAGAGGAAGGTGGCAAGTCTGGAGGCCGATCGCTGGATGTTTGAGGGCGAGAATGGGAAGGGACTGAGATAAGGCGATGAAGGCATCGGGTGGATCGAGGAAGTGTTTTTCTGGAGGCTGTCCAGCGGCTGGTTGATCTACGGACATCGCCCGCTGCCAGCCAGGCGTTACGATCGGATGATACCCCTCTTGGCTTTGACATGGACTCAATTCTGTTTATAGGATGACAATGGCGATGACATGGCTATACAACTATCGTGACACCAAGCTCCAAACGCCGCGCTGGCTTGTCCCACACTAACCAAATCTGAACCGACTTCCGAGCGTGCCAAACCGCTCCCTCTCTGGCGGCTTTGTTGGACTCTGATTTGCAATCGTCGCCCCCTCCTGCACCTTCGCAATCAGGGTCTGGCCTCTCATAGGGTCCACCTTGCCGTACTTCTTGTTCCTTTGCGCAACATCAAAGTACTCCATGTGATCTTCCGCGCCCATTAGCTGCACCGTCTGTGTCAGCTCGTCCAGGTTATCCAACAACAGCGGATCACCGAGGCCCTCCACAAAGTTCGCGAGGTAGCGCGTGTCGATGGCAAGGGCGCTGACCGCTGCGGGTGTGATGCGCTTCACAGACTCATCCAGAGGGAGTGCGAGGATGGCATCTTTGGCGTGGGATAGCGCGTCAAAGTATACGAAACCCTTTACTTCCTCGGGAAGAGCAAGGAGGACGGAGTTCGAGATGTCGCTCAGCCATCTGGTCATCTCCTTCATGTAGTCGCTCGGCTCGCTGGCCTCCTTCGCAGCCATCCAGTCATACTCTGCAGTCTCTACTAATTGGTCGATCTTGCTGTTCACGACCTCGAAGATACGATCACTCGCCTGCTTCTTTGCAGCCTTAAACTTTTCGGTGGCTTGGAGCGTTATCGGGCCCGTAGCTGCGGGCGACGACCGTGCCTGGAAAAGGAGCGCTTCAAGTTCGTGGCATGCCGTCTCGAAATGCTCGACGTTAGTAAGAATTTGGACGATCTGACCGGGATACTGGGAGGCAAGGCGATCAACGAGCGATTGGCACACTTCATTGCAGAGCAGGTCATCCAGTGAAGTGCGCAGAGTCTCGTCGATGATGGAAGACTTTTGGAAGTAGTCGTCCGAGAAGAGGTAGATCTGGTTGAGAAAGTTCCTCACGTCGATACAACAAAGTGGATACATCTGAGAGAAAGGTAGAACGCAAGGGAAGCTGGGATACGGTTAGTGCACATGGCATTAGTAGAAAAGAAGGTACGTACGTGAGCTCATCACGCTCTTTTTCTGGGGTATACCAGCTGACGGTTACGACCTTGTCGTATTCTTCGATGCTATTGAGCGTCATTGGCATGTAATCATCGGTCGTGACGATCTCGGTAAAATCTTCACTAAAGCGGCTCTTGAGCAGTTCTGAGTACTTGGAGAACAGGGTGAGCAGGAGGTCGTTCATCGTCGAGACGGAGTAGCCCCATTTCTGGAGAGCGAATTAGCGTTGCAGATGATATCGAGGGGCAGCACAAACCTCCATGGTTAACATGAACAGGGCCACCCGGCCTTTTATTCTCAACAGTAGCTCGTCATTACTGACTTGCGGCAGGGCTTTTGTGATCAGCTCAATGGCCCTAGCACACATAGTATCCCAGAGCTCGTCGATATCGGCTTGCGACCGCAGGTTGATCGTCTTCGCTGCCGTAGCTTTCTCGATAATCGCAAAGCCTGCGATGCTCTCCAACAAACTACTCAGCTCGCCACATTCCTCGTCAAGCAAGCTCAGGGTCTGTGGAAGTATCAGATCCTTCTGAAGTTTTCGGTCCTCGGCATACTCTGCTTTGAATTGTTCCCGCTTTCCCAAAGTGTCGTAGATATGCATAGCTTCGAACAATGGCGTGAAGTCGGTCTCGTTGCCAGCTTCCTCATTATTGAGGACATCAAACTCATCAGTCTCATCCGCGACAAGCTCAATCGCCGAGTTCAGCTTGAACTTTGCGAACCGTGGGTCAGCCTCAGCCCGTTCTTGGTTCCGTGTCCGTCGGACATCAGTGTAGTAGAAAGACACCTCGCCCAAAAACTGCGATGACTCGCGTATGCGATAGAGCCAGGTGCTCAGGTCGGCCTTGACAGCCTCGCGGATCTGCTCTCGAGCAACAGGCACACTTTTGTCGATCATCCCCGCAAGATTATATCGACTGATGCCTTTCAGGTGGATCGTCTGCAGTTCATCCAATGCGCGCAGCGCAGCATAATAGTTCTTCTCCTTCAAAAGTTCGTATACTTGGTTAGCAAGTCGCAAGACCTCCAGGCAGTCGTTGAGCGCCGCATTCGCCTCGTTGATGTTTTGTCGCACATTACGCGACTCCTTCAAGGCCTGTTTCTGCGCGTGCAACTTGTCGGCGCTCTCTTGGATAGATGCCTGCAGCTCCAGAATCTCGTCGGTGATGTCTACAGTTCCGGACCGAACTTTTAGAAGCGAGTCAACAGAGCCGATGAATTCCTGGTGATTTGCACTACATATCCGCTCTATCTCGGCTTCCCGGTCGTTTGAGTATTGGTCAAAGGCTTGAAGAAGTTGGTTGGTATGCCGTGCATCTTTCATGATCGGGACTAGTTGTTCGATGTAGTCCGAGTCTGAACTGGATTGGGATATCTAGTCATACTCAGCAACATGCATGCACGATCACGTGTGCATCCATTCACCTGCTTGATGGCCAGCCACAAGTCGTCCCTCGGATCCACTGCGGAAGGCATGTTGGCAGATGCCTAGCGCGGGCGCGCTTTAGGGGTGCGCGACGAGTGCCAGCAACGAGGTGTTTATGCCGTTCTTTATCAGGAGAATCGCGTTATTGCAGACTCTGATACAGCATCTATTCCGGAGTGTTGGGATGTTCAAATCGAGCCAAAAGGTGTATGAAACGTCGCTCCCTACAAGAGCCCGGAGTTGGATGTTCGCCAGGGCTCGAGCGGCGATAGCCGAGCACGTGAGCTGAGCCGCATCCCGCCTTCCACACCCCTGCACTTGCCCTGTGCGGTGGCGTGCGGGGCATGCAAGAGGTCCGATGACGCTCCGTACCATTTTTCAAACACTCCGATTCCGATAAGAGACCACACTATATCTTTCGTTCTTGTGCAATTGAAAATATCACATTACAAAATGGAAGCAATTACAAGTAGGATGAGCACCACTGATGACTTTGAAGGCAAATGTTAATCTCGCTCAGACAAGATGCAGCAAGTGCTTGGTGGTGGGGCTCCTACGAGCAACCAGTGAGTTCCATTATGGAGCCGTACTCTCAAGCATCACAACTGACCCTACTGCAGCTCAGTCCTCCTGCTCGGCGCTGGCTTCGTGTAAGAACCGTTGCACTCTCAACTTTCGCCAAATCTCCTAACATCTTGTAGCACGCGGCCCACCGCTGAGGTGCTAGGAAACTCTGGCGTTAAGGTCACAGTCGCCTGCAGGACACTCGCGAAGGCACAGGCGTTGGCCAAGGGCATCAGCAATGCCTCTGCCATCAGTGTATGACTGGGATTAAATAATGCTTGCTCTTCGGCTAACATCGACAGCTCGATGTTTCCAACGACGAGGCTCTTGACGCGGAAGTGGCCAAGGTCGATCTCGTCATCAGCTTGATCCCATACACCTTCCATGCGACCGTCATCAAGTCCGCCATCCGCAAGAAGAAGAATGTCGTCACAACCTCCTACGTCTCGCCCGCGATGGAGGAGCTCGATGCACAGTGCAAGGAGGCCGGCATCACCGTATTCAACGAGATTGGTGTCGACCCCGGTGTTGACCATCTCTCCGCCGTCATCACCATCGACGATGTCCACAAGGCTGGCGGCAAGATTCTGTCCTTCAAGTCATACTGCGGTGGGCTGCCCGCGCCCGAGGCATCGGGCAATCCGCTAGGATACAAGTTCTCGTGGAGCTCACGCGGCGTGCTGCTTGCCCTGCGCAACCAGGCTAAGTGGTGGCAGGACGGCAAAGTCAAGGAAGTCGAGGGCCCCGAGCTGATGGCAGAGGCCAAACCCTACTTCATCTACCCCGGTTTTGCCTTCGTCGCGTACCCCAACCGTGACTCCACACCGTACAGGGAGCGCTACCTGATCCCCGAGGCACAGACCATTGTTCGTGGTACCCTACGATATGGTGGTTTCCCAGAGTACATCAAGGCGCTCGTGGACATCGGCTTCCTCGTGGAGGACCCCAAGGACTTCCTTAAAGAGGGCTCCACGCTTTCCTGGAGGGAGGCTACCTCAAAGATCGTCGGCGCCAAGGGCGCTACCGAGGAGGACATTGTCTGGGCCATCAGCTCGCGCACCAAGTTCCCCTCGACCGAAGAGAAGGATCGCATCCTGAATGGACTCCGCTGGCTCGGCCTCTTCTCCGACGAGAAGATCACGCCCCGCGGCAACCCGCTCGATACGCTCTGCGCGACGCTCGAGAAGAAGATGCAGTACGAGGAAGGCGAGCGTGACATGGTCATGCTGCAGCACAGGTTCGAAATTGAGAACAAGGATGGCAGCAAGGATGTTCGCACCGAGACGCTTGTTGACTATGGTGACCCCAAGGGCTACTCATCCATGGCCAAGCTGGTTGGCGTCCCGTGCGCAATTGCTGTGCAGCAGGTGCTCGATGGCACCATCTCCAAGAAGGGTGTGCTGGCGCCCATGGACCCAGAGATCTGCAGGCCGTTGATGAAGATCTTGGAGGACAAGTACAACGTTCGCTTCAAGTCGGAGACCATTAGGCAGTAGAATGTTGGTGGAAATGCCGAAACGATTGACGACATCACGGGAGACTGCAGAAAGGTTCGTTTGGATAGGTCAGACGTTCGCTTCAAATGGTCCACCATGCCGCAGTATTAGGGAGTAGACAAAAGAATTCACGATGTTCCTTAACTTCACTGTCTCCATGTCCATTCTTCGACTAACGGGACATTGCACAATTATGCCAAAGCACATAAATTGGCTAGGGTATAGTGCCGACCTCCCATCCAATCCTCTCTCTGATGAAGCCGTGTCTCATGCTGTCGTAACTCATGACTAACGCGCACACTCTCTCAATCAAGACCTGCCACGGGCGGCTTCTTCGCCGGCTTTGACGCTCCGCCGCCCATCCCACCTCCGAACATACTGCCAAGCATGTCAAACATCGGATTGCCTTGCCTGGGGATTTTGATGTTAAAGTACATCTCCCCAATCGTATCGAGCGCCTCGGTCCAGTTGACATCCTTCAAATGGCTCGCATAGTGGCTCTTCAGCTGCCTGAAAAGGCTGGGGTCACCGCGCTCGACCGCCAGCAAGAGCAACCCAAGGAAGTTCAACAGCGGTAACGAGGGGTAGACGCGCAGGTCCGACGACTTTGTGGAAACTTCTTGTGTGGCGAGGGAGGGGTTCCTCGCGAGGTAGGATGTGAAGAGGAGGAAGTACTTGTTTGCGGCGCGCAGGTTGCCGGCGAGGAGGTAGGGGAGAGTGCCGCGGGCGGCGTAGAGTGGCGCGGTGTGCGAGTCGTCGGAGGTGTACCAAGAGTACTCGAGTCCCGCGAGTGCTTCGGGGGAGTCTTTGGTGCCGATGATGAGATGCCGCTCTGCGTCGTAGGGCTCGAGGTCTGTCACTGTCAGAATGTGCAAATGGCTCAGAACAACGTGTACGCACCTTCAGCGTACAGCGTCCCCGCCACATGATGAATCTCCGGGTCGCCTGCAGGATACTCGCCCCATTTCGCGCTCCACCCCACCATCTCATTCACGAACTTCTTCCGCGTAGGCTCATTCTTCGGAAAAGCGCGCAGCAAGCTCAGCAGCTTCCCCTTGCTCGCCGCATCCGGCTTCGTCTCGCTCTTGTGGAACACCTCGAGCAGGAATATGCACAGGTCGCCGCCGGAGCCGCCCTGCCCAGCTTGCAGGAGCGACTGCGCGCCCCGGAAGAGGATGTCGGTGGCGGCATCCCAGTTGGAGGTCTTGACGTAGCGCGCGGCGATGACGCGGAGCTGCTGGTGGGCTTCGTAGAACTGTCCCTCTGCGATCCTGCGGGGCGTCAGTGTGCTGGTGCGGGGAATATGTTTGGGCAAGGACTACTTTTCCTGCTGGCGCTGGATCGTCTTGTCTATCTTGGAAGACATGGCCGGGGATGCGGGTGGGTGCAGTGCGGCGGAAGGTGCAGCGGTGGTGTTGATGTGCGTGAGCTTTGGGTTGGGTTGGTGCCGCCGAATGACGCACGGTTTTCCGGGGGCTGGAGACATCTGGAGCTTGCGCCAGGATAGCTCACCTTCTTGGGCAATCCTCTCCGCTACATGCATCTCGAGTTCATGCGTCTCGAATTCATTTTCTACACCTATAGCACGTTCAGGCTATCAGCAGCTGTTTCGGATGGAGAAACCTGATTCGGTCTGGCATCGTCTGACACGGCTCATGTTGTGGTTCAGTCACCACAACCACTTGACGCGTCTCCCCAACGTCAAACACTCGCACTGCATTGCACCCTGCTCTGTCAACTTACTAGGTGCATTATTGATGGCTACCTTACTCACACGAACAATTCTACACCACGTCTGCCCGCAGTCTTGGCACGTGTCTTTGACCCGCACCTTTACATGTCCAGGATCGACTAATAGCTAAAATCCCACGGTGCCGAGGAGCTCGAACGGGAGAAGGAAATATTATGCTGAGGTTGAGAAGGTTCTGGGGGAAGCTCGCCGAACGTTGGTAATGCTGCGGATATACGGAGCAGCATTTGCGAATAATACAAGCTGCGCTTAATCGTGGATGGGCGTGCACCGTCCGTCAAACCCAAAGAGTCTGCAATTGGCAGAAGGAGAGGCAGGTTTCGCAGTACTAGCTAGGGCTTTGGCCGATTATAATGCGTCTCAATGGAACATCTTCAGAGTACGAACTTTCCCCCACCACCTGTTGACGTCGAATGTGTATGCTGAACATAATTCAGGATATCACTCGCGGTATATATAATACGTTCCCTGCCGCAACGCAAGACTTAACCAACAGAACTTAGGTCGCTATGCCTAAGGCAACGGAAAAGGAATTGCGAGATATGGCCAATGAAGACCTAAAAGATCATGGCCTTCCTCCTGTCCCGAACGACGTGTTCGCGTAGTGCATGTAACGTTGTGTCCGACTGCTTCATAGGAAACTTGACTACGAGATGCGGCCCCCGAAATGACCGCTGTTCATTCTTCACAGGACTTTTCCATATCAAATACTTCGCTCAGCGAGATCTCTACACAGTCGATTCCCACCGGGTAAACGCGCCACAAGCGCCAACGTCAGGCCGACAAGTGATCTTGTTAGAGACATTGATTTTATCATCGTGCTGGCCTATCAATTATGTCCGTTTTCCGAAGAATATCTCCTCGACGTACTTATATCATAGGCACCTTGGCTTTGCGCTGCCTACACCAGATACGTCGCCTGAGCTCTTCACTCTAACCTAGGTACCCACCACCAAGGATCAGCTGGCCAATTGCATACCACACGTATGATAAGAACCTGTCGTCAGATTCTGCCATCGCCATTTTAGATCTACATACTTAGATGTGCAAGCCAAGTCTCGTTGTTCGTATATGAACCCTCCACTCATTGGCTAAGCCGCCGGATAACTATACCTGGATGCGCCCCAGCGGCTCGGTTCGGTGGTCAGCTTACCGACAAGCCCCATATTTAGCTGCGGGATCGCTCCCTTTTGGGACGATACGCTCTGTTATATCTCCGTGTATGCAGTAAGTGCAGGGTGTATTTATTTCTGAGGTACGACCGTCCAATCAACGACACCAAAAGGCACATATTAGTTCGTGATTGATCGAGACTCCTTGCGCTACAACATGCTCGCAGGAAAGTTCACTTTTTTCGCCCCTGTCGAGCATCATGCAGAACTTCAAAAATACTTTCTCGCTCCGCGACCGTGAACAAATTATGGCGACCCTCGTCCGGTCCAGTTATATAGTTCACGAGTTTGCTCAGCCGTGCAATGTGTCGGTCGTCGCTCCCTCGCATTAAGTTTCTTCCTTCGTTTCACATGTAATGGCTGAACTCGACGATCGCTTCGTCAAGCGCGGGTACTGGGTTGACTGGAGCAAAGGTCCGGTCATGGGCCAGACGTATACCGTCGACGCCCAGACTGGCACACTCATCGTTGCAGTCCTTACCATCCTGGCGTCAGTAGCAACAGCGCAGTTGTGGAGTCTGCTCACATTCGTGCTCCACCAGGTTCGCGCGCACGGAATGGGTTCAGAAGGACTGTTCTGGCAGCAACAGGCTCTCCTCCGGACGATGCCAACACCAGCCGCGTTTCTGGCAGACTCTTTCAAGTTGTCCTGGGCTTGGAGGTCGAGGGTCAGTCATTCCGTGCTGCGGTCGCTTCCGGTTCTGGCATTCGCTCTTTTCTTTACGATTGGATCGATCGCTGGTGGGATCTCTACAAGTTATGCGGTCGATAACTCGAATATTGAAGTACTGGTCAATAGTCCTTTCTGCGGGTAAGCAAACATACGGTACTCTCACTTCACACACACTGACTTTGTACTCGCGCTTTAGGCGTATCAACCACACGAAAATATTCTCTGGAAACCAGCAGGGTGTTAGCATACTGGCTACCCATGGCGACTCCATCCAGTCTTACGCTACGAACTGCTACCAGAACGGTTCCTCGCTTCCAGCAGTCTGCCGGAATACTTTCCACCGACCGAACATCACCTTTAGCGCCGAGCCTGCCCCTTGCCCTTGGAACGAAACCATGTGCAGTGGCGAGGGCTCAAACGCGATAGTTATGGATTCTGGTGTCCTGGACATGAGGATGCATTTTGGTCTGAACATTGCGGAGAAGGACACTGTAAAGCTTCGTCGAAGGACGACTTGCAATGTTTTGCCGCGAGAAGGTCATATATTCAAGAGACCTGCAGAGTATCTGAATCGTGGGAACCCTGCCGAACGGTGGACACTCGAGTATGGCTCCTGGAAAGGCGTGCCCGAGTATCAGCGTCCTGAAGTCACATTCAACGTGCCATCTGTTCTTGTTGAACATCAGATGTCGTACTACACAACGTAAGTGGTTCCCAACCACTACAGGTTGACGCATGGAGACAACTTCTCTGACTCCGTCTCTACGCAGTGCCATGATGTCCTACATCCACAGCGATTCTGTTAGCGGCTTCATCACTCCCCTCCCAGAAATGAACCGCTCAGACGCAGACGTCGCCCTCATCTCCGTGTGGTCCAATGCCGTCGTCTACGAAAAGCCCGTCGAGGACCCTCTCTTCGCAGCACACCGTGTCGAAGAGCGCCAACAATCGTCCGGCAAAAACAAAACACTCTACTGGTCCGATCACTACGCTGGGTTAGTCGGTTGTGCTCAACAAGTAAGCCTCTCGCGTCGTGAACCGCTCTCCAGTCCTACCTCGATCTAACATCTCCATCAAGATACAGTTCTGCTACCCTCGCGCCGACCAAGAAGACTTCTGCACGCCCCTCGGCCCCGGCCCCGCCCCCGACACACCCACAACCTCGTACCCCTCCGCTACACCCCTCCAATCCTCCCTCCTCACCCTCCTACAATCAATCTCGCGCATCACAGACCTAAATCGCAGTCCACAACTCGGCAACCTACGCGCCAGCAAATCCATCATGGTCGGCATATCCCCCGGGCTCCCCGCGGACCAGTGGATCCGCGAAGTCGCCGCCTGGGAAGCCTTCGTTTGGACGGGGTACCAAACGCTACTCAGCGCGTCTGTGATCGGACCCGGCGTCTTCGATGCGAATGGCGAGAGCTACCGCGATGAGCCGACGATACCGGGCGACAGGATGCTCTGCCAGGCGTTGAGGATGCGGAAGGCGGGTGGGTTTGCGAACGTGAATGTGTTTGCGCTTGTGTTTTTGACGACTGTCGCTGCGGTTGTGACGTTTCTCAATGTTTTCATCCTGAGATTTTGTATTTTCTTGTCGAGGTTTCGCAGGGCGCTTGCACCGCGGATTGAGCGGTGGGTGCAGGATGGGGTGTTTCACTTGCAGAGGAGGGCGTTTGAAGCAAGGGGTGAGGGAACGTGGGTGGATTTGGAGAAGGAGATTCCGGTTACGAGGGTTAGGGAGATGTTGGGTGACTTGGGTGTCGCATCACATACCTTGAAAGAGGAAAAGAGCGTGGGGAGCTTTGAGACAGGGGAGTCGAGCGGAGACAGAGGGAAGAGAAAGGTTGTCAGGGAAGAGGGATATGAGATGAAGGAAGATGTTGAGTGGAGAAGGTTCAGAGTGAGTGTTGGGCGGGTGGATACAAGTGCTACCCTCGTGGATGGTGATGCGGGAGCAGACGAAATAGAGAAGAACGGGAAGGGTGGGAAATTGTAGCCCTCAGATCTGTCTGATTGAGGATGGAACAAGCTTCGGGTTTTGACGCCAAACTTGACGGCCTTGCAACCTGCCCTGATGCAAGGAATATCAATTTGAACAGCGTTGAGCGTAGCCATGTAATCAAGACGTGAACGGTGGGTAGCGAGCAGCCGATAATGTGACCAGCGTACGCTAGCTGTGGTCTAGCGGTTTTGGACAGATAACAGGTACATAGGTACCACGTTCATGGTTGTGCATTACCTTCTTACCTTTCCTGTCTTCGTTCTGTTGCTAAAATCAGTACGCCTACACAGATAGATAGGCAGCAATAACAGCACAAGGAACACACAGCAGACTTGATTATCCGCAGTCGCACCGGTCCTACCATGCTTTCTTGCCCTATTGTCGAACGCCACTACACGCCTTGATACCAGAGCTTTCCTCACTTCTGCAAAAGTTAATCAAACTGCCGCAGGCACCAAAAAAGCGCTGCTAGGTATGACTACAGTTGAGTGGAGGTAGGGGACCTCCCCCCGACAAAAAAGTAAATGCATCGAACGGGACTCGAACCCGTGCCTGAAGCAGACTCGTCAGAGAACGATGGGAAGCTTCAATTCTACCCCTAAACTATCGATGCGTAAAGAAGATCCTGCGAAAGTAGATCTCTATCTCGGATTTGTGTCATCCTTTTGGGAATGATGATAATGTTGGCATTTGGAGGGTATATATAGCCATACGACAAGCCCTTTAGACAAGCACGATTGCGCAGGTGGAGGTAAGGTGTCATCTTCGGCTGCGTGGTGGGGCGCTGGACGGATTGTGGGGAACAGAGGGGTAAGCACTTGCGTCGGCAATGACGTAGCGATACCGGCGGGCGGGCGAGCGAGCGAGCGAACCAAGAGCTACTCCAAACCAGTCGACTTGAGATTCGGTAACAACGCTAGCATGGCAGACTCGGACAGATAGACTGGGTTCGATGTCAAGAGGAGCGCGAAAGTCTGGTGTAAGAGGAACGGCAAACAACAACTTCTGGTACAGAGAAAAAACTCCGATGGTAGATCCCGTGACTTTGGTGCAGGGAGCCGATATCAAGGCTGGGGCATGGGCCCAAGTGCGCCGACAAGTTCAAGGATACTCTTACTCTCTGAGATTTAAGTTGTATGTAATGAGACATCAAACTAAGTTCTCGTAAAATGCCTACTGGTTTGCTCTATCATATTGAAAAGTCATTAGGAAAACTCTGAAGCATACAAAACGTTCAAATGCACCAGATTTGTGGAGGCGCATCGCTATATGAAGCCACTTGTATTCTATATATTCGGGATATCACCAAATCTGTTCTCAGCCCGTCCCATCATCCTCATTCTTGAGAAACAGCTCAACGACCCTCGCCATCTTCTCCTTCCGCACTGCCTTCTCCTTCTCCCTCATCTTTTCAGCACTCACCCCCCTAAACACCACATCCGCGAACACGGTTGCATAATTCCGTTGTATCAACTGCCTCAGCGCTATGTTGGGGACCTTACTCAACGTCCTTCTTCTGACCGGCGCTCTGGGCGACGCAGGCAGCTCCGTGCTCGCACGCGGCGTCGACGGTTTTGCCTTCCCCGCTTCCGCGATCTGGTGCGTGATGTTTTGCAGCATGGAGATGAGCAGGAGGAACGTGGCGTTGTGGTTTGGGGCGGTGGCGAGGATCTCGAGTACCCACATCTTCTCGTCGTCGCGGTCAAGCTGCTGTTTGGACTTTTCGCGTGTGGCGATGCCTTCTTCGAGTTTCTCCCAGAGGCTCTTGGTTATCACGCCATCTTGCAAGGTCCGTAGGAAGAGGAGGAGTGCTTCCGCAACATACTCCGTTTTCTCCCTCGGCGGCATGCCACCCGGAAAAGCTAGATCGAAAGATTCGTCACAGTCAAGCGATTCAATGATACCTCCCATGACTTCATCGTCCTCTGAGTCCTTGACCTGGCTGACAAACGGCCATGCAGCGTTGTGCTGCCATGGAGCGTTCTCCTTGTTCCCTTCATGACCGGTCATGTCCCACTCGGCAAGTGCGCGCTCCGTCATGTCTTCTAGTGAATCCGTCAGCCGAAATATCTCCCGGGGCACCGACCATCTCACTTCTCCATCCGGCTTCTGGCCCTGCAGCTTGCGGATGCCACCCTCGGGGATCTTGATGAGTTTATCGACCGCGCGCGTGAGGGATGATGGCTGCCAATGCGCCCGTAGAGGAAGGAAGTGGTCACGGCCATTTTCAACTCGTAGAACAAGGACATCGTCTAAAGACGATGTGCCTTCGTTCAGTAGCCGAACCATGTCTGGGCTGTCTACTTTCAGCTTCAACTCGGCATTACACACATCTGCAGGTTGCAATGTATATTGCGCATCCATCTCATCTGAAGCTGATTTCGAGGCCGTGTCAGGTTCCCGCTCAAATCGAACCTTGAGCCAGGGCGGGAATGCCCCTTCTGGCTGGTTCTGGTCGACTGGACGCATGGCAAAACCGAACGTAGCTGGCACTCTGCCGGTGTTTGCGATGGTGATGTTCCGACGTCTTGACTTGCCATATGAAACATCGCCAAAGTCGACTCCATCAAAGTTGCTGTCAGCTGTATCTTTGTCTTCAAAAGTATGCGTAGAGTGATCGACTACCAGAGCAACGGACGGGCGGCCTTCGTTCTCTTGACGGTCAAGTTCGCGGGCAACTTCCTGGTGTATTGCGGTCTTCAGCTCTGGCATTACTGCGTCGTACTTTAATGAGAACACAGCTTCTAGAGGTTTATGATCCGACGATATGACTCGCAAATGCGATGTATAGGACTCCAAGAGGAACTCGTCCGAGAAGCCTGCCTTAGTCGGGACGATCTCGGGCTCTGGATCCTGCGATTCGTCGTATTCATCGTAGCTGTCGTTCTTATCACCATCGGTATCGGGGTCATAGTCGTACAAGACGTCGTCATCTTGATCAAGCCCTTGCGCTTTCATTTCTTCATCCTTCTTTTGAGCTTCCTCTCGTTCTTTCGCTTTGAGATTGTACTGGTTTCTTGAAGCCCTGGTGCGATACAGGATGCGGTCGCACCAACTGGGCCCACGTCGTTTCTCGCTAGAATCGAAAACCCCGACTTTACCCACATCGTACTTGTACGTTGGAAGGAATCGAATCGGACCTTCTTCCCAGCCATCATGGAACGCTTTGCCGGCCTTTTGCTGCTGTCGGAGTTCGTCGTGGGGCAGGAGGGAGTTGATGGTAGTATGGAGGCTTGCAGGGTCTAGTTCAGGTGGAACAGGAACAGCATCTTCGGAATCTCGTTTCGAGGCATAACCAGAGTCTCCAGAGATGGAAGTATTGTCCTTTGCATCCTCGTGGTCGTGAGCCAGGGTGTGTACAGTGAGCAGTCGTCGCACATCATCTCCTGGAATCCCTTCCAAGCGATAGTTAAGATCTCCAAACCAGAATGCAAAGTCCTCGTCGCCTATACCCTCTCCCTGACCCTGATTCAAGTCCATGGCGTCGGTGATGGGGTCGAAGCGTGTGCGACTCGTGATCTGGCCCGCATCCCAATTCCTGCGCTCCAGTGAAGTTTTGTCAGCACCTGCAGCGAGATGTGAGTTCACGAAAACGAGTCTGGTGGTCTCGCCTAGGACAATCCTAGCCGTCACGGCGCCTTTGTTTCCCATGTATCCCATGAGGCCTGTGCCAACACTGGTGGTGCTGACTGACTTGACATGGGGGTGGACCTCGGGGGAGGCATAGATGAGAAGCAGCAAGCCGATCAGTTGCTGTTCTGCAACAAGCTGATAGCCATTAGGCAAGGCCGTAGCAACGCTCGCTTTCCATTTGTTGGCGACACTGGGATCTGTGTACGGCCGCAATGCTTCAGTAGCAGACGATATGTCTACCACTTCCTGCAGACCCAACACGTAGAGTCCGACTTCTTCGTTGCTGGCGACAGCGGCTGTGTCATTCTTAGGCACGGTAGGCGCAAGCGATGTTTGTCGTGCTTCTTGTGCCGATATGCTTTCTTTGGCCGAAGCATCGGATTCTCTGACACCGAGACCAGCTAGCGATTCCTCGATGCCTTTTCCGTCCACGAACCAGGCACCAATGTCCTGCTCCACGCCCTTCAGGCCCGCCGTATTCCAGGACCCCACTTTGATGCGCACTTGGCGTGGTCGTGTGTACTCGGCCCTGCGCGCGTACAGAGCTTGCGTGAGGTTTTGATGAGTCGTGGAGATCTGGGTCTGGCTGGCATTGCTATGAGGAAACGCCCCAGGAATGTTTGCATCCAGCCGCTCCGAGGAGACGGAACTTGCGCTTGAAGCCATGGCGATGGTGGGGAGGGGCAGGCGGCGCTGTGTCAAAGGTCAGAGAAGGATGTTACCGGCTGTCCATGGTACTGTGGTCGGCCGCGTGTCGAACGGAGTGAATGCTCGACGGACGCTGTCCCTCGTCTATGACATAGCAAGTATTTCTCCGGCGATGACGACGGCGTGGCAGTGCTCGTCGTTGAGCCACCTGGCCCAAGCTCTCGAGCATCTGTGGTGGTGCAGTCGCTATTTCCTAGGGTACCGAGGAGCTCCCCGCGCCAACAACAACACGGTGCGTCAGAAGTCACCAACCACCAGCACCAACATCTCTGCCTTGCGCGCCATGGGTCCAAACAAGGGGAGGTCGCGCGCGCACCACTCGCAACCACAGGCGCCGCCGCAGCCTTCGGACTACGAGACCGATGCCCCCCCGAACATGGACTACCCACCGCCGCCGCCCGGGCGCTCCAACGAGGAGCTCAACCTCTCTGTCATTCGCCGTCACTATGCCCATGTCAACGCGGTGCATTATGTCGCCCCATATGCCGTCCTGTATGCCTTCAGTCTGGAGACGGAACAGTGGGAGAAGGTTGGCGTTGAAGGTAGTCTCTTCATCTGCGGACTGGTGCCCTCGGCCGTCGGGGCCGAGCGTTACGGTGTCGTTATCCTAAACCGCCGCAGTATGGACAACTTCTACATGGAGATCACAGGCCCCGATGGGTTGGAGTTCACGGACGAGTACATCATCATGCAAGGCGACCAAGTATACGGCCTATGGATCTTCTGCGAGCCGCCTCCGAGCAGTACCGCCAATACCCGCACTGAGACTGTAGCCAAAATCCAGGAACTAGCTGTAAGTACTGCTTAGCCAGAGCAGCGTACGTATGCCGGACGCTTACTGACATGCACTGACCAGGCACGTGTCCAAGCCAGCCAGGCCGCCGTGGACCAGACCAGCGATGCCTCCAGTATAACTTCCGACCAGGTACAGTCTTCTGTCCCCATGGGACGGCAACTGTCACTTCGGGAGCTTTTTGGACAACAACGTACACAAGACGCAGCCTGGAGCGTCGTAAACCACCACAACACACAAGCACTACACCAAGGCTACCAACCCACACCGAGCCCTCACTCGGGCCAGCCTGACATGCTCAATCAGCTCTTCATGCGAGCGCATCAAGACTATAACAACTTCGGCTAATTAATCCCATGCAGCTAGGTTGCTATACTTCAAGCTACGCTTCGAGTTCGGACGAAGTGATAACGCCCGAGGAGGGAAGCCTGGTGAAAGCAGTCCTAAACCGGTTGAATCCTCCGCCCCGGGGACCTCTTAGTGGCGAAAAGTTGGATCGGGAGTTGATGTTTGCATACTTGACGCTGCAACGTAAAGGGACACCTGACGCGGGCCACTAGCCATCCACGTAACGCCGCTGTCTCCTCGGATACCCTGGATGAGATGCAGTCACATCCCGCAGGTTGGAGAAGTCTATTTTTCATACGGTCTAGGTATGATGCTTTCGCCTTCTCTCGAAATTTTGGCTTTGGCTCGTGGTCTCGATAACAGCGACTGACCATACTCAGCACTACAGACTCGCTGCCTTATTGAAAGCATGTGTTGTTAACGAGCGCGGCCCATGCGCCTCGGACACTTAACGAGGGTTGCGAAGACGTGCAATATCCATGTCTTGTCGTTGGTAGTCATCTGGAGGTCAATTGATGGATCACACCCACGATTGAGATTTGAATGCTTGACTTGGTATTCTCAATTGATATCTTAGCCATAACGTACACACCAACACGTGCTGTGAGCCCAAACGCCATCCCTGATGCTTTGTGATACATCCAATGTACAATGTTTCTTCCTTGTTTTCCAGCTCGTGCAATCCTACACCGACATCCCACGCGCCTAACGCTTCTTGCTGAACTTCTTCGATTCTGCAGCACAGTCAGCATGATCCACACCCCCCTGAGCCGAACCTGTCTTCTATTTCTCCACTTACCAGCAGCAGTCCTCTTCTTCTTCGGCGGCGACTTGCCCCTCGACTTGGCAACGCCCAAATGCTCTAACCAATCTTCCTCCTGCTCGTCCATAACGGAGAAGTTGGGGTATAGCTTCCTCAGATGCGGGATTGTACCTATCCGCGGGGGGTAATAAGACGCGACCGAGGGACCCTTGAGGCGCTGGTGGAGGATACGGCTACCGAGACGGATGCGTTCTGGGTTGAAAGTCGTGGAGAAGACCTTGCATTGGACCTGGCGCGCGTCAGAGGGGGTTGAAGGTTACATCGAATGAGAAAGGGTAGGCACCTTCATGAGGTCCAACACGCGGGCGCGCGAGACGGGGGAGACGGCCATTTTTGGGGGGGTAGATGCACTCGCGATGCGGCGCGATGCGGAGAAGATCTCGGAGGTCTCTGGTGAATGGGGCGCTTGGCGGGCGCTTGGACCACCAAGTTTTGCGACTGGCTGCCCGCATTTGCATTGTCGCAACTCGTTTTCAACCTCGCAATCTCACATTGCTAGCTCACACAGCATGTCTAGCTACGGGGCACAGAAGCGCGGAGGTATGTGATGTGTACTCGTTCTCTTTTTCCAACGCCTGGGTCGTGTTTGCTTGCCAATATTAAAGGCACTTGCGTCGCTGCTTCCACCCGCGTGTCACGTCTTGTTAATGGCACCTGCAGGCGGCTTCGACCACTACAGCAACGGCAACTCGCAGAAATATGCGCGCCCGGATAATTCCAATTTCCATCCCCGAAATCCGAACTTCAATGCTCATCAGCCTCGGAACCACAACTACCCCACCTCTCAGAGTGGTCCTCCTACGAGCAAGGAGCGCAGGGGCGAGACCGCGCACCTTGACTATATCGACCGCCTGCCTGATAGCTCAAAATGCGAGCCGTGCAAGCTGGCCAAAGAAGAGGCGGACGCAGGCATAATTGGGCTCCTGGCAAAGGTCGAAGCAGACGAGCAGATGCCGGAGGGCGACAAGGACATACTGCGCTGTGCTGGCGAGTTGCGAAGACTGCTCTCTGCCCGGAACGACAAGAAGCACGCCAAGCAGATGAAACAATTGGACAAGGCACGACCGTTTGAGGGCAAATATGTGATGATCCCAGGATACATCGAGCAGCAGATAGAGAAGGCGAAGTCCCTACCATCTCTTCCACCCATCGAACCTTCGCTAGAGGTACAAGTTTTCACGCACGCTTCCGTTTATGAGTCAAAGGCCAAGGCGAAAGGTCTCACCTCTACCGACGACCTCACCTACGAACGCCTCGAATTCATCGGAGATGCATATCTCGAAGTGATAGCCACACGGCTGATTGCGCATCGCTTGCCGCACCTGGATGTTCCGTCACAAGCACATTTCCGCGAACAATTGGTCAGGAACGACACATTGGCAAAATTCTCAAATGACTACGGCTTAGTCGATCGAATGAAACATGCATCGCACTTGAAACCAGGCACAGCCTCCAAGGTCTGGACCAAGATAACAGCCGATGTGTTCGAAGCCTACGTCGCCGCCGTGGTGCTCTCGGACCCCGTCGAGGGATTTCTCACGGCTGAGAAATGGATGAACCAGCTCTGGGCTGAGCAGGTGCTAGAGTACCGTGCGCCTATTCTTGTTGAAAATGTCAACGCTCAAGAGGAGCTTCATAGGCTCATCCAAATGAACCACATCAAGGTCACTTACATGGAGGAGAAGCAAATGGAGATGACGGCAACCGGTGTCCAGCAATATTACCAGGGTGTCTACTTGACAGGCTGGGGTTACGAGAATGAGTGGCTCGGCAGCGGTGTGGGGAGGAACAAGTCACAAGCTGCCGTGAACGCCGCGCAGGATGCGTTGACAAGGAACAACAACGCACTGCAGACAGCTACGAGCAAGAAGAAAGAGTTTCTGGCACACCAGCAAATTGAGCGAGACCAGAAGCGAGCGGACCTGCGAAGACAGGCAGCTGCCGGCGACGAGGAGGCAATCGCCGAACTGAGACGCATCATCAGCAACGATATTCGGATCAAGACGAAACTAGCAGGCAAAGGAGATGAAGCAGCGGCAGCCACGCTGAAGGAGCTTATTGCCGAAGAAGCAGCTCTTCCTAAGGAGGTTGATTCGAAGGACGGAGACGGACGCAACGCCCAGAGTCAGATTAGTGGCAGGGCCGATGAGACCAAGGGCTATACTCAATTTCAGAACACCGCCAATGGAAACCCCAACACGACTCCTTCAAAGAAGACCAAGAAGAATAAAGACGCCATCAGAGAAGGCTCAAAAACTACAAAAGACACCAAACTGAGCTCAGAGGACTTTCTTGCCAATATCATGGCAGGAGGCAATACCGAGTTGACGGCAGCGAAAGATACCCGGAAGGACGGCAGCTCGTGGCTAGAGAAGGAGCAAAAGAAGAAGGAGAAGGAAGAACGGAAGAAACAGGAGAAGATGGCGAAGAAGGACAAAAGGGCGAACGCAGCGTAGCTGTCTGACATTCACCTGAGCCTTCAGTAATTAGGATGGAAATCGGAATTTCAGTAGTGATGCCCTTGGCGCATGAGGACGTGTGACGTCGTAAGCATATGCAGCATGGAATCGAATAATATCACCAATTCCACAATCAATTCTCGAAACTAACAAGTCTGGTTTGACTCGCAGATCGCGTTGGGGGACTGACCCCGCTTGCACACCCTTGTCTGGACCTCGGCCTCCGAGGCTCCTACTAGCTAGCTCCCCGTACCTCACCATTGCAGACCATACTTGGTGTATAACAAACATTCCAGCATGCTTGTTTCTTCGCATTGTCACTTCATCTTCGCTTAGCACTTGTTAGACATGGCAGCCGCGGCTGCAGCTTCTATCGCTGGTGTTTCCGCACTTGCAGCATACCTCGACGCGAAGTATCACATTGGACAGGACCTCAGGATCAAGCGGAGGGTCGGCCAGGCTGCGAAGTACTATCAAGAACTAGGTAAAACATTTCATTATTCTTCGAAACTCAAAACGGCGAAGCTGATGTATGATCCAGTCAAGCACAACCGCCTCTCCCTCTGGTACGCCTTCACACCTCACGTGACCGCGCACCCAAACGAAGAGTGTATCTGGTCCCGCACAGGCTCCTACACCTGGCAGCAAGCCCATGACCGGGCCATCCAATGGGCGCGTTTCTTCCTCTCCAAGGGCGTCAAGCCCGGCGACCTCGTCGGCGTGTACCTCATCAACAGCGTTGATTTCCCCGTCATCTGGCTCGGCCTGCTGTGCATCGGGTGTGCGCCCGCACTGCTGAACTACAATCTCAAGGGCGATGCGCTGGCGCATTGCGTCCGGATCAGCGGGGCGAGAGTGCTGCTTGTCGACTCGGACGGGGAAGTGAATGGTAGGTTTCACGAGGTGAGGGGCCGGCTCGAGGAGGAGATGGGGGTCGAGGGAACGGTGGTGACGGATCAGTTCCTCGCAGATTTGTACAAGACGAGCGTCAATGTGCCGGGCGATGAATACCGCGCGGGCGTCAAGGGGAACAGTCCGACATGCCTGCTGTACACCTCTGGGACCACGGGATTGCCAAAGGCAGCGCCGTTCCTCACAAGCCGGTACCACGAGCGCGGGAACCCGGCGAATCCGCCGTTCGGGCAGACTACGAGCGACAGGTGGTACTGCAGCATGCCGCTGTTCCACGGCACGGGCGGGCTGTCCATAATGTCCTCCCTGACCTTGGGCCTCAGCGTCGCCGTCGGTCGCAAGTTCAGCGTCAGCACCCACTGGGACGACATCCACGACTCGGGCGCCTCTGTCTTCGTGTATGTCGGCGAGGCTGCGCGGTATCTGCTCAATGCGCCTCCGCACCCGCTCGAGCGGAACCACCCGCGACTCAGGGCCATGTATGGCAATGGCATGCGGCCGGATGTCTGGAGCCGGTTCAAAAAGCGATTTGACGTCCCGCAGGTCATTGAATTTTTCAACTCCACAGAGGGTGTCCTCAGCATGGTGAACTGGAGCCTGAACGGGTACACGCAGGACTGCGTGGGGCGGCACGGCGCGATCCTCAGGCACGCCCTGCGCGACACGTACGTCCCTGTTGCCATTGATACCGAAACGGGGAATATCCTGCGCGACCCAGCCACTGGATTTGCCCGACGCAACGCGTACGACGAGGGCGGCGAGATCCTGGTCAAAGTGCCGTCAGAGGCTGCGTTCGCGGGCTACGTAAACAACCCCGCTGCCAACGCAAAGAAATTCGAGCGCGACGTGCTGGTCAAGGGGGACCTGTACTACCGGAGTGGCGACTCGCTGCGGCGGGATGCCGATGGGCGGTGGTTCTTCCTCGATAGGCTGGGCGACACGTTCCGCTGGAAGTCGGAGAACGTGTCTACAGCGCAAGTCGCCGAGGTTCTTGGTAAATACCCTGGCGTCGCGGAGGCTACGGTGTACGGCGTTACGGTTCCCAACCACGATGGGCGAGCTGGGTGCGCAGCAGTTCTTCTCGCCGATGGTGTCACGGTGCATAGTTTCGACTGGAAGGCGTTCCTGGAGTATGCGAAGGGAGAGCTGGTGAAGGAAGCGGTGCCAGTGTTTGTGAGGGTAGTCGGGCAGAGCAGTCGGACGGATAACGAAAAGCAGAACAAGGGGCCGTTGAAGGCTGAGGGCATTGAGGTGAGCTCGTTTGGGGAGAAGGTGGTGGGTGGGAAGGGGGATGTGATGATGTGGTTGGGCGGTGGTAGGGGCACGTATGAACTCTTTGGGGCGAGAGAGTTGGAGGATGTTAAAGGGGGGAGGGCGAGGCTGTAGGTACTGAATAGGAGGAATGTCGACGAGAAATATCCATCAAAACACAGCTCCTCTTACGGCATCATCCTACATTCAATGAGTACCAGACCCGAGATGCCGAATCCTAATCCAAAATCTCTCGAACAAGGCCCGCAGACCATGCATCTGCTCCTCATCGGGTGACGGATCATTCTTGTCTTGTCTGACAACATCCTCTGCGAGATGGTCCGCTTCCCGAATATCTTCCACGCTTGGGCGTCTTTTGGGTGTCTCGGATTGCAGGACAGCGGCAGACGCTTTGTCGTTTGATTCGACTGCAGCTTCTTGCGATTGTGTATCTGGACTTTCTTTGGAGAATAAGGACAGTCGATCAAGATCCACGCGGCTCGTCATTGGGTGATCTCTGTGCTTCTTCAGACAGTATTCTCCCCGTAGCCTGACCATCGTAGTATGCATTCGCTGAAGAGTCTGACGTAGGTGCGCAGTCTGAGCGGGTGTGTACTCGGCAAGATCAGGCACGGTCCATTGGTCGTACAGTCTGCCGTGGGTAGCAGGTGTTTCAGGGCCTCCGTAACAACTCAAGAATAGGAAACAGAGGAAGCAAGCGCTCTTTGAAGCGCCTATGATCCGCGGTCGGCGCGTGATGACCTTCTGTGTGGATGAGACTTCGAACTCTCTTCTAGCTTCTTGTTGTGCGAGGTGTGTGATAAGTTGGACTTCGGCATGCACATAACATGGCATTGGGCGGCCTTGTATTGAGGGTTCGTTGATCACAGACACGTATGGCTGCACCCCTTCGATTTCGAGCTTGACCGGCGGTAGATCCTTTGGTCGAGCTCCAGAGATTTGGCGGTGTATTCTGCATATTGACATTGCCATGCGCCAGTAAGCACCCGTCTTCTCCACTTCACCAATGTACTTATTTCTCAGCCACAGCCCAGCATCGAGCTCGCATTCACCCAGCAGATGCTTGAACGGTACTCTCCCATTGTCCGTAGTGACATTGAAGCAATCTCTCGCTATCGTTTCCAGCTGCCGCACCACATGGTCGGAGCCTTGCTCAATCTCATCGACGGTCAGGCTCTCAAGCAATGCCAGTAACTTTACGTTCAACGAAAGCCCACGCCTGACAAGCTCGTTACATAAGGCAGGTGGCTTCCACTTATCTTGTGGTCTCGATTTAGGCATCCGCATGAACGCTCGCGCCAATTTATCATCCGGGTTTGTCCGTGTTCTGCCTTTCTCGCGGAAAATGGGTGGGTGTCCGACAGCCTTCCGGACGCGTTGGTAGATGCGGAGCCTGTTGAGATGGACGATCTTGGCGAAGACGTTGCTCACCGTCTCGCCTTCGGATGTGGAAGCTGACTGACAATGCCATATTTCTGCTAAGCTGCCCTTGAGCTCTTCGCTGACGCCCTCATTTGCGGCTAGCCAAAGCTTCAGTCCTGTCAGGTGGCCATTAGCATCGGCGCGCTCCTCGATACATGCTGCCGTGACGCTGAATACTGCCTCTTTCGATGCGGCGAGTAGCGCGAGATCGTTCGCTAGTCGGTTTTCGATATGTTCCGACAAGATGTATTGATCTCGGCTCTCAGACCGTGGCGGGGAAAGTTGCACATAGTCGTCAATGCGGGGTGCTCCTGGGGAAGGAGGTAGGCCGGTGTGTGCATCCCAGGGACATTCACCCGTCGCTAATGCTAAGTCGACTGCTGCTTGTCGGAAGGTCGTCTCGTCCTGCACAGACGTCCATATCGACCTTTCGGTAGGTGCCGTCCTTATCTCTTGGCGGACCAACGCTGGCGCAGAATCTCCTTTCATGGTGGCCGAATCCTCGTCTCCCATATCGAGCATCCTCAATTGGACATCGCTAGCGAGCTGGTTGAGTTTTTCTCTGCTGTGGGTCGGATGATCGCAATGCGAGACTCAGGCCTGGGCTGAATGGAGGCCGCTGTGCTGCCGCAGGTGAACGGCGCTCTCGACCTTTACAAGGCGGTTCTCGACGGACACCTACAATACACCCATGCTTGCAACGGCTATTGACCCCATGAGGTTGTCTGGTACCTGAGATGGATCTGCAATGACCTCATGCCGCCTAATCCTTGCAAGCGCCGAACCCCACGTACGGCGGGGTACTCGTGCTGGACCCTGCGAGGAAAAAAACCTAGTGCATGTATGACCAGACACACAACACACAAGTACACGTCCAGTCTCCCAAATACACCATGACCGACAAACTCCGTGTCCTTCTCGTCGGCAACGGCGGCCGCGAACACGCCATCGCCTGGAAACTCGCCCAATCGCCTCGTGTTGAGCACATCTACGTTGTACCCGGTAACGGCGGCACCGCATCCTCCGCAAACACCACAAACGTCCCGTCAATCAAGCAGGAAGACTTCCCCGCACTCGTACAATTCGCGAAGGAGAAGAACATCAACCTACTCGTCCCCGGTCCCGAGGCTCCCCTCGTCGCGGGAATTGTCGACTACTTCGAGAAGCATGGCGACAAGAGCGTGCGGTTCTTCGGGCCGAGCGAGGCAGCTGCGAGGATGGAGGGCAGCAAGACGTTCAGCAAGGACTTCATGAAGAGGAACAACATCCCCACCGCGGCGTATGAGAACTTCAGCGACTACGAGAAGGCGAAGGCGTACTTGGACTCGATAGATCACAATGTCGTGATCAAGGCATCAGGGCTTGCAGCAGGCAAGGGTGTTTTAATCCCACAGACTAAGGAAGAAGCACACGCTGGGCTCAAGGATATCATGCTGGACAGGGAATTCGGCGCCGCGGGCGACGAGGTTGTTATTGAGGAGTTCCTCGAGGGCGATGAGCTGTCTATCCTAACTTTCTCAGACGGCGCAACGATCAAGTCGCTGCCCCCTGCACAAGACCACAAGAGAATTGGGGACGGAGACACTGGGCCAAACACAGGTGGCATGGGCACATACGCACCCACGCGCATCGCACCGCCTGAGGTCATCGAGGCGGTTCATAAAGACATCCTCCAGCCAACCGTTGACGGCATGAAGAAAGAGGGCTATACATTCAAGGGAGTTCTCTTCACTGGCCTGATGATGACAAAGCAAGGTCCGAAGGTGCTGGAATACAACGTCCGGTTTGGTGACCCCGAGACTCAGAGTTTGCTCGCGCTCATGGAGAGTGACCTCGCGGAAGTCATGGTTGCGTGCGCCGAGGGAAGACTATCGGAGGTCGATGTCAAAGTGGGGAATAAGTCCGCGGCTACGGTCGTAGTAGCGGCGGGAGGGTACCCTGGTTCATATGCAAAGGGCACGGTTATGACGCTGGATCAGGTACCGGAAGGTATGCGCTCCCTTACTCAAACAGCCGTCCTTTTTTAAACGAAATCATGTGCTAACTTTGAACAGATGTGGTCCTCTTCCATGCTGGAACCTCACTCATAGACAACACGCTCAAGACTGCAGGCGGTCGTGTCATTGCATCAACAGCGACAGCAGCCACGCTGGAAGAAGCTGTTGCGAAGGCGTACAAGGGTGTTGACTGCATACACTTCGATGGCATGCAGTACCGGAAGGACATCGCTGGTCGGGCACTGAAAAAGTAGAGGAATTGTATATACCAGGTTGGGTTGCGTAGAGAAAACTGTGGCGTCGCGGGACATTTAAAGTACGATCGATTACCTTTCGAAAATCGTTTTGACGTATATGAGGCTGGAGCGTTCGCCGTGACCGACAGCGATTTCTTGTAGTATGCGTTCTACTACACCATCTTGTGTTTCGGACTAACATGTTCGTTGCATGGACAAGGAACAATGGCGACTCGACGTCACTGACCAATCAATGTTCAGCTCGTTACGGGGAGAGCCACTGGGTGAGTGAACGCTAGTGCCACACCATTCTTTTGAAATACCTAATCACAAGCGGCACGATGCCTTGGGTCAGCTCAGACGTGGAAGCTCGGGTCGCTAGTTTGGGCTTGAGATGGTGGCTGGAAGCTGACCTTTGGAGCGACGAGAGCCACCGCAATACTTGGCTCCAACGATCAGGTCAAGAAGTTCGAAGAGGTGGACAAGGACGAGCTGATTGAGAAGACACTTGACGAGGCTGTAGCGCTCAGTCTCCAGCGCGATGCTGTCGGCGCCGGCATCGTGAGCTGGTAGGTTGCGCCGTACAAGGCTCAACTCGGAGTGTCTTCCCTACAGCGAGATGAGAACAAATATTTTCTAGACATGCAAACATCTTGAATCGCTGGTTTCTGGTTTGCTTCCACACAGTGTGCGCATGGTGACTGGTGGCAGAATCCGCGGTACCTAACAATGCAGTCTGATACGGATATCAGTGGTAGTTTCTCGACGGCTGTGAAGAGCTAGAAAAGTTCCAAAATGTGCAGTCTGCCCGGCGATACCAACACTAGCTATCAAGGGCGTCCATCTTTGAAGCATTGTTAGTGGGCGACACCTAGTGACCGTTCTTCGGAGCTGCTGGCCGTACACCACAATGTAGGGAGATGTTCATCTGTGAGAGGCATCTAATCAGTTACTCTGTCGGCAGTTCTCAGGTTCACGCTGCTGAAACCAAAAGCTAATGCACCGTAGGTATTGATACCACAAAATCACATTGACATAGGTTTTTGCCTCTATTACAATATCCGCAACAGGCCTGATCCATCACAGGAGCGTAGATATGGCATCCTTGCGAAGTGGATAAGGTCTACCTATCGTTTTTGGGCTTCTATAAAAACTTTTTGTGGGTGGTGTGTAGCCGATGTGGCTGGCTGCCACGACAGTGCGCGTGGTGGTCAGCCCGCCGAAAGGAGTTCGGCAGGCCTTTCCACCCCAGGTTACGGGCCGGGCCTAGATCCTGGCCTTAGGGTAGTCTTTCTGCATGTAAGAAGTGGACATGAGAGAGCAGTCCTAGAATACTAATGTGTGTCCGTTTTCCCTCTTTGTTGAGGATACGCGCCAATAGAGGCCGGGTGAAGGGGCAGGTGGAAATTGGATGAAGCTTGACGCGATACTCTCGCCTGGTGTCGATATGCGTAGCTCTGCATGGTGGAAGAAAAAGGCGGTCAAGCTCGCAAGGACTAGTAGACGTGTGCCGTGAGCCGCATGCGTCGGGGTCAGGAGTGTGCCCCAGTGCCCTCTTGGCTGTGCCCTCTTGCCCCAGTCCTTCAGTGCCCCTCCGTGCAGTGCTCCCAGCATAGCCACCACTAGTCACGCTCGAGTCAAAATTTCACGCTGGACATGTGTTTCCGACAATAAAGCGATCGATAACCTTGAAATCTCATTATTTTTTTTCGACGTGACCGTAATCTTTGCGATCACACGAAGCAGACTGTGAAAAAGCAAAGTCAAAAGCGGTAAACTCAGTGGAAATTTGAAGGGAACGCATTGGGCGCAATTTTATATTCAGAACTCTAGCATCACATAAGAGCTACAATAGTTTGGGTTTACAGCCAGCTTTTCACATTCGCGCACACCATCGGTAGAACCGAGCCCTCAAGGCCTCCCTGCTCGCAAGTATGTCCAGCATGATGAGAGATCCACTCTTGCGACTGACCGTCAGCCATGTAGTGCCGTGTGCGCATAGCAGGTGTCAATTTTTGTCATTTTATACGTGCGTACTGAATGGACGAATTCATTAAGTTGTAATCGTTATGGCTGTTCAACTAAGTCGTGCGTATCAGTGGAATGTTATGGAGGAGAGGCGACGACAGTACAAAGGAGAACATACCCTAGTTGTTCTGTTCCCCGCAATCAAATTGCTTGAGGTGACGATTAAGGGCGTCCCTCCTGCTGAATTCCTTCTTGCAACCATCGACGTTACAAGGGATCTTGAGCTTGTTTCTCTGTTCTGGGGATAGGTGCAATTTGCAATGAAGTTTTTTGTGCCGATTCTTGTTCTGATTGGTGATTGAGATGCCGCACGAGCACGTGTACTTAGTCCTCGCCGAGTTTGACGGTTCCGTGGGTGTGCCATACGATACTACGTCAGAGGAATGAGAGCTTGTATGGCCCACAGTGCTGTTTGCTATGTTTCCATTGAGATGAGGATAAGCATGTGGAAATGGCTGAGGAATGCTCTCATAACCCCCCTGCGAACACATGTACGTAGAGCGGGGTGAAGTGGTGTCCGTTGATATCGTACCGCCACTAGACGAAGTGTCATGTCGTGAAAGTCCCCCACCGGGTGAACCATAGTTATAGTTGTCGAAGGACCCTCCGAGGGTGTCTGGCTCGGCGTAGAATCGTCCATATCCTAGGACAGAATGATTCACGAATACCTGACGTGCCTCGTGTGATGTATGTTCATATGGCATGCCAGCCGCATTGCTGAAACCGCGGGTACACAAGCAGTCGTTGTTCGTGCCATCGGGATGACACATCATGTACAGAGTAGCTTCAACTTTCACGGTTGCTCTGAAATGAAGTAGGTATGATGTTGCGTGCAGTGTTCCTCGGGAAGAGTCGGAGATTCGTGGTCGATAAATCGGCACAGACGATGAGCGACGACGGGACGACCTCTGGGACCTGACAGACCGCCTGTGATTGTAAGACCGTGGCCACTCGCCTCGGCGTTCTCGTGGAGGTTCTGAAAGATTTGAAGACTGCAGTCTTTGAGATATTCCAGTAAAGTGTTGACCCAATTGCTGGACGTGGCTGCGCCAGATCATGAGGTCAGTCTTATGAATAAACCGTATCGTGGTTCTCCATGGTGGAGAGGGTATGTATATCGGCGTGGAAGACACGTAGGCCAACGACATCCATGGTGGACGAACGTGTGACATGCAAAAGCGCGACCAAATGTATCGGAGACGGGTGCTGAACGAATGATGTGCTGAGGTTCCTTGGTAGCGGTGGAGGCGCCATTGTACCAGTCATGCGAGGTGTAATTCTTGGAAGTTGTCTCCACAGCGAGATGTGTCTGTCGCTACAGAGATGTTGAGCCCGTATTCGATATTTGGACGCCTTGAAGGGCATGAAACTTCCGATGATTACGTTGGTGGCTGCTTCCACAGAGCCGTTGGGATGCTGCTCAAGGTCTGGGATATATCGAAACGAGGATCCCGTTGTTGATACGCAACATCGACCACATTAGCCGGGCTAATAGAGCGCAATGGGTAGACCGTGGACCTGCTGCAAGAGATAGCGATGTTAAAAAGGGCAATCGGGTTGGGCAAACCAGAGGACCACAACGCTACTTCCACCTTCCACCCCCTCACTCCACCCCCTCACTCCACCGCTCACCGTCACTTCCCATCTTCTATCCATCGCCAATTACTAGCCATGTAGTTCTTTGGACCCTCAAAAATGAGGTGGTCTTTGCAAGGACGCAGTGCAGACCTTGTCCAAAATGATCGCGAAAAGCCCTTGACCTTGTCATCACCTCCAACTCCACCCATTACCAGGCCCGCTTACCTGCTGCAGCATCGAGGTGGCTCGGGCATCGTGACATGGCGGCAGGCACCGACTTACAGGGTATGGCACCCAACGTCGATAGTTTACTAATCTTTAGAACGGGTTGCGCCAGACAATACCATCTAGGTATTGTGGTCCGCTCCGGCCCTAGTCCCAAACCGGATGTTTGTGTCACTTGGTAATACGTGTGGTAGATCGAAGGGGAGTTAGGGACGCGTCGATATGTCTCTGGACAACATCAAAAAGCCCGACTGATTAAGTCAATTTAGATAACTGGCAAATGACTGTATTGACTTACCACACATTTCAAGGTCAACAACGTGGCCCCTGGTGAATGCTATGACCCTTGTGTAAAAGCAGCTAAGAGTAAGACCAGTAGACTGACGACATACTGTATGAAAGATAAAGTAGGGACGGGGATTTATCAGATCTGTGCTGTTGCAGTATGCCTAGTGAAGGAGGACGAGGAGAGCAAATATAAGGCAGATGTAGAGACTATGTTGGAAGTGCAACTAGGTGCACAAATACAAAATACTCTGCATCACAATGATGTGTGGCTTGGGGAGGGCTTATTAGAAGAGAAGTTTCGAACGCCGCATACTCACCGGATGTTGGTTTTGCCTAGATTTGACGCATTGAGGCGGGCATATAGCAAGTGTATCGTTTGAAAGTAGTCAGCCTTGCATCGATGTCGATAAAGCCTCACGCGCCTGCATTGTCGCTGATGGGTGACAACGAGAACGAGCCAACAATAAGAACGCATGCCGTTCCGAGAGTAAATAGCCCGATGGGGTGAAGATGGTGTGCACCCCGCCCTCTGGCGCAAAGAGGGTGGTATGTCAGGCTGAACCCGCCTATCTAGCGACTTTCAGAACCCCGCGGCGACTTCACCTTCCAAGCGTTATTGTAGGGAGCCACCCAGGAGAAGCAGTCGATATAATAGTCCTGCTAGACAACGCTCGCGCGGACCTCTTGAACGAGAACACGCGTAAAGGTGTCTAGCAAACATCAGTACGAGCTAGGTTATGCAACAACTGATAATCTGCAGGCTGTGCCGCTCCTGCACTCGAACACCAATCGATCAGCTAAGGCCGCGGCTCGTATAAACAACCTTGCTAGCGAGCGGAACACATGTTCATCGTCTGCAAGATGAAGTCCGATGCGTATCGCCTCCTTAGGAATCTTCATTGAAACGAAATTGGTAGCATTTCTCCGTAACAGTACCCACAAGAAGGTAAACTTTGTACGTGGAGAGAACTATCAAGGATTCAAGTTTGCAGTTAAGACTAAGAGCAGGCTGCTTCTGCGGATTTTACAGGTTGGGTTCGTTCCGCGGAGGAAGCTGGTTGAAAGAGCATGCCTAAGCCTCGCCGCCCGCCAAGCGCACGTTCAGAAAAGCAAAAAAAAAACCATTAAGCCGAATTTCTCGGCACCCTGAAGTGGCCGAGAACCATACGAATACCAGGAGACCGTCTTAACTCGGGCCGGAACCCCCTCACTTTGTGTTGGTGGTAACCTGGAACCGCTTGGTAGCATCCCCGCCTCCCCTCTATCACTTCCCACGTTCGTGAATTTTTTGATGCCTCCTCAAGTCATTTTTTCTGGTGAATGCCTTACCACATTCTTCGCATTCCTGATTTCTGATCCCTTTATGACTCATCACGTGATCGTCTAGGATGAGCTTGCGTGTGAAGGATTTTCCACATAGCGGACAAGTGTGCGTCGCCTTTGTTTTCTTGATATGAGTCGAGTTGAAGCGCACTGCAAGATCACTGATTTCGGGATGGAAAGAGCGGGTGTGTCTGCGTATCAATGAGCGAGGACATTCCACATACTGAAGGGGCCATGCACACTTCTCTAGGTCCTTGGAGTTGGCAAAACCCTCAGCGCCGAGACAGTCCGGAACTTCGCATTGAAACGGACGATCGTGTATGTTGACATGGCGCTTTTTGGCCCTGGCTTCCCTGAATCCTTCCGAAAAGTACATGCAAGTTATCTTCGTGCACTTGTACGGTCTTTCGTTGTCGTAGAATTGCTTGAATGTTGCCAGTTCAGTGCCTTTGAGTTTAGAGGCCGTATCCTCTACAAATTTCCTATTGCGATTAAGCGCATATTCGAGGCTCTTGATGCTGACCTTGTGCCGCGCTTCGAAACCTTTTTTCTGAAAGGTGTAGATGTGACTTGTCAACACTACTAGATCCTCGTAGAAGTCCTGCTCTTCAAAGCTCTTGCAGGTTTCTCGACATTCTTCCACGATGTTTTGAGGCTCATTGAAATTTTCCTCGTGGTAATGATCCATGAAGTTGTCGATCGCGTGCGACATTTCTCTGACGAGCTCTTCGGCTTTCGTCCAATCCTGGAGAAGATCTTTGCCAAATTTCACGAATGCGTTCACGTGCTGAAACCATTTTGCGACTGCGTAGTCTTGAAATGCAAACTGTCCCTCAAGCATCATCTTGCGAAGCTCCGGCTTCTCAATCGAAATTTTGGTCTGAAAGCACGGAAACGTAAGATATTGAAGGCATAGAGTGGCAAGCTCACATTCCACGGATGGCTGATGGATATCTTCTGTGGCTTTTGTCAGGTAACTGTGATGTTAGCATACTTTAGTACAAAATGAAGGTATTACGTACTATCGTGCTGTGCTATGAACCAACGAGACACGATTCCCGGATACAGTGACCAGAGAGCCACAAACCTCGTGAATATCTTCGCGAAAGCGTCGATCTTCATACTCGATACTGCGACTTTCGATGTCGATGGAGAGGGCTACTTGGATCTCCCGCCATGCCAGCTGTCGTTGAGCGCAGACCATCCAACCTAAAAGCTTCTTCACTTTCGGCCATTCCACGGCGTGGGTTCTTTTGATGCGCTTTACGATTCTTTCATAACTTTACAGGGTTAGAAGGTTGGACTGACAGATTGATAAGGGAGTAGGCCGTGTCTTCAACTTACGCTTCTTTCAAGCCATCTGGGAAGTTGTTTTCGCTTACAGCGTCTAGTAGATCTCCTCTCGTTGGCTGTTGGAAGAGATTGTCCATGACTAGCTTAGCATATAAGAACATACCTTCAAAGTCAGCCATTAGATCATTGACTCAAAGTAGAGTGCATACCCTTAGCTCGTGCCACGGTCAGATTGTGGAGATATTCTTTCGCTTCATCGTCAAACGGTTCGTGTTTGACCGCAATGCGGTCCACCCAAATGCGAACGTAGTTGTGTATATCGTGTCGATTATCCGTTTCAGACATGGAAACAATGCTGGGTACAATCTTGCTGGAAGACGGGTTGTGAAGAGCTCGTTTTATGTCGCCGTATTCTTGGCTGACCACCATTACACGGAGCTTTCCTGGCTCACTGGTGTCACATTGAGTGACCATTCCGACAAGAAAATCTAGAAGTTGCTTGCGTTCCAATTGCTCACATTCGTCGAGGCCATCGATAATGATAAACATCTTCTCCGGAATCGAGCAAAAGTCCTCAAACAGCTTTTTGGCTCGCTCTATGGATCGAAGCACTGGTTCGCCACTTCCAGTCCGCTTCGTGTGGCAGGGTGGTAACATGTCAGGGTACTGGTCCAGCAATTGATGCATCAGTCCCTTCAAAACATCTACAGCAGTGTTGCATCCTTGACCTTCGTAGTGGCAGTAGAAGTAACTAGTGATGCAGGTAGCTTTCGATTGGCATTCAGAGATAAGACTGGAGGCCAGTATTGTTTTTCCTGTTGACTATTACTTTTCATTGATATACAGCTCAGGTTCAAGAACTATCCTTACCAGCTCCAGGCATTCCGGTGAGCCAGACTATTGGCGTTGTTGGATCTTGGCGATTGATATCAGCATCAAAACTTTCCTTCCCTAGTGGGGACTATGCTCACTATCTGCGTGCATCCAGTCCTTGATTTTTTCATTCTTCACGATCCATTTGGCAGTGTCTTTGTATGTTGCTCTGATCTCGTTGAAACTGGTATGATCTTCTTCCTGTATGGACCCAACTGCGAACCACTCCCTCACTGCTGCTAACTTCTTACCCCGTTCTTCCAGGACCAACTCGTCAAGCCTATTCCTCATCTCTACTATGTCCAGCTGGTAGAGGCGGTATTGTGAAATTGTCGCACGACGTTCCACAAGGTCTTTATGACGAGCAAGACTTTTTTTAATGCCGCCAAATTTGGTCTCAAAATCTTTCCACATGGCGCGAAAGAACTTTCTCCATCCTTTGTACAATGCACTTAGCTGGAATCAGATAGAGGATTTATCTGAACTTACGACCACCAGAGAAGAAACGCATGGCTTGCTGATGGAATTCGAGAATGTCGAGATACATCAGCTCCAAAGCCTGGATCATGTGCGGGTTTTCCTTAAATAACTGCTCATACTCTTGCAGTAGGGGCAACTGTTCTCCTATCTCGTAGTAGGCTTCCAACAATGTTTCGAATGAGTCTGCAACTGTGCTGGCTGTCTAAAAGTCATCAATCTCCTGACAGCTCATGATCAGAGCAGTACTGAAGACGTACTAGAAGAAGAAACTTTATAGGTCCCCAGACAAAGGCTACCATATCAGAGACATTCAAAAAAATCTCTATGGTTTTCGAGAATTGGTTCATAGCTTCCAGAAAAGACTGTATTCGGCCGAGGTTGACCATAGACTTGGTCTGTTCCTGCTCATATTGGATGCGTAGAATACTGTGCAGCAGTTCCTCATACGTTGTGCTCCGAAATTCCGTAAGATCAGTCCCTGTTAACCGAGCTCTGAACTTGCGAATGGCCGTGTCTAAGGCATCGCCTCCCGCTGCGCTTGTCTGCTGTCCAACCAGTGTCGACTGCTGCGACAATGCACCTGTAGATGCACGACTGACTTGGCTATTCGGTAAAGATGATGTGGAAGTGTTGCCATTCATGATAGTGACCGTAGAGACGCTGCATGGGCATCTGGTACGAGCTGAGAACTATGTGGTGAACATCAAGACGCAATTGTGCGCAAGAAGAGGAGGGCAGCATGATTGCAGATGAACGAGGCTGAAGGACCGGTCAAGATCCTTGTCTGTGGCGCGTTGCATGGAGCGCTCAGCCACAGCCTCGCTGGCGCCCATTGGATAGCTTTCAGCGCTTCAGCGGTGAGGCTGATCCGAGCAGAGATTCGCTGAAACAAAAGGAAGCGCCCTCCGCGATCCACCAGGAGCTCACTGTGAAGACACAGACGGCGCGCTACCTTTCGTCGACATTGAGCTCGTCACGAAGTGGGTCCCGCCAAGACCATTAGCGCGTACGCTAGGCCGTTGTCGCTGTCATGTCACTAAAGCGCCTGCTCAATCCTGACGACGGTACCGACACACATGTGGGCTCTCGTCCAATACAGGGCTGGGACGATTATGGAGCTCCTATTGAGTAAGTCCTACGCCACAGTTCTGATACTCAGACTAACAACTTCGCAGTATCGCACCAGTCCTGCAGGAAACCACCTGGGAGAACTGTGTTACCGACTTGTTTTCTCTGGATAGTCTACCAGACATCCTTAGTCAGGATCAAATCGATCCTTACAGCCTGCAACATGGTTTCGATATAGATAGCAAGGCATCTCTTCTTTTTGTAGAAGAACAAATTCAACGATGGGCCGAAGACAATGTCTCTTCTCATCCCACATCACCTGGTCCTCAAGATCGAGACGAGAGTAGAATATGCTACGGCCTGGTATGGATTCCGAGACTAGTCTAGCAGCCCACTAAACAAAACAGATCGCGCGTTCTCCAGTAAAGCTTATCGGCGATATGTCCGTCGTGGATTCGAAACTAGCGTCTGGTGACGGTCAACCCATCCCGGGACACTTTCAAATGCTAATCACCAAGGCCGAAGACCGATATTTGGTTGGTTTCCCCGACGGAACGCTACTTGGAGAGGCTAATGCTCTCTTGGAAGAAGCTCTGGAAAGCATTGAGAAGCAAAGGCACCGCGTTGACTTGGAAGCATTTGCTCCCATAAGACCTATTCGGGAGACTATATATAGAGCTACAAAGGAGAAAGAGGCAGTGGTCAGAGTCAACATCAATATCTACGGTCCCAGTAGCGTCACACAGGAGATTGGCTCAATCCTTTCCTCTAAGAAAATATATCTACAACGACCCGACTATATTAAGCCAGGAATGTCTTACGAAAACCCTCATGTTCTGAAACTGGGGAATTTCCAGCACTCCTTTCACAGCCAGGAAGTTGACTTGCGCACCGAGCAACAGCCTGAGAGTGAAGTCGCAAAAGCTGAAGCCTTTCAGAAAACGATCGACACCATATACTCTTCTCTCACACGGGGCCAAACTCTCGCTGGGTTGGAGGGTGACGACCGTCTCAAGACACAGCTCTTGACCCATCAAAAGCAAGCACTACACTTCATGTCACAAAGAGAGAATGGCCCAATACCTGAAAAGTTCCGCCTTTGGGTTCCTAGCGAACAAGATGGGAGACCATGTCAACGCCACGTCATAACCAACAATGCGTCTTTGGCAGAATATTCTGAAACGGGAGGAGGGATACTGGCGGATGAGATGGGCATGGGCAAAAGCTTGAGCATTCTAGCATTGATATTGCGCACTCTTGGCGATGGCCATAAGTGGGCATCTGAGCATGACACCATGCTAGATAATGGTTCCAGCCATTACAAATCGCGTCGACGCTCGCGAGCCACGTTGGTCATTGCTTCCTCTGACCTGATGATCAACGAGTGGTTCCAAGAGATGAAGATACACTTTGAAGCTCAGATCTGGGGTGCTCTACGAACTGTCAAGTATCACGGAACAAATCGTGAGTCAAATATCGACACCTTGGCCGAATCCGACATTGTGGTTACCACCTACCATACACTTTACATGGACTCCCAGCGAGGCAAGAACCCATTACGCGACATTGAATGGTACAGGTTGGTGCTCGATGAGGCGCATATAATCCGTCGGCTCTCGACAGTATTCTACCGTACTGTTGCCGAGTTGAAAGCACGATCTCGCTGGTGCCTAACGGGCACCCCGATCCAGAACCGACTGGAAGATATTGGTTCCTTGTTCGCCTTCATCCGTATCATTCCGTTTAACAATCCGTCGAACTTTCGAAAGTACATTAGCGTACCCTTTGACGAAGGTGGGAAACGCCGTGACCTTGCGATCGAACGTTTCACCCGATTGCTTGACTCACTCTGCCTGCGAAGAACAAAGGATCTGCTACATCTGCCCGAACAGCATTCTCGTGTCCGCAAGTTGGAGTTCTCAGCAGAGGAGAGGATGCAATACGAACAGACGAAGAAGATTATGCTCCGGGCTGCTAAGAACCAGGTGGGCGGGTTTGACCAAAAGAGTACACTCGGCCTATTTCAAGTGCAACTACAGTTGCGCATCCTGTGCAATCACGGCACATTTCAGCAGCCTTTTTCATGGAACAGAAGAAAGATGCATCTGCTTGACGAGAGGGAAGCCATGGAGGCATCTTCAGGTAGGGATGGTGAGGTTACTTGCTCGGCCTGCAAGCAGACCATGCCCCTTCTCGGAGCAGGTTCAATGTTTCGACGCTTTGATGAGCATTGTCGACACGTACTCTGCTCCGAATGTATGGAAGAAAGTATGCCTGAAGCAAACCCGGGTGTTGTGACAAACTGTCCTTTGTGTTCATCACTCTGGAAAATAACCTCTCGCTCCGCCAATAGCACGTTCCTACAGCAGGAAGATGGCAGATACTTTCGTGCACAGGGAAGATCATCCAAGATACAAGCATTGATGGAGGATGTGAGAGTTGACATCTGGTCAACGAAGAGGTATGCGTCTCACGCATTGCCAGTGTTATAGCAAGAACTCGGTACTGACTTGAGCCTTGCAGCATTATTTTCTCTTGCTGGACTCACACTCTCGATCTTATTGGATCCGCCCTCGGACAACTTAATATTACCTTTCGACGAATAGATGGCGAATGTCCTACTGCTAAGCGCGAAAAGATCCTAGACGAGTTTGCTCACGACCCCTCACTACGCGTTCTAATTATGACGACGGGTACGGGAGCTGTGGGGTAGAAGAGTCCTCATATTCAATCGTCGCCACGCGCTAATCTTCACCAGACTAAATCTTGCTACAGCCAACCGTGTTTTCTTAGTCGAGCCACAATGGAACCCAAGTGTAGAAAACCAAGCTATCGCGCGAGCGTTGCGTCTCGGGCAGGAGCAGGCAGTTCAAGTGACTCGATACGTGGTAAACGGCACAGTTGAGCAAGTGAGTTGGCCCTGCATCTGGACTAGTACGATTTCTAACCAAGTAGGATATGCGCTCGCTTCAAGACAGGAAGCTGAAGATGGCTCATATGGCGTGGGAATAAAATAATTTCGTCGTCTATCGCTAGATTTCCCCGCTCGTTTAGCACTATACCCAGATTCTCCAGTTAACAAATATCCTATCGTAACTATGCGCGGGCGTTTCCTTCCTAGTCGCTTTAATCATCATTTCAGCTTCCAGAAGTCACCCCGTATAATACTCAAAAACGTCCAGGTACAATCAGCTTGTGTATCTGCCACCCGGAGTCATCGTACTTGTGCAAATGTCGTGACTACCACTGTACCCTGAAGCATCTGAGCTTTGAAGTCCCACGCGGTACGTTGTTGCTTCTCTCACTGTCGAACATACCTTATATCTTATCGGCAAACGACTCCGAAAGAACGACGTGATCAATCCTAACCTAGTTAGCGCGTGCGTTTCTAACGGTCTATCACGCCTCCAGCTCTTGCGTTTAGCCACTGATTTTGCGCCTAATTACGAGACCAAGTCGTTCTACCGCTTTTTTGGTCTTGCATTGCCCCAAGAAGTTGCTCAACCAAGGTATGTAAGCGAGTTACCGACAGCTGAGAAACAAGTCTAAGCGACCAGCTCCGTTGCTAACAAAGTAATAAAGCGTGAGAGCCGGCGCACTGGCCCCTAAGCGTAATTGATACTCTCGATTATGGATTTAGACAACACGCTCATATTCAACGTGCGGGATGTGCACGGCAACGGCAAAAGGCTCTTCGTGACTTAACCTATCCCAAAGGGTGCCCGTTTACTCTCTGAGTCTCCTGCCATCACTGTACCAATATCCCTGTGAACCAGCGACTTGAAGACTCTTTGACTTGATGTTACCCATCATCTAGACGAGCAACGACAAGCATTTGAGTCCCTCTCCAATCTCCACCCCTACCAGAATGTCTTTACTCAATACATGAGCATCGTGCGAACAAAGTGTTTCAGCACGTATGGAGACCGAGCTAGCGTATGCCTTGATGCAAGTCGGAACAACCTCGCTTGCGATGCCAATGCTCGGCACACCTAGAACGACAGATTGAGCAAAATTGTAGTCCATGCACTCAGATACATCGCTCGAGATGAAGAAATTACGAGCAACTACATCGAGCACGAACACACTTGACAAGAGTGCCAGGTACTGTCAGAGGAGATATACCAATTCGAATGTTCTTGCGAGCTTTGTTCTTTACTTCCGGCGTTGAGCGAGACCATCTATCGGAAAGTTCTACGAGCTCGTAAGCTGTGGGCATACTTTCAAATGGAAGACGGACATTCATGCCAATTATCTAACCCTCTGCAACGCCTTAGACGCTTAGAGCAGCTAGCTCGATACAGGGCTGAGTTGGGTTCCTGTACCCAGATGCAAGATGCCCATGTAGAAGCTTCTGCGCTAGCCTTTTCCCATAGCGACTTAGCTCGAGGCAAGAATTTCCTTGAACGAGCATAAGCATCTTACTTTCTTGAACACAGAGACAATGACGAGGTAGCCCCCAATCTCCGAATTCGCTTACAAGACCTCACGAGCTCTGATTGCTATGGTCAATCAACGAGATAGCAGATCACAAGCCGGGCTGCAAGATGGCTGTATATGCATTAGCGTCACCGGGCCGACAACTGGACTTTATCTATTTATTCTTTACGGATGATCAATGGATTCACGAAGTCGGCTCAGTGAAACCGGAAATGGCAGGCGTATTCATCTGGACTACATTCTGAGTATGGTAGGTATGTCAGTCCGCGATGTTCTTGCGGGTTTGGGTTTATATTATCAGGTCAACGGTCTCAAATTGCCTTGCTCCTCATGGAGTAACACAGGTTTCCAGTCCTTTCAACAAACGATGTATAACAGTGTTAAATCTAATTTAGATAACGCAGCTTTCAGGAATCGCATCTTCTACGTGCTGAAAACAAATCTTTGTTTGCGATCGTCTTGCTCAACTTCACGTGTTTGTCCAAATGCATAAGCATCGGCAAGATTAGCCTGTAATGATCGCGTCAGCTTCAAGGAATGCTCCAAAATCCCCAAGGTATGCCATTCCGAGGTGAAGGTACTGGTCTCGTCACTATTGGTGGCTTGACATGGCCACTCGCCAACGCTAAGATTGCAGTGTAAGGTCCGACAAGTGGGGTTGGGTTTTCGTCCTTGGTCCTGGTACCCCTTTCAATCACGTCAGAGTATCCTTGCGCCTTCAAGAGGCTTGGTGAGCTATGCCCCACTGAACGATTGGCTTTTCCTGAAGGGACAATCCCTTCTCTCGCGGGCACAGCCTCACTGGCCATATGCACGTCCTTACAATCAAGATGTGGCGCAGTCAGGACTACTCGTCGATCCTGAGTGTTGCGCTTGTTGTATCTCATTGACTCCTCATTATTGAATGAATCGGTTGCTGATTGAACAGCCCTTCCCCGAATCCTGGATTGACAGGCCACTCAGCCTCGCACCTTTGGCAGGTTAAATTTTCTCATCGGCGCTCGAGACTGCAGCATCAATCAAGATTCAGACCCATGTCGAATTTTTGTGACCATAGAGAAAACCCACTAAACCTCACTCTACCTCTTCATGAGCGTCAAAAATTATAGTGTCAGTCTTTTGCGCTCAGTGCACCAGAACACTCCGAGACTAATCTCACCGATAAGCCAGCCACAATGTCCATCATCATCTTCGTCCAAATATTCTGGATTTTATTACGTTCTTCTCAGTGTGATAATGATCATTGAGTACATACTCGCGTGCTAGGCAGAAAGTGAATGTTACACGTGCGGTTAGGCAGCCCTCGTCAGCCTGAAAAGCGCGAGGCACATGCAGATGCTGTAGCCAGTAAGACAGAACTCGGTATCGAGCTGAGGATGTCAAAAAAGTCATCAATTTCATTCCAATATGATTGGATGCAAAGAGTCAAACGGGACTCCTCGCGCGGGCTAACAATCGCAGTGCAATACGTCCACCTTCCACCGGGGAGATTGTGATACAATTGGCTGGCTCTTTCGCGCCAAATGCGGAATAGCTTGAGGCCGCTTCGCCACCATCGAAAACCGGTCAAGGTTATTAAGCCCGTTCACCGAAGCAATCTAAAGCGGAAGTACTATCTAAAATTCTGGGAATCTTCACATAACTGCAGCGATGGTGCAGGCGGGTGCACTGCTACCTACATCCCTCCGATGCCGCATGAAACGTTTTCTGGAGCCGAGGAAGATATGAAACTGCGGCAGACAAAGGCACACAGTGAATTTATAGTATGTCAAAACAGACTTTGCATCACGACCTGGTATCCATCTGTCTGGCCGCGTAGAGATGATATCGATCCTTAGTCCAGCATCTTAGTCTCTTCCCATATATGATCAGAGCCACGGTACCACCTAAGAGTACTGGAAGTGTCATCATAGCGAAAGTGAGCATGACGTTGTGTAGCTGAACTCGCTGCACCCAGGGTGTGAGAACGAGAACGAAGATCGTGGCCATAAGATTGCGAGTAAAGGTTACACCGATGACGGCATCGGCAATGATCTGTGACATGTCAGCAGCGCTTTGGCCTCGATATTCAATTAAAGATACGCACATCCGTGTATGCATCCGTGAGGTACGTAAGCGCAACGCTAGCAATTGGTGGCATGGCGAACCCCTGGAGGCCCAGTCCAACAGCAACGACTGGCCAGCTCATGCCTTTTCCGAGGGCATATCCAGTAAGAAGCAATGCAGCTGGGTAGACTGGCGCGAACACAAGGAGGAGCCAAAGGCGCATCTCGGGCTCGTAGATTCCTTTGTTTCTGCGAGCCAGGTAGATGATAAGACGATCGGTGAACGGTGCGCTCAATGCTGTGCCAATAATGTTGCCGATCAAAGGGGGAAGACTCATCAGACCCACCGCGCTAGGGGAGAAGTTGTAAGGTGGGGCCGGCATGTATGTTGCCACCAAAGTCACAGATACCTGTAGCGCGGCTGTGATGAGCCCGTACAGGAGAGCCACATACAACACGGCCGGAATCGTGCATTCGACAAGAAGAGGTTGGTAGCTGTGGTGCGCAAGCTGCTTGATACTTCCGCGGGTGGCGTGCAAAGGCTTGAGGCGCTGGATATAGGTATTCCGTGGAGGTACGATCTCCGTTATAATTGACCCGACAGGTTTTAGCTGATCGTCCGCAAATTTGAGATCCGGATCTGTGATCCTGTTGCCAGCCGAGTGGACAGGTGTTTGAGCAGCTTCAGCAAAGCTTTCAATGGGTGGGACGAACTTGGTCTCTTCGTAAAAGAACACAAAGAGGACAAGACAGACACCCATGCAGATAGCGGTCCACCACCATACCCACCGCCAGCCTTGACCTACCGTGATGTAGCCAGCGACCAACGCGGCCATCGAAGTACCAATGGTCATTGTGCAGACGTAAAGGTTATTCATCAAGCCTCGCTGATGGACGAAGAATACATCAGCAATAGTCATCTGGACGATGACCTCAGCCAGTGATCCAAACAGACAGTTGAAAACTTGTATGAGATACAGGTCAGCAGTCGACGTCATTTTCGCAGCCCAAATCGCGACAGCGACTTGTCCAAGGGAACTGAGGACGTAGATAGGTCGTCTCCCGTACTTGAGAGCGAATGGGATGAATAGTAGCGCCCCCACACCTAGAGCTGCCGTGCCTGTCGCATAGCTATTCTGTAGCGTCTCATAACTAAAGCCGAGTTCGATGTTCATTGGTGCCCATGTCGGGGTTATTGCAGATATTCTAGACATCCCATCAGCCTCAGATCCCATCTAGATGCAAGAGCCGCGTGCCAAACTCACAGTGCGAATACAAGGACAGAGTAAAAGAGTGTTAGCGCGATATTGAGATTCTTCTCCCACGCTTTCCAATTCTGCGAACAGTTAGGCATAGTACTAATAGGTTGAGACTTTCCAGGGTCGGTATACCAGAGGATCATTTGGATCAATGGATGGAGCTGGTACGAGTACCACCTCATAACCCTCAACACCTTCTGCGGAATGTTGAAGCTCTATGATCCTTGTTCAGTACACTTAGATGCAACTTCAAAGAGAGAAAGAGAGATCTTACGTTCAAGTGTCACAGTTCCCGGTGGCCATGACGAGGCATTATCATAGTCTGGCATTGAGGAAGACTGCATCTTGAGCGAGCAAGCAGACTCTGTGGGTCGTTACAGCTGTGTCGGCGCCCTCGGGTCCCTTATACAGATTGTCTATCGCGTCTATCGCGCCGGCCTCCCCCTCCTGTGCAGCATCGCCAGATAAGGTTGCGGCGCAACCTGGGTTCCAATTCCGCCGATTTGATAAGGATTTTGGCAGATCGGCCTGGGCTCCACGTTCTTCCTTGGCTTGTACGCAGTGACAAGTCGGTTTGCGGGGGAAGCCGCGGCAAAATGGTGATGGATGTGGAGTAGTTCCCGGCAGCGATGCGTGGGTGGTGCTTTAGCTTTTAGCGTTCCGGCTGGACCTCCTCGATGCGGTTAGATTGCTGCTTCCTCGTGAAACGGAAGAGCAGTACGCAACCTCACGGCGTTTCTGGAAGCGCACGCGGCATGGTACAAAGGTACTAGGAGTCAATATTGTTTCTCATCTGCTCATATTGCATGGCTTCTTCTTATCTCTGAACTTACGGACAGACTACAACCATCGCAATGGCTCCGAAGATCTTCACTAACGCACGTGTCTTTGCGAATTCCAGCGCGCAACAACGCGAAATCGACTTCTGCAACTGCATGGTAATCCAAGATGGAAATGTAATCCACGTAGGCTCTGAACATGACACTACGGTCCGCGATCTCCTCGACTCTGGCGCCGAAGTCACAGACCTCAAACAACAACTCTTCGTCCCAGGCCTAATCGACGCACATACCCATCTCCTGTTCTTTGGCTTGTCCCGCCAGAAGTTGGATCTCACGAACTGTGCATCTCTAGACGAAGTGCGCGCCGCTATCTCAGACTACGGAAAACGCAATCCCGACGCACCACGCATTCTTTGTCGAGGCTGGCAACAGCCCAGCACAGGACGACTAGCATTAGCTACGATGCTGGATGATCTCGACCCGCGACCAATCTACGTAGAGGCACTCGATCTGCACTCATCTTGGGTCAATACCGCCGCACTACGAGAACTGCCACTGGAAAACGCAAAAGAGCTAGGACCTCATCAAGTCGTCTGCGGTGAGGACGGGCGACCGAGTGGACTGTTTGCAGAGGCAGGCCAGGTTGACATCATCTGGTCTTTTCTGAATGCCCAATACACCACAGAAGAGAAACAGGATGCGTTGGACAAGACGTTCAAGGCGTACATCGCGGCTGGATACACAGGAGCTATCGACATGGCTATGGACGACAACGCTTGGGATGCGTTGAAACTTTACCGCGAGAGGAAGGGCGCTCTGCCCATACACATTGCAGCGCATTGGCTGATAACACCGCCAGGCAGTGGAGGCAGTCTGGAAGAGAAGGTGGATGTAGCAATCGCGCGGATGCGGGAGTGGCCCCCGTCTACATGTCCAGAATTTTGCATCATCGGGATTAAGCTCATCTGCGACGGTGTCGTCGATGGATGCACCGCAGCACTGAGACACCCCTATACCGGACATGTAGATATTGTCCAACCACTATGGCCCGCAGACGCCATGAACGAGGTCGTCCACCGCGCCACACAAGCTGGCCTCCAAGTCGCCATCCACGCAATCGGTGACGCAGCCGTCACCCAGGCCATCAACGCCATCGCCAGCGCCAATACCCCGGGTGGTAGACACCGCATCGAACACCTCGAACTCACAACCCCAGAAGACGCCCAGCGGCTGGGCCAGCTCGGTATCACGGCGTCTGTCCAGCCCGTCCACTCCGACCCCGCCATCCTCCACGACTACCAAAAGCTTGTCGGCGCACAAACTTTTGCCCGCGCATTCGCATATAAAGACTTCCTCGACGGCGGCGCCTGCGTTGCGCTAGGCACCGATGCGCCCACCGCAGTCCATCTCCCATTGCCGAATTTGTACAATGCGACAACGAGGCGATCGGCGACGCAGCCGGAGATGGAGGCAAGGACGACGCCGCATCAGGCGTTGACACTGACGCAAGCGTTCCATGCGGCGACGACGGGGGCGGCGCGTTCGAGGTTTGCAGAGGGGTGGACGGGGAGGTTGGAAAAGGGGCTTTGGGCGGATTTTGTGGTGCTGGAGTGTGAGTGGGAAGCGGGGAGGTTGTTGGAGGCGAGGTTGGAGCAGACGTGGGCGAGGGGGAAGAGGCTATTTCCAACGGAGGTAGAACAGGCTTGATGTGTGGAACATGCACCTATAGAGTAGCATGGCGGAAACAGATATATTTCTATGCGCCTACTTGAACGACATACGAACACAAGAGTGAAGCTTAACCATTAGATTCTTCCTTGCCATGCCCGCTACGCTGCCAAAGTCAAAGACCACAGCGAGCAACGCCGTGAGTCCAATGCATTGCATAGCAGCCATCAAATCCGAGAAATCATGCCGACACATCCAAAGAACGCATGTGCCATGTACCCGCACTTGTTCGCAGCCGCAGCCACAGGACACGCCTAGTGAAATAGTATACCTAGATCTCCGCATCGAAATCCTCATCCATCTCGTAGTCTCCCTGCGGCGTACTCACTGCTCCACCGTTGAACGCCTCGTCACCCTCCAACATCTCCTTCTTGACCGGCGAACCGACATTCTTCTTCGGCGTGCTCTTCGTCACACGGCCGGTCTTGACGCCTAATTTCCCAGTATCAGCAAGTCCATCCAAATGCCCACTGTCAAGAAAGGCATCACTCACCATCGCTTTTCTTTGGCGTCCTCGGCGCACGCTGCTTCGCCGGGCTGTTAGCTCCACGGGCAGGCGCGCTGTTCCCGCGAGCCGCAGCCTCGGTGATGAGCTCCTTGGCCTTCTTTTTGGGCTTGCGCAGAAAGTTCTCGATGGCGTCGTAGGTCGCCTCGGGGCCGAAAATGCGGGCGACCTCGCGGCAGTTGATCTGAACGTGTCAGTAGGGATCGGATAGGGAAGGGGAAAGAGGATAGTGGGACGTACAGGCGTGCCAAACGAGGCGATGATGGATGCAAGGATGCGGTCCTTGACCTCCGGGTCCTGCCAGTTGATCGGCATGGTGGTTGCTGTAAGACATTAACACGCTACTTCCACGACAGGATATGCGGAGTGCATGTGCTTCAATCGCACAGTAGAGAGATGTGCAGGACTCATTGGAGAATACAAGGAAAGGCAACTTACAAGTTGTAGTGCGGTCTAGCTTTTGTGGAGGTAGAGAGGGTGGATAGCAGAGCTTGCCCAAATGTAGCCGCTACGAGAAACTTGTGCAGAGTTGTGGGAAGTAAGTGTAGAGTCGTGCCCTCGCATGCGGATCCAAAATTTATAGCCTGCTCCCCCTCTTGCCCTGTTCCCCAGGTGAAGGTGAGAAATCGACGCTGTCCCAGCAACGCCCACCACAGAATTGCACCCCCACACTCACATGACGTCGCGCCACCGCGCCTTTCGCGCCGTGCTAAGATGCCATTTGTGGGTCTGTAGTGAAGTGAGTGAACGGTTGGGCCAGAGAGACTCAGTACCGTGGTCGAGCTGTGCGGCCTGCATATTGAGGTGGCGTTGTGCGACGTGCAGATATGCAACAGCTGCATACCCCTGCACGCGGGACGATTCGAGCTCGCGATGAGAACGTGAGAAGTAAACGGCCAGACAACTTGCATTGAGAACAACGCTTCGTGTGGTAGCTTGGAAGTGGGTTGTTGACGTGCAGTTGTGGAACACCCTCGCCGCTGAGATTTTGGGGAATCGATTGCTTCTTCCATAATATCTCGTAGACATCTGCACTTAGTTGCCACGGTGCGCAACACCTCCACACGACACCAATGAGTCAAAAACGGTCCGGGCCTGCTGTGGGACAATGGAGGATACTGGCAAGTGACCCAATAGGGTGGCTACCTGGATACCACGACGTGAACAGTTGCTAGAACAACGCAGACGCGTAAGATCAGTTTGAGATGTTGAGTCACTGGTGTCGACGTCAAATTCTGGTATCAGGCTGAGCGTTCCTTGCACGACATGGCTGTTCCTGGTTCTTGCTTCTACATCCGCCCAAGTGAGGACGATCCTATAGGACACCATCTCAGTCTCGGCTCGACTATCCCTCCGCACACTTGGAAGAATAATGAGTGACCAATAGGACCAAGTCACGGATCGAGGTAGATCCCAAGCTTCGAAGAACTCCTTAGCAGACCCTAGCTATGCGTCTAGATGGATCCGGAACACGTATTGGGCAGGGTATGTTTGAGTTAGCGCTCGAAGCACAGATTGACAATCCCCAAAACATGGGATCTAATCTTGTAGATAACCATTTTTTGCAGGTTCAATACACATGGAACAAGGCTGTCCTCACTGAATACTCAACCTACTGTCGTCGTTCAGGGAGTCTTCGAGAGATGTTAGCTGTGCAATGATCCTTCCATGCGAGCAGGCTCACAGGACATTGCGCCATTTCCTCCACCATGACACATCCTCATCTATTCCTCCATTACCCACATCTCCTTTCTCGGGATCCCTCACCTTCTTCGTCTTCACGAATCCTGGGTGTATCTTATCTCTGCACTCACCGCTGCACTTCCCGCACTTCCACCATCGCATACCATCTTTCAACACTTTCTTGCAGTCCCCACACTTCGAGTTCTCGTCGTATGCTATATCTCTCGCTTCTTGTTGGTATCGCCTGTGCCGCGCGGCTTGGAGAGTATCAACATCTTTACTCATGCAAGAACGGCAGACATCCTGGAACTCGTTGCTGCGATCGATGCTGTAGCATTTGCAAGGCTTCTTGTAGCCACGAGGATGCCGCGCGAACGACTTGTAATAGCAGGGCTCGCAGTAGGGCTTGCAATCCGTTACGTGGCGGCGACCGGAAAGGCCGGGCCAGAGGGGATTGCGTTGGCAGGAGCCGCAGATTTTATTGTTGCAATAGAGGCACTTCGATGCCTCAGAAATGCTGCAGCCTAGAAGATGAGTTCAGTTGCTGGATCAGGTAGGAGATCATTTTGGCCGAATCTGCTCGCAATCTGCCACTGACAAGGAACATAGAAAGGTGAACTGTACTCACAATGTCTCGTTAACTTTGGGACCCGGTAGTCGAGGTCTTCGGATGGGTACACAACCTCTCGTACTGCTCTGCATGTCATGCTGAGGTGAACTACATCATCATGATGGAGGTAGTCGGTCACGTTGAGGAGTACATGTTCGATCGCGAGAACATTCGTCAACTTTGTTTTCGGTGCTTCGAAGCTTTGGTATTGCGGTGTGAATCGTGCCTGCGGGGGTATTTGAAAATCTCTTGTGCTGCGCAGCTCAGCCACACCTTTTTTGGCATAGCTAAGCCAAAGACGTATGCGTGGGAAGATGACATCGTGAACAAAAAGTAGTGGGCCAACAAAGAGAATTACCAGCCATATAAGAGGTCGCATGGGGTTGAGAAGGCTGAACTCGCGTTCATCGAAGAATACGCTAACATATGCGAGGACGGACTGGAAGAAGCTGTGCATGTCTCGTCAGTATGTTTGCTGGATGATGCTATTCATGGGTGTTCACTAATTCTGTTCAAAGCGTGCCCATGTGCTAGTCATTAGTGGAAGACTGCGTGAGAAACTTACACAACGGTGCCCCCTACTGTCCAGCCAGCGACCATGTTCTTGCAAATCGCCTCGGCCTTGTTTGCATCGTTCCGATCGAGTTTCGCAGCGAGCGTAAACATACTGTCATAGCCATCCACTACCTGCCAATTCATGGCCTTGCCATCTTTGCAGCCACTGGAGGATGCTGGTAGAAATTGGGTCTGCATGGAAATACCAATAGCAATGGTTGTAGCAAGGCCCGAGTTGATAATCCCGTAAGGTAGGGTCCACGTACCGTACCATTTCTTGAGTAGAAGAGTGGCGAGAAAGACCCAAGGGAACAGAACGGCACACTTACATCAGTCAGCCAAGATCTCACGAATGAAAAGTCTCCACAGAGATTTTGTCGTAGTGCAAATAGTACAGTACGCACCCCGATATATGTCATATAGAAGCCCAGTCTCATCTTTGGATGATAGGGATACTGTTGCAACTCCAGGTGTTTCTCTACCAAGAGATAGTTGTTACGTGCGATAAATGCTGCCATGGCGGTGGGTATGATCAAGATCAGATGAATAGCCCACATCCAGGCCCTCGTTGCCAACTCGCTGCATCTGCTCAACTTGGCTGGCTGCCATCCAAAGCAGCCTGTGAGGCAGTTGAGCCGAGGTGCCATTTTGAGTGAGTGCGACCCGTTGGAGGGCAGCTCTGCTCGGAGAGTGTCATGCAGCCAGAGCTCCAAGACCTTGTGTGGTGAATCCGTGCGATCGGTGCAGACAGCGAACGAGTGTGGTAAGAGTGAACGGACGTTAGTCACAGGTTGAAAAGACGACCAGATACCACGCTGTAGCAACAATAGGATTCAGGCTTCCCGGTTGCGATACCGGTGGACGATGGCAAGACAGCCCGGCTAGCGGCTCGTGTGCAGCGTCGCTAGGGTCTGTTTGGCTTCACCGGATGCTCGTATAGGGAACGAGGCAAGCTGTGCACGGGGGTTGGCGAGTCCGGCGGGCTCCAGCATCGGTTGTTGCAATAATGGTAGCGGACGTGAAGAATAACGTGAACGATGGGACGAAAGAAAACGCTAATCGTGACACGAAGGGCATTGGTGATGCACGATAAAGTACTTGCTGCATGGGTGTGGAGCAGCAGGCTGAAGTGTGGGAGACCCCACCACTGCGCTACAGGCACGCTCGTTGGTCGATCCTCCCTGCGGCAACTCACAACCACGCCTGCCTGTGACACCTTCTACGTCAATCACATGCCGGACTTCTGAGACATTGGAAAAACACGAATACCTGTAGCCTAGGACGCACCTGGTATCGGTGCAACGATTTTGGCCGTCACGGTCACGTTAGTAGACCAGCAACAGGGGAATTGCGCAGTCGGAGTTGTCGCGCGATTGCGCGTACGAGCGTTTCGTTGTTACTTTCACGAGCCTTTAGGTCTTCAGCTTCCGTTTGCCTTTCACGTCATCCCATTCCCTTTTTCCTTTCCGGTCCACCTTGTATTCTTTCGCCTTTTCGAGTGGATCAATGACTACCAACTCCTCCTCGTTTTTTCTCTTCCACTCCAAGTCTTTACCCAATCGATCTTTGGCAAAGCTCAACGAGTGGCCCATCCAGCCGGTGTCATCATCCGACTCCTCCTCGTCCTGTTTGTCCCAGGCTGTGCATGATTGGCAACCCATGACAAAGTGAAGATCACACGGAACTTCCTCCTCGTCCGCTGCAGCTTTGCCACCATTCGCTTCAGTTGCAGGTACAACAACTGCCTCGGGTATCTCAGGCGACTTCATCTTAGTATCTGCCGGCGCGGCAGATTCAAGTTTGGACTTGAATTTGGTCAGAATGTCAAGCGTGGTCTTCTCTGAAGCGGCACTACTCGCGGCGCCCCTCTTTCGGCCCTTGGTGGTACTGGTGGGAATCATCTGCTCCAAAAGCGACTTCTTCTTTGCAGGTTCTGCTCGTTGAGACCCCGTGTTTCGCTTCATTGACGCCTTGAGCTCCGCAATTTGTGCATTGACGCGATCGAGCCTGGACTGTTTCTCCGCTTCTGGCGAGAGCTCCCTGGGTGGAGGGGATGGATCCTTCGCTGGGAGAGGCGATGCTTGTGCTGGCTTCGATGTTGGTCTGGGAGACGGCGAGCGTGATGGGGACTTGCGTGGTTTGCGGATAGGTATGGATTTCTCTTCGTTTGGCATGGCATCTACAGATGGGCCATCCGCGACATACGGTGCCTGGGCGCCTCCGCTGACCAGCTTCGCGTTGTACTTTGCCTTCTTCGCCACTGGTGCGACCTCTGCGCCTTCTCCCTCTTCATCACCAAAGCTAACCAAGTTCCTGCCCGCCTTTCGCTTGGTCTTCTTGGGCTTCTTGGTGTCTGGCTCTGCCTTGTGCGCAACCTGCTCTTTCTTAACCATGTCCTCAAAAGGATTGATGATTATCTCGGCGCCTGTCACTCGCGTGGGATACAACGGCCTGTCTTCGCTTCCCTCTGCGATCTCGGCTTCGGCCATCTTCATCAGGTTGTAGATGGTGTCTCCCGCCACTCGTCCGAACATTGTGTTCTGCCCCTGCAGCTCTGGCGTATTGGCGAGGGTGAAGAAGAACTGGCTGCCGTTGTCGTCCTTCTTGCCTGTGTTTGCCATGCCCAGCAAGCCTCGCCGGTTGAACTTGAGCCGGCTGTGGAACTCGTCGGCAAAGGGCTCGCCATCGTAGCTGCTTTCGCCGCCCTGGCCGGTGCCTGTCGGGTCTCCGCCCTGGATGATGAAGCCCTTGACGAGGCGGTGGAAGACGGTGTTGTCGTAGTAGCCGTCGAGGCACAGCTGCAGGAAGTTGCGCGACGCCACGGGCGTCTGCTTCGCGAAGAGCTCGAGCTCAAGGTCGCCGGTGGTTGTGTGCAGGACCACCTTCGCCGTGGGGTGCGGCTCGAGATTGTACGTCGAGGCCATGGCGCAGGCGAGCGGGCGGCTGCGCGTGTGTTTGCGCTCGGGATGCGTGCGACGGCTGGAATTCTGCCAGCGAGCGCGCCCTGACCGCCCGGGCCGCACTAGTGCTGCGTTCGGCAAGGTGCCCGCCTGATTTCGCGCGCCATGTGGGCAGACGTCACACGCCGGGCACAACCCACGGGCGTCCTGCTCAGCACCTTTGCAGTCCCCGTATCGACCTCCTTCGAGACACAACCAGACAGTCCTACAGCTGGGATCATGCGGCACTTCTGCATATAACATCTCGCCGTAGTCCTCCTCCCCTCTCTCCTCAGCCCTCCATTGCGTCATTGGCCCTCGCCTGCATTAGCCCCGTTTCTCAAGATGCTGCCATACATCAATGCGCGTATGTCTGCACCTGCGAATGCATGCTTCTGGACGGCTCACTGAGGTGCCACAGCTTTTGAGTACGTCGGCAGCTCACTTGGGACCTCTGCAGACGAGTGTAGGTAGTCTGGTCTCTGCATTGCAGGCCAAAGCTGATGTCTGGCAGTGAAGCTCGTCTTCACATTCTATCTCTCCTTCCCTCTTGCTGCAGTCCTCAAGCGCATACCGGACAAAGCGCCATGGCAGAAGAATCTTTTCATAATAGCGTAAAGCCTCCTCTCCGCTACACCACTCGCACCACTTACTGACCTTGCTAAGCGTCTCTCTCTTCTACCTCGTTGGTCTTTTCGATCTCTGGGATGGTCTCCTGACCCTGATGATTAGCGCCTATGGCGCCTACTTCATCGCCGCCAAAATCGACTCTCCCTTCATGCCATGGATCGGCTTCGTCTTCCTTATGGGACACATGTCTGTTAGTCACATCGCACGCCAGAGGATGCATGATCCTTCAGCTACCGATATCACTGGGGCCCAAATGGTCATGGTCATGAAACTTACTGCTTTCTGCTGGAACATTCAGGATGGTAGACTCCCGGATGCTGAGCTCAATGATTTTCAGAAAGAGCACGCTATTCGCACAATCCCGAGTCTACTCGACTACACAGGTTACTTCTTGTTTTTCCCTTCACTTATGGCCGGTCCCGCGTTCGACTACTGCGATTACAGCCGCTACATCAGCACCACCATGTTCACGCTTCCGCCCGGAGTTGATCCCTCGAAAGCGCCTCCGACGCGCAAGAAGCGTAAGATTCCTAGAAGCGGAACACCTGCTGCTATCAAATGCGTCATTGGCTCACTCTGGATCTTTGCATTTCTGAAGTTCTCCTCCTGGTATGCGGTAGACATGTATCTCTCAGACGAGTTCCTCAAATACGGATTCTTGCGTCGCATTTGGCTCCTATACATGCTGGGCCTTATCACGCGCATGAAGTACTATGGTGTCTGGAGCCTCTCTGAAGGTGGTTGTATCCTGGCTGGAATCGGATATAATGGCCTCGATCCAGTGACAGGCCGAGCCAAGTGGGATCGTCTTACCAACGTCAAGCCTATGGAGGTCGAACTCGCCCAGAACACGCGAGCATACCTCGGAGGATGGAATATCAACACGAACAACTGGCTGCGCAACTACATGTACCTACGCGTTACACCAAAGGGCAAGAAACCCGGATTCCGAGCTACGCTGGCGACTTTCGTCACCAGCGCCTTTTGGCACGGCTTTTTCCCCGGATACTATCTCGCCTTCATACTTGCATCGTTCCTGCAGACTATTGCAAAGAGTGCGTAATCCTCGTATACAGTTCCTACGTGAACCAAGAATAGACGTTGACATACTTGCAGATGCCCGTCGGTTGATTCGCCCACTGTTCATGACACCCGACGGCAAACAGCCTCTTCCCTCGAAGAGATACTATGATGTCTTCACCTGGGTCCTTACCCAAGTCGTCTTCGCCTTCACCGTCGCGCCGTTCATCATTCTCACGTTCAGCGGTACTTGGCTTGTCTGGTCTCGTGTCTACTTCTACACCCTCATAGGAGTCCTCGCGTCGTTCGCCGCCTTCTCTCGCTCTCTCCCGGTTCGGCGTCACCTGCAGAAGATGCAAGCCGCTCGTCAGCCGGCTTCTTCTAATGACAACATCGAGAAAGTGGCAAAGGAGGAGATCGAGGCGGATCTGAAGCGCAGACAGTCAGCATTGAGTATGGAAAGCAATGCTTCGAGCGTGCGTAAAGCACCTACTTTGGGTATCGCCGACGATCCGGAAGCGGAAGTTGAGGAGATTGTGAGAGAGGTCAGGCAAGAGATTGAGGAGAGGAAGCGGAGAGGGAGCATGATGCAGGGCTTCGACATCAAAACCGCCGTGAGGGAGAAGATTCAAGAGTTCCAAAAAGGATCGAAGGGTGCGCTTGGTGGAATTAGTGGCATCAGGAAGAGTGCGTGATTACAGACGCGTCTGACGATTTCACACAGAGGCGCTTGGCTCATCGATGGCTTTGGTGCATAGCTTGGTGTTGGGTTTTCAAATCTGAGGTTGCGGAGGTGTGATAGAAGTATTTTTAAACATGAAGTAATGGGTCGTTGTAACTTCCAAGATGTGCGACCGAGCTGAGAAAACAGCAAACCGCCAAAACCGTTTCACAAGCTCCAATCCTTTCGATCAGTATTGGGCACCTACAACGCAACCACACTCCACTGACAATCCGGTCCTCCAACCATCGAACAATCGGTCTGAGATCACCATACAGCATCCCAAACCTTGGCCCCAAGACCTCCTTCTGAAAACAAGGAGCCTCTTGCTCCGTTCCGCATCCAGCCTAGCGCCACAAGTAGTACGTACTCAAATCAAACATGTGGTCGCAGACCCCGTTCTTATATTAAGTTCGCGCGGTAGATTAATTAAGCTGTCGGCACCACCATCCTAGCGACGGGCACCACGCGATGCCCCACAATATCCCACCAGTGGGCGCGCATCTTGAGCCGCATCTTCTCACCACCCGCAATATACGGGGTTCGCATGGAGCCTAGGCGTGGGTGGTCGCGAGACCGGATGCCAGAGGAGAAGTTCCTTGGAAGCCGCCAGTGAGCGCGCTGGCGTGGTTTTGCGATGATGGAAGGGATGTATAAAGAGACGGGTGATGGAGGTTGAGTTGATCGACAGGAACGAGAAGCAATCTTTGATATACCGGCAAGATGAAGACTTCTTTTGCGATTGTTGTGGCGTCCGCTGCGGCGGTGATGGGCCACGGCTTCGTGACCAACTTTACCACCGATGCGAAGTATAACCAGGGATTCTTACGTACGTACTTCCATCCCACCCTCCACAACAATATACAACTCTTTTCGACCGAACGATGACTGACTTGACACAGTGGACTACTACTACCAGAAGGTCAACACCGGCTCCTTCCCTTCCATCGCCGCCTGGTACGCCGAGAACCTCGATTCCGGCTTCGTCGCTCCCAACGCCTACCAGACCGCCGACATAAACTGCCACAAGAACTCTGCGCCCGGGGCTCTTACCGCGACCGTCAAGGCCGGCGGCACTCTCACCTTCTCGTGGGGCCCCAACGGGTGGCCGCACCCGTACGGTCCAATCCTAGGCTACGTAGCTGCGTGCGATGGCGACTGCTCCAAGGCCGTCAAGACGAACCTCCAGTGGGTGAAGATCCAGGCAGAAGGCATCGATTACGCGAGCCAGGTCTGGGCGAGCCAGAAGCTAGTTAGCCAGGGAGGAAAGTGGACGTTGACAGTTCCCGCCTCGCTCAAGGCAGGAAACTACGTCTTTAGACATGAGATAATTGCGTAAGTCATCTACCGTTGTGGAGTCGCTAGAGAGGCGCTGACGAGTACTTCGTAGTTTGCATGGCGCAAACTCGCCCAACGGAGCGCAGAACTACCCGCAGTGCTTCAACATTGCGGTTACGGGATCTGGGACTAAGACGTTGCCTGCGGGGACGCTGGGCACGGCGCTGTACAAGGCGGATGACAAGGGCATTTTGATGAATCCGTATACTACTATCACGAGCTATGCGATGCCGGGCCCGACGCTGTGGAGTGGTTAGAGGCTTGGGGTGGATTATGTAGGAGATAGAGAATCATGACAATAGGACGTGCTCTTGCATGTTTCGACGTGATGGTGGAAGGATGCCGACGACACACCTTCCGAGATGCTGCAGTCTATACTGCCTCTGATCCCACCGAACATCCTGAACTCAAACGCTTCACAGTGAACACACGCACCTCGTTGACTAGTGCATGTTCCGCGTGAAAAAAGTGAGTCCCTCGCACCTCGCAACCCTTTTTCCTGGCGTCCAAGCGTCGGAAATAACGTCTCTCTCCTGCCAAGGATACTGCGGTGAGGTCCGAGGGTAGACATGTGAACGTGCCTTGGAAACTAGCGACTGGCGTTCACCGATGAGTGCGCTTTCCAACCCTTGCACGCACTTTCTGGGCTAGTGCGATGTGGGCGAGAAAGTCAGTACCTTCATACTACCCACTTCGCACCTTATAAAAAAAATCCAAGGCGTTCAATGGGTCGAAAAATTTTCCATTCCCCTTGGAGAGGTGCTGCTCAGTTATAGTACACCACAGCTATCATATTTAGAGCAGGACTTCTGTTCTAGTCAAGCATGATATGATACCGGTATAACGGGAAGCAGGGGAAGAGCAACTACATAGTTTCCAACGTTAAGGCGACATACGGGCGCCACAACGAGCCCATCGTGGCTCGTTGTTGACATGACAATAGTCGACTGTACTTGAAGGGGGATCCCTTACATTAGAGCGCGATGGAAAGTAGGTGGTGCGATATCTAGGTGCAATCTCCCGCGATACCAAAAAGAGGTTCTAATACCATCTTCTCCTACTCATCGTCGGCCAAGCCTTGCAAGATGACATCGGTAGCCTTCTCGCTGATCATCATAGTCGGAAGCACTGGAAAACCTGTTCAAGATCAGCTTCCCGTATCATTGCATCCTTGGTTCATATCGTACTTACCGCCAGGTACCTTTGGGAACGAACTCGCATCTACAACCCTCAAGCCAGCCACCTTTCTCACTTTGAACTCGCTGTCCAAAACGGCATAGCGATCATCATCTGCGCCAATGCGAGCGCTACTGGATGCATGATGGCTGTACGCTTGCTCCTTGATGTAGGTCTTCTCCGCTGCCGCAGTACAGTTCTGCTTTCCAATCGTGCCTGCACAGGGATGCTTCTCCTCAAATGGAGCGAGAGAATTTGCGTCAGAAGCGTTCACCTTGGACAGCCACGATCTGACCCACTCCACGCCCTCATGTATCGCAGTCAGATCCTCATCCGCACCATCCTTGAAGAAGTTGAGGTTGATAGCAGGTACGTCCCGTGGGTTCGTCGACTGCAGCTCGATGGTGCCGGCCTGGCTTCTGGGATTCATGTGCACAAGCGCACACTCGTACTCGCGTGGCCCGTAATCCCCAGTGAAATTCTTTTCAGGAATATTTGGAAACCCAGGCCAGAATCCCTCGAAGGCGAAGTTCCCGCACCACATGTAGATGTCGCGGATCTTGCCGACGCTGCTCTTGAAGAAGTTGGGGAAGATGTTTTGCCCGACGTTGACGTCGCGTTTGGCAAGGGACAGAATGCCAGCTTCGTAATTGTCGGCGACTTGTTGGCCTACACCGGGAAGGTCGGCGATTACGGGGATCTTGAACTTCTCTAGTTGCTTTCGGGGGCCAATGCCGGATAGGAGGAGCAATTGCGGCGTGTTGAAAGCACCACCAGAGATAATGACTTCGCGCGAGGCGTAGACCTTGCCGGGCTTGCCGGTGACATTCGCATTGGAACGAGGATCGGCGGAGTAGAGAGACTTGCCCTGAAGATACTCGATGCCAGCGGCCTTCTTCCTCGGAGCGGTGCCAGTGCTCTTGAAGATGATTTTAGTGGCGAGCGTGTCGAGCGAGAGCGTCAGCGGGTACTTGTTCTTGGCCACTGTGTCGCGGACGTAATACCCTGGAGAGGAGCGGCGACCATTTGGATTGATGTGGCTGACGCCTCCGAAGGGTCCAACTAGGTTGTCACGATTGGTTTGGTTGCCATTCATATCCCGGATGAGAAGATTGGTGGTATCAGACGTCTTGTAGCCTGCAGCTTGGGCGGCGAGGGTAGTTAGCTCTCTCGCGTCCTCGAACCCTGCATAGCCGGAGTCAAGCATGGTAGTGTCGAGCCAGCCATCGTGTCCATGAACGTAGCTGCTGTTATAATGTGCCTTCTCGAGCTTGACGAGGTATTTGCGCATATTCTCGGCCGACCATGACTCATCTCCAGTCGTCTCAGCAATTTCATTCCAGTCAACATCATTAGGGTTCTACACCGTGCATGTCAGTGGCTTATCTGAGCCGGACGAAGTGTCACTCACCATAGTCAAGCATCCATTGTGCATTGCGCAGCCTCCTAGTGTTCCAGCGCGAGGATAGTATATTCCGAGGGGCTTTGCACCCGTTGGTGGATCAATACCGACATAAAAGCTGCCATCAGTCTTTCTCCAAGTGCGGTGGAGATACCGGGCTTCTCGCGCCGCATCGTCCGAGTGCTTGACGAAGAAATCCCATCTCGTCGCCGGATCGTTTCCAGCAGCATTGAAATTTACCCATTGTGAGACATTGAGGTTCTCTGTCTGATCGTCTCCGGCTTCGAGGAGAAGTACAGAGTGTCCCGCTATGGCAAGGTTCGCCGCGAGTGGTCCACCTCCGGGACCAGAACCAACAACGATGTACTCGTAGGTCTTTCCATTGATATCTGGTGGAGCCGCAGAGGATAGACCAAGTAGTGATAGATACGCGAGGCTGGACACAAACGACAGTATGCGAGCCATTGCAACACAAGTCAAGGAGGTTCGACGACTACAGTGTGCTCTCATGAAGCAAAATCGCTCTTCTTATGCATTGCAGAAGATTCTCAGGATCTAAGGTACCAATCTTTCCATAGTGTGACGATGCACGTCGTACAGCCCCCTGTATTTAGGGCTGTTCTCGCCATGCCGGTAGATCAATTAAAGACCTTTCAGCCGGGCGGGTTCAGCGAATCGCAACATATGAGCATATTCCTGTCTTTGTCCCTCGACGATTGTTCGCCGCACCGTACATGCGCCAAGATAAAGGTTCCTGGGAAGATACGCCCCGCCATCTCGGGTGGAATCTCATCGGTGTGGCACTGTGAGATTGGGAAGCATCAAGGTTCGCAGGGAAGTTTTGCGATGCGTGGTCGAATGGCTTATGAAGATACAGTACTTCTTGAAAAATTTTGTGGTGCGAGTGTCGCGTTGCTCATATTTCACGCTGCACAAGTGCGCTCGACGACCCTGGAGGAAGCAAGCGATGAAAATTGTCGTCTGCAGTTGCTGGGCGACTATCTGCAGCCACAAGCTGACCGCATCAATTGATGCTTACCTCCGGATCGAGACACATTCGGTAAAGCGGAACGGAACGACCCAAGCGCCTGTCTAGATGGGGACACACGACATTGCCAGGCCTTGGGAATGGTTGCTCTTACTCGCCCGCGGGGCGCTCTGTACACTCAATTGCATTGGCATCCCCCCAATGATATTGCAAAATCACACTCTAAGAGCAGGTGATCAAACGAGATAACTCCACGAAGGCAATGTGTGCGTCCTGTGCTGGGCATGGCGAAATGTTGAGCTTGTGGGGTCCTGTCCAAGCCCCACTTTTCGCTTCGAGCCTATGTCCACCGCCATGCGCTCAGCTCGAGGATATCCCCTGACTCTGTTGAAGTGCGATGCCTCTATTCAATGGGAGCAACAAATTCATCGTCCAATAGCCCGGACACGAATTTGTTGCTCCCATTGAATAGAGGCATCGCACTTCAACAAACTTTTATACGTAGAAGGAGTAGGATGTGCCCAGGTACGCTGATATCACCGCGATCGACCCTCGTCCGCTCCCACCCGTGCCTGTCACAGCCATGATGTTGCATCACAGCTAATCTGAACGGATGTGCCAAGTGAGGAGAAAAGCTGTGCTATATCCCATAGTCATCGGAAGCTCTCTTATTATTTGATTCTCGTAGTCACTGCGAGACTAGCCTAGGCGACCGTCTGTAACTTGCCTTCTTCGTCAGCATCTTCACTATCAGCATTTCGACCTCTCTCAGTGGTTCAGAATTCATCGTCGTCGTCCTTCGTATCGTCTGAAACGCCATCTTCAAATACTGCACCCTCTTTCGGGCATATGTTGCTCCATCCGTGCGGACAAAGGCAGTTCGACAATTTCCATACACATTGCACCAGATCGGGAATCTGCGTAGTCTGTTTGACATGGTGTGCGCAATGCAGTCGAAGTCGCCATCGGAATAGTACTTCATCTTTCCGCGCACCTTGTGGCCGGCGGCCTCAGTTGCGTCCTTCCTGGGACTGATTGGTGTGGGTTTGGGGAAACAAGCGGCGCTGGTACTTACCAGGAAGAGGAATATGAAGAAAAGCATTGAGATTTAAACAATTACAAGCTGTGAGCAGCAGCCGGATATTGAGCAATACAAAAGGCACAGGACAGCGTGTGCTGTCCAAAGTATAACATGTACACATGTATGACAGTGCTGGAGAGCCAACAAGCCAGGACCATGCCAGGCTTCCATATCTTCCTTTGCAGCAGACCACTGAGATTTGAGTCACGGCAGTCGGCTATTCTCAGAACTATTGTTAAAGCCACGAGAGACCACGTTGACCTTGCTCACTCCGAGGATTACTGTTTGCCGGACATGCCAGCCCAAGCTTCTCCACGTTGGCAGAGAGTCGATTTCAGAAAGGGAGAAACTTGTTCGATTCCTGTCAATAGTACATACAATGGCCTTTCCACTGTCTAACCCGCTCTTTATTTAGACTGTTATGAAATCTCACCAGCCTTACACGTGAACAATTGTGATTGCAAGGCGTTTCGATTATGGGCCACTACGGCGGCAATCACAGCGACCGATACTCGTTCAATCACGTTGGCGCGTACACAGTGGAAAGTGTACAAACTGCCTTTCCGCCACTTTTTCAGTACCAGCTCTTCCTAATCTATCTTCTCGATTTTGAAATCTAAGGTAGCGACCTCTCCTTTACACAAGAGATTCTACCAAGCCTCACAAACACACCTCAATATGCGCTACACGGCTTTCTTCGCTATCTTCATTCTCTTCTCCACCACCCTCGCCTGCAAGTGTCTCAAAGACGGCAACAACGTGGTGGACCAAACTCAGTTCTGCTGCACGGTCGATCTCGGTAGCGGGGAGTACGATGAGGCAAAGCAGGACTGTGGAGCGCGCAGCATCTCCGAGAGGCCGCGTTACTTCTCTTCCTGCTGCCACAACGTGGGTGTCACTACTCCTTCAACTGTGATGAAGCCAGCAACGACTAGATGCGTGAGATAGCAGTGTGGGATGGGAAGGCTTGCGCACTTGCTAGTACAAAGTACAAATGTCAGGCTTTCGATCTTCTGTCGCCTGGGCATTGTTTCTGGGATATGGCAAAGGACAGCTCGGTTGGAAAGAGATTACAATGGCGGCTATTGGGCGAGGAAGGACAGTTCAAAATGGTTGAAGCGGGAAATCTAGTGATCACAGTTGGAGTGTTTGCAGGTCCGCGCTCGAGCTAAAGCGCTCAAACGCTGAGACTCATAAACCTATGCGCACAAACAGCAGGTACATAAAAAATACAAATGCCTCCTTACCAATCTCGTGTCTCTGTATCGTTCCAGCGACCCCACATCGATCTCGCCGATCCTACATCCTGATTCTCCCCCATCTCCGCCACCAGAACTCCACCAGACTTCCTTTACCAGCACAACAGCAAGATGCGCTACCATCATGCCCGAGACGCGAGACAAATGAAAGACTTCATAGCTGCATAAAATCTCACGTGCCTCTCCACGTCCACATCTCACGACTTTCTCTTGCAAGTGCTTCGAGAGCAGCTCCGGCAGGCGGTATCTTGCACAAACGAAGAATGAGCTGGGCAGGGACGAAATGCGAATGAGTGGATATCCCGAGATCTGTGCGCTCCTGCCAGCTTAATGCGCGCGGCAAACGGAAGGCACCCAGATCACAACGAGCAATATCAAACCTCGTTTGCCGCTGCCCCTTCTTCAATTCCCTCACCCATGGCTCAAACACCCGTCACGCAGCTTCCAAAATCCACAACCGAAGTCTAATCCAATATCCATACAAGCAAAACTTCTCTACAACATGCAACTTCACATCCTCGCCCTCGTTCTCCCCACCCTCCTCTACCTGTTCGCCTCCACCACCTCGGCTTGCAAGTGCTTGGTGGACGGCGTGAACGACTGGGAGCAAACGGAGTACTGCTGCTTGGCGCACGTGCACGGCGAGTATGACGAGGACAAGAAGGATTGCGTGGCGCACAGCATCGCGGAGAAGATGACCAAGTTCTCGTACTGCTGCTGGCTTCGGACGGGGGTTGTTGGGAGTGATTGCAAGCACTGAGGTATGTTTAGTTTGCAGAGCGGGGTGGTGAGAATGGGAGCTGATTCGCTGTCTAGCTGAGATCATTGATGGTATGACGAGGAGTACGGAATAGAGGGCATCGATGAAGGACCAGGACTAGGAATCCGGTAGGGTGTGAGCGAGGGGCGGAATATGATGGAAAGCACAGGATGTTGACGGGGCGTATCTACGGACCCTATCTATCGTCATAAGCCAAAGGAAAGGCAGTCATGGAGACCGACGGAAGAATTCAACTTTTCCAAAGGGCTGCTGGTTTGTGATTGACATGCATATTCGTGACATCCGTGATTCGGGGGTCAGATCGCGCAGACTCAAGTTTTGCGACTGTTGACGTATGACTTCCGCAGCCTTCATATTTGAAATGTCTTTGATTACTAGTCGATTCGCAGCATAGGAATTCAAGCTTCTGATGGGTATAACAGCCCCGATAAAAAACAACATGTCGCCCTCGACACCAACTTTGCGCCGCTGAACGCCGATAGAGCTGCTTTCTGTAGTCTCCGAACTGCATCAATGGTTGTCGCAGTGCAGCCAATGATCGCTTGCAAAAATGCCCGGTATCCTTTTCCCATCCGCCCAAAATTTATGCCCAATACTTGCATAGATGCAACAACCAAGCCCACCTCTCAAACAGGAATACCCCATGCCGCGCGCAGTCGTCTTGCAAGCTGTATGTCCTTCTGCTGGATTGTGACGCGTTTGGCGTGGATTGCGCAGAGATTTGCGTCATGGAAGAGACTGACGAGGAAAGCTTCGGTAGCTTCCTGCAGAGCCGCGACTGCCTGACTCTGCCATCTGTTGGGGCCGTCTTCGGTGGTAACATTCTGGCAAATTTCTCGGACCTTGACGAATGTTAGGCATCGCTTCCATCACAGTCCAAACATGATACTGACCAATCGCTGAAAAGGCGCTTTCAACAAAAGGAGCTCGGTTGACTTCTGGTACTTGCGGATCTCCTTGAGCGCGACGGTTCCAGGCTTGTATCGTCGCTTTCCCTTGGGCGCGGGGCCAGGGTCGCCAACTACAGATTAATCAGCATGCTGTGCGCAAACGATACCATTGCATTGCGTACCGCGCGCGCCACCAGATGACCTCCTCGGAGTCCCAGTCTTGCGTGCTGTGTCCTGCTTGCGTGCGCTTCTCTGGGAACTGCCAATGGGGCGCGACGGCCGCGCCGTATTCTTCCTGATCTGGCCTTTCGGAGGCATCGCGTGGTACTCGGCGGGCTCGACCCGTAGGCTTCAATTTGGAGGCCGCGGCAAACGGTGGGAGATGAAGGCGCACACGCCGGGTGCTGGAGAACGCGCTTGTTGTTCGACGCGAGGAAGTCGCGTCAGGTTTCGCAAACGGCGCGCAAGCGATGGCAGACGGGCGCTTTCAGAGATGCAATCCGGAGACGTCAGGGGCAATGGAGCTGGAGCGAGTCGTTCGGTGGGAGCTGTGCATTGTTTCGCATTCCTGCGGCGGCGTCGAGGGACTCGGGGAACGAGGGGGGCTGGTCGAGGTGGTGTGGCTGGGACTGGTCTCGGGATCTGTCGGAGGATCCTCGGATCTGGAGCCCAGGCACGCGGTCAGGTGACGACCGATAAGATAAGATAAGATGATCTCACCGCAACCACCTCGACTTGCTACGTAATCATCATCGGCTGCCGAAGTGCGTCCTGCGGGCGCGCCTACTTTGTCAACCTGCTTGCCCTCCGCCAGCTGTCCTCTCACCCGCCGCTTACGATATACAGCGCAGGAGCACTCCACTCTACCTCCGCACTTCACTCGCACCGACCCTCCTTGCGCTCCCCCAACACCTCCGACATTCCGCCCTCACCATGGCGGACGCGCTCGCCGGCGGCGGCATGGTTGGCCAGTTCCCGCTCGAGCAGTGGTTCTATGAGATGCCTGTGTGCACGCGGTGGTGGATGACGGCTGCTTTGAGCGCAAGCCTACTAGTGCAATGCCACATCGTGTCACCCTTCCAGCTGTTCTACAGCTTCCGCACTGTCTTCGTACGGAGCCAGGTATGTGAATCCCATGCGCATAGCTCCGGGTACACGAACTAATGATGCGTAGTACTGGCGTCTGATCACCACATTCTTCTACTTCGGGCCCTTCAGCCTCGACCTCCTCTACCACATCTTCTTCCTCCAGCGATACTCGCGCCTCCTCGAGGAGTCGTCGGGTCGGTCGCCCGCCCGTTTCTCGTGGCTTCTTACCTTTGCATCGACCCTGCTCTTGTGCATGGCTCCGCTGTTCTCCATGGCTTTCCTCGGGTCCGCTCTCTCTAGCACGCTTGTCTACATCTGGAGTCGCAAGAACCCCGACACCCAGCTCAGCTTCCTGGGCATATTTATATTCAAGGCGCCCTATCTGCCTTGGGTGCTTCTGTGCTTCTCTCTCATCATGCACGGAACGGTGCCCAAGGACGAGATATGCGGAATCGTCGTTGGCCACAGTACGTCATCTTCGCACCACTCCGGCAGACTTATGCTAACATCGTACAGTTTGGTACTTCTTCAACGACGTATACCCGCCGCTGCATAACAACCACAGCCCGCTTGACCCTCCCGCGTGGTGGGTCCGTCTCTTTGAAGGCCCGCCTCCACCCCCGGAGCCCACTGGCGAGGACCTCACGGATCTGACAGGCCAGCCCGTCGATGAAATCGACGTTCAGCCAGTACCCATTCGCGACGCACATGAATAGACGCATCATGATGGCATGGACTTTGGCGTCCCGGAGATATCAGACTACGAGCGCATTTTTATGATACCCTATCTTCTGTTCCATAGAGCCACGTGCTAGCGAGCGACATCGCTGTATATACCACGCGAGTGTCTGCATTGACAATTGGCCTCCATCTGTGTTTATCTCCATTTCCGCTTCCCGGACGTGTTTCAGCCATTATCCAATGAACGTGCTCAGGGACCTACATCATCTAAGCGATGACCCGGCGCTCGGTAAAGTGCCTGCCTAATCGGGCTACCTCACCGCTTCATCGTGCCTCTTTTTGGTGGGACTACGGGACGCTGTGGCAATGGGCTACGACGATTGACGGGGAAGCCCGAGTCCTGAATTAAGCCTGTGCATTTACTGATGGTATATATATCTTTCCACGTCCCAGACTCTTGATGCCCCAGGATCTTCCTCACTACAACCACAAATCGCACGTGCACGCCCATTCACCATGGCCTTCCACAAAGCGACCCTCCTCTCCCTCCTCCCTCTCATATCCCCTTCCGTCGCATGGGGCACACTCGGCCACGACACCGTCGCCTTCATCGCGCAATCCTTCGTCTCCAAAAAGACGGCCTCCTTCGCCAAAGCCCTCCTCAACGACTCCTCAGACGCCTACCTCGCCAATGTTGCCACCTGGGCCGACTCCTACCGCTACACCGCCGAAGGCGCCTTCTCCTCGCCCCTGCACTACATCGACGCGCTCGATGACCCGCCAGCTGAATGCAACGTCGACTACGAGCGCGACTGCCCTGAGGAAGGCTGCATCGTGTCTGCCATCGCGAACTACACAGCTCGCATCACGCCGGCCAACGTCTCCCTCGTGGAGCGCCAGAAGGCGCTGAAGTGGGTGATTCACTTCCTCGGCGACATCCACCAGCCGCTGCACGTTGAGAACCTCGAGATCGGCGGCAACGGAATTAATGTTACTTTCAACGGCACCGCGACAAATCTGCACCACATCTGGGACTCCAACATGCCCGAGAAGCTCATCGGGGGGTACTCACTGTCTGACGCGCGGGCCTGGGCGGGCGAGCTCGTGGGCGCGATCACGGCGGGAAAGTACGCGAATGCGAGCTCCACCTGGCTGAACGGCATCGATATCAAGGACCCTGTCGCGAGCGCGATGGTGTGGGCCCAGGACGCAAATTCTTATGTCTGTACCGCGGTGGTGCCGAAAGGGCAAGAGGCGGTCGAGGGGAAGGAGTTGCAGGGGGAGTATTACGATGAGGCTATTGTGGTCATTCAGCAGCAGATTGCGAAGGCGGGGGTGAGGTTGGCGGCGTGGTTGGATTTGATTGTTGAGGGGAAGACTGGAGGGCATGGTGGTCATGGGTATGGGCACGGTTATGGGCACGGATATGGACATGGGTATGCTAAGCGTGGCGAGGCGAAGCTGGAGGATTGGATGGTCGAGGCGAGGAGGGTAAGGAGAGCGTTTGGGTACAACTGTGGGGCGGAGGGACATCAGCACTGATGAGAGGGTGTGATGAAAAGATGAAGTAGATGATGTAGACGATATATGACGGGCGTAAGAATAGAGTTTGAAACGCAAAAGCTTCCAAGACAGAGACTTGAGACTGTTGTTCTGGTCGAAAACCGCAAAGGGGTCAGCAGTTCCAGTCCGAGTCTATTGACACGTCGAACAGCCACAGGATTGTTGCGAAATGTATTGCGGCGTCTATCATCGCCATAATCGCTCATCACCATGCCATGACTGGTTGAGCAAGAACCAACACGGGTGACAAACCCGTACTGACTTCATCGAGCTCGTAGGTCACTGCTGCCTTGCCATTAGCCGACGAGATACCGACGAGATTGGGATGCACGCAACCACAAACGCGTTGCGGGATCAATCTCAGCTGATTCTCTATGTATCGACTGTTGGCAAAGTCGAGGTAAAACGTAATCAACTGCAGTTGTCATGCACATACTCATTTGGGTTGATCAAGCGAAGTGAAGCTTTCATCTCGCCATTACTATAAACAAGAGCACCCTCAGCGCTCAAATGTTCAACACAGCAATCTTGCATCTCAACATGAGTAACAACCCATCAACAGTCACTTCTTAGGCCCCTCCTCCTGATATGACGGAGAATGCGAACTACCTCATCGCAAACAACTGCAAAGACGCCTGGCTCTATCCCACGGTCATGGACCTTTACCATCACTTTCCGAATGTCATTACTAAAGATCACGCCTTGGATTTTCTCGATGTCCCAGTGGACACCTTTCGGTCAAAACGACACCCTCCGCGCTCGGATCACCCGCATCCTAGATTTTCAGGACCGACCACCCTTGGGTTACACGTATACCTCGGCGGGTTGTCCAGGATCTCAAGCGTGAGATTGAAAAGCTCACTTTCACGGATTCAATAATGAGGGATCATCTCCCCATGGTGTTGAAGATGAAGCTTATGGAAAGCTTGTCTGGGAATACGTTCAATGTGTTACGTGCACGTGAAGAAGAGCAGTTGGCCTTCCGTGCAGATATTGCCAAGCACAAGAGCGAGCTTGAAAAGTTTCGACAGGAATTGGCCGCCAGTCGCAGATCAATCAGTGAGAACGCGGACGCGGGTCAAGGTGATAGATAGATAGTACGCGGAGTCACGGTTACAGCTTATAGGTCGCAACGCCTTAATCGTGGGCGACGGCGGGTTGCGGCGGCCTGCGAGTACAAAACACTCGGCAAGCTTGTTGCCGGGCCTCGGGCGCTATCAGTGCTACGCATTAAAGGTGCACTGAGCATCTTCGTATCGAATTTTAGCATTATGAAGCAAGTCGCATGGAATGAAGCGATTAGAAGACTGGGGTTTGGTCAACAACAGAGCCTGCGCCCTAGACTCATGGCGGCGTTGCGTCCTCAGAGTTTCGTCAAAACAACGCCCAGGCCTGAGGGAAATAGTTCACCCGTTGTATGTTCTGTGCAACAGGGCACCTAATGGGAGATTGGATTACATCCGTCCACAAGCAAGTACTTATCTAATCCCAGATGATCAATTGCCAGATTACCTTCTTTTTCTTCAACATCTGCATCACCCCACTAGGCAGCAAGTTGCGGTCCACGATGCTCAGCGCGCCAAATCTATGCTTCAACTCCTCGGCATACAAATGCATGATCCACTTGTTCTCGCTAGACATGTTGTCATCCCACCTTATCTTGTGCGAGTGACAAAGTTCCTCAAACCACGGCGCGACATCGTTGGTCAACTCGATGCTTTTCTCAACAGGCTCGCGCATGAGATCATCGTAAGCCTGTTTCAACTCGTAAGAATACGTCTCGCGATGGGCGGTATACTCCTCGAAAGAGAAAAATGGCTCGTTTGGGAAGCCAGTCTCTCGCGCGCTGTGGAAGCTAGAGTCGAAGCGACGTTGTCGATCCTAAATTGCGCGCACAGAGTCAGTTGCAGTTCCAGATAATAGATCGAGAGATTCTGACGGCCTAGGGCCTGCTGCAGGGTTCGGTTGTCGACGTAATGATATTGGGGTATAGCCACATCGATGAGGCGAAAATAAGTGGGCTTACCTGGGCAGAGAGCATCTCGAATGACTCTTGAAGCTCTTTGTATTTCGCTTTCTCGGCTTTGTGGAATTCGGCAATGCGATCCAGTGGATTCTTAATGAGCTGGTCTTTGAGGATGTAGAATGGGACAAACGGGCTCTGCAAGCCAAGACCTCCCAACTCCTCAAGGGCAAAAAAGAAAGCGTCCGGAACGTCTTCAACACCGAATCTTTGATGGATCTGCTGCCTCAGGTATTCTGAGACGCTGCCGTTGTGCTCTTCAAAGAGCTCGCGCTGCATCTTAGCAAAAGTCTTCAGTATGGCATCAACGTGTGCATGTCCAAAACAATTGGCTGGTCGACCGAACGCGTTTTTGAAGAATTTTCCCATACAAGCGTTCCAGATCTGGACCCAGCCAATGATGCTCTGACTCTCTCCAAGTCGTTTCTGCAGCTGGCGTACATGAGCTGAGACCTGTTTCTGGTCCAGTGTCCAGTCGCCTGATTCCGACAGCTGCAGCATTCCCATGCACACTGGACCATGTGGCAACTTTGACGCGGCAATCGATTCTTTAGGACGATCTGAAACATAGACAGATCCAGTTTTCTTGGTGTTGATATCGAGCCCAAGAACTTTAACAAAGTCTTGAATAGTCTCCCAGGCCTGCGCACATAGCGATGGCTCACCACACAGCCAAAGGTCGTCGTGAAAGCGGATCAATGTGGTGCTGCAGAGGCGGTTCACGGCGACGTCCATACACCACAATACACTTTCACCAAAGAGTTTCTCGAAGGCGTCAGTGATCGGAATACCTCGCTTCCGTATTTGTACGTTTTGACCGGGAGTTGGGTCCATTCGCAAGGGTGCTTCGGCAAACTTCTTGAAGAACATGATCCAATCCTCGGGAATACCCCAGAAGCGAAGAACAGCGAACAGTGTGGAGTGAGGAAGACCAGTGGCATACCATTGCAAGTCAGATTGGACGACGGCGACACTTCCATGAAGTGCACGTCTGATAATTACGTCTGTCGCGATTTGCTGAAGAAGTAGTTGTCGGATGGCAAGACCGCTCTTCTTTTTGCCGCCTGACTCAGGGTCTTCCCCATACGGATCAGATCCGTGATGGAGCGACGAAGGTAACGCTGAAAGGAGGAATGTGTTCCGGAAAGTTTCCAACTGTGCACCTGCTACCCCCTGATTCGACTGCTGGAGCTTGTTGGAAAAGTATGTTCGGCGCGATTCCTCAAGCCTCGAAGGCTTGTTCTTAGTCTTCCAGAACTTATCATCGTATGCTAGGCTTGTGAACTGTTGCTTGAGATGTGCGCTCCAGCTTACTGCAATATAGTGCAAAAAGATGGCCTGCAAGATGTCTTGATCCATCATTATGCGGTACCTAAACGCAAGGATGGGGAGTCAGTACATGCCATGTTGATTTGCATCGATGTGTTGTATTCTGTGTCTGGGACATATTCAGGGAATTACTTACTTTCCGTTTGCTTGTCGTCTCGGCTCATAGTACATGCCATCCTCTGCTTCCCAGGACCAATTGTCCAGATCAGAGAAGCGAAGGTTCAGGACGTCTGCAATCTCAGCAAGGACCACGTCGTTTGTTGAAAAGTCCGACAAAGTCGCCTTCGCGTCATCGTTGAGCAGATCATTCGTGAGCAGGGCGCAGATGCATTGCTTCAGGACGGGGGGATCAAATGGGTTCGCACGCTGTTTAAGATCGGCACCAAAGCGGGCCACGTTCGCACGAAGGTCATTAAGGATTTTCTCGGCGTGCTCATCGTCGAATAACGAGCTGAGATAGTTGTCAATCTCGACCTCGTCCGTCTCCAAGGGCGTGAAAACAACACTGCTGAATTTATCTTTGAGGTTCTGAAGATTGTACCTTTGAACATGCTCGAACGAGCCATCCAAGTCCCCTTGCTTGAGCTCTGATTCAGCGATCGGCTTGCTATCAGTCGAAGTCCATTCTGTAAGTAGGCGGTAGTACAGATTCGCGAAGTTGAAGCGCTCGCTCTCCTGCTCCAGTTTTTCGCGCACTTTTGTTTCAAAACGACGCAAGATGTTCATTGAAACGGAGGAGTCATGTCTGGACTGTTCCAAATAGCGACTCACGTTCTGAACTGACTTCTCTTGATCACTGTCGACATACCAGACACCTTTGTTGCTGAATGAGAGCTCTTGAAGACCGGAAAGTAAGACCTCGAGCTTAGCCGTCTGGTTCTCAGCGGCGTCAACGGCTTGAAGTAATTTGGATTTGCGGTCTTCGAAGGTAGTCCTACGTTTGTCCTGCTCACGCTTCTTGGTAGAGGTGATGGATTGTAGGGTCTGGGACAGGAAGCTTGATTCATTTGTCATGTTTCCGGCTGCGGACTGTTGTGAGTTCCGATCTAGAGCGCGCGCGAGAATCCCAGTGATTTGACGAATCGTGGTTGGGGGTTCGTTCTATGTGGGCGACAGAAAATGAATGGAGCAAGTCCGAATGAACTCGACAACGCGAAGAAGACGCGTATGCACGGGATCAGAGTAGCTTAAAATGGTGTGACCGGTCAAAGTGAACAGGCAGCAGGTCTGCCTGAGGCGGGAGAAATTACCGGATACGGCCATAGTGCTTACTGTGGATCAGCTTAGCGAAACCTCGACGAGCGACATACGGGATGATTTACAGGGAGACGTAGCACCCTTCTGAGAAGCCTTGACTGCTTGCTGCTACTGCCTTAAGTTTGCACTCGGAAGCCAAGTGATCATGTGATCATGGTCAAACTAAAGTGTTCTACTGGTGTATTCGTTGAAGTGGCTCGCGCCGTTCAACGTCGGATCACAGTAGGTGAGAGTGAAACATTGAACATACAATGTCGAGATCGACTATCAAAGCAAAGATTTGTGAGTGTTGTGTACAGTGAGTTGTTACGTGATGAGCTGCTCAACTCAGTATTTGGGTCAACCACTGTGGGTTATGCTCTGCGACGGGAGACACTGCCAGCCTGTCATTTTGGCCTTTTCGCCGTACAGCACGTCGTTAGGGTTGCTGTGGGGGACAGCGCCCAATAAATATCACGTGAACGCGCGCATGATTATGTCATGGGACCCGCACCTGGGCCCGAATTATCACCAGCACCAGCTCAGCCTCATCGTCGCCAGATTCCATTTCGCGTGCTCCCTTCCCTTGTCAACGCAACATGGCGCACCCGCAGCCGAAGCCGACCGCCATGTATCGGCTCCCGCCCGAGCTTTTGCTGCAGATAACTGATCACCTTCGACCCGAAACTGCTTCCGACCTGGTATGTGAACTTGCGCCGCTGCACGCCATTTTTTTCGCGCCTCGTATCGCGATCTAATCTGCTTCACCTGGGACCAAGATTGTAGCACCGCATCTCAACCGTTCTTGGGTATTCATTGATCATCTCTCAGGTACATCTACGTAATCTGTGTTTGGTTTCCAGGAAGCTTTTACCCATTGCACGAGAGCAGCTCTATGCGAATGCAGAACTCTCAACCTCTTGTGGGTGCCATCCTACCGTCAACTCTGCGCTCCAGCTTCTGCGCACCTTGCTTGAACATCCAGCGCTCGTACACCACGTGAAGGCGCTCCGATTCTCGGTGGTTCGGCGCAATGTCGGCAAGCTTTACCAAGACGAATACCCCAACAAACATCTTGACCTACCGGCTCTTCGAGACCTTTGCGCTGGTCAACTCGCCAACCTTGGTTATTCCGAAGAGCATCCGTGGATGGTTTCGCTTAGAAATAACGTTGAATCCGCGTATGCTGGATTGCTTCTCTGCATCCTACCCAACCTCGCGAAGTTACAATATGCCGTGAAGGAGCTCCACCGTGGCTGTGGCGTCGTGGATCCCATCCCGGCTTTCTTCGCAACTTGCTATCCGCCTGCCACCCTCGCAAGTGCCTTCAAGGCCAATCTCCAGGAGCTGTGCATGTCGGACTTGACTTTCTTACGTTCCTTTACTTTCGATAACTTGAATGCCCTCCGAATAACCTCTGTCACCGTACAGACTTTGTTACAGTTGAACGGTCCCAATACATTTCGAGGGACTGCGAGGTTGTCAGAGCTATGTGTAGGACTATCGGTGTACCTAATGGATAAAGACTGTATCAACGATATGCAGGTTGACTTCCGCGATCTCATCGACGCTCTTGGATGTGATCGACTTTCTACTCTTAAAGTCAAGCTCGAGCATGAATCTTACTGTCTCATTCATAGCCCAATCTTCGACGTTCAGCTACTGGTGGATCAACTCTCTAGTCTCCAGTCTACACTCAAAGTTCTAGAGATAGACTTGGATCCCTTGGATGACACTGATGAGTGGAACTACGTATTAAAACACTGCAAGAATGTCGGCTCGTCAATGGACAAGTTCAGGAAGCTGGAGCTTCTCAAGATTCCGCAAGACTTTCTCTTCGGCGATATAGAATCCGAGTACAAGATCATGCCTTCAGACCTCCCTAAGAAACTTCGCCGTCTTGAGATCATTTGCCCCGACGAGGACATCGTTCCATGGGCCAAATTTATTCTCAACGCGCCAGACGAGCTCGAGGACCTGCGAGAATTGTTCCTACGCTGTCGGGATGAAGTCAAAACTCCAGCCTCGACCTTTTCGACCGGAGTCAAACCGGTGTGGCCAGACTTGCTCTTCATGTGCGATATCACGAGCTACATTATCGATTTAACAGCAAACACGACCAAGAGCCTTCCGACACTCTATGAGGATGACCCTGGGGAGAGTGATGATGAGGACGAAGAATCGGAGCATGGTCTGGACGAAGTCGACAAGAGGGAGAGCGACAGCGGAGATTCTGAAGATGAAAGTGACGAAGATATGCCAGATTTGGAGCCTTTCGAAGCGTTTCCCAGCATATTGACAGACGACCTGGACTAAAGTCGCAGCCGGCTCGGAATCCAGCTGGGCCATCCCTCAGTCCATTCCGTGTGGTATGCAATCACAAAAGGGTCTCCTGAAGAGACATAACGGGAGCTGCGGGGGATTCGAGCAACATCAGTAAAGTGCCTCCTCGTTACCTTTGGCACTTGTTAGAAATCTTGATATGACTTACGAACCGAGCACCGCGATACAAGTAATCAGACAACTCTATATGTATAACGACTTTAATGTGTAATGATACGAATGGTATAACGACTGAATGTGATACGACTACTTGGGTAGAATTCTTCAATTTCAGCTTGGTGCCTCTGCTGAGGTAGTGCACTTTCCCGATCTGACAACGTAATGCAAATCACTTCTGAGCTGTATCAGCCGTCAGCCGAGAAAAACAAGTCGACCAAGTAGGATTGCATCGGTTGTTTGGTTGATGTTGATTAGCTTCTCAGCTGCGAAGCCACGTGCTGACGTAGAGCTTTTGCGATTCCTAGGATCTGAGATCATTTGTTCGGGTGGCTGCAGCTTACTAGGGCGTGTGGTTTGTTCCAGGCGATATGAGAGACGCTCCTATTAATTATAAGGACCTCGAGTTCTCCTGCTTAGACAAGGATGTGAGTGAGCAGTAAGCACAAAAAGTCGCTAAGCTTCTGCTGACTCGCGCTTCGGGCTATCCTTGTACTTAAACCGTCACATTTGCATGCCAGTGCCCTAACGTGGGAGTATATAAGACGATCTGGACTATTGGCCGCTGTCAAACCCGCCTGCGTCCATTGTTTGTCGACATATCCACTTCTATCACTTGTACTTACAACGTGCCGTAATATAGCCCTAGAATTATTGGCAAGCGACCTTGATTAATGTCTAGGCTGAAGACGACCAAGCTTACCCTACCCCCACTACGAGGTACGAAAGCTAAGTGGTGTGATTTCGCCTTGTAACGAATCTGACATGTCGTTCCTGCTGTAGCTCCCGACCCTAGTGACTAGTTTTCGCACCGCTCCTACAGAAGCTTATCTATCACGCGTCAAAGTGATTACGAGCTGCGACTTGCAGTCTCACCGACTTGTTGTCTTGTCCTTGCAATTTCCGCTCAAATCGGTGAAGTTTTCGTTCTGCGGAGTGGGCGAAGATCTTGGTTCTCGTATCCGGCACACGATACCCTGGAGGATTCTCGCATATGGCGATCGCTGCACGCGGACTGCTAGACAGACGCACGTAAACGCCACAAATAGCTTGCACGTGCACATTATCGTGCACGCTATCGTGCTGTTTGTGTAGGAAAGTGTAGTCTCAAGCACACTGCTGCACACTACCGAGTTCGGTTATCCTACGCAACCAACGATCCTCGTTACCACTCGGACTCGGTGCCCTTAGGGCCAGCGCTACTCCCTTTAGCAATCTTGGTGTATACGGACCACATCCTTACCTTCCATCTTTAGTTGCTGTCTACCGTCCCAATTTCATCGTTCGCCTACCAAAACGGTCCCAAAGTTGCTTCAGCCAATGGTAGAATCTGGTACGCTGGCCGAGCGCATGACAGAGCGCCACACTCGGATTCTTCTCACCTAGTGACGTCCACCATGCTTCTGCCCCTCGTTCCTCAAACTAACTTTACGACGCGATCATGCACGATATATTGATTTTGCAAGATGTGCATATCAGGACGTGCGTCCGGTCGCATGGGGTTGCACGTAAGACGTTGCTCTCCGGGCCATTGGGTTTTCGAGAAGCGGCTAGGGCGATGCAGAGCTGGGTGTTTGCGGTGTGAGCAGCAGCCTGGGGAACGGCAACGGGTGAGCTGAAGTGAGCGTGCAAGGCGGGAGGCCTAGATACGACCCACGCCGCGATCAGCTGCCCTGCATACGAATTTCGGAGCGATTTTGGGCGGCGCAGCGCGAGCGTGAGTAGAGCGACAGGAAAACCATATAATGAGTGGGTCGAGACAACAGTGAATGCTTGTGGATACGCGACTTTGCATTTGGCTTTTGCTGTCTTACATTCACTATGGCTATTTTCTTGTCGCTCTTTTTAGCATTCTTACTAATCCGAGATGTGGTATCTGTCTCTGCACCTATCCTGAGGTCGGCATGGACTGCAACGGCCGACTCTTTCAATCAGGGAAACGAACCTCAAAAGGCTATTGACGCGAATTTGAATACCTTCTGGCATTCACAATTCAATCCCACCCCCGATGCACTCCCAAATTGGATTGTTGTTGATATGAAAACCATCTACAACATTCATGCCGTCGGATACCTCCCTCGTCAGGACGGCAGTGCAAATGGAAGAATTGGCGGTCACAAGATTGAAGTGAGCACTGACGGAACGAACTGGAATCTCGCAGCAACTGGGACGTACCTCAATGATGCTATTGTAAAGAAGACGACCTTCATTACAAGAGCAGCTAGGTATGTCCGGATCACTGCGACCACAGAGGCACAGGGAGCCGGACTGCAGTGGACTTCGGCGGCCGAGATCAACGTCTATCATGAAGTGACCTACGATTACGCATCGAGAACGGGGTGGACTGCTTCAGCCGACAGCCAGGAAACAGTCAGTGAAAACTCTCCTGCGTCAAAGGCTATCGACGGTGACCCTACCACCCTGTGGCATACAAAATACAATGGTGGGGTTGTCGCACCACTGCCGCATTGGTTCCAGATCGATGCCGGTACCCAAATTACGGTTGAGGGTTTGAGTTATCTACCCCGAGGAAGTCCAGGAAACGGACGTATCGGACAATACAGCATCCAGGTGAGTAACGACGGCAACACGTGGACACAAGTTGCGACCGGCATGTGGGTAGATACCGAGGACGAGAAGATCTCGCTCTTCAGCGCGACTGCTCGGTATTTCCGGCTCAACGCTCTCACTGAAGCTGGCAACCGTGGCCAATGGACTACTGCAAGAGAGATTAACCTCGTCCGAGGCGAGACGGAAGTGGTTCCTGCTGCTCCTGCGGCATCGAAGGGTCTTTGGGTCAACACCGTCGACTTCCCGCTTGTGCCTGCTGCGGTAGCGATGCTTCCAAACGGAAAGGTGCTAGTCTGGTCGTCCTTCTCACGTGATAATTTTGGTGGCTCGAATGGTTTCACACAGACTGCCATCTATGATCCGGCTACTGGAGAGTCCACCCCTCGTACTGTAACCAACACAAACCACGACATGTTCTGTCCCGGTATCTCGATGGACTTCAATGGGCGCATTATAGTAACAGGCGGTAGTAATGCCGCAAAGACTAGTATCTACGATTCTGCAACCAACGCATGGACCGCCGGCCCAGATATGAAGATAGCACGAGGGTATCAATCGACTGCTACCGTCTCTGACGGTCGCATTTTCAATATTGGTGGTAGCTGGAGCGGAGGAGAGGGCAACAAGAATGGCGAAATATACAGCCCCAGTGCAAACACCTGGACGCTTCAATCGGGCGCCTTAGTGTCGCCTCTGCAGACTCAAGACAGGCAGGGTCCTTATCGCTCGGACAACCATGCGTGGCTGTTCACATGGAAGTCTGGCACTGTGTAAGTCATGTTCAAATTGACTTTACCCAGCTCTGCTAATCTTATTTTGAATTTAGCTTTCAAGCTGGTCCTTCCAAAGCGATGCATTGGTATGATACCACTGGTGCGGGTAGTGTCACTGCCGCAGGAAACCGTGGAGATGACGGCGATGCTATGTGTGGTAACGCGGTGATGTATGATGCCCCTGCTGGTAAGATCCTGACAGCTGGTGGCGCTGCAAACTACCAGGAAGATAACGCCCGCACGAATGCCTATGTCATCACTATCGGAGCGACAAAACAGAACCCTCAGGTGACCAGAGTTCCCAACATGGCCTTTGCACGAGGCTTTGCAAATGGAGTCGCTCTTCCCGATGGCACTGTTTTCGTGACTGGTGGGCAAAGCTATGTCAAACCGTTCACGGACACGACCGCACAATTTACGCCCGAGCTCTTCAATCCTGCGACGAATACGTGGACGCAACTGAACCCAATGTCCATTGCCAGGACCTATCACTCGGTTGCAATTCTTCTTCCAGATGCAACCGTCCTTCAAGGAGGAGGTGGCTTGTGCGGCGGTTGCGGTGTAAACCACTTCGACGCCGAGATCTTCGTTCCTCCATATCTGTTGAACACCGATGGCACGCGAAGAACACGTCCAGTCATCAACAACGTTGCTGCGACCGTGCGACTCGGCGCTACAGTCACCATTACTACGAATTCAGCGGTAACGAGATTTGCCCTAGTTCGATCCGGCTCCGCAACCCACACGGTAGATACCGATCAGCGACGGATCCCACTCACGCCCTCGGGCAGCGGGACTACATATACAATAACGATTCCTAGTGATGCCGGCGTGGCTCTTCCCGGGTTTTGGTTCTTGTTCGCGCTGAATTCGGCTGGCACACCGAGTGTTGCGAAGATAATTAAAATCACTACTTAGTATATGGCATAGAGGGATCCCCTATGTAATTTAATGTAATATCTTCCTATCTCAATTTACTTTCAGACTTTATTTGCTATCGACGCAATTCGATCCAACTGCTCACTGAGCACCGGCTTTTGGAGACCAATCAAAACCTTGATTCGTGGTGACTATCTTTGCGGGACGATCAGTCCTTCCGAATCCGATATGCAATGGTAAACCCTTCCTGCAACAAGCTATGGAGTTGCTCTTTGAGCGGTGTATCCGGATGCCCATCCGTCACTCCCAGACGGACCTTGTCGGTACCATCATGGGCGATATAGATGCATCGTACAGTCTTGCTAATCTCAGGGTCTTGGCTGATATCGTACAGTCGACCCAAGCTTCCCAATGTCAGATCAACGATGAGCGTTGGTAAGCCGCCTTCCAGAAGTCGCGAAAAGTCTATCAGTAGAGGGTGCGACACGTCATTCGCAAAGCAAACACGCCATAGAGTTTGCTGGCATAGGACCCAGGCCGGCGTCTGATGAGGTGAGAGCAGACCTCATTGATTAGCTCCAGTGGGAGCTTGGAAACAGAAACCATGTTCGTCATGGCGTAGGCAGAACGTCAATACTCTGTGCGAAGGTCAACGTATACACGAAGCATGGATAAAAGCAGTCTATAGCCTATAAAATTCATCAGGCGCCGCTTGATACCTGAATTCATACAGCTCTCTGCGATAATCTGCAGTTTAGGTAATAGGTTTCCAGGGTTGGAGCCCGTGCACTCAGCGTCAGTGGCGCCTGCATCATACGTACGAAGACTCAGCAAGATCAGGACTGACTGATAAGAAGATATTGAATATCGCTGGATGAAGCTGCGGATGTTTTAGCGCCCTGAATAGCGGTACAGGTCGTTGTTGGGCCTGGCGGACCCCAGCGGGGCGGTTCCGGAATGCTGTTGTCCCGCGCGGCTTGCCGTGCTATAGAGAGTTCCTCACTTAACGGCTTTTTACCTATTCCGGCATCGACAAGTACTATGTATGATAGATATTTGTGCGCGTTATCACTATCTATATATACGACCGCAAAAAATACTTCCGCTATGACCTCTGGAATTGAATATCATCCCCACTCATAGGCTTGGCCAACCCGCTTTCGTTAGTCGTACCCACGCTTCTGCCCTGCAGTTCCACTGGCTCAATATATACGCTAGACCTGCCTATCTCCTGAGGTGGGTATGCTTGATTGGAGTGTATCTCTTGTTTGGCGTGGAGCGATGGAAGTTCTAGAGGAGGCGTAGATGGCAAGTCTCTGTGCCCGGCACGCTGGCCATCCCGGTTCCTTCGGACGTACCAAAAGACCAGTCCAACCACCAGGGCTATGCCACAGACACCGCCTACTATGCCACCTGCTATAGCTCCGGTATGATTACCGGGTGACGATTGCGGTACCGCAGAAGCCAGAGGCGAAGGTGTCCCGTTAGGTACGTCACAAAAGTCGATGCTGTAGTATACCCACGTTCTGTTGTAGCAGGTAGCGATGTGTGCGAACTCAAGAGTCTTGGACGAGCATGGACTGGTAGGGTCCTCGTCCTTCCCATAGATGGTGGCTTTGAACGTTAACGAGATACAGCATGGGCGAATAGCTGCGCCTTACGTGTACATCCATGATCGAGGCCCACGATCTGGAAGCTTTTCCAAGCAGGACCTTTTATATCCAGTGGTGTGCAGGTGCCATTAGGGTATCCGTTCGGTCCATCGATGCCCTCCAGAGAATTCAAGCATTTGTCGTCTGAGAACGTTGCAAGGCTAGAGCCTAGCGAGCCAACAACGAGAGCAAGAATGAATGCAAGGCCGAGGCTGAAGCGAGTCTGGCTACCACAGGGACGATCCATTCGGCTTTGCGAGAAGACGCCTTTCGGTTGAGAGAATACCACCGTTCATATTAGGAGGTCATAATGTGAGCCAACGTGCGATGCAAACTTGGAGATTTGCCACGGCGGCGCCGCTTTCGCCTTGCCGTTCTACATCGCTTGATATGCGATAAGAGGACATATGCTGCGACTGTGTGTGTCCGAATCAGAATCAGCTGCGTCAGAGCCACGAGGCTGTCCAATAGAAGACGAGGTCTTACCAGCACAAACCAGATCTGGTAGCAGCGCAATTTATTCTGGATGTGTAATGGTTCCACAAGCAAGCGGGCACGAATCTTTTGTACTTTTTTTCACGCATGAGATTACTACCCTGGCACACACCTTTCAGTTGACAAATCTCCGAGCAGATGTGACCTATCAACGCAGATGTCTGAACTGTAAATCAGGAGGCAAATGAAACGCGACCAGAAACACAACCTCTCATTTTGCGGTGTTGTATCCATAGCTGAAGAGTCCGCAGCCCCTGCAAGTGACTAAGTCTTCAGCCGCAAGACGATGCGATGGCTCCGAAGTGTTCCCAAACACCTTCTAGATCGATACACATGAGCGTCAGCAGGTTGTATGATCTGACATGTTTCGATACCATAGATACCACTCTGGCCTGAGCTAGCATTGCTGACTGCCCAATTGTTGGAAGGAGTAGTTCAGCTTCTTGGAACTTAGGAATGATGAGGAAGCGAGAAGTGGACATGGATAACGTTGATGCAAGCATTATTGACTTGAGTGGGTTCAAAAACATTTCATTAGTGGGTGGATGTTTTATGATAATAAATGAAAAATGTTAGCAGCGGTGCGCACTCGTAGCTGCTTCCAACCCCGCTATCGCTCTCAGGCAAGCGCGACCCCCGTTAGATCACCAAGCTCCGCAAACAACACCTTCTTCTCCCTCTTCTCGATGTCAATCTTATAAACTCCACCAGCAAGATCGGTGACATAGCAAAGACCAGCGTCTTTATCCAGTGCCAGCCCGATTGCTTCGTGCAACCTGGTAGCCAATACCTCTCTTTCCCGCTTGCCGCCATCCATCTTCGCCCGGTTCAGCGAATTTCCTGTCGGCGGGTCACCCCGATCCGTCCAGTACAGCATCGCATTTTCCTCGTCCATCTCGAGATCAATCGGCTCGGGTAGATCCGTGAAGACGACCTCGCATTCGTCTGGCTTATCTACGCGAGAACGGAATATGCGGCCCATCTTACTCTTCGGTGCACCCTTTTGGCTCCAGTAGAAGAAACCGCGCGCTTCATCCACCGTGATACCGACGCACCAGCGGCACTGCGGGTGCGGTTCTTCCGAGGCGGCGGTGTCTACTAGGATCTCGATGTTTGTGCCGTCTAGATTGCTGCGGCATACCTTCATGCCTTCCCGGTCGCACCAGTAAAGCTTGCGGCTGAGAGGCGCGATGGTGATCTGCTTGGGCGTATGCACACCGGGTGTGCCTGGCGCCACGATGACTGAGCGCTCGGAGCCGTCAAGGTGGGCGCGCTCGATAGAGCCTGAGTTGCTGCTCAGAGAGGTGCCCATGTTGGTCCAGTACATGAACTCGTGGTCTTGGTCGATGGTGATACCATCCGGGAGAGTCTTGATGTTTTCGACGACGGTGCGCAGGTCTGAGCCATTGGTGTCGCATGACTTGATGCTCCCGCGAGTGTTGGGAAGTTTAGATAGATCTGTGTCAAGGATGAATAATCGTTTGGATTCCTTCTCGACTCCAGCTTCTGCTTCTGTTTCTCTCCTCAGATTAAGCAGTTGCACGATCTCGTCGTCTCTTTTCCTAGACAAATCGACATATTTCCTGCCGTTCACGGAATCTAGGGTACCGGCCACCCACTTGTTCTTCAAGTCTTCATCTATCACGGGGTCTTCTTGAGCCCACCATGTTGTCATCGGCTGCAGCAGGTGATTCGCCATGTGTTCGACTCCGCCTTCACCGCCAGCCAGGTGCATTAATGTGCTGGGTCCCATAACACCCCATCTTAGCCCAGGGCCATACGCCATCGCGTCATCGATATCCTTCACAGTACATATATCGTTCTTTACGATGTGGAAGATCTCGCGGAACAGCGCCGCCTGCAGACGATTCGCGATATGCCCGGGAACTTCTTTCTGCACGTAGATTGGTTTCTTTCCCACATCTTCGTAAAATTGCAGGGTTCGCTCAATGGTAGATTTGGATGTGAGCTGACCACCAACAACTTCGACCAGGGGAATGAGATGAGGAGGGTTGAATGGGTGGCCGACCACGCATCGCTCGGGTTTTGAAGCTGCCGGCATACCCTCCTGGATCTTCGAGCACATCAGTCCACTGGAGCTGGTCGCAATAATGACATGGTCGGGGAGGTGTTTCGCGATGTCTGTAAAGAGACTTTGCTTGAAGTCCAATCGCTCTGGGCCGTTTTCCTGCACGAAGTCGGCGTTGCGGAGCGCTTCTTGAAGGTCGGTCGTGAATGTGATGTCGTCTACGGTCGCGGACGTGTTTTGGAGGAGGCCTAATGATTTCAACGTTGGAAGTGCGGTTGCGGTGACTGTGTGGAGGAATGTTTTGCTTGATGGGTTGATGTCGTAGACGCTGACATTGAGACCCTGGGCGAGGAAGAGAGCTGCCCATGATGCGCCGATCGAACCGCATCCTATTATGGCGACATTTCGTATCTCTCGGTGAAAGGGAGTAGCGTGTGGCATACTTGTTTACAATGATGTATGAATCTTCACACGATAGAACTGATATCAAGAGGACGAAGCGTTGGACAACTAAGGTAAAGACCACCTCGCCTTGGCCCACCCATCTCTTATATACAACCTGCAATGAGTACGTAGTGACCCCTCCTCACTCAAACACTTCGCAAAAACATTTCGCGCTGCCTCGCACGAAGCCCATCCGATGACGCCAGACACGTCGGAGATATCTCGTAGCATCACGATCGGCGGAGATCGGCCGGCACGGTACTCCTGGCCCCTACCGGTAATCGGGCCGTCAAAAACGTGGCAAACCGCTCCCTACACGATCAATCATTGGCTACACCACGGTACCTGGATGATCTCCTACCTCATTTGGAGATGGTGCTGTCCTCGTACGAGGAAACGGCGCGCAGAATACGCAGGGCGGGTGGGGGCGCGCGGGTCCTTCCGAGGCGATTTTAGTGATCAGACCGAGCTTCGTTGTGACGGCCGAGATTGGGAATGACGTGGTGGTGTCTGTTGCTCGGTGAAGGATGTTGTCTGATTTTGATATCGGGAAGAAGATATAAAGAAGGGCAGGACGGCGCTTTGGATGCAGACATTTACTGATGCGCCAGCGATTCGACTCCCTACAAGACCTTAGCAACCTTATTGATTACACTACTTTCCCTTACCACCGCGAACATGTCTGAAGCCAAGCGAACAAAGGACATTTACGGGCCGGGGACGTACACTGATAAGGAGTTCATACCTGTTCCAAGGGATACAGAGCGCATCTTCCGCCAGCTCGCTGAACAAACGCCCAGCTTCACACGAGATGAAACCCTCCTCTCAAAGGTTCAGTTCACGGGTGAAGACTTCCCCATCATCCCCGGCCCCATTAAGGCGACGTCCGTAGCCGCAGCCCTCCACGCCATGTGCGGCGTGCTCGCAGACGAGATCCTCACCCTCCGCGGCGCACAAGATTCCTCCCGCAAGGTTACTGTAAACACCACACACGTCGCCTTCTGGTTCGGCGCCGTCGCAACAGCATACCTCGGCGGCGAAGACGTCCTCACGCTGGCCGGCAAGGGTGCTCTGAAGAACGTAGTCCCGGACTGGGAGCGCGGCTGGGTCGACACGCCGCTCAAGTACCGCGCAACAGGGCTCTATCCGACCAAGGACTCGCAGACGTGGTACTCGCTGCACGGCAGCATGAATGCGGAGCCTGTGCTGCGGTCCATCGGGCTGGACCCCGCGACGAAGGTTGGCTCGAACGAAGAGGCTGCCCAGCTGATCGCGGAGCACACAAAGAAGTTTCTGCCCGCGGAGCTCGAGATGAACAACCTCATGAACGGGTTCTGCGGGTCTGTGTGTTTCACGCCGAAGCAGTGGAATGAGAGCAACATGGGGAAGAGGCTGGCGGAGCATCCGCTTGTGGACGTGGAGCAGCAGACGCACGCTGTGCCCACGCCTCCCGTTGCGTTTCTTCCACTCAAGAAGGGTGATCTTAGACCACTAGCTGGCGTCAAGGTCGTGGAGATGACCCGCGTCATCGCAGGACCGCAAATCGGCACTATCTTAACATCCCTGGGTGCAGATGTGGTTAGGCTCAACCCACCGCATCTCCCAGACATAAACATCATGCAACTCACCCTCAACGCGGGCAAGCGCACCACAACCGTCGACCTCCGCAAGCCCGAAGAGCTCGCGCAATTGCAGCAGCTCCTCTCCGACGCCGACGTTTTCGTGCAAGGGTTCCGCCACGGCAAGATGAAGAAGTTCGGTCTGGGGCTGGAGGAGATGCTCGAGATGGCTGGCAAACGCGGCAAGGGGATCGTGTACGTGTCTGAGAACTGCTACGGGCGTGAGGGATACTACCGTGAGCGTCCGGGGTGGCAGCAAATTGCAGATGCAGCAGCGGGATCCGCCTACGTGACGGGCAAGGCGCTGGAGCTGACACAGAACCTCCCCGCACATGAGGCCGTGCTACCCAGTCTTCCTATCTCAGATATGTCGACCGGTGTACTGGGCGCGGTGGGCACGTTGCTTGCACTGCGGGACCGCGCGACAAAGGGTGGGAGTTACTCTGTCCATGCAAGCTTGACGGGCGTGAATGCGTATGCGCTGAGGGAAGACGTAGGGCTGTACCCCGTGGATGTGGTGCGAGAGTGCCAGGAGCGATTCGAGTGGCAGAGCATGCGTGGCTCGCATCATGTGCTGGACATCCTCGTGACCGTGTGGAAGGGGTGGAAGAAGGTCCTCGGCCAGTACCTTGAAGAAGAGAGCGGCTGGTTCCAGACTTTCGACAAGAGTGCGTTTGATGGAAAGAGGCTGTCTATTCTGAAGCCTGTCGCGCAAATCGAGGGTGCGGAGACCGAGTGGAAGACGCCGAGTGCACCGTATGGAACAGAGAAGTTGGCGAGCATAGAGTGGTTGTAGTTGCGAGACGGCATGTTTGCGCGGTGTTTCGGTGTGATACCATTTCGTAATTCAAGCGATACTGTACTCATTCAATTCAAAGCCATTCAAGCGATGCTGTACTCATTCAATTCAAAAACTGCTTTGCTTTCCAATTAGTCGTGTTCACATCCTGTTTGACGTATAGCAGTGTCGCCAGTCTGACATCTGTACTATGCGCACAAAGGACTGTTCGCTTCGACATGTGATGATACCCACATCAGCCCATCTTCTCGCACTCATCAAGTGCAATCGCTAGAACATGCCTCTCCCGTGAGTGGGTTGCCTCAATGTACACTTCACGCCTACCTAGCCCGAGGCATCAGCTGTGTTTTGTCTGCAGCATTCACAGCACCAGCTCCACAACACCCCAGATTTACTGGATTCGGGCATGGGACTGTTGTGATTGAAATGATTCTTCTGATTGGGTATCTCATCTAGTCAAAGTTCATAACGCCATTCCATGCATGTTGAGTTGCCGTACATCTATCTTCCAAAACCTGGAGGAGGTTGTACGAAGCCCGGCGGAGGAGGGCCTCCAGGGAAGCCGGGCGGTGGAGGGTAGAAATTCGTGGGCGGGGCACCGCTGGGAGGCCTCGCAGGCAGACCGGATGGCAGCGGTGGAAGAGAGGGCGGCGGGGCTTGGGGCGGGCCCCGCGGGGGTGGTCCTGCGTACCCGCTTGGTGCATTCGGCATGCCAGGGGCACGGGGTCCTGTGGGAGCCTGTGGCGGGGGTGCCTGGAAGAGATGGGCGGGAAGGGGCTGCACCGCGGGAGCGACACCGTGCGCCTTTGCTTGTTTGGCAAGCAAACGCTCCGCGTCGTCTCCGTGGCGCGCGCCCTGGCCGTCCTTCTTGTAGGCATATTGCACGGATATCTGCTTGCCCTGCATGTACTGGCCGTGCATGTTCGCGATGGCTGCATCCGAGGCATCAAAGTCGGCGTAGGAAACGAAGCCATAGCCCTTGGAAAGTCCCAGCTCGTCGCGCGCAATCTTGGGGGCGTTGACAAGCTGGCCGAAACGCAGGAACGTGTCGTACAGCGACCGCTCGTCGACGCCGTGGTCGAGGTTGCCGATGAACAGCTCCGCGCCAACCTCGACGCTCTTTGCCTTGTCTGCAGAAGCCTTGTTCATGCGGATCGCGTTGTTGTAGAGGCGCGTGCCGTTGAGGATGGAGATGACGTACTCGGCGTCGCTCTCGGTCGCGAACTCGACGAAGCCGAAGCCCTGGTGCTTGCCATTGACGCGGTCGACGGGCATGTTGATGGTGCGCACGCGGCCGTGGTGGTTCATGAGCTCGGTCAAGAGCTGCTGCGTCACATCTTCGTGGATGTTGCCGACGTAGACGGTGGCTTCCTTGTTCTGTTCCCTGCCGGGAGTCAGCAGGTGCAAGGCAGTTGGGCATGTTGCGACACGTACCAGTGGCGCGCGGCGGGGCCTGCCATGGCTTGGGTGAGCTGGTGGGAATCTGCTCGCTGGCCGGAGAGTGCTATGCGTTGCTCGTGGCACGTGGGCGCAAGACGAGGTGGTGGTGGCGGGTTGTTGTCGTCGTCGAGCCCGAAAATTGAAGCTCTCCCCAGGTAGCGGCTTGGCAGACGCGGCGGCACGTGCACAAGCTGCCGCGAAACTTTCATGCCGGGTCGGGATGCGCTCGTCGTCCATCCCCACGAGACTCCATCACACCACACTGCCACCGCCCGCCATCCTGCACCCGTCGCCGCTCCGTCCAATCCGGCCACCATGTTCCAGCTCTCAGAGGAATCCAAGGTCCGTCCGCTCCCGCCCCCCCCAATGCAGCCAGACTAACCATCACCCAGGAGCGCATCGCCCGCATCATCGATGTCTCACGCGTCGCGATCCACTACGGCTACCTCCCGTTGATCCTCTATCTCGGATACTCTCGCAGCGAGCCGAGGCCGTCGCTCATCCGGTCAGTGTCCTCGGGCCGGAGGCTCCAAAGCGGTGAAGGCTGACGGCAACACAGACTCTTCTCTCCTCTTGCATAAATGCGTGCCGTCACGAAGTGGCACACCCCCGCTGGGTTCCGAGGGGCGCGTCGCCCGCTGTATATTACCGTACCATTATCATCCGGCGCAACTGGCATCATGGGTCATGTATAGGACATGTATAGAGGGAAGCATAGGCGGTAGGGCCTGGTCTATTCCGGCCGTGGGGAACTCCTCTTTCTTTGGCGTGCACAGCAGCAGTCCACACGTGGAGCACGCTGCGAACATGTACATTCCTGCACGCAATTTAATGGTTGCCGCACGCCTAGCCATCTGGCGTGTGGCTTTTGCTAGACCTGTAAAGGACGTGTAAACCACCTGCTAGCCTGACCGTATTGGTATTGCCGCTCGTAGGCGCAATCCATCTACGGTTCACAGTGCGAATAAAACAGGACTACCATGCTCGTTGGAGGCTGCGCCCTAGCACTGCAGCCAAGTGATGCCCAAGAGCACCAATGGTGGGCCCCTCCCAACCCCACGTGTCGCTCGTTTGCTTCCAATATATCGGCCCGCGCTCCACCGCAGCTCGACCTCAAGCATCGGTCAAAAGCACCCTGACCGTCAGAATGGAGCACCAGCCCTGTAGACGCGTCCAGAGCTCCCACGGCCCCAGGCTCCCAGACGGGGCTCCGTGCGCCTTTGACAGCTGCCATGCCCATGCCCCCACGCACCTTTCACCTACGTATATCGCGCCCCTCTGGCTGTCCGATCCTCTTTGTTGCCCCCCAGATTCACTGAGACGCCCCAGCAGCAGTTGTTCAGATCGTCACGGCCACCCCTGCCGAGCTTGCACGTGTTCCGCAGCGACCCGTCCATGCTGCACCCGCTCCCAGGATGACGGTCCCCAGCATCGGGGATATATTGTTACTCTCCCAAACGGCTTGGAAAGTCGGTCGTGCTTTCACTGCGGGCCGGACCCACGCACCCACCGAGTTTCAGGACGTCGAGGTGGAGATCAATGCCCTTGCCAAAGCTCTTAAGCTGCTTGCCGAGGCTCTGTTCGCCGAGTCTGAAGATGGCCTGCTGAAGCAAGCAGACGCCAAAACCGAACATGGATTTGCCACTATTGTCAATTCCTGTTCGCGAGCCGTTCACGATCTCGAATCTCTGCTGGACCAGTACCAAGTCGTCAAGAAAACGCGCAACTCCGGCGGTTTTGCCGTTGAAAGATCATGGAGTGACATGGTGCTGGCGCAGTACAAGACCATGATGTGGACTACAGATGGAGGAAACCTGCAGAACCTGCGATATCTGCTTCAGATGCACGCAAACACCATCACTCTCACTATGCGTGCATTGCAGAGGTAACTTGGTGGCATCGGGTTCTGGCACACGCAACCTTCGCTAATTGGTGTAGCAAGTCGATAACCCAACTCGAATGCGTCGTCAATCCGATCGCTGAACAGGTAGACAGCATTCAGCATCGAACGCGCACCCTCAGCCAGCAACTTGATGAAGCCAATCGTATCGTCAGAGACATTGCAAGCCGGTCGCACTTCCCGCCCACGCCAAATACTATGGCCAGCTCACCAGGCACCCTTCCTCTTCAGCCATCACAAAATTCGCCAGATCTTTACTTGGCATCAGACTTCTTCCCCCCTCGGAAGAGCTCTAACAGTAACCGCCCTCGATCTCCACCCCCCTCATTTGGTTCCCCAGAGCTTTCCGCGCCTGCCTCACCGCCTAGATCTACGCTGCCTTCGCCGCGGACAACTCGGAAACGGATCTCCGAATTCAGTGTCGGCGGCCCTGGGTCACGGTATTCTGGCAGTGTAGCGTCCTCTGATGGAGATTCCAGCCACGACTCGAAAACCCCACTCCGATACGCGTACTTGTCTCGTCAACCTTCCACGAAAGCCCCCAACCTTGCCAAGTCGGTGACAGACCGAGAGGCGCGCTCCAGGCCAGACTCCGGGGTGCTTTCGCCCATGCTACCACCGCCAGCCATGACGCTTCCACCTTTGCCAGATACTGAGGCTGGTGCTGAAACAGCGTCTTTGATATCAGGGCTGAGTCTCGGCCAACAATCCCCATCTGCGGGATCAGAAATCAAGAAATTGCATCGAAGCTCGATGACATTGGTTCAGAAAGAGCAATTCGAAAAAGTGGCGTTCCGGAACGCGGCTATCTTATGCGACGTGTAAGCCACATATCTCGTATTCTGCTGCCACAATCACGTCAACTAGCCCATTCCTCACCTTCAGATGACTGACTATACTCAGCCGTGGTACCACAGTCGAATATGCGCAAAAAGTATCGGCCGACGAGGGCTCTCACGATGTTGAGATGGTGGAAGCTTGCCACGAATGTCGCATTGCTGTCGTTCGTAAGCGCGAGGCGATGGCCGATGCGAAACACGATATCCGCATGATGACTTCAATATGGGTCTTTAGTGATGATAACACGGTCAGGCTAGAACTCAAGATGGTGGACGGTGAGATGTATGTCCCGTACTCGAGCTACTTTAGCCCGGAGAAAGTCTCCGTCACCGTGCCGTGCGAGCTCAAATTCCACGATGTGAAGTATGGACAACGTGTACTCAGGACTGCGAAGACGACCTGGATCAATTACATCTTCGAGTCCGCGCACAGTAAGCAGTAACCCTACATCAATGCCCGTGTCCAACTAACGGTGTGCCAGGCGCAGCGCTGTTTCAAAATGAGCTTATGGGCCGCACACTCCTTGCCACCTACCGCACCTCCAAGACCTTGCGTATCCACGAAGGCCTCTCGGGTGCCTTCTCATACGCCGAGCAAATGTGCGGCATGGAGAATCTGCGCATCTGGGAAGACAATGACTCGCTCGCCGTCATTGTACTCATCCACTTCAGCCCACAGTTCCGTAACGGCTACCTGGCTTTCTACCTCAACTCGGCTAACACGCCCATTCGCGTGAAAGACGATGGCGGCCGTGAGGTGAAGGTGAAAGGGTTGCGGGTGCCATTGGAGGGCAAAGGCAGTGGGAGGAAAGACAGCGTTATTGCAGAGGGAAAGAACAGGGGCGAGGGCGTTGACAAGAAAAAGATGGTCACGGGCGCGCGGATCGAGTTTGCGAGCGAGGCAGAGAAGAGAGATTTTCTAAGCCTAGTTTGGGAGGTCCAGAAAGAGATGCGGGATCTGCCCGGCTTAGCGGGTGTGAATTAGGACCCTAAACTTTTTGGTTGCGGCTTCATTATTGAAGATTGTGCGATGTTGTTGGTTCCGCTTTGTATAAGATGAGGGCTACGGCGGTAACCTGATTTGGATGACATCCAGGACCTCCTGGTTCGTTGCTGGTCGCTCAACAAGTTTAATTTTCAGCCGTCACCCCGAGCACGATCACTCTTAATCGCCTGGGGGTCTTGCTGTGCGCATCATTAAGACCTCACATGGAGTATGCAGTCATCCCAGTTCGACTTCTCCCTCGAACTCTCGACGTCTTACTGTTGTGGACGCCTTGCATGCTGCGAGAACACTTATCAACCCAAGCTGGCACAACGCGACCGTACGAACGGATGCGATCAGGAGCTAGTATCAAAGCAGTACCAACGACTCGCTTCAAACATCAAATAGTTACCATCATATTTGCTCAAAAACCTGCAGTGTCTAATCGATCGGCCGGGCGCATAATGTTGAGCGTATCGCAACTCGCTAGAATCACACGGCGCACAGCTCTATATATTCACTTGCCGGACAGCTGGCATTCCTCAACCCTCACTCTGCGAGGCCTCAGTGAGGACTCAAGGTCCGGACTTCGATTCACGCATCACCGGTCTGTTCACTTTCACCTTCACTTGACGAACTAGCCTAGCGGCTTCCTGCAGAGATATATCAATACCCTGCCCCACCCTTCATATTCGGAATATTCGCACTACCACCTCCATCGCGCATTTCATTCAATGTAAGTCGAGGCCGGTATTCGAGGCTACAGTGCCCTCAGAAGTTTGCACGACTCGGAGCAATCAATTGATTAGACAAACTTCAGATATGCTCTCGTGACGAGCGATCAAGCTAATATTCTGAAGATGCCGTTCTCCAAGCCAACCGTGCCGGTTCACACCCGCGTTCATGCTCCAGCTACCCTCCCGAAGAGCTGCGGCAAGAGCAACGTCAAGAAAACCTCCAAGGTCAACACCAAGGACGGCTCCACCCAGCCCCGCCCCGACAGGCTCCATATCCATTTCCACCCGCACCCCCTCAAATCTACCAATGTAGACCATATTAACAACGTCAACGCGTCCATCGTGCCCGGCGCCCTTCCCGTTGACACAGGCCTCTATCTCCGCCCTTCCCGTTCGCTCTTCTCCCACGGCGGAAAAGCCCCCATCATGGCCTACATCCCTCCCGGCAGCAAGCCCAGCACTCACTGCATGTGGACCACCGACAGCGCCCACTTCAACGAGGCCATAGACCTGTACATGAAGCACGGCTTCGTCAAGGCCGTGATCAAGAACACCAACGTAGACGGGGAGAAGGTCAAGTGTAGCGTCTTGCTTATAGGACCTTGGGAGCAGGTGCCGAAGGGTGCGTTCAAAATCCACATCTGGAAGGAGCCCGTGACGTGGGTTCGTGCGGCGTGGATGGCTGTGAAGGATGAATTTCGGAAGTCTTGCGAGGAGGTGCGCGAGCAAATTAGGAAGGAGAAGGAGGAGAATGAGATGAAGAAGCGGGCGGAGGAGAAATCGAAGGCGTTGGAGAGTGAGAGCGAGGATGGCGAGTGGGATGAGCAGATTCCGTGGGAGTGAGGGGGCCGTCCTTCAGGCTGTCGAAGGTTGATCTCGTACAAACGGTTTCTACAGGAGGGGCTGGCTGATTGACGCTACTAGCTGAAGGCATTCACGGATATCGATTCTTGGTTTTTGAGAACTTCGAGTCGCCGCTTTGGTCTACCAAAGGTGGTGCCACTGGTAACCGCACATCAATGTTCAACAAAATTGAAATCACGTCAGACGACAAACCACTCCCCCCCCATATTCCTATACTCTTGTCTCCCGTCCATTCACCTCTTCATCCTCCACACATCCTCTCGCAACCTCCCAAAATTCCCTTTCCACACGCCTATACCGTTCTTCCAACCACTTCCACCTGACCATCTCGCTCACAGCATCTACTCACATCTCCTCTTCTTCTGATCTATCCACCAAAACACCTAGAATCATGTACACCCTCCCTTGAAGCTCCCATTTCAGTCGCTCGACTAAGCTCCCTCCTAAATGCTCCAAATACGCCTCGAATCTCTGCTGCGAGCGGAGGTCGTGCCATGCCAGCAGTTTTGCGTCCAGATCCTCCATTTTCACTAAATGAAGAAGACGGAGTGTGTAAGTCACGGCTTTCACAGAGTCAGAAGTATGCCGTGAGACGGAGTAGACGTATTGGGGGGCGGCGTGGCAGAGGGCCCGAAGTTGGGGTGGGAATGTGAGGTACGCGCCGATGGAGAGGTCGTGGAGGAGGGAAGTAAGTAAGAGGCGCAGTAGGTGGTTTTTAGTTCTGCGTCAAGGCGGTAGCATGGATGAACATAGATGCGTCCGGTGGGTCGTTGGGGTCGTTTGCCATGACTGTGTTTGCTATATGATAGCGTTTTTTGTAGCTACCATTGATGGGTATTTTGCAAGACTCAAACAACCCTGACGGAGAAGCAAGAGAACCTCGGAATGTGTTTGAGGTAGGTGTGCCTCTCTTGGAGCATAAATGGAGTGTACGTTTGCAACATGTCACTGTTTATAGCTTGTGAACGATAGCGACCGAGTCCATCGGCCTTCCAGCGGTTCCACTAGTGAGGTGATTATATCGACTGCAGCCCGTCTATGATCAAGATATCATGTGACCATCTTACCTAGGTCAACGGTGTAACATCCGGACCCATGAAAACGTCTTGAGCGCCGCCAGGACCTCGTTTGGGCGACACCCTCATGGAACTTCACTTACAATGTCCAGAACCACGCTACTGAAACCCCACATTTATGATGGTAGCGACACCTAAGTTGAAATCCGCGAGCATTCCTTCTCAACTCACCCACCCACATACGCCGAAATTGGCTTCCGAATCATGCCTACCCCTCTCAAAACTCTATGAGCTTCCGTGCACCAAGGCGTTTCGGCAAGCACAACCGACATAAACCACTACCGTGCTCAGTTCGAGCATTCTTACATCCAACTTGTCGCGGATATTCTTGCCATATCCCACCTTTTGAAGATTGGAAACAAGAACTTAGTTCTGCTGCCTGCACACCTTACTAGCTATAGCTAACAACGACCTAGATGAGTAGCTGGCTTTCTGGAACGACATACCTATACTAGCGTAATTGCAGAGTCCGATGCGTTGGGGGCTCAGGGGCTCAATGCAAGGAGAGAATGAAGACTTTGAGACTGGTGGGAGCACTTCGGCACTTTGGCAGCGCAGACACATCTTTGTCGTCGCGCTTGTTAGCTATTGTCGGATTCATCATCGCCCCGAGATCAAACAGAAAGTGGCGCGCTGGAGAGTATGATGGACCTGGATGGGAGGAGTATGTGTTCCAAGGCAAGGCACACTAAGAGACTTGGAAGAACGGCCCTCTCGGACGCTGCATGACGGAAAGGGTGAGTTCAGGTTAGCATAGCGACATGACGATGTCATTGGCGCGAGCTCTCCCGGATGATAGTCTCGATTCGATAATATGACGGGCGTATTAGAGTAAAGTCGCAATGGGAACGCCGTCTAGATTGCATTCCAGAAATCACATGAGACCATCATTTTCAGTGCCGGGACATCTCTCAAGTCCATGCAGCTTTAAACATCCACCTGGCCAAGTTTTGTTGTTAGCCAGTTCACCCCATGACTTCAAGGGAGATGGACGATACGATCACCACCATGCGAGCACTGCAATTTTGTTTTCTTGGATCAGAGCACAATAACACGAGCCAGAACCTGCGCAACGACTCGTTCCTACTTTCCTACTGACATAAACAGCAAGTTCAGTTATGGCCACCCCTACGTATGGTATTGTGCAGTTGTCCGCTTCTGTTCTTCTGCGCTGCTGGCAAGAGTCCAACGTTCCTCCTTTGTTAATTTGTAGCCCGGTATTGGACGCGCTCTTTTGCAGTTAATCTCACAAATTGCATACCACCCTCAATATCGCTCAGCCTTCACCTCTTTTGTTCCCGACGGCCCCATTGTATACCTTACCGAGATGCTCGCCTCATACACGTGGTTCTCCCAGCCTCTCCGCTATCAATCTACGTCAGCTTGCGGTGCGTCCTATTCCACCATCAGAAACAACTTACCTTGACTCTAGCCCACAGAACAACACAGTCTCCATCTTTCAAACTGTCCACAAAACCCTCGCCTTTCCCTGCCCCTTCATTTCCCTCCCACGCCGGAGCAGCCCTGCACCCCCACTTCACTCGATTCTCTACCGCGTTCTCCCTCCTCGCCCACCGATCAGGATCTCCTGTCGCGGTAACCACACGATTCCCCTGCAACCACCACGCATGCATGCCTTCCTCCAATGGCATCTCTCCCTGCGACTCATCCCTAAACACCCTTATCATCTCCCTGCAATGCGTCCTCTGCTCTTCCATTCCCTCATCCGGCCTTCGCACAAACTCGACATACTTACAGTGCGCCCTCGCGCGCTCCACATCCGCGAACATAGCCACGTTCCGTGGCATGCACGAGGAGTTCGTCCCAGAGGTCCGCGTTGAGTCCCCCAGCATGCGCGAAGGCGACCCCCGCACGATACTTACTTCGAACCAGGAAGATGTCTTGTACTTGTTCTGCGTGAATTCGGACGTCCAGCCTTGGTCGTGACTGAGGATGCAGAATTCAATCTCCCGGATTTTCGGCGTTTCCCCAGTGGACGTGGGACGCAGGGACACGGGCGCGGAGAGGTAAGCCACAGTGGAGGAGTGGTTGAGGTCGTGGTTCCAGTCGAGCAGACACAACTTTGAGGCGCGGAAGGTGGTGCAGCTGGTCCAGTAGCGTGCGAAGTCTAGGATGAGGAGGATCAGCTCGGTGGGGAGGCCGACGTGTTGCAGGAGGATGCGCGTAGCGCGGACGTCCAGCGCTGTAGGTCTGAAGTCCGGGTCAAATGAGTCTGCGACAGGTAGATTAAGCTCCATAGGTAGTGCTGTTAACATGCTGTGCGCCGCTGTTTTGAAGGTGGTGCCAACACTCGGAGGGGAATGCAGGCCGTATTCGTATCCTGGCAGAGGCTAGCCTGAATTGGTTTAACATGCCTTGTCACACGGTGTATCACAGGTCGAGGACGCCTGAAAAGGTAAACAACATGGTTACTTTATGACAACTTAAATGGTCGAGCAAGCATTATCACGAGAACACCGAGACAGCGGGATGCCGCGTCGGCTAGACTTATACGTACGAACTCATGGTCTTCGTAGATTGTCAGAGTTCATGACTCGCCCAGAAACAAAAAGATTGCAAACGAGATTAACGTTATAGGTTCAGAGCTGATAAAGGGTACTGATTTGTGACTATGCAAGAAGATACTACTGTCAAACCCACTCAAAGGCTATGCATGTTCTTAAAGAAGCAATTGATGAGACTTCGATACTTGACAAGGTCGTCAAACAGACTGGAAGAAAGACTACGCTTCATACGCTTGCACACGGTCGACGCTTGGAAGAATGCTATAGACCAACAGTATATCACCCTATGTGAAGAGAACGCTCGTTGATTTCCTATTACATATAATTTCCCTAAGACAACCTAACGTTATGTAAATCAAGTATATAGTATTGATAGTATAGAGTACTACCCACTATCGGCCTCACACTAATAGCCTAATAAGCCTCTAGGTATAAACTAGGCTAAAGGCCTTAAGAAATATCATCTAAAATGATGGTCTAATTGACATTCGTCTGTGCTCGCGCTCAAGCCATTTCCTCGGTCCCAAAGGGACAAACTCTTCGGGATAGCCGCATTTCCAGTCGTCATCTTGTAAAACCGCAATCTTCAAGATATATTGTCTGCTGTGGATCCTGCAATGCCCAACACCACCCGTGACTCCCGGGCGGACCAATTTTTACATGCTCTCTCATATACTTTGCCCAATCATCATCGCTGGGACCCATATTCTTGAATGCTTTAACCACTATCGAGGATCCTACATAGACCGCACAGAGGACCTTGACCAGTATGGACCTGAGTCGTGTAATTTTGGCGTCGGCCGATTACACAGGGGTCATAGCTGAAGCGGGGATAAATAGCGCTGAGGAAACGATCGACAACATGGCCAACATTGCAGATATCTACGTCGGAGCTTAGTCTTGTGAGAGAATGATAGCTATAGATTCTTAATGTACTATTCAAAGCTTTATATACTTACAAAATGGAAATTCCGAAGGTCCGAATCACTAAAGTGTCTCGCCACGGGTGCGTCTCCCGACCCAGGGATGGACATTACAGCCTCTTCCAAGAACTTTCCAGACTCGAGCATCGTTTCCAACTGGCCGACAGAGCCCAAGACTTTACTTGCATCCTGATCTCCACATTCCTCAGCAACGGGCCAGCAGTGCTTGTCATTGTAGACAACATGAATATCGACATAGGAGCTCTCGAGGGCTGAGGATTCTTTTCAAGGATGCAATTTCCTATCTACGACGAATACTCCAACAAAGACATAGGAGACCTCATGATCAAAGATCAAATTGCAAAGCTCCAGACCCACGGCACCGACCCACGGGTGTCGCCGTTTCTTCTCTCTTGGGCTCTTACGCAAGATTGGTTGGACATATTTCTGCATGAAGATATCCTAGACCTTGCGGCGCAGGTGGCAGATCGCTTGTATGAGGCAGCCTCGCTATGGGATCATTTAACGCCAAAAACGTTTCCAAATTTCATCAATGTTGATGCTGTTGAGCCGAATTCTCAGTTGCCAGCGCTGGCTATGGCGATCAACAGCGCCTTCGGACCTAAATGTTAAACCTGGATCTCGATCTAGCCTTGACTTTCACCTTGAGAAATCAATGGTTGGTCACGAAATTTATACATGGCAGTACTTCGTTGTTCTGCACGGCCCTCAGTCATAATCACCACATCTCTATCGGCCAGAGTCGCGTAACAAAGTCGCACACCAACCTCGCTGGGGCACCATCGCGACAGTCGTGGCCTGTCTTAGGTTACTCCCGATACGTGCTTGGGCACGGGCTAGGAGTTGGTAAAGGATTGGATTGGAACAATCTTTTGGTATTGACATCGTGACAAAATTGACCGCTGGTGGTCCTACAAGCGATGGTTGTTTGTTCCAGCATGCAAGGGTAGTAGCTAAGGAAGCCTAATAACGCATGCTACAAGCCGTAGGCCAAGCGTGTAGATAAGAAAAGATACAAAATAAAGGCACATGCGACGCATATCGTTTAAAGGCTCTAATTGGATTATTGTTATCTGAAGTACTGAACAGGGGTGGCGATCTTTATCAATTGCACGCTACCTGCAGCCTTGTGATTAGATGTGGCCTCTTATGCTTATAGAACAGGTTTTTAGGTCAGCAGAATAAGGCTTTGAGTACTAATTATGTTCTAAAGAGCTGATGTTGAGCCTACAGACCATGGTGCCTGATTTCGCTTGATTAGAGACACGTACGTAGATCAGGCAGGAAGGCATCTACATAATCGTAATTTTAGTATTGGTAAAGCCAGAAGGGTTCAAAAGAAATCCAAGTATATTCCTCCATGTTAGCTGGCTTCGGCATCGGTGTAGCGGTGCGAACATTGTATGCTGGCTTCGGAGAGGGCGCAGCGGTACGAATATTATACGAAGTCGGTGGGCGCTCAGGTTTCATGCCAGGCGCCCTGGGGCGTGCCATATTTTCTAGCCATCCTTCGTGCTTGCGCTCACGCTTCTCAATCTTCTCCAAGTACACCTGCATCTGTGTAGCGCGGTAGGCTCGCGAATGTCCGTGACCGAGTGCATCTTCATCGTACTTGGCGGCCATCTCTGCGTCGGTCTGAGCCATGAACTTCAAAGCAGCGATATCCATATGAGCGTCCTCCAGATCACGCTTGGCTCTTCGCTCCCGAAGGTATGCAATGTCTTGTTCGATCTTGACCTTCAAAGCGCGCTTCTCTTCGGGAGAAGTTACATGGATGGTGTTGGGCCGGCGCGAAGTGGTTGGTGAATGGACATGGCTATGGGAATTAGAGCGGCTGGCCCGTTGCAACTTGCGATCGTATGCTGCCTTTGCGGACGGGTTATTGAGGACGTCGAAAGCTTCCTGGGCGCTTCGAAATAGCGAAGAATGTGTCGCGCGATCCTCTGCAGGCAGGCGCAAAGTTTTGTCTGGATGGTGCAAAAGCGCCAGCGCCTTGTAAGCGCCCCGAATGACAGCGGGTGCAGCGGCTTGGGTCACCCCTAGGGTGTCGTAGTGAGTGGTGACTGTATCCATTTCAGCTTTGTGTGAGTCAGTTGCGGGTTATCTGTCGCGTTTGTCTGTGGAAATCAGTTGAGAGCAGGCTGTTTCATTTGTCTGTTACGGAAGGTTTACGTTCGTTGCTTTTCTATAGGCGTCGAAGCAATCTTTGTTCGTGCACGATGTCTTACTAGCTGTCTTGTTTTGGATTAAATGGTGACAAGCTCGCATTGTTGCAACCACAGCACACTATGTACACTACCAGAGGCCGTGCTCGGCCATTGTGGGCAGTGTGCACCAGGTGAAATCATCGTGCTGATCGAGCAGGCGATATTATGGAGATGAACGTTATTTCGATTCCTAGGAACGTTATGGCCTTTATTGTAGTGTCCAAGTTGTGACGCATGATGTTCTGCGAGACACAGAAAGGTGTAGGGTATTGAAAAGGGGAGAGCCTTGGAACGAAGCACCATGGTAGTGCTGTAGGTACTCCAGCAAATTCGTATGCTTGGGAGGGCAGGAACTGCACGCCGAAGTAGCGAATGGCCTCTGAATGATGTGACGATTTAGGACAGTGCCTGAGCATGCTCAGGCTGGGTCGGAGAATCTTGAAGCCCCTGGACTCGATCGGAAAAGTGTTGAGTGGACTTTGCCCCTGCACAGTTACGTTAGCGGGGCTGGAAAGTGAGACTGAGTGGCGACCGGATTCGAGCGGAGTCTCGACTGGGCTACCACCAGGGTCGGAAACGCCTTCCAGCTTTGCGATGAGGCAGCGCGTAGGGTGAAATTGAGGCCCGTCTTAAGGAAACAGTCTTTGCGGACATGACTGTATGGCCAGGCCGGTCCTGCTTTGGTGCTAATTGGCTGAAGCTTGATATCCAGGGTCGATGCCTCGGATGCATCCCGCAGGTACCGCAACAGTTTTACGTGATGCTCGAAGGAGTCAGGCCTGGACTCGTGGGATGTGGTGGCAATGTAGTCCACAGCGAGCGGACAGCGCCGACAGCGAGTAGTGCCCGAGGACAGTAATGCCAGCAATACGGGTGGTGAGAGCTGTGGGTTCTGGTCGTTCGGCTGTTACGCCGCCAGCTGGCGTGTTCTTTGTATGCGTAGATACGATGGCGACGGGCTCAAAAGGAGTACTATGGCACAATGCTCGCTGGCAAATGGCGTGCTTAAGTGGGTCCCTGCGTACCTGCCTCAGAACGTACAAGGAACAGTGACTATTGACATCGCCTCACAGAATTTTCACGATGGCATCCACCTTGGAGGTATCAGAATATTGCGCCTTATTTTACTTCTGTTGAGCAATGATCGGTTCCAGCCGTCCTGTGGACATCAGCATGCCGACAGCATACACATGCAGGGATGGCTTAGTCACCTGACAAGTGCAACATCCGACCACATGCAGGATGCATCTATTCTTTGCTGGGCTACATGTATCTCGTACATACATGAGGCTCGCAGGTGACGGACTGGAGCTCGCGCTACCAGTGGTAGTCCTATCGTGACAAGGCCCCGACGACATGACGCTGCCGCGCAAATGCGTTCGGGGGTTGTTCTTAAGAGGGAAACACATTGTGCGATCAGGCTGAGGATTGGCGCTGCTGGCGACGTGAATGGCGCACTGGGGCAGCTGATGCGTGCCCGTGAATGGATGCATGCCACGGGGGATGGACCCCAGGCATTTACGTAGCGGTGCTAGCGGGCGTGGGGGCAGCAGGACAGCAGGATCACGTCTCGAGCACTTGTCACTTGCTCGGGAGAAATAGAAGAGGGCAAAAGATATTGATGTATAGAGAGTGCCGCTAGCGGGCAGATACGCGCACGCTCGGATGCAACAGCACATGGCAGCAAAGGCGAGCGTTCGCAATGGCGCAGCGATGAATGGCGACATGGTCCACGGTCCACTTCCCGAGGCGCTGACGGGACGAACAGGCCCGCTGCACCAGGTGTGGGGAACACGGGCAGCTTTGTTTCGCGTGCAAACTCGGTCGTGAACTGGGTGCGGTTTTATAGGCACAGCATCCCTCCTGCGGGCTTGACAGCTCGCACCGTCTGACTGCCAACCAAACTGCCCGGCCTGCTGCGAACGAACTCCACTATCAGCTCCACCACCCAGCACCATCGCAACCATTTTTCCACACCACGCGTGCCGCATGTCCGCAACACTGATGGAAGGGTATGCCGCACATCTACACTCTGCAAACACCTGGAGCGCCGACCTTAATCGACAAGTCTGCGAGACCGAGTTCGTTTGGACTTGACGATTTCGTGACGCCTGTCGACTCCGACCTGATGGATCGAGAATGGTACCACGGCCAGGATTACTATCCTCATACCGCCCTGCATGCGCACTCGAGGCTGTCGCCAGCCGACGACGTGCTCACGTCGGTCGCGTTCCACTACCCGGCGCACACCGACCCCGGCAGCGAGTCTCTGACAGGTATGTCGACGTCTTCCTTCATCTCCCCCCTTTTTTCCGTCCAATGCCCTCTCGGGTCTTTCCAAGGGCACATCAGCAGCGCTCACGCCGCTGCTCACCGTTCCTCCTGGCTCTGCTTCGTGCAACCCGAGATTCGCGCTCTGCTATCGCGTCATCTCGCTAGTGGATTCGCAATCGCACGTGACCGGCGCTCTCGAGATGCCACAACTCGACACATCCCCCACGATGGGGTTCCCCGTACCCCACGAACTTACCAACTTGCACTGGATGCGAAGCTCCACGCTGATGCCGAGACCAAGGCCCACTGTACCCTCCACTTGACCGCCCCATGAACGGTCACGCGTTTCCGCAATACCATGACCATGGTGCGCCACGGGTCGACGACCTAGCGCCCATTTCTCCCCTGCAGCCACAATACAACGGCACTGCTTTTCCCACGCCCTATCCGGATAGCACTGCGTCGTCCGCGCCCAGCGAGGATCCCATCATTGCCGATGTCGAAGAGGACAAGCGTAAGCGCAACCAGGCGGCGTCGGCGCGATTCCGGCAGAAGAAGAAGCAACGTGAGCAGCAGATGATGGAGCAGACTCGCGAAATGCAAGAGAAGAACAAGAGACTAGAAGGAGAGGTGGAAGGACTGAAGCGAGAGAATACTTTCCTGAAGAAGCTACTGGTGGAGAAGATCGATAACATGAGCCCCGAAGATAGAGACCTTCTGAAGAGGACCACGGACAACCTGAAGGAGAAGGATTGAGTAGTGCACGGGGCGGCCTGGCGTTTATATATCGACTACGTTTTTGCGCGATGAGCCGGGCGGATACCCACCGGCCGAGAGCCGCCGGCTCCCGACGACCCGAGCGCGACACATGATTTGACGATTCTCCACTCTTCTTCACTACGGCAGCAACGGCGATGAGGGTGGGTCATGATACTTTCACATTAAACACAACATGGACTATGGCAATAGGGATAGCTAATGATGTCGGTTGGCTCCGATGTTTCTTTCCTTCAACAATCTGATCGTTTCGACTTCTCCTCTTTGTATGCCCAAGTGCAGCCCACACGCGCCATATCATCCCACGATCATCTATGCGGCGCACACAGAGTTGTACCAGGTCAAGGTAGCTATCACATCGTCAGCTCTACGGCTCTAGGATCGACGACAAATCTTCAACACGTACCAACAGCATCGGTCAAGCTGCAGTCAGCGAGGACGCACTGCTGAACAGCACTATAGAAGGCGGTGTCGGCGCAGAAGCAGGTGTACTCGGTGGCATTCGGGTCGCAAGTGGAGAGGCCCTGATTGTCCTGCAGGCAGGTTTGCTGTGGCAACGTTAGCTAGATCTTTTCGGTCTGAAGCAGAACATCGCAAGGTATGTCGAAGGCGCAAAAGGATGGGATTGACTAACAGCGCAAGCAGGAGCACCCGAAATGTCAACCGCGGCGACGGCGGTGACGAGAAGAGCAACAGCGGAGAGAGAGAAGCGCATGATGAAGATAGATTTCAGACGGATGCTTGAACTCGAGATTGAACAGTAGGATACCTCCTCCAACTTCGCACACCTCTCCCTTATATACCTCTCCATCGACCCTCGAAAGCCTCGCAGCTTCCCTATCCGTGCTCTCCTCCGAAACCTCGTCACTTCATGGCCGACCCGTTTGCCTCCGCCGCGAAGAACACCAATTGTCCACCATTGATCCCACTACGGAGCCATCGCATGTGAATTCCTACCTCGGTGCGCTCAGTCACACATGCAGGTACTGTCGGGGCAGTCCCGGTGCCTTCATCTAAAACACCCACACCCCTGCGCCGATCCCCCGGCTTTACTCCAGTTTTGCGTAACGACCCGATGCGCGTGACGCCACCCGCGGAGTTTTCGCTACGCACGGAATGGCGATATGGTAAATTGCGCATTGAAAGAGCAGGGCAGAGTTGTTGTCGTTGCGGGGTAATGCGGAGAGAGAGTGCGTTGGGGATGGTGTCGCCAAGATCTGGGGAGAAGCCATGCCAGAAGGAACACATGTGGGACCATGTGTGATGAGAGTGCGGAGTAGATCCTGTTCGTGCTCATGAAGATGCGAATGATCAGGGAAATACGCCGAGCCGCCGGGCACAGTTGAGGTGTTCACCTGTATGTGGTACGGGCTTACGTGTGCCTTGAATTCGCTTCCGGTTGCTTGCAACAATGTTTCATTTGTGCGCATAAACACACTGCCTCATTTAGGGTACAAGCGCCGTAATAACATTCATTGTGTAAACCTACCACAATTGGTATATGGCACAAGGTGCTTAAACAATGCTTGGACCGCACAATAAACCTGAAATGAAGACTTCAGCAATCCTGCTCATGATTTTGACTCATGAAATCCAGTTACTTATCCCATCTTGCCCAAGCCCATGCAACGTCAGATCAGTATACCGTCTTCCTAGCTCATGCGTGGACAGCTTCCGAGACTCGTGCTTCTCGTGCCACATGCGATCCTGAAATAACGTTTTCCGACATATTGAGGTGGGAGCCATCGCCGCCTGGCCTACTCTTCCACCGTGCCTTCATCCCCTAGAAGGGACGATCACCTGCGGCCCACTAGCGCTCCCAGATCTCCATGTCTACAACCCCGTCCATCGTGTTTGGCTGTAATTTCCATTTGTCGGTCCATAACGCTGGTCGTGGAGCGTTACCAATAAGTACCGAATTCTTGGGGATGGAGGCTGATCGCCCGTCACCTTTCGCGTTGACTCGTAGACGTGGTGAAGGTGGTGACTTGGATCTCCTTGTAGACCATAAGTCTGGGTTAGATTGAGCATCTCAGTCCAGGTTTACAGCTTAAGACTTACCTAATCTCAGGAGGGAGCTTCAGGAATAGGAACGACCACAACGTTCGGTTCCTAACCATCTGCTTGGTTCGAGCCATGGTTTGGGACTGGCGACTCCCGCAGCTTGAGAGTGGCGTCAACAGAGTTGAGAGCAAGGAGGGTGGCTGTGTCCATGAGTGACCACAGGAAGGCAGAGTTTATTTGCTTCGAGGCAGGACTCGATGTCTGCGCCCATCCAACGAAGTTCCTTTCACGGTGCTCGGACTCGAGAGCCTTGGGATTGTGCGTACTACGTCACCTGATCTATTTCATTCACCGTGGAATCCCGCGATATGTTCAGATGATGGCCACCCCTAAAATAGTATGAGAGCGCTCGATGGATTGAGCACAGTATGGAACCAAGACTAGGTTTCAATGGCCATCACTGATTACTCTCAGGAGGGTGCCAAGTTTTTCGAACGCACATGTCCTATTAACAGTGCAAAGGGGCGCAAGAAATGTGGCTCGCTTGGTTTCTACAGACCTAACGGCTAAGTGTCATCGTCTCGATATTCGTACAGGCTGAGACCTGGTTCATTTTTTGCGGATTGAGTCGAAATAGGGAGTTATTTTGTTTCCAAGCTGCTGTTAACCGCTAATTGTATAATTTCGTGATCTTCCCGCGTACCCAGATGTAGCATTAATGTTCAAATTTACCTCGAGATGCTCATCATGCGGCAGTAGAAGGATCCGCAGGCTGTTCCTTGGCCGGCCTAATCATCACCTATGGCCTGATAAGCTTGAGACTATTTCAGGCCGGAAAGATAGCTGGATACTCACAACGAATGGCGCATTCTCCTCAGCGCCGAACTTCTTCATGTCCAATTCGATCCGCTTCACAGGCCTGAAGCCATGTCTCTCATACATTGGGACCCCCATCAGACTCGCTTCGAGATATGCCTCAACTCCAGCTTCATCTGCCCTGTCACACCCCCACTTCACGAGCATACTTCCAGCGCCTCGTCGTTCATGCTGTGGCAGAACAGCACACGTGATCAGTGTGTAATATGGTCTGGTCTCCAGTAGCTCTCGCTTGTTGGTGTTAAGGAGATGGAACAAATGTCGAAAGAGCTCCGGTTCAGATTCGTCGTATGGCTCCGGCACAGTAAATCCTGCTTCCACTTCCTCCCACGTCCTTTCTCTTGCCCTATCTTCTTTAGGCTTAGCGTATCGCCAGCGCGCTCCCGCGATCATCTCTCCGGTTGACTTGTCTACGCACTTGAGGTACAAGATCCCTTTGTTGACGATGCCATCCCTAATTTCTTCTGTCACTCGATCAAGCGTCTTCTGCGACGGCTCGCCGCGGGAGTAGAGGATCTTGTTGATAGTTGGCCTGAATACTTCGTGTCGTATGCGCATAAACTCCTCCGCCTCCTCAGGCTTCAAAAGCGAAACTTCCAGCTGCGGATTCGCCATTGCTTTGGAAGATTGCTTAGAAATGCCAGAATGAGGGGAAGGTGCCTTATAGGCTGTTGTGTGAGTCAGACCTGGATTGGTCCCAGATCTGGTTTAGATCGGCGAGATAGGGTACAGGAAGTCGCGCGACTGCAACGATATGCACGATGAATCTAGGATACGATTATCCCACAAGGAAACGCCGATTTTGAGAGCTGGGTCCCTAAAAAATGTAGTTGCGTTAAGTCGTCGGAGTACCTAGGTAGTGTCGGAGTCGGACTGGACGGTTATAGTCCGACTCTGTCATTGAAGCTAATAGACCATAAGAATTAGCAATAAACGACAGGACCTTAATTTATTGATAAAAGGTGATGTCCAGCATAGCAATCATCCTTTGCTCATGACTCATTGAAAGTGGTGCGATTGTATGGTGCGTACTTTGGCTCTGGAAAAACCAAGTAAATCCACCCCGTGAATTACTTGCGAGAATGCGTGTATTAAACAATCACCATGGGTGGATGTGTGCTAGATTTTTAGGCTGAGCCAGTCGCGGAGGATGCTTCAAAATTTTGCCTTGACCCACGGAAGCCGTTATCCTGCCCACGGGTTGTAGACGTTAGAGATTCCTCCCTTGCAACGTAACTTTCCGGATGAGCGTTACTATATCCAAAAAGCAGTACATTTAATATAAGCCCTTCATGAAGACACAAATCCATGTCGATGAATAGGTTATCTTCGACCACCCCGCTTGACTGAGCATCTGTGCTGTTTGAGCCTCGACATCGCTATTGGAATGATTGTCCTTCTTAGCCAGAAGCTGCGCATTATCTACAGGGACAAAGAATGAGATCATCGCGTTGATCAGTACCCCTAGCGTGAGGCTCGACGGAAGCCAAGAAGATATATACTTGTCGCAGACATCGTGCCCATAGTAGAGGTGAGAGAGCTCTCCCCATAGACAGAGCGGTATTGAGCAGCACACCAAGTAGTGAAAGAATCGACTGTTTTTTTAGTAAGTGGGCATTCTTGACATCTCAGGTCAGACAGGCAAGCTTACAAGAACAATTGCCGGCTGGAGCGTTCGATGTCTGTGAAGCTATGAAATGCAAACGAAAAAGCCCATAATGTGGATATTCTGTCAATTGGGACTGGGAGAATGTTCAAGCTGCGATCGACGTAAGCCTGGAACCTTTGATCGCGCGAAGCTTCACTCTTGACTTACATGGAGAGGTATGTACTATAGACACCGAGTACCCGAGATACCGAGAATTCTGGTCCAAAAATGGGGATACAAAAGCTGAGCATCAAAGTTGATGCTAAAAGAAGCGTTTTCCGCCTCCAAAGGTTGCGCGCATAATGTTCCATCATGAGGATGCAAAGCCAATCACGTTTTGTTCTGAGATTCGAGACCGCAAATCTGTTACGTCTCTACCAGGGCGAGAAGCGTTGAGGGCGTGGTGCGACAATCGAGGATGATGTGTAAGCGTTCCGCGGATGACAGAATGCAGTGCTCGACGATTTAATCAAGAAACCAAAGCACGAACAGACGGATACTAGCTATGGTAGACGGGCAGAATGGACAGCGTCGCATACTGGTGCTTCAAGAACATTCGACTCAATTTCAGTTAATTGGACAGATGGCAGAAATCAAGCTCCTAGTGCTGCCTAACACGCACGGCCGCCGATCAGGCTAAGCATTTCTAGCTCCCGCTTCGGTCATTGGCCGCTACGCCACACTCTTAAGCCTCCAGAATCCTTAACAGAATGTTAGCAAGCACTATTAAGTTGGAATAGCTGAGCAATATGGGACTGGTGGAACGCGGAAAGGAGTTTCGTACAACGCTACTGGCATGTAGAGAAAAAGTAGGGTCCTTTTGAAAAGAGCGCATCAGCCGGCCGTGGCCAGGTGGGGAACGCATATCCGCCGGTATTCAAAGAATTACCCCCCCACACGCCTTGGGTGTCGTCGGTAGGGTAACTTCTCATTCCAAATAAATAGTCGCTCTTACGTGGATTCACAATTCTAACATTCTATGATTCCATATACGATTCCCACTCGGCGCGTTTCGTTGCGATTGCCATGATATACGATGAATCATCGGGCAGATCCATGTTAATACCGCAAACGGATCCAATCGATTTTGAAGTACCAGAGATATCCTGTGATTGCTTGGCTTACCTTTTGCTCGCGCGGTTTGCCAGGCTGGAGGCAGGAAGGCTACTCCGACCACGTCCACCTCGAGTCCACCTCGAGTAGGCGACCTTATGCTCGAACTGTTAGCATGGAGGGCCTGCTCTTTCAAAGTTGACCATATATCCCTAGCTGAATTGAATTCTTCGAGTTCCTTTGCTTCTTTGGTGTAGGTTGCGTCTGGGTTCTGTCCTTTTTTTTTCCGCCTAGCTGGAATTTTCGATCTTATCTTTTTCCGGAACCTTTTAGTAGAATCATATTTCGGTCGGTCCGATTGTTTGCCTTTCGTGTTGGATTTCGATCCATGACTCTGAGGCCCAGATGAAGCATGTCTCGGAGTTCTATGTGTGCCATGGCTACCACGTCCTACTCGCTTCTCAATATCAGGGGAAGCTTCAGGAGGGGTGTTCGGCAAGAGCTTGCTTGCTAAGAGACCGAACTCGCCTTAAAGATCACCGATAGCGGTGATCTCGCGGTGGGAAGGAAGGGTCGTCCCAACCGAGATAAGAGCCGCAACAGCAGAATCAAGAGAACTGAATTTGTTTAAATGCATGCCGAAAAAGGAGTGAGGAAGGGTACAAATCCCTTCCAATGACCCAGAAGACCGGACGCTCAGGAATCGGGAGCCAGCTACACAGAAGAAACGAAATGATGCCAATGATACACTATAGATGCAATCGCGATTCACACAGGGTCTTCGGATACTAGCCGCTACTCCCCGAACATAAGAAAATTTATCGTCTGAAAGTTTCGAAACCAACGGGCTTCGACGTGAAGGAGCTAACCATCGCTGTGAATCAGGGCTACGGTAAAGATGAGCGTTAGTTTTTGAACCGGGCAGCGGTCTACTGGGGTGGAGCAGCTTACCTGCCTATCTCCGTTTCAGTGATGGAAAGGCCGATCTCAGTTGATCATAGAAGTCGTGGGTATGTTATGGCAACCATTCATTTACTTGCTTTGTAACATGGACTCCACATGTAAATTGCTTTCAACTAGTGTGGCTCAAAGATATAGTCCTTTCAAACACTCAAAACCCCAAGAAGGCATGGATAGCGAACAGCCGTGGTGAAAAAAACTTGGAAATGGAACTATAACTGTCATGTGCGACCACCGGGATGCAGTGGGGTTCGGACCCCAAAACTCTCTCGAATCCAACCCTGAGCAAATGGACCGATTACCAACCGAGCTTGTACGCCAAATTGTGAATGAGGTTCAACAAGCAGGTGACTAAAAGCGATCCAATGCCTTGACCTCGTTAGCTTGTGTGGATAAGCATTAAAGGGACATCGTTGAGCCGTGCACATGGGCTAAAGTCGTCCTACTTTTCCATGAGTCCGATAAATTCCATCTATGCTTTCTGGACATCAATCGCCGGAAATCGTTGAGGGTTTTGCGCTTAAAGCTGAACGGTTACTTCGATGTACATTCCATGAAGAATATGACAGCGATGACAGCAGTGTTGAAGAGAAGGGCTCAATTGGAGGAGTAGACGGATGTTCTGACACTGATAAGAGATTAGCCTGAGCAATGAGGCGTTAGGCTGGGTTGATTTACGTCCAGAAACGGACAACCTCGGGATTATAATCCATGAAGCAAAGTCAGATCATGATCGACTATTTGTGGAGATGGGAAAAATTTGGAAAGAGCTATACAATTGGGGAGAAGCTATGGAACTGAACACTCAGAGTGTTCATATCGAAGGGGAACCCTTATATGACCTTTCAGGACGCATAATAAGGTGGGATGATGAGGCTTACACGCACATTGCGAGCCACTGCTGGCTAAGGAGCTGCTCAAAGTTGTCTCTCCCACAAGTAGTTTCGTTCAAGTCACTCATGTTACAGCATCTGAGGATATTGACATCTAGCCAGCCATCGTGGGCTGCGTCATTGCAACACAGACGTTGCCCAATTTTGAAATTGTAAGGATCTTCAGCTCGGATTGGCGGAAAAGGTGGAACTTATTGCGGTCAGAATTGAGAGATGGTGGGTCCTATCATTCGTGGAAGCCCTCGCCTTCGCGGCACGAATATTCTATCCAGTCCTCGCGCAGCATATCCAGGAGCTATCGACGAAGTCACTCCAAATCCTAGAGTTATGTCTTCCCTTCAAGTCCTCAGTGAACCACGATTCTCGTCTGCCAAGTCTCCAGAAGAACGGAGCTGATACCATTCACTGCACATCTTGCTTAACAACCTCGTTAAGCTATCCATAATCGTCAACCAGCTGACCCCGACGCTTTCTTGGGATCCCAGCATCAATATATCAGGCAAACTCTATCCCAATCTGAAAACATTTCATGTAGACACAGGCTTTGAGGCAGCGTTCGGCCAGTACATCATGCGTCGGCCTGACCATGTCCTCTTCTCTCGCCCCGCCCACATGGAGGATGAAGATCTGAATATCCTGTATCCAGACGCTGAACTTGGTGTTGCTGACCCAGAAGTGCAGCTCGACTACAAATTAGGGGACTACCCCACGGCAATAAGCCACGTGCGCCCTAAATCCGTCTACTTTGACGAGCTTGATATAAGCGTAGCGCAAGCAGCCACTCATATGCCCAAGCTTGAAAGCATGACCATCGAATTTGTCTCCCAATCTACCGACCGTAGGGATTGGACGGGGTACCACGGATGGGGATTCGCGTTCCGGGCAGAACCCGACGCGCGATACCCGGCGACACATACCCGTGCCTAGTGTGGCTATCCTAGCCTTGACATGCATATTCTCGAAGAGCTACGCCGGGAGTCGACGTTTCGGTGTGAATTGGATCAGGGGGGGTAGGAAGAATCTGATGAGGCGAAGCGTCTCTGGGAGGAGAGATTCCCAGGGGTCTCAGCAGATGTGGTTTGCCTCGATTTCGATGAGAATTGGCAAGACTGCTGGCAAGGGGTGCGGTCTGATGTTGAGATCCGCCCAGAAGAAATGGAGCTGCATAAACAGAGCATCTTAGATGACTAGCATGAGTAGAATAGCCGTGCCGCACTGGTTTAATCTCTTCAATTGAGGTGTGTCAGAACTAGCTTTTGTTCTGTAAGAATTGCGTCTCTTCCTACTTCTCGTTCGGGACTAGCGCCCAATATTGCCTCCTTCAAGAATTGAATCATGCCTTTGCAAGTTCTGCCACAATACCCTGAAAACCAACAATAATTCTGACCAAAACCTAGGACAACAGCCAAACAAGGTCGATAAAAGACTGGGCTACGAGAGTATCTTCAAAGACAAGAACTGAATTAAACAGAATGCTTCGGACCGAGGTCCGGGCATCATTTTCAATGGCAACATGTAATTCCGTATGACGACAGCCCTCGCTTATGCAGATACCCATGGCCCCTAACTATTACCCGCAAACATACGGTGACCTTGCCTCTTTGCTTACGCCGTCAATCCTGCAGTTTCATAGCTGCCGAAGAACCAGGGAGTACTCAGCCGGCGGCACTGATGAAAATAGGCAGTGTTATGCACTCGAATTCTTTGGGTTGCCCACCCATGGATCAATACAGAGTGGAGTGCCTAGTGGCGAACAATATTGTTTTGCGTGATTTTGTCTGCCTAATCATCAAGGTGAACCGCAACCCTCAAGATTATGGAAGGCTAGAATGGCCAAAGTGAAATCTCGACCGACGTCATTAGTGGAAATATGAACACCTAGCCATTAGCCTTTCCCGACGGTTCGGTCCCATACAAGAAGAAAACGTTACATTCATGTGATCTAAATTGCAGAAACATGGACATCAGTATGAGCAGTCACCACACTAGGCGAGCGGGAACGAATATCTTGCACTTGAACGCCTTGGCGCTGCTATTCATAAAGCGCTCCGCCGCTCCGATTCGCAGTTGCATCTGACTGTATCTTATGCCTCTTGCTACCGGTCAGCTATTTCAAGAAATGTTAAACTCTGCACCATGAGGATCGAGTTGTATTGACGAATTGATCGTTTTCAGACTGTTACAGTTACGTTGAATGAGATGCATTCTCGTACGTGTCTGTGAATGTTGTGCACGAGAGGCCACAAATGCGGAACAGATCGCCCTGGTTGTGACTTGGGGGATCAATAAACTGGAATAGGGCAATGCTAGCCGATGTTTCTTTAGGAAGGTACCTGCGCCCCGTGAGCTCAAGAGCTTTGGGTTTTCGCCACGATCCGCGAAGCATAGAGGAAGGGCGTAAGTTCTGAGGTCATATGTGCTCCTGAATGATCATTCCTTCTTGAAAATGACATGAATCCTCATTCAATGTAAAGAATTGTGCTCCGGTTGAAAACGCTTCGGACTTCTCATTTCATCGCACTTGAACAATTTATAACCCCAATTCAAGTAGCCCATCCGCCGCTTGTGGTTGATTTTCAAGATGTCTATTCCTGCTATCGACTTCTCTGCATTCCGCAACGGTACAGAGCAGGAGCGTAGGGTGCTCGCCAATCGTATCACCGAGGAATTCAAGAAACATGGTGCCACACGACTGATAGCCCATGGAATTACTGGAGAGAGTACGTCGTTATCTGTTACCACTAGTTGACATGATGCGTTTATCGCTGACATGTTGTGACCCTCAGGCATTAAGAAGACCTACGAACAGGTAATAAAGTCTTTTACAACTTTGACATTGTGAACTGATGATTCGAAAAAGGCTAACAGTTGAGGACAGAGTGACAAGTTCTTCAAGCTTCCCGAGGCGGAAAAGGTCATCATTGCCAACATCCGGGACGCTAATCCACAGCGAGGATACAGCTATGTTGGCTCTGAGGCGACTTCCAAGGTTAACAAACGGGACCAGAAGGGCGAGTTTCAAATCTGTGAAGATGATGATGTAGATCAAGAACTCATAGATGCCAAGGTTAGCAAGCTTTCACCTTCACTTCCAATCTTTGATAGAACGCACTAAGCTCAGTACATAAGTCAATTGGAACCGCTGACCACACGTTCAAAAACAGGAGCACTTTGACTACACCCGCGAAGGTGACGAGTATTCGACGCCATGGCCATCAGAGGCAAGCATTCCCGGTTTTCGCGACTGGATGGAAGGTGCTTTCCTTCCAGACTGCATGAAGCTGGCCCGTGATGTCTTGACAGCTATTGAGATCGGTCTAAATGTACCTGCAGGCACGTTCACATCGTGCATGGAGTCGCATGTCGACGAACTGCGCATTCAGCACTATCCCCCACTGGCGGTAGAGGAGCTCAAAGCGGGTAAAATTAAGCGCTGCCATCCGCACACCGACTTTGGATTCATCACACTGCTCTTCCAGGACGCCACAGGCGGACTCGAGGTCGAAGATCGAGCCAACGGCGGTTGGCTGCCCGTTATACCTACCGGTGACCCTACCGAGGTCGGCGTGTACATCGGAGATACGCTCGTGCACAAGACCAACGGCCACCTCAAAGCAGCCGTCCATCATGTCGTAGCACCTGTGTCCCTCAAAGACAGGGAGGACGGCGTGATGCCCGAGCGCTTCACCATCGCCCTCTTCGCCAAAGCTGACCGCCATGCCGACGTCGGGCCCATGCCCCAGTTCATCACCTCCGAGACGCCGCAGCGTTTCCCTAACCTGACAGCTCTGGAACTGCATAATAAGCGGGTTGGCCAGCTATACGATGCTAGGCCTAAAGTCAACATGGCCTCGGCGTGATGGAAACTGTAAAACCCGAGAGAGATTAGCCAGGGGCGTTCTATCGCTAAAACGCTCGTCAACGTAATTGCAAGACCTGGTCGATTATCAGACCCATTACGCAACTACTTGATAAATTGTCTTCAAGCCAAGCTGCATGCATCTCGAGTGCATTTTTGTCCCCAATGTGATACTTGATCGTCCACTCTTGGTCCCATGCCGCCCAAATATTTGTAAGTGAACCAAAACCTTGACCTAAGAGGTGTTTACTTCCAAGCTCCCTCGAGACCAGAGATGAAGCCTAGAATTTTTTGATAATGTTAGCGTCCATCTTTAGACGAGCCAGTAGAACAAGAGCGGTTGACACAGCCGCTGTCCCGCCCGCGTAGAAGATTGCTGGTCGGTACGGAACAATGGAGCTTCCCCGGTCAGCGTGCGTTGCCGTGATCAAGAAACCTGCAATCGGATTGCCCAAAAGGTCACCCACGGTCCATCCTGTAACTGCCATGCCGATTCCAGCGGGTGCGGCGCCCGGGCCAAGGAGCCTCCCGATGGCTGTGGGCATTGTAACGAAAAAGGCTCCGTTGGCGATTCCGTTCAGAGCAGCGAAGACAATGAGCACCGCGAAAGTGGAGGCCACAGACCAGATAGCCAACATCGTGATGGCGTTGAGGGCCATGGTCGCAAGCAACATGTTGGTCGCGCCGAGCTTGTCACAAGCAATGCCGGAGCTGAGACGTCCCACGGCCATGCAGGCATTATAGCAGGCCATTACTGCGGCAGCAGTGGAGGGTGACAAGCCGATCGAGGTTGCAACAGTTGGTAGGAAGAAGGAAGGGATGTAGAGAGCGAAGATTCCAACGAATCCAGCGACGAATAGAAGGAAGAATGTCAAGTCCCGAAAGAGCGACGGGTTTATCGAGGGGGATGACCGCTCTTTTTCCTTGATCAGCAGCGCGGCTGGAACGCCGCTCGCCAGAGAAGCCAAAGCCATGACACGGAAGGTCCATGCGACCCCAACCTTGTCGATGAGTAGCTGCACAATGAGAGCCATGACGGTGGCGCCGATACCACCTCCGAGCTTGACAAGCCCGTTCGCTGTTCCAAGTCTTTTGTGGAACCACTGGACCGGTAAACTGTTTGAATTGGTGTACATAAGGCTTGCACCTATACCATAGAGAGTACCAGAGGCGAAGAGTCCGCCGATATTTCGAACAGTGAAGCTACCGACGAGCGTGCTCGCGCTGAACAATAAGATGCCGAGTAAGGTGCTCCACCGCGCCCCGATAACGCCAGCCAGCCAGACACAGGCCAGCCCAAGGGCCACGGTCAGTGACAAACCCACCGATCCTACAAAGGACAACGTGCTTGCGGGAACCTCGCGCATAGCGCTCTGCGCGAGCAGAGCCGCCTGGAGAATGCCCCATGAGCCCGTCCAAGCATTCACCCAAAATGTCTGGACAAAGCAGGCAAAGACCACGATCCAGCCGTAACCACCATCCTGAATGGAGGCGGATACTGGGCGTTGCTCTGGGGATTCGGACTGTCTGGTTGTTGTACCGCGCTCCGTGAGGTTGATGGAAGGAGATGCCATCTCTTCTGAATTCCCGGGAAATTATTGTTATTTTGGCCTTGTCAGGTGCCTGACATTGTTCAGTGCATTGAATGAGTCGATGGTTGTATTGGACTGACAAGAATACGATATTTGAATAGTAAAATATGAGAATTCTCAAAATCCTTCCTGCTAAGTATGGGTAGCCGCATGCAGTCAGCCATCACCTGGGCAATATTGGTTGCAAACCGCTTATACACTTCGGCGAATCACCGAAGCACACATTTACGGACCCGCAATGATTGGCGGGTGATCCTCCTCGTGACGCGTATGGTCCCGGCACAATAATCGCTCGTGCGGTAAGCATATAAAGAGAAGGTTGATGTAACTCAAGAAAGGCAATACAGCGATCGGACTTTAGGCTGGACGACAATCTACCCTAATCTGGCTCACGTTACGTCATCGTTCATAGGATTCAGCAGCTGGGTGCGCCCCCCGCGCTCCACTCCGCTCAGTTTCGTAACACGTTATTTGCTACCATAAGCCGCAAATCTGCAATAAGATTCGCACATTGAGGTCGAAATGACAAACAAAGAGGCACCTGAGCATGCATCAAGACTAGACTCAGTAAGCCCAGATTAGACTGTGGACTGCTCCCAGATACGAGTCTCCCCTTCTTGTAGACGGACATACGTTTGGCTCAAAGTCAGGAAAATCAGCATCGTCTTGCATCACTTCCTGGCTCATTGACCGGCTCCAATCATCGTTATGACGAGATTTGATGCTCTCGTAGCCTGTCAAATGCTATCATCTGGCGCCTGGTTCAGCATATGAGCATGAATTTTTTACTTGGACTGGATTACAGATTTACTTTACGAGGATCTAAGAGATACGATCCACAGAAATATATCACAAGATAATGATAGGAAACCTAATCAGCAAAAGCCACCGCTACAGTTTTTAGACAGAACTCATACCAAGTACTCCAGCTCGTCATCATCTAGGTGCTCAATACCTTCAGAAACACCTTCCCCAGTCGTGGAAGTGTCAGGACGACTTTGGAACATCTTCAGCACACCCTTGGCCATGCTCCATCTGTGGTGAAACATCCAGACGACCGTGTCGATTTCCTCAATTTGTTCATATGGCGTATCCATAATGCACGTGTTGGTGTAGACATAGTATCTGCCAACCCCGGGTGTCGGCAGCAGATCGTATGAGTCCTGGCATTTTTTCTTCTTTCTTCTTAGAATTATGCCCCGTAATTGCCCAGTCCCTGGGAATCCAGTCGAAAGAGACGCTGTTGTATTGTTCGGAGAGTCTAGCGCTGCAGCAGTCCCAGGGCTACGTTCCGGAATCTTTCAGTTCCCAGCCCTGCAGTTTCACTGCCTCGTAAGTAGACGACGATGCCAATTGCTGTACCCGCGAAGATCGCAAGCCTGGCGAAGAATTCCATGGCGGAGAGATAGAAATTGATTGAGTGGCAGGTAATGAGTAGTACGGTTGATGAAGAACGCGACTGTATCGACTACAATAGCAGCGAAGTGGCGATCGGGGTGGATTGAAGTTTTCAGCGACCGACCTGCTCCGATTTCATAGTTGTAGTCTTGAGTCTAAGACAATTCTCCAGTGCGGCGTATCCAATAATCTTCCCTGTTCAAAAGTCGCTTTTTGTGCGGCGTAACCAGTAAATGTTGGTGTTTGGCCACTTTTTGAATGCGGCGTGCGGGTAAGACTCAAGAGGTCAGTGCATAGGTAAATTACTGACTAGGAGGAAAAGAACAACACGAGTGTCCACATCGAGTAGAGAAAGACAGACAATTGTATAAACAGAGTAATGGGAGTGACAGTGGTGTAGTTGAACGTACGTCTTCAAAGTACTCGAGTCAATCTTCTACAGTTTCGGTGATCGGGTTGGAATTTGGAGATACTAAAATAGAGATCATGGACTGCGCCGCACCAAGAGAAAGGAAATAAACGAATTGCAAGCGGGGAGTTCTTCTTTATACCCATCTTACTCTTTTTGACGCTATTTACCCGCACGGTCCTCGTTGAACTTCTGTATATACACCTCAGGCCTCGATCCTACCCATCAAACCCCCTACCACCTTCCCGCCCCCCAAACCAACGATCCTAACCCCAGCGTACCCCCAAAATGAAATGCGATCCCCCACGCCATCGCATACAGATACTTCGGACTAAACACAGTCCAAATGAACAGATGCGTCCTCAGCACAGTACACGCCACCATCACGCTCGCCGTCGCAACACCCACCCACAGCGTCACCAACGCCACATGTCTCCCCCACGCCTCCCCATTCTCTCTCCTCTTTCTACCCTCCTCTTCACTCTTCGCCATCCTTTCCAAATGCTCCCGCTCCTTCTGCACCCAGTCGCGGCTGTCGACCTCGTCCATCGCGATGTTGCGCCGGGGGCGGCCTAGCGCGGAGAGCAGCAGCGAGGATGCGGCGGTAAAGTAGAGGGGCCCGGCCCAGTTTGAGAGGAAAAGGAGGGCACCAACGGCGAGGACGTTGTACCCCGAGACGCCGTTGTAGGCATTTGAGAGGTCGATTGAGGAGATGGCGTTGGAGTTGCCGAGGGCGAAGAAGGAGGTTTGGGTGAGCAGAAGGGTGGTGGTTGTTATTGCTGCTGGGGAGAGATCAAGGAGGGCTTAATCTCGTTAGAGTCAACTAGAGGGAAGTTAGACGGGGTAGCTTACATAGAAAGAAGAATTGGAAGCGGAAGAGGAGATAGAGCGGGATGTTCTGCGCTTTGGTCTGCGTGATGATGAAGAGGGAGAGTAGGTCGAAGAGGGCGATTGCGAGATCTAGGAAGGTGTGAGCATGATTCATAGGAGGATAGGGGGATTGCGCACCGCCGCTGCCTTCGCCGCGTCTGTCTCGTTTCCGCTTCCACTCCGATATCATAATCCACACTACGCTCAGCGCCGTGCCCGCGAACACCATCCTTGCCACGTCCACGAGACTCAGATCCTCGACCCACTGGATGAGACCTTGATTGATGCCATATGTGAGTTCCGGGGCATCCCTCGCAGTGAATGCGAGCTTGAAAATGAATGCGGTGGCGCCCAGCGGCAGCACAGCAACTACCCCCAAGAAGCGATTCGCATCCACGGCTTGCGGGTCTTCGCTGTTGCTGTTTTTATCAAACACTACGATGGAGCGCGCGATATGTCTGGAAACCCGTATCGTGATGTCCATGTACGTGGCGCCAACCAACGCCCATAGTATGAACGATGACCTCCCGTGGAAGATACCGCTGTGCACGATATCATCCGCGCCAGCATACTTTTGTCCAGTCTGGTTCCACCTCCGTATGATGCGGTGGGTAATGAGAAGCATAATAGCTGGATGAAAGATGAATTTCGACTGCCACTCCTTGCGCGACTCGGCGATGAAGAGGTAGAAGAACCAGCCGGAGACGGCCCAATACCAGAAGTTGTGCTCTTCCTCTACATACGACGAAGCGAACATGAGGACGCTGTAGAGGATGAGAGTCAGGGCGTAAGCGATACCAGAAGGTGTGAAAGGCCGGAGAGCTGGAAGGGTGAAAAAGGTCAGGACTACGGAGACAAATGCCAGAGCAGTGCCTGTTGTGAGACGTGGAACGTCGTAGTTTGAAGCTGTGCTTGACATCTTCTCTTGCGCAGCGTCCATGAACTGTACAGTGTCAGCAGGCATTCATGACACCGTCATGCTGCAACCGTACCCAGTAGAGCTGGTCTATCTTCAGATCCGCAGTTATATGTCTGCTAGATGCCGACAGGATGTCAACGACACCACGCCATTTGCATGCCAGCTCCTGTCCATCGCTCTGTCGAAGTTAGCATCCACCTTGCTGGTCGCTCTCCAGACCTACCAATGGTGGTTCGCATTCCTTGCCAAGAGCCCGCGAGTCGTCTCCATAGTTCAAGCTCGGATACGTAGCCTCCACGATCCTCTTCATTTGCCTAGCATTCCGAAGCAGTAGACGCAGTCGATCAATCCCTACATCGTCAGTCTCCAGTCAGACACTCCAATAAATCATACTCACTGTTGGGCCAAAAGGCCAGCAGCTCCTTGATGAAAACACCCAAGTTGTTCCTCGGGACTGGGAAGCCCAACAAGCCTGCGAGCGTCGGTGCGATGTCACTCTGCTCCACCATCCGGTAGTACTCGAACTCTCCGCCTCCCTCTTTCGGCTTCGTAGGGCTTACTCTATTTGTGTGCGGAGTAATGTCCCTGAGTCTAGGAGACATGAAAACCAAGGCTGGAGATGTTTCGCCAGCTGCGCTGCCACCGTGATTGCCGCCCTCGTTCATACCGTGATCTCCGCAAAGGACAAAAAGCGTTTTGGATAGATGATCCTCATTCTCAATGGCGGAGTAAATGTCCCTGACGATATCATCCATCTCCTTTTGCTTCGGAATCATATTAGGGCTGCAGAAAGTCAGTCTCTCCACATCACGAAGATCGCGTACAATCACCTTCTAGGACCAGCCTTATGGCCTATATGGTCGAGACCTAGGTAATGCATGATCATCGCGTTCCAGTCACTATTTAGTAGTTCTTCAGGCACATGCCTCGTCACATTATTGTCCACCTCGGTGAAATCCTGCAAAGCACAACGATCAATTCCTATTCTCGAACCTATTCGACTAGATCTACTGACCGAAACAAAGAAACTGCTTGTTCCATCCGCGCGCTCGAAGAAGCCGGGGAAGAGCTTCAACCACGTATCATCACCGTACATGACCAGTTTCCCGCCTTTCTTGGCCTTCAGCTGTGCGAGCCACGTATCTTGTGTGGAGAGCGTGGAGGTTGTGTCGGACTCGGCGAAGTTGAGGATGACGTCGAGGAACGAAGGGATGGAGCCGGTGGTGATGGCTTTCACCTTGGGCATGGTGATGGTTGGGGAGGCGGCGTGCGCTGTGAAGGGGAGGGCGGTGCCTTCACGGATCAGACTACAACATGTCAGCACCGTAATAGTAAGCATCTCAACCCAGGTTGAGGACATCGGGGCGCCACACCTCTGCACAAAAGTCATTCCACTCTCCTCCCCGAACACGAAATCACTCCGCAACGCGTCCACGACCATGAACACCAGCTTGTCGAATGGCGCCTCAGGTACACTTCCCTCCTTCCACCCCATCGCATCCTCCCATCCCAGCTTCTCATATTCGGCGAGTCCTGGCATGAAGGGTTTATAAGGGAAGAAGCCTGTCGCAAAGATCAAAATCGCAACAGGGATGAGAAGGTTCGCGGCAGCGAGGAGGAGCGTTCGGAGCGCCATTGCGGCGGTCACGGGGCGCAGACGCTTGACAGTCCTGGAGTATCAGTTCACTAAATCCAGCGGATCAGTCATTCAAGGCATTCTGAGGCAGCTTGAAGCTGAGATGGGAACACGGAGTCCTCAACTTGCCCACACGTCGCGTCCAGTGTCAGGGTCTAGCGCTAGGCCCAGGATCAGCCTAGTTCGTCGCGCTCAGACAGCCAATGACATCACTACATAGCACCTCATCCCGGCTTACATCTGCGCACCGCCTTTGCACGTTGATTGTCTCAATGTCCTGTTCGCCATTAGGACGCTATCGTACTATTCCACACCTGAGCCTAACACGAATCGCTTGCGCTCACCCTTGCCTACCCGCCTCTCTTGGATCTCGGTCTTTCACCGGTAGTCCCCACCAGGACTTGCAATCAGAGCTTGCTGTGTACCTGCAACATAGGACGAGCGTGCAACAGAAGAAGTACAGTCGGAGCATCAAAGTCCCAGGTCCACCCAGTAACCAAAAAACAATGGCATTCCTCCTTCCCGGTCTCCGCCGCGGCCTCGTGCTGTCGACTCCATTCATCCTCTCGGCACCACTTCTAGTACAAACCATGAGACGACCCGTCCTCTGCGACGGCCCTGACCCTCTGTCAAAAATTACGTCGGATCTTAAGAACAGGTACGCTGGCGAAGCACAAACGCCAGTAATCAAGACCTCAGGCGCGCCGAATCCCCGAGCACTCCGCCAAGTCAGCATGGGCAGCATCCTGGGCGTTCTCGCGGGCCTGGGTGTAAGTGTTTTTAGCAAGCCGCTAGCAATATTGATAGGGCTGGGTGTTATTTGTATCCAGGTACGTGTGAATTGTCATTTCTCATTTCGTTCTATATCATGCTATGTTGAAGGGTATATCGAAAGCGCGCTGGAAGCGCGCTGGAAGCGTGCTACATGCCACTTCGCCGCCGTATATGCAGGTCTATGTGTGTCTGGCGTGGGAAGAAGCTAACCCTCTGTGCAGCTCCTTGAAAGTCGCGGTATTCATCTCGTCCCGTACTCCTTCCTGCAGCGAAGACTCAAAGAGACGAATGTACGGTCGTTGATTCAGGATAACGCTGCTTTCAAGCTCTCCTTTGGCGCGACATTTGCGCTGGCCGCGTTCGCAGAATTTTGAGAAGGTCGGAGGAAATCGCTGTCGTCGGCCATGATCGTGGATCGCATCAATAGTTGAAGCGATGTCCCGGGTGCATCGTCTGCGGCGCGAGCTGCATTTGAAGCTGTTTGCAGCCCTGCCAGAATGTCTTGACCGCTTCCTTAAATGCAGTCGAGTTCTTTGCATTCCTGTATATATGTCAGCTCACTGTCAATACAATGCGCACCAAGCATACCTCATCAAACTTTCAATGAACTTTCTGATCATGTCTTGTACTGCTTGTTCACCCTGCATCCTCTGCAAAAGTGGCTGTTCTGAGAGAGCAGAGCTTATGTATGCTTTAGAGTGACGGTCGTTCTGAATGAGCTTCCGAAGTGGGATCACAATGTGTTCCAGGCTAGAAGCATCGACCTCTCCGCTTATGTTCGCGATCAAGGCGGAAGTGACCGCTTGGCCGAAGTGATCAACAATTTCTTGACACATCACTTGGTCTGGATTGCCGCTACTGGCGGTCTTCTCGATTATTTCCCGCCACAAGGAGGCTGCGGCTCTCTTCGGTAAGACTTCTGGCGACTTGAGGCATTCAACTGAAAAATCGAAAGTGCCCTTCAACACGTCCGGATGTTCATGCTTCAAAATGGAAGCGTTCTGCTTGATGAAGCTCTGAATGAGTTCAATGCACCCGACGGACACTTCTGGTTCGTTTCTTGGATGCTGCAACGCTTGCATGATCCCTAAATCGTAATGGAGAAGGCGTTGTGATTGCGGTTCGAAATCACTTGATCCTTTATGGCAAGAGACCCAGCAGCAAGCTGTTTCTAATACATACGTCAACCGCGGCGTCTGTAGCGTAGTTCTTGTAATGTAGTCGACAGCGGCCGCTGCAGGTAACACAAAAGGTCCTGGTCCTGCTTCTTTGAAGCCAGCACGCAGACTATTGCAAGCCGACTCAATGATTTCGTCGTTGGCGGGGAACACCTGAGTAAGGTAGGTGATGAAGTTGAGGATCTGAGTTTGTATGTCCTTTCCAAGGCCTTGTGTCCAGAACGTCGATCCAGTAGCGACTTCATCCAAGTCAACAACGCCATCATCTGGTGCCTGAAGCGCCTTTCCGATACAAGAGAGGCACTTCAAAGCGGTCAGGGCAAGCATAAGGCCTTGCTCGGCATCGTTACCGTCTTTGGTGAGGTTCAGAGCTTGCATCGCGTCGTGGGCGACGTACTGGAACAGTTGTTGAAGACCAGCCAATTGCTTCTCCTCAGATGATTCCGCTTGCACAATTGCCGCAATGCCCTCCAAAACTTTGCTCTTTGTGGACTCTTCCGCAGTCGCATAGGTAATAAATTGGTCATACATTTGGAAGAAAGAAGGAAGCTCGCCGGTCAGCGTCCTCCTGCATTCTGAACATAGCGAAGCGAAGGATTTTGCAGCACCTTGAGCGAGCGATGGCTGCGCCAAAGCGCCAAGCAAGAACGGCAGAACTTGCGGCAAGAAGTGCGGATTGCGCATAAAAAAGTGGTTGAAGGCTGCGACAAGGTCGACTGCCGTCCTCCTTGTCACAGCAGGAATGCCGGTGTTCTCGGTAATCGTACTGAAAAGCGGTCGTTCGAACAGTCGGCTGAGCTTGTCGTCAACAGCAGTCGCCGCATCGGCGACTGAGATCAAACAAAAGAGCCCTGCTTCAAGCTCGAGCCAACGCTTTGCCTCCAGGGCCTGTATCGAGAAGTCAATGAATTGCTCGGTCAACTCGTTCCGTAACAATTCAAAGGCCTCCATCGTAATATCTCGAACGTCCATCCGAAAGACCTTGAAAGTCTTCTTAGCGTCAGAATCCCAAGTTTTGGTAACCTCTGAAGGCGGATAGATAATCTTCTGCAGCAATTCAGAAATTGCCTGAAAGGCATGGCTCCTTGCAACGACAAACCACGGAGGATGCTCTCCCTCTGAGTAAAGGAAAGACTCTTCGGCAATTGCGGATATATATGTGCTCCAGAAGTCCAGCGCAACCAGGGCCACTTCATCCTCAACGCCCACGGGATCTGGATATTTAAGTAGTTCATGGAGAAAGGCTGATGGCTGATTAGCAACTATAGTGGACCTAGAGCTTCATCAGGCTTACATGAAACTTGCTGGTAATGTCCGTTATCGGGCTCTTGGTAGAGTTTCTTCGTCTCAACCAGCTCAGAACCGTATGCGACTATTATTCTTGCTAATGAAACGGTCTCCGCATCAAGATTCTTGAGAATCTCGAGGCCCCATTGGCTCGTGATTATGTCCCAGAGCATATGTAGATGTTTCTCTTCGAAGAATTTTGGATAGCCCTCGAGTACGGTGGCAATGTGTTCCATAGCATCATCCACATGATATTCCAGGCAAGAAAAGGATAGCTCCGTGATTGAGCGAAGGTGTCTCAGCTTCTCAGGCACAGCCTTGAACTCAGATTGCGCGTAGAAAATCCAGCCAAGGAAGCATTCGAAAGATGCGACACACAGCTTTTCTCCAGCTTGTAACAGCCGCTCATAGTTAGGATCATCCGGCGGTGTTGACAGATACTTGATGCCTCGCCCGAAAGCAACTTGCAGTAGAACTTCAAGGCTTTCAACATTTGCTATCAGACGTTCATGGGGTCGTTGGCTGAAGCAAGTTAGTCATGTAGTTCACAATTCGTTGCGCACAACTCACTCAGGGCGATTGGACAGCTTCTTTGCCTCGTCAGCCACGTTCATTGCGAAGTCCAGTAACGTCAAAAGATGGTTGTCGGCCAGCGGAGGAAGCACATCCCAGGTTGAAGGATGACTGTCGAGGGTATCATCTAGAACCGGCCGTTGCAAAGCGAATGAGAGTGTCAGACTTCGGATGCATTCTACCCATGAAGAGATAGGCTTGGTGAAATATTGGGCAAGCGTCGAGCATAGTTTTCGTGTCGCTGTGGTGGAGCTTGGATTCGTGACGAGATGATGCTTGTGAAATTAGCTATGGGCAACCCATGGCTGTTCTAAAACGTACGATGAGCTTAGAAAGCAACTGAGCCGATTCTTCTTCACTCAAGTCTGCACTATTTCAAGTCAACACGACATGAAAAAGCTTCTGAGGCTTCCGAACTTACGAGTCTGCATTGACTTTCACAGTAAGTGTTAGCGCGCCGAAGAACTGTACGTTTGGGTCGGCACTGTTCAGCAGGGCGTCGCCAATCTCCCAGCCCTGTGGGGACCTCTGCAACACACGTAGCGTAGCTTCGGTCTGGGGGATCTTGGTCGCATGGCCAGGATCATACAGGGTCTTGACGAGTGCTTCGATGTCTGGTAGAGCCAACGGAAGCGCTTGCGCTTGCGGCGCTGCCATGGTGGTGGGGTGTAGCGACACTGGTGTAGTTGCGCCGCAAGATATTGATGGGCCGTTGTGCTGACTGACTGTGCTGGTGTTAGTCCGTTCGTCTACAGGTACATTCCAGATGCATGAACGAGCCGACTTGGCTGAGATCAAGTCGATCTGTATAAACCCCCGACTGAGTTTGGCGTCCGTGTGAGGAAATATGACTCGCTAGGTGCGAAGGAACTAGTACGCGATCACGCACCTTTGAATGAATGCTGATTGCTACCTTTTTATTTTCATGGAGGATGCTGCAATATTAGCAAGCTTATAGAAGGTCGTGTTCCACGCTCTGGTAGCGCCACAGAAAAGATGTGACAGAGCTTTGCCTCAGTTTGTCCGGGGTCTAGCAGGATGCATTCCACTGACTGGGTGCGCCGGGAGACTGGGAAGCGAATGGACAAGGCGCGCAAGCATCGTCACAGCATCCAGGGTCCGGATCCGCTAGCAGAGGGCGGTGCTGTGCAGGATTTGGTCGTCGTCGTGCTGGTGGGCTGGCTTGGCGGCAAGCGCGAGGCTGTAGAAAGGCGCTAGGCTAGCTGGGCAGGTGCGCGGCCAGTCGATGGGCTGGATTGCCGTCGCGGGGCAGGCGCATGCAGCTGCAGCTGGAAGAGAGGTACTAGGACCCGCCGTGGAAAGCCATTCATGCTGCTCTCGCGCTCCCTCTTGCGCACCCACGCGACTCCCGCAGCGCACGCAGCCAGAAGACTGCCCTTCCCCTGCCAGAGAGCCTTTCACGCCTCCGCTATTCGCCGTCTGCTCGACATGGAGAAGGTCAACACCTCCGAGCGGCTCGCCGAGCTGCGCAAGCTCATGCAGGAGCGCCAGATCGATGTCTACAGTACAGTCGGATGTGCGTCAGATGCAGTGCCTCTCGCTAACAACCCCACAGTGGTCCCTTCCGAGGACAGCCACCAGAGCGAGTACATTGCGCCCTGCGATGGACGCCGCGGTCTGATCCCCCATCAACACCCCGCCTCGCACATACTGAGACCCCTCTAGAGTACATAAGCGGATTTTCGGGCTCTGCTGGGTACGCAGTCATCACCCACGAGAAGGCCGCCCTCTCGACAGACGGACGCTACTTCAACCAGGCCGAGAAGCAGCTCGACAGCAATTGGGAGCTCCTCAAGCAGGGGTTGCAAGACGTGCCTACAATTCAGGAATGGACAGCAGACCAGGTTGCTGGAGGCAAGGTCGTGGGCGTTGATCCTACTGTGGTGACCGCGGCAGACGCTCGAAAGCTTGCAGACAAGATCAAGAAGAAGGGCGGCGATTACAAGGCAGTGGACGAGAACCTCATCGATCTCGTTTGGGGCAGGAAGAGGCCGTCGCGGCCGAGCGAGAAAGTCATTGTGCAGCCGGTGCAACATTCGGGCAAAAGCTTCGATGACAAGATCGCCGACATTCGAAAGGAGTTGGAGAAGAAGAAGAGTCTTGGATTCGTTGCATCGCTGCTGGACGAAGTCGCGTGGCTATACAACCTACGTGGCAGCGAGTATGTTGGTCTGGAGCAAAAATGACACGCAAACTGACCTGCCGTAGTATCCCATATAACCCGGTCTTCTTTTCGTATGCGGTAGTCACACCCACGGAAGCCATCCTGTACGTCGACGAAAGCAAACTTACGCCAGAAGCGAGAGAGCACTTGGGGGATAAGGTGACCGTAAAGCCATACGATGCCATCTTCAGTGACCTGAAGGCACTCAGCGCAGAAGCATTTGACGCGAATAGTGAGGCAGCAGAGAACAAGAAGTTTTTGACGTCCAATAGGGCGTCTTGGGCTTTGAACAAAGCTCTCGGCGGCGAGGAACGTGTAGATGAAGTTCGTAGTCCTATCGGAGACGCGAAAGCAGTGAAGAATGAGGTCGAGCTCGAGGGCATGCGAAACTGTCACATTCGCGACGGTGCCGCACTTTCCGAATACTTTGCGTGGTTAGAAGACCAACTCATCAACAAGAATGCCACTCTCGACGAAGTAGACGGGGCGAATAAACTAGAGTCAATTCGCGCAAAGCACGACCTGTTCATGGGCTTGTCCTTTGATACGATATCCTCGACCGGAGCCAACGCCGCGGTAATACACTACAAGCCCGAGAAGCCTCTTGCATCGGTGATCGACCCCAACGCTATTTATCTCTGCGACTCTGGCGCTCAGTATCGAGACGGCACCACTGACACCACCCGAACTCTTCATTTCGGTGAACCCACAGAGACCGAAAAGACGGCATACACACTTGTTTTGAAAGGGCACATTGCACTTGAGCGGGTCAAATTCCCCAAGGGAACCACCGGTTTTGCCATTGACGCTTTGGCTAGGCAGTTCTTGTGGGCGGAAGGCCTTGACTACAGACACGGCACTGGCCATGGTGTTGGCTCTTTCCTCAATGTCCATGAGGGACCTATTGGGATTGGCACCCGCGTCTCGTACTCTGAAGTCCCTCTATCCGTAGGCAACGTCGTGTCGAATGAGCCTGGATACTACGAGGATGGCAAGTTCGGTATTCGCATCGAAAACATGGTCTTGGTCAAGGAAGTGGAAACTAAACACAAATTCGGCGACAAGCCATATCTTGGATTTGAACGTGTCACTATGACACCTCATTGCCGCAAGCTCGTGGACATGAGCCTGCTGTCAGAAGCTGAGAAGACGTTCATCAACGAGTACCACCAAGAGATCTTCGACAAGACCAGCAAGTTCTTCGAGAACGACCCGCTGACCATGGCATGGCTTGAACGCGAAACCGCGCCCTACTAATCAACATAGGGTACAGCGCGCCCTTGTAGAACCTACCCATAGCGTTAGCGGCGTCTTGTCTTACTTTTGGTAGCACTGGAATCTCGGCATTCCGCGGCACAGCATGCATTATTCTCGGCGTTGTGTTAGCTCCAGAGGTCCGACCTCGCGATTAGTAAATTTGCAAATATCTATGATACCCTGTAGTCAGGTATTCGACTCACAAAGTCCTCGATCAGACTAACAGATCAGTCCCCGCTGCAGACCCACTACGCTCCTGCTGGTCGTAGAGATCGATGCACAATTCTTGATAATCAGCTCGAGCTGTGGTGCATCGCCAATTGTGTAAATCATGCATCAATTCAACGAAGACGCAGGCGCTCAAAAATTGACTGGCCAAGAGCTGTGTCCAGGCAGAGCCAACACTTCGCGAGATAGAATTACTTTGTGATTGGGTCGTTTGGCTCGGCGTAATCACCGGAGCAGACTTCCGTCAGTATCCATGGGGTCTGGTGGGGTTGAACCAACGGCGCGGGGCAATGGTCTCGCCTCGGGCGGGCAAGACTATGCAGCGGCTTCTTTTTTCTGCAAGTGGTCTTAACGATCAGGTAACTTGACTCACATTGCCATTACGGGTCCTCTTCTTTGTATAATTTACACCAAATCAATTGGCTCACCCCAAACGTCCTCAATCTTCTCACTTCATTGTTTGAGAACGAGCAAGCTCCTCGCCATCTAGTATTTCTACGCCGACTAGAAAAGTCTAGAGTCAATTTAACGCCGATATGCCCACAGAACTTCCCACTACGAACGGCAACACTGCCCAGGATGGCGAGAACAACTTCGCCGTCAAGGCAGGATTGGCGAGAATGCTGAAGGGTGGAGTCATCATGGACGTTGTCAACGCTGAGCAGGTACGCCGTCGCAATCTTGGTGGTACTGAATGCACGCTGGAATACCAGACGTCTCCAAGAACAGTTCGAACAGCTCTGACAGTGAGAACAGGCACGCATAGCGGAAGAAGCCGGCGCAGTCGCCGTCATGGCCCTTGAGCGTGTCCCCGCAGACATTCGAGCACAAGGCGGCGTAGCACGTATGAGCGACCCGCAGATGATCAAGGAGATCATGGACACAGTCACGATACCCGTCATGGCAAAGGCACGAATTGGCCACTTTGTCGAGTGCCAGGCACGTTCCCCTTCCTCGCTTCTTGTCCCTCTGCTCGACGGGCTTCGACTTCCGCTCTTCATATCCACAGCATGCTGACAGCCCGCGCCTAGATTCTCGAAGCCCTCGGCGTAGACTACATCGATGAGTCCGAAGTCCTCACCCCCGCCGACGCCATCCACCACGTCGACAAGCACCCCTTCCGCATTCCCTTCGTCTGCGGCTGCCGCAACCTCGGCGAGGCCCTGCGCCGCGTCTCCGAAGGCGCAGCCATGATCCGCACAAAAGGCGAGGCTGGCACCGGCGACGTCATCGAGGCCGTCCGCCACATGCGCCAGGTCAACTCGGACATCCAGAAGGCCTCGGCCATGTCGTCCACCGAGCTGTACACGTACGCGAAAGAGCTCGGCGTCGACTACGCGCTGCTCAAGGAGACGGCGAAGCTGGGCCGTCTGCCCGTGGTCAACTTTGCCGCCGGCGGTGTCGCGACGCCCGCGGATGCGGCGCTCATGATGCAGCTGGGCTGCGACGGCGTGTTTGTCGGCAGCGGCATCTTCAAGAGCGGAGACGCGGCGAAGAGGGCCAAGGCGATCGTGCAGGCCGTGACGCACTACAAGGACCCGAAGGTGCTGATGGAGGTGTCGATGGATCTGGGCGAGGCCATGGTCGGCATCAACTGCGGTGACCTGGGCGAGCAGGAGAAGCTCGCGAAGAGAGGGTACTAGGAGGCTGCTGCATTGTGTGAGGTGTACTATGCGATAGAAATCTGTATTGACTTACGAAAAGGGTTGTCATAGCAAGGCGTACATAGCAAAAGCGAAATCTCTGCTCAACCGTCGCACAACCGTCGCACAACCGAGCCACGATTATCTGTGCTACCACAGACGATCACCGACAGCTTGCTGTTCTGCAAGACTTTTCGCAAAGTGGATGATGTGCTGCAACTCGTCAAAAGTAATGTGTCACAATGTCTGCTGTTTTAAGCCTGTCAAAGATGAGTCCGAGAGCACGTACAGGCACGTTGTCCCAAGTGGACGAGCAGGTGGCTTTGATCAATATTTCTTTGGCGGACGGCTACCAATACTTCGTACCTCATTTCCATAATGATGCGCGTCTGCTACCTAAAACCATCCAGTCGCAGACCGCCTTTTGTGACTTAAGCCACCATATAAGCCCGTTGAGATGCGGGCAGATCAAACAATGAAGAACCCCATGAACACCGGCAATATCAAACCCATCTATCCACAGTCATAAGGCGTAGGAGAATACTGTGGAAGCCGTATATCGGGGGGGCGTCGGAATCGAAGAAGGGTAACCATCCGGAAGAGCGCCGAGCAGGGGAGCAAGCCGCCGCTTAGCGGTCCTCGGCCCACTCGTTCTCACGGCGGATCTGGTCCTCCTCCTCGGGTGTGAAGTCGTTCTGAATGTTGAACGTCTTCCGGATCTCGTCGGGGGACTTGCCCTTGATCATGTTGGCCACAGTCTTGCAGCCGACGTCGAGGAGGGCCTTGATGTCGAGGTAGTTTGCGGCCTGTGTCGTGGTTAGCACATTGTTTGCATATGCGGATTCTAGAATTGAGTACGTACCAAGATGATCTCGAAGAGCATCTCCTGGTCGACCTGCATGAACTTCTGATCCCACTCATCAATGTCCGTGGACTTCTTGCGCGAGTCCGAGTCGTCGTCCTGGGAAGCGGGGGGGTCTTTGCGGTGGTGCTCGCACCACTCGAGAACCTTCTTCATGACAGCCTCGTTCACCTGTGCGCTGTCAGCAAATAGTTGATGACACGAGATTCGGTGGCACGTACGTTCGGGATGGGGATAGCCTCGGTGTTGTCGACACCAAGGTCCTCCAGCAAGTTCTTGATCAGGATGCTGCGCTCGGCGACGTCGCGGTCGACGGGGAGGGTGGCATTGTCGGAGGTGGTAAGGACGATCTGGTTCTCGCCCACCTGGGGAGCGGCTGAGGTAGACATGGCGAATTTGGTGTATGCGTGACTACTCGAAGGTGTTCTGTAGTCCGAAGCGGGGTCGCGGCAGTTTGGAGTGGCGTGCAGTCGAGGCTGTGGGTGTGTTAGGTGAAGAAGTGCTAGAGGCCGGCGGCAGCGGGTTATATACCGGTGGAGGATCTCGAACTATGGTTTGCGACAGGTCGGTGATTGTTTAGTGAAGGCAGAAGGGTGACAGTCCGCCTGCGCCTCGCCTGCCTGCTCATAGCGGCGCTGTTCAGGCCCCAAATCGCTGAATCGGGAATGGCGCAAGGCTGCCGTGTCCTTGTCACAGTGGTCCCACGGGTGCCGAGTCAAGTGGTACTTCACTTGTTCATTCACGTCAACTGCTTTGTCTGCCTGGGTTCCTTTCACTTGTAGAATGTTTCGGCAATCTCGCACTGGGAATGGGCGTCTGTGGCTTTGTGTGCGCATGTGCAGGCCGATTGCACCTTCGCCTTTCACAGTGCACTTAAAACGAGTGTCCCAACAACCGTATTCTCGACGGTAGAACCAAGGGCGCACACCCTAACACAAGGGCGGGGGGCTGAGATGGACATTTTCTGTTGATCGACCATAAGAGACATAATGCTGTTGTTTTGGGTCTTGCTGGTGAGCACCAGTCTTAAAATTACTCGTTGCTCCCTTGCCATATCATGCATACATTCCTCCTTGACGGAAATGTTTCTCGAACCGTTAATGCGAGCACTCAGCGATCCACAGCGGATGCAGGGACACCTTTTCTACAAAGGCTGCTTGAACGTACCCGAGTCATCGTCGTTGTTCGTTGTGCCCGCTGTCATCCTGGTTGTTGAGCACTGTGGATCAATCTGACACGGATCATTCGTGCGGAAGACGTAACATACATAGCGTACCTATGGTGCCAAATTGAATTTTATGTGTCTTGTGATACATGTCGGCTAATAAGATTTCTCGTACAATAATCAGTCGTTCCCATAACGTTGTGCTTTCAAAATGCATGTTTCCGGGTACCAAAAGTAGCGTATCCCTACGCAGTGTCAACATCTGGCACCATCTCGCACATCCAATCCAGCATTTTCCATTGTGGAGAAGAAAAAATTATCTGCAAGACTGGGTGATATGTGGTTTGTGTAGCGACATGCACCCTTCTATACCGAGCACCGCCTGCTCATTCCTCGCTATGCTGAATGCGCCACGTGCGGCGTGCGAAGTATGTTCCGCATTGAGCGCGACAACTCGTTTTCGGCCGCAGTGTGCATCATCATCGCACCGGTATCTATTCTTGTCATCGGGCCTTGGATATGTAAATACTCGACATTTACCCCGATGCTGACGTGTTGTGTATCGGGTACTATCTGCCTATCCCCCTATTGATCCAGTCCACATGGTCGTAGCACCGAGCCGTTTGACTTGATCACGCTTAATAACTCTCCCACCACCTGTTCGCTGGCCTTGACCGCGACACAGAATCGCCCAGCGCGAACAGACATGCCCCAGAGCGCACTCCTCCCATCGCACCTACCGCAGGCACCATGTGGCGCAGGACCTACTTCCTGCTGATTCTCGTGCGCATCTACTTTGCGCTGTCGCCGAGCTACCTCCACCCGGACGAGAACTTCCAGGGTCCTGAGGTAGTCGCAGGTATGCTACAGCCCACATGGAAGTCATTTGCAAGCTGCGACTAACGTTCAACGCGCAGGTCGCGTCTTCTCGTATCCGGTACTCGAAACATGGGAGTTCACGTCGGCGCATCCCATCCGCAGCACCTTCCCGCTATGGCTCGCATACGGTTGGCCTATGTACATTCTGCGCTGGCTCTGGGAAGGCTTCAGATACGGGGAGGTTTCGCCGTCGGTCGTCTACTGGACGCTGCGCGTGCTGATGCTCTCGCTGAGCGTTGTGCTTGAGGACTGGGCAATACAAGAGCTGGTGCAGTCGCGGCGCGCCCGACGCGTCGCTCTGCTGCTGATCGCGTCGTCGTACGTAACGTGGACCTTCCAGACACACACCTTCTCGAACAGCCTGGAGACGCTGGTTGTGAGCTGGAGCTTGGTCTTGATACAGCGCATTGTGGAAGATAAGGTATGCCCAAGCCTCGGAATGTGTTCCGGATCTGCCACGGCGCATGCAGCTAACGATCCGCAGAAGCGCTCCGGCATCTTAGCTTCCTCACTGCTGGGCTTCTTTGTTGTCGCAGGCACCTTCAACCGAATCACCTTCCCTGCTTTCCTGGCTGTGCCATCTTTCAGCTTGCTACCTCATTTCTGGAGAAAGTCAGTTGTCGCCTTCCTGTCGCCACAGTACCAGATTATGCTGACCTAGCCCAGACCATTCTCACTTGTATTCATAATCCTCTTTGCGATCTTGACTGCGTTCCTAGCGATCAGTGTCGACACGGCATTCTATACCCCAGGCGACTTCACATTTGCGCAAGTTTTACATAATCCCGTCATTACACCACTCAATAATTTCCTATACAACTCTGACTCGGCGAACCTGGCCCAGCATGGTCTCCATCCTCGCTACCAGCATTTCCTTGTCAATCTGCCACAACTACTCGGTCCAGCCACCGCCCTTCTCTTCCTTCTCCGCCGATCACAAATCACCATGACCTTGGTCTCCGCGCTCTCTGGCATTGCGCTCCTCAGCGTCTTTCCACACCAGGAAGCTCGTTTTTTGCTTCCTGCTGTCCCACTGATACTTGCATCTGTCTCTCTTCCGAGAGTTCAAAGGAAGTTCTGGATATCAGCATGGATTCTGTTCAACGCCGTACTAGGGGTTTTGATGGGCGTCTATCACCAGGGTGGAATCGTACCGGTGCAAATGCACATCGCGAAGACAAACGAGGCTGTCGGCCATGCGTTCTGGTGGAAGACATATAGCCCTCCCATCTGGCTCCTGAACGGCAAGAATGAGGAACTCAGAACAGTCGATTTAATGGGAATGTCCGGAGACAAGATGCTCGAACAAGTGGGTGCCGTACTCCCGACATGCCGCACTCGTAAACCCCCAAAGCTCCGAGACAGACCAGCTGTCTACCTGGTCGCACCCCGATCGGCCTACTTTCTGCATCCTTACCATGACTCCGCCAAGCATGAGGACATCTCCCTCGAAGAAGTGTGGACTTTCCGGCGCCATCTCAATCTCGATGACATGGACATTCCCAAAGATGGGTTCTGGAAGACCATGGGCCGCGTAGTTGGTGATCGCGGGCTGGTCGTCTGGCGCGTCACAAGGAACTGCTGGTCTAAGCAGACCCAACCAATTTCCTGACAAATTACTTTTTTGGTGCCAGGCGCTCTGGGCTGAACGTAGATGATGGGCGCGAGCTATCTTCTGGCTGGCATGGATTGCTTTTTCGGCTCTTGATACCCTTTTGCAAATAGGCTTTGTAATATTCACTCAATGACTATGTGAACCATCTCACACACGATTGTATTTCTCTCGAGCTTTGCGTGAAGATATGTGAAACTGCATCATCCTTATATGCAGTGATAGCTGGAGCTCTTCACTATTGAGAGGCACGTCAACATCCATGGGTTGGTAGAAGCGAGAGCCTTTCGCTAGACCTGATAACGCCCTACCCCACCACCAAACCCCTCAGCACTTCTGGTATCCTAGTAAATCTACTTAGCTCCAGCACATGTCAAAATCAGGTGCACCTGGTGTTGATGCTCAGGACCGACCGTTTTTTCAGATCGGTTGTCTAACGCAATTGGGACGACAACGAAAACGACTCACCGCCCCCAGCCATCGACAAAATTAAATTGGTCACCAAGTTGTAGTCAGCACATATACAGATCTCTGTACAAACGGGAAAACTAGCACCAGCACATGTCAAACATGCCGTGTGCTGCACATGTAGTATGACGCTTGCAGAGACCGCCGCCATACCCCTGGACCAGTGCCGCGCCGAACCTCCAGTACGGCGCCTCATCCCAGGAAAGGCAATACTAATCCCACTCTTTTGAGTTGGTACTTACATTAGCGCCCGCGACACGTGCGCATCGCTACTCGACCCCGTTCTTCGTATCTGCTTCGTACCACCATCCGTCCACCATCCTAGATTTTACGGGTCGACTCCGTCGCCGTGCACGGAACCGTGCACCTTGGCTGCGCGAGTTCGCAGCAGCCATGGAGGATGCATACAGCGATGAGCTTCTCGCGCAGCTCCGCAGGAGGTCGGGGTTCGGCGCGTTCGCAAATGTGAACGATTTTCATTCGATGAGCAGTTCCATGGGCGGAACCAGTCTGGATAGGTCAGAAACGGTACGTACGCAGCCGCAACAACGAGTTTACCCTATACAATCTGACGGTTATGCAGCTGCCTAGCAAGCAGCTTCGCGACGAAGTCGGCCGCACAGCGCCGCATTTGTTCAGCGAGTACCCGGAATATGCGCCTGAGGTGCAGGCCATCCTTGAGACGGAATTGCCGTCTGTGGAGAAGATTTCTAAAATTGCTGCGGAGATTCTGCGCACAGACGGATTTCCATTTCCCAACATTAAGGTTTTAGAGAAAGACAGCTCTAGAGACGCGTCCCCGTCAGAAGAGGACCCAGAAAGCGCGTCAGAAACGCTTGAGACAACTGAAATAGAGTTGCCGTTAGTGCAAAAGATTTCCGAAGAAGAAGAGGCAGAAACGGAAGCAGAGCGTACGGACGAAACCTCAGATAACGATATCGTTGAAGAGACGCACATTCCAGAGGAAGACTCCACTCTAGACCTGGACACCTCTGAAACCGAAGTGGAGGCAGAGTGTCTAGACGAATCCCTAGACTTCAACGATGAGGTCTCACAACATGATACTAATGAAGAAGTCCATGCACGGGAACATGGGCTAAGCCCAGTCGAGGAGATTTCTGAGAAAGAAGCAGAAGCAGAACTTGCAGAAGAGTCGTCAGACATAAAAGATGAAGGTCGAGATAACGACATTGATGAGGAAATGTACGCCGTAGACCAAGTAACACCTCTGCATCAGCACTCAACCCCAGAGCAAGAACCAACTCTGGATCCAGAGCTGGCTGAAGAGGAGAACCCGATTCCAGGATCAGAATCATTCGTAGAAGTGACCACGAAGGAAGACTTGATTCCAGAGCCGGAAGCAGTTCTACAGCATGAACCAATCCCAGAGTCAAACCTGATTGCAGAGCAAGAACCTCATCAAGAGCTGGAACTAATCCCTGAACAAGATTCGACGCTAGCGTCAGAGTCAACTGCAGAGCCAGAATTGGTTCTACAAAAGAAATTAGCTATGGGATCAGAATCACCAGCAGAGCCGTCAATAACGCCAGAATCAACAACTGTGGAGCCGGAGGCAACTTCAGCGCCAGCTGTGCAGTCAGAATCAACTGAAGAGCCAGCTCTGGAGCCCGAGTCAACAACCATAGAGATACGGCCAACTGCAGGACCGGCTATAGGGCCAGAATCAACAACCGGAGAGCCCGAAGCAATTGCGGAACCAGAATTCTTTGCAGAACAAGACCCAGAATTAGCTCAGAAGCCAGCTTCTATATCACCTTCGGATCAGGACTCCATCCTGGACCAAGGACTAGCTCCAGCATCAGCTTCAGAAGATTCATTTCCAGATGAAGAAAAGCTGATCTTAGATGAAGCCTTTGAGACAGAAGCGGAAGTAGAGCGGATGGAAGGGTATTTTGATTCTACCGTCGAGGTTCCCGAGAGCCCTCTTGCGAACAGAGTGCGTACTCCAGACCGAAGACCGGCTCCAATCCGAACATCGACTTCAGACCGAAAGCCAACGCACATGCGAACCCCGAGTTCAGCTCGAAGCGTAAAGTCAGAGCGCACCCCGAATTCAACTCGATCACGACCGACACCGGACCGAAGGCGGACCATAGACACTCCCCCGCGCCCTCCAATCACCCCCAAGGCATGGGTCTCGCGAGCCAGTTTCGCCGGAGAAACCATTTCTTCAATGCTGAAAAAGCGTGACTCGAACGCTTCTTTAAGATCGCCTTCAAGCGCCTCAGTACGCTCGCCGTCCAGCGCATCCATAATATCCTACGGAAGCGCGCTCTCGCGCGCACCCTCCGCCGCATCCTTCCGCTCCACCACCACCAACACGCCGTCGAAAATCCCTTCCAGGGCGTCCTCAAGGGCATCCTACATCTCGTCTCCGCGGACACCGCAGACGCCGCAAACGCCCTCCCGAATCCCATCGCGGACATCATCGCGAGCATCGCTGGGTTCATCCATCGCGTCTCTACCGACGCATTCGCGGACCCCTTCGAGCGCGTCGATGACGTTGCATGCGCGCACGCCGTCGAGCGCATCGATGACCATGGGCATGCACGCGCGGACCCCCTCGATCACGTCGCTGATCTCGCCGACGGCATTCTCGGAGAGCCCGTCCAGGACGACGTCGAGGATACCGGTGATGACGCCTGTGAAGCCGGGTATGGCGCGGGCTGCGACGACGCCCAACATTGCGCCTGCACCTGCTCGGCCGCGGTTGTCGACACCTGCAAAGTCATCCTGGGCGAGTGCAAAGGGGGAGAATTGAAAGACCACCGAGCGCGGGCGAGAAGGCTGCGACGCGGCGTCTGGGCAGACGTGTGACAGCTACCCGCGTTGCACACGGCCCCCTCCCAGCGCATGCCTCAGCGGATCCAGACGCACCACAGCACGACACCCAAGACAAAACAGACCATAAAAGCAGAGCATACCGTGCTTTCACACCATCGTTTAGACGCATTTGCATTGCATACAGCGGGGAGGAAAATCATTTCTGGGCTCTGTACCTTCAGCGCGATACCCCTGTGACTTTTCCTTGAAGCTTTCTTTATTGCCAGCCAGAAGAATAGGCATAATTCGGGCGTTTTCCTTGTAGTCAATATTTCCCTTGCAGTCAGTCATAGCCAGTCAGACATAGAATAGGGCATAGGTATGCATAATGAATGATGCTGTAACATTAAGATCAGAATCTGCTTGTGCGCGGCATTTCCTGCGCTGGTGTATGCTCAGTCAGTTTCACGGGTGTGGGGTCCGGGCGGAAATCGCTACACGCGCTCGAGACAACACACTTTCGTACATGTTGGGGGTTGGAAAACGCCCACGGTGGTGTAGCACTGCATGCATGCAACAGAGCTCTGTTCGTCCGCGTGTGGCGACACGCACCCAAAGCCAGGTATTTTCTTCCCCCGGCTACAAACAAAGATGCCATGTGGTTGTCCGATCCATCCCAGACAGTCCAGTCCAGTCCGTCAAAACTCCCCAAACGCCACTCATGCCTACGAATCATACACGCCTGGTTCCTATCCTTCGGAACCCATGTAAACGCAACGCAACTTAAACCAACGCAACCTAAGCGCTGTTTCCCGGTCCACCACCACTGCTCTTCGGATCGAGAAGCAGATGCGGCTTCAAGAACCCGTCGTCAATCTGCTTGAACGCATTCGCCGGATCCTGACTGATGTCGCTGATGAGCTGCTTCACCGCGCCCGTCGCCGTGGCCACCCTGCTCGAGCCTTCCGCGCCACCGCTCGTGCCCGGTCGTGTGCTGCCCGACGTCGGGTACGGCGCCTCTGGTGCCATGGGGGAGGCCACGCGATTCGGTGACCTCCTCGCGCTCGGGGGGAGGTCGAGATCGTTGTCGTCGTCTGAGGAGAGGGAGCCGCTGTCGACGGGGCTGAGCAGGCTTTGGTCTGCGCCGTCTTTGCGACGGGGCTTGCTGCTGCCTCTTCTGCTCGACAGCGTGGGCCGGGTAGGAGGCGTGTGCCCGCTGCTACTGCTGTACGCTCCTTCGCGGCCGTCGACGCTGGAGAGCGCGAAGCCGTTCTGCGAGGGGCGTGGCGTGTGCCCGAAGCCAAGGCCCTTATTGCGGGAGTAGGTTCCGCCGTTTATGGCTTCGATGTCAAATTCGTCGTCGGAGTCGATTTCCTCGACGACGCCCGTGCGGATGCCGAGGATCTCAAGCATGCGTGCCGTGGTGCCGCCGAAGATGATGACCGTGAGCACGACGACGATAAGGACGGTTGCGCGGAGGGTGTCTGCGTTGGGACCTGAGAGACCGGCAGCGAGGGCAACGCCGACAGCGCCTCGGAGACCCGCCCAGTACATCATGACTTGATGCGAGTAAGGAAGTTCTTCCCCCTGGTCGGGTGCGCCGTGGCGTCGGCTTCTGTATCTGCTCACCGAGTTGATCACTTTTGCGAGCGGGAAGACGGCGGCCCATCGGGCGGCACAGATTCCGATGACGGTGATGAGGATGAATAGAGGTTTGTAGTCGTCGTAGCTGAACAGCGAGATTCCTAGGTAGATGAAGATGAAATTCTCGGAAAGTTGCGCCGTGGTCTGGAAGACGAACTTTGTCGTCAATTGCGTGCGGCGCGACATGTTGTGGTAGGCGTAGTGCTTCATGCAGATGCCGCAGAACAAGAGACTCACAATGCCTGTAGGACTTAGCACTGGGAGCGGAAGGTTGACTGGATAAGCTTACCAGACATGTGAATGGCATTGGAGAAAAAGTATGTCAAGTAAGCAATGAGAATGATAAGACAGCTCTCCGTCTTGGGAAAGCGTCTGATGTATGTGAATTTGAGGGTCAAAGATGCGCCGATGCCGACCATGACGCCGATGAACAAACTCCCAAAGAAGACGCCGAAGAAGATTCCGATGGCTTCAAACAGGCTAAGTACGCCGAGTTTCTCGGCCCCGTCCTTGTACTTCTGGGCAGTCTCGAACAAGACGATGGCAATGGCATCGTTCAGAATGGACTCGCCAAAGATGATGGTGTATAGTTTGGGCTCAACCTTGTACGTATTGAAGATGGCAAGGATGGTCACAGGATCTGTGGCCGAGAGCGTGGCGCCAACCGACATGGCTTCAACGAAGTTGATCTTGAAGCCATCCAGCGGTATCCTCGTCCACAGAAACAGGATGACTCCCAGCACGACGGCGGATATGAAGGTGCCGGCGAAGGCGAAGGTGAGGATGGTGCCAATGTGGCGGAAGAAGTTGCCCTGCCCGGGTCAGCCATGGGCGCATGCAGGGGCGAGAGAAGCTCACTTGATGCAGCTCATATCCAGAGGACAATATGATTGGCGGCAGCAGAAGATTGAAGAACATCTGGTAGTCGAAGCTCACCGTCTCCCGGACCGATGCCACCGCTGTTAGCCGCAGGATCAGGCCCACGAACATTCCGGCGAAGATGGACAGGACGGTTTCGTGGACGGCCTGTATCTTCCGGGTCTGCAGGATGTAGCTTGTGAAGAGGGCGACAATGAGCAGGGAGATGAGGATGGACAGGCCCCACGATGTAAATATCTCCTTCTGGCCTGCCTCGGGGGTCTCTGCTGGGGGGTTAGACTCGGGACGAGACTTGCGGGAGGGAAGGGCTTCTGACCATCGGGGTCTGCATCGGTCGCGTCTCGCTCTGTACGTGGGTCAGTTTGCGTGCGCATGCGTTGGGGTGTCGCTGCTCTGGGTCGGGGCGCATACTGAGGAGGCCGTGGAGAAACCATGCTGCTGCTTCGGAGGCCATGCTGGGCTCTCAGGAAGACAGCGCTATATCATGGAAAGCGTCGGTCGTTGGCGCGCGACGGTCGCGCAGGAGGAAAGGTGGCTGCTTGGCTGGGTACGACGCAGGGCAGCGGGCGAGCTGCAGGCTTGGGTGCCTGGGTGCGCTATGCTTGGGTGCTGGTTGCAACGTGATACGCCGCGGGCGCGGACGCGGGCCGGGGCTGCTGCTGCGTGCGGAGAGGGTCGAGACGGTGCGCTGTGTGCGGGCGGCGGTGGGCTGCGATCTGGTGCTGCGTCCTCGCGCTCACAGCTGCGGCGTCGCAACACGAGCCCATGTCTCGAAAAGCCACGTTCGCCCGTTGCAGCTAGGCGGCGGCCAGGGATGCGCGCGTCTAGCCACCGAGCGCCGAGTCCCCAGAGCCGCGACAACGTACGTCATCGCCCGCCAGCGGCCTGCCCACCCGCACTGTGCGCCGTGGCATGACCTTTCACCGCGGCATGACCTTTCACCGCCCGCTGCAGCATCCTCTGTACCGCTAGCTGCCCCTTAGCCCTGGGTTCTGTGCATCCTGCCCGCGTAGCTGCCCGCCCCACTACCGCTGGCCTCGCTGCCGTGCGGCCTTCTTTCTCCATCCACACCCTGCTGAGCCCACGAGTCGTTCGTTCCCCAACCCCCAGTGACCTTTTCGTGGCGGGCATAACATGGCACATGTGTCTCTCAGCTAGCGACGCAACCCTCACCCGACACGCCACCTTTTGCCCGTTTGACCCTTTGCCGCGCCGCCATCCGTGCGCCGACTATTCCTATCCACCAGCACCCACGACACCTGAGCGCCCCGGGACCGCACAGCGTCCGCCCAAGTCGCCATGCCGCCCAAGCGTCCAGCCCTCGTGTCCACGTCGACCAGCTCGCCGCATTCGTCGCTCATGTCTCCTCTCTTCCCTCCGCGACCCCGCCTCGACACGGATGCCCGCAAGAACGTCTCTTTCCGCCGCAACTCCAACGATCCTCCCATGGAGCAGATCGCCGCTGAACAGGCGCCCCTGATGCACCCCCGGCTATCCCAAGACACGGACGAGCTGCACAAAGTCCGCTCCCCCGTCGATAGCGACGACTGGCAGGGCGACTACGAGCAGGAGGAGACCAAGAGCAGTTGGTTCCTGTTCTTGCTGACCTTGGGTGGTCTGGGTCTGCAGATTGGATGGTCTGTCGAGACGTCCAACGGCTCGGTAAGCCCACCGCGGCCATGTAGACTGGAGCATTAGCTGACGATACGCAGCCCTACCTGCTGTCTCTGGGTCTCAGCAAGTCTATGCTTGCGCTTGTTTGGATTGCCGGTCCTCTATCAGGTGCACTGGTCCAGCCGTACGTCGGAATGAAGAGCGACAACTGCCGCATCAGCTGGGGCAAGCGACGGCCCTTCATTATCGGCGGTGCAGCCGCTACCATCGTCTCCTTGATGGTCTTGGCCTGGGCCGCTGAGCTCATGGGTGGCTTTCTCGGCATTTTCGGTGCCGACCGAGAGGGCGAATTCGTAAAGAACAGCATCATGTTCTTCGCCGTCCTGTTCGTCTACGTGCTGGATTTTGCCATCAACGTCAGTAAGTCTTCACGCCATCTCCTTCCAGTCCAACACTCTGGTACTAACAGTAGCTTAGTCCAAGCTGGAATTCGAGCATACATCGTCGACGTTGCCCCTACTCACCAACAGGAAGCCGCAAACGCCTGGATGATTCGCGCTTCCGGCGTGGGCAATATCATGGGCTATCTCGCTGGAAAAGCCGACCTTCCCAGATACTTACCCTTCTTCGGCTCCAGCCAATTCAAGGTGCTCTGTGCCCTTGCATGTATCATCATGGCTATTACAGTCGGCATAAGCTGCGCCTGTGTCTCGGAACGTGACCCCACCTTCGAAGGGCCCCCGACGCCTCAGGAAGGGCTCCTTCACTTCTTCTCGTCCTTAGCTCGCAGCGTACGCTCTCTTCCTCTCCAGATCAAGAGGGTGTGCCAGGTCCAGTTCCTCGCCTGGATCGGCTGGTTTCCGTTCCTATTCTACATCACGACATACATTGGCGATCTTTACTTCGACGAGGAATACGAGAAGAACCCCAACATGACCGACCAGCAGATTACCGATGTTTTGGAAGAAGGCACCCGTGTTGGCACAGGTGCCCTTCTCATCTTCGCCATCACCACCTTCGCCGCCTCCATCTTCCTCCCATTCATCATCCCACCCACGTACACCGCTCCTAAGGCAGTAGGCGGCGCAACAACCCCTATGACGCCAATGACACCTGGTACGCCCGGTGGACTCGCAGGCTCAGGCTACTTCTCCCTCAAAGAAACCAGCCGAAGCTCCCGGCAATCTAAGAGCTTGTCGGAGCGCCTCGCTGCGTACAGCACCATCTTCCAGATCCAGAGTCTCACGCTACGCCGCGGGTGGTTCATCTCGCACCTAATGTTCGCAGCCCTAATGGTCGCTACTTTCTTCGTCCGCGGCACCACCTCCGCCACTGTTCTCGTCGGCCTCATCGGCATCCCCTGGGCGCTCACCAACTGGGCACCCTTCGCGCTCCTCTCCTCAGAGATCTCCAAGCGCGACGCCATGCGCCGCGGCCTCCTGCGTCCAGACCCAAGCGACCGCGAAGCCTCTCGAATTGCTGCCGGTGAAGACGACGCCGCGGAAACGGGAGCCGATCAAGCGGGTGTCATATTGGGCATTCATAACGTCGCTATTGCGGCGCCGCAAGTCATTGCCACGCTGTTCAGCTCGATCATCTTCAGGCTGCTGCAGAAACCGCGAGGAACCCCGGGCGATAACAGTGTAGCGTGGGTGCTGCGGTTCGGCGGACTCTGTGCGCTCGTTGCCGCCTGGCTTACGCTGCGTGTAGCGGAGGAAAAGGAGGATGCTGACGACATCATCTCTAGGCGGAGACGTCCGTCGTAAAGACCAACTTCACACCTATTTAACGGATCCCTTGGACTTGAAGCGTGGAATCACACAAAACGAGGAACGAAGAACCACTTCAATTTGGGTTCCTCCACATTGACGCGCACATGGATACACAGGGCTTGCGCGGGCCCAGGTGTCTATCACGGCGTTGCGAGCATACATATACATATCTGGGCTGGCGGAGTCGTTTTCATAAGCTCCTATTTTCTCTTTGATGTAAGCATGGCAAGCAAGGCGTTTCTGGGTCGGCTGGAAGGCAAGGGAACGCACATGTAGATATTGCCCACCTGACGACGCATGACTGAACGGAACAACATGAATCACGGCTATGAAACTTTACTGCGCTTTCCACCCTCTTGCCTGCTGAAAGCAACGTACAACGTGCCATCTCGAAAACGTATTCGCCAGTCACTCTACTGTAAGGTCACGCAGCCCCTCCCTCCCGCAACGCGAAAACATCACCCAACCTCCAACGCACAAAACCGCACACGACCCGGCATCGGGGCGAGCAGAATAACTGCCCTAACCTAGCTGCTCCCACCACGCACACCGCCTTGTCCACCCTACTCTACCCTCACCCAATGCCCCGTAGCCCACGCGTTCGCTTCGCGTTTCCCAGCCCCGCCGGCTCGCTCGCTCGCTCGCTGGACTTTTCTTTTTCCCGTTTGAGCGTCTACTGCGAACCGTACGCTAAGCCGTGTCGTGCATGCACGCGAATCCCGCGGATACAGGTGCGCCGTCTGCCACTCGCCAGCGCGCAGCGGGCCATGTGATGCTTGTGCGTTTCCGCAGCGCGAGGTGGTGCACGAGCGTGACGTCAGGAGGCCGTCGTTGCGATGGGTCCGCGGAGGTAGGCTGGGGACGGGGGGGGGGACGCGACTTGCGCAGAGCAGAGCAGAGCAGAGCCGACGGAGCGCTGCGTCGGTGGGGGCCATGCGGTGCTGACACCGCGGTCTTGCACGGGTTGGGTCGTGCACGCGGAAGTGCATTCACATTCGACGTAGCGACGGTAGCATTGCTGTCGCTGTTGGCCACGCAGTGTGGACATCGGGACGGGCATAAGAGTGGCCTGTTTCCCAGCACTCGAGTGCATGTAGGCAGTACAATAGACATAGCAATTTGCAATCCATTCCATTCCATTTCCTGTAGAATTTCCTCCCACTCAAACTATCTCGCTGTACTGGACTGCGGCCTAAAGCCAATCTTGCACAAGGCTAAGAAAAAAGCCTGGAAAACCACAAGATACCGCATCTGCATGCATAAAGCCCATCAACCTTCCTTCAAAGCCACATCAATCGTATCCTATCCGAACATGTTTCCAGTGTGAAAGGGATCAAAAACACCCTCTTGCGCCCAACCCGGTCACAAGTACCTATGCACCGTCCCAGATATGGGTGGGCGTAGCAAGTAGAGGAAAACACCGCGCGCCAGCCAGCCAAAACAATGATTATACAGCTTGGAAAAGACACGGGGAGAACTGAGCAAAGAGGCGTGCAAGAAGTACAGAGGCTGGCAGACGTCTCGCACGCACGAAGGTGATGGCCGGATTGATCAAGCCAAACAATCGAAGTCTATGACCGTAAAGAACCTTTCAACCTGAGCAAATTAGCAAGCTTCCAACGGTTCCTGCACCAAGAGAAAACGTACTCCCCAGTCGCTCATATCGCCCGAGGCGTGCCGACTGCGCTGGGAAGGCCAGTGCTCAGCCCTCCGTTCACAGAGCCGTCATCCCTGTCATTGAAGTTCTGCCACTCGGGGTAGTCCAGGGTGGCCTCTGTCAACTTCGAATCCAGGGTAGCCTCAATCAGATTTGCGTCTTTGTAGAGAAGACTCTGATCCTCGTTGTACGTTCGGCAGTTGTTGCAGAGAATAGCTATGTCAGTACGGAACTGTCGGAGGTTCTGGTATTCCTTCTTGTTGATCTTCTTCTTGATCATCTGCATGCAGATCGGAGTTTTGATCAACTGGTAGTAATCAGGGTAGTCGTACTTGTCCGGTAGCTCGATAAAGGGATCGATAATGCCACGGGGCGGAAGGTCAGGCTCATTGGGATCTGTAACTTCCAGATCATTCAATACCTCGTACGCTTCGTTGACAATCTTCTGGAGTGCCGCCCGCTGCTCTGGGTTCAGCGTCTCTGGCACCTTGGGAGCTGGTCGGCCACGCTTGCGAGGGCCAGGGTCTCCGTCCAGAGAGGCCTCATCCGCCTTGCGCTTCACCTCCTTGGGCTTCCTGCCACGCTTCTTTGGCTGGGGCTCCTCGGACTCGTCACGCGAAGGTGCCGGCGAATCACCGATATCCTGCCCAACCCGTACCTGCTTGTTCTTGCCGCGCTTGGCGATCTTAGCTTCCTTACGCGCAACAGCTGCTTCGATGTCGTCGTCAGAATTATCGACCGCCTCAAGCCACTGCTCCTCTGTAAGACCGTCGTCATATTTGACTCGCGTGCGCTCGCGAGCACCTCGTCCCACCGGAATCTCCTCAACAGGTTCGGGGACGGCATTGTCGTCTTGGAGCCAGATGTCGGGTAGCTCAGGCTCGCTCAAGAGGCGTGGGAACTGCTTTCCAGGGCCGTATTGTTCCGTGAGCAAACGCTGTTTGTCCATCTCTCGGAACAATGTGAGTTCTTCAGGATTTCGGTGCATGATGACATTGAGATCTTCATCGTCCATCTCGTCCTGCTCCAGGTTCTCCACTGCCTCTGCAGAATCTAACATGATACGCAACATGGCCTCACGCTCTTCGTTCGTGGATCTGTTGTCGAATTTACCAGCTTGAATGACTTTGCCGTCCATGTCCAATTTGTAGTTCGCTCGCTCAAGAATCTTCTCTTCGACCGAGTTTGAGGTAATGAGACGAAGGATGCGAACCTCGTTCTTCTGACCAATACGATGCGCGCGATCCTGGGCTTGCAAATCCTGATGCGGATTCCAGTCAGAGTCGAAGATGATGACTGTATCGGCAGTCTGCAAGTTCAGACCGAGGCCTCCAGCACGAGTGGAGAGAAGGAAGCAGAAGTATGGAGAGTCCGGTGCGTTGAAGTCCTTGAGAAGATCGGACCGGTCGTCGGCCTTAGTCGAACCGTCGAGTCGCATGTAGTGCATACCCCGGAGGCGCAGGAAATCTTCCATGATGTTCATGATCTGCGTCATCTGGAAGAACATGAGGACACGATGACCAGTAGCTTTGAACTTTGGCAGGATGCGGTCCAGCAGCTCGAACTTCCCGGCCGTTCGCCAAAGCAGGTCATTTGATATCCGGGAAGGATTCATCTGGTCTTCGACGGCATCGAACACGAACGGATGATTGCAGACTTTGCGCAACTGCATAAGCATATTGCTCAAGCCACGCATGCCAGTCTTGCCACCTTTTCCATCGCTGACCTGGATGCTCGAGTTGGTGACAAGCTGCTTGTACAGCTTAGCTTGCAGTGCGGAAAAGTTGCACTTGATAACACGCTCGGTCTTGTCCGGCAAATCCTTTTCGACGTCCTTCTTGAGACGTCGAAGCAAGAATGGTCGAAGAACTTTATGCAGACGACGGATGACGAGCAGCTGTTCTTCTTCAGTCATCTCCATCTTATCTTGACCACCAGTGTTGGCAAATGGAGTGTTGAACCACTCATCGAACGATTTGGATGACTTGAAGATGGTAGGGAGAACGAAGTTCAGCATCGCCCAAAGCTCAACCAGGTTGTTCTGCAGAGGCGTTCCTGTTAGAATCAAGCGGTAGCGCGTTGTGTAATACTGGGTGATCGTGCTGCTAAGCTTGGAGTTCTGGTTCTTCATTCGGTGACCCTCGTCTACAATCATGTGAAGCCACTTGATCTTGCTAAGAATGGGCCGATCCTTGATGATGAATTCGTAGGTTGTCAGGAGGACTTGGAACTGTCCCCAGCGAATCTGCTGCTGATGCTGCTTTCGCTGATTGGGAGGTCCCTTGTAGACGATCTTGGTAATACTGGGTGCCCATTTGTCGAACTCGTTATTCCAGTTTGTGAGGGTACTTAAGGGCACGATGACAAGGTAAGGTCCAGGCTGCTGCTTCTTTTCGATAAGATAGGTGATCAGACTGATCGTCTGGATGGTCTTGCCCAGACCCATCTCGTCAGCCAAGATACCGTTCAGGTTATTGTTGTAGAGTGATATCATCCACTGCAGTCCCTTGATCTGGTATTCCTTGAGAGTACCACCAACGAGGCAGTTAGCTTGTTGGGTAACCTCCTCCTTGACACGATGCGCAATCTCGTAGTAATCGGTCTTCTTCTTTCCAGGACGAGGCGGTGCGTCCTCGTCGCCAGACTCGTCTTCGCTCTCGTCCTCGTCTTCGGACTCCTCCTGCTGGACGCCGAGTCGGGTGTTCGCGCTTCGTTGTTGCGCTTTGACTGATGCAGACAACTGTTTGAGGAAACCGTCTGTCTGCTTGAGCAAGTGAGAGATACGAGTGTCCTTGGCTTGACCCAACAGCTTGAGGTATGTCTCCTCGTCGTTGGACTTCAAAGCCTGAAGACGCTGCTTGGCAGTGCGCTCCACCCGCTTCTGTTCTTCCTTCTCGATGTTCTGGTGTGTCGTGATCATGGTACGACCCAGCTTCTGCAGCCGCTGTCGCTGAGCCATGCTGGCTTCGGTCAGCTCGTGGCGATGCTTGCGGATTGCTTCGATGAAATCGTGGTGCTTCTTCTTTTCCTTTGTCTCGCGGGCATCACGCTGTTGCTTTTCAAGCTTCTCGGTCAGACGCGCTTCGCGCAGCGATTGCTTCTTGAGTCGGCGATATAGGGTTCGGTTGGCCGTCATGGCGAGGTTATCGGCATGTATCATTTCCCGGCTAATCTGCTTGCGCAAAAGGCGTTGCTTGGGAAGCAAGTTGAGCATTTTTTGCTCAATGACTAACGCAAGCTTCACCTTGCCATCGTCCTCCGGGGTGTCAGTCTTGCTAGTGTCCCAGGATCCGATGTTGGCGCTGATCTTCTCCAACTCTGCTTTCCGAGCGGTCAAGCGGTTGTACAGGATGACCTCGCGAGCCTCTCGTTCTCGCTGGTCGATCAGGTTCATCTCCCTACGGACTTCCTCCACGCTGACACCGAGCGGCATGATCGAGGAAATATACGGTCGGTTCGCGCGGTACATGTGCGCAAGGTAGTGAATATCCTTCTTGACGGTATCAGTACCCCACGGGTTCTCGAACTTGTCTGGGTGCTTGTGTTTGACGGGAGCATTCGCGCCCGAGCCGAGCCCGTTTGCGCCCACCGTTGCAGCGCTGCCAGCGCGAGTCGCATTGTCGAGAACTTGGCTTGCGGCGGCAACAGCTTCAGAAGTACTCTGCTTTCTCGCCTGTTGGGTAGCAAAGAGCTGCTGCTGCATGTTCAAGGGCAGAGCCATGCCTTTGGACAAATGCTTGAAGGCTGCGATCTGCTTGCGTAAGAGGACTAGTTGATCCTGAGTGAAGGCGGTGGCGGCAGCGGTGGCGGACGTTGGTGTTGGACCATCGGCGGAGGCTACCTGGCCGGTCGAAGTCGCACCTGATACTTGCAATGGAGCCACAGCCTTACCATCGGCTGATGCCGCAGGTTTGGAGCCATTGGTCATGCCTGCCGCGGCGCCGTTCTGCTGCGGTTGTTGATCACCCTGGCCAGTTTGACGCTGCTGCATCTGTTGCTGCATCATACGTCGCTGCTGTTGTTGCGCGCTGTTCTGCCGCTGGACGAGAGTGAGGATGTTCTTGGCTTTGAGGAATTCGGGGTCGGTCTCGGAAACGCCTTGTTGCTTCATTTGCTGGTACTTCTGCGAGATCGTTAGATGGCTGCCCAAGTAGTGTGGAGAATGCGCAAAGTATTTGCGACGTTGGGATGTAGGAAGCGACGAAGCGCGAGCAAATACGTACCGCGTAGACCGTTCCGATCATCTCTTTGGTCAAGCCAGAGGGCAGCTGGCCCGGGCCTTGGAAGCCCGAGGCCGGCTGAACGCTAGCCATGGCGACTGTAAAGACGGTGGTGATGTATGGAGCGCAAAAGGGTCGTTGCTAAACAATAGAACGCCTGAGACGCGATCGTCGCGCGAAGCGCAAGGCAACACCGAACGCGAAAAAAGCGGGCGGTGAGTCGCGGGAGGATAATTGGGCGCGTGTAGGCGACTGCTATGACATTATCAAGCGTGGTGGTGCACGCCGAGAGGCCTCTGCGGATGGGGTTGATGGAACAGAGCCCGGGGGGTTGCGCCGAAGGTTGAAGTCGCAAAGGAGCCCAGCGGACGCCACCTGCAAATTCGGCGTGTCGGTGTGCGGGCGCGAAAGTGCCGCGGGGAGGGTCGGGGAGGCGTGGTGTTATGCACGAATGTACCTGGTGGGACGCGCGAGATGCGGGCGGGCAGTCGCGTAGGGAATCGTGATGGGTAAGATCTCTGAGGGTGGAGTGGAAAGCGCACGCCCGAGTTGGCTTGGCAAGCACCGCCGCTTCCGCAAATGGATGCGCTAAGCTGCGTTTGACCTAGTCACGTGGGCGTGAGCATCGCCACGCCCCATATGCGCGTTGCACTGCGGGATATCGTGCTGCGTTGATATGGACGTCAGAGCCGCTGTGCTCCGCTGTGTCTACTTGCAACAATATGCTGGGCCGTTGCCCTGGGCCGCGTCCATGCACGACATATCGGGCGTGGTCTACTAGCGTGAACATGGCCAATCTGGCGGGGGGCCCGAGGAAACTCCCACATTCATGCCCCAGACCGCTTGGACCAGCCATAAACGCGCTATACACGTTCTCATGTGAGCTGGTAGCCCCGAGGTCCGCAACTCGCGACATTCCTTACCACTAACCAGTACCACGCTGCATCTCCGGGCCCCTAACACACATGAGGAATTTCTTTCCTATGTAGAGACACTTCTTGAAGGCGGTTATCGTGCGACGTGAGCACCCGTCGTATTATTCGGGTCAAGACCGTAATCATTTCCAACGGTTCCGCCTGCACTCCACTACATGTCTCACCGCTGGAGCAGCTACGCACGAGGGGTCCGTGCCCGCGCGATGTTGTTACAACGTTGGAAAGGAGACAATCAGCAGGCCAACAGACACGTACTGAAGACCATCACCAGAACCCGCGTAGACCTGCGCCATACGGAGGGGAATTTCTGCAAAGTCAGGTCCACAAAGGCATCTTGGAGTGTTTGAGAGCGACCTGGGAGGAGCCAAGTATAAGTAGATTTGAGGTTTAAGAGGTTTCGCAGCGCTAACTAGGGGTTTAAACTCAGTATCGCTACAGTATCAAGGATCTAGCAATTTAGTCGCATTTACCCACAACCGACCACCTTTGGGTCACGAGACCTCGTGACCGAACTCGCGGAGATAATCGTGTCGGAGCTTTCATGGTCGATAAGACGGGCAACGTACGAATTTTCAGCCGATAAGCTGGATATAGACTGCTTCAAAAATGACTATCTTCTCCTACAAAATTGAGGTACTCATTGTTCTCCGCGTACTTACTGAACATCATATTCAAGTCTGACAAGGGAAACACCATCACAACACTGCGAGGTACGTTCAAAGCGCTCATTTTGAATCAAGTCATCATATTTAGGGTATGACATCTACAAGCTACAAGTGAGTGTTCCATACCAGAACGAAAATCCCCCAAATCTCCACCCTCTAGGTCAGCGTTGGTGCAGTCCAGTCAATGTACGAGGCCACATCAGCAGTAGGGCCCTTCTCGATGTTCGCCGTATTCCCGCTGGTGTTGAGCAAGAACTTGTTGATATACGCAGTTAGGTCGCTCTGCTGGTTGCTCGGGAACGAGCAGTGGTTGTGGTTTCCGGAACCAGTGAAGCCCATGTTGTCCGGCACGCCGAGCGCCTTGTAGATTAAGCGACCAGCCTTCATGCACGCGGTGGTCGACACGGGGCCGAGCCAGTCGATCTCATTCTCAATGACGATGAGGCCGCGCGGCGCGACGAGACCAGCGAGCTGGTGGTGGTCGGTCGAGAGGGTAGTTGCCTTGGTGGAGAAGGCGTTGAAGGCGGGTGAGAACCACACGTTCTCGCCGACGATCTGGGACGAGGTCTGGATGTTCTTGCCCTTGGCCTTCTCGGAATCGGAAATGCGCCAGCAGGCAGCGCCACCGGAGCCGGACTCTTGCGGGATGCCGAGCGCGATGCGGTTGACGAGGGCGGCGGCCACGAAGGCTCCCTTGCCGTTCCTGGAGCAGCCAGTCACGCCGATGCGCTTGGTGTCGATGTTGTGCCCAGTGGTGGCCTCGAGGGCATCGATGACACGGTCAACACCCCATGCCCACGCTGTCAGGGCACCGGCACTGTGGCCTGAACCGTAGAGGTCGTAGAACTTGCCCTTTCCGCGAGAGCTCTGCCCTGACTGCTGACCCATCTGGTCGTTATTGAAGGTGATCGTTGCGACACCAGAAGGAACGGGGATGCTCGCGCCGCCATAGGCGATGATAGCGGGAACGGATGTACCGGAGTTGCCCTTGATGCTGACAGAGAAGGAGATGGACTTGCCGCCTTCGCCGGCGGTAAACGAGAGAGTGCCACCCGAGTACGTAGCGGAGAACGTGGACGGCTTAGGTGGGAAAGTTCCGAGTTCCTGTGCCTGAAGAGCTGCGGAAACCTCCTTGTTCTTGCACTCAAAGTCGGCCTTGGTCTTGACATCAGTTCCGTCGAAGAACTTGAAGGGGTTGGGAAGCTTCGCGTTAGCCGTCGTGGGGAACGACGTTGGCACCTTGCACGTGGCCTGACGGGCTTCCAGGGGCGCAGCCAACACCGTGGTGGCGAGGAGCGGGAGGACGATCGAGTACTTCATTGTGGGTGAGTTGGTTGCTGCAGAGTATGGGCCACTGAAGAACTGCGTTGCTAGAAATGTGATCAGCTTATTTATATAGGGATATCTGCCACTTGCAAGCGCTGTGCATTAATCTGCAAGTCCCGACGGAAAAATCATTAGTATATGAAACGTTGTCGTGGACGAGGGAGCCTCGTGGACACGATTATAGTGTAATAAGCAGGGAACGTCTTGGCTATCGACCATCTCCTAGCTTCCGTCATAGAGTTGCAAAATGGCTGTGGCAAGGCAAAGAGGGCAAAACATTGCCTCGAGTACCTGTTCACGGCTGTGAGGCATGTGTAACAATAATGCCGAATGGCACTGACCATAATCAACTAATCGGCTTCGACAATACTTCGTCAAATGCATCCGCTGTGATGCCCGGTACAATGACAATGCAGTGAGCAGGAGCACCATCTTAACTGGCTGTATCCTCAGACATGCAGCCTTGTGCATCCTAACTGTAGTAGCCTCTTTGAAGACAAGCAGTGATTGATGGAATAACTCGACGTTCGTCAAGCGTACCATTCCTTGACCACACAGCCTGGCACTACGACGTTCCTTTGCTCCGTTCTCGAAGAACCATTACTCTGGCGCCCTTGGCAGCACATTCAATTGGCTGGAAACCTGGCTTCAGACTCATTACGGAGGCAAATCCATCAACATTCCCCAGAATAGCAATGTGGAGTCGAAGTGGGAGGCTGCGGGGCCACAAAAGCAGGTCGTGCAAAAGAAGTGCGGACTGAACGATTGGCTCCCCACGTTTTGATCTAATATATTACTCCATCCCGGTTTAAGGTTATTCGCACGTTATGTGGGGTGCAGTAGACCAGCGCATGGCGTGTGTGTGTGTTGCCGGATTTAGCCTGATCGGACAGCAATGTGACTTATCCGCATGGGATTCTTGAAGCGAGGTGCGATCTCTCAGACCTCTCTGGGTATTCGTATTCGCGGATATATCGGCAGACCTATGGTCATTGGAAGGCTTTGTCGGTACAGTGATTCCTGATCATCAACTAGCTTTTAAAACGATCGACATTTCTCAATGATGGCACGCTCGCATGTTCGACGTTGGTACTCCCTGTGTTGCTCTGCGAGTTTTAGCGAAATCGCTCATGATGTCAGGCAATACTTTTAGATGCACTGCTTCTTTGTGAGAGTCTGACAACAGTTCTAATTTCAAGGGAAAAAAAGAAAAAAAAACGACGGACTTCCTTGTCGCAGCCTATGCAGAAACACTACGCCAACTCGTTCTCGTCCTCTTACAGCTCCTCCATCCGCCTCCTCTCCTCATGGAAATCCAGCAATATGCTCCCCTGTTTGTAAATCGTGGTCCATTTTAGCGACCAGTTCCTATCATCCCCAAAGAACTGCGTCCTCCACTCGAACCGATCCCTCCATTGCTGACGCCTCGCTTCCGATCCATTCCACGAAGCGGAGTCGATGCACCTCCAGCCTCCATGATATTCCTTGGGCGTCTGATTCCAATCCCCCGTAAAGCTTTTGCGTCGAGGCAGCCGCAGGAACCAGCTGCAATTTCCTTGGTCAATGACTCTCGTGCTGTGAAGCAGTTAACTCTCTGGACAAGGGCCCATCCGCCATGAAAGATTCTCCAAAGCCACACCTCGATACATCATGCAGATCATATCCACTGATGAAGGTCACTGCGCCTGCGTAATCGAAGGGCGCGACGTCAGTGGAAAGCAAGAGGGCGCGTCCGCGCTCCTCCCACCGATGTACCCAAAGAAGCCACGCCATCGCCGCAAAATCCAGATGAGAGGAAACAAAACCACTTACTATGACCCGAACCTCCCATTCTTCAACTCATCTAGAAACAACGCCCTCGGCCTCCCTTCACCCAACCACCTCCCCACCCACTCCTCTTCCTCAACAAGCTTCCCCTCGCTCCTCGAAACCTTCTTCTCCTTCCCCTTAGACCTTCTCTTCGTCTTAGAACCTACCACACGCTCCCCATTCCCCTCAAGCGGACGCTCCCGCTGCCACGCCCCTAGCGCACACTCCGACAGCAGCGCCGGCCTAATCACAACCTCCAGCCCCGTTTTCACTTCCCTCGACTTGGTCCTCGCCCAGTTGTCAAACCGCGGGACGTCGTGCGCAAGACCAGCCCAGTAGGGTATCTCTTTTGGGACATACTCGACGTCCCACCATCCAAGACACGGGGTATAGATGGCGAGCTCCACGAGCCTCTTTCCAGACGCGTCGATTGCGATCCCGTCAAGCAGTCCATGCAGCTCCGCATGGCTGCGCACATTCTGCGCGCCCGCCACATTGAACGCTGGAACCAGCTCCTTCGGCATGGAGCAATCTGCCAGCGTCCTGCTCGCGCAGTGCATCAGCCCCCTAAACACGGCCGCATCGAGGCAGCTCGCGTCGCCAACGACCCTCAGACTGCCCCTGCCTAGGTCGAATCCCAGCAGATCTAGCCCTAAATGTAAGATGACCATTAGCTTGTATCCGTACGTGGGGGAGAAGGAAAACCAGCCGTCCCCGCCCGCCGGTCTTGTCTGGCAAAGTAGGAGCGACAGACACATCCACCTTCCCTATCCCAAAGACCAGGTCGAACTCACAAGAACAGACCTCCCATCTCACAACCTTACAAGTTGCCAACAACGCCCCACAGCTCGGATACGTATGCACGAGCGTCAGCATGTTCCGGCCCCAGCGGTTCGTGGGGTCGTAGTGCAGGAAGTGGTCTCGCGTGTGCAGGGGCAGACAGGCAAGCGTGTAGATCTCGAGGCGGATTTCGCGGGGCAGCTGGAGGAAGCTGGTCTGAGTTGGCGATTCTGAGTCGACTGGGAGAGGGGAAGGGGAAGAGGGGCGAGAGGAGGACACGGAAGAGGATGAATCCCAGTTGTCCTTCAACGGTATGGACTGCGGCTTGGTTTTAGTAGGCATGGCTATTTCTGGATTTGAGGCTGCTTTGGAACGAAGTGAGATGACCAGACATGGAGTGGCGTGCACAGAAGAGTCGGGCTGACATGAAGTTAATAGATGCAGTCGTGGTTCTCAAGCTGAAAGTCGTCTTCTTGAAGTAGCAGAGACCGGAGTATCACTTTTGTGACTCACGCCAGCCAAGCACCTCAATTGCGCAGCCACACACCACGCCTGCACCTTTACGTCCGTAAACAATATCCACAGACGCCACTATGCAGCGGCATGATCTTGGAAACATAATATCATTGGGGGAGGGGGTATCTTGTGTAATTACATCATCTCAGCATTCCTTCCAAACAATGGAAACTCATAAACATCCGCCTTTTGCTGTCCAAGCGGCTCAGGACATTGTATACCTAGCTCGTGGTTTCTTTCGGGGGGTGATGGAGGGGTGAATGACGAGGTGTAAGGAAAAGGTTGAGCTGTCCCGACAAAACCGCGGCATGTTTGCCTCTCATGCGACGTGACCGATGCACGCCAAGAATGCTTTTCCATCTCCTTTTAACGACGCTGATAACATGAAAGGTTTGTTCGGCCGGACCGTAGTTGTGTGTGAGGCGTGTCCAGCTGCGTGCTGGCATAGTGCACGGCTTTTGAAACTATATGTACATGGACTCATGCTTGGTGCTTACCCCGCCCCCACCTCATCGAGCCGTCTGGGATGCGTTTGAGAAGATGCCCATTCTGGGACCCCAAGCATTTTGGTCGGGCACAGCCTTTGGGTTCACGATGACTTGGTAGGGGAATGGGTTCGCATCGGTGGTGGTTATGGGCGGGATGTGGTCTTTGTCGCGGTTGACAATGGTGATAATCTTGTGGGCGGCCTTTTCGAGGGATTTGGTCATGGCGCGGCGGACTTTGAGAACGTCTATACGGGACAATGTGGTCAGCATACGGTGTTGTGTGTGTGGGCAAGTGAAGGGCGCACCCGTCTCTGTGCGCGGTGTCGCAAGCGTCACGTCCAGCGTCCACTGCTCCCAGCACACGTCCTCGTCGGCTTTGCCGAAAAAGTACGTCTTTCTCCGCCGCTTCTCAAAGAACTGCACGACCAGCTGCCCGCGGCCTCGCTGCTGGTGTGTACTTTCAATGGCGCGCACGAGCGCAATGGTGCGCTGGTCGATCAGCGTCTCGAGGTCGACATCGTCAATGGCGGGAAGCGTGAGGTCGAGCAGGTCTCTCGTCAGCGGCGATATCGACGTGAAGTATCGGTGGAAGAAGATGGTGTGCAGAATGGCTGGTCAGAAAGTGTCAGCATGCATGGAAGCTACGTAGCTGAAGTTGGGCAGCGGCGATGGCGATCGGGGAAGGTGCGGTCGGCAGGAGGAATGCGGACTCACCCTTCACGACGTCCTTGACGCAGGCCAGGTCGGCGAAGATGTCCAGGTGGTACTCTGGCCGCCGTCGGGGTTCCATGCTTGCATCTGCCCGCGAAGAGTCGTCGAGTGTTGCTGGTAGCCCCGCCTCGCCCGCGCGGCCGCGCTGGGATAAAACCGCACGGGTTCCGGGTTTCTGCGCGACGCCGCCTTCGTCGTCCCTTGCAGAAGCCGTCTGCTGGTCAGAAATGCGTCTTGTCTAAAACTGCCGGCTCTTCGGTGGGAATGTATGGCTGGAACGGAGGAATGGGGTGTTGTGTCAAGAGCGAGGAGGGTTCTCGAGCTGTGGCGGGGCCGCGCTGCACCACTACTATGTCGGCGGGCTGGCGCAGGTTCTTGACGGACGCAGACTAAGTCCCGGCAGACAAGCCGCCCACCGCGCTGGCGCGATCGACTCCAGAGCGCCTGCGCCTGACTGACAAAGCCCAGTAAGCAGCATGCGCCTTTCTGCGGCATCAGACGTCCGTATCCTGATGCGAACTCACCCTCGCGCTGCGGATGACGCATGTCTGAGACAGGCGCGCGCATGACGCTTTCCTCGGGAGCCCGTGACACCCACGAGCTCTAATCTGAGCAAAGGCTGCGCAGCTGTTTCTGTTGACTGAAGGCTTTTCGCCGCGGCGCATGCCTCGCTTATACCCGGCTGCGCTACCCATCGCCTTTGACGTTGCTGCATTACCGTGGCGTTGCAAGGCTGGCTGGGGAAGGCGTTCATGGACTTGCATGGATCCACCAGCGTTGTCTAACACGGCGATCCATGAACACCACCATCCGCGCGACATCGTCTTAGATCTCGGGAGTGAAGAGAGTCTGTATGTCCTCCAACGCTGACCGCAAGGGCCCCGTAGTTACCCTACGATATCCCCCATCGGAAGCGTCTCTCCGGTATTTAGCTTGCTTACGTATCTAGCCCGAGTATGACTACACTAACAAGCCTGAAGCCAAGGCGCCGAATCTTATACTTTTCTCGAACTCGCCACTTGAGACAATACACATTGGGGCGCGCCTGGAGAAATGCCATCAATCAACTTCAGTCGCAAACTAATATGTCTACTTGAGCTGCGAGCGGCGAGCATCTGGGTATCAGTACAGAGTTGAAAACACGAACAACCATCAGCCATGAGCGCTCTGCAACAATCCACAAGTTTCTTCTGCTCTCAGCTGCACCCTTGTGCCTATGTCGCCGCTTATCTCTCTGTGCCTGCAACTGCCACCTGACAACTTCCACCCTCCACCACACCTATCTCTTTGACCAAAAGCCTCGACCTATGCCATCTGCGCATTCGTGCCAGTCGCTACGTCCTTCTCATCCACGCCCGCCTGCGCCTCCTTGATCTGACCCGCCTCATCGTCAGACAAGTCATGGAATCCATATTGTCTTGCCATCGCCGCAACGCCGTGGTCGTCCAGCATGGGCAGCTCCTTCGCCGCCCTCACATACGTCATGTTCTCAAGAAAGCCCTTTGCAAAGATGAGATCGATCTCCTCCAAACTGCGCTGCTTTGTCTCGGGGTAGAAGATGTAGATGAGGGGGAAGAAGCCAGCATTGATACATGCGAACACGAGATATGTACCCCAGCCGATATTGTCAATCATTATCGGCGTGATCATAACAACCATGAAGTTGAAAAGCCAATTCGTGCACGTTGATACAGCGTTGGCCTTTGCGCGCGTCTTGACCGGGTTGACTTCAGCGGGATACAGCCAAGGCAATGGTAGCCAAGTCGCGCCGAAGAAGGCGATGTAGGTGAACAGACCGACCGCAGCGCCCTTGGCTGCAGAAGCGGTCCCAGGAATGAGGCAGGCCATGACGAGCAGCATGGACAGTCCTTGGCCCACGGTACCGATGAGGAACAGCTTGCGGCGTCCGGTGCGCTCGATGATGAACCAGGAGACGGTCGCAAAAATGCTGTAGACAATCATGTTGACACCGCCAAGGAGTAGCGACATCTGCTTTGTCTCTTTGATGGAGTTCTCGAAGAGCAGTGGGAAGAAATAAATGACAGCGTTGCAGCCGCCGACCTAGAACGAATGGTACACAAGTCAGAAAGACGATGGTCATCAACAGATGTGCTGAAGGGCGGCGCCTACCTGTTGAAACAACTGCGAAGACGCTCCGAGCATCATACGCCGGAAATGCTGCGTCTTTCCGCCGGTAAAGAGAGCACTGAAAGGTGTGATACCTCCGTGATGACCCGAGGCTCGGATACTATCCACGATGATTGTGATCTGAAGAGTAGTCTCTTCATGATCAGTGGGCAGACCGCGAAGAGCAGCGACGACTTTAGTGGCTTCATCTGCACGATCTCTCGTGAGAAGCCACCGGGGACTCTCTGGTAGCCAGAAAGGGACAATCAGTACGACCAGTCCAAAGACGATCTGGAAAGCGATAGGAAAGCGCCACGTGAGATCGTCAGGCCCGTACTGGCAGCCAAAGTCTACCCAGTACGCAATAAGAGTACCGAAGGCAATGATACCGCCCTGAATGCAAATAAGGAGACCTCTATTCTTAGTGCTGGAGCATTCGGCTTGGTAAGTCGGTATCGTAGATGTGTTCATGCCGTTTCCTACACCTGTGACAACACGTCCGATGATGAATTGTGCTGTCGCTTTGTGTCCTTTGGTGGCTGTGACCTGGATTATCACACCTAAAATCATAGTCGCAGCACCGCAAATCATGCCTCGACGACGTCCAAGGAAATCGCCTCCAACCAGGACGATGATAGCTCCAAGGAGACACCCGATCTCATAGATCGCGGTCACGAAGCCCTGCCACGTAGCATCGTTCTTTGTTTCTGGGAAGTAGTTGTTAAAAGGATCCGCAGCGATGATTCCGCTCATGACACCCTCTTTGCAGTCGTCAGTCGTCATGTAAAGTTTCTCTGTCGGTGACACTTACGGTCGTAACCGAAGAGCAAAAAGCCAGTCGTACAGACAATTGAGACAAGAACCCGTAAGCCACGACCTGAAAATCCGAGAAAGCTCGGTATCTTAGCGTTCGAAACCTGGGGGGGTTCTGTCATGGTGGCCTCAGAAGGCTTTGTGGCATCGTCTGAAGTCATGGCGACAATTCTTTACACGAAAAGTTCCCAGCAAAATAATCCCACAGGCTACTCGGAACACAGTAGCTGCGATCAGTGGAGTGAGTAATACTTCTTGCGGGGGGCGCTCAGGGTTTTATCCACTCGTCCAGTCCACCTCCAGCACCCAGGCGCCATTCTGGTTGGGACATGGCGCGCATATTCTCTATGCATAACTTGCAGATTGCACTCCGACAGAGCGGTACCACCGCAGATTCGAAGATGGTGCAAACTCCAAGACGTCATTGGAGGTGAGGTCGACCGGGAGTGCTCCACACGGGGTATAGTGGATCCGGGGAAAATTACTGGAGGTTAGCGTTGTGGGAACATCAGGCGGCATTCACCAGTTTTGTGAACCCTGACAGGGTGCTCAGGCAAACTTGCTTTCGGCATTCCCGTTTGGCTCGATCATTTTTGAGCCGCATCCTTGTCGAATGGGTTGACGGGAGGGGCTGCAGATCTTAGGGCGGGACGAACGCCAGTGACGTTGCTTCGTGTCGCCGCCGTTGCTTGACCCAACGTTTGGCAATGCTGGGGTCTGGGGGAAAGTGCGGGCAGTATTTGGCGGTCGACTGCCCCGTCACAGCTAGCTAGAAAGCTTCTCCTGAGGTCCAGGACTTGATGTGTGTCGATCTTATTCCATCACCTTGATGAGCAGTTCGGCAATGGATTTGTCGTAAAGACATCTCTTCGAAAGCTGCTGAAGTAAATCCGGCGCCAGGCTGCCAAGCCCACATGTTTTTGCGCTTTGAAAAGAAGGAAGCGCGTCTTATGTGCATCAAGCTGTTTGACTGCGTTACCAGCTTAGGAAGGTCTTCAGCCGGGTTGCGGGCATGCCCGCTGCTCTCTGCGTGCCTTGAGCCTCGGCATCTTGCCGTGAACATTTGCGCGAAGTATTGCCGAGTCCGGGCTGTCACAGTCCATGGGCGATCGCTGTCAAGGAAGAAAATATTATCGCACGTGAATGAAGGTGTGGAGCTCCAGGGGACTTCAAGACGCTAGAGAGTTTCTTGTGGAGTCGCTGAACACCCTGCGCAGCTGTGGTTGTTCCAAAGACTGCTTGCATACTTTCGCGGCTAAGCCTTGATAAACGGAGGAAGCGTGATGGGTGATGAGTATCTGGGGTGCGCTATGCATGCTTTCGAGGTCCCGGGCTGCAACAATGTGGTATTCACGCAGCAAAGGACAGTCTTCTCCACGGTTCTGCAACTCTCATGCTTCCCTCTTGCATTGTGCAGCATTTGCGAAGACGCCTAAGCGGGTGGTCCTGGAATAGCACGACCAAGTGCACGCCAAGCTTGGTCGGTCCCACGAAACGCCGACCTCGACGCGACGCGACTTCGTGAATCTTCAACTTTAGCGCCAGCAACCACGACATACCCACGACATGGCGAGCGCCAAGCGCAAAAGAGATGATCAGGATGCTGAGGATACGACCCCAAGGAAGTTGCGAACGCAGCCGGTCGAGGACGAGAACGATTCCCTGAGCGAACTTGAGGCCCAGACGCCGTCAAGACGAGGCAGGGGGCTTCTAGCTGAAAATGGAACTCCTCGGTCCATCCTGAAGAAGTCTGGACTTGCGAATGAACTCAATGCTACCCCAAAATCAAACCGCCGCCTCACGTTCACGACGCCCACCAAAGCCGCAGGCGACGAGACCCCAAATGGCACGCCCACCATAGTCCGCAACGCAGACCGCAGCGCTCGCCGTAAAAGCAACCGCCAGTTGATCGATCGCACCATCAATGGTGAAGATAGCGAGGATGAGGTGTTGGGAGAGGAGGACGCACTCGCTCAGCAAATCTTGAGCGAAGAGGAGGATGGGCAGACCGAAAAGCGAGATAAAGAAGCCGATGCTCAGGAGGCCATTCCTGTGCCAGATACACCGTCAAAGCGCCCACGAGGACGACCGAAAGGCACTGGGAAGAACCAGTTGGCAGCGAAGGCAAGAAAGGAACGGGAGCCCTCGCCGCCTACGGAGCTGCCGGCACAAGAACAATACTTCTGGCAGAACCGTCCTGGAGGAAACAAGACCTCCAACAACACCTTGACCTCGCAGACTCTATTGAACCATGATGAGTACTTCGACACGATGAAGTCTTGCGTGGATCGTCATGAACCTGAGAAAGAATTCCTGCTGGAGCTGCACAGCCGAGCGTATGACCAATGGATATTTGAGCTGGAGGAAGGCTTCAATATCTGTCTCTACGGATACGGCTCAAAGCGCGCCATCACTAGCAATTTCACGGCACATGTGTACCAACATCTTCTAGATCAAGCACCGTACAAGGGAACCAAAAGGACGCCCAATATCGTGGTCGTCAACGGGTACACGCCAAATCTGACCCTGAAAGACGTCCTCACAACGATCGCATCCGCCACCATTCCCAAGGGATTGAAGTTGCCCAATCAGATATCTTCTCTCTTGGCTTACATCCTGGATACTCTAGCCAGGGACCCTCCACCTCATCCTCTGTTGGTCGTGATCAACTCCATTGACTCGGCCAATCTGCGAAAGTCTCTGGTCCAATCAACATTGGCTGCATTGGCCGCGCATCCCTCCATAAACATTTTCTGCACGGCGGATACGCCCAACTTCCCTCTGCTTTGGGACGTAGGTTTGAAGGCTCAGTTCCAATTCTTGTTTCATGACGCGACGACCTTCGCACCTTACAGCGTGGAGATAGATCCAGTAGAAATCGTAAACGAACTCCTCGGACGCAGCGGCAGAAGAATAGGCGGACGCGACGGTATCGGCTTCGTGCTGAAATCCCTGCCCCTGAACGCACGAGCGCTGTTCCGCATCATCGTTACTGAACAAATCAAAGCGGCGTACATGGACGACGAAGACCAAGACGATGAGGATGTCACTGCCACATCACAAAGCAAGAAGAAGAAGAATGCGCCCCGCACCCCGTCAGAATCTTCGCAAGGAGTCGAGTACCGTAGGCTATTTCATAAAGCCAGGGATGAGTTTGTTTGCACAAGCGAAGTTGCTTTCCGAACGCTGTTGAAGGAGTTCCACGATCATCAGATGATCGAAAGTAAGAAGGATTCGATGGGAACGGAGAGGTTGCTTGTGCCTTTTCGCACGGAGGAGTTGCAGATGCTGCTGGAGGAATTGCTGTTGGAAAACGCGTTCTAGCTGCATATAGTATATACCCACTCAATGCATCAATTGTTCTAGTCTGACCGGCCAACTGCTTCGGCGTGCCGGTGTCAGGGTCGGCTCCCCTACCCTCATTCCACGTTACGCCCCCACCCAACCAACGCGTTTATCATTCCTCGGGTACAGCCTATGTGCCAATCGCCAAAGGCTGTAAGGGAACGATAGCCCTTATTAATACTGACACACGAGTCAGGCAATGGAGGTTGTGTTGCTGCGGCACGCTCACGGGAGTGTTCGCCCTAAAGTTCATATACATCATGAGACTCTACACTTTCGTCTCTGTGGCTTTGGTAGCTTCTCGCCACGCGTCTGCGATACCGCACGAGGATGAAGAGCATGATGAGGCCGCGACGACCATCACTAGTTCCGCATCACTAGCCTGTGGGACTGGAAAAGCCATGTCGTGCGTCCACGCTACCTTCCACAATTGTTTTGACTGCTTGCTAACACCCTATAGCCAGTGGAATTCTTGCTCTGCCTCCATCTCCAGAGAAATCGACAAGTGCGACGCCAACAACCTATCCTGTGCCTGCAGCCACGCAAACGTAGGCTTCGAGTACGCTCCCCATCCCACCCCATCCCATGCGCACTCCAACCTGTTGTCAATTGCCCTATACGCCGCCCTTGCCTTCGAAACCCCCATCTAACATCCCCCCAGCTGCTTGACCTCCTTCTGCCCGTCCCACACACCCGACATCTGCAAAGCCTCCCTCGCCATCCACGGCCTCTGTGCCCTCGCAAACGCACCCACCCCCACCCTCACAGGCATAACCTGCCCTTCCGACGTCCCCGACCTGCTCGCCAGTTTCATTCCCTCGGGCGTGCGTAACCTCATCCCGCTCGCACTTACCGAACTCCTCCCCTCCAACATAAACAACAATATCCCTACCGATATCCCCTTCTGGAACGGGCCCGGCGACCCAGTCCGAAAAGGCACGAGTCTGAGTTTAGCGCTAGGCGACGTTATAGGAGCAGGCTTGCCAGCCGCAACAGCAGTCGCAAAAGACAATAGCGGGGGTGGAATCGAGACGGGGCGGGTCGGAAGTCTGGATCGGGTGCTGGTGGTGGGGATCGTCGTCAGTGTCGCCGTGGGTGGGCTGTCAGCGTGGTTGTAGATTTGCAAGTCCTGCTCAGCATAGGGTATCTCGTCTATCCTATCCTATCCTATCCTACCTAGCATGCCATTTCCTATCAGCCCGCCGCCGCTGCCCTAGCCGCACCGCGAGACATGAAGAGAAAAACGTCCCAAGCTCTGTCCGTACGTATGCAGAACGCCATCGCTTCCAATGCAGCACAAACACGTTGAAAACAATGCTCAAGCCATCCATCAGCCGAGACCCGCAAACATAATCACATCATAACACACTCGCGCTCCGGCCGGTCCTTGGCCTTGTGCTTGCCCTTAACTTGCACGCCATCTGTGGTGGACGGCGCCGGTTCCCTACTCTTGCTCCTGAAATGCTTTTTACTCTTACTACGAGATACGCCGGCCTCCTTGTGCAGCTTGCCAGGACTAGCAGGAGGCTGCGCCTGCGGTTTGATTGTCTGAGTGCTTTCGACGCTGAGAGGAGCCTCATTTACGACGATGACTGGCTCTTCTGACACATTCTCCGAAGCGACGAGTTTGTCCTTGCTGCCGCGGCCGGTAAGTCGAGACAGGGTCATTGACAGTCGATTTTCGCCGCTCTCACTCGATGGACGACTCTTATTACCGGATAGCCAAGCTTTTGAATTGCGCCGAGATGCAGACAGAAAGCCCGTTCGTTGTTCATCTGGTGTAGGTGGCGGTCGACCCCGTGCAGTATTTGATATACTGTTGTCAAGGTCCTCGATTGCGATACTGCTGCGGCGATTACTTGACGTACTGGTGCGGCCTTGTGCCTCAAAATCCGTGATAGAACCGACAGTGGACGCGGATTGTTCGACTGAGCTAACCTTTTCCCACTCACCAGTTTCAGTGTCGGTAGTGGCATCGGTCTCGGAGCTAAGGGTCTCTTTTGAAGGCGCCGTAGAGAGGGTTACAGACTGGGCTTCGTTGTAGCTGGGAGGATCACCCCTGTTGGCAAGTTCTTCATCTATAGGTTGTACCTGGTAGAAGAGTAGATACGGGGACTCTTCCCGCAGCGCTTTGTGAATGTCGATGTCTGCTATACGTGGGTTCGAGAGATCGTCGAAGCGGAGCCAGGAATCCTCCTCGTCTTCTTGCTCGGTGTGTGACGTGTTTGGGCGCTTTTGAGAAGGCGGCTTGTTCGCGCGGACTAGCGATATGTAGTGGCCCGAGTCCACAGAAACTCCTCGATGACAGACGACTGACTGGAGCACCAGCTTGAAGTTCCCAAAAAGCGGGCCTTCTTCTTGCATGCGCTCGTCGGAAATAAAGTGCGGCAACCCGATTTCTAAGGGTATATCGACATATGTGTTGAGACGTTTTGTTGTGCCGTTGGGTAGCATCATGTAGCGTTTCAGGCAGATACCAAGAACAGGACGCTTGGAAGAAAAGTGGGCAGCTACTTGAGCATCTGTCTTGGGCACATTATCCGTGTACCAGGGGATGAGGCTGAAGAATTGCCAGGCGGGCATCATGACTTCTTTTCTAAGGAGAGATGCTGACCGCGGCCGGCCCGAGGAGCTCTTGTTCAACATTTCCTCCAGATGCTTCTTTTCATCAAAACGATTGTAATCTTTCGTTGCACCAGAAACAGTATAACGCTCAGTAAATATGCTGTCTCCTCTTCGGCGCCCCGTGAGTGGCCGGACAGGCGAGATGGGAGAAGGTGGACCAAACGTAGTGGGCGTAGCCACTAAAGGCGTCTCGGGCCCGGAAAGCTCCACTGTTTCGATATGCAGTGTCTCCTTCTTCTCATTGTCCGTGTTGCCTGTCTGAATAGAAGTCAAGGTGTTCTGGCGTTGTAGATATCGCTTGACTTCGATTCGATTGTTGAAGTAGTTTTCGAGGCAATCTTCCAGAGTCACGCCTTTGTCCGCTTCATCTTCTTCTGGTATAGCCACTTCCAGCAATCGCTCGTTGACGAACTTGTGGTCATCCTCTCTATCCTCTCGCCCGGTGTGATATATGTCCATCTTTAGGGTCAACAGGGGCAATTCAAGGGCTCCAGTGATGAAGGTGAAGGCTTCCGAGGCATCTTGCTGACGGACTTCTGCAGCTTCTTCCCAGCCGCATTGTGCCAAGGCATCCTGGAGGCGCTTGGTGAAGTCTACTCTGATGAGTCTGCCTGTCCTGAGGAAGTTCACCCACAGCCGCAATATCGCCGCGAGTTTCTTCCGTGGTTCGTCGTTAAACTCGTCGTATAACATGGCCTCGAAACTGTCCATCCGGGCGAACATGGCGAACAAGAGCGCGTCCAGATAGCAAGTCACCATGTTTCGGTTTATGGCACCAAGCATCGTAATGTTGGCGTCGAACTCCTTCAATTCACCCTCGAGTGTTTCGTTGGCGAGAATCAGTAGGTCGTAGGCTTCGTCGACGTTGTCCGGAGACCACGACAAGGCATAGTTGACTTGCTCTTCCTGCATGCTGGTGACTCCAGCGGCCTGCAGGCGCTGAAGAAGAGTCTAGGTCCGTTAGACTTGACAGAATATGATCCCTACGTACACATGTACGCACCTTCCTCTTCTCCGCATCTTTATCAACGGGTTTCTCGTCGTTCGTGAAAACTTTGTAGAGTTCCGGGGGCACGGAGGGCGGAGCTTGGCGTGACTGGAAGGTCAAATAGTCAGAGGTTGCGTTGGTCGATACTGGGACATAGCAAGGGGTGGCATCTGAGAGGAGACTTTTGGGAGACATCAGATGGACGCCGCTGTCTACAAAGGACTTGAACGCCGAAGATAGCTGCTCCAGGCAGGTACAATTGCGCCGACAGTGGCCTGGGCCGTCGCGCACATGACCGCCGGCGGAGGGCAGCAGATAGTGCGAAGAATAGGAAGAAAAAGTAGAGGACGGACGTACTTTGCCGAGCGGGTGCTTCAGCGACCGCTTCTCGTGGTGCTTGTCGCGCCGACTCAGGAAGCGCGAGACACCGTTCATGGCTGGCTGCTCGAGGAGAGCCCCCGTTCAGCAGGTGCAAAGCAGCAAGGGCCGAGAATGCGGCTCGAGGAGGGGTTCAGGCGGCGATGACGAGGACGCGCGGGGGTTGCGCTGGGCGCAGCGGCACAGTGGGCGGCCCAAGTGAATGCGGCAGACGCAATGAACACGCGGCTGAAGGGTTCGGAACGGGCAGCCACGCAGGCAGCAGCCAGGCTATGGTGTACGGGCTGGAGAGGCGAGAGCGCCGGGCAGCGGCGGCGTTTTCGTGCCAGTCGCGTCCATGGATCGTCGCTGTCCTCGGACAGAGTTGAGAAGCTGCGTCCCGCATTCTGGTACGCGGTGCGAGTAGGCAGGTGGGGTCTTCCTGCCCACGATTGGGTGGAGCCAAGCACCCGCCCCATCCCTGCAACTGCAGCCCTGGGCGCGGCCCCATGGCGAAAGATTTCCTGCCAGACCTTACCCCCATCGCACGCGCTTCCGCCCATCATCATCGCCATGGCCCTGCGCCAACTGCCCTTCCGCGCGGCATCAGGCCTCTGCAGAGAGGTGCGGCCTGCTGTGCAGGCCTGCCGGCCCTCGCTCCGCCGCAATGCCTCCTCGCCCGCCATCCACGAAGTCGAGGACTCGTCGTCCTTCGCCGTGCCTCCGCCGTCGAAAGACCTCGTCCAGAACTTCGACCCCATCGCACGTAGCAGACAGAGGCGCCAGGGCAAGAAGCAGCTTCCGGCCAGCAGGTAGCGCAGTCCCATGGCAGCATCAGGGGCCCGCGTTGACATTGTCCAGATACCAGTACCGCTCGCCCAAGTACTACCGTGGTCCTCTCCATCCGCACCAGCCGCCGCCCCCGTCAGACCCTGCGTCGCGCGAATTCCAGCCTGGCCCCTTCAGTCTGCCTCGGCTGGAACAGACATACCAAAGCACCATTGCCGCCGATATCCTCACCCTCACATACCAGCACTACCCGCCGGGCTACAGGCCGCCCAAGGTCGAGAACCGCCTACGGCAATGGACTGGAGCCTCCCCATACTTCAAGAACCGCCCGCTGAGAGGGCCGCGAGGACGCGGTGAGGAGCTGCGGTTGTTGCACGAACCCCGAACGTTCCGGAACATCCCAAAGATTACAAAGATCACCGTCCACTCCTTCGTGCCCGAGGCCCAAGAGAACAGCGCGCATTTGCATGTTGCTGGTATGATCCTGCAGGCCGTCAGCAACGTCCGAGCGACCGCGCACAAGGCTAGACACAACGTAGTTGGGTGGGGACTTCGTGAGGGCAAGTACGTGGCTGTCACATCCGACATGGAGCGCGAGGACGCACACCACTTTTTGGCCAAGCTTGTGGATGTTGTGCTGCCCCGTATCAAAGAATGGAAGGGAGTGCCAGGCTCATCCGGAGACGGAGCCGGAAACATGACCTTCGGTCTCACGCCTCAGCAGGTTGCCCTGTTCCCCGAGATCGAGGTCAACTACGACGCGTAAGTTCACCTCGTCTGTGAATCCGTGCATCACACTGACAGTCGCCAGTTACCCACCAAAGATGATCCCGGGTATGCATATAACTATTCAAACCGACGCCACGAACAACAAGGATGCTCGCCTACTGCTCCAAGCCGTCGGCCTGCCATTCTATGGAAAGCTCAACGACTAGACGAGCACCACCAGCCTGTAAAACATGTAAAATGTGTAAGACAATCGTGTATAATGGACATAGAGTTGCACGCACGCGCTGCCACAAAGAACGGTGCTACCCCAAGCGCCTTTGTTTCCGTTGTTTCTTCTTCACACCTTTGTCCCTATTCTAGTGACTTGTTTCAAATTAGCATCGCCAGACAATGCCATCTATCTCCAGATGTCGGTTCTGAGTACGGGCGCTCTTTCCCGTGCGAGCCCAGCTCCTGCTCTCTAGCCGTTGTGCCTTCCATTAAAGCACCGTACCTCACCCGGCAATCAGCGCATTCAATCTCCCAAGTTTGCTCTCTTCGCACAAGATCTAATAGCATTTGGCCCAAACTACAATCAGCCTACCTCCTTGCCTCGCTCCACTTGCATCGTACTTCACCTTGTGCTTCATTATGGGCATTACAACTACCACGTATAGCACCTTCACCAAGAGGGGAATCGCCAAGCGTCGCAGCCCTCATCGCGGCTCGCTCAAGGTCAGACGGCTTCGGAGCAGGGACCGATTCTTTTGGCTATCCGCCTCCGACGGTGTCTCCCGTCTCGTAAACGCCAACAACAGCGTCCCGGAGCAGGTCAACGACTATACTTTCGCTCCTTCCAAGTTCCGGCATGAGCCCTACCCCATTACCTTGCCAGTCGGCCGTGTCTGGCCACCCCGTCAAATCGACGATCTCGTTGGTGCCATCGGCTCTGAACATACTGACTGCGTCGGCGATACATGCTACAACGGCAACATCTGCGAGGACCTGGACTGTACACACACGCTCTCCGACTGGAGAACCGCCACCTCAGACTGGGAAACGTACTTCGAGCTGCGGATGACGGAACACCGGGGCGTCGGCGTGTATACCAAGCGCGCCTTCCGCCAAGGGACTATATTGGGCTGGTACTCTGGCGAGCTCAGAACGCTTTCCTCTATGGAATACAACACGAACGCCTATCTCATGGAGATTGAGATTGGCGATCTCGGATCCAATACGCCAGTCGAGTCGGTTCCAACTGTTTTCATTGATGGTGAGCAGAAGGGGAACTGGACGCGGTTCATCAACCATTCTTGCGCTGCCGATTGTGTGTTTCGCATCATGCGCGTAGGGAGCACGAGGATAATGGCAGTACAAGCGGTCCGAGATATACCGAGGGGAAAGGAGTTGAGTGTTGATTATGGGCAGGAGTACTATGGGTTGACGACGCTGAAGATCTGTGCTTGCGGAGTGCCCGGCTGCGTTTCGCGGAAGAGGGCAAGGTTGGAGAAAGCGATGGAAAAACAAAAGGCTGAAGGATCGGATGCGAGAATTGGGAATGTCAAGAGATGTAAGCGGGTTGCCCCGCCAGTATTTGTCTAGCGATGGTCTGCCATAACCAAGAATCTTTGTTGGTTAATAGCGCTCGTACTCACTGCGATCATTCTGATCATGTTATCGTCTTTCACTGATGTGTCCTCACGAATGCACGACTTCTCGCCTCAAGAAGTATATGGCAGCTTCAAGAGCAACGTGCCCTTCAGCTCGAACGGGACAAAACTCCAGCCTGAACGCTTAGAATTAGATCCAAGTACTTCAATTGGCCTGCCCAGTCACATGTCCGGACCAGGTGGTGATAAGCAACTACATGGCGTCCCACCCGGATAGCGGCTTTGACATGGACATCCTCAATATTTTGTACGCGAACACGGCGCTTGTCCTCCCGCACCGCGCATAAGACCTCCACACCGCCGAGTTCCGCAAGAAGTATCACGAGCAACCTGGGCACGAAGAAATCGTGGAATGCAACGAGGGTGTTAGAGGAGGCGAAGTTTGTGCATTTTAGCGACGGGCCAGTTAAGAAGTTGTGGCTGGTGGATGAGGAGGAGGAGGAGGAAGGGGATGCCGAGTTGTGGTGGGGGGAGTCGTGGGGAGGAGAGGGATTGTACGGATAGGGATGTTTGGGTGGGGTTGCATGAGGAGTGTAAGCTGAAGAGAAGGGAGGTTTGTAAAAGGGAATATGATGGGAGGAAGAGGAGGCGGGAGATGATGCCGAGGTGGTTTGAGTACGTGGTCGGTTGAAGAATGGAGATTGGAGGGACGTCAATGTGATGGAGTGGGTGCGTGTACGGCACCTCGACTGCGCAAAACTGCTCAAAGTCGTCCTACCAGGCCGCAAATGCGGCTGCAAAACCTGGGATTTAGCTGGGAAAGAGCGTCGCTGCTGCTCTCAAAAATTAGCGCTTTAGATACTGACGTTGAGATTTCTGGCTGTCCCGTCAGATCAGACTATCTAGACGGCTACCAGAGCATCGTCGTGACGAAAGAGGATAGAGTCAGAGAAGGCGCAATGCGCTCGATGACGTAGCCATGGGACGGAACCACAACAAAGTCACAACGACGCCTCGGTTGAGCGCTATAGAGTGCTGGTCATCCATGTAATGGTGTAGCTAAAGGTGCAACCATACTATATCGTAAGATTCTATCAGAAGGTGGGCGCTCGTGGGTGCCCATAGAATAATACTATCGTTCCGTTTCCTTTCTCGTCTGGGATTGATTTCTTTGTTTATAAATCTTAGTCGACTATTTCTTTGCAAGCCTTGAGCTGTTTGGAACGGATGCTACCCGTTAAGCAGTGGCCAGGATGAGTTGAGAATATGGCGTTTACATTCAGGACACCAAAAGCAATACATATGTACCCCGCAACTCAACTTTCTGCGTGAATGGATTGTGGCACAACAGACCACGAAGAAATACGCATGGACAAGGTAGTTCAGTTCTGTCACTGGGCAATGTGTTTTGGAAACCTACAACGGCCTTTAAAGCAACTACGATGTCGCAAAAAGCAACTGAGATGAAAGTTGGAAGCGCAAGAAGGCAAAAATTGCATCGGCCCGTAACCCTGAGGGAATCCCAATGCAAAAAGGAAATTGACGATTGCATCGGCCGGGCTGGTGAATGTTAGACAATGCAATTGTTTTTGTAAAGCGGAGCTACTCACAATCGAACCCGGGGCTAGCCGACACTGTTGAACTGGTGAACACCAGGCCAATGGCAACGGCTAATTTTACCACTAAACCACCGATGCGGTTTGCTATTTGTTGGTTCTTCTCAAATTTTAAAAATATAATAACCGGAATATAAAATTCAACTCTCCATGAACTGATCGATACTTTTAAAATTAAAAATGGGCCTCCTTTAAGACGCTACAGCAGGCTTTTCTACTAGGGAGGAAACGTTGTGTTCTGGCTTATCATATCAGTTTCACAGAGCGATTCCGTACGCTAAGTATGAACTTGGCTAACTAATTTAACAATCCGTCCAATGGATGCATTGCCTAAGAGTTGGCCCGAACCGAGAATTCTCATTTCACGGCTACCAATCATCACTATCGGCATCAGCCCATTGCTGACGCTAATAGCGCTTAATGTTTGGTGGCTCAAACCATGCCCTGACATCCATTTGCGAAAAACGAGAAGTGGTTTCTCGAAGATTAGCGTAGTAAAGCCAGTCACGCACTTTCGGTTTCCATTATCCTCTTCCTAATTCTCTATTGTGGCGCATCTAAACCATTAACTAGAAAAGACCGCTGCGTAGTATGCAGTTACGATCACAGGGAACACAAACAGGGAGTCGGCAGGAAATGACGCGACCAGAGATGAAGCTGATGGTAGGCAACAAAGAGACGGCTTGATCTGTCGGGATTGCCAAGGACCAATGTCACGTGATCATTCTCCCGCCAAGACTGGGTTCTCCGGGGAGAAAAGGTCCTTGTCGGGAGAACAGAACATTCTTCCATTAAGGGACGATTATCCTGGGATAACAGATTTAGCTCGGGTAGTATAACGTAGCTTTAAATAATTTGTCTTGGGCTGTGTTATACATCATCAAGATGATTAGAGAATAGAGTCGTCACCATTTCTTAGCCTTAACTAGTGGGGTGGATTTTGTTGTCAGCGTTGTCGTATTTTAGCTCTCTATACCCGTTGAAAGTCTCTTACCATCGCCAGCTTAATCAGCAATATGTGCTATCGCTGAGCCCTATAGCCTTACATTATTTACCCCTCGAACAGCTGCTACAAGCTCCGACGAGTCGACTTCTAGAGAGCCGTAGATAGGTTTCTAATAAGCGAGAAATGGTACACAATACTATAACCTTGGCGTGGAGAGCATGGCGTTTGATAAATAGGGCGTAGAACACCTTCAAGCTAGCTAGGTCCGAAAGGGATCAGAATTAGACGAGTATTGTCGTGTAAGAAGTGACTCAAGGCTGATCGAATAGCGACTGTGTAGTAGAGTAGGTTAGTAGAGCATGGGCCACTATAGGAGCGGAATAGGGTGATAGGTAGGAGGACAACGACAGATAGACAGCACCAGAATGATTAGAATTACGGACAATAGTACGATAGGTTTTTGATATGTTTTTGATAGTACAAATCTCTACTCTTTAAATAATTCCCCGATACTCCCTCAAAGCAGCTGACCAACACAACAGTATCGGAGGTTGAGCTCGAGCTTCCGATAGGGATTCGAATCGGATCAGTATCGGGCGAGCGAGGTCTCGAAGGCTCGTCTGTTAACTCCTAGCAAATTTTCAATCGTTCATTGCGCCTCGTAACATAACAATAGCTAAGGAGCTCATCTCCAAACGTCCCACATACAAACTCCTTACCCATCCCCCTCCGACCCCCTCCTCACTATATTGTCCAACCTCCCCTGCCAGCAATCCCAGACAACAAACAGCACAACTGGCCGCTCGAAATCCAACGGACTCTGAAATTCCGGCGCCGCACACCCATACTGCTCTTGATACACCCTCTCGATCGCCCTCCCCGACGCTCTTACTACATAGATAAGACCCCAGTCCGCACAGCGAGCCCGAATCCAGTGCGCCATCTCATTGACGTAGAAAAGGTTCCGTAACCGCATCAACGCCATCTCCGCGAAGATAGTATCCTCATCACACAGCATAAGACGCATGACCTGATAGTACGCCCAGAAGACCCTCGCTCTTTCCGTCGGCGTCAAAATGGCCGGATGCGAGGTATCCACGGAGTAAATGCGACACTCTTTCCCGCCCCAGGATGCCACACCTGCTAGCATGGTCAGCCTCCATTTGACACCACAGTGACAAAAAAATTCAGAAGGTGCGTATATGTATGCTCACACATCTCGCCCCTTACAACGGGAATAAACGCGCGTTCAATGTCCAGTATAACCTCCTCAACACGTCGTGCATTCTCTGCCAGCAGCCGCAGATCCCTCATACTCATCTCGTGCTTATCCCGACCTTCACATTCCCACCCCCGCTGCTTGCCAAGAAGCCTCTCCGCATCAGCATAGCATGAAAAGCTGCCCAGCCTCAACATCCGTCTTCGTCTTCCAAGCTTTGGCAAACAAAACACCCGCTCAACCTATCTGCCATATCCAACATCCATTCAACTCCACTTCCTCTGCTTCCCCAGAGAATCCACCACCCTCCCACCCCCTTCGTCTCCAAAACCAATGCCCGCTCTCTAATCATCTCCGCACAGCCAAATACACAAACGAATCCTGCAAGAGCTACTCCTCAGTCTCGGGCTCGCCATAATCGCCGGTAACTGCGCAGCTGTTACGAAGCGGCGGCTGGAGACGGTGTCGATATCAACGGAGGGTTTAATATGGGTCTCGATATCTTAAATTTCAAGCAAGTGTTAAGAAAAGATCAAGTCTAGGACAGCTTCAATTTAGAGAGGGGTAAGGACATCCTCGGCGTGGATTATAGGAATAGGAATAACCGTTGAGTCGACTTACTCTGCCGAAGTTGTTCTAGTTAATCCTCAGCTCCAGGGAAATGGCAGCTGCTCCCTCAGCCTTCTCCAGGCACACGTACGACAGAACTCTCGCACCTGTTCAATACTATTTTATGTAATTCGATTTCAGCTATTACCCATGATCCTTCGTCCTATGCTGCATCCCTCTGGCAGATGCAATGAACTGATCGTGACGCCTGTTACCGCTCTTCCACTTGACTTTGACGTCTCCCACAGTGGAGCCACGACGAATAGCCCTTGGCGGCAACGTTCAGAGTTTGATTAGAGTCAGAAACTAGGAACCAGAAATCGGATACAAAGCGGTTTACAAGCGGGCAACGGAAGCCTGCTGATCCCTAGAATATGGTCTTAGTACAGTAGATCAAGAGCGAGAACTGGCAATGACAGGCAAAGGGCCCTCTCCGCAGCGGCGCGAAATGGAACACTTGATAATGTATATTCATAGCTCCAGCAGAGCTAGAAGCGGAGCCAGAAAACGGGAGCCAGAAAACGGGAGCCAGAAAACGGGAACTGGACACAACATCGGTCACAGTATTTGCAAAGTCTTGCTGGGTCTAGAAGGGTTACCCGCAATCATGCCAAGGGCTTCCTACAGCACGGTTGTACCGCTGTACTGTGCACAGAGGATGTATGCCCTGAGTCGACTTAGTAGCGATGGCCGTCCATACCAGCTACTTATTGAGAGATTAGATAGACGTTGTATTAGTTAATAAAGCGCGGAACCAGCTCTCGCTTACGAGCTGCGGATGCCGAAGTGAAGGGCCTGGTATGTGGGTCTGTACACAGATCTGCATGGGAGCATTGAAAGGAGCTCGGCTGTGATAGGTATTGCTTTGTTTCCAGAAAAGATCTCTGGTGCAATTGACTTGTATCCTGTGTATGCGGTGCTATCAGTAAGGCCAGCACGACCGGTCCACACCGTGGATCACGGGGTGGGATATCCCACCAGTAAGCAGGACATCAGCTCCAGAGGGAGATGCCAAGTCGGCGGCAGTGAGAGGGCCTTCTGCTTTGACACCAAGATCGAGAAGCTGCATATTGACACCTAAGCACAGAGCAACGCTTTCATAGGCCTGAGAAACAGTCAGTTTCAATATTCTCGAAGATTCCATACGGAAATAATTCAACACATTTACTCCAAACATGAATCGCACGGTGGCTTCAAGCGGATTCTCAACTAAAAGGCTCGCATTCTGGCAAGCATCTCTGAAAGCCAGTCTCTCTTCGTTGCTCAAGTTGCTTGGAGCCACCTTGGAGAACTCCAAAAGGCTTTTGGTCAATTCGGCAGCCATATCAGCGGAATTGTGACGAGGGTTGACAGCTCATATGATTGTATTCAAGAGTCCAGGGAGAATTTCAATGGCCGTCACTCGAGTACAAGCGAACTGAACACGAGATATCAGGTGTTTGAATGGCTTATGTAGGGGCTAGGTTTCCAGTGGTAAAGTATTGTAATGGCATGCGGGTAATTTCTCCTGCAGCGGGTTCACTGAAGACATACTGTGCCTCACCCAAGCGTCTGGCCCGCTGTAAATGGAATTCTTAGGTCCCAGCCCCATGCATGGCCCACAACAGGCTTTGCCTCACTCAAGAGTGCAGTATGCATGGGACTAGGGCCTATGTATAGCCCCTGATGCAGGGCGGCACAACGTGGAGCCAAGTCTCACATACCTAAGTCCCCAGAGCTCATGCTATCCAGTGCAGCACCGCTTGTTCGGCCCCCTGTATCCACAGTGGGACAATTTGTAGGCTGAGGCTTGTTGTGCAGGGCACTCGTTTATGCTCTCTGGCACAGGCTGGAGAAGAGGCTGTGTTCCCGGGGTCCACTGTACCGACGGATACGGGAGATCTGGCCAGGTACCGAGCATTGAGGAGATTAGAACAGCCACTTGTCTTGGAAACCTTCAATGACCTTGTTTTACTTCTCCCCATTAAACCCTAAAGTGGTGTAACGGAGAAATATCTTACTCGTAAATATCCGCTTCCTAATATTGATTGCATGAAGATTCCGCAGAGTGGCGGAGCCATTTACTACTTCGGCAAAATAAGTCGTAGACGTCGTCATCTTACAATCATTATTTATGTAGCTGCTGCTGTGCGCCTATAGGGATACAGTATTGACTTGGGCTCAAACAATACGGAATACAAAGCCTCAACCACCACCCTGCTCACTCTTTCACCATGGCTTCACACGGGCAACTCTACGGCCTTGCATCAGGCAATGATATGAGACCCGTATCGTTTCTGTCAAGGAATATCCGTGATATCGTCGATATCACTCGTCCTTACCACACGGCTCCGATTTTTTTGATATATTTTCCTTATTTATACGGTATCCTTTACGCCTCAATTCGTCTAAAGGCCGCCTACCACGCCGTCTTCCAGCAATGCTGTGTGTTGCTCTCAGGCTCTGTGTTCTTCTCTAATGCTGCCCATATCTGGAACGACATCATCGACAAGCCCTTAGACGCATAAAACCCACGAACACGCGCACGGCCGATACCGCGAGGAGCGGTATCTATACCATGGGCCTTGCTATTCTGTATGACGCAGGCATTACTTGCTGCTTCATGTTTCAGTCTTTTTCCTCATGCATACAGTGCAACGTATGTAATTCTGGACATTGTTGTGACGGCATATTATCCATTCAGCAAACGGCATTCGAACTACCCGCAATTTGTTCTAGGATTTTGCATCGCGTATGGCGTGGTTGTTGGTGCTCTATCAACGGGGATAGTGCCTATTACTGCATGGGGTGGACTCTTCTCAGTGGATCCGCAGTTGTTGTCTTTGTTTCTCGCAATCTTGTTCTGGACGGTAATATTCGATACGGTATATGCGCACCTAGATGTTCATATTGACGCGCTAATGGGCGTTGGTAGCACGGCTATGCGCTTCAGACACTGCGCAAGGAGATTCCTAGCCACGCAACTTTTTTGTATGATTTGTGCACTTGTTGTATTAGGTGTTGCCGGAGATTTTGGTGCGGCATATGGTTAATTCGTTGTTGGAGGTTCGTTATCATCTTTAGGATTGTTGTTGTTGCGCGTGGATCTTGAGAATTGTGGAAGCTGTTGGTGGTGGTTCGGAACAGGATTTTGGTACACCGCTGGTGTTTTCTTTACTGGACTGCTGATAGAGTATGTCCTAGCTCAGTGACTTATATTCGTACTTGCGCAGAGTGTCATAACTTTAAGTCATGCCTTTCGCAAGCTCCACCTGTACCATCCAGGGCTCTGTACTTGCTTGAGATCATGTAGCGGATAGCAGGAATGCTTTCACCTTAGAAACAGTGCTTGAATTCGATGTTGAGTTGCGTCAGAGTGGAGCAATTGGCGTTTTAGAAATGACTGCTCGATGTTAAGATCGATGTGTTTAGTTATGTGATGAGGATGTGGAGTTCATGTATGGGTTTCGAGGAGGATGTTATGCTTCTAGCAGGTCCTTCCGACCGATCGTCGGTGCTACTCCGGAAATCACTCCGATAAACTTCCCAGAACGCCTTTAGCGTCACCGTATCTCGGGTCCTGGTCTTGAAGATCCCGGTCGAAATTTTGCAATATAACATGCTGAAGACCTGCTGATAGGGGCGAGCTAAGGCTTTCTCTCAATCGCGCAGCATCTCAAAATGCTACCTAGAATACTGCCTGCAGCAGCACCTTTGTGGCTAAGCGTCTTCAACACGCTCAGTTGTGCCTATCCAAATCACGGACATCCAAATGCCGCTGCGCAGCTCCGGCACTGGCCTGCGGAAGCCGCCAAAGCGCTCGGTACGATGATCGAGAAGAATGCCAACCAAAGCAATTATGCGGTGTTTGACATGGACAACACATCCTATCGCTACGATCTCGAAGAATCCTTGCTTCCGTTCCTGGAAAATCGTGGCATCCTGACGCGCGAAAACCTGGATCCAAGCCTGAAACTGATCGACTTCAAAGACACTGCCAACTTCACCGAAACACTATACAGCTACTACCTCCGCCTGTGCGACGTCGACGATTTCGTTTGCTACCCATGGGCTGCGCAAGTGTGGTCTGGTCTGTCTCTTCGCGAACTGAAAGGCTACGTCGATGAGCTGATGACACTCAACACTACGATCCCGGTCAAATACTGGGACGGCGACGAAGTCGCTGTAGACAGCGTCAATCCACCAAAGGTCTTCCGAGGCCAGGCAGAATTGTACAACGCTTTGATGAGCCACGGCATCGATGTCTACGTCATCAGCGCTGCGCACGAAGAACTCGTCCGCTTCGTTGCGAGCGATCCAAAATATGGGTACAATGTGCCACCGGAAAATGTTATCGGCGTCACCACGATGCTTAAGAACAGTACCTCTGGCAGTCTCACCAACGCGCGCAAGCAGATTGCAGCAGGCGCGTATAACGCCTCAGCGAACTTAGATCTGGTGGTCGGGCCATACCTATGGACGCCGGCAACCTGGTTTGCGGGCAAGTGGGCAGCGATCCTAACTTACATTGACCCCTGGAAGAAGCCGATTCTAGCAGCGGGTGACACACCAGGCAGTGACACATATATGCATTTTCAAGGGGTCGATGTCGACAAAGGTGGTATCCATTTGTGGATCAATCGTAAAGAGGAGTTGTATGAAGAGTTACAGCAGCTAATCGAGGAGAATGCTGAAGGGCAGAAGGAGAATGGATTCGAAGTGACGGCAGACCGGAATTGGGTCGTCGTGAAGCCGGAGGACATCCTATGATCATGATCACGACGGTGAAATCATCGGCGATCTTGCAGTCGCTCAACGAACGTTCGAAACAAAAGTTGGGATACGTGTCTATCCAATCGTGCGAGGGTCCTAGCGTTAGGTATACTACAGAACCACCGATGCGATTCATGGTTTGATGGCAAAAGCTGTGCTACTGGTACACCTATCCTCGAAGATGAAATCCAAAGTTGCGAATCAACGTTTTGCTTACATCTGCACTTCTTTAAGTATCTAACTTACAAGTACCATAGGTATTTACGTACAAAAAACATCTCTCGCCGATTCTCAAGCTAATCAATGAGCCTGCTGTATTGTGAAGGAAAACCAATGATAACAAGCTGACGAGGGCTTTCTACTGGAACTCTCCACGCGTTTCTCATAAGCAAATATCTACGATACTGTTTCCCCAACCGTGAGAGAGTATTCCATGGCTCTTTACCAAAAGCTACATTCTAGCCTCCCGGATCTAGGAATCTGATCTCCTAGATAAGCTCCGGTCGTTGAAGGGGCACTCTCACCCCCGTCGATTTTTTTGCGCGAGCATTGCTGTCACAACAAGAAGTGTATCACATCCTCATTCAGACGAAACATTGCTTATACTAGTTATACTCTTTCCGATGACCAAAATTCGATTGCGATCCCAGGAGTGGCCGGAGGCTAGTTTCTTAGGTGTTTATGTTCACAGCCTTCGAAGTCATTAGAGTCAGCGCACCTTGGAGGCCTATCTAATGTCTTAGATGCATTGCGCCTCGTTGCTCCGTCATTGTCATATAGCGAGGACCTAATGCGACCGAGACAGTGTTAATCGGAGGTTGGGCGCTGTGATGATAGGTAAACACGATATCCAGTCACTTCAGGGAAGTAGGACTAAGTTCGACGGCTTTCGCCCTCATTTGACCTTGGTAGGTAGGGAACAAATACGCACAGAGCAATTTCAGTATACGCATAATTTGATTCCATGACGTGGGTATGGAGTTGTCGTTTAGGCGAGAACCCGGGGTTCTCGCGCGAGATAGGTGAGAGGATCCACAACATGCGCGCGAGAAGGATGTAGCGATCGTCTACAAATTCTACCTCGTCTGATATAGATTCGGGTAAGATTCTATGCCTAAACACATTTGCGCCCGATGCTGAGTGTTACTCTGTACCAGCGATCTCGCTCCTTTCTCCTAAGATCATCAATTGCTTACGCGCGAAAGACTAAGCGTTGTTTCTCGTAAAAATTTCCCTTAGTGGACGAGCCGCATCTTCAGTTAAAGAAGCCCACTGCTTGATCTAAGCAGGACTCACTACAGAATGATCGTCCTGGTGAACAAATCAGCACAGCGATGGCTATCACAGACGGTGTCTTGAGAGCTTTGATGGCATTCAGGATGTTAACCCAGATAATCAAGATGATTACCAATTTACGCCTGAACACGAGCAGTAGGATGAAGCGTAAGAGGCCTTTGGGGTAGGATTCGAACATCTTCAGTGTGCCAAGTGTTTACGGAGAGCACTCTAGCCTTGGACTTCAAGAAGCGGCAATGAGTGACCGTTCGTAGCCCCATCTCGACGCGGGTCCGATGGCCAAGCTCAGTCTTTCCGTACGTGTGGACAGCCTTGTGCCCTCAGGATGACATTCAGCAAGGTGGCCTGCTGAAGACCCGGTGGTTGAAACGCAGCCATGTGAATGCGATGTCTTTTCATGGGATCAAAGTAACTATGAAAGTTGACAGAGGGAAATGATCGACTCAAGCTCGAAGTATAAAGTACGCACACTTCGCTCTCTATACCCCCATCACAACAAGTTTCGGCAACACTACAAACGACTACTCAAAACAACACTATTTCTGCAATCATGAAGACTTTCACCACCTCCGCTATTCTTGTCTCTGCCCTCTTCACGGCTTTGGTGTCGGCCTCTCCCGCCGTTCTGTTTTCCAACGCCAACGTTGACCCGGCGGAATGCGCTGAACAAGGTGGTGTGCTTCAAACTGCAGCCAGCGACCTCCCGGAGGGAGCAGTCCTTTCCGACGTTCGTAAATGCGTGGCACATCCGCTCGGGCGTGACCGCCTCAAGGAAAATTGGTCCCTTCCTCCCCTTGAAGAGGATCCTGCCGCCAATGCGACGTCCCCAGCCGCTCGCGATGTACAGGATATCTCTCAGGCGCAAGCCTGTTACTACGACGCAAAGTACGGATGCACAAAGAAGGGAGATACAGGATACTGCTGGAAGCACTGCGGTGAGAGTAACGACGGTATGTAACCACCACAACCTCTTCTGTAGAGAGTCATACACAATGCATTCAATTCTCTGCCTGATATCTTGACTTACGCTGACTTTTTACCCAGACGGAAAGTGGTGCTGGACTGCTAGTAACCTTGGCTTGGGAGACTGGATCACTTGCAGCACGTGGGCGGATTGTGGCACAACGACATATGCATGCGGTATCGGGGGTGCAAGCGGTGGGTGCGGATGCTAAACGGCTCTTGGAATCCGCAAATTGCGTACACTCTTCATTTGAGCCGGGTTAGACGTGGGACAAATATGGAAGTGGTGCAAACTGGACCTGAGCTTGAGTTTTAGAGCAATATGAAACTGGTCTTGATGATCATGTATTGTTTGACTAACCTGTAAGTCACTAGAGGAAACCTTTCATCTGTGGAGAATGCGTGTTTCGGCATTACATTCATCTATTGTACTGCTGTTATGCCGTCACTTGTATGAGCAATCGAATCCACTTCGCCAAATGATGTTTGTGACTGGTATGATCACCTGCTAGTGTTGCGAACTTCTTTAGCGCTCGCATCATCGGCCCTTGATAGTCTCCAGTAACGCCTGCAGCGCCTCCAAATCATCTCTCTCGCATTGCGGATACTCCTCCGCCAATTCAAGCCACTCGTCCCGCCAATCAACTCCAAACTCATCTCTCCCGTGAAGAGTCTTCATCCATTTGGAGCGGTACTCGTTCTGCCAGTCGTCCCAGATGACATATCTTTCCTCGAAAAGACTGTTATTGAGGTTGTGTTCGTCTTCCCATGGCATGATTGGCATATGTGTGGTAGCACCCGAGCGGAAATGGACAGTTGTTGTATCGAAGTCCCACTGCGACGAGGTGCCGAAGCGAAATTCGTGCAGGCGCGGGAGAGACGACGCGAGGCGGGAGAATACAGTGCCCCAGCGCAGATCATTGGACTTGAACAGGAGGTTGCGCCCGAACTCCTCATCACCATCATCTTCTGGATCAGCTGACCACCCCCAGCCATCGAAATCAGTGGTGGGATCATTTTTGGGATAACCATCGTCATCCAACCAGCCAAGTGTATTGCATCCAATCTGATAGAGGATGGAGCATCGATCGAAGATCAGCTCGCGTAGTGTCTCCCCATGAGAAACGATCCAATCGACTTGATGATTATGGTGCAGGATATGGTGGCCAAGAGTGAGCGATGCTAGGTTAGGGAGGTGGACGGCTCGTAGGTCGAGCTTTGGAAACCACCCAAGCGGAATGTCGGAATAAAGTACAAGGGCGGTCAGGGTGGTACTTGCTGGAAGAAGAAATAGGGCTGGGAAACTTTCCCAGAAGGGATGTACATGGCCATCCTTGACGTGTTAGAATAATGTTCTGATGATGGACAGCGCTAGACTAAACAGTCGGAGTACAGTATATTGCCTTTGGATGAGTGATACTTGGGCCGGTTGTACTCAGACTTTTATCTGAAGGACTGTAGAATAAATGACTTACGCGATATGTTGTGCCGGCGCCCGGATGCGTTTCCGCGTGTTTCACACTAAGTCGCAGTGAAGAAGCTTTTGCAACTTGACGCATGAATCGTGGCACATCCATCCTTTTGCCTTCTGGAAGCTGTGGGTTCGCAAAATGACGAACGGCGAGGTGGCTTATGCTCTCTTTGGCTGCCTTCGTGATCTTTTCTAGCCATAAGTGCTGGAATTCAGGACCTTGGAAGAAATCATCAGAGTCGCCATAGGCGGCATGGCGGTCGAAGTGTACGTTCAGCCCGCAGACGTTTGGAAATTCACCGAGTCCTTGGATGGAAGAAACGTAATGGGGATGGAAATTTGGTTCTGGCCATGATTCTGGAAACAACTGTTCTCCAGTTTTAGGATGATGGTCCTGAGTTGAATCGATTAGCACACATGTATCTCTTATGTGGCCGCCTGACTTACGCAATGTGTCTCGCAAGTGTAGACTCGCACTTCCTTTACGAAATTCCGTAATCTCTCGTTTTCGACGATGTTCAAAAACACTGCGGCATCGTAGTCAGAAGGCCCTGGGAAATTGTCACGAGCCCACTGGGGCCGGGCCGCCTCCCACTTTTGATGGCGTTGCTTCTCGTATAGCCGAAAGTCAGGTAACCCCACGCTGAAAGGGTCAGGCCGGGGTGGACGGTCGCTTGCCTCTGAGGCTGAATCCCGGTCCTGTAGGGAACTCCCACCACGAAAACGTGGTCTAACACTCAGGCTATTGTCTCCAGCAGTGGACAAGTCATCGTCCATATCTGGACACGCTAAAAACCCATCATCATCGTCTTTTCTTGCTTGACCAGACCTCTGGTCTAGGTCCCTTCGGCCTTGATCATGCAGGTCTGGTGTAGGAACGAGACCATATTCTTCGTCTTCGTCCGAGCCAGCTATGAAGCCGTCTTCTTCGTCTTTTTGCATCTCAGACCCAAGTCTCTCGACAGAGTCTCTTCTTGGTACATAGTCCTCCCTGTCATCTCCGTAATGATCATTAGATTTGTCGAGGACTGGACTCTGATAGTCGCGCGCTGACCTGTCTTCCGACTCTTCATCACTCTGTTTTGCCCAGTGAGCATAAAGCGTTACTCTTTCAAAGAGCTTAACAACAGCAATATCCTCTAGCCTCTTGTTCGTGAGTCTGAGCTGGGCAAGCGACCTCCTGTCAGAAAAGGAAACGATTCGAGCGAGAAGCTCATTCGGAAGTGCCTCGAGATACGTCATGGTCTCGGTACGCATAGTGCTTATGAAAATTCTGAGGACCAACGATCTAAGTATTACCTGTCTTGAGGTAATCAGCTGACGACCTCTAGCAGATTTTGTTTTGGTATGTTCCCGTTCTCGGAGGTCGCTAGATGGTTACCGGTAGGCCGAACATGTTCTCGCAAATTCGAATGACGTAGTCTGTGAGGCTAAAACAGAGTCGACAGTGCGCAGCAGGGCGAGGTCCGGCGTGGAGTGCGCGAGGCAGGATGCCCGACATCCAGGCCAGCACGCGCAGGAACAAGCTAGCCAAAAGAGGCTAGCGGTTGTCACACCAACACGTTCGCAAATCCGAAGTGAACGCAAAGGATGCTCGTATGCAGACAGTAGGAACACGCAGTGCTCCCCACGGCATTGCTTGCCAAGAGGAGCCCTTCACACGACGTCCGATTAACCGACGACGGGCGACAACATGAGCAGGGCTGAGCTCACAGCAACCTGCCAGGCGCACCAAAAATACATGCGTAGGATCGCGCTCCACGTCTACGAATGGGCGTGCCGTGTAGGCGGTCTGTCGTGTAGGCAGTAGGATTGCTCTCTCTTTCTCCAAAATAAGGATATGCATAGGCGCGAAAGCCTGAGGATACGTTTGAAGCCGAACGCCAATGCGAAAAGCGAGACGTCCACCGGCTGAAGCCAAGCACGCTCTCAGATACCGAGCCAGGTGCGCGAAAGTCCAGTGTGCGAGAGTTTGCGCACAGTCTTTGAGCAAAAACGGTCCCGTATCACTCATTTCAGCAGGCTATCAGTCCTCCATCTACCAGAAACAAGGCGCTTGCTCTCACTATGCATGTGCAAGGGAATGCGCTAGGGTTTCTCAGCCCCCAACCTCAGCTGTGAACCCATACCCCTGCAGCACTCGCAAGCACCAACCATTTCGGACTTCGTTTCAGTGTCAGAACTCAAGATGGATCCCCACGCAAGCCTAGTACAGGGTAACAAGCGAGAAGCTCGCAACCAAGAATCCGGGGTTGTCGCATGGGGCCAAGCACCAAGACCATGAAGGCCGAAGGAGCAAGCCTTGCTCAGTTGCCAATTCGCTGTCCAGCACTGCAGATATTCCGCACGTCCATTCCAAGGAATATTCTCCGCTGCGTAGTGCGCCCGACGGCGGTCGTCCACCTGTCATCGGATAATATTTCGACACACGAGGAATTGCAGGATAAGGAAGCTGTAATGTACGATGTCCGACAGCCTGGGTACAAATACGGGGGCCCTCATGCAAGAGGAGAGAACCATCGCATAACAATTTCGTGACTTTGCTTTCTTGCCTGTCAAGGCGTCCAATCGTTATCCAGTTCATTCATACGTTCATTACTGAAACTTCTGTCATTCCTTTCAATCTAGTGGCCGGTGCCCAAGATGCATCTTAACAAGGCGAGCATTTTTTCTGTGTGCCTCCTGGCACTGCGCATTGGTGTCGCAGCGGCGCCCACCGAGAACATAAACACTGCTTTGATCGTCGATCAGGACCACAACACTACTTCTGTAGCTGATGGCCATCTCCCTCTTGGAAACACCGGTATCGAGTTCCCGGTACCGGTTGCAGGACTAGAGAGGCGGAAGGCAAAGGGTAGTAGTAAGGGGACTTCCCGCAAGCCCTCCAAAACGACCAAGAAGAAGAGGCCGACCAAGCCCAAGCCCGCGAATTCTAAGGTTACTTCCAAGGCGAAGCTGAGTCCGACAAAGTCAAAGAGCGTGTCGAAGTCCGCCTCGAAGACTAAATCTGCCAAGGATCCTTATGGTAGCTGCAAGCCGAAAAAGGGTGCCAAGGGCACCAAGGGAACTAAGACGAAGGGTAAGAAGGGTGTCAAGCGGGAGGAAGAGGGTTTCACGCCTATCTCCGACGAACAATACCATGTAAGACTTTTCGGTTGATATGATGGACCACATCCACTGACAGAGTGTGACAGAGTCTCGCAGCTCGTGACCGGAAGATTCTCCAAGCTGGTGCTGTTGAACTGCAATTTCCGACACATCCCTCCAGTGGAGATGCAATTCGTGTAAAGCGGTACAAAGCCGACGGCATGAAAGCTTACGGAACAGTCAACCCCGATCCCTGTGACGATGACTATGCCCTTAAGGTCGTTACATACCCTACGGCCCAGGGGCAGGGTCTTATTGGTGAGAATTGGGACACAGAACACGTGATGGATGCTCAGATCATCCAACAATTCTTCGAGTACCTGAACGATAATCTTCCAACAACCAACATGCCAGCTCAATGGTGGTCACGAGATTCTCAAACGGGAAAGATTGGGCACTTCCAGGTACGATCCTCCCCGGTACAAAGTCGCTATGTCTTAGACCCAAGACGATTTGTACATTAATCCTCTCTTATAACTCAGCTGACTTTGTACCCACGAGTGATAGGTCCAACGTGCTTTTAGATATATGCGCGATTTCTGGGAAGATCGGAAAGGTACCGGTGGCATTACTGCTACCGACCACCTGCTCGCGGTGTATCCGGGAACACACCAATATACCGGAGAGCTAACGCTCTTGGGTCACGGAATCAACCGCAAGAAGGAGTCGATCTTCGGACACGGCGGAGGCTCCTGCATTGGTTCTTCCACATGGCGAGGTTTGGATTATTGGGGTAAGGTCGATAAACTAAGAGAATGTGTTCTACTGGCCAAGGTAAGAGTTGTCGATGCTCGCACAGCAATATCTACTGACACGTCCAGTACATGAACCATGCCGACATCCAAGACAGCTTTGAAGCGGTTGCCACACGTATTAAGAAACGTCTCACAAAGATGGAGGACGTGGGTGGTTTCATGGTAAGTCATGCCCGAAAACCTGTTCGTACCATTGTAACTAAGATTGAACAGGAATCTACCGACGACTACTGGGCACGTAAGATGAATAACAACAAGTACCTGGATCGTCAGGGTGAAGTTTACAAGGACCAGAGGCTGGACAGATACTGGCAGCAATGGCTCAAACAGTTTATGGCTACACGATTAAGCAACCTGTCGACTGAAATCACGACGAAGCTTCGTGAGCTCGATACTATTCAGAAGGGGGCCCAGAAGGATCGCAACCTCAGCCAGCAGAGGAGGGACAGGATCGCATCGCGATACAGGAGGATTGACCGAGCGTGGACTGCGACAAAGCCGCTCCGGAACCCAGCGCCGTAATGGACGGGCAGGCTGCAAGACAAGGATATAGGGAAAGCTATGGGGTTGGTGACTTTCATAGTGCGGTTCTGGAAACTTGTTATAGACATTTTGTTAGCTTGTGTAAGAGTACTACAGATAGAATTGTATCTATGTCCGACAAACACAGCCTCTCCCGTTGCACAAGACTAGCACAAAGGGCTTAAAGCATAAATCTACGTAATACCTGTCTTGGAGTACCACACCGACTCGGAAATGTGCCTCTTCAGTATGTAGAAGGACAACAATACCAGAGAGTGAGTACTCTACCCGAAAACCTCTATACCGACAAGATCGGGCGCATACGCCGTACCGAAGTTGCCGAATACAATTGAATTCCCCGAGCCTACCTTCAGTCCATCAATCTCCACATTCAGCCTTCCGGTTTCGTACCAGTCCTCCCCAGACAGCGGGAACGCCCATCGCTTTGCTGAGCCACCGTTGACCGCAATCGTCATATTCCTGGTGTTAGAACCCCAGTCCCAAGCTGTTGTGAAAGCATAGTCATAGTTGATGAAGTCCACGCCAACCACTGCTTTCGTGCGCTTTGCCGAGACTGAGTCGAACGTAACCGAAGCACCGGAAGCGATGTTACCGACCTTCTTACCCGCAGGTAGACAGTCGCCAGACGAACAAGTGCTGACAGAAGATCCGCCGGCTAATCTGGCTGACGCAGCTTGGTAGTATGTAGAAGTTGGTGTGTTCGCCGTGGTAATATTGGAGAGAACCCACAGCTTCAACTCGTGTGCTGCAAGGTTTACCGTCTGTGTGCCGGAGAGTTTACCCGCCTCTTTAGCAGCCCACACGTCGCGTACTGTCGCGGATAAGATACCGAGACTCGTGAGGTCGACGGAGACAATTTGAGACTGGTTCCTCCAATTCGCGATGCCGATTACCTTCCGAGACCCGGAAAGCTCGCCCAGCCAGACGTCCCATTCTTCAACAGTATAGCGGCGCACGAGCTGAGCCTGTTTGGCAAGAGAGTCCTGGTTGATGGCGATGACCTCTTTGTTTGACATAATGGCAAGCGATGTTTTGGAGAGCTTGCTGTCAAGGATTCCGCCGAGCATTAGAGGCGACTTGTTGATCGCCCACATCCCGAAGTGGAAGCGTTCTTCTTCGGCGGATAGAACATTCAATCCAACACTAGTCTGGGTCAGTCTATGCCTTTTCTCTCGAAAAAGCGAACATACAGCAGCATGTCCATATCCGGGAATGCGCCGGGCCTGGTGTTTCTCCAATACGGCACCACCTGGTTTGTTATGCGCCAGATACTTCGCCACGCGTTGTATATGTCGTTGCTCATTCTCCATGTGTTGCCAATCTTCGATGCCCTGGATAAGTCAGCGAGGGTGCCTGAATAACTCTGCGATGACAACTGCCTACCACTCTCCTACGTTCTCTCCGATTCCCCACTGGCAGATAAAGTACTGAAAGGATCGATCAACGCTTTCCAGACTTGTCGCCATTTTCTGGAAGCGCGCAGGGGACTTCGCTTCTGCCGAGTCGGAGTCTACCATCGTGGTTTTGGATGTTGCATAGCAATTGTCATATCTAGCAATCGTCAGAAAACGACAATGATTCAGCTATGACCATCTCACTTCAATGAATCGCCACCCCATGAGCTGAAAGACTGAGCGTCTATGTCTTCATATCCTACACACTATTAGTAACATTGACCAATTTGCATGTTCTGCACGCACCCAGGGAACCCGGAATCACCGTTGAGCCGCACTGTAGGTATCCAGCGCCTGAGTACAAGCCGAATTTCAAGCCTAATCCATGCAAGTAATCGCCAAGTGCTTTTCCGCCCGACGGAAACAAAGTCGTATTCCACTGCAGCTTGTTGCTGCTGTCCCTCGAGTTGGCATTCCAGCCACAGTCGGGCGTGACAATATTGTATCCAAGCTTGTTTAGTCCAAGATCAACAAGGCCTTGCGCATTCAATTGAACCTTCTGTTCGGATGGATTGCAATTGTACGCATTGTAGGTATTCCATCCCATTGGTGGCGTCGGGGATTTGAGGCTTTTGGCCGAGACCGAAGAAGTCCATCCCAGCAGGAGCAGCGATAGTGGATACATAACTGAAGATTTTGCGAAGCTGCAAAGGTCCAAGTTCCACTTGCTTTTACATTTGTACTTTTCTGCGGCTTCTGGTGCTCCGTTGTCATCGAACGGTGCTGCATGTTTGTCGCGCAATGACTTGCATTCCACCTATGATACTTTCCATGGTCCTGGTATCAAGGTAGGTCAATAACCTAGTTTGCGGGGTAGTCGGTCTTGATGGCTAATGCGGAAGATTAACATCGGATGGTCGATCATGCGGCCGAGGAATTATGGAGAACGTGCAGAGATAGCCCGAAGTCCCGATGCGACATTACAACGTGGATGACGGGAGGAGACTGTGGTATCGTGGGTAGACTTGACTACTCCGAGGGAGCTGTTGCCCGAGATTGACTTTCAACGATACAACGAGTTCAAGCCATATCTCTTCAAGGGATATGCCTAAGCCTAACCTACCCATGCCGCAACTGAAAACTGTGTGATTGTGAATGCGCCCCAATACACGACCGCTCTGCGCGTACACTGTAGCATATTCTGATTCACAATTGTCTCGCTCAAAACGAAATTCAGACTTGAACGAGTACTGTATGCGAGGGGACACTTGGAGAAGATGGGCTATGGGTGATTTTAGGTCTAGCAACATCACGAGAGCCTGGTTTGCTGAGTCACGCGCGCCCCACTCGCCCCACGTTTAGCGTTCATCTCTTTGTTTCCTTCCCCAACAATATCGATCCCTGTTTGATAGAATCGCTGTCCGTATCTTCGAATGACCAAAGGTGCGAGTACCTCCTTTAGCTCTTCCATATACATGGAGACAAGTTGGGCTCCGATGCTACTTCACGAATATCGCCCAGGAAATCATCACACGCATGCCTGTCACAATGTTGTCGACGCAGCAAAGAGACTGAACATTAAAGTCAAAATTGTGGTTGCGACTCGGGCCAACATGGTGGCATATGCTTTCTACGTGGGCACCACACATGCCGACATCAATGAATTCGCCCCCGGCCTGTAGCTTAGGCCTTGATTGGCTGGGCTTGGATCTCGAGATTCCCATATCATCTCAGTCACTGACTTCTAATCGTCCCTTTTTCATGCCCATACGACCTCATATCACATCCTACCCCACACGATTGCCCCGCGGTGCGCTATTGGACACCAGGCGGCATTGTACGCTGTCCGCTCGGAGCTTTGAGTGACGGACCCAGGATCGAGAAATTACGATGCACACACTAATACCGATTTTCTGAGCGGCAGTTTCAACGTCGACAATGTATACACACTCCGACAGCCACACGATGGTAACGTATGATGTGCATTACTTAAGTGGACAATAGCCTGGGTGGATCTCGTCAAGCGGTCTTCCAACAAGTAATCGCATCTCCAAGTCACGCATCATGGTGGCTACCGTGTGCCTCGTTCTATTTTCCTCTGTATTGGTCACTACCTGGGCTGGACCAACCAAAAGCGCTCCATTCAGTCTCAACCGGTATCGTCCGACATCCTCCTAAGCTTTTGCAACGCGCTAACAATGCATATATCAGTCGGTCTGACGGGTTTCCCTATCCCCTTGATGAGGTGGACAAACTAGAAGAGGATTCCCTATCAAAATTTGAGTCTTATCTTGCAAAGAAGACGAACAACAATGGTTGCACCCTTGAGACAGCTGCAAAACGTCAAGAATGGTAAAGAAACCTCCGCTAGCTGAGCCCTTGATCTGATCCTACAGGCACGATTTGACGATCTCCCAACGTGAGGAGTACATTCGGGCCGTACTCTGCTTGCAATCCAAGCCGCCGAAAGCAGACAAGAAGAAGTACTCTGGCGTCATGAATCGGTACGACGATTTCGTGCTTACCCACGAAACCCAAGCGATGCATCTACACTCAACAGTACGTCCTCTCTAGAGGATGCTATCTCCAAATGATGGCTGATATTACCGTCCAGCCCCATCTTTTCCCAGCTCATCGCGTCTACATCTGGGCTTACGAAAAGGCACTTCGGGAAGAGTGCGGGTACACCGGGTACCAACCGGTGCGTTCGGTTGAGACCGCTTGTGGCTTGGTTTGCTGACATAACAAGTACTGGAACTGGGGTCGTACTGCTGCTGATCCTATCAGCTCACCGATGTTCAATGGCAACATGTCCAGTATGGGAGGAAATGGAGCGAAATCGGACTATCCAGGAGTGATGATCCATGGTGCAGGTTTCAAGCCACCCTATGACATTATCCCTGCAGATCTTGGAGGAGGCTGTGTCACGGAAGGGCCCTTCGCGAAGTTAGTCTCATTGCTTCGATGATAGTTTCATTTCTCACATTCGAACAGTATGACTGTCAGCTTAGGACCAATCAGCAAAATGATGCCGGATATTCCTTCAAACCCTCAGAAGGACGGCTACGGCCACAATCCACGCTGCCTTCGACGCGATGTCAACCGCTATGTACGTCTATATCCCTAGTTTATTCCTACCGTATACCCACACTGACGCCTCCGCTAAACCAGGCATCCGCAATGCTGTATGCAAACTATACATACAATCTAATCACGCAAGCCAACACTGTCGACCTCTTCCAAAAAAACATGCTGGGCATACCGGAGAAGAATGACTGGGGAGTACATATGTCTGGACACTACACTATTGGCGGAGACCCAGGTGGTGTAAGTGAGCGTCGTTCATTCGTACCTCTCTCGCACCTCTCGCACCTCTCTCAGCGATGAATAGATGAAATGCTGACCCAATATAGGACTTCTACAGTTCTCCCGGTGACCCTTTGTTCTGGTTCCACCATGGGATGGTCGATCGCGTCTGGTGGATCTGGCAAATGCAGGACCCCGAGAATCGGATGAATGTGCTTCCAGACACGCCAGCAAAAGACGATTATGTGGATCTCAATTGGACTGCTAATCGCACCAACACATGGGACCTCCTAGACAGCATTGGGGGCATGGGTGGAGAGTTCTGCTATATCTACGTGTGAGGATATGACGTCGAATGTTGAGGAGCATGCGATCATACTTGAATCCCATTACCACTTATGTATTGGAGACTGGGCTTCGGGAGAAAGATCAGACAGAACGTCTTGCTCCGGTCGCAAAGCTATCCTAGCGTCGTCTCGTATAGCTTGTTTCCAGACTTCTTCTCCCCATGCCGGCTTCCATCCTAGTGATCGCGCTATACTAGATCGCGTCTCCGCATTACTACACAGTCGTAGCCCCACTATATCCTCTTCGTTTACGACCTGCGGAAGATAAGTAGAGAATAGCTTTATCCCTTCCGCCAGCTCCACGTGCGTCAGCCCTTTTTGTGATACAAACCCTTCCTCGTAACATATATCCGCCACCTCTTGGGCCACCGCATGCCAGCTGTGCCGCCCGTTGGCGCTGAACATTATTCCCATCTTCCCACTCGGCAAGACCTTGCCTCTGTCCCTCATCATCTCTATTACCACAACCTTATACAGCTCCGCCAGTTCTTGCACGTGTACATGGTCCCACATGCCTTTCCCATCACCGATCACAACGATTTTCCCTTTCGCCATTGCGACCTTCGCCATGGCAGAGACTCGAACGCCGCTGCGCTCAAAAAGTCCTAAGCCGCGTCCGTAAACCATCGGATTCATAATGACCAATGTTTTGAGGCCTAGCTCAAGCCCCTTATGCACCACTGCGAGCTCTGTAGCACGCTGAGGATGACTCGACTTGGCTTCCCTCATAGATTCGAATCCATATATGTCGTCATTAATATCATCAAACTCTTTTACTGTGTCCCCATGAACCCATTTCCCCGAGGTCGGCAGATCGGCTAGGTTTTCAGTCCCAGAAGTATGCAGAAACCACACATCCTTCCCAGTATTCTTCTGTCTCTTTGCCAACCCTTCCATCAATGCGAGCGCAGAATGCTTGTGTGTCGCAGGCGCACAGTTGATAACAATATCGTGCTTTGAGGCGATCAAGGTAGCAAGTTCAACATCGTCCAGACACTCCCGTATGACTAAGTTGATGTCTTCGCCGTAGGCACGCATCAGCTTGCTTGCGCACTCGTTGCTAGGCACGAGGCATGTGATAGTCACTTCGTTGAGAGGGTGGACCTGATGCGCCAAGAGTGTAGCCAGGACAGTGCCTCCAATGTAAGTAGTCGCACCCGCCAGCAGTATCTGCGGAGGATGTGTCGGCGGGAAAGGGAGCGGATGTCTGAGAGGCATGTTGTATTTGGCGTGTTCGACCTGACGTCCGGACCCAAGTGATTTCTCTGAAGCACACACAGCAGGATTCAGGACATGGCTGTTCGCGGTGTAGTTTCAAACGAATTGGAGTAATCCCGTGCCATTACGCTTCCGTATCGTCCGACATGATCAATGATTGATTAGGCACTCTTTGATGAAGAGCGGAAGTTGCTAGTCTTTGTTCCGCTCGGCGGTTCCCCGGCGTGTTGGGATGATCAGCCATGTGACTGGATTGTCAACGTCATACGGCGCGTCACGGTGTGCTGAATTGTGCGCTACGCGGCTCGACCTTTAGAACTGTGTGTATAAGCCGCAGATAGGTAGTAGTTGCCAACAAAAATATTGGGAGAAGACTATCTCATAACGAAAGTCGCTGGTTTTTATGCGACATGGCAGTAACCCAGGGGGCTTCGACGCTACCATAGGTATACGTGAGCTACCATAGGTATATTCCAGACCACTCTGGACATGACTTTAAGCCTTAATGCAGTTTAAACACGTAGGCATCGAATAGCCTCACAAACAGATAAGTCACTCAGAAATCCGTGTCGGGACACCCCAGGGCTGTCATTGATCGAAGTTCGCCTGTACGGAGCCATAGTTGGTGAAGTGGCACAAGATGCGCTTCGCGAAAGCGCATTGTGAGGTTGTTGACATTATATAGCATGAATCACAGTTTTGGGCGATGCGTCCCGATATGATTGGCGCATCAGTTTTTTTGGGCCGGCTTAGCGCGCGCTTGTGGGGGCCGAATTCCAGCTTGCAATTCCTTCGCCCACTTATCGTCATTGTGCCTTTCGCAGCCCCTCCCTTCCAGATCGATGCGCGTCGCATCTCCATCTTGAGGCCAATCCTATTGCAACATGGATCCGATCTCCGGTGCTATGGCACGGGCAGCGGCGGAGAACTCTGAGGATGAGTATAAAGATGCCCATGGTGTTGATGTTGTCGAGGTCAATACGGATCGCCAAGACACTGTTCTCAATGTTCAAGTTGATGACCCTCAGCTGTCGGGTGGGACAAGGACCAACATCAATTTTCTCCAATCACGAATTGATGATGCAATTGAATCCAACAGCAACGACAAACCTCCGTCTTATGAAGGCCAGGGTGCGAAAGCCATCGAGGATGAAAAGGTTCAGGCGGATATATTAGATGATGTTGAGAAGAGCATGTTACCTTTCATGCCTCCTGCCTCAACGTCTCGACAGCCTTCAGTGGTAGATATGGAGGACGAGTCGGCTGAAGCTTCCCAAGAACCAATGTCAGAAACGGCAGAAAGCAGCACTCCCGCCGCCCTTACACTTCCACCAGATGAGGGAACTGAAAACATTCGGCGCTCTTTTGACGCGCAGCATTCAAATAAAGACCTGTCACAGCGCTCGCTAGAACCGGCAGATTTAGACATGGAAAATGAAAAGCCTCCTCCGCTTCCACCGCGCCGCAACGCATCGCCCCTACTGGCGCCAGCCAAACCTGAGCTTAAGAAGACATCTTCATGGGATGAAATATTCGCCCCCTTGGCGACCACATCTCCTTTGCCTCTCACCAACCTGAGCTCAGAGAATAACCGTTCTCAGGCTGGTGAGGATTCCGTGCCGAAATCTCCTCCACTTTTGGCCAAAAAATTATCCAGTCTATCTTCCCCTGACAATGGTTCAAAAGGAATTGCCTCTCCCGCCTCGACAGAAGAAATCAAACCCGGGAAGATATGGACTTCAGTACTGCTGGAAGAAGAGCAGTATATCGAACGCATGAACAAGTTTACGAACATATTCTACGGGGTCGTCATCAAGGAATGGCCGGTCTTAGAAAAACACATGGAGGCTATTGTTCTAGCCAGACAGCTTGCGCCATTGCATCAAGAGTATATCCTTGATGTTGTCAAAGCGCAGACTCAACAGAACCCGTTCGCTGTCTGCGATCCTCGTCTCTTCGCAACATGGGCCAGCAAAACATACAAGGTACTCAAAGAATATTCACGACGGTTTCCTCACGCTTTATATGCGCTTCGCCTCACCCAGAGTCGCGATAAGAAATTCGGTCCCTGCATTGAGACAATCGGTTTGAATCTGACCAAGGCTGGCCAGAGCTGGGAAGACCATCTTGTGTTACCCATTGCACAGCTCGATACGTATATCACAAAGCTGCAAGGTATAGCTCAATGGTTGGATGAGGGTTCGGCCCCTATTCTCACTAAAGAACAATCACGTGTCAAGGCGACCCTTGAAACCCTTCAACGCCTCAAAACACAATGTTCCGACTTGGCCGATAAGTCTATTAGCCAGGAGGAAATACAAAGTTTACATCGGAAAGTGCACACAGTCGACACAAGTCTTGTAGATGTACTGGAACTCTCTTCGCCAGACCGTCGCATTGTGTACCATGGCTCGACTGCACTCAAGCTCAATAACCGTGGCCCATGGAAGCCTATGCAGGTCGTTTTACTTGACAACTATATCTTCTGGGGAAAGCTCAAGTCCACGAAGGACACAAACCATAAGGGGATGATGATCGACAGTATTCGGGTGATCGAAAAGGTGAGGGTTCTTACATCCACAAATGATTCTTGACTTTAGACTAACATATCTAGCCTGTGCCTGTAACTCAGATAGCTATCAGACTACCTCTGGACTCAACCAAGACTCGCACATCCTCTTATCTGGACGAATTGCCTCGAGGAGTAATATTGTATGAGCTTTTCGTTGACATCAACGTAAAGCCAGGAAGCTTCACAACGCTCACAATAGGGACTTTTTCGTACGAAGAGAGGAGCAATTGGTACCAGAAGCTGAGTGAGGTAGCTGGCACGAAGTCCCCACAAATCCCTGAGTGAAAGTGATGGCACTCGGGTTGACCCGGCTCTCCGATAGGGGCAGAATTATTTGGTTGGTGTTCTTGATCAATCCACCAAGAACAAGTCTCATCCCCGCGACCTTATCCCTCAGTATTATGCATACACAAAGCATCTCAGAAATTTATACTATCGATAACCAACCAACAGGTAAAGGTCAGTATCCAAGTGAAAGAAAGCACAGTCAGGCGGCTGTAGGTCGCGATTCTACACTGAATTATCTCCGTGCGGTATAAGACTTTCCCTGCTTGAGTCCAGTGGTTCAAAGCTCCCCAGGCTAGACAGGAGCTTCGCCTTCGACAACGATCTAAATATTCTGACACAACTCGGCATGTCACGCGGAGAGGACATATGGACGCGTTGAGGCCGCTAAACCAACGGCGCAGCTATCAGGTCAGCTCCAAACCATGACAAAATCGTCCTGGATTTCTCCGGTCACACCATTTTTGCAGTACAATTTCTAGACTCGAACGAGGCGCCGAAGTCTGCGCCGAAGTGGTATCGCGTCCATCTATCTCCGAATGCGGAGCGGACGGCGCGGTTCCGGCCGGTGGTGGAGGTGTTGCTGAAGCATGGGAGTGTGCGGGATATGTGGAAGGTCTTTGGGGCGGAAAATCTGCTGAAGGTGCTTAGGGAGTTGGGACGAGAGGTGCGGGATCGGGAGCAGTTTTGGGAGTAGCCACGCACGAAGACTGGGAACCTAGATCAAGGTAACATAAACAATGAGGAACAGCAGCCAAACTCTTCTGTGAGGTATGCCCAGGTGAATTGATGTGCACGTGGATCAAGCTTTGTCAGACATATCTTCGGCCACGGAGATAGACCGTTGGAGCGGAAAGCGCCTGGGACGGATACAGGCAAGCGTGTTGCGAGAATGCCACCCGGCGTGGATGCTACCACGTGCTCATGGTACACAGTGAACAGCTGAATGGGAGGATTCAATTGAGTGTTGACTGTGAATCTAGGCTATCCCTCGGCAAGAAAAGCCACTCCGTTGTCGCAGAATGGAGATGCGCGGGACCTCCGCGCCGTAGCGCCATCGGCATCTTTTGTAAGCAGCAGGCAACCGCTGCATCATCGGGAGCTTTGACCAGGGACTAAAAGTCCATCGATTTACGTCCATCCGTCACCACTCCGACCACGCCCCTCGAATCCGTGCCTACGCTCTGCAGTTCCCAGAGTACGGCATTCGCAACCCCGAATCGATCAATGAGCTATCTGCAGACGCCTTTGCAGCCCCCGTCTCCGCTCGCGAACGGCTATCTCGAGGCAGCGAGCCACGGCCGCCAGCCCTTGTGCGGCAGCAGCGAAGGATGGGGGCCCATAAGTCGCGTGCGATATGACTTTACACCGTGTTTCCTCGACGTGTGGATAGCCGCCGTGGCGGCGGTGGGCATTGTGGGTGGAGCCGGCGCGGCGTGGTATCTGCTCAGCAAGTGCAGCGCGCAGCCGGTGAAGAAGAATTGGCACTTCTATGCAAAGCTGGTGCGCATGTCCGAATGCGCTTGAGGTGTGGAGAGACCAATAAGCTGACTAGTGTCGTGGTAGACTACGATCCTCGCGCTCGTCGTAACGACTGCCCTGCAGGCAGCCCTCCAGATCGAATACTACAAGGGCATCTGGGCCGGCGATTTCCGCTTCTGGGCGACCATTCTCAACCTTGTTTCGCTCGGCGTGATCTTCTACGTGCAGTATACTGAGCACTGGCGCTCACGCAATGCGAACGGTGTGGTGCTGTTTTATTGGCTCTTTCTGCTGATTGTATATGCCGTTAAGCTCCGGTCGTTAATCTCTCAGCAGATCCACCGCGAACATGTGGCTTATTTTGCCGTCTTCGCCGCCAGTGTTGGGTTGGCGGCAATCGAGTTCGTCCTGGAGTGGGCCATACAGAAACGACTGAGTGATTACGATGCGCTCGGTGACGATGACGAATGCCCATACGAGTACTCCGACGTCTTTTCCGTTCTTACCTTTGGCTGGATGACACCTATGATGAAGCGCGGGTACAAGACGTTTCTGACCCAGGATGATCTTTGGAACATGCGGAAGCGGGATACAACAAGGGCATCCGCCGATGCATTTGAGGAGGCGTGGTCCTACGAACTTGAAAAGAAGCACCCGTCGCTGTGGATTGCCTTGTTTCGCGCATTTTGGGGCCCCTACTTCCGTGGAGGGCTTCTCAAGACTCTCAGTGACACGCTTAACTTTGCCCAGCCGCAGCTCCTGAGACTCCTCATCACCTTTGTATCGTCCTACCAAACCGACAACCCGCAGCCAGTCGCGCGAGGCGCAGCTATCGCTATCTCCATGTTCGCCGTTTCCATTATGCAGACCGCGTTTTTGAACCAATACTTCCAGCGTTCGTTCGAGACCGGCATGCGTATCAAGGCGTCGTTGACTGCTGCCATTTACTCCAAGTCCACGCGCCTGTCAAACGAAGGGAGAGCTTCAAAAACCACTGGCGACATTGTGAATTACATGGCTGTCGATGGTCAACGTCTCCAAGACCTAGCGCAGTACGGCCAACAGCTATGGTCCGCACCTTTCCAGATCGTTCTATGTATGCTCTCACTCTACCAATTAGTAGGATGGAGCATGTTCGCCGGTGTTGGGGCTATGATTATCATGATCCCGATCAACGGATACATCGCCCGGCTTATGAAGACTTTGCAGAAGCAGCAGATGAAAAACAAGGACGCACGTACAAGGCTCATGACGGAGATTTTGAACAACATGAAGTCCATCAAGCTATACGCCTGGACTACCGCATTCATCAACCGCCTCAACGTTATCCGTAACGACCAGGAACTGAAGACTTTGAGGAAGATTGGCGCCACGCAGGCCTTCTCCACATTTACTTGGTCTACTACACCCTTCCTCGTGTCCTGCTCCACCTTTGGTGTGTTTGTGCTCACCCAGCACAAGTCACTCACAACCGAGATTGTCTTCCCAGCGCTTACCTTGTTCAACCTTCTGACCTTCCCTCTCGCCATCCTTCCAATGGTCATCACCGCGATCGTGGAGGCTAGCGTAGCCGTCGGCCGTATCACCAGCTTTTTGACCGCCGAGGAACTTCAGGAAGATGCTGTGCTTTGGGAAAAGGCAGTCGATGACATCGGCGAGGAGTCAATCCGCGTTCGTGAGGCAAGCTTCACCTGGGACCGACACGAGGAACGCCTCGCCTTGCAAGACATCAACTTTTCGGCCCACAAAGGCGAGCTTGCTTGCATAGTCGGCCGCGTAGGCGCTGGGAAATCATCTCTTCTGTCCTCGGTGCTTGGCGATCTATATAAGACCAAGGGAGAAGTAGTGGTCCGGGGCAAGACGGCCTACGTGCCACAGCAGGCGTGGGTCATGAATGCGTCTGTCCGCGAAAATATCGTATTCGGCCACCGCTGGGACGCCCAATTCTATGAGCAAACAGTCAACGCATGCGCTCTCCGCGACGACTTCGCTACGCTCCCTGACGGCGATCAAACAGAGGTTGGCGAGCGCGGCATTTCCCTGTCGGGCGGCCAGAAGGCAAGGCTTACCCTAGCCCGCGCCGTTTACGCTCGGGCAGACATCTATTTGCTCGATGACTGCCTGTCAGCGGTCGATCAGCACGTCGGCCGGCACTTGATTGACAACGTCCTCGGCCCGAAGGGGCTGCTGTCCGGGAAGACAAGGATCTTAGCCACAAACTCTATCCCGGTGCTCATGGAATCGGACCTTATCGTGCTCCTACGCGAGGGCAAGATCCTTGAAAAGGGCACGTATGACCAGCTTATGGCTATGAAGGGCGAAATCGCAAACCTGATCCGAACGTCACAGAACGAGGACCAGAATGAATCCGACAGCCGCGCCTCCGAAAGCGTCGTCAGCGAAGAGGAAACAATCTATGGCGGCGGCAGCCCCATGTCCGACGACCAGGACCAGGAGGAGGCGGAAGCTGCGCAGGACAATGCCCATTTGGCACCACTGCGCACCGGCAACGGCACGGCCCGCAAGTCTAGTTTCCAAACCTTACGACGCGCGAGCACGGCCAGCTTCAAGGGTCCACGAGGCAAGCTCACAGACGAAGAAGGGGGCAACATGAAGAGCAAGCAGGAGAAAGAGTTCTCTGAGCAAGGCAAGGTCAAATGGTCCGTCTACGCAGAATACGCGAAGGTCAGCAACCTGGTCGCCGTCGCCTTCTACCTGGCGCTGCTTGTTGGGGCGCAGACGGCCTCCGTAGGTATGTTTAGCGAGCGCGCACCCCGGCCCGCTCACATTCTCATCTTTTCGGTTTCCCAAAGATTCGTGGAGGGATCTAGGAGCTAGGCTAACGTACCCACAGGCGGGAACGTATGGCTCAAAAACTGGTCCGAATATAACCAGAAGCACGGCGGAAACCCCCATGTGGGCAAGTACATCGGCATCTACTTTGCATTTGGCGTGGGATCCGCGGCCCTTGGCGTCGTTCAAACGCTTATACTCTGGATCTTCTGCTCTATCGAGGTAAGTCTGTCCGCTCGACGATGTGGGAGTGGGAGGGAACCCCGCCCCGCGCATCGTCCATGCAAGCCCTCGCAGCCTGTGTGACTGACGCAATCTGTACAGGCCAGTCGCAAGTTGCACGAGCGAATGGCCTTTGCCATCTTCCGCTCGCCAATGAACTTCTTCGAGACGACGCCTGCGGGCAGGATCCTGAATCGCTTCTCAAGGTGCGTCTCCATTGCGTCTAGCTGCCGCATCTGATCACCTCCCCCCACCGATTCGGTAACTCGATCGGATTTATTCCTGAAACAGGATCTCTGTGATATCTGACTGACGAGCCTGCAGCGACGTCTATCGCGTTGATGAAGTCCTAGCGTGAGTTTCGGACCCGCTTGGGAGCGATCTGGAATAGGCAGCTAACGTTTCGCAGGCGTACGTTCAATATGCTGTTTGTCAACACGGCAAGAGGTATGTATAGTCCCTGCTGGGAACTCAGCGCGTGTGCGACCATTGACTAACTGCGGACAGCTGGCTTCACTCTCGTCATCGTGAGCGTTACGACGCCCGTCTTTATCGCACTCATCCTGCCGCTTGGCGCACTCTATCTGTACATTCAGCGCTACTATCTCCGAACATCCCGCGAGCTCAAGCGGCTCGATAGCATCAGCCGCAGCCCCATTTATGCGCACTTCCAGGAGTCGCTCAGCGGCATGAGCACGATCCGCGCCTACCACCAGCAGAAGCGTTTCGAGCTTGAGAACGAGTGGCGCGTAGACGCTAACCTTCGCGCGTACTTCCCATCCATCAGTGCAAATCGATGGCTCGCGGTGCGTCTGGAGTTCATTGGCTCGGTAATCATCCTGGCTTCTGCGAGCTTCGCGATTATCTCTGTGGCGAGCCATAGCGGCTTGTCGCCCGGCGCCGTTGGTCTCGCCATGTCATATGCCTTGTCAGTCACGCAGAGCTTGAACTGGATCGTGCGACAGACGGTCGAGGTGGAGACCAATATTGTGAGCGTAGAGCGCGTCCTGGAGTATGCGGCTCTGCCGAGCGAGGCGCCTGAAATCATCTCCAAGAATAGGCCGCCTATTAGTTGGCCGTCGCGGGGCGCAGTATCTTTCCATAACTACAGCACCAGGTACCGCCCTGGTCTTGATCTCGTGCTGAAGAACATTAACCTTGACATCAAGCCCCATGAGAAGATTGGCGTGGTTGGCCGTACTGGTGCAGGCAAGAGCTCCCTTACTATGGCGCTCTTCCGCATCATCGAGCCCTCGGAGGGTAATGTTAGCATTGACGACCTGAACACAAGTACCATAGGACTGCTAGACCTGCGGCGGCGGCTTGCCATTATCCCGCAAGATGCGGCGCTTTTCGAAGGCACTGTCAGAGACAACCTCGATCCGGGTCATGTCCACGATGACACCGAGCTGTGGAGCGTTCTAGGTATGCATGCAGCCCCGTTTGATGGTCCCCGCAGCTAACCTGTGTCACAGAGCATGCACGTCTCAAGGAACACGTTTCCAGCATGCCCGGCCGACTGGACGCTCAGATCAACGAGGGCGGTTCCAATTTGAGCTCTGGCCAACGTCAACTGGTCTCACTGGCGCGCGCTTTGCTCGCTCCGAGCAATATCCTCGTCTTAGACGAAGCCACGGTACGGTTATCCGCTTCCCCAGACGCGTGCGCACTCGCAGGAAGCGAGCCGCGAAGCGGAGTGCAATCGTTGGAGCATAATACTGACGTTCATGCCGTAGGCTGCTGTCGACGTAGAGACGGACGCAATGCTGCAGGCCACGCTGCGCAGCTCCATGTTCCGCAACAGGACCATCATTACCATTGCGCACCGCATCAACACCATTCTGGACAGCGACCGCATCATCGTGCTCGACCACGGAACGGTCGCAGAATTCGATACCCCTGCGGCGCTCGTACGGAGCAAGGGTCTCTTCTACGAACTCGTCAGGGAGGCGAACCTGCTCAGTTCGCTGGACGTTACGCAAACTTGAGTCATGCTTGCGCGGGGGCCAAGCGGTTGGATGTGCGTGGCCGCGGAAGTCTTCGCTCAGGGAAGACGGGCGGGACCGCGATTGTATATATACCCCTGCCTAATTTCTTTGTGGGACGGGAAGCGGGAATCAAAATAGCCAAGCGTGTGAGTGACACTAGTTCCCGTGATGCGTGATATGCGTGATGTGCGTGATGTGCGTGTCCGCTGTTCCTCGTCTGTGCTACCCGGGGAGAAGGCTTCTGTTGCATGGCGCTGTCCCATCTTCACCGCCGGCCCGCCGGATGCCGTTTGAGATTATACGAGCGAAGTGCACTTGGCGGGCAGGGGATGAATCGAGAGGTTCGAGCAGGTGATCCTCGCTGTCAAGTGAGGGTGGCTTGCGTCCCACTGCGAAGATGCCGCATGAGTGGACCGCCTTACCCCCGAGAAGCAGACGTGCATACTGTGTCTCCTGTCAACAGAAGGCGTTCTGTGGTGCCGTGACGTCTTGTATATGTCGGCACTTTGGGCCAATGTAGTTGTACACACACGAAGGTTCAAAACATAGGCGCAAGAGTGTGGGGGTGCTGACGATCGATGAGCCCATGCATTGTGGGCATGCCGTCCTCGGAGATCGATCGACTCGAAGCGAGGCGAGCTGCCAGATGGCCAGATTGCCAGATTGGAGACTCAATCGGTTAATGCGCACGCATAGACGGGGCTGCTGCGAAAATGGGGCAGTGAAGGGGATCTGGAAGATAGTGCAGAGCGACCGCTGCGGGCAGACCCATGTTGCATTGACCCCCGTCCGTGTTTGCGGCATTGCAGCGGGGGCTGGCCTCTGCGCACCCGATCCTTGCAGGGCCGTGGTAATTCGTGGGCGATTGAGACCGGGGTGGCTATTAGGGTGCTTCCTGCGTTGAACTGATGCTCGCTTGTAGGCTCATTACTGGGCCAGATCGTAATCGTTGAGCGATGCCGCAGACCGGGATCCTGGTTGAGCGAAGGAGCGAAGGGGAAGGGCCGTTCCTTGTGTGGGTCTGCGGCATGTGCGCGATCAGATGTGAGCGAGATGGGCTCCGGGAGCGATATCTGGGTGGGTTTCAGACGAGTGGTCTGTCGATAATTATGCTGTGTGAGCTGCAACGGTTGTGTGCTGGTACAATAACGTGGGATGGGGTTGTAGTAATAAGAGTGGGTATCCGTGTGGTGGTCATTGGTGGAAGTAGGCTGGCTGCAATGCTGCCGGAAGGGTGTGTCAGGTGTTGGGAGGATTACCGCGTGCCGCGTCTATATGTTTTCTTTTTCTAAGTGACAGGTGAGTGCCGGCAGCCTGACACGGTGATGGAGGCGAAGAGGTGTGGAACCTCAAACTGTGAGATTTTGAAGTCACTGCTCAGGCAAGAGGCTCTTTCCCTGTTGGTATGAGTCAAGAACGTACATCATGACTGCCTACGATTCACCTCAGTCCTTCCCAGTCCTCGGAGTAACAGCGTCGGACGCGGTGATCCCTGCAGCTCATCGTTTTCCACAAGCCTCGTCACGTTGTGCATCGTCCAACGCGACGTTGCGGGGTCAGGGAGCGCTGGCGAATCGGGGAACTTGGCTTGCCCCCAAGATGCAGCGATCAATAGCCAGCCACGGCCCGTTCAGGCACTGTCCAACGGCTGTCATTGCGCTTCGTTCTGCAGATCTATACTGAGCAGCATCAAGCCGACGTCGCCGCATGGCCCATGACCCCTGCTTTCTCGCCGTGCAGGGGGTTTCCTGGGGAAGCTGGCTGGAACTGAATAAGATTAGAGAAGAACAGCAAACGGTGAGCAGATCTCAGTCTAGCCCAGGTACGGACCCAAAGACAAGCTGCCCCAGCCTGCCCGGTCGATAGGACGTTTCTTAAGGCAGACAGCCCCCCTCAAGGTTCTATTCTCTATTCTTGGGCTATACTCAGAGTTCTGACGGCGTGATCTCTGTGCTACTTGTGCTCTTTGGAACCTGCGACCCTGTTTTGCATACCTGCTTTCCTCCTGGGGTCATCCATGACCTTTCTGGCCCCTTCTTGACTCGTTGGATCTGGTCACCGGACGCTCGCTCGCTACACTGGAACTCTGGAATTGCCGGTTTGCGACCTGATGGTCGGTTTGAGAAGAAGCTGATTTCGAATTTGCTGGACTGTCACTGTCGGCGTGTAGCCTTCGCCGGAACGCAACACTGCAACACGGCAACGGCTGGTCAGTCCGTGTCGTGCCGGATTCCATCTTTCCTCCAGATACGAGGCGTTACAGACGACAGAGTCGCTCGCTGTTTGGGGCTCTGCACGGACGGCCAGGTGAGCAGCCGACGCCATGGCAAAAGGAAACATGCAGCAGTTCATACACGAGCCATTCTCCTGCCAGACACGGCACGGAGCGACCCATCAGACACAGTGTGACGCGGAGATATTTTCGCTCGTGCGGAATTCGGACTATGTGCCGCCGGTAAGTTCATGGCATACCATTCCATGGCTTTCTTTCGGCGGGTGTCGTGCAGTGTGTTCGCTCTAGCGTCGCGCTGTCCGCAATCCACTGTGCCGGCGCCCTCGCCTACACGTAGCGCACGTCATCCGCCATCGGCCCGCCCCCAGCTTGCCGTCCGCGTTCGCGTTGCTGATCGGTTGAGCAGAAACCGTCCGAGTCTCGCGCTGGCGAGGAGCCAACCGCGCCGCTCGAGTCGCGGATCGCCTTGGGCTACCTGACGGTCAACGGCCGCGAAGAGCCCGTGTTCGCACCCATCCAGGGCTTCGAGCACTTATTTGCCCACGCCGATGTTGCCGCACCATGGCCCCAGCAGAGTGGAGAGACCCAAGCCACAGGTGAGCCAGCCGTTGATGCCCAAGGCACCACTCAAGCTGACCAAGAACCGCAGCGACGACAGCAGCGCCCACAACCACAACCACAACAACGCATCCTCCGTCGGTGGCGGCTCCGTCGAAGAAGTCGCGCATGAGGAAGAGACGGCGTACTCGCAGTCAAAGCCACCACTGTCTCCAGGCCAAGGCTGCTGTTGTTGAAGACTGTGAAGCCGCCCAGGTCCCCAAGACGTTCAGCATCGGGGACGTCAACTCGCTGCAGACCTTCTACGCCACGCGCTTTCGTGAGCTGACTATGAAGCCGATGCGCGACATAGTGACTGCTTGGGTGAAGAGACTTGAACCAAAACGCCAGAAGAAGTACGGACCCTACCAGCGTTACGACCTCGACCCACGCTCAGACAAAGTCAAGAGCATCAAACCTCGGTGGTGGCCGGCTGACATACCATATGTTGAGCCTTCACATCTCAAACTAGAGCGTGAGTCTCGCCTGCGGCAACGTGACGGCGCGCGCTGACTGTAGGCAGATCTGGTGCCTTTAGCTGTTGATTTCATGCTGGTCCACCGCCTCGTCGATGAAGAAGTTGGCAAGCGGAAATATGCTTCTTGGATAGATCAGCTCCAGATGGATGCAGTTTACCTCATCTCCTCCAAAGATACGGAGCATTTCTCGTCGTCCAAGGGCACAAAGTATAACGAAGCCATGAAGAGACGAGCCCTGGAGATCATATTGCCAAGGTAAATATGCCAATCGCAACGACCCAATTGTAGACACTTACCACGATTTAGCATATTCGACGTTGCCAAGTCTCACGAAGACTATATTGCTCAGTATGACTTGTACGAAGGCTCGGGGAACATGGACCCTGGCTGCGGGAAGCAGGTTTCATGGCTGGCTACTCCTCGACCTGACCGTGGACTCGTTTTCAAGCGTCGGGCTCGTCGGTCCATAAAAGTCGAACCACTGTCCGACGATGAGGGTGATCTGACAGAGGTGGACGAGGAAGCTTTTGAGCAAAGTTCGACATATTCGTCATTCCACTCGACCGAAGGAGCTTCTGAGCCAAGCTCGACAGTTTCGTCATTCCACTCTACGGAAGAAGCTGCTCAGCCAAGCTCAGCATTGTCGTCGTTCGGCTCAACACTGTCATTCGACTCAGCATTCAGCTACACCGAAGACGTGAAGATGTTCCCAGACGATTTGCGCATGGACCCATCACCTGCGCCAGAACAAACTTCATCTCAGTGTCTTTACCAGGCCCTCACTACCACCTCGGAAGGGACCATGGTCCCTACGATCGGTCGACCAATGGAACGTCTCCAAGGGTACGAGACAGATTCAAAGGCACATTCGGCCTTTGGCATGACCTCGTCCGCGACCGATCTGATCTCACACTGCCGCACAGGCCTTCCATACGGCTATTCTAATTACCCCCATATGACACAGGCTCCTTTTCCTGTTCACGAATCCAACGGCTTTTCTACTTGTGGTCCACTAGTGCCGCATAAGATTGCGGCTGTCAATGATCATGGCCTACCAAATAGCAGCCAGCTGCATGGCTTACCTCTGCAGCAGCAGCAGCCTACTCATAGCTATGATTCCCACGGACTGCCTCTTGCGATGGACTGGATCGATGAACTCTAGATTTCCTACTTTGCGTGCTAATTCTTGCCTGCTCTCTGGATGGCACACCTATCGAGCGACCCGGCGAGGCCCACGTCAACCTCCTACAAAACACCGTGCCTCCGACACGCGCATTTCGGTCGTTTTCTAGCATCATACGACAGCATTTCTTTGCCATGGCACCCCACGCTCTTTCGAGTCGCAGCCTGCTTCGGCATTCTTCCAGCGACATTTGGTAACTTGTCATTTTCATCGCATTATACCCGGTCACGCCGCCACGATGCCACGACGCCACGAATCAGTCAGTACCGGCAATCCTCAGGTGGACGCAACACGGATCAAAAAGGCCACAGGGCCACATAGTGGAAGAGAGACGGGGAGGAGCAAAGACTCGACCCGTGGGAAGTAATTTCGGTTTGTACAATAGGTGTTACAGTTGGCTGCATGTGTATGGGTTTGTACATATAGCTAGAACCGGCCCTAGGCCCCCCTAAACATTTCGGTTTTGTTACATGACAAAAAGATGAGCCTTTAGCCGTAGAATGCTCCGTTGCAGTCGCTTTGTGTGCCCTTTGTGTGTGTGTGTGTGTGTACGAAAGTACTCGGGGTCACAGATGTTGGCATGAATTTTAAGATCCCAGCTTCAATGGAATGAACATGGTCACGTCGTACGGTGGTGTTTGCTCCGGATTCTTCTCTCGCACCTCGATCATGACCCACTCAAAGGCGATTCCCGCAGCGGCTCCTTCTTCCATTCAATATGTAAGCGGCTTGAGTCGGTGTTTCCTCGGTTCCATGGCGCGTGATGCAGGGATCCCAGTGCACGTGCCATCGTGACCTATCGCATCACCGACTCTTTGTCGGTGCTCTTCATTGTCGCTCCGCCCAAGCAGCGCAACGCGCCAAAATCCACTCCCCTCGGCGCGCTGCATTGGGCAACCTATACTGACACGCTTCCTTGTCCGTTTAGCTCCACGCTCCCGTCATCCACACCTCCAGCGGATGAGCGACTAAACACTCGACTTCGCGACAATGACTGGAGGGCGCGGTCGCGGTCGAGGCAACGGCGGATTTCGAGGCGCAACTCGAGGTCGTGGAGGGTTCAACAATGGCACGCATACGCCGAATAAATCGAATGGGCTCGACGCGCTCACGGGCGGCACCGTTGCAAGACGGGACAATGGTCGCGGGAACAGCAGCGGTGCGGGCAAAAGTGGGCGAGGCGGCAGCAGTAACGCAGGCGGAGCAAAGAAGGCACAAGAGTAAGCTCTCACGCCTTGCTATAAAAAGCACATCAAGCGGCGGGGTGGGCCAGATTTCGCAACATGAAAGGAGTCGAAGAAAAAGACGTAGTACCACCTGGCAACGCGACGCGACAACGAAAGACGAGAACGAGGTCGATTGGCTCACCCCGCCATAGTTTCTAATCATTCTTACAGGCAGACTCCTGAGCCCGACGGCTACACTGGCATTCGATACTCCCCCACGCATGCGAACAACAAGGACCCTTTGAATTCCACACCGTACAAACGACACGAATATGAACTGCGATTCGCATATGTAAGGCGGACACCGAGGCACCAGTTCTACATGCTAACTTCGACAGCTCAAACATGCACAAGCGTTCAAGAAGCAAGAGCAGATCGCCAAGGGCCAGATGGATCCCGATGGACAGATGGACATGAGCCAGAGCGTCGATAAGCATGGTCTTTGCGAAGACTTGTGTCCCGAGTATGAACGAGTTCGACGAATCGTTCAGAACGACGTAGCGGCCCCCGAATATTCCAAGGAAACCGCCCATGGACCGCGTCTCCAGCGGGAGGTCGACGAAGGCCGCATGATTGCGGCACATCACCGGTCGTCCGCCGGTGAAGACCTCACACTCATGTCCGATCTTCGCACTCCAGCGGCGCTCCGTGTAGGTCACACATGCGGTCTTGATCAACCTGTGCTAATGTCATGCAGAGATCAATGGAAGCAATGATCAACCGGTTGAAAGAAGACTCGTTTGAATATCTTGATGGGTGGATATGGGACCGATCGCGAGCCGTGCGAGTAGAGCTCAGTAAGAACTACAGAAGACGAGAAGACACCGAATCATTTCTTGCCTGCTACGAGATGTGCATCCGCTTCCATTTGCTCAGCATGCATCAGATGTTGCGGAGGAGCGAGGGAGTCCAGTACGACCGACAAACCGATTGGGACCAGCTCGCGGCCTCTTGCAATCAGATCAAAGAGTTATGGGACAAGATAAAGGTGTACGAGCCTGAAGACGGAAAAACACCCTGCCCGCTTGAGGCGTCGCGTGTGGCCGAGATTCACGCCTACAACATCATTCTGGGCCTGAAAGAGCGCGATCACCGGGAAGAGATTCGTCGTCATCCTAAAGTCCGGGTTGCACAAGCCCTTGTCCGAGCCGCCCAAGATACGAAGAACTACACCACTTTCTGGAGAATGGTCAGGTCAAGCCAGGTTTCCTATCTCATGGCATGTGCGGCTGCCACCCGTTTCATGTCCATTCGATCAGACACCCTGGAAGCAATGGTCAAAGCCTACATGGTGCACAAACAAAAAGTTGACGACTGGACATTGGAGAAGCTCGTCGACATCTTTGGTTTTGATGACGTCGAACAAGTCCGCACTTTCTGCAAGGCCTACGAGGGCGAGTTCGACCTTAACGCTCAAGGTGCCACCTACTTACGACCGGAAACGATCACAATGCGAAAGGACCCTTTTGGCAAGGATCACTTCTTCTCGCAAAAATACGTCGAGTCCAAACGGGGCGGTCGTAATCTGGCCGCAGTCTTATTCGGATACAACCTGCCGCGGGCCGGCCAAGAAGGCCTGCTTGAACCTATTTCAAACCAAGATGAGGATTCATTATTCATCCCAGAATCCCGGACCTCATCGGCAGTCTCAAATCCCTTTGCAGCTGCAGCTGCAGCTGCGCGAACATCTGCACAGCCGTCTACGATGTTTCCTTCAGGCATACAACCAGGTCTATTTGATGCATCGAAGAATAGCGTCAAGTTTGCGCCAACACCCAGCGCTGCGCCCTCAACAACCCCGGCGAATCCTTTCGCCGGCGTTGCAGCCAAGCTTAATGTAAGCGGGCAACCAACGATACCCGCGGCTGGATTCCAAACAACATCCACCGGATTCCCAGCGCCCGCGACCACGGCGTCTCAAGGATTGTCTGCCAAGGCAAGTGCTTTCACGCCGTCTGCCAATGGGAACCCTTTCGCATTTTTGGGAGGGCAAAAGGCTCCCGATGCACCCACAGCTTCGAATGGCGCTGGAACATCTGTCCCTGGCGCGTCTATATTCTCAACATCAACAGCCCCCTCGAACACATTCACTGGGTTCACAATGCTGGGTTCTATCCAACCCACACCGTCCCCGGCTCCCACAAATGGGTTGCCTACATTTGCGGCATCTAGTGCTCCATCTGCTTCTTCAACTGGGCTTGGGGCGCCCACAGCTGGACTATCTTTTGCAAAACCTGCGGAGACAGCCCCCCCACTTGTCACTGAAGACGAACAACGGAAGAAGGCTCAGGAGGAGCAACGAAAGGCGGACGAAGCCCGACAGAAGGCGCAAGAGGAAGAGCAGCGCAAGGCACAGGAGGAACAACGACGGGCTGCGGAGGAAGAGCGACGAAGAGCCGAGGAAGAGCAGAGGCGGAAAGTGCAGGAGGAACAGGCGAAGGCACGCGTAGCCGAACAGCAACGACGGGCTCGGGAAGAAAAAGAGAGGGAACGGCTTCGCGCTCAGCAAGAGGCCGCACGTCAAGCAGAAGCTCAACGAAAGCAAGCGCTCGAAGCTCTGGCTACCAATCTGTTTGACGATCCGAGGGACGGCATGATGAAGCAATTCCTTGAGAACATGGTGGAAAACTTGGTCAAAGACACACAAGCAGCACTTCTTAGAGAACAACAGGCGCGGGATCGTGCCAGGGCAGACGAGATGTGGCAGCGGAAGCGTCTGACTCTCGCTCGCGCCGCCTTCTATCGGTGGGCGTACCAAGTTAACAAGAAGAAGTCGAGGGCTGAGGCGCGTCAAATTCGGGACCGTCGACGGAAGTTAAAGACTCAGCTCGAAGCTGCAAAGAGCTCAGCGGCGAGCTCGGCAGCCAGTCCACCAGCCCAAGAAGTACAGGTCGTCGCAAAGGTCCCCATTGACCAACCTGTTACTCCTCGCCCCAGTGGCCTCAACAATGGCGTTTCTAGGCGAACCCAGCCAACTCAGCCACGCGCACAGCGAAACCAACAAAATGACGAGTCGTCACCCCAACCCATTCGCGACTTCTCGAAATCTTACTACGAAGCCCGAGCACAAATCAACGAGAGGCGCGTTACCGTCGACCGCACAGAGACCGACTACTTCCGCCTCCGCGCCATGGGCATCGACCCAAACAAGCTCCGCAAACGCAGCCACGACTCCTCCGACGAAGAAGACGCTCCCAAAGCCGACAACAAGCGTGCCCGCACCTCAAGCTCATCGGCAGGTCAGCAAGCCCCTGTCAACTTCCGCAAGTCCCTACCGCCCCCGACCACAGACGAAGAGCGCCTTGCCCGCTTCCGCGCAATCAAGGAGTCCAATGCTAAACATAATCGCGGACACACGCCCTCTCGCTCTGTGGACTTCAACAGCAGTCGCATGTCCACCTCCTTCAACGCCTCAATGACGAGCCAGATCATCCAGCGCGCGCGGGAGTCTCTGGCTCGCTCACCATCCCAGCTGTCGTCGACGCCAGACAGAGGCACCCCCGGGCTCCCCGCCGACAAGCCTGCGTACTGGGCGCGCGCAAGTCGCTTTGTCCCGCAGCATCTGTACGGGCAGCCTGAGGCGATCCGAGCGTATCGCGCGCAGGTTGCGCCGCGGACGAGCTCGGTGCCGGATGCGGTGGGGACGTCTCAGTCTCAGTCTCTTGCAAAGGGGGGCGATGTTGCTAGGGTTTTGAGTGTGTCGCCGGGCTTTCTGTCCTCCCCGATTACATCACAACAGTCCTACTTCCCTGCCCAACAGCCGCAATCACAATCCCTCGTCGTTGAAGATGAGGCTGTGTTGCTTGCAGACGACGCTGATGGTGAGGAGGACGCTGGCTTTGACGATTACGGGGAGGATGGGGTAGATGAAGAAGGCGAGTTCTACTCTGAAGACGATGAGGAAGAGGGCGAGGGAGGGGAGTATTCTGAAGACGATGGAGACGAAGACGAAGACGAAGATGCAGAGCAGTGCGCGCAAAAGCCCGGCGGGACCGAGGACGACGCTATCGAGTTGAGCGACTAGCAGTCGCTGTTTTCGGGATTTTAGTCTGCCTGGGGACGAGGCACTGTGTGTGGATGTACATAGTCGATGCAATTCACGCGTCGAGAGCTAGCACACAAGAGGAGGAGGGTAACACGGTCGCCATTGCTTTCCCTTTCATTACGGATTATCTGCATAGCGACGGCGTTTTGGACCAACATTACAACACGGGTGCATACTGGCCGGGAGGGGACGTCTCTGTCTTTGACGTCGGCAGAGGTTGCCAGACAAAAACACGGTCATGATACCCACGTTGTCGTCGGGAGGATTTGTACAGTATAGTAGCTAGCAAGCCCGTTCAGACGAGCGCGAGAAGAATGTACAAAGCTCCTTTCACATCCTCTCTTCGTTCTTGCGGAGGCGTTTCGGGCCGTCCACCTTCGGTACTGACCCTTCCTTTGCTCTGGCAAAGCAGCAGCCAGACTGCCGCTCTGCTCCAACACCAGAACCTGCCATCAACAGATACTTGTTGCACATCACCACCCTACTTTGATGCTCACCGCCTACGATCCATCCATTCACCCCCTTCACCGCTCCTTGCCCCACCCCGGGAAGTCTCCTCCGCTCGCCGACCCGGTCAACGCGCGCACGCACACACTTAGACGGAAATATTCCCTTCGCGAACCGCCCCCCCCCCCCCCAACCCAACGGAAATACATGCACAGCATACCCACGCACAGCATCTCCTCACACTTCCCTGGAACCACCACACGCAGATGCCTCCGCTGCCAGTCAATCCTTCCACTGCAGGCAGGGGCATCTCGGAGGGACCTCTGGCTGCCTCTCGAGTCTCGACCAATGCCGAACATGTTTCAGATCCATCCCCCAGCGCGTAGGTCCTGTTCCCAGCGGCCCGCATCGGCGCTTGTCCCTCCTTCTCCTAGCCGCCGGCTTGGCATGTAGCGTCGTGCAGGAAGGTGTGGGGATTGACGCTGCTCACGCTCGTAGCGCCGGGCACAGAGTACCGTAGGGCAGTTGGACGTCGGTCGGGGGTGCGCTGGCAGAAAAAGCAAAAGAGATGCGGTGCGGTTCCGGGTTCTAGATGGGGAAATAGGTAAGTGATTAAACGGGATGGTGATGGGTGGCTTGAGGACGATGCCAATTCCGCGGTTGAGGTGTATATTTTCGGGAACATGAGGTGTTTGTGTTGTATATTGCTGCTCGCCGACGACTCCGGCCTCGCCATGCGCTGCACGTATTCTGGAATCTGGATTGCATGACGATTCACGACGTCCGAGCACCTTCGGACCCAGTTCCAGCCTCGTCAATCTGCCTCGCATCGCATCCAGATTGCAGCGCCGGTCACATACAGAATCTGCACTCCACCGCCTACCCATGCGCCTGCTATCCAGGGCAGCCCTGCGATGCAAGCGTCGTGAAGCGCTGCACAGTTCGCGACGCTGTCCAACGCCAGGGTGGGGCTTCCGTTCGCGGCGCCCTGCAGGAGGACGCGCGGGGAGTGTTGTGCATTGTGTGGCGCGGCACATGAACCTAACAGTCTGGCGTTTTCCCAACAGGCTGTCTCTGTGAACCTGCATTGACACAACTGCATCGACAGCATCGGCGAGATGTCGCTTGTGGAACCGAGTCGAATCCAGCCTCGTCATGTTCTGCACACTGACTTCATCGGTCCTCGCTACACCCCTGCCACGCAGCCCGCACACGCATTTCCACCGATCAATTTCGTCAATCTTCGTATTGCATGCGCGAACGGTGAGCGCGGAGGCGGCAGATGCACGGTAGTGTAACATGCCCATTGACTCCCGCTGGTGCTAGATGGCAAAGGCGGCACGGGGAAGCGGCCTGCTCTTGCGCTGATGGTAAACGGTGTGGGGTTGCTTGAGACATCTTTGTAGCTGGGCCGCACGCGGCGCCACAAGAGGTCTAGACTGTGGAGTGCGAGATGGGTGGACAAGAATGTTCTCCGGGGACGACGCAGGCAGACTGATCTGAAGAGGAAATGACTGATCTGACGAGGAAATTAAATCGAGCGAGAAGTGGGATAGAGGCGTGATCATGAAGACATGGATATCACCTCCGCCGGGCAGCTAGCTAAATCGCCTTGGCCAACAGTGCGACGGTATGCACTTGTGTTTATAGCTCACATCGGCCCCACCAGGACTCAGAACTCATTTAGATATAGCATCATACCGATCGTGATTTCTACCGACTGATCTCGTAGCTCGCAAGATGCATGTCGAACTCGAACTGATCTCGTAGCTCGCAAGATGCATGTCGAACTCGATATGGACTATACGCCCTAGCGTGGTTGAACTGCAGGAAAGAACCGTGGACCCGAGTATCCGTAGAACTGGACGCTCTCGATGTCGATATTGCCGTCGTGCGTTGGGCTCCACAGCTTCAACAGGACGTGCTTCCCTGAGCTAGTGAGGCGTTAGCAACTCTGCCCCAAGAAAGCGCAAAGTCAGCTTACATAGCAGGATGGAACTTGATGGTGATTTTGTTCTTGTGACGCGCAATGAAAAACCGGGCTTGGGGTTGGAGGATGTTTGCTGATTCTGACCGGCTATGCTTGGGCTCAATGCGACTTGGGTTGCGAAGACGCGTAGCCCTTATCGGATCAATGTTGTGAGTGTGATGCAGACTCCTCCACCTTTCAGCCTGCTCACGCAAAGCGCGGAGACGAGGAGACCCCAGAGGCTCCGCACGCCGCAGAATGGCGGGCGGTTGATGGATAAAGTCCTCGTGGTCGTCATCGTCCTCGCCTTCAGAACGGTAGCGACTTTCGCGCCTGAGTCGGTCTGCCATGACAGCAGCGGAAGGTAGTGCTTCGCTCTCTTCTGAGTCCTCGGGTTCACTCTCCATAGTAGTCGTAAAAGGGGGTGGTGTCGGTGCAGAGATGCCCGCGGCGTTGGCGTCGCCCTCTTCGATATGGTAGGGACATTCGTTAACAAAGTCTCCCTCATCGTCGATGCCGAGTTGCTGATCCGATCGGTCCCGTACTACGCTTGCTGGGCCAGCTGTTCTTGGGTATCTCATGCTCGAGGTTTGCTCGGCCCGAGTTCGGCGAGACTCCATCTCAAACACGGCCTGGCGAGTCCGCTCCCAGACTGCCTCGTCTTGCATGGCTTCTTGGAACGATATGAGTTCGCCATCGTCATCAGGTCCAGAAGGGACATTAGAGGAGGGGGTCGGCGGTGAGACAGTGTCGGCGTGCGGGTGGTATTCGATTTCGTAAGCCGAGGTGCCAGAGAGCAGTTTGTCTGGGGACATGGCCACGAACACCAGACCTTCCTGCACAGGAGCCGTGAAGCCTCGATCTGGTGCGCGGATCACCATCTTCTCCAAACAAAAGGGCATGTCGCCAATGTGCCTGAGCAGGATGTTGCACCTCCCGCTTTGACTACAGTACACGCTCTTGTCGTTGTTCAACACGTTCTGGACCCTATATAGTGAACTATCCCTGTCGTATTCACCACCGTCGCAACTGGCCACCTCCATGCGGAGCCTTCCACAAGCCACCTGGCCCTTGTAGCCGTACTTGAAGCCGTCATACTCGGAGACCGGCTTGACAGAGTGATCGAGCTTCCTCTTCTTTGTCTGTCTGCGTGGGCCGTCAAGGGCGCTGGGCGGGCTGCGCTCTGGGCGGGCGGTGTGGAACGAACTGAGCGGGTGGTCGCTCAGGGAGTGCAGCACGTCGGTGGCGGGATCTTCGATGACGGAACGCGCGTCTCTCACGCGCTGGTGGGCGCGACGAAGATAGCGTTCGCTCGGTGTAGCACTGGGTCTGCCGAAGCCTGGTGAGAGTACAAAGTCAGCCGCGATTGAGTGTACGGGACTGGACTCAGCCTGGCACGCAATATCCATTCCAAAGCATGGCGCGCCGGCTGGGCCGTCTACGTTGCCCGTTGACAGTACGTACTACTACGCGGCCCATGGGCGACTTCGGGCTCGCGCTCGGCGTGAAGAGGCATCCGAGCAGCACGAGGAACCGGGCGGGCCGTCTGCCGGCGCCGCGAGGTGGCATCCCTTGGCGACGGCGGCCTTCTCTGCGAGGCTCCGTGGGCAGCGCCGGCGGCGGGGAGCTGGCGGCGCTGGTTTATGAAGTCGGTGAGCTGGTTGATGCGCGTGCGAGGCGACGTCCGGGGCGGATAGGCGGGCGGCGGCGAGGCCGAGGCCTGGGGGAAATCGAAGCCGCCCGTCGCGAAGGGCGGGGGCGACGGCGAGCTGGGCTGGGATCTCGGCATGTCGTGCGGTGTGCCTCCGGGCGGCGACGAGGTCGGGAGGGAAGGGGATTGTCGGACTGCAGTGCGTGACGGCCGGCCTGCGCACCCCACATCGCCCATCCGCCCGTGCGCGTCACTAGTGCGGCTCTTGCCTCTCGCTCCGGAGCGCTTTCCTCGCCGCGGCAGCCAATCGCACCCGGCAGCGTTCTGCGCAGCCCAACACCCGCTTGGAGGCTGTCTGCGCTTCTCCCCGCACTGCACCCAGCACGCATCGCTGAGCCCGCCGACATGGCCGACCCCGCTGCGACGCTGCCCGCCACGAACGGCCAGGCCGCCCTCGCTGCGCCCGATGCCGCCGGCGAGCTCGCCGCGTCCATGGCCCAGGCCGCGACCGTGTCCGCAGGTGTGCTTGCTCCCTCCCCCGCGCGGCGCAATCGCTGACCCCCCACCAGATGAGATTGCCCTCTACGACCGACAGATCCGCCTCTGGGGCCTCGAGGCGCAGAACAGGATCCGCAACGCCAACATCCTCCTCGTGAACATCAAGGCCCTCGCCAACGAGATCGCGAAGAACCTGGTGCTGGCAGGCATAGGCTCCATTACACTCGCCGACCACGGGGTAGTCGCCCAGGAGGACCTCGGCGCCCAGTTCTTCGTCACCGAAGCCGACGTGGGCAGCAACGTGAGCGCGTGCCATCGCAGCCATGTCTCTGTGCTGACGAGCTCCAGCGCGCCCAAGCAGCGGCTCCCCAAGTCCAGAAACTCAACCCCCGCGTCAAGGTCAACGTGCTCACCCACGACGTGTCCAAGGAGACCGACACTAGCTTCTTTGTGCCTTTTGACTTGATCATTGCCACTGACCTCGACTTCATCGGCCTCACCAACATCAACAGCTGCGCAAGAATCGCCAACCGCCCTTTCTACGCAGGAGGCACCCATGGCATGTACGGATACATCTTCGCAGACCTGGGCCAGCACGACTTCGTCATCGAGCGCGAGGTGTCCAGGAAGACGGAGCTCAAAGCCGAATCAGCGACACGGTCCGTAACCGCCGTCCGCTTCAAGAAGGAGAACGGCAAGAACATCGAGCTCGTCACAAAGCGCGAGCTGTACACCCCGCTGCTGCTGTCCAACACCTCGCCTCTTGCCCCGGAGCTGCAGGGAAACACCCGCAAGCTGAAGAAGGTCCATCCTCTGCTTACCTGCATCCGCACGCTTTGGGAGTGGCAGCGACAAGGCAACGGCAGTCCACTCGCCGCGCTGCCGGCCTTCACCGCCTCCGCCATGGACCGACACAAGGAGCTCACCCTGCCAGCCGAGACGCTCACCGGCGACTTTTTGCGCGACTTCCTCAGCAACCTGGACTGCGAGATTGCACCGGTCACGGCCTACCTCGGCGGACAGCTGGCTCAGGATGTCATCAATGTTCTCGGCAAGCGAGAGCAGCCCATCCAGAACCTCATGCTGTTCGACGGCGAGGATAGCTCGGGACCAGTGTATGCCCTCCACCCCATCTTCGTGAATGACCCTGTGCCACCGATTGTGCCCCTGCCTGTCGACGCGCCCATCGTGTTGGCTTGATTGGGTTGCTAATTGGGTGGTGCAGGTACTGTCTTTCTAACCGACACCCCGGGAAGCTGGCCATCGTCGACGACTCCGAATCCGTGCTGAGGGCATTGGTGGCAGGTCAGGTTCAAGGGCAGTCTCCGAGTCACCTTTAGGAGCGGTTGGATAATATTTTGCCTTTCATGGGGAGTTCATGGTTATCGGAGATACCCACTTGACAGCGCGCATGCGCGGGGGATCGCTGTGCGCGGCATTGCACTGCTTTTACCGCTTGATCAGTGCATCACCCGTCTAGGAAGAAGCTGGGACGCCCAGACTCGAGCACGAGGCAGTTTCTGATGGACACCTCATTTCCGGCCCTGTCGGACTTGAGATTGACAGTAGAGAGCTTGCGGGTCGAACACTCGTCGACATAGGTGAATTATGCGCCGCTTGGAAGCAACGCTTCGATAGTATCGGTCACTGCTACTCAATACCACTACTGCTGCATTTACACATTTTGCATCTATTGCACCATCAAATACGTGGCCAGTCCACGCCACTCTGATGTCAACCTAATCGCCTGCCAATCTAAATCTCCCTCCCACCTCACTGCGTCTTCTTGTCCTGCTGCACCTCTCTCTTCCCCCCACCGCTAAACAGCACCCAACACAGTCCCGCAAACGCCGCCACCACAACCCCAATCGTGCCCATCTCGACCCACCCCGCCGCACTCGTGTCCAGCACCGGGACGGCGATCCAGCTGACCAGCTCCGCCGTTCCATTCCCAGTCGCTGGCGGAACGTGCATGAATCGCGTGCCCGGTGCGAAGGCTGTCTCGTAGCCTAGGTTTACGCGGTCGAACGGGTTTCCGCTGGGATCCTGGGCCATGTCGCAGGCCCAGAAGACGACGGGCCAGGGGGCGGGGACGAGGGTGTGTGCGCGGGGGGCGGCGGGGAGGTAGCGCAGGTGCAGGGGGATGGAGGCAGTCGTGTTCGCGTCTTTGGGACTTTGTTCTGGGAGCGCGAGTTGGACGAGCGCAGCGGAGCCCCACTGGGGGACAACCCAGTCGGGGGCCTCGAGGTCGGTGGCGCCGGTCACGTGGCGCAGGGACACGAGGTTCTTGGAGGCCAGGAACAGCGGGTCGGAAAACTGGTAGCGGTCGAGGAAGAGCGCCGAGGGGAGCGTGAGGTGCGCGTACAAGCCGCAGCTCTCGTCGGGCGGTGCCAACCTCCCCGCAGGAGAGAAGCTGAGTTCGAGGGTGGGATGCAGACCCGTTGGTGTCGCGAAGCTGGCGCTGTAGGCGAGATCCCGAGACGAAGCGGGAAGCGGGTAGTGGCGTGCGGGCGCCTGGAAGCGCGTGGGTTTGGGCGCGGCGTCGGGGCCGAGGGTGGTTAGGAAGCCGGCGAAGGCGAGGTCCTCGGGGTCGGGGTTGGGTTCGTGGGTCAGGACGCCGACTTCAGTTGTGTCCCCGGGACGGTCGGGGGAAGGTGCTGGGATGAGGGTCTTCCAGCCTGAGGAGGGCGGGGTGGTGAGGGATGTTAGGGTTAGGGTGCGCGAGGAGGGGGTGTAGTCGATGTCGAAGGAGGAGGCGTCTTGGAGCGAGGCTGCATGGTCTGCACACTGGGATGATGCCGAGCAGAGGTTTGAGGATAGGAAGGAGGCGAAATGGGTGAGGTGGGGGAGGTAGGTGTAGTATTGTAGTGAGGCAGAGGCTGTTTGCTTCCCATCTTCATCTACTTGGAAGAGTGGCGTTGCGACCTCGTTTGCGTCCGGTCCAGACGAACATTTTGCTGCTGGATCGAAGAACGTGTGTATGAGTTCACAGAGCTGTCCCGTGGTCTCCGATTTGCGCCGCGTGAAGGAGACGTGGAGGCCTGGAGAGACACGTGATGTGAAAGGTGGGATGGCGGTGTATGGCTTGTGAGAGGCCCATTTGATGTGCAACTCTCTCCATTGCTTGAGTGAAGTACGTAGCTACATAGCATCAGCCAGAGTCCTCCATACTGGGTGAGCGATGTTGACAGTACCTCTGTGGGAAGCTCATCTAGGGTGAAGGTAACGCGGTGTTCCTGTACAGCTTTCAAGCCTATCAACGAGAGAGACCCATCCTTGACTTGCAGCTGCTCTGGGGTGAAGGAGTCTGGGTCTTCAACCAAGTAGGTTATTCGCTGTTTCATTGTTGGTGGGATGCAGGTCAACTCGGAAATGCTACATGCACATGTGCACGCGCTCACGCGATGCGGTAACGTACATGCGTCTAACCCGATCAAGACGTAAGTTACTAATGACCTCATAGCGTCAAAGCCTCGCACTTCACAGTTCGCCATCGTCCCAAGCTGCAGCCTTGCACTAGAAACACGTCCACCGTGTCCTCTGTGCGTGTCGCCACACATGGCCTTATAGCCTCACACCTCTACCCATACTTCGACACTCTCGCTCGCCAAAGCGCGCAACCCATCATGCACCCCCTCACGTTTCTCTCCACCGCGCTGCTCGCCACAACCTCTCTCCTCTCCCCCACCTCCGCACTCCGCTCCGACAAAGTCAAACTCTCCAAAATCCAGTCCCTCACCCTCCGCAAAGACGCGCCCACCAGCCACCGCCGCGTCTCCGCCATCCCCCAGCTCAAATGCATTGGCGGCTCCGCGCGCGGGCACTACGAGGTCGACGTCATGCGGTGCAAGAATAGCGGCGCCGACTACGACGACGAAGCCATCCAGTGGACGTGCACTGCGTCCCTTCCCGAGGAATTCAAGCTGGGCTCGACAGACGTGATATGTGAGGGGTACGATTACCCCGAAGACCCATACATCCTAAAGGGCAGCTGCGGCGTGGAATACAGGCTTGTGTTGACGGAGAAAGGCGAGGAGAAGTTCGGGCGCAAGAAGCCGTGGTTTGGAGGCGATGACGATGGCGAGGGGCACCACAAGACGACTGGCGACAAGGTCGTTGCGTCGGTGTTCTGGCTTATCTTCATTGGGGTAGCAGCGTGGATCGTGTTCAACGCGGTGCGTAACTGGGCCACAGGGCAAGGCGGAGCTGTGGGCGGCAATCGACCGGGCTGGGGCGGCGGTGGAGGCGGTGGATGGGGAGGTAACGACGACGATCCGCCGCCGCCGTACGATTGGCGCCCAGGACAGGGACGTGACAAGCGGAGTTATGGCAGCACGGGAACCCAGGGGTGGAGGCCGGGAGCTTGGACTGGTGCTGCCGCTGGAGCGGCGGCTGGGTACGCGGCGGGGAGGATGGGCGGCAGGAGCGGCAATCAGACGGGTGGCTCTGGCTGGGGAAATAGCGGCTGGAATAACGGAGAGGGGAGCTCGCGGTCGTCGTCTGGGAGTTCGAGTTACTCGGGGACGAGACATGAGAGCACGGGCTTTGGCTCGACGTCGAGGAGATAGGCGGAGAGGTTCACTTTGGTTCGAGATTGATACCCAGCCGTTATTACTACTTCCATTGGCAATTACATGATAGAAATATTAGCAAGCAGTGACACACAACGCCCCAAACGCCCGCCGCCCAACTGACCGAACAAACAACCCAAACGCTCACGCAGAGGAACAGAAAGCCCAACAACCTGGCAAACCAGCACCACACCCCATGTGCAATCAAGGGCCCCTACACGCTTCCCACCAACCACGGCACATCCCCATCACCCCTCCACACAAGTCAAATACCACAACTCCTTCCCTTTCCCCATCCCATCCACCTCAATCATCAGCCCATTCCTCGCCACCCTCTCCACACACCCCTTCGCCTGAGCCCTCAACTCCCGCATGTCATTCCTCCAGTCCTTTCACTCCGATTTATCACCGACTCCAGCATCTCCCAAATATACTCCGTAAACATCCAATTCCAGTCCCCGCGGTGGATCCGGCGATAGAGACGCCCGAAATGCAGAGATGGGGAGGCGTACTTGGAGACGTCGGAGATGTGTTGCGCGAGCTTGTCTCTGAAGAGCTGGACAGGCAGCCACGACTCGATCTCGGAGGCGTTGCGGGGGTCCAGGTGGCGGGGTTTCTGCTTGAAGGGGTCGGCAAGGAGGGTGACGAGAAGCAATTCCCGCTCGACTTCCGCGCGGAGGGTAGCTAGTTCGGCAGCTTTCTGCTGGATGAGATGGTGGATGGGCTCGGGGATCGCGGTGCGGTGTGCGGGCCAGGGCATCTTTGGGTGCGCACCCACGAGGTGGATCAAGCACTCAGTAGATCAAGCACTCGGTGGAGATGGCGCGATTCTCGAGGGCGGGCGAGAGGTGCAGCCAGCGTGGGGGGTCCTGGGCTATGGCGATCCAAAGGTCCTGGCGGTAACCGGCAAAGATGATGACGAGATGGGCCTGTAGCAGGTGGACGCAGCCGAGGTCGGTGGCGAGCTTGATGAGGGCTTCGGATTGGAAGAGGACGGTTGAGCTGGATGTGGCGGAATATATTGTAGAAGGAGGCGAAGATCTGTGTGTAGCAGGCGATGGTAGTTGAGTGTTTAGCATCATTCGTAGTAATCACTAGAGTAGTAGACAAGGGAGCAGGAAGGGTCAGGGTTGCAGTGTCGGATAAGTCCTCGATATTGATATGTGTTCCGTCGATAATTTGAGCAGCCTGGTGTGAGAGTGGGATGGTCACCTTTGGCCGGCTTGCAGACGAGGTCGACCTTGCTGTCAGCCTCCTCGATTGCGAAGTGATACCAAGTTTGTCCAGGCTGCATCTTTGTCGCAATGGACGGAGAATGTCGGCAGAGAACAGGGATATGCAGTTGGAAGATTTTGGGAACAGGACCGAGATTGGCAGTGATGATTATTGAAAATGGGGAAGGCATCCGGGGGCTGATAACAGACCAGTGCGCTCTCGCTGAGTGAAGACAGCAGGATCTAGTCTATCAGTCGGTGACGACTGATTATCTTCGATATACGTACCGCATTTCCGTATATTAAAGACTCTTATATCCGTGAACTAGGAAGTCCAAAGTCCTCGTGAACCGTCGTCTTCGAAGAGGCTAGGGTCAACTTGCGTGAATCTACCAAGAGGGGCGAACCGGATCGCTTCGTCATGACTTCCAGACTAGCAGAATTGAGGTTATCAAGAAAGGTAGTTTAGCACATGTTCGAAAAAGTCTATCGTGGAGAGGATGGAGAGAGTTGAGACCAGAACGACGGTAGGTGAATTAATGACCTGCTCATATAGCCGTGAGTGGGCAGCCAAAGTGAAAGAAGGCTCAATGATTGTCCCTCACGTATGAGCCTGAGAGTAGAGCGTGTCGTTGATGTTCACGTGATAGGTCATTGGGGTAGAGGACAGCGAGGCGTGAAGACTGCTCTTAAAGTGGAGAGCAATGTTCAGAAGCCCAATCAAAGGGAGAGCTAGCTGAGCAAGTGGCCATTTTGTCAAAGAGAGAAGATCTGAGCGGCAGGGGAACAAGAGTACCAAGCATCGTGGTGATCGTCATGTCGAATGTTTGACTCTCTAAATGCCAGGTAATCTTGCGGCTGGGTTTTGAACAGGAACCGACCATTATGTTCGAACAACTCTGGTCTGTGCACGAAATAGATGGCTTAGGAGGCATTGTACAGCCTACCAGGATGACCGTTGAGGAGTTTGATCCAGCGAGCAATTTTGCCGTTGCTGACTTGGAGAGATTAGACCAGAAGGTGGCGGTTAAAGAGGCGTCTTCTTACCTCTAACTTCAGGTATATACGTATATCCCATGGTTATCCTCTTTCGATGTGTATGGATGGCAACCCTGGTGCCGAAGGTCTGACTACAGTACAAAACGATCTCGCGCCTGTCTCGCAACATCTATCGTGACACCTGTCTTGGGAGTTCGAGGTTCGTCTGTGTCGATCTTAACGTCAACTTCATGAGTCTACACCAGATGACTCCCATGTTTGACTTCACAATCGGCTCCTCTTCCTCTTGTCTCGGTACAGTCGTTCTCAAGGCAACGGCGATGCTGCCAGAAACATCACTTTCATACTCTCTAGCCGAGCCATTATTCAGTATGCAGTCATCGGCTCGATGGTCCAGTTCCACGGTCCCTCGGCTACGGCCCACCTCCACCCTTCCGGCACAATTTGAGTTGCGACCTCCGTGTCAGTGAACCCAGCGACCTTGCGTGCACTGAGCAACTTCAAGCGGGTGGCGCCTTCATGTTTCCACAGCCGGAAGGAAACCCCAAACTTCTTGATAACCGAATCCCGTGGTGCCAACTTTGCCCGATCGAGAACCCAGTCGTTGTGCCATTCATACGGTTTCAGATAGCGAGTCGCTTTGAGACCCGTTTTCGTCCACACAATAGGCCCTTCCAAAGCACTGGATATATCGGGGAATGAGCCGAACCAGTCGCCGTCCCCATCACGGATCATGTACAGAGAGCTGGAGCCCCCTCTTGCGCAGTAGGGCAGCGTGATGGTTTCGGATATGCCGCGCGCAAACGTGCGAATCTTGAAGACGTTCCAGTTGTCATTCTGGATGGTCGAAGGCGCGTCGACACGGCCGATGACGGCGAACTCGCAGAGGGAAGGAAATGCTCCGATGTTGCACATTTCCTGGAGAGTGGTCGCGAGCTTTGCGCCGTGGAGAAGTTTGTCGCCCGAATGGCATAAGGGTGAGTGAGCTAGATGGGCGCACTCTGGACGTGCAATAATTCTTATGACGAGATACTCCAATTCAGATGCTCTGTTTAGGCGCTTTTTGGATCTTGAAGGACTGCTTGGGTGCCCATGGTCGGGTGTTGCTGCTGGGGAAAAGCTCGACAAGAGCCCGGAACAAAGATGGGATGTGCGTAGCCTCAAACTTCGAAGGCGCGGTAGCAAGGCGCTCACAGCATGGCACATATGAGGCTGATCGACATCTGGACGATTGATGCAGTCGCAATCAAGGTTGAGATTGACTACTGACGCAGGGAGACTCTGTAGAATCAACACGATGACAGCGCTGGGAACAGGAAACCCTTCAAGGTGGTCCAAAGACTCTTCGAACGAAAGCGCAAATGTCCGTAGATTTTTCATTCTACGGACGGCCTCGCACAACTCTGCCAGTCGATCGAAAGCATCTGTTGAGCGGACACTGAAACCCATCAAGTGCACCTGCGTGACGCGTACACTGAGTGACTGAATAAGGTGGTACTGTCGTGCAAACTTGCCGAATCTAGCGCTTGATGTATCTTCTCGGAGCTTTGAGTCCAGTGATATGTGCTGATAGAGCACAGTGCTCGCAATGTGGTGCCATCTCTTGCAGGTGCGCATAACTGCGATGAGATTGGATGGCTTATTCAAAAGTCTTTCAAAGACATCCATGAGGATCTCGTTTGGTAGCCTCGTCCTATCATCGCCCTGCTGCTTCTTCCTATTGTTCTGGATAGTGAGAACGTTTTCAAGATGCATGTTGCGAACTCAACCTAGCCGGGAGGGAGAGCGGTTCGCTGTATGAGAGGATGAGGTATAGGCGATGGGTAAGACGTCCACGCGGCAACGTCCACAAAAACCTGGGTTTTTGGGGACGGTTTAGGCCAGTAATGATATACGAGGGTCCAGGACCTCGGTCGACCGGCCGCGGCTCATGTAAGCGTTCCGTCTGGCGCATCGTGAGCACAATGATGATCCGGCAGTTGAGGCGCTGGTGAGATGGGGATCGAAGATTGGACGACCCGAGTGGGGGAACGCAAGCCGTCTTTCCCAAGCTGGCAAGCTTCCCCGCATTTTCTCACGTGGGGCCTTTATGAAATCCAGGAATTGGTGCATTTTATCTTGCAGCAAGATATCGACACTGCTTTACGGACTTTGTGACCAATGACGTATGGGACCTTGGTGGGCGGTGAACTCATGCACGCGATAGCGATCGGCAAAATGTACGGACATCGCTGTTAGATAAACGCGAGATGGCGCCCTCCGCCACGTCCACCCTGGACGTTTGGCACGTCATCTGAGAGCTCGCATGTGATTCAGTCAATTCATCACCTACACAATCAAAGCAGGAGACGGAGATGCATAACAACGGGTATACCTGGGTACAGTCACGTCGCCAGACATCAGCGGCATGCAGGAACACCTTAGCGCTTGCTAGGATAAAGAAGGGTACTAGTGTGTTTACACATAGACGACCACACCCGATTTCTCTAGCGCAAGACGAGCAGAATCCGGGCCTCGTTATCTTATGAAGAGTGGTCGCGTCGTCGCTACTTTTCACGCTTCCGCAACAAAGACCATTCTCTATATTTCAGCGCTATGCCAGCACGGACCACTTCGAATCCTACAATAATGTAATCTTAGTAGAATTCTCCCCCCAGTCTAGATCCATGCCAGTATCTCGGATCCCAAACGTAATTCGCCTATCTGTAATATCTGACACGCATCTCGCGACGCGGTGCCAAAGAGTCACACTAATCTCGTATTCTCAATGAAGTCTATACGAACTAAGAAAACCACGATATCTTGCAGACCAGTTTCCTTCGCCATTCATGTTTGAGGAGTATTCCTGAACGCCTCTCTAAGGGCTGTACTAGGTCAAGAGTCTGAGCACAATCTGCCTCACCTTTGCTGGTGCTCAGAAGACTCCCTTCACGACAGCCGCGCAGACAACCAGCATGCTAGTCTGAGAGTATGTATACGATTAATTACTTGCTATGACGGGATCGCTGACCATTTCTAGCTGCCTATCAAAGTGCGCAACGTGCGCCCGCACCCAGACATTCAACCGCCGAACAACAGGAACAACTCGCTTCAGACGCAAACATGTAAACCACAACCCCGCGTACGGATACTTATCCTATCCAATGAAACAGGCAATTTGAGAATCTGTATGATTCAGTGTTACGTGGATGAGAGCGAGGGTACGACATGGCGGGAGTTGGGCGAGTGCTTACAAAAGAGGGTGAAGGAGGTGGTTTGTGCGCCAGCGTATGGGGAGAGGAATCACACGAAGGGTTAGAGCGATGATGGAGGCGAGGGGCAGACGAGTGGGGTGGCAACGGCGGGAGGAGAGGGGAATGCGATGGGGCTGAGGGGTACTGCGTCTGAGTCGAAGGGCGCTGCTGCATCGCTCGATGTTGTGCATGTGAGTACTTCAAAGGTTGGCATGTTTGCTTTCCTCTTGCTGGCTGTAGGGTCAGCCGCGGGCATGTTTTTGTAGTAGTAAGACTCTGAATGATGAGGGTAGACCGGTATACATCAAGAGAGGCGTTGGGCCGATAAAAGGCCCAGCTATCGAGATATTCATATACCGATGGGTGCAGGAATATATAGGTCTATTATGCGGTAAGGGTTATCATGCAGTCCTAATTCAATACATAATTCAAGAGATCCTATGCACATGGTCTTCGTCAAATATTCCACTCAGCTATCGCACACCCCACCTACAGCTTCTGACCAGCAGAGCAACAATCCTTCGCGAGCACACTAGCCTGGTTCCTCGAGGATGGTACATCAATTGCCGGATTCCTCTCAAAGAAGTCCGAAGGTTTGAAATGCACCTGGAAAATCTCGCTTGGCATGACCGGCCAGTCTTCAACACGAGGGTTGTGTGTCAACCCAAACACACTCCAGACAACTAGATCTTGGTTGGTGATATCGTCCTTGCGCGCCACCATGTCGTGCACGCCGCCCTTCTCCACATGGCTCTGCAGCGTGTACCGCCCCGCAGCGTACAGTTCGTCTTCGCGGTACTTTGTCGCCCAGACGTGGTGCTGGGCGAAGAGCGCGCGCTGGTACTGCAGACTGCCCGGCGCGGCGAGTAGTTTCTGTGTTGCGGGTGGCTGGAATTTGTAGCCGACTGGGTTGCCGCTGTGCTTGTTTTTCTTGCTCTCATTGATGATCTTGAACGTGCGGTTATGTTCTGGCGCCGCATCCAGACCCTGGCTGCGATTCACGACCGTCTTGCGGATCTCATAGAAGTTGCCGTTTGGATTCGTTTCTTTGTCCCAGGGCGCAGTATGCGACTCCTCGTAGAGAAGCGTATTATTGTGGCCGTCGATGGCGGGGTCGAGGCGCGCGGCGAAGATGTGCTGGTGGTTCTGCGCGAGGACGCCGCCGGACACGACGTTGCCGTATTCCGAGGTCTTGCCCGGGTCGATATTAACGGTGGATACGATGCCGGTTGCGCGTACTTCGAGAGTGATGCCGCCTGCAGTGTCCAGCTTGTACGCAAATACGTACTCATAGTTGGCGAGGGTAATGATGAACTGGACGACCAACTCGCGCATGCGAGTCACGACTGCTCGGCCGGTTCTCCAGTTGGTGTGCTTCCAGCCGATACCGTTGTCCTGCTCGTGTAGGCAGATGACGTTGGGATGCTCCTTGGGCTCACCATCTGAGCTAACGATGACGGCGTCGAAGTACTTGATAACACCAAGACAATCACAGCCGAGAGACAGGTTGTTTGCGCAATTACCAGCACCACCGTCGCCAAAATCAAACGCTTGCTTCCGGTGGAAGGGCGCTCGGGCATCGGCATAGGGAACGCTCATTTCGCTGATGCTGAGACGGTAGATGATACTTCGGCCTTCGTATCGCACGTCGTGCAGAACAGCTCCTTCACGAGGGTTGAATGACACACGGAAGCTCCACTTCTGCCATTCTACAAACGAATCATCGGAAACCTTGAACGAAGTGCCTTCTGGCTGAGTAATGTTGATAGGCTTCATATCTTTCCGGGTGCCTCCTTCCACCAGCTCCGGAACATACTCGGCGGGTTGGCAGTGGGCAAGAATTTGGGGAGAGTGAGTCTTTCCTGTCAGGCTATCTCCTTTTCCTCCTGTAGCGAGTCGGTCGACTCGGCAGATCTTCTTCGTGTGTGCGTCCATTACAGGTATGATGGGGAGAGGGTAGGCGTAAAAATTGGAGTCAGGGTTGCCGTTCCTGGTGTCCTGACCGAAGCACAATCCTTGGAAGTACCTTGTAGTCTCGCTAGTGTCGTCTCGTCCGCCATAAGGCCTATGCTTATGTTAGTTACTGTCTGAGTCGGGGCTCATGATCCAAGACTCCCACGCTTAGGAGGCTGTCAATGGGCATACCATAGACACAAAGGATAGTAGCGGATCAACTTACCAAGGCTCGATAACGAGCTCAAAGCCCTCCGGTAGATGGAACTCCTTGATCGCTTGCTGGAACTCCTCACTCTCCTTGCACGCCTGCACAAGGTTCTCAAACTCCCACAGAGTCAAAGAAGCCTGCTGCTCCTTACCAATGATCTCATGCTTGACTCTCTTCCTCGTCTCAACATCAACAATCGACTCGTGGTACTCCGGGATCTTGTCAGATCCAATTACATCGTACTGACACTTCGCCAATCGCGGAGGCCGCTTCGAGTGTACTGACTTTCCAGGCTGCGCCGCATGCTCGACCTCAAGATACTTCTTCATGAGCTCCTTGTTGGGCTCATTGAGGAAGATCTCCCGGAAGTCAACGACAACATCCGGGTGGAGAGAGAGGATGACATCGCGGGCGAGGCGGGTCTCCTCAATGCTGAGGATCTTGAAGGGATGTGGCGCCATTGTGTCGTCCTTGAGGGGGAGCTGTCCGTTCAAAGCGGTAGACACGAACCCACGGAGACTGGTCAGTGTGGTGCTCTGCGGTGGTAGAGAGAAGATACGTGGCCAGCGCGATGCTTCAAGACAAAGAGCAAGCGTATCTGAGCAAACGTCTGGTAAGAGTGATGGGAGAGGAAGCTGTCAATGTTCTTATAGTGCTTCAAGGAGGACTTCCGCTACCGATAAAGATGGTTCAGTCTAGCGTATCGTGCAGTCCCCGCATAGAAGGACCCCTGCGGCAAGGTGCAGCGCGTGGACCTCCCCTTCTGGTACTAGCTCCTAAATTGTGTGGACCGCGTTCACTGATTTCCAAACACTACTCGCACGTTCAGTCTCAAGCCATTATGATATATTAATGCAGCTTAGACTGCCGGTTCGTATAACAGATTCTGATTTCTGTTTGTTAGAATACAGCAGATATGTCGTGAGGATTCTTCAACACGGCAGCGTGAGGAAAATCAGGAATCAATCGGTCCTTTTGAGCTTCTCGGACCGGTATTAATTGTATTGCGGTTGCATAGAGAGTTGCCCTGGAAGATGACATATGCTATGCACTGCTTTGGTACCTGATAAGGAGCGGAATATACCGGTTAGTGTATGACGATAGTAGTGAGTGGGCAATGTATTGTCCGACCTCGCCGCGCGGACGCGTCGGGCCCCGGCGGAAAAATTCCGCGCTTGTCCTAACGCACAAGTTGAGCACCAACTGCTCGAAATGGCAACCCAGGCGCAGCGGTTGCATGTTGGGCTCACGTAGCCTTCTTTTATCTGAGTATTTCGCTTATTTCCCCAGGTCCATGCTTTTTGAGGGTTCCCAGGTACATGAGCCAGGTTGACAAGCAGATGACTGCCATAGGGATCGCGATGCACCAGAAGAGCCGCCCAGGTTCCGTATGTCGCTCGTATTCATGCCAAGGATGCCAGCCAGCGTAGTCAGAGGTAAGAAGAATACCGTGACCGTAGCTGTCGCAAGTGTCAGCCTCATGTAGAGTATTATCTGATTGCCACTGACTAAACGCGAAAGATGCCTTTTGTTGCATGTCAGTGGCGATTGACAAGCAGAGAAAATGATAGCTCTCCAGATCATTGAGATGCCGTACCATCTCTCCGAAGTTCTGGAGCAACTTCTCTGTTTGATGCAGCATGTGATCGACCACGGACGACTCTCGGCTTGGCTCCATCGATACTCCTCGGAGGTCGATGAGTTGTAGCTTAGTGAGCAGCTTTCGGCTTCACCGATGCTATCTGGGAGTGTATGAGCACTCGCTGTGGATCTTCTAATATGGTAGTGATTGCTTCAAACTCATCCTTCAGCTTTGCAAACGTCCTCTCGTGCTTGCGGTTAAGCGGGTTCGCCTATATCTCAGCCTTCAGCTCCTTGAAACGTGACCAGTATCTCAAAGCCAAGCGTTGATCTTCCGCAGAAATATGGCCCTGAATACCATGCAGTACCTGGCATAGCTGCAAGAGTATTGTGCCTAATAGCAGTACAGCCTCGCGATCACCTGACACTCAACAAGCATGTGTGCTCCAGAGGTGGATGGGAGTACTCAACATATATTGGTCATCTGGAATCGTTCCGCCAACTTTAGTCGGCCTTGCTAAAACCGATCTTGACAGCGGTGAACGCGTGCTCCTGATTTGTGCGGCTGGTCGGTGAGAAAGCCGATGAAGTTCAATTGTAGGTGGATCTTGTTTCGGCTCATTAGCAGAAGCCGTGAGGTTGGTGTAGCATCCATTACCACACTTACAAAAACTCTTGGCGAATCATCGCCGCACAGTCGAAGACCCCCCGGCTTAAGAAGAACTGCTCTCAGATTTTCTTGGCCAATCTTGCAAGTCGTGCGACTTCTTTTCTTCCATCGCATATTTGGGAAAGTCATCCCGAGTACAAAAACTGCGGTCGATGCTGCCCCAAAACTACATCAGGGAGTCATCATTCCCGTTCCTTCTTCATTTTGCACTACCAGGCCAAATATCGAACGATTCATTGCTCCTACTGGTCCAATATAGTCTATTGACGCTTTTCCTGGCATAGTGTCCGGTGCCTCGTGTCACTGTATAATTCTGGTAGTTTGTCTCACCTTCAGAGTCATTTTGTGTTCGTAGTGTGGTTGGAAAAATAAAACAAGAATGTCTTGTACTATCCTCAACATGATCCGTTTGTCGCATTGATGGTCGCCATTTGAGTGCGAGAATTGTACTTCGTGGAGCCTTCTCGAAGGACATTCAATGTTTTTGAGGCTTTCCGTCGCGCGACTGTCAACGGTGGAAAGATAATGGTCAAGCTCCGATAGATCGTGCAGTAGCTGCTACTCATTAACTTTGTATTGTTCCCCAGCTGCAAATTGTCTTGTCGGTAGGGTAATCGTTGGACGTTGCGCAACCACAAAAATTGTTGCTAGTAGTGTGAAAACATGGCATTCATCCATATGCACTTCACTGGTCGCCCCTAGCCCGTCATACTGAAGAATAAACGCCTCATTGTCTGCAATTTCAGTTGCGGATGCTTGATGGAGGGTTCGTTGCGCCTGAGATCTTGCGCTCAGTAAGCCATTCGAGTCGGACTCCGGAGATTGCTGGTCTGCTTCTTTGTCAGAAGATAGGAACAATGCACCTTCGTCCAAGGACTTGTCCCTAATTTGATCAGCAGGTGTACGTTGACAGTATGGAATGCCGAGATGAGGTTCGAGCATGATCAGCCTACGCCATGTTTATGCTAGTGGAACACCCTATATTGGAATTGACATCTTTCTATAGCAAGTCCTACCTTCTGAACAAATGCAATCGAATTGTGGTTCTCTTGGCTGCGGTGATGATAGCACACCAGTCTGAAGGGTCTAGAACAACATTTCGATATTTTACCCGCCAGCCTTGGAACGTCGTATACCTCAGGCTAACAAAGTTTGAGACAAAAGAGAGCCATGTGACACACTTTTCAGTTGGCATAAGCCACAATCTGATACCTCCATCGGTAACCTGAGATTTCTTGCCCTGGTTTCCTGTGGGGAAGCATAATTGAATTTGATAAGAGCATTTGGTACTTCGGTTATAGGAGCGTGGGAACATGAGATCACAAGATCTCGTCATAGCTAGTCATGTTTGTAATCCCAATAGAGAGAGATAAGACATACGATCCCCGAATATCAAGCACCAGAGTTGAGCGACCCGAAAGAACTCGCCGTCAACAACGCTGCCGTGCGTTTCAGAACGGGCAAACGGCCGGACGTTACTTTTCGCTTCGACAGATGAGGTTGAGGTTGGGCTATGATAGATTTAGTGCACGGTAATCCATCTAAACTGCTGTCAGTTCAAATGTACCGAATGTTGACTCCGCTGATTACCTAATGATCTCTTTCTTCCGCTGAGCTCTAGGGCCTTGATGATCAACGTATGCAAGCGCTTCTTCAAAGTACTCGGGTTCCTAGTAGAGAGATATTGTTAGCATATTGCCGCACGTTGATCGATCCAGGCTGATCAAGTGCAAGTGCGCAAGCTTCAGGCTTACTCACGATGTAGCTTCCGCCCGAGCTTCCTGGTTTTCGCAGCGATCCTTCCGACTTTTCTCGGGCTTCCCGCAAGATAAGAGACGCACTAGCCTGCTCGACATTAATCAAGTAAGGACACTTATTGACATATTCTTGTGCCCGCAATTTAGTAAGGACGCTAAGTGCCAGCAGGATGTGGTGTCGATCCCCCTCAAATAGTACATGCCGCTGCCAAAAGCACCTGGGAACCTGCTTTATAGTGCAAGTATGCACCTACTATGAAGGCGCCGAAGTGAATCTTGGAGGATTCTCGATATGCAGCCACTTGAATAGTGATTTGAAGTGATCGCTGTTCCCCGCGGGCCTGGGAGATTCCACAGTAAGTTGAGTGGTAAGCCTGCCATTTTGGAGTAGGTTTCCTTCATAGTGCGAGTCCAAGATGCGGTAGGTTGTCACGCGGGTCTAATACGATGCAGTGAGCGTGGGGCTATGGTTGATGCTCCAATCAGATAACGTCCGGTCTAGAAGCTCATCGATCCGCAGCTAAGAGTCAAGGCGCAACACATCTTTTCGTTCAAGCCGTGATATGAATCTATCGTAGCTTGTATCCGAGTCGCAGTCATCTAGATCGAATCGAGACTCTGTGAAATCCAATGTGACACGATGCTGTTAAGCACTGGAAGCTGATGGTCTGAGGGGCGTTTGGTCTGCAGTCATACCAAATGCCTGCAATGGACGTGGTACTACCGTCAATTCATTCAATTTCGTGGAACCGTGGGTTCGTGCTTGTGCGCTCTTGCTCGTGATTGTTGTCTGGGTTCCTCGTCTGTTCACAAGGCACTGCGGCCCGAGGGGTTAGCACGCCTGGAGGTAGTGGCACCGGCATGTTGACGAACAACTACCCGTATGTCTCGTAGTGGGAAAGACGAAGGCAAAGGTATTCCTGGATATTTGAGGTAACACAGATGACGTGCTGAGGGAGTGATGGGAAGAGCGACGCCGGTGGGCGCTTTCCTCAATTGGATGCTAGCGGCTTACATTTTGGAATGGCTTCTCCTCCACTTCTCCTTGCATTAGTAACCATCTTCAATCACAATCTACATGATCTGGAAGGCAACTGTGCAATATACGGAAATCGTACGGGTGGCACGCAACTGAGACCTACTGACGTCATCAGTCGAGGAAGTTGTGAGTGGCTACATCTAGAACATCATCGCGAGCATTGACCGTCCCCACTATTGTGCTCGATCCTCTATCATAAAAGAAGCCACTCTACCAATTCGGAGCATTACCACCAGGATTACGCACGCTAGAGTCTACCGCCAACGCTTCTACCTAAATGGGATCCGAACAAGCAGACAGGGCTGTCCTTTTCTACGAGTCGCGTTCTTTCAATTACGATGACTCCTGGCACGACGACTTCACCAAAAGGTTTGCAGCTGAAATCAACATCCAGCCAGGCCAGCATGTCCTTGACCTCGCCTGTGGAACCGGGTTACTTACCTTCCTGGAGGCAGATGCTGTCGGCCCATCTGGACATGTAACCGGCGTCGATGTGACCCCAGGGATGCTTCGCGTAGCCGAATTCAAGAAGAGAAAAGAACCCGAGAAGTACGCCAATGTGGATTTTTATCAGGGTGATATCCTAAAACTACAGGAAATCGAAGCGCTGAAAGGAAAGCAATTCGACATCATCACTGCGTCGTCTGCTCTCGTACTATTCCCGGATCCAAAGGCAGCAATCGAACTGTGGGCCGAGTTCCTGAAGCCAGGTGGCACATTCGCAGTTGACTCAACGCATCCTCGAAACCTTGTCCCAGGGATGGTATTGGAACGTGTCGCAAGACGGCTCGACCTGTCGGTGCCGTACAACCGAGAGTGGAGCCAGAACGAATCTTCACTGAAGGGTGTACTTGAGTCTGCGGGGCTGAAGGTTGACAAGGTCATCACCGTAGAGAATCAGTCTGGATATGGGAAGCGACAGTACGAGGTGGGCCAATGGGATGACTTCTTCGTTGAGAACGTTATCGTCAAGGACGTTGCGAGGACCTTTGCCAATAATGATATTCGACGCAAGGCCCAGGGTCTCTACAAAGAAGAGTGGGAGCGGTTAGCTGTGAACGGACAAGTCGAGGAGGTCGACTCGGTGTTCCTTGGAGTTGCTCGCAAACGTAGGTACACTCCGTATGCTATAGTGAAGTCAGCTCATCAGATCGCTAGCTGCCGACGGCTCGAGGTATGTCCCAAGCTCCTCAAGCAAAGAGACCGTCTTCGAAGGAGGCTGCCGCTGCGGCGGCGTGCGCTATACGTCAACACAACAGCCATCTCAAGTCACTTTCTGCTACTGTCGAGCTTGCTCTCGAGTCTCGGGATCTGGCTACTTGCCGTTTTGCCACGTTGACGATGATGCGCTCACCTTTACGCATACATCTACAATGAAAACTCTGGTACTCTCAAAGGCCGCAGAGCGATTTTTCTGCACGGGCTGTGGAGCCCCAATCGCCATGAAATACTTTGATCAGGAGGTTACAGGTCTTGTACTTGGCTCTCTTGATTTGGATACTTTCAAAGGAGCGATGCCGAACGTAGAGCAGCACATATTTCTCAGGGAGAAGGCTCCGTGGGTTACCGTACCGGATGATGGTGCGAAGCGGATGGAGGCATTTGAGGAGATGGAGATCAAGTAAGATGCTGCGGGTGCAGAATATTGGCAAGAGCGGTAGCTATTGTGTCAACACGAAGATCTGAGACAATATGAAGCATTTCATGGAAAATTGATCCTGGAACGATCAACCTACTAAACGTGCATACAATTGCAACTTGCGACTGTATTGACATTGTCCGCGTTCACGTGAGAAATGTAACGCAACGAAGATGTTAACACTGAGCTCAGCTGTAAAGGACAGAACGAGTGTGGCAGAGTTGAAAAAATCAGTGGGTCACAACAGTCAGCAGCATCCCTTGCGAGCTGCCCATATGAACGTGTGCTGCGAAGACATGGCGTACGTTGCAAATCCATGGCGAACGGGCAGAGGGACTTCAGGCTCAGAGGATGCGCTAACGGACCACTGTGTTTCATGCGGCGGGTTTGGCCGCGATTCGTATCGGGTGGATGTTTCGGCGATCACGACCCTGCAGCTCGCTGAGCACACGCGCGAAGACGCAATTAGAACTTGGTGGTGAATGCGTTGGCCAGATCGTATAGTTTCTGGTGATGTCAAGTTGATAAGCCAAGTTCAGGTTTCGTGGTCGGTGGATTGGTAGGATCCAAGCTTGCCGCGTCATGTTTGGACTGCGATGGCTGGTAGCCAGCCTCCAGCAAAGTTGCCAGCCCCCCTGCCAGCACCTCGGCCTGGCAGAAAACCTGACCTGACGACAAGATGCATTCTCTTTCAGTGCGACTTGTCCTTCCCTTCTGCACACTTCTCTAGCTCGTACCACCGCAGCCTTTGTTGCATTCCCTCGTTGTTGCGTGCTTCCTCCCTGCGTCGAGTGTTATCGATAGAGTGCCGTTGCCAGGAAACCGCCGCCGCCGCCCTCAATAACGGACAGGGTGATCGAATATCGCGTTTCAAGCGGGCTCCCTCGACCTGTCGCCCATCTTCCAGCAATTCGGAGCGCAGGACCCAGTGCTGCGCAAAAGGCAAACCCCTACATCCCCGATCGGCCTTGCCCATTCCTGTCCTCCGGCGAACCTAGCCCGCCAGACCATGGCCCCAGCTGCACATGCAGGCATGCATGGCCTCGACGCCGTTAAGAGCCCCAACCCGCTCGCCCTGCAGTCTCCGCAGGCCTCCCATGCGACCAGTATCTCGTTGAGAGACCGCCGAAACTCACTGCACCCTCTCCGACAGAACGCTCCATCCATCGCAGAGCAGAAGGTGGACGCTTTCGACGACGTGGACATCTCAGACTCCATCCAACCGCCACCTTCCGCACTCACATCGGCGACTGCCACTGCCTATAACCCGCACGGTGAGGTGCCCTCCCCTCTCGAGAACTACTCCTCTTCACCCCGTACATCACACCAAAGATCTCTCACCGGCACATTCTTCGACAACTGCCAGCCGCTTATCAATCGCGCCACATCCACACTCCAACAACATACTTCGCGCACATCTTTCCACTCACCTACCAAGTCACTGGCGAGCTTCATCCCTTCCAGGAGCGCACTCGAATCGAAGGCAAGCCAGCCCAACATCCGCGCGGGTGCAAAGGCGCTGCAGAACTGGTTCAACGGCGCGACTACTGGCGCAAGCGGACAGGTAGCATTTGGTGTGGGGATACGACAGGAAGACTCAGATTCAGACGAGTACGATTCGGAGGAGGACGACATCGACGACAACATGATGAGTGGCATCTTCAACCGTGGAACCTCGCTCACGCGCGCGTCCAATGATTCGCAGGAGCCCCGTCAGGGTCCAACCTCCACCAAGCGCCCCGCGATGCCTTTGTCGACGTCAACAGCGAGTTCGAGATTCGCTTGGCTGCTCAACACACAGAAAAATGCAGCAATACCGCCGCCCGTTGCCTCGCCTACCTACCACAATCCCGAGGACGAGCTACTCAACCTCAACATCTCGCAGGCGCTGTTCCCGCACGGCCCTGTCGATCCGCTTGCGCCTTCGTCATTCAATGACCTCCTCTCGACTGCCGAATCGCTGCTTTCCCGATACCAGACTTCGTACCGCCAGCTCTCCACCGCGCTGGTAGATGCGCGCGCCGAGCAGAGCGCACAGGACGACGAACTCGACGAAGCAGATACACGGATCATGCATCTGAAGTCACAACTAGAGACCATGGCAGCGCGCGCAAACGACCAGGACGAGCAGATGCGCAGACTCATGGAGGAGCTCATATTCGAGCGGCGCGCCCGAGAGGAGGAAGAGGCCGCGCGGAAGCAGAGCCTCGCCATGGTGCGCAGGGACACGCACCACGACACGCAGGACGCAGACAGCGTGCACAGCCCGCGCCGGCGAAACCGCGTGTCCAACTCAGATGTTAGTGTTGACTCGGGCTTCGAGTCCGAGTGCGAGACCGACGCCGCGAGCATCTTCTCGCGCAACAACTGCCTCAGTCCGACCGGCACGGATCTTTCTTCGGTGGCGGAGACGGACGATAGACAGACCACGCCCAAGGGCAAGAAGCCCGCGCTGCAGACCCGGAGTAGCACGTACGACAAGGTACGGGACGGGACGGCGCGTCTGGAGAACAACAACGGCTGGGGCTGCACCAACTGCGAGGGCGGGTCGCAGGCGGCGGTGTGGGGGCGGCTAGCGAGGGAGCGCGAGGAGAACAGCGTGCTGAGGCGGCGTGTGGGCGAGCTGGAAGAGGCGGTTGAGGGGGCGCTGAATGTGGTGGATGGGCCGTGGGGCATGTAGATGAGAAGTATTGGATTAATTCCTGTGCACACTGGTAGGGATGGATTGGCAGACTCGTACAGGCGTCTGAAGAGGGCATTTAGCATCAGATTGCGTTTTGCTTATTGCATTGTATGGCATTGCATGGACTCAATGCCGCATATCTCGACCTCGAAGGTCTTGGAATCAACCAACGATTTAGTCCTTCTACAAATTTGCGACGCCACTCCACTGACCCCTCCACCTTTTCTTCAGGCTATCGTACAAGTTCCGCCTCCCTGTCCCTGGAAAGGCTCACACGTCACTCCCCTTGCCTTTGACATTGCTCTCCGCCCCAACGCCCGGCGTGCCCCGCGCTTCGAAATCCTCCTCATATCGCCGCCACACTTCCATATCGCGGCGCAGGCGCTTCTGGTGGCGCACGTGGTGCTCGTAGGCAATCATGCGCTTGTCGGCTTCGATCATGGAGCCGAGGATCATGCCGGACATTTGGATGTAGCTGGGTGAAAGGTTAGGACAGGGAGAGGGTCGAAGTTGGGCTGGGAGGATGGGCAGAGGTGCGGAAGGGGTCAATAGAGGCGGACTTACACTTTGAATTGGATAGTGAGGCCGCGGTAGACGGGAGAGAGGGCGTAGGCGACGCCGCCTGCTACGGCGGAGAAAGCACCCCACTGGAGGTGAATGTCAGCTGCAATTTCTGAAATTGAACGTCGCAATGTTCATGGCTGTATAAACATCATATGCGCAGGTGCAGGTGCTTTTAGGAAGCACGTGAGCAGTTCAGCGCCTAAGAGCCCTAGAGCAGTTCAGGTATCTTGTACCAATCCATATCTTAACCAAATCGCTCACTCATTACCGTGATCCCAACTCTTCGTGATTACATAAAATGTAACACACGCGGAGGACAGTCAACGCTGATTTTGAAAAGGTAGAATAGCAACTGACCTTTGTCGCACCCCATCCTGCACCTCTCGCGGCTTCCCACGCAGCAGCATTCGTCTCTTCGTCTTTACTCAAGCTGGCACGTTGTCGCGGCCCTGACATGATTTGATATGGTCTGGTTCAAGGCGATCCTACCATTAGGTTTCGACCTCTTTGGAGCTGTGTATGGTGGGCTCGCGAGCTTGATATGGTGACATCAAACTGCTTCGGCAAGTGGGTCTTGCCGATAGTCGTCGGCCAATGATCACGCCGAGTGGCCTGAGGACCTGGCAGCCACCTCCGTATTTCTAAATCGTAGGTGGAAGCTTCCAACTGAGGGCATTCGAGTGACACTTTGCGCAGAAGAAAGCACATCAGAACGTGGTCCATCGTGCCGGCCGGATTGAAGATGGATGGAGCTTCAGCAAGCTTTGACCAATCAGACAGTCGCGCACGGGATAAGGTAGGGCCGCCCCCGCCCCACTGCGCCTTCCTTAAAGCCAACCGTGGCTTTTCTTTTCTATTTCTTCCTCCAGGCTGCAGCTGCAGTTCTCGTAGCACCACTCCTTCACTCAACTCTCGTTCGACTAACAGCAGCCCACCATGGACGTCTTCTGGACCTTGCCGCCCGTCACGCGGACCATCACCGCTGCGGCTGTCGTGGTGTCTGCGCTGGGATACGCGCACATCATCGACCTGATGAGGTTCATCTTCATCCCGCAATATGTCTTCACCACGAAGATGGCACCGCAGGTGTGGCGGCTCGTCACGGGGTTCTTCATAACGAAGAAGAACATGGCGATAGCACTGGATCCGTACTTCCGTACGTGGAGCCCTGCGCTCTGCCAGCCCGCACTAACAACGCCCAGTCTACCAGTACGGCAGCGGTCTTGAGCGCGAGTCGTCGCGGTTCTCGCAGCCCGGCGACTTCTTCGTGTACACTGCGTTTGTCGGCTCGTTCATCGCCGTAAGTAGCCTCTTCGTCGCGCCTTGCGCATACGTATTTTCCGCGTCTTCGGACAACCCCGACTATCTGCCCGCCCAGTTACTATTGCTGAAGCGGTTCCTGAATTCGGGGGAGAGCACCCTTGCACAGTACGCGCCCCGTCATTCGCATAATCCAAAAGGGGTTGCGTGGTGTGTGAGCATGGTGGGAATGCCATTTGAGAAGCACAGCGGACTCGCAATTCCGCCGTGCGGTATTGGCTCCCTACATACCTTCACTTTCTTCTCTTGCTACTGTGACGTGACAACGAGGCTTGAAGTTTGTCGCTGACTTGCTTCAAGGTGCTTGCAGGTTACTTCCTGAGTGCATGGACGTTCCTCCCCGCCCTCACCCTCGCATATGCGTACACGTACGCCCAGGACAACCCGACGCGCCAAGTCTCCTTCTTCATCCTCACCTTCGACGCGAAGTACCTGCCGCTCGCGCTCATCTTCTTGACAATGATCATGGAGAGCGCAGATGCGGCTCTCGCGCAGGCGACCGGCCTCATCGCGGCCCACCTATATGACTTCCTCACGCGTATCTGGCCCACCTTTGGTGGCGGCACAAACTACATCACCACGCCCGCGACCGTGAAGCGGTGGTTTGGTGGAGGCCCTGGGACACAGCAGGCGCGAGGCTACGGGTTCGCTCAGGCGGCTCGATCAACTGCTGAGCCGCCCGCCGCGGCTCGAACGACTGGTGCTGCTCCGCAATGGGGCCCTGGACGTCGGCTTGGCGAGTAATTGTGTTTTTGGAGTTTACGGATGCCCATGCATCATGAAAGCACAGCATAGTACTGGAGTTGGTCATGTAGTGATGGATACAGATTATCCGTCCACAAGCATCTTTTGAAAACTTGGCAACGCAATCAGTTGCCTGAATGAAACTTATATGGAGGCATGCAGTATGAGTTATAGTTCCAATCCGAACGCATATCCGAACATACTTGTGCACAAATGTTGACAAACCAGGAAGTGGCAACAAACAAACATGGACTGCCGCTCGATGTCTTTACCTTGTCGGCTTTTGCAAGCCGCGATGTGGTAGAATCGATGAAAACACCCCGTTGCGTTGTCAGGCCTTACGTTTACATTTCCCCTACTGCACGGGATGCCCCCTAATGAATTCGTGTGATGTACCAGAACACTCATTTCAATAGAAATCTATCTTGCACTCCTGCACCCCACCACAGATTTATTGAACCGAACTCCCCGCCGGATTCCTCGGCCCATCCACCGCCCTCTCCACGTGTCCCGCGATCCCGTCCTCCCGTCCTTGCTCGCATCGAACTGGCTCCCAATGACGCCCTCTTTGCTCAGCGGCCCGCCAATCTTCTGCCCAATCTGGCCGATGGCGCCGTCCGGGTTGAATTGCTTGCCGATGGCGCCGGCGGAGGAGATTATGGACGGGTTCTGAGGTGTATTAGTACAGAGGAAGGGATGGGCCGGATAAGGAGGAAGAGGGAGGAGGCGGACCTGCTGCGGAATGGCATTGGTGCCTTTCTTCTGGCCGAGCGCATCCGCGGCGGAGGTCGTGTTTGCGGACATGTTGGTCGAGTTTACAATGTTGCTAGGGGAGCCGATTTCGATGCCGTGCTTCGGCATAGATTCGTTTTCACGGAGTAGCGTGTAGTAGGAGCTGGAAGAGGGGTAGTTGTAGTGATGTGCTCATGCTGCGAGAAGGTATGGTGTGGTTCGGGATTATATCTATATGGAGGTGATAATCTGTGCGTCACGGATGTTCATTGTGAGTGGTGATGTCATGGTTATGGCGGTGGGCGCCGCGCAGAGATGAGATCACGGGGGTGTCAAGTGTTTGACATGTCGTATTTGATGTCGGTATAGGCTATTTGTGAAGAGGGATTGACGGATGGATGTGGTGGTGGTGGTCTTGCGGGCGGGTTCGGGCTCATCTATCATCCATGGTGGCGTCTTGTATTGTCAAAGGATCGTGATTGAAATCGTTGATATATTCATATTGAATTGGAACTGGGTATGGACAATGTTTAAGGCGTGTATTCTGTCGTAGAAAGTTTTCAGAAAGGTTTCTCTGCACCCTGACCTTGAGGTTGAGCAAGAGGAGAGCGGTCCTAACGCCCCTTCGGCGGGCCTCTTCTCAGTGTGGGGAATCTCAGAGGTAGCCGTAGCTTCGCAATAGTATGGCTATTACTCTCTGCTTTTGTGATCTTGAGTTTGTTGCGGTCGGCCTCAGTGGGGACATTGAGTCGGCAGCCCAGTTCTGAGAAATACTGCTTGATTCTATTTTGGTCAGCATTTCATTACTCATGTACACCGCCGTTGTGAAACGTACTGCTTGTTCTCAATCTTGAAGTCTTCTCGCAAGTCGTTAACGTCAACCTCGAAATCGTCGACCATGAGCGCTGCGGCACAGGCATGGGTCATCAAGTTGTCAATGTTCCAGCGCGGCAGTTCATTAGTTCTGGATAATGTCAGCCCATGTACCAGGACAACTTCCAGTGGACGTACTCTGACGCGAACTTCCTCCTGATAGTGTTGCTTAATGATGCCGGCACGTCGTCGCCCATGGCGGTCTCGAATTTGCCCTTCGGGGGGATCTTCTTTGCTCCTCTGCCGGGTTTCGCAATGTCGTTGAGCTTCACACAAAGCAGTATAAAGCGTAGCAGCTTCAGCTTCTGATACTGCTTATTCTTGACCAGTTTCGATATGCGCTTGGCAACGAATCTGCTGCGAACCTCGACACCAGTGCCAGCCTCCGAAGCGCTGACCCAGTCGCTGACCTCTATCAGAGCCATAAGCTCTTTGCCAACGACGTTGTCAACTGTATACACATCGATGGGGTATTCGGCAGTCATGTTCGCTTTCGGGCGCGGTTTCGACTCGTCCACGGCGGCAGCCAGCTCCTCGGAAGTAGGCATCGCAGCCGTTGCTCCAGACATGCCTTGCAGCACGTTCTGCGCGATGCCCTCATCCTTGGCCGCGTCTCCGCGCTGGATAGCGTTCTGGGTCATGTCTTCAATAGCCTTCCGCGACCTCTTAGATCCGAATTCCGCGGCAAGCGCATGTCTCTTCGCGGTGAAGGTAGATTGTGCCGCCTCAATCCTGGCCTGTCTGTTGTGTAGCTCGTCTGCTTCGCTCCGGAGCGAGCTCCTCAAAGTGACTCTCTTCACGGGCATGAGCTGCATCTTGGCGGTTGCGGGGTCGTACACGCCGATGTAGTCCTTGAGCCGGCTTTCCGCGCTGCCATCCTTCTCTTCGCGCGCAAGGTAGTCGAGGCGGGAGTGGTCGGATGATTGGAGGAGCAGGTCGGTGTGGCTGCCTTCGGGGAGAAGCTTGGTGCGCTTGTACGATTTGAAAGTGATTTGTGAGGGAAACTTGAGGCCCGGTGTTGATGCTATCATACTGTAAGCTGCCTCATCGTATCGCGCACACAAGCCCGAGCAACGTACCTATAATAGGACCTAGCATCTCGTCATTGTCGACGTACTGCACCTTCACGTTGCCGTGGGCAGGCGCAATGGCGGCCTTTTTGGAGGGCCGCTCGCCGCCCTGCTCTTGTCTCTTTCTCTTCTTATCGGTACCCATTCTGCTGTATTGCAAATACTGATCTGGTGCGGTGGTCGTGTGTTGTCGTCGTCGGCGCGCAGGCCAAAACTTTTTGGAACGCCAAGATTTCGCTCCGACTGGCAGCCACGATGTGGCGGTGCGCGTCCTTTCCGGAACTGACGGCTAGCGTGAACGCCATCCCTGGTTACGTCTTTCTAGAACCGTGACCGCGACTACGCGTGCAGTTCAATCTGCACCAGTCTTCAATCCTATCTCTCTGTTTGAAACCTTCTTCTGTATCATTCGAGAGCTCACAGACAACGATTCTAGTCTTCTTGGCGATACAGCAGCGCTCTATCCTTTCGAACACAAGCATTCCACACACGCGATGTCTGGTCTACTGAACAGCGTCCAGTCAATACTGGGGAAGCTATGGACCAACACGGCCAATGGCTTCGACAAGATACTCCCACCAGATAGGCGAGATGAGCTGCTTTCAAAGCTCCAGGACTTCGCAAACAAGAACCCCAAACTTGCCGTAGGTACCCCTGCCAATGCTCCCTTTGTGGGAATCACATCGTTGCATCTTCGCATCGTCGTCTTATCATATAGCACGAGCAACTCCAACAATTCATGTCATAATTTTAAAACTAACCCATTCAGGCATTCCTAGCCACCCACGTCGTCCTCACGGTAAGCGAATCACCTGGTGCAAATGGATGTATTCTTTCGTGCGGAGGAAAAAACATATTTTTCGCTGGGACATATGATACATACCCGACTCCTATTTGCCTGAAACTAATTTTGCACCGTCAATTAGGGCATCCCCCTCGTCCTTTTCACCTTCTTCATTCTCTCCGTCTTCGTCTTTTCCCTCATCACCGCTCTCCTCGCGAGCATCCTCGCCGCCGTCTTCTTTACGTTGTTCATGGTTGGCGTGGCGCTGTTGTTCCTCGTACCTACGCTCTTCTTGACGACGTTCACGGCGAGTTTTGTGTTTCTGTGGGGGCTGGGAGGGTGGTTTGTGCTGAAATGGTGAGTTTAGTATTCGAGCGTTGGGGTACGGCATGGATGCTGATCGATTCAGGTTCACGCAAGAGGGAAGTGCATCAGATAGAAAGAGATTTACCTCTAGAGCCGACGGATTCACTGGTGGTCGCGCGGAGTGGGTGGGCAGAGGGGCGGGTGAGAAGCGGGTGCTTACGCACAGTAGCGACGAGGAAGGAGCAGAACGGCAAAGCGACAGCCACAGGTTGAGCGAAATGGCGAATGTAAAGGCGAGTGGAACCGCTGCTGGAAGGGAATTGGAGAAGGTCACGGAGAGCCTAGAGGACGAGACGAATCGACAGCCGCTCCACTTGCCTGTAAAGATCCTGAAGATCGTTGAAGCCGAGGAGAATGCTGCGGGTGCAGAGAACTCCGTAGTGGCTGATGCAAAGGAGACAGTGGGCGGCGCTGCTGAAACTTAATGATTCACAGGGGTATTGCTGAGCATGCTTGGAGTTGTCATTATGTGAAGGGCACGCGACACTATATCATTTACTTTTGTACGACCAATTGACGAAACATTGACTACCGATCTACTACTACAACCTGGTTGCATCCCTTGGTCGTCCATCCAACCAACATGAATCTATCCATACGGCCATTACTCCCACCTATGCTCCAGCGGTGTAAACCGATGGGTTCTCCGCGTCTCTTCATGAAGCTCCTGCACCTCCTCCTTTGTCAACACCCGATCAACATACCACCACCCCTTCCTCTCGGTAGGCGGCAGCCCGGCCTTTACGAGTACTTCTTCATAAACCAATCTCTTGTCGATCTGGGTGGAGTGCATGACTTCGTGATCGAAGTAGGCTTCGATATTGAGTTCTTCTAGGGGAATCAGTTTGGGGTCAATAAGACGTGCGAGCGGGTCTGAAAGAGCGGATGTGGTTTGCGTAGATGACTGCGATGCATCGACAGGTTCTTTAGGTTCGGCGACCGTGGTTGATGATGACTTGTGGAGCAGCTCTTCTGCTGCTGGCTCGTGACTCTCGGTGCTGGTCTCAGGCGTTGCACTGGAGCGATGCGGGTCGTTTCTAGGCAAGACGGTCTGTAATCGTTGGTTGAGCCGCAATCGAGTCTTGGCAACTGTAGTCGTAGCCCACCTCCGTTCGCGGCTAGGCACTATTTCAATCAGGTTGAGTGAACGAAGATGCTCAATTGCATCTACGAGGTTCACGCTTGACTCGCCTAGCTCTGCCACAAGATCTTGCTCAGGAACACCTGCGTCTCTAGATTGTGGAAGCCACTCAATGTATGCGAGGATCCGATGTTCTAGGAGGGTGAGGCCAGATGCTCGCGCGAATTCGGTTTCCTCTGTAGCGGCTGATGCTCTAGCTTTAGCTTTGCTCACGAGGTCTGGTCCATAGGTCGCTTTCGTTTCTGCCACGTCTGACAGTCTGCGGTTTTGTGATGTAGTGCTCTGGCCAACAGGCCCTTTCGCAAAACCACCGTCATCGAGGACCGTATTTATGGCTTCGTTGAGGCTGACATGTGGCTGATCCGTTACGCTCATGGAATCTGCTGCTAGAAATGACTGTACATCGAAATCTCCCAGGATTTCTGGCTGTCGGCTGTCGGGTGGAATGCCGGGAACCAAAACCTTGAAAGGATTGTCTCGGACGGGTGCGCTATGGTCCTGGTACGCGTTTTCCCAGTGCATTGGAGCCTTCATTTCCTCGTCAAAACGAAACTGATTCTCTGAAGTGTCTTGAGTCGGTGTAGCTGGCTGAGAAGGCGTAGGCGGTCTTCCTGAGGAATCTGCAGCACGTTGAAGACATTCCAATAAAGCGTCTCGTTCTGTCTGTGAGCGACACCTTAGCATAATGCGTTTCCAATGCCCAAGTCCTGTATCACTGTCTCCGGCTGTGGTGACCCTATCTATCATGATATCGACGTGCGCTTGTTCTTTGATGATCGAGTAAGACGTTAGCTTCAGCCGCCATGTAAACTTCGAAGCACGCTGGAGAATCTCTAGACTGCCTGGCCTTACAGAGAGCGACGCTTCAGACAGCTCAGCATCAAAGGGTTCCCAGCTCTCTGTCGCTTGTGACCACTGGTAGACCTTCGCAAATGCTTTCTGGGCTTGATTTTGAGGCAAAGCCAAGCCAAATTCCTCCTGGGCTGCTGAAGTTGGTACGTTCTCCGCAGCGTGCTTTATTCGCGTCAGCAGCATCTTGCAGTCCGATTGCGATCTAAGTCCAAGTGTGAACCGGGTTCTGAAGTCGTACACAGAATCATGATCTTCGATGGGGCCATCCACGACCGCAATCTCTGTGCCTGACGGCAGGTTGATGACGGAGCGAGGTGACAAGACCAGACGAATGGGTGGCTTAGAGACATTGTCATCGCTTCCCTGCCGAATCAAAATTGCGCCTCGTGTCAGGTGTAATGTTGGTACGGGAGCTTCAAAGTGCTGCAGTCCACTCGCTGGATCAGACCAGATGTATATTCGATCGAACGCTTGTTGGAAATGGGGTTGACTAGAGACAGTGACTTCGATGTTGTACACCGCATATTCCAGAATGCGACCCTTGAGTCCCAATGACGGCTGATTACTGACGAAAGGTCTGTCCCGGGTCGGGTCGCGAAAACTCTTCTCGACCGTGTGGAGAAGTTCCAAAGACAGCGGAAACACATCTGGGATTTCTACTGCCTGCGGGAAGTCTTCCACAGTTCGAAGCTGATACACGGATTGATCGGTCCGCATGTGAAGATGTCGTAGAATTTGTGCTGCGAACCGGTAGCCATCGTCGCACAGATCTCTGCCCTCTGAGTAGAGTTTGGGGATGTTTCTGCAAGTTGGGCATCCTTGGGCATGACTTTCGAAGACAATAAGCATGTCCTCCTCGGTAGGCTCCAGTGGGCGTGTATTGGAGGTAGACTGCTTTCCCGGGCCAAACTTGCGGATTTGTTCTCCTAGAGTGGTGAGTAGACCACGAGATTCTTGACGAATCGGCTTAGGGGATGAGCGAATGTTCTCAGGATCATTGACGCTCAAGTTGACAGGTGGAAAGTATGCTGGCAAAAGAGAACTGTAAACAAACTCATCGTTGGGAGAGAAGACCTGGGGATGATGACTCATGTCAGTATGTCTCTGTCAGAGATGAGTGTCATCTAGGGTACTACTGACCACGAGAACTATCTTCTCGATCGAGCTGCTTTGTTCATTCAATTCCTGGAATGCCAAAAATTCCTTTATTTCCCGTAATGCAATAGCTGCGGAGTCTCTTCTGGGGTAGTTGAGCATACCTGCATCCAGTCAGTCAGTTCTGTCCATCATGTTTGGAAAAGGACGCATCGTCTATATTATAGCGATCATATGGTAGCATATTTCTGTCTAGTTTCACGTACCTGTTCCAAGCGTGGGGATCGCTATTGATGTGACTTTCAGATTCCTCGCCATATAGAGGATCTTTCTATAAATGTCTCGTAATACCTGCAATGTATCTGTTCGGTAGATGGCGGGTGGTATCGCGTGCAGAATGTGTTTAGCAGGCAGAGCATAGCCTCCAGTCAGTACAACCTCGCCTTCCTTGCAAGGCACATGTTTAGCACATTCCTGTTGCAACTCCAGACCGCCGCCTAAGAAGACAGTTCGATCCAGTCTCCCAATGCCCGAGAATCCTGTATCGGTGCTGCTCACTTCTCCCGGTCAGCTATCATTAGGCAATGGACGTTCATTACTAGCTCACCGAGAATGTCGACCTCTATTTTTGTGATATCTTCTTTGGTGAGACACACTATACCATTGAAACGGGCTGAAGGTGTAGCTGGTGCTTCATTTGCTGGCAGGATGCCCTGCTCGTACAACCGAGCAAGGGTCGGAACTTGATGCAGTTTTACAATGTCAGTTCGAATTGAAATTGGCACGTCTCGTTGGTATTCCCGTGTCAACATGACCTCCTCAAAGTGATCATGGGTATTTTGGGGCCCTTGCCCAGTCTGTTTCGTGAGCCAAGCGCTCAGTCGAGTTCTAATTGTCTTCATCTCATGCGGTATGGGAACGTCGCGATCCAAGACGTCATTCACATGTTTTGCGAACTCCTGTGTGATGTCGACCAGTTCCACGATGGTGAGTCCCTGATAAGTGTACATGTGATCATTGTAGTCGTCCCATAGGATCTTGTGACTCGGCATCCCTAGGTTCTCCTTTGCTTTGGCAAGCTCGATCATTTCCATCAAGTTTCCGCAGATTGCGTTCATGACTGAACACAACAGTTCTATGTACTGCATCACTCGCGCTATGAGACGTTCGGTTTCGGCTCCTGATGTTATCTCTTTGAATGTCTCCAAAAGTACAGCTATACTTGAGAGCTGTTGGACCAGACGTTGCGGCATATTTGTAGCCTCAGCGTTAAATGTCTTGATGTCTTGGTTGATAAGCTTAACCTGTGTGTACACCTCCTGTATCAGAGCGCTCAGCCTGGCTGTGTCCTTATTCCCCTCGTCCGAGACAGCGGTATCCAAATCTTCCCGAGTAGGTGGAAAGAATTTGGAAAAGAAAGTGGTATATGCATGTAAATCATCCTCTGTGAACACACAGAAAACGATGTGTTCGAACGAGTGCCTCGGGTGAGCGTCGAGAAACTCGCGGACTTCCTGAAGGGCAATGCGGGCGGCGATTCGAGCTGGGAATCCAATGCCGCCTGTACCTAGGCAGCAAAAGGCAATACTCTTCAGGTCCTTTTTCATAGCCAACCTCAGAGCACTGCGATAGCCTTCAGTAAGAAGGTTGTATTCTCCCATCCCCTTACTGTTAGAGTAGTGCGGCCTTGCGACGTGGATAACATGAGTACATGGGAGGTTGTAGCCGCCTGTGAGGACAGATTGAGAAACCTGTGAGACATTCAGCGACTGCTCACTGGTTCGCACTGACCCAGATGACAGCCCAACATAGCGTGAAAGGAAGAACTGACCTTCAATCTGTCTATGCGTGAGCATTCCTCACCTAATCCTGGCCCAGCAGCTTTGTGGATGATGCTGTTCAAGGTCCAATCTGCTCTCGATGGGGCCAATCCTCGGTTGGAACTGTTGACTAGAATGCGATCTCAAGTCAGCGAAGACAAGATACTACACAACAGGTGTCAAGTTGGAGACTTGAGTCATTTTAAAGAACGTTCTGTGACGTTCGAAATCGTGTACTAGTGCGAGGGTAAAGATCAGACCTACCGATAGCGTCCACTTTTAGACGGGTGATGTCATAGTAACAGAAGGATATGATCCCATTGTAGTCATCGTTTGGAGGATAGTTTGGATCATCTCGCGGCGCCAGTTTTGAAGATCGGTACAGTGCACGAATGCTTGGAATGTCGGCTACATCCAGTATCGGCGAGATCTCTCCCACGTCTCTTACGTCTGAATGTGTTGAGGACTGCTGTGATCCGGAGGATTGACTATACGAAGGGCTTGTCTGCACAACAGTGACATCTGGATCGAATGCGACTTCCTTGCTCTCAGAGTTGTTCCAGGACTTCCTAAGGTGGAAATCTACGTAAGAGCTATTCACCGAGGTTAAGATAGATTCTTAATTTGGGAATCAGCAAACTCACTCGTAGACCGTCTTGAGCGTAGTTGGCTTGTGATCGCAATCGCTCCACTCTTTTCCTGGGCAGTGAAACAAACCATTCGCGTCGGGTTCTTGGGCGTAGAGCGGGCTAACCCTCGCCGCCTTGGTCCAATTTTGGTTGAGCGCAGTGAACTTCAATGTTTCCTTTTTCGCATCTTTCTGACGAAGTTGGACTCTAGGATATCGCTCTTTGTCAAATGTCTGCATCGCTCTGACTGCAGCATCTCCGTTCCGGAAATTGATGTTGCCGTTCCAAGAACCGTATCGCGTATAGAATCGTACTGACTGAGCACCTTCCAATGACAAGAGATACTTACGGAACACCTCTCTTTCGGCCATATGTTCCTCAACGGCCGTGTCACTTTCGTTGAAACTATCCCCTGTCTCCTGATCTTCTTCTGCATCCTGTCTATCATCTTTTTGACTGGAGAATAACAGTTTCATTCTATGCCCGCTGTCATCTGGAAGAGCGCGAATCAGCGACTCAGAGAGAAGTCCTGGTGCTCTAGCGGGGCTTTTTGGTTGCTGATCTGTAGCAACGTGCCCAAACGTAACGTCAGCATCTAGAAATAGGTCTGATGTGATTTCTTCTTCATTGCTGTAACCGCTGTAATCACTGTCCGAAGATCGACTGGCTGTAGGTATCGCCGAGCTTTCGGTGCCCCCACGAGATGCTTGCGAGCTACCCCCATCCGAGTCGTCATCCATATCAATAGGTAGCGAGAAGGCCGCTATCCTCTCCAAATGATTCGCAATGTGGTTGTTCAAGGTACCCATACCCTCTATCTCTACCGAAGCGTAGCAGATTGGACACTCTTGACGCAGGTCGAGTGTAGATGTCTCGCCAACTTTTACAATGCTAGATACCTGGCCTTCGGGCACGCTTTCCCCGTGGTGCGTTCTTAGGTGCTCTTCAAGGCCGGAATGAGATCTGTAGACCGCTTCAGAGTGTTCTGGACACCTCCATGCCTTGCGATGACCACTCTCGTGCTCTACCCAATCTCGACGACTCCTGAAAAGCTGATCAGGCGCTTGACACTCTGGATACGTACAAACATATGGTTGTAAATCTTGCAGAACATGTGTTCGCCAAGGTCGACCTTTACCATACCTCGCGGGACAAATGATGAAGCAGTAAGGGCATTCGAAATCTTTATTGCCATCGGCTGCTTTTGGTGGCGGAGGAAGGTCAATTCCTTTGCCGGATAAGTCCTTGACGGTAACAGCGTAACTGGTAACGGATTTGGAATCAACAATATCATCCAGAGATTGATGGTGATGAGTCGCCTCTGTACCAGAAAGAAGCGATTTTCCAGTCTTTTGACTTGGCGCTTGCTTAGGCAGTGCATCAAGGCCTGGTGTACCGGGCTGCGCTTCGAGGGTATCGTGCCGGTGAGGAGCCTCTGGTCGCTGTATTGCAGCAGGTGCCTGTGGCTCTTCTTGTATAGTCGAAATACCCAATTTGTCCCGATGCCTTCTCCAGTATTTGAATTGTCTCCTGCGCAGTGTGACAGCCCGCGCAAGGCGGTCAACCAGGTCATCGTTCTCCTCCGTAGGCTCACGAGCCGAAACATAAGGTACCCTGAGATGCCTCACAAGCTCCTGGGTATGGAATCTGTCAAATATTGCATACTGGCTAAGTATATCGACTCCGGTTTCAGGGTCTTTGGGTTGGTAGGAAGCCGCTTTCAGCGACCTCGTATGAACGGTAGGTGCTCGAATCCTGACTGAAATTTTGTAGAGATGATCTATGATGTCGACAACCTCTTGAAAGCGCATCCTTAACTCGGTTTTGGGAGCACCTGGATCACTTTTGTCGTCCTCGTCTTCACTAAAGAAGGGGTCATCTCCATCATCGCCTTCGGAGCCTGCTGGGCGCGACTGCTGCTCGTATGGAAGACGAACGCCAGTAACGATTTCGTGTGCTGGAGGGATTAGATACAGTAAAGATCGATGTGATAGATCGACTACCTGCGTGGAGATTTTCCTCAAGCTCATTCAGCAACTTCAACACTTCGTTCGAGAGTAGAGGTGCGTCTCGAAGTCGATAATCTAGACTGCTGTGACCCTTTTGTAAAACACCCAGGTTACCGCTCCAGACCCTAAACCTTCCCAACTCATCTTGGAGAGCTTCAAAGTCTATCGCATGACCTTGGAGAGCGCCGAGTGAGTTCAGGAGGCTCTGGAACTCGCGAACGTTGATAGCGGCGCCTACTCGGATTGCGGACATGTCTCTGATAGCTCTTGATTATGAAAAGAACATCGAATGTACGCTCATATGCGCGGACAAAATGAATACAAGTGCTATGAAAAGTAGGGTGTCATCGTAGGTGCCTATTCGACGAGACGAATGTGCTTGTGGGCTAACCGGTTGGAGGAAGTCGCGATCTGATGGCGGGGTTTGTGCGAGCTCAGCCCCAGTCAAATCCCATCCCGCATAACCTGAACGACCTACGAAGCTCCAGGCAACTACTCTCGCACTTTCTTACGTCCACAATGAATTCATGGAAATAAAAGAGTCGGCTTCTGTGGCTGCGCATTCTCCTGCTTTCGGTTCTGCTTTCGGTTGTGCCTACTCAGCTTAGAAATGCTGCTTTCGACTACGCTACATTTCTATCTTCGAATGTTTGAGAGCAGTCATGTCTGGAATCGAAGTTGCTGGCCTGGGTAAGGCGAATTGCTGGCAGTACATCTTGATACTGATTTGTGAGCAGTGAGTGTCTCCGCTACCCGCATGCCTGGGAAGATCGAATGCCAAGAGCATGTTGTTCCGTGTATTGACGGCACTAACGGATTGCACCCTGGCAGGTCTTGGGCGCATTACCACTGATTATAGCTGGTAAGAAAGGACCTACTACATCTCGTAATGCGATTAACTGAATGTTCTACAGGTATCGAAGCATACAATGACGGTCTCGATCCAGTAAAGAGCTTCATGCGATGGGAACGCGAGCTACCGGCCCTCATTCGCAAGCTCCGAAACCAGCATGTGCATTATGCGCAAACGATTCGTATACTCCTTGAGCCCATCGCGGACGAATTCGAGCTCGCGGAGCTTCTGCAAGAGCCGAACGGACAGTTATGGAAGGGTGACAAAATGGCGCGCAAGTTGAGCGAGCGGCTGGGAGACTCTTACAATGCGTACCAGGGCACAATCGGGGACATAGAGCGCATTACAAAGAAGATCGCCAGCAAGTTGGACCTCGATCGGGCAGCTGAGGTATGTTGCACCACTAGGCTGTCGGTATGGAGTTCCTTACTTACCCACAGCGCTAGCTCACACGGAACGAACTCGAAGCTATGCTGGTAGCCAACCCCAAGAAAGGAAACGATCGGTTCGAATTCCGTAGAAGGGTGAAATTTGGAATGTCCAAGAAGTCAATCAAAGCATTGCTCGAAGAGTTGGACGACTGCAACAAGGAGCTCGAAAGATTTACCGACAAAAGCGAAAGAATCGAGACAATTCGCCGGAAAATAATCAAGCCGTCGTTTGCGAACCGCCTGCAGCGCATTCAGAAATATGCTTTCACGTTGCACGAAACGCTCTCTACGTGTTGGTCTTGTACTTGTCAGTCATCGCATCGGACCAGCCTCCAGCTGGACCAGCGTAGCGATCTCTATACATCAGCCACTACAAACAAATTACGGCAAAGCTCTAAGACATGTTTCAAAGTATCATTCTCAAGCGATGCAGCAGACTCACAGTTGTGGGGTTGGCAAGCAGCAGAGATTCTCGTAGAAGACGAGGAGGATGACGACCTCTCGTTGCCTCGACCGCCCACGTTATCGAAGTAAGTGTTTGCGAACGAACTGATATTTATCAAGCCTTTGCTTGTGAGACCACGGGTGCAATTAACGGTCTGGCTGACACTGCACCTCAGATCGCGGAAAACAGTCTCCTTCGGGGATAAGCCGCCACCGCCTTATTCTGTGGACGACCCTACAACCTCTGGAGCTAGCCCGTCTTCACTTGAGGAGATCAAAGATTTGTGCGCGTCAATTCAAAAACTCCACAAAAGTTCACCCTGCATTGGCTTCTCTTTCGACACAAAAAGTAGATTGCGGGGCGCGTATACGGTAGATACACTTACCAGAAAGCAAGTTGCTCCTTCCGAGCTGCTTACATTGGAACAGCTTCTCGATCAGCCGCCTACCATTAAAGGAAGAGTTGTTAAACTGAGCAAGAAGGAACGATACAGCCTGGCTCTTACACTTGCAAGCAGCACCCTGCAGCTAAACGCAACACCATGGTTCAAAGATCAGTGGTGCGCGAAGGACGTTTTCTTCCATCAGACCGAGAGTGGCCCCCGGCTAGTAGACATTGACCGACCATATGTCGTGCCGAAAATCGAAGTTCTGGCGACTCTCACCAGTCGTCCAAAGAGGAGCTTCCAGAACAAGAATACCGTCTTGCTAGCGCTTGCGGTTGCACTGTTGGAGCTATATTTTGGCGTCAGTGCGGAGAACCATCGTAATCTAGAGACACAACCCGCCGGAGCCTTCAATCCTTGGATGCTTTGCGCCATGGCTTATGAGTGGGCGGACGAGGAACAAGAGAACCTCTCAGCAGCTTTTTCAGGTGCAGTGAGTAAGTCAGACCATCCTCGTTCCTACGACGCAATTGGACATGTACTTATATTGAATTCACGTCCAGATCACTGCTTGCGTTGCTTTAATGATCCTAGTGCCAACTTGCAAGACGCTGAATTCCTGCAAGCGGCCGTGGAGTGTATCGTGCTCCCGTTGCAAGAAGAGCTCCATCAATTCCTGGGTAAGGCCGGTCCATGAGGCCTACGATGAAATTGCGCCATCTGTAGGACCCTGAGTGCGTTCACACCAAAATGAGACCGTGCCCGAAGACCGTGGCCTGGAGTACGGAAGTCATCAGCAGATGGTGCTTTGCCACCGGCCGCAACCCAGTGATGTCTCGTATCTTTACTCCGGTCCACGTGGCTAAGGTCTGTCATGAAGATCCGGGAATCCGGGGTAAGAACTAGCGCGTGCTCGCGCAACCGCTAGACTCGACGTCTTTGATCGTGAACAATTCCTATTGATACGCAGCGAAGCGTTGATACACCTGGGATCCGGCAACTTGCAGCCTCGTGATGTCGGCACGCGAGGGCACGTCATTGGCTTCTTTCCCGCAATCAACGTGCTGCAGGTCAACTCGGGTAAGACAGGGGGTCGGGAGACTCTTGTGACCGGGGAGAGGCATGTATCTGATGCACAGCGGCGCACAGCAGCCGAGATGGCGGCGCCACCAGCCCGAGCTACCGAGTACGTTTGCCAATGGAGGGCCATGAGGCGTAGCACCTGGACGGCTTGAGCAACGGTGATACAGGTGAAAGCAAGTGGTAGTGGCGACCGTAAACATTAGTGGCCTCCATGATTTCGGCCCTCTCGCTTGCATGTAGTGTTTGATGTTAATCGCAGTGATCAAGTACGTCAGGTGCGCGTGTCAAGGTTCACCAACCCAGGCGTTTGCCGCTCAGACTGCCCGGTCTCAGCTACTGAGTGATTGTCGAGGTGTGCATAGGCAGCGCCATCATGTGGGGAGCCAGAGTTTCCTAGCCCGCATGTTTGCATGATTGGGGCCTTGTTGCGCCAAGGCGAGCAGATCAAGCTCGAATGCTTGTTGCCCAAAAGCTCGATTTTGACGCCGCGCAATGGCTGAGGCCTGAGGTCGATGGCGGCAGCAGGGCACAACGGCGCAGCCAAGCGAACGGCGGCAAAAAGCAGACAGCGGCGGCGGCGCACTTGCCAAGAAAGACGAGTGAAACACAAGGTTGGTTGGCCGGCGGGCGTGGAGCAGCTCAGGGACGGCCACGGGCGCTGGCGAATGGCAGGGCGTGCTGCAGAGCACTGCAGATTGCCTCCGATCGACGAGGTCCACGGGTGGGTCGTTATCACGGCTTCACGCTTGCGAAAAGGGGCACACGCGGTCGACTCGCACGGCGGTGTCGCAACTGCCTATTAATAAACGCGGTCGGGCTGGAGGAAGTCCGCAAGTGATGTGAGGGCGCGGACAGCGTTGCGACTACGGGTCGCCCAGGGCAAGACGCAAAGCCGGCGTAGCGTCGAGGCTCACGCAAGCTAGCATCGCCGAAACAACAAAACAGAGCGCCCGAACAACGGGCGCTCGTCACTGCTTGTTGTCGGCAGCGCATAATAACACGGTCGGCCAGCCCAGAGCGTCGCCAGCAGACGTGCAATTATCCCTTTACCAGTGACGCACTATCTCGCCTTGGGAGACACCCGTGGCCCGTGCAGCCGACTTCCCAGACTACAACAGGGCTCTTTCCTTGGACTCTCCTCCCAGACCGTCGCCCTCGCCCGCAGACCGCCTCTCGCTCCCACACTCACTGAAGCAGCCCATCGTTCGCCCGTCTGCAGCGCAGCCTGAGCCCGCCGCTCGTTCACCGCCGCCGCCATGGCACAATCGTAAGCGCTCCCCTGGGGACGGCCCATCGATGGCACCGCTAATGGCGAGCAGCATAGCAGACTCGTGGAAGTCGTTCTGGCACACAATGACCTCGTATGACCGGCACGCCTCCCACAACTCGCCCTACCGCACCGGCCGCCACATTCCTCTGCCCCAGAGCCGACATGCTCCCCTTAGCAACGTCGCAACCAGCGGCGCCGAGTCCCGCGTCGATCTCTCCTCGCCCTACACTCACGACGAGCCGGCCATGAGCAACGGCTTCATTGGCTCGCCCAAGGGGCCCCTCTCCCCTTCGTCGCCCTACTCCCCCGGCATGCGTTCCACGCTGAGCCGCCAAGCAACGGCGGACTCGGACACCTTCGACAAGGGCGCCAATGGCGAGATCCAGATGCGCGACTTCAACGAGGGCCTCCCTCCAGCCCCGCCCGTCGGCCACTCGTGGCGGCGCATCGACCGCTGGGTCGAGGACAAGTACGAAGAGCTTTTCGACAATCTCTGCGAGGGTGCGACGTCAAATGATGTCAACGAGCTTGAGCACGAGCTCGATGCCACCCTTCCTATGGATGTGCGCGAGTCGCTGCAAATCCATGATGGCCAGGAGCGCGGTGGTCTCCCCACTGGGATTATTTTTGGGTGCATGCTGCTTGATTGCGAAGAAATCGTCATGGAGTGGCAGAATTGGCGGAAGGTGGCCGAGGAGTACCTCTCACCCAAAACAGACCCCAGGGCGACGCCCCAGATACCAGTCAAGGCTTTCGCCGGATCATCGACCGCACCGCCCGTCGCACAGGTTCAGCAATCCAGCAACCCGCTCTGGCGACAAGACCTGCTAGCTCGCCAAGACTCTCAGCCGCCGAACGCTGTGCAGAAGGCTTACGCCCACCCTGCCTGGATCCCGCTCGCTCGCGACTGGGGAGGCAACTACCTCGCTACCGATCTTGCTCCCGGTCCCAGCGGTACCTGGGGACAGATCATCATCTTCGGGCGCGACTACGACTGCAAGTATGTCGTGGCTCGCTCGTGGGGGGCTCTACTCGCCATGGTTGCAGATGATCTCAACACCGACAAAGTCCATATTGACGAAGATAGCGGTGAGCTGAAGCTGCTAGAATTCAAGCGACAGAACGTAGAGCCGCCCTACCTTGAAATCCTCCGCTGGCGCACCGACCAGAAGTACGGCCGGCGTCAACCGAAGAAGCGGCCCAACAGCACCCTCCGCGTCAACTCCAATCCTCCCACAGCGGCAGGTCCGAGCAGCGCCGGCAGCAGCCCATACGGTAGCCCCGTAATTGGACCAGAGGATCGTGGCAGGAGTCCTCATCGCCTGTCGCAAAAGCCCAAGAAAAAGGGCGCCAGTCCGATGTCCAGCCCGCTCGCCAGGGTTGCGGAAGAAGGACCGCAACCGATCCGTATCCAGACCAACATCGACGCCAAAGCTGGTCTGCCCATGGAGAAGCTCATCTCTGTAGACACACCCCGACCAAGCGACGACTTCCCTCCTGTTAGGCAGAGCTTTGGTAGCGACAAGGAAAACAAAAAGGAGTCAAAGCCGGCTTCGTTGAAGAGCCCAGCCACAATGGAAGGGCCTGAACTGAAGACCGTCGAGTTATAGAAGTCTGACAAATTTGAGACAGCTCACCGCATCTTCGACTTCTAATGATCCATTCTCTTCGGGGCCGCTGGATACGGGCAGTGCTACATCGGTATTGCACTTAATCTTTCTTAACCACTTCAATCCTTGGACAGCAGGGCGTATCTTGGCGTCGTGAGAATACCTGGCGGAAGCCACATGTTTTGAGTTGGCGATACACGGCTGGAGTACTATGAACACATGCATTTCGAATTTCAAGCAGCTCGCATGTTGCGGGAGACACTCTCCTTTTTCGATTCACATCCTGGAGCAACACAGGTCGGCGGAGGCAACGACGTAATAGATCTGCTTTTCGGCCTGGCCGCTATACGCGTCAGCATTCCTCACTTTCTTCGACCACTGTCCTTCGTACACCACCATCTGGGGCGTTCAGCGCATAAGCATGAGACACACATGGAACATGTTTTTAGCATCGGCGGATTGAAGCTTTTTGCACTTGGAGTGAGAAGTTGGGGTTAACACTTTGGATTCGTCAGCGGGCTTTGACAGCTTTTTCGTTGACTGGCAAAGGAGCAGTGCACATGGGGTGGTCAGCGAGCGTGTTTAAACAGTGTATGCGATTTGGCGGTAGTGTACGAATTTCCTAGGGAAAGCATATGGGATACGTAGGATGAATTGAGTGAAACCAAACTTTACGTTACACTGCATGATTTGCGCAGACCTTGTCCAAGCAAGCGGAGAGGTTGGAGATGTGATGCCGATGTTCACGCACCCTACGATCGAAGCTGTCGCAACTTTCTGGGTACAGACGACGAACCATCAAGGAAATGAATGACAAAATCTTGCCTCCATCGCGGCTGGTTGCACATAACTCATTAGAAAAAAAGTGCAGATAGTGGGGAACTGTATATTTTCAAGCCCGCTACATCCTGTTTTGCCGGCCGCGTCAGGATTTTCCCCCTGGCGCGGTGGACTGATCGCAACATGCATTATTTGAGGTCATAGAAATCGATCTCGCCGATTCGTTCGATCTTACGATCTGTCAACAGCGATTCGAGTGGGTCGGAATAGGACTTGATCACTGAGGGCTAGATTTATATGCAGATGGCGCAAGATTAGCTATGTCATTGGGAGCGTACGATAAGAATTTTGATCAGGTATAAGATGCAATTGCTCTTTTGTGGTTGTCCGGAACTTTAGTCCGTCGCGCGGAGGTAGGCGCGCATGACTCGTTTCTGCCGTTGGCGCGGATTAACTGATCATCCGAGCGCCCGCGCCCGCATCATCGTGAAGTCGCGGTGTGCCGCGCCTGCAGTGCCCGGCGAGCCGTCGTCTTTCACCACCAACAACGCCCCTGTACAACTAGCACGCGGTGGTATTGATAGCCCACCAAGTCGTCCGCTGCCCCCGCATTGCACCGGATTCGAGTACCCCGCCAGTCCTTGCGTGACCGCGGACTTCCGCCCTTCATTGTCCAGCCTTACCGAAAGGGCTTTCTGACACCAACAATTGCGACGACGGCGCGAGCGATTTGTCGAGCCTCTCACACGATCATCGTTGTTTGTGAATCCTCGTCAGGTGGAGAGATATTGGCCTCGTGGGTCTCGCATGCGAGAGGAAGGTTTGGGAGAGAACAGTATAAAAAGCGCTGGAGTCCGACGGCTGGCTGACAGAGTCTTGTCTTGATCGCCCTGAACGACGCGACTTCCAGATTGAACTTTTGAGTAATACACCGCGCCCGATACCTTGTACAGCGCGATCAGTCCGCGACTAGGTGACAATATGACAACTCGCAAACGACGCGCGCCCGGCGCATCTCCTGTAGTCCCGCAAAATACGTTCCAAGACCCTAGCGCGACAGGATCAGACACATACATGAACAACTGGGAGCCTGCGTCAGCAGCGGGAGACATGAGCGGGTTTGGCGATGGAGCGTTCTACGACCAGCTTGGGGGAGGTTATGGCGCGAACTTTGGTCAACAGCCGTCGACGCACAACCGCGTTGTGTCACTGGATGGACTGAATGATGGTGCAGATATGGGTGCCGGTCAACTAGTCAGGCGGAATCAGAACCAACAACTTGCAGCTAGAGGGCGCAGTCCATGGGGATTCAACGAGCAAAATCAGCCGAATGCATGGGAGAACACGGACGACGACGAGGAGCTGGAGCGGAAGGCGGCCATTGCTAAAAAGGATGCGTCTGCGAAGAGGAAAACGATACCACCGTTTGTCCAGAAGCTCAGCAGGTATGTTCTGCTTGTCCGCTTCCTTGGAAACCATTTGACTAACATGAGCTAGCTTCCTTGACAACGGCAACAACACAAACCTCATCCGCTGGTCCGACGACGGCAATTCATTTATAGTTCTTGACGAGGATGAATTCGCGCGAACGCTTATCCCAGAGCTTTTCAAACACAACAACTATGCTTCATTCGTGCGGCAGCTGAACATGTACGGTTTCCACAAGAAGGTCGGCCTCTCCGACAACTCGATGAAGGCGAGCGAGACAAAAGCAAAGGCGCCGAGCGAGTATTTCAACAAATATTTCAAACGCGGACGACCAGAGCTGCTCTGGCTGATCCAGAAACCCAAGAACGCCCCCGCCGGCGGTCCGAAACGGAAGAGGGATGACGATTTGAAAGGCGACAGCGACGAAGAAAGGAAATACGCACCCGATGGGGGCGGAGGAGGCTATGTTGAGGAGCTAGCTGTGCGAGGAAACAACGAGGGGATGGCAATGATACCACGAGCGGAATATAACAGCTTGCGCGCGGAGGTGCGGACGCTGCAGCAACAGCAAAAGGTTATATCGAACGTCTTAGGCCAGATACGGAGGCAAAACGACCAACTCTATCAGCAAGCAACGGCGTTCCAGACATTGCACGACCGCCACGAGAACTCGATCAACGCCATACTTACTTTCCTCGCCACTTTCTACAACCGGAGTCTCGAAGGCAATACCAACAACATCAATATTGCGGATATGTTTGGCTCTGCGATGGGTAATCAACAGCCGCAAGGTAGTGTCGTTGATATGGAAAACTACCCCGAGGTTCCCATCGCCAAGTCACCGCAACTGCAAAAGAGAACGCCCATGAAACTCCTTCCGGCACCGCCCGCAAGAAATGTGGAATCACTCTCGCCTCGTGCAAAGACTGTTAGCCCAACCGTCCGGACTGCGTCTAACACTCCAATAGCCATCCCAGACGAAAGGTCAACCCACTTCCAGCCTAATCTGCCCCAGTCTCGGACCGCTAGGCCTTCGAATCCTAGAACACCTTTTGGCGGCCCTATGAAGGTCGAAAGTGCCTCCCCGTCCCAGGAGCCCATGCCTTTACCAGAGAACCACGAGATCATGTCTGCGATCCAGAATGCCAACGCTAATGCGACTGCCGGCGGCTTTAGCCACGCCCCGCAGATCGACCTGCCCGCAGCTCTAAATAGCTACCAGCACCAAGACGGCCACACGCCCCTGACCACACAACAGCGCAACGACGTCCTCTCTCTCATGGCACAAAACACCTCCGCCGCCTCCCCCAATAGTGCCTTCGCCGCAAATACCAACAACGCCCTCAACAACCCGCAGCCCCCGCCCATGCCGAATCTCGACCAAATGCAGGAGACGGAAGCCCAGCTCGCGTACCTGCAGCGCGTCTCCGAGGAGCAGAATTCCCGTGTGCAGAGCCTGCAGGAGCGCCTCCAGCCGCTTAGCCCTTCGGGCCAGATTCCGGGGCTGGACAGCGGGAATGGGTATTTTGGTGGTGCAGGGCTCGGGGAACCCGGCGCGTATGACCTCGATCTTGATAGTTTTGTCCAGGACAACGACTATTTCCCAGGCACGACGCAGGATGGCAGTGCAAGCATGCAGGATCCGACGCTCCCGGATTTGAATTATCAGCTCACAGGGGATAATTCGGGCTTCGGGGTTGACGATGATGTCGGCGAGGGGTTCAACTTTGGGGATGGGGATGCTGGTGTTGTTGATGGAGTGGAGGGGAACGGACATTTGGGGGTCAAGGATGCGGGAGGTACGGTGGAGAGTGTGAGTTCTAGTGCGACGAGTCCGGCGAGTGCGACAGTGGAGGAGGTCGAGGATGAGAGTAGAAGAAGGAGTCCGAAGAGGAGGCGGAAGTGAGCTCATTCGAAGGGGTGGGGGAGGTGGAGGGAAGTAAAAGCTTTAGACTCTGTTTGAGTTTTGGAGTGGAAACGGAAGGGAAAGGAGGAGAGGAGATTCATGACGTTATGATAGCGAGGGGGCATGGATGGCGTTTTGGGTGTGTGTGGGCTTGAACAAGTAGTTGTACATAACTACTGACCTGCCTTGTCCTCATTCATTTAGAGGAGAGGAAGAATCGATACCCGTTCTCCATAGCAAGATTCGATCCATGGTTTGATGTGTGTGGTTGCTGTTCTGTGATGTTGTTTGGAGTGATGTTGGCGATAGGGATGGGTGAGGTGGAAGTGCTAGAAATCTTGCCCGTTCTGAAGGAGCACACTGTACCCACTCTGTTGTCACGATGCTGCACTATCGCTGACATTGCTATGTGTGAGCCAGGGACAACAGAACGGCTCCAGCTGAGCTTCGCTTCCCATTTATTTGACCCAGTTGGCGTCAATAACATGGAACTGATTCTGCTCGATCAGGCTCCACCCGATGTGGTGCTGAAATATCTCCCTCAAGTTGGCTTTGAAGATCTGGAATATGTCAATAAATTCGCTGGCGCTGGGAAGCGCACACGTACATCCCAATGTCTGAAGTACTCATAAGGTAACCGATGCGTTCTGCCTAAGACATCCTCAAAGAGCATTCGATCCCTTAGGAACAGGCCCGAAGCTCTTGGTAGCAGGGCCTAAAATGTTGTGGATTGCCATAAGAACGTATGGCGAGATGGATCTGAAAGTGCTTTGGTTCAACCTCAACGAATGATGCAGGACCGGAAGTCGCACACAAGATATCTTGCAAGTGCAATGAGCTTTCTATGGATTCCAGTAGCCGGAGGAATTTGCGTTAACAAGTGAATGATCCCATTTTCATGCTAACCATGAGCTCACTTACAAGTCACACAGCTGATGGCCAATGTCTTGTAGCAATACAGGATATTCTCGCTCCGGGGGGAAGTCGTGCTCCAGGCGATGTTATGGCCTAGCTGTGGACTCTGCAACCGCCTGATCGAATCAAGTTTCCCGTCTTGACATCACTAGTCCCAAGCATCGAAAACGTACACTCGCTTCCAGGGCGCATACCGGAAGAGTGAAAGCGGATATCATTATCGTATGCATTAGGATATGTCACGGATCCTGAGCCAGTTGAAGGCACAATCGGAATGTCAGCTATAGCTGGATTATGCAAATGCCTTTTCTAGGTCAGCCCCTAGCTGTTCAAGCGTCTGACGGCAATTTCTATACCTAGCTGACATACACCGCTTGGGACTTCATCTTGGTCGATAAGTATTGTTTCCAATGGCAGCAGTGAGATTTTGAATCTTTCCGTCCTTTCGAGCTTGAGACACTCCCTGGCTATGGATGTGCTCTCGCAGGCGAAGCAAGATGGTATCCAGTCTGTCTTCGCTGGCGGATAGCAAGATATCTTGCAAATCATACCTTGCTCTAACACTTGAAGTGCATCCACTCACATCAAGCTCAAATGAGGAACCATTTTTGGATTTCTTTTACATTATGCTTGCACTTTCCAGATGCATATTATTGGTACGGGTCGTTTCATTGATGCTGTTGAACATATCCGACAGTTGCAGCGGCGTGTAGTGACGTCATTGCTGATCTTGAGAAGGCAGAACCACGCCTTCGATCGATGTCGGACAGAATATCTTGAATCAACCTATTTCCAGCACTCTGAAAATGCTCTACCACGACACGCCTCAGCCTGCAACTTGAACTTGGTTGGCGTACTGGCGATAAGGACCGCCTAATCCGATCGGTCGGTCGGCACCTCTTCACTACCCACTCACCGGCCTTCTGCCCCATCAACAGTGCCTCGTATTCGATCGCGTATCACTAGCCAAAAGAGAACACAGCACACGACATGCCCAATGCATTGTTCCCCCTACGCCGATCCGAGTGCTCAGCCCTGGTCCGCGCGAGCACGGTCCACCGCTCAGCCTTGGTACCTCGTGACCCAAAACGGAAGTAGTAGAGCGCAAGTGACGTTGAGGTTCGCCTGATGATGTGGACGAGGCGTTTTGGGTTTGAGATGATGGATATATAGGGTCGTTGTGGACAGGAAGTTGAGGGCAGAAAACACCAGTCCACCGATTCACATCTTGTAAAGTCACAGTCACATACTGAGACTTCAACATCGAGGTCTCGGGAAAGAACGACGAAGCCGTCTTTACTTCGACCTAGTGCGTGAGCATAATCCTAGGCTCTACGCTCTTACTTCCACGAACTCTGCGCCCAAACAGGCCCCATTTCCTATTCCCAAGTCACGCCGACGCACAATTCAAAAACCCCAGATTCAAAGTCCGACAATCATACGACATGGGTTGCGGCTCCTCAAAGCAGTATTCCGACTACCCGCCCCCAATGAGGCAGCGGCGTGGTAGAAGACATGGCGGAGGATACCATCACTACGGCGCTTCGAACGGTGCGAGTGTAGGTTTCTGGGGTGGCGGTGATGGAGGAGGTGGAGGATTTGGTGGAGACGGAGGAGGCGGCGGTGGTTGTGGTGGAGGAGATGGCGGAGGGGGTGGTGGCGGCGGAGGAGGATGCTAAGAGCCGGCTTGCTCATGGAATCTATGAATACACACACGACATGGCATGGAGTTTTGTATACGTTTACGATTACGTAGGAGTTATGGGGAGCTCGTTTATTGTGTCTTTAGACAGCCTGGAAGGACTTGACCTGTTCTGATTTGGATATCCCTGAATTCAGTTTGTCGTATCCAATAATGCACTCTCCTTCTCAGGTGGTGAAGCTTCAACTGTTTGCCCTGGCTCTTCCGTCGCCGCTATCCAGCTGTACAAGATTCACAGTGCAAAGACAACAGCAGTGAGTGCGCAAGTAGTGCCAACGTACACACGCCACTTCTTGTCCTCGGGGAGCGTGCTTAGATATGACCATACATCCTTGTACTAAGTACAGAGATGCAGTACGAGAGTTGATGTATTGAGGCTTCCCAATAAAAGTTCAGTGAGGTGGATTTCGTATGATTGAAATTTACAGGTAGCAACCGGCACATCTGTGCCATCGTCGAGGAGTGCTCGATGCGAGAAATGTCTTCACTATAGTGCGGTCAACGTGTTTTTCAAAAAGTCAATAAAGATTATGTGCTATGCAGCGTAGTGTGGTACGTTGGCCGCGCTGTGCGTACGGCCTGACACCAACCTAGCCGGCACGGACTTGGACCGAGATACGATAGAAGATTGGTTCCACGAAGGGCAGCCTATGTGGACTCGAGGTACGTTGGACTGCGAACGTGGAGTTGATGGCGGTGGTACGAGTAAAATTAAAGGTTACTCGGCGACAACACATTCGAGCAGCACTCGCAAGCAGATGGAACAAACATCAAACAATGCCATGTATTTTTGCCAACGCAGCTACCGCTCCCCACGCCTCTTGACGTAAGTCCGCTATGAGACTATCACGTACATGCTCCCTAGAACACGATCTAAACCAAACACAAACACCCCATTCCGTGCTTGAAGAATCTACTATTACACTCTTCCACAACAACAAAGGTTCGCCACAAGCAGTGGTGATACAAACAATCCGATACCAAACAGACAAGATTAAATAAAGAAAACAAACAACGAGGAGACCCGACCCAGGTCCTGAAATGCCGGATAAGATCGGATCAGATGCACATGACGCCTTGCGCAAATAATGGGTAGAAATGTGTATGATGTATACGTGGTGGTGGTACAGTGGTACAGTGTGTGCGTGTGAGATGTGTGGTCGGCGTGGTGTGTTTTTCTAGACCTGGCCATCGGCCACAGCAAGGCGCTGCTTTGCCGTCTTCGCCTTCTTGGTCATGCCCTTGCGCCGCTTGCCTCCGGGTGGAGCTTCCGCGTTGGACAGCGGTGTAGCTGCACCGCTGGGCCTCTCGCTGGTGTCGAAGTGACCTTCGCCTAGAATTTGTTAGTACTGTAAACGGATGATCGGAGAAGTAGAGACTCACCCTCGTGATACATGTCGTCTAAGCTGGCCTCTGCCACCTTCTTCGTCCGCTTGCGCTTCTTACCGGCGGGTGCGTTCTTCTCCGCCTCTGCGAGTTCGGCCTCCTTCTTCTCAATCTCAGCAGCTTGCTCATCGTCTGCAAGCCACAAGGCGATATCCTTGGTGCGGTTCTCGCGAGACCGAGTGTTGAAATCGACCTGGGCACCTGCGCCTCCGGAAATGACGACGCGCTGCACTTCTTCCTTCTGCAACGCACGCTTCCGGATGCGTTCTTCAATTGTACCACGGGTGATGAGGCGGTACACTGTAACCTGCCTAGTTTGTCCGAGACGATGTGCACGATCCATAGCTTGTGAATCAATTGTAGGATTCCAGTCCGAGTCGTAGAAGATGACGGTATCGGCTGCCACGAGATTGATACCCAGACCACCAGCGCGTGTTGACAGCAAGAAGACGAATATGTCGGAGCCGGGCGCTTGGAATTTCGCGACTGTATCGCGACGATCCTCGAGCTTGGTGGAACCGTCCAGACGACAGTATTTGTACTTCCGGTAGGTGAGGTATTCCTCCACCATATCCATCATCCTTGTCATCTGGAAGTAGAGTAGGACCCGATGGTCATTCGCCTTGAGGTCCTTGAGAAGCGCGTCCAGCTTGGCAAGCTTGCCAGAGTCCGTCACGAAGCGCTGCATGGAAGGCACATCGATGTGGCCATAGCGTGTTCGTGTATTTGTCGGTGACGGGAGTTTGCCCGCCACGGCAAGGTCGGAAGTAACAGCCTTCGACTCTAGGAGGGTTTGCTCGCGTTCGGAGTTTTGAGAGAAGCCATATAATGCGTTGCGCATGTAGGTATTGAAGAATGTGTTTTGCTTCTCTGCTATGACACCTTGGCTGGAGCAGTATAGCTCAACTGGAGGGGCGGACGCGGCCGGCTTGGCGCATGGCTCGATAATGTTAAGACCAGTCTCTTCGAATGATGCTTGGGACACGTTGAGCAAGTTCTGCATGTAGCCATTGGTAGTAACCTCGGCCAGTGCAACTCGGTCCTGGCGTTCGACGATGTTGAGCATCGAATGTTTAGGCGCATATGCGCCGGCTTCCTCATCATACAGGATGTTGAAGCGGGCTAGCTGCTTTGTTTGATCAGAAAGATCAACGGCTCGTCGAAACAAGTCTTTCCGTGCAATCTTAGATGCCTCTGAAGCTGACACATTCGCCAAACCAAGCCATGAAAACGCGCCGTTCTCCTTAGAGGACTGCTGGACGTTATCTTGGCTCCAGATGTTCATCAGGTTGTAGAGGTAATGCCCTTTGAATCCGGCCTTGGGGTTTTCCGATCCTGCTATGTCAAGCCGACCACCATTTCGGCAGACGAGGCGCGGCAGACGATACTCGATCAGATTCCGGGTAGAGTATGCTACATTGACGTTTTGGCCTTCGCGCATGAAAGAGGCCGTCTCGGCATAGTGTGCGAAGGAGAAGGGCGACCAGGTATCCGTTCGTTCGAACAGATCTGGGTGATTGCAAACCTTACGGAATTGCATGACGAGATTCATCAGCGTAGCACTGTCTTGCTCGTCTCCCACCGCTTTTTCAATAAGATCCATCAAGCTGATCTTGTTGCGAAGACTGGTGTAGTACGCTCGCTGCCTATAGGTCAGATCACAGAAGACGTCCAGTTCGATCTTGTCACCAAGCTCTTTCTGGACATGCTTCTTGACACGCCGGAGCATAAACGGCTTCAAGATCATGTGTAGACGCTTCAGCTGATCCTCGTTAAGCTTTGTGTTGCTCTGTGCGTGGCTTTCAATGTCCTTAGAAAACCAGTCGCTGAACTCGTCGTGAGAGTCGAACAAGCTTGGCATGATGAAATGCAGAAGTGCCCAGAGTTCTTGCATGTTGTTCTGGATGGGTGTACCAGTGAGAAGCAGACGATTGCGTGTATTGAAACCCAGTAAGCTCTTCCAGCGCGAACTCTGGGACGACTTGATTGCCTGAGCTTCATCGAGAATCATGTACTGCCAGTGCATCTTCTGGAAATATTGCGCGTCCTGTACGACCAGCTGATAAGATGTAACGAGGACGTGCATTTGTGACTCGCGGTTATACACGCGGTGTTTCCTGTCCCAATACTTTCGCAAGATTTTTCGGTCTCCAGCAGTGCCCCAGTACGGGATGACTTTGAAATCCGGAACAAACTTGGCGATTTCCTGCTGCCAATTGTGCAACGTAGAGGCGGGCGCAATGACCAGGAACGGGCCCCAGTAGTTGTGCTTCTCAGCCAGATAAGCCATGACGGAGATCGACTGTACAGTCTTTCCGAGACCCATCTCGTCAGCGAGAATACCGTTGATACCTTGCTCGTATAGGTTGACAAGCCAATTGAGACCCTTCAGCTGGTATTCTTTCAGCGTGCAATTGAGCAATTTTGGTTGAGGAATGAAGTCCTTCTCGTCTTGTAGGCCCGATGGGTTCTGGAAATTGAGCTCTCCTTCGTCTTCATCTTCGCCACCAGTGTTGTTGAACGCGCGAGCTCGGTCTTGAGCTTCTTTAACAGCGTGTTGGGCATTGGCCATGGCAGCAGCGTGCAAGGCGCTCTCGTCGTCATTGTCGAAGTCAAGGTCTTTGAAGTCGGTGACCTTCCCGGCAGGCGCGCCGTCATGCGATACGTTGATGGAGGGCCCGGCTGCGGGAGCTGAGCTGTCGGCTGCGGCATCTGCATCGTCGGTCGACCGCTCGATTTCCTCGGTCTTGGCTTTTTTGCCGATGAAATGGGAGTAAAGTTCGGTCTGCTGGATAAGGAAGTTGAGCTTCCTCTTCTGGCGGTTGGATTCCTTCTCTGCTTCCGCTTTCCGTGCGTTCTCCAGCTCTGCTCGCTCGGCCATTTTGCGCTGGTCTCGCTCGTCGCGCTCGTTCCGCTTCCAGAATCCGAGCATCTCACGCATGCTTCGCTTCGCCCGGGCTTGAACATCCTTCATGCTCTTATTCGTGCGCATCTGCCATCGGCGAGCTTCCTTAGAGGCCAATTGTGCAGTCTTGCGCAGGTTGGACTGCTTAGTGGCCAGTGAATTGTCCTTGATTCTGAATACTTTAGGAACGTCCTTCTTTGCGATGTCTTTCCATATTTGGTTGTAGAGATTCTGATATGCCTGGGAGTTGTAAGATGTGAGGGTAATGGGACCCAGGTCTTCTGTCCCGCTTCGGCTTTTCAGTGCGTCAAGACGGGCCTCTTCTCGAGGCGCAATAGGTGGAAGCTCGTCTCCGCGATCGAGGGCAGCCTGGCCAGCAGCGGCAGCATCCTTCTCTGCCTGCTTCTGTTCCTTACTCTTCTTAAGACGCCCGCCGGATCGACCGCCCTTGCGCTTTCCACCCAGTTCATCCGACGCTTGGAAGGAGCTCATCGTACCTCCGATGAAGTTGGGCTCGTGCGGAGTGACCTCTCGGAAATCCTTGCTAGGCGCGTTGCCCTGGAGGAGCTGACTAGTGGTCTTTGCCTTCCGTTCAGCCTTTGAAGCTTCGCGCAGATGTTTCTCCCGCTCTTCCTCATTTTCCGCCGCGTTGGCTCGCTGCAAAGCCTCCTCCCGCTTCTGCTCTTCGTTTTGTATCGTCTTCTCTCGCCGCCGCTTGCGTTGCATGTCTTTCTTGCGCTCCTTTTCCTCGGCAATCTCCTGGTTCTGAACCTGCTGCCAGGCCTCGGACTCATGCTCGACACTGTATGTCTGTTTGGCGATATCGCGGTGAGCACTCGAGACGTCAATAAAGCGCGATAAGGTAGCATGACGCCGCCGCTGTCCCTGTTAGTAAGGACGATTTGACCATAGCCGGGGTCTATCATACCTTGCGTTTGCTGCTTTCCGTGGCCTCCACTTCAAGGGCATGCTTGCGAGTCTGCAATGCATATTCGTCCTTTTCTTGCTGATATTCTATGCCAAAGGTGTCTACGTCCTTCATCTCATTCGTCTCAATATGAGCCAGGGCGGCTTCGACGGCAGCCTCATCGGGAGCGGGAAGCTCGCGGGGCACGAGCCGTGATGGCGGGGGCGCACTGCCGACGGGCGGCATGCTTTCGTAGTGTACCGCTCGGGGGTCCTGGTATGGCAGGTCGGCGGGTGCCGGCGACAGGACTGCCTCCTGTTTGACGTAGAGCGGGTTGGGCGAGGGTTTGGAGAAGGCGCGGGAGTCGTTGATCGAAGGCAGCTGTTGAGGTTTGGAGGGCGGCTCGGGGTCGGCGCCAGAGTCCATGATGCTGGATAGCGACATGGGGTCGCGCTTTGGCGCGGGCGGAGGGGCCTTTTCGAACTGTTGTCAGCGATTGTATCCACGTCGCCGGGGCGATTGTACTGACCTCTTCCTTCACCGACGGCCGCCGCTCATAGTGCTGTGGCGGCGGCTGCACAGCTCCGTGGTTCATTGCGTGATAGGCGCTCGGAGACGCGGGCGAGTGGGACATTGCCTCCATGCTGGCGGCGATGCGGCCGTTGGAGGCCGGGCGCTGCAGCGGCGAGTGGTGTGGAAAGGAGCTGGCGACAGGCGAGCGGTACGGGTTGTTGTACGGGCTCTGCGGCGGGCGAGTGTCCGGGTAGGCGTGCGGATCTCGAGTCTGCTGAAGCTGTGTTAGCTCGGCATCCCTGCATGAACAAATTGTAGACGGCAACACGGCGGCGGGTGGAGGGAGATGGCAACGCGTACCTGTGATGGATAGTGGCTCTCGTAACGCGCAGCGGTGCCGTGGGGCTGTCCTACGCCATGATCTGAGGTCGGATCGTAGTAGGAAGACTTGGATGCCGTGTAGAGGGCCGTGCTGAGCGGCGGGAGCTGCTCGGTCTGGGCGGGCGACGTGGGTGCGCGATGGTGATGGGGCGAGTTATGGGGGTAGGTTGGGTGATGGGCGGCGGGCGTGGTGGGCGAGGTCAAAGGGCGCGCGGTGCTAGGTGTTTGTTGCGTGGTTGGCGTTGGCCTCTGGTAAGCTGGCTCCCCTGGCGTGGGCTGCATTCTGTCTCGCGTGAAGCGCTCGCTCCTGTCCTCTTCAACCGAGCTTCGCTGATCGCGGAACATCAAGGCGCGCGACGGGCAGTTCGGCGCGCTCTGGCTACTCCATCGACTCCGCCAGCGGCCGGTGCCAGGAGCGTGCAGCTACGACGGCGGCGACTGCGCGCGCAGTGCGGCGGCAGCGCGGTGGAGCTGGGGTAGCACGGCACGCGTCGCAGAGGCTGGAGATGCACGCAAGTGGGAGGCGCGGCGTGGAGATGGGATGGATGGGATGGGATGGGATGCGCGGGGAGGGAGGCGTAACGGCGAGCCAGCAGACCAGTGGACAGGTGCAGAAGCAGATGGTGGGGAGGGGAGGTTCTGCCACACTTCTCTTCTTCGGTGTCGAACCCGGCCTGCTTGCTCTTCAACGGGTGTGGGATGCACCAATAAATGGGGTCGCCGGCGCCATGTCTGCGCCCGCTGCGTCTCTACGTGCATGCTCTGCCTGTCCCACGGCGTCTCGCGGGCGTGGTCACTTGGCCGCACCGCCCAGCAGCTCCGTTCACCTGCCCCGACTGCTGAAAGCCGGCGGTCCAGTTCATCGCGCTCGCAGCCTCACCCAGCGCTCGGCTAAACCTAACCCATCGAATGGGGCCATGCGCATCATCCCGCCCGACGCCGCAATGCTTTCTGCGTGCGCCTTGTGGCCTGCCTTCCGGGCGCGTCGCGTCAGACCTGTTGGTGAGTCCAGCTACGAGTCCATATGATCGAAAGGCGCACGGCCGACTGTTTTTCCAGTTCGTCTTATGACAGACGCGATGCGATTATTGGCCGTGCGCTCTGCACCCCTGCACTCACGCCAGCGGTAGCTCTAGCCCAGAATGAGTCGTAGCGCCTCGGCGACATGGTTTCTCACGAAAAAAAGTTGAACGGCTGCAACGAAATCGCGACAAGCAAGCAGCGCACCACACACACCATGGCAGCTGTCTACAAAACTCTGTCTGCGGCAAGCGGAAACGAGAAGGAGTCAGGGGAGCGCAGAAATAAGCAGCGTGTGCTCATCCTGGTGCGCCACTATTCCATGGAAACGTTTGAGCAGTGCTGACGCGCCGCAGAGCTCTCGAGGTGTGACTTACAGACATCGACACTTGCTGCAGGATCTATACTCGTTGATGTAAGCTCTGGAACTGTGGGTTAAGATCCCTTGATTAACGTGTCGCAGGCCTCACAGCAGAAAAGAAGCCAAATTTGACTCCAAGACCAAGCTGTATGAACTCAACGAGCTCGCTGAGTTGTACAACTGCAACAATGTTCTGTTCTTTGAAGCACGCAAAGGCCAGGATCTGTACGCTTGGATGAGCAAGGCACCAAATGGACCCACTGTCAAGATGCACCTGCAGAACCTGCACACCATGGAAGAACTCAACTTCATTGGCAACTGCCTCAAAGGATCCCGGCCGGTGCTCTCATTCGACGCACAATTCGAGAAGCAAGCACATACGCGTCTGATCAAGGAGCTCCTCACCCAGATCTTCGGCGTTCCCAAGACCTCGCGAAAAGTCAAGCCTTTTGTCGACCACGTGATGGGCTTTACCCTGGCCGATGGCAAGATCTGGGTGCGTGTGTACCAAATCAACGAGTCTGAGCCCGGAAAGAAGAAGCCCGTGGATGGTGAAGAGATGGACGTAGACCCTGCCCCAAAGAAGAAGGGCAAAACCGAGTTCGACGTGCAACTGGTGGAGATTGGCCCACGTTTCGTCCTCACGCCCATCGTCATCCAGGAATCCAGCTTTGGCGGACCCATCATCTACGAGAATAAAGAGTTTGTTTCGCCCAACCAGATCCGCTCTGACCTCAGACGAGGCAAGGCTGGCAAGTTCAACAGCCGGACAGAAGCCGCCAGAGACAGCAAGATCAGGCGCGGGGAGCTGGGTCTGCTGAGCCACGGTGGGCGAAAGAAGGAGAAGGACCCTCTGAGCGATTCAGTACTCTTTGCGTAGACCATTCTTTCTGAGGCGTAACGGGCGTTTCTTGGGTACAAGCATCAATCGGGGCATCTGCAGATCGGGACAAAAGTTTTAACCATCGTCGTCCAGCAGGTGGTTGCACAGTGAGCGCAAGGTGTGGAATGCATTTGGACGGAAGGAATAGTAGCTCTATGTTTGTCTAACACCAATGTATAAACCATGATACCCATCACCCTTGAGGTGCGCCCCTCGTTTCAGCCATGCTCACTTCGAGGAGCTTCGCGTACGCCTCGCTCACACCCGTCACCCTCGCCTTCCGTACTCCATACAGTCCCTTGAAGGGGTCCAGCACGGTTTGCGACGTCGAGAAATTTTGAACGTCCTGAACACGATGCACACGACCGCTAGGGAAACGCACACGGCTGATAGCCCCATCTATCAGATGCACGTGCAGTCGGTGGAGATTGGGTACAGCAACAAGTAGATCCACTAGTTCTTGCACCCTCCCTCGGATCCCAGCCGTGAGCCCTCGCCCACCGCAATTGAACTTGATCATCCCCGTGTAGTCATCCACATGCTCTACGTTTACAATATAATTCTTGATCTTCATGAGATTCCGCTGCGAGAAATGGTCCAAGAACGCGTAGGATCGTCCCGGCGTCAGATTGTTCGCCGTGTGCCAGCGCTGACGAAACTTGATTGTGTCGAACGAGACGTCTATCACAAAGGTATTGTCGCCGTAGATCATGTCGACGCATTCGTCATGGATCTCGTGACACGTTGATAACAGCGAGATGCAACCCAGTCGCCACACGATCTCGTTGCCAACCTCGCGGTCGGATCTCGGAAGCGTCTTTTGCATTCTCCAGACGCCATTGCTGTCATTTGCTTCCCGGACGAAGGTGAGGTTATACTCGCTTGGCGGTTTGGCTTCGCCGTCGCCGCGTTGGAACCGTAGATCGAAGGATTCCGTGTTGGGTAGGACGTATGAGTAAATCGACAAGCGCAGCTCTTTTGGGAGGCTCAAGAACGTAGCTTTATCGATGCATGGGTAATCATCAGATGATCGCATTGTCCCAGCAATGCTCGAACCAAAGTACTGATGGCTTCCGGTGACTGCGAGCCCGTCATTTGTGGATGACCCCAGATTGGACAGGGCGGGGGGCTAGCGCAGGATCCTTGGCAGTTACCTCACTCAAGATACACGACCATGACTCCTTTCCTCCAACATCCACCATGAGTTTTCATACTGCACCCAGCCCTCCTAGGCTGGCATCTGCTTCTTGCGATCACCCAGAGCATGCCTCGCTTCTTTTCTATAGCCCCAACGGAGGGGTCCGTATCATCTAAACACTTATCTCACTGTGTCGGCGAGAAGCAGCAACGGTCACTCACTCGAAGACGTAGCTTCGCGCCGAACTATCTCCACACCCAAATCGTTTCAATTTCAACTGCCAACAAAGACTCGAAAGATTAAAGCAGAACAGGAGGTGCCAATCTACTCACTTTCAAGTTTCGATCTCCCGCCGCCAGCATGCTGTTCGAGTATCTGGCAACCGAACTGGTCACACAGATTTTCCTCTCTTGCTCTACCGTAACCGAGGTTCTCGCCCTTTCATCAACCTGCCACCGTTTCCGTAACATATACACCTCATCCCAGAAATTATACATCCTCGAGACCGCCGCTGAAGCTCAGTTTGGGCCGTTGGAGGACCTTACTCAGCTCTTGACCCACAACGCGAGCCAGCCAGCTCACATCATACGAACCGTGCCATTCTCGATCGCTCTGCTTCAGCAAATCGTACACGCTGGTCGCGTCGCCGAGAAGTGGTGCGATCTATACCCGTTCAAGAAGTGGAAGAACAATTTCGAGCTTCGGCGGCTCCTCACGAGCGAGGAACAATATCGGTTGCGTCGCGCTGTGTATCGTCTCTGGCTTTACTCGCGCGCATTTCATAATCGCGAGCACCCGCGCGAATATCGCTCGACGAGGCTTGTTGTTCAGAAGCGTGCTCAATTGCTGCACAACTGGTCCACACTGGAGCTGGCCGAGATCGCAGATGTGCACAACGTGGTCAGAGAGGTGGTTCACAGCAATATTTGCCCCTCAAACGGTACCATCGCTCGCAAGTTCAAGAAGCGATACCCCGACAACGACCATCACTTGCTCTTCAACATCCATCTCAATTACCCGCCACCATCGCATGCGCCGCCCGCGTACAACCCCTTTGCATCACAATATTCGAACACTCTCTCGTCCCACTTCAACAGCACTTCTACGTACAACTCGCGCCACGCTGCGTCAAAGTACAGCCTCCACCCAAGCCATGAGGTTGGCGCGGAGGGATGGGGCGACGACATCCCGCACTATTACGTCGTGGAGGACATGTTGAAGCTGGACCCGGAGCAGATAATGTGGCTGAAGGAGAACGCGCCGCTGAAGGGCATGGTGGAGGGCTATGTTCGGGAATTGGGGAGTTGGTTCGAGAACAATGGGGAGACTTGGGTGCAAACGCTGGAGTGGGTGTTGGAGGAGCGTTGCGAGGATGTGAGCAACTTCATCATTGCCGTTTCGGATGGAGAGGTTGGTGTTGCTGTTTGATCGGGGCACCGACTTGCATTAGTACTAGAGCATAGTATAGAATAGCTTGCGTCAACTATACGGCTGCTGATGCCCAGAGGACATGTCCACATGGCCCGATTCGTCGTGACAGCTTGCTTGCGTCCAGGCTCTCATGGGAACGTTAAGGCTGGATATACATTGTTTCGTAGATCGCATTGTCGATAATTGACCGTGAGGGCACTTGAGCTACTATACGCATTCAGAATCTGAACGTGGTAGTACATTGCTGGTCTTCACGAGGCTGCTAGTAACCCGCCAAGTTCATCCACGACACCAAGTATGGGCCCTGAAGAGTACGCGACAAGTGTTCCCGATTTTCGGATGTCATTGCATTCCCGCCACGCTATCCCGCGTACTCCTGCCTGCTGGACCCTAGTAGGCTCAGTCTACGACATCATGCACCTCAACGTGATGACGGAAACAGTCGAGAGGACGAAGTCGCAAAGGTCGCGAAGACCGCGAGGACGTGAACTGAAGACGCGCACTGGAGAAGTGAATCCCACAACGAACATGGACTTCTTGAATCCCTATCTGCATGGGTGATCGACGCAGGGATGTTACGTGCGAAGCCGTTTCTAGAATTGTACGCCGCCGGCTGCCGTTGTGGCGGTGCGCCGCTGTCCAGTCTCATCGCTCGGCGAGTAACCGTGGCAAGGCCGCTGCCAAATTGCTCCGCCAAATCCTTAACGGCAACCAGCAGCACGACGCTGGTGCTCTCACCTACAACCATCCGCTCGGGTGGCTTGGCTTGCGCACCCTTTTGTGGCCTTCGCGTCGCCTACCCTGTCCCTCCTCCGTGGAATTGCGGTCACATATCCGGCACAGCACCGCGTACCTCCGCCCCTGCCTCCCTCGCTCGCTGCATCGCACCGCCTCCCACCCTTCGCCGCCAGCTAGACGACCGAGTATGGTTGCATAGACGCGCTGCTGCTCGTCGCTCGCCCTACCGCCAAATCGACCGCCGCCTGAAATGGGTATGCGACCCTGACGAGACCGTGGCTCCGTTTGCGACGCGCAACCCTCGCTGACGCTTGAGCAGCTGCGGAGAAGCGCCCCTCTATCGAGGGCCTTGTCGACAACATGGACCCGCGAGAATCGCAGGAATTAGAGGAACTGCCCAAGTACGAGGCTCCCGAGGAGCCGGTGGAGATACCCCTCAAGGAGAAGCTCATAACGAGCGTGTGGATCTTCCTCAACACCATCTCCACCCTCGGCCTCGTGTTCCTGAGCAAGCGGTACGAATATACGTACAACGGCTAGAGGGAGGATCTGACTTGTGAACCAGAACATTCGAAGATGTACAGCTCAAGAATTGCCAGCTCATGGTGGTAGGCTGGCACTTCACTGCGACCGGCCTCGTACTCTTCATATCGACCAAAGGACCTTTCCGCGCCTTCAAACCCGTCCGATTAAATCCCTGGAACATGCTGCCCGTATGCGCCTTCTTCGTCGGCTACGTCGTGCTCGGCAATCTGAGCCTGACCTTCAACTCGATCGGCTTCTACCAGCTCTCAAAAGTCATGACCACGCCCACCGTTGTCCTCATAAACTTCATCCTCTTCCGCAAAACCGTGACCCGCTGGATGCTTGCCTCGATCCTCATCACCTGCCTTGGCGTCTCCTTTACCATCAACCAGACCGCCGGCCCCGCCCTCAAAGGCGTCATCGTCGCAACCATGGCCTTCTGCTCTACGGCCCTCTACCAAATCTGGATCGGCAAGAAGATTGAAGACTTCGCCGTCTCCCCGCCGCAGCTCCTGCTCAACCAAGCGCCCCTCTCCGTCCTCATGCTTATCCCCTTTATCCCGTTCATCGACAAAATCCCAGACTTCAGTGCCGTCCCCGCAGACAAGCTCTACTCCGCCTTCCTCTCGGGCATCATGGCCTCCCTATACAACCTCAGCCAGTTTCTCATCATCGGCCGCACGTCCGCGCTTACCTTCAACATCGTCAGCCATATCAAGTCCATCCTCATTCTGTCATTTGGGTGGTACAGCGAGGGCAAGATCCTGAGCCCGAGAGACTGGCTAGGCGTGCTGCTCGCGCTTGGCGGAGGTTGGGTGTACTCGCACCTGGCAATGCGGGCGAAGTTGGGACGGAAATAGGAATAGGCGCGTTGGACGGGTCGCGAACTGTGGAACGGGGGTCTGGCCCGGCGCAACAGAGGCGTGCGTGCACGCGCACACAAAGCATTGGGACGGGGTTAGCGGTGTTTGGCTTGAATTTTCTGTGCATTTCGGCTGTGCGCGTTCGGCGTGCGAGTGGTGTTTGAAACACTGTTGTCCCTTTTGGTTACCCGCATTAGACGACATGATCCGGATGCGATGAGCGAGACTTTGGCGCTGTATCACCTATTACTAGATACGATACCTATTAATACCCTTCTTAATGAGTACGAATTACTGTTTCTTGTCACCTAGAAATGTGAGCTTCTTCGGGGACCACGGCTGGGCCCTGGTGCCAAACCCAATTCAGTGCGAGCATGTGTAATGCAGAGGTAGATGTAGAACACTTGGTTAAGGCTCTCGTGCTAACAACCAATTCAGTACGAGAGTACCTAGGTCAATTATCAGCCTCCAGCACAAAAGAAACTGCAGAGATCAGCCATCCTGGCCGTGCTTGCATTACACAGTGAACCAATAAAGCTACTTCCGAAAACTCAACCTCTTTGAAGTTTCTGATCGTTGACACGTAACTATCCACGTCTGGGACCCTTTGATAATCGTAACGGGCATGGGTGGGATTGCACTGTACCAAGCATGGTGAGAATACCGGCATGGCCAATGCCAAAGCGATATCCGACTGCTAGCTCTGCTATGGACGTACAGCGCTTACTCAAAGGCCACTTTCATGAGATCAACAGAAATAACTTTCTTCCCGACCAATCGTTCGCAGCAACTTCAGCATGCACCGATCAGGCTGCCCGTTCGAGGTAGTTCGGCCGTCGCACTTCGCATGTTCTACACCTAACAAATCGCGATGACGCCATTCGCGGGGCCAAACGCCCAACCTCAACTATCAGTAAATTTATAGCCAACGCGCCCACAGCTCTCGCATCACGAACACGGCCCCAAATTACCTCACCAAATCACGCCCAAAAGATCCAACCATCCACAATGAAAGCCTACTGGTACGACAACCTCCCCGGCGACCAGCGCGCCCCGCACGACTCTGGCCGCGAGGTTTCCCCAGACAGCCTCAAACAACTCGGCATATTGTTCAAGCACTGCCCATCAGTCGCGGATGTCGACGAAATCGCGACTTCCCGCTCCTACAAGAACCGCGACGAGATCACCGTCTCCCCGCAAACCATGGGCGCCGCCTACGAAGAAAAGGTCAAAAACTTCTTCCACGAGCATCTGCACGAGGATGAGGAGATACGGTATATATTGAACGGCGCAGGGTACTTTGATGTGCGGAATGAGGGGGACGAGTGGGTAAGGATTCGGCTCGAGAAGGGGGACTTGATTGTTATGCCTGCGGGGATATATCATCGGTTTACGACGGATGAGGAGAATGTAAGTCGTGTACGAATGGGGGAAGGCAAGGTGGAAGCGTTTGCTAATGTTCCTGCGCACAGTTCACGAATGCCATGCGGCTGTTCAAAGAGGACCCGAAGTGGACGCCGCTGAACCGCGGGGAGGAGACGGAAAAGAACCAGTATAGGCAGGAGTACCTCAAGACGCGGCACACGTTGGCGGCATAGTCGCTGCGGTATGGGATAGCGGCGCGGATTGGAGAGGGAGTCGTGACACGATGCATATGGATGTACGACCGAGATAGGATATCATTTCCAGAAGTCATGCTGCGCCTGGGCAGGTGCGTGAGGCAGGCAAGCAAGCAAGCACTGCTCCGACCCGTCTACCCATGACCATGACCGCGACAAACAACCGTCGAGAAAGCAGATGGAGTCTATATCTACACCGCCCAAATCCACGTCCGTCCATCATCGCACGCATACCCAAACGCACCATGCCACCTCCAGACATCCGCCTCCACCTTGCTTCTACCACCTTCTCCCCATCACTCTACGCGTCTCGCTCGCCCACACCACCATATATAGCCTACCTCATCTTGCACACCCTCCCGCCCCCGCGCCGCAGGTCTGAAACCGACATTTACATCCGCCGCCGGGAATCTCCACGCATCCCGCCTGCACTCCGCGCCATCTGCTCCCATTACTGCTGCTCCTGCTCGTGCTCCTGCCGCTACCGATGCTGCTGCATAAACATCACCGTCACCATCCTTTTCCAGGCGTGCACCCATACCGGGGCTGTTTGTCCGCGCATCCGCGTCGTCGTGCTGGAGTAGATCTTGCACCGACACCGCTCTCTGAATACCGTCGTGCTTTCAAAGAGGAGATCGGCGTGGCGGATTGTGGAGATGGAGGGCAGGGTTGGGAATGCTGGAGAGGAGGGGAGATCTGGGTTGTTGAAGGTAAGAGGGAGACGGTCGGGGCTCAGCACGGGAGGGGGAGTGGGGGAGAGTGAGAGTTTTGCAAGGGATTGGCAGAGGTTTGTAGGTGGTTGGAAAACGGGTTGTCGAGCTTAACAAGATCAATTTCGAGAGACTCAATCGTAGGTGGTTTTGGAGCGGCGATTTCTAGAAGGCGTTGACTTCTCAAACTCACCAAGTGAGTCTATGTCTATGTAGCAAAGCTGGAGCCGATTCGCGTATCGCTCACAATGCCTATTTCATTTGGTATGCGCGAGGTAGAACGATTGCATCATGATCGTGAAGATGCCGCCTCCTTTATTCGGGCTCAGTGGAAAAGGGTATTTGTGAGACTTTCGTGAACAGCCGTGGCGCTCTGCTATTGTCTCGAGCTGCACCAGACTCGCCGAGGCGGATCTGTTGCGCAGCCAAGTACGATATATGCACATGCATATATCTAGGCGTACATAGCAGTTATGCAGTAGAATCAGAGTGCAATTCGCTCAGTCCCAGTCATCGTCATTCTCGTCCTCCTGTGCTGCCCTGGTTCTCCGGGGCGCCTGCCTCTCGTCTTCTTTGGTGACCTTCTGTCTTTCGAAAACACCTGCACGAAGCAGCCTAGCCTCGAGGTCTCTCGTGGTGAAATTGTCGGGTGTGCGTCCGAGACCCTCGAAGCCAATGATCCTGTCCGCTCCGATGCCGTCTATGAAAGCAATGACACAAGGCAACACCTGGATCTTGAGCTTCGTGACGAGGAACGGACAGTTGTCGACGTTGATCCTGAGGATGCGGGCTTCGTAGTGGGCTGGTGCAAGGGCCTCGAGATGGGTGTCCATGATGCTGCAGCGGTGGAAGTCTGACTTGAAGAAGTGCACGACGCAGAGCTTGGTCGACGTGGTGATGTCCATCAGCTGCTTCTCGTCCTTGACTTCGGCGTAGGTCCCGTGCGCTCTATTGCGCAGCTGCTGGGCTCGCTCAAACTCTGCGTGCAGCTGCTGGCGGCGCTGCTCGCGGAAGGCGTCTAACTCGGAATCATTTTCCAGCTCCGCTATGAGGGCATCTTCGTCTGACTCGTCGCCCTTGGCGCGGTCTATAATCGCAGCAACCTTGGAGTCTAACTGCTGAGGCATCTTCTGGGTGTAGTCCGCACTGGCCAGGGTAGGAATATTCAATGTATTCAGGCTACGCGGGTCCGCTCAGCAGCCCAGGGTCTGCGGCAAGGCACGTGACGGAGATTGGCCCAAGACTTGTCCACAGTGGGCGGGGATACGCGTAACGTGCGAGAGTGATGTCGTCTTGAGGCGGAGTTTTGCGGTGGGCTGCCGGCTAGGGACGAATAAGGCGAGGCGACAGGGCTGCAGGCGGCGCGGGCTGACGACTGCAGGGGCGTCTCTGGGTTCGGCGTAAAATTAAACACGTTGGCTTTGGGAGGGAAGCGGGCCTAAGCCCGTTGCATCCTGGCCTCCTTGCGCATCTCAATCGCACCTCAGAAACCCTGAGCCTCCTTTCCACCCCTCTCGCGCCTGCCACCCGCCCATCGCGCCTTCTGCCTGCTGTTTCCTAGCGGCGTCCGCTCACTTCCCGTCCGCACCCTTCGCATCCCGCAGCCTCGCCGCATAGTCCCCCCGCCAGACACACGCAATGGCCGACGATAAGAAGAACGACGAGTACATTGAGATGCCCTCCGTCAAGGAGTTTAGGGCACCTTCGCCCACCGTGCGCCCCTCGCAACGGCCCCACGGAGCGCCTGCAGCTGCAGTCACCGAGAGCCCGCTGTTCGCCATTCTCGCATACTGCGGCTCCTCCATCCTGATGACGACGACGAACAAATACGTGCTCTCCGGCGTCGACTTCAACCTGAACTTTTTCCTGCTGGCCGTCCAGGTCCGTCCCACAGACTCGGTTGGGAGGACACGTCGCTAACACCGCCTAGTCCGTCGTCTGCGTCGCCGTCATCTCCACGCTGAAGGCCTCTGGGACCATCACGTACCGCGACTTCAACAGCGACGAGGCCAAGAAATGTATGGTGCCCCAACCCCGCTGCTTCTTCCGGTCTAACTTGTCCAGGGTTCCCCATCTCTCTCCTCCTCATTGGCATGATCTACACGAGCACCTGGGCGATCAAGTACCTGTCGATTCCCGTCTACACCATCTTTAAGAACTTGACCATCATTCTGATCGCATACGGAGAGGTGCTATGGTTTGGCGGCTCAGTGACGCCCATGGCCCTGGGCTCCTTCGGCCTGATGGTGCTCAGCTCCATCGTTGCCGCCTGGGCTGATATCCAGCACGCTTTGACTAGCCACGAAGCGGCCGATGCTTCCAAGGACGCTGTCTCTACCCTGAACACCGGATACTTCTGGATGGCCCTCAACTGCTTTGCGTCTGCTGCCTACGTTCTCGGCATGAGGAAGCGCATAAAGCTTACCAACTTCAAGGATTTTGACAGTAGGTTGTTTCGTTCTTACTCGTATTCACACTGCTGACGATCATAGCCATGTACTACAACAACCTCCTAACTATCCCTATCCTCCTCATCGCTTCGCTTCTCGTCGAAGACTGGTCCTCTGCCAACCTGGCCAAGTGCTTCCCACCTGAGCTGCGTAACCGTGTCATTTCTGTCATGGTCATCTCCGGCATGTGCTCCGTCTTCATCTCCTACACCTCCGCCTGGTGTGTCCGCGTCACCTCCTCCACCACCTACTCTATGGTCGGCGCCCTCAACAAGCTCCCCATCGCCATCAGCGGTCTCGTCTTCTTTGACGCTCCCGTCACCTTCGGCAGCGTTTCCGCCATCTTCATTGGATTCATTAGCGGTATTGTGTACGCCATCGCAAAGGTCCGCCAGAGCAGCAAGCCCAAGGAGGTTCTGCCCACGACCAACGTGAGTGCTAGCACCGCAAGCATGCGAGACAGCTTTAAGTCCTAAACCACATTTTAGGCCCAGAAGTAAACGCCGGGATATTTACCTTATACAATTTAATCGTCGCTTTCGACAGGACTTTTGCGCCCGTTGCGTTACTTCTTTGGCCATGTTGGATTGCATCCAGCGTGAGCCCCCGGGGTTGGTACAGCTGCAAGGTCAAGAATTGGACACCGCACGGCTCTCCTTGGGGTAGTACAGGCTACGGTGTCCGTGCGACGCCACAACCACTGGAGTACCTTCTTGTATCATTCACACTTTTGTCGCCTTATGTAGTCTGGGAGCATATTTAGATTGGCTTGGCGTTCGTTTGGATCTGTTTCAAGAGTTGTATGAACGAGCGTAGTCGGATGACCACGCTTTGAGAGAGCACTCCAAGCTTTGGCGTGCATGTAAAACCAATCTATGTTTTTCAGCATACTCTGGCATCTCTCCATATAAAGTGGCTAACCAGTGGACAAGATTATTAATTTGGGCGAACGCAACGCCAGTGCAACCAACTATCGTCGAATACCACCGAGACACTAACTCTTAGTACATAACGCCCGAGGAATACCGCACGGCTTTCAGGACTTGACGATAAATCGTACCTTTGTTCTTCTGTGTTGGGCCTGCTGACACTCCGATGAGGGACAATCACCCCAACAACAGCAATCATATGAAAGGATGACGCACGCTATTCGTGGTAGACACTGTTCACAATCGCATTGTGATATGAAAGAGAAAGATGGAAATTGCTCGGACAGGGGAGAACGTTCTGTGGTCACAATGTCTATTGAAAGTAATGGGTATATGTTCTCCTCAGACGTGGGGGAAAGGATTAGCAAGAACACCCACGCACGAGGAAGTCAGCTCTCAAAGTTTACATCTACAGCGATAACACAGCAACACTACCAACATACTAGCCATGAACTTCGACCTCCAAGTCGGCCGCCGCGCAGCCGTCGAAGTCGCTTCCGACGCCGAGATCGAGCGCCAGTGGTGGGCCCACGAAGCGGAGAAGCGCACAGAGGCAGAGCGCCCCACGCAGGGCGCCAGGCTGTACGACATCGTCGACCTGGTCAAGGAGATCAAGTATGATGGTGTAGAAGAAATCACGGAGGCGCAGAAGCAGGAGATGGTGGAGATCCAACTGGCCAAGCTGGACCGCAAGTTCTACATCGATCCCGGTCGTCTGGCCATGATCAACGGAGGGTCATATCGGCCTGGTCGGGATGGCCCACTGAGCGTGCCGTATGCGTCTGAGATTGACGTGCAGGCTTTCCTCGTCGCTGCTATGGAGGCGGGTCGCCAGAAGGCCGAGCGCGCACGCGAAGATGCAGCCCGCAAGCAGGCCATCCGCGACTGCGCGGCGTGCTTTAAGCAGCGTCGTCGAAACGATAGACGCCCGTGTGAGCAGCATCACAACCGCAACATGCACGACAACGTCATGACCTCCGTGGCGCTCTGCCCGCACACCGACATGCGGCTGTTCTGGTTCGCCGACGATCCTGCGAACAAGAAGGACACCTGGCTGCTCGACGTGTCCGAGGTGCATTCTCAGGACCTCGACGCCCACGCTGCTTGTAAGATCATGCCCGTAGAAAACGCTCTAGAAGAGCTTGTCGGCCTCCTAAAGAAGAGTATGGAACACAAGAACCTGCGGGCGCCTAATCTCTCCCGGGTCGCTTGGCAATTGCCTGCGGTGTGGGACCTGCTGAACAAGGATGAGAAGACGGGTGTCGTGGAAGTGACCCATGAGTCTCCGACGGATCTTCCACCGCCCGAATACAATCCATATGATGCCGGCAGCATTGCCCCGCTGACTGGGCAGTATACTGGTGTGCATCGGATGGTTCGTCCTAAGATTGAGCTTTCTAAGACCGATCAGAGAAAGCTCAAGGTGCGAAATGCGCGGCGGGAGAAGAGGGTCATGGGGACGCGGAGGAAGGGGACCAGGGTTGTGGGGTCGGATTACGAGGACGACTCATCCGATGAAGACACAGAGTCGGACACAGAGACAAAGCTTCCCGTTAAGAAGGCTCCTACTAAAAAGGCGATTTCGACGGAGACGAAGACGGTGGAGCCGGAGAACAGGTATGCACTCAGCAAGAGCACCGCTAAGCCTAAGAAGCATGTGGAAGCCCCCACGCCTACTGAGAAGGCGACTAAGCAGGCGACGAAGGCGAAAACTACGACCAAGAACGCTGCGCCGAAGACTCCCGCTGCGGAGAAGCAAGCAAACCTAAGCGAGGAGATCATCTGCGACAGCGATGAGGGTCTTTCAGATGACGACACGTTCACCTCCATTCCAAAGCCACCGCCCAAGAGCCAGTCTACGAAGCGCAAGGTCGAGGAGAGCGAAGTATCATCTTCTCACGAGGATATCCAGGAGCCTGCTGCTAAAACGCGGAGGGCGACTCCCACAAATGAGGTCGTTCAACAACCTACACCAGAGACTGAGGTCGCTTCTCCCGAGTCCTCCGAGCCTGAAACCCCTTCGTCTGTTAAATTTGAGGTGCAACCATCCTCGCCAAAGAAGCGCAAGGCTTCCAAATCATTCGCCAGTGCCGCCGCCATGAAACGCAAGACTTCCATCGTTGAGGAGGAGAGTGAGTCCGAGGTGCTGACGGTGGAAATTGCAGAGTTCCAACAGCCTACCCCATCGACTACATCGTCGGATACACTTGCTGCCGGGACGCGTTCTCGATCATCAACCCCTTCGCTCATTACTGATTCGGATGAGGACGTCGTGAAGTCTTCGGGCTGTCGCGGGTTCAGTCAATGGGTTAAGGTGGAGGATGAGGTTGACTATGGGAGTAGCGGGGAGGAGTAGCGCATGCATGGGGAACTTTTCTCTTCTCCTTCGCAATAGACGAGTGGCGTATAGATGCCAGAACTACCAAATAGCGAAAAGTTTTAGCCTATCAATTACTGGACCTGCTTGCAACGAGATGGTGTCGCCTTATCTGAGTTTGATTTATTTAAGTTTGCCATAAGAACCCTAGCCTCCTGCTACTACTCTTTGTTTGCCCTGCACTCTCTAGTCTTCAAATCCAACCAGCGCATTGCTAGTCTCCCAAAGCTTCTTTTCCCCCGCCTCATCATACGCCAACTTTGAGTATCCTTCAACAATAAAATCTGCGTCTTCCGGCGCGGGAGGACTCACCCTCACATTCTCCAGATACTTTCCTCCCTTCCCCTCCCAGCACTTGCCCACCGCGGCCCACACAGTCGTCGCAGCACCCTGCTCCACGCTCTTGATGCCCTTCATCTTCTCCTCATCCTGTCTGACCTCCTCCAACTCGGCCGCATCCATGTGCTTCACCAGCGGTGTGAAGATGACACCGGGGTGCACTGCATTAGCAAACAGGTTCTGTGGAGCGTAAAGTCGCGTGATGTGGTTTGCCATCCAGAGATTGGCGAGTTTGGACTGGCCGTAGGCGAGGAAGGGGTGGTAGTTGTCCTTTAGGGTGAGGTCGTCAAAGTTAATTGTGCCGACGCGATGGGAGAGGGAAGACAGGGCTACGACGCGGGAGGAGAAGGCTGGGGAGGCTGAGGATAGGAGCAGTGGCTTTAGAAGCTGGAAGAGGAGGAAGTGGGCGAGGTGATTTGTTGCGAATTGGGCTTCGTGGCCGTCCTGGGTGAGGGTGCGATGGGGCAGAGCCATGATGCCTGCAACAGCGGTGTTTAGTCTCGAGGAAGCGTGTGAACGATGTCTCGGGGCGATTTGCTTACCAGCGTTGTTGATCAAGATGTTCAACTTGCCGCTCCTCGTCTTGAACTCCTCCGCCGCCTTCCGCACAGACTCAAGCGAGTCAAGTCCAATTTGGAGAAGCTCTATGTCTCCGTTTATCGTGCTCTTGCTCAGGATATCATCCACGACTTTCTTTCCCTTCTCCAGGTCTCGTACACCAAGGTACAGCTTCGCTCCCGTCTCATGAAGAGCCCGAGCGGTCTCTATTCCAAGGCCTGAAGATGCACCCGTGATGAAGATGACCTTGTCTGAAAGCTTTCCGACACGGCCTTCGTCTTTCACGATTTGGAAGGCCGTTGGACGAGCGTCGCCTGGACCGGCAGGGGCTGCATGCTCTGCTGCGTAGGGATTAAAAGGATCAGACATAGTGGAGCTTGACTGCCTGGTAATTGTAGATAGTGCGGTGAATTTTCTGTTTGACGATAGATATTCAGATCATTCCACAGAGGCTGCCTCCTAACAGAGTAGATGTTTCAATTTTATATGCGCGTCCCCATCTCTGGGACATGACGCTGGTACAATCACTTTTTACAACGAGTCTCTCGAATCCTTCAAAATCCCGAGACGAAAGTGCACAACGAAGAAGAGATTCCTCAGCATTTGCACAAGATTGTCTGGTGTATCTTTCCCACTTCGGCAGACCCGGTTGCCGGACAAGCACTCCGGACGAACTTGAAGACACCAGTATCAATACGCCCATACATGAAGTTAGTATGGGTTAATCTAGGCGGCTTGGTAAATTCGGATTTAAGAGCAATTCCAGTAGATCACAAAACTTCGAATGCGGTATCGGCCCTTTTCCGGGCCTGAGGCGTATGCTCTTCGGAAAGTAAAGCTTTGCTTTGATTCGCCCACTTAGCTGTTTCAGCATCATATGCATGCTATCTAAGGATGCTGTGGGTGAGTCGCTACGTTACTCGTAGTGAGGGTCCCTCTGATGTGGCAAACATGAGAAGTTGAAAATTTCGCGTTCAACCGATCATCTAGTAAACTCAGACCACACTGCATGGTTGAAACCTCAAAGATTGAGATTACCCTGGATGCTCACATCGAGGGACGGGCCCCGACTCCCGATTCTATCGTCGAATCCTGTGACATGAGCTGCGAGCTAATTCACATGGCATCCAATGCATATGGCGCTGTGATGCTGCGATGATTGGCATGAAGAACGAGAAAATGTCAAAGGAACTCCCGGGATACAGTGATGGATATTTGGGGGCAACAATGGGACTACAAGGGTCGCTCATAGGTCTGCAATCAATCGTTTGATTCAATCACCAACTTGAGACACCACACCGGTGAACCAAACCGCCACCCGACCCCTCCCAGCTGATTCCACCATAAGGGGAGCCTTACATCCGCCTTGTGCCCAGACCACTTACTAGCATCAGCCGCCTACGACACAGCCCAATATGGTACGCCTAAGTCACGTGAAACGGCCCGTTCATCATCAGTTGGTATAAGCGCGCACGGACTTCCGCCCTGGAGTCCTAGTTGCGGCTATGTATGAAGTGTGAGTGAATGAGCCTCGCACGGCAACTGATAGTATATATGCTTGCTTTGTGCGGCTTGGTGGTGGTCATAAGCTACTCAGGATGCGAAATTTCAGCGCTGTCACATTCTTTGCGTTCTTGTCCAGTGTTGAGCTGGTGTTTGCAGCTGGAGGAGGTGGGAGCGGCGGCGGAGGTGGTAGCAGTGGAGGGAGTAGCGGAGGTGGAAGTCGAGGGGGTAGTAGTGGCGGAAGCAGTAGCGGCAGCAGCGGAAGTGGAAATCGAGGTAGCAGTAGCAGCAGTGGGGGTATATTTCTCACCATCGCTCTTCTCAAGATGAGATACTAACTCGGGCAGGCGGTAGTAGTAGCAGTGGTAATCGGGGTGGAAGCAGTGGTGGCTCTGGATTGCGCCCCGGATCTCGACCAGGTGGCGGATCAGGTAGCCCTGATGAGCCTGATGATGGAGACTCCGGCGCCGGAGGCTCCAGTGGTGGTGATTCTTACTACGCGCCACTCAGCGACGGATATCTTCCTGCGATCGAGCAGGTGCAAGATACTTTCGGGCCTTTGGAACTCAGCTTCAACGGCACAAACATCACAAGTGAAAAGCCTTCCATTGAAAGAATAGTCGAAGTTATTCTATCCTCGCCGACCTGCACACCAAGTTCATCGGATGAAGGCGTCAGTGTCCCAGAGAGTGTTTACCAAGCGTGTACATCCAAAGACGTCGGATGTAGGTCCTTGCTCTATATCCAAAACACTCCCCTCTCTAACTCTACTCAGTCCAGCCAACAAAGACGCTCCCTGCATCATCATATGCCGCCTGCACCGACTACGCATCTATCTTAAATTCCTGCGCCTCTGCGACACCTTCCTTCTACGCACTCCCCGCCTCGCAGCAAATTTCATGTGCATGCTACACCATTACAACCACATCAGTTGACTGCTCTATTTCCCGCGCATCGACCTACGATCCTACATACAAGTCCTCTGGCGAGCAATACGTCTCAGTACCAACGCAAGCTATCGGGCGGTTTGACGATGCGGCGAACTATTGTAGAGACTATTTTGGACAGCAGGGATACATCAATCTAGCTTCTTTGTTGTCAGGAAATGGCGACAACAAGGATCCGGTGCTCGGAGCAGCGTTCTGTTCGAACGTTGGTCAGAGATATTTGCAGACGGCGGCTACTACGACGCAAGCGTATTATGATATACCGACGGCGAGTAATGGGCTGCCTTTAAGGTTAGAACCTACCCCTTACGGAGCCTGTTACACTGTACGAGAGATTCGGTATACAAGAGGAGCTGGAATTCGGGTTTTCAGTGTTGATACGATGCTGTTGGTGATGGCTTTGATAGCATGCATTTTCTTCTCATGATGCAGGCTAGAGAACTGAATATCAATCTAACCCCCGAACTTGTTACATATGAGACATTGCATTATACATTAGTGGTGTGTACTCTCCGCTTTCGCGTCGACATTTCAGGTAGACCTCCGTAGTACTTTCGCGGCCCCTTCGTCATCGTTTATCAGAATCCACTGTTTGCGCCGCGAGAACCAAACAACAATGCCGGATAGCTCCCTCTCTCACACATTATACGGCGGCAGCCCTGTGCCCTCCATGCTCCTCGCCCGCTCTTCCATCCACCTCGTCGCCCACTTCTCCTGGTTATGCACATGCACCCACCTTGCCGCCATACTCATGCCTATAAGCCAGGCTGCGCCGCTGGCGCACTGCATCCCCGCAACACCTTGCATCCATTTGTCCACGGGCATGGGATTCATATTTTCGGTCAAGTACGGATCGGAGCTGAGCGCGTTGAGGATGCCGAGAGAAATCCAGAGGCAGAAAGAAGGCACGGCGACGCAGAGTATGAGCACGGGGTGCAGACGTTTCTGCAGGGCGAGAGCGAGCGCAATAGGAACCGTGAGGGAGGAGAAGATGAGTGGGGGGAGGGTGAGGGTGAGGGCCCAGGGGAGGGAGTGGGTACGGGGGTCAAGGTTGCAGGATGAAGGGCTTGGGTTGGGGGAGTCACATGCCTAAGGGGGAAGGTTAGTGTGCGGTGGGATGCGATGCGTTTGCGGTGAAGGGAAGAGTTGAAGATTTTTTCCTTTCGTTGCAAAAAGAGATGCCACCTTTGGACGTGGCGATTTGCTTACCTGGAGTGCGGCGTAGTAGGCGTCGGTTTCTTTGTGGACGAGGTGGATGAGATAACCAAACAGAGCCCAAGATACGGTGTCGAGAATAAAACCGAAGGTGAGAAACCCAGCGGCTGAACGCTGTTTCTCGCGGAGCGCGGTGTTGGGAGTGTGGGGCATGGCTGGTGGTAGTGAAGGGGTGGCCGCTGGGAGCGAAGGAGGTACTTGTGCACCTTTACTTCTATATGCATTCACTGTACGTATACGGCCTAAAATACCTACCCCTCGGCATCTCCACGCATCGGTACTGAGGTCTACCAACATAGCCTCGCCGTGACAGCCTTGTCAAATTATCTTGTGCTGTGTACCATAGGTACCAAGACTACCAAGACCTCGTATGCCCTCCTAAGCTTTTTCCGCACTCTTCAAATGTATCCTACATTTTCAAACGCTATGCTCACATTCCCCATCATGCGCAGCACAGTAGACCGTAATAATCGAGCGCCTCGTTACTTGTAGAAAGCTTCAGCCCAATCTCTTTGCAACATTTTTAGACCGTGGAAGATATTATACGACTGGTGCTAGAACATGTGATCGTGTGGCAACTACCCTCGTATCAGTGAGGTTTACCGACTCAGGTCCGGGGGGCTGAGTCGATTGCGTCAAGGCACATGTCTGATGGGATGTTGACGTTGTTGGACTCTTTTCTGATTTCGAACAGAAGATTATGGCAAATCAGAGCTGGATGTGGAATCTATGGACTCGCATTTTTAATATGCACGTGGTGTTGACGACTGTGATTCTGCGAAGGTGGAGTTCTGTAAGGTGGGGCGATGGAATATGGTACCGAGGTATGTCAGGTACTGACCGTGTCCACCCGAGCATCCGTCTCTCATCTACAAAAATAAGTCTTTCCACCGCACTGCAGGCGCTAGGTTTGATGTCGGCAGAACTAAGCGGTGCTAAACGCGCGGTTAACGATTGCGGCCGCATACTCCGGGCCCTCGCCGTGGTGCAGGGCATCCCATTCAATCTCCCTGGACCTGGCGCGCCGCGTCAACTAAGCATGTCGCTCTACCCGAAGCTGCCAAGGCCAAATCGAGAGAATCATCCGTATGCGCTTCGCATCACCCCAACTGATGGCCGAAAATTCCCAGTCCAAAGCCCGCGCCAAGTGACAGAGGAGATCAAGCACCATAAGATCTATGTGCTGTGGGGCTGAATTGGGTGACTAGGCGATAGAAGCGCGTGGGGGTGAGGTACTGGTGGCTATCGTTCTCCACGGAGGAAGCATTGCCAGAGGTTCATGATAGTGCCCTGGGGACGACGTGGGAAGATACCATGCCTGGTACGATACTAGACGCGGAGCGGCCTAAGTATCGACCTGCTGTTTCTAGAATAGTAGTCAGCGAACCTGTATGATAGCTATTTCGTACGGATCATCATGGCCGATGTCAAAACCATTGCGCACACCCAATTGTGTAGTAACTTGCTCTATAACATGACTGTCCGACTATAGCCTTTCACTAGATCCTGTAGTAACTCGCTTGAAGCTCGGATTTTTGTTGTCAACCACTGTGGATCATCTCCTTCCTCCCTTTCGACTTCGAGATGATGAACAAAAGCTCCGACGAACTGTGGCCTGGTAGCCTGCTTCGCATCAATGTCAAGAAGGAAAAGAAAAAAAAACTAAAAAACTGAGAATTACAAAAAACAATCGTGAGCGCATTTGCACCCAACCACAACTTCAAACTCTCATTCACCATAGTCCCTTCACTTTCTCACACCCTAATCTCCACAACCTCCTCCCCATCACTCTCCAGTACAACCCTCACACCTTCCTCTTCCTCCTTCATCTTCCACTCCCTCTCTTTCTCACCCTTATCATCATCCTCTTCCTCCTCCCTAATCTCCTCCCTAATCTCCTCCACACTCCGAAACAGCCTTCTCGCCGCTCTGTTCTCCCCTTCACTCCCATCTCCACATCCAAACGCGCAGGCCCTCCGACCACATGGCCTCCAGAATCTGTACTCAGCAACTTGAGCCTCGCTAAGAGGCTTCACAGCTAGCAGTCCGCTGTCCACATTGCGATTGCTCGTATACAACAGTAGACTTCCGGAAGCGGTAAGCGGGGACGCAGTGCTCGTCTCGAAGCCGTTGGCGATCTGGATAGCCGGTTGAGGCGAAGGTCCCATGTAAGGTGATGGTGGCGACAGATTTGGGAAGGAGGGATGCGGAAACGATGGAGGAGACACTGAAGGCTGGTGGGAGAGATTCTGAAAAGCTTGTTTAGCGGTAATGATTTTGAGCATCGCGGTTCGGGGGGACACTGGGCCTGTTGGGCTTGTTGGGCTGATCGAAACAATCGACGATGAACGGTGAGCGCTGCTAGGTGTGGAACTGCGTGATGGCACACCGCCGACTCTGGTTTCTGGGACAAAAGTCATGTTGGTCCAGCCCTTCTAGGCCTGGTAGTGATTGCTCCACATGTCGTGGTCCGTGATGATGCCTGCCTTCAGGAGTTCTTCGCATTCTAGATTCTTGCTCGCCTCGGCACCCGGGGCTCGGTACGTGGACAAGCGATGAGACCGGCCTGAGATACCGGGGCTATCGATACACATGAGGCTCGGGGGACTCACAAACTTCATGGAATTGGAAACGGGCGTTGTAGATCGGGGTGTCGCGAGCCCAGATCCAGCCTCAGAATTTGGTGATGGGTACAGCTGCTTTGCGTCGGAAGTCGGCGAAAGTGCGCTCGGGTATCCTGGGTATCGGCGTCCGACCTCAGTCAGTAGAGAGAGCTTGGTGTGAGTCCGCTGAGTAGGAGGTGTTTCCATCTCAGATGTATCAGTGTGCATGCCTACCATGTCGAGCAACGGGGCAAGATCCATGCCACCACGGTTAGGCATCAAGCCCATCCAATTAGGCAACCATGCGTTAACTGAAGACACCCATGATGGATTTTGGATCAAATCTCCCTGCGGTGAGCTGTGTGGAGCTGTCGGTGGTCTCTGGTGGAAAGAATCGCTAACACATGTGATGAAAGAATTGGTGTTGCTTGAAGCAGTTGAGGATTTCGAGGCACCTTCGCTGGTAATTCGGCGAAGAGATTGAGTAGCGAGGGGATTCAATTCTACTGAGCGAGCAAAACGAGCATCATCGACAACCCAGAGACCGCCATACTGTTGCCACGGAAAGCTACGTAGGAAATGGTCTTCTGGATAGACATCGAAACCAAGGGTCTTCGAGCGAAAGAATGCATAGAGGTACCGGAGATCTGGAAACTGACGAAGAACCTGTAGTATTAATTTTTAGCACGCAATCGAAACAAGGAAGTAGGAGCAGATGAGAGAGCAGTGACGAAAGGGTATATTGCGCCGATCAATTCGATCATGATAGTCACCCATGGATGTATCTCAATAAGATAAACGCTCAAGGCAGATGTGCTAGTGCTGGGTACTATTGTGGTCAGATGGGGCAGGATTGCTTCCTACATCCCAAACGGGGAACAGCGGCGGATGGGCCGTGAGCCTGGACGCAATTAGCACGTGTCTCTGGTGCTATCCGGAAAGGGTCTCACATGAGTATCTCGAAAGCAGCGTGCTTTCGCAACTGTTTCGCCACTCGCCGGTAGGCATATAGCACTTCAGGTCTAGGTGCCTTGATATCTTTCCGACCAATCAATTTGTGCATCGCCGGACTAGTGCTGTACATAGGATCGAAGACCATCAAGTTGCCTGTACCGTCGCGGCGGCGCTCAAAGCCGACAATTGTGATAGAGTGTCCGGGTTGCTGGAGATATATGGGCGGTAAGAGGGTCTTGTAGACGTTTGATCCGTCGCTGACGGCTGCTTGTGCGAAGTATCTCTCGATAGCTGCAAGTAGGCTGTCATGAGCTTCGATCGAACCATCTCGATTGTCGCTGAACATTTGGACGGCACAGTCGATCTCAGCGGAAAGGAAAAGAGCTTGAGCCTGCGCTATGTCAGCGAGTCCCATCAAACGCGCTATCCTCAACCTACCTCTGGAGTACCGATGTACTTCCTAGTGTCGCGGATTCCGCCCGTTTGCTGCCGACCAATAGTGTTGATTCCCTTGTCCCAAGCCCTCTCAATCAGATCCTGAAGCTTCAAAATTCCCGGTGTACGGCCCGGGAAGTCCTTATGTCCCTGGGCCCTTGAGCCTTGGATATACGAAAAGAGCATCTGGATGTTGCGATAGCCACAGAAGCCGCCCTCCTTCGGTGTCTTGCCAATATGGAGCGTGGAAGGATGGCAGTAGTAAGCTTCCTTGACGGTGCGGTCCAGAGCTGATAGCTGAGCCAGAATGGGAATGATTCCGGGCGTTTCGTTTTGTACACTTTCCTGTTTGATGAGGCGGCCGTCACGACCAATGCGGTTCACGAGAGTTATTTTGGGGCCGGCGGCAAGCTGGTCATGAAGCCATTTTGGCATACGGTCTTCCCACGCATACGGACCGAGCTCAGCGCGCTGTATGTCACAATTAGTGTGTGCTACAATTGAGGTAGTGATATACGCACCCCAAGACGACAGTTGCTGGAAGGAGGCTTGACCCTGTTAGGCTGGGCAAATGGGTTGAACGTCTGGATGCTGCGCGACAGAGTACTCTTCTCACTGCTCATCGTGTCGCTTCTGCCGCGCTGGCCTCTCTTCTTGGACCTGCGCGCATGGTCATTGTGTCGCCGCAGAGCGTCCGGCAACTCGATGTTTAAGTTGTGCTCTAGGAATGAAGGTTTGGAAGATCCCGCATGGTGAGCACTGGGCTTTGGGCCATGCATTTTAGCTCTGTTCTTGGAACGATACTCTCCAGTAGTCTCGTCAAATGATAATGATTCTGCGGCGTGGTAGTCGAGATGTTCGTTGAAGTCGCTGAGTGGGATAGATTCGCCGCAGTCGGGTTCAGGGCACTCCACCGTGTTTTGGTCTTCGTCGGAGGCAGGTGTGAGCTGTGCGTCGGTTGTGGAAAGCGCAGTGCGAGGTCTTCTAGGCAGCGGCGGTGGGTGCTCGTCCTCCGGATCATCTTCTATTCTGAAAGGTGAATCCGTTGTGTGCACCTGCTCGAAATGCAGCTGAATAATATAGTCATCCGTCGGAAGGACAGTAAAGTCGCATAGCGGGCATTCAAGTAGCTCTGTTGAGCCTGTCATCATGGGCAGCTGACGCGCTGGCACACGTTGCCACTGCAAACGATTTTCGAAAGTGACAGCTCAGTGACAGAAAACAACCTGACAGGCAGTATGTTGATGGATTTGGATGTCGCCTTGGATGCTGTTCTCGCGGTCACGTCTTATGGAATGTAGCGTGGCTCAGCATACGTGATGCTACTCCACTGTCGGCACAAGTGACCCGCGCCTCTACAGCTGACGACGCAAACAATGCTACGGACTGTGTGCATGTATGGCGCAGCTGACTACAAGCGTGAGAGGTCAAAGAATAAGAGACAGCTGGAGGGTCGAATCTGCTGGAAGACTGGTGTCGTGGTAGAGAAGTGGCATCCGCTAAAGGTAGCTGAATAGGGAAATCGTGGGTGCTAGTTCCGCCAAGGATGAACTCACCGCCAAACACTCTTGCCCAAGTGACCTATCACGCAACAGTCTTTACGACTGTGACATTGCAACGCAATATAGAAGCGAGAACACATTCTGTCGCACTAGGGTAAACATTGGCGGCATTTTGTTGTGTGTTGAAGTGTTGAGTGGTGTTGAGGCGTGGAGTGGTTTCGCTACCATTACCTAAGCTGAGGTCCAGCAACTACGTAGGCGAAATATGTTCAGACTCTTGTCTCAGCACTGTGAAACGGTTTGGCAGGGTTTGTCATGTCCCATCATCACGCCCACGCGTTCTGTCTCATTCAAGGCGAACCATACGTTCACATTCATAAACGCTACTCACACCAAAACATATGCACAAAAAACCCGGCACCCGCGATGCCAGCCATCGGCGCAAAGCCGCTTCCCCCACCCCTCCCAGATACCTGTCTCACATCATGACCCTCTCGCCCCAAGAATGTCTGATCAAACAAATTCCACATTACATACCCAACATGTTCGGAACGGTCCAGCTCAGCTCAGCTCGACGCCCCGTGCCCAGCCCCGTGAAACCATGTCAAACCGCAGTCAAGCAGACCGCCATACAACTATAGATAGGTATTCGTCGTCGCGTGATGGATGTCTAGAGGATTGGAAAGCGCCGGAAAATCACAGCTCAAATGCAAGCAAGCCAGCCAGTCTATGCAGCTACTTCCTCCTCGATCATGGGCTGCCCGTTGATGATATCGCCGTTGACGTGCTCAAACTCCATCTTCTCTTGCTGCGCGATGGCCTGCTGAGATACTATCTCGGCGAGGCGCTTCAGGCGAGGGGTTTGCAGCCCTGGAACGATAGTTAGCTATGAACTATTGTGCATGGTGTCAAAGAACTTACAAGAAGGGGTGTAGGTCTCCAAAGCTGTGATGACCCTGGGCTCAGCAATCTCATAGGGACCGGAGTCCTCCATGTCCACTGCCGTCAACAGCAGGACGTCGCTCTTCTCAGTCACCCGGGAAGCGACAGCCTTCATGATCTCGCCGTTGATCGGCTGTTCGTAGTCTGCGACAAGGTACTGGTTGAGCAACTTCTGGATCTGGTTGGGCGACAACATCCAGCAAATGTCCTGAATGATCTCGATGTCGTTCAAGGTAGCCTTCTTCAATTGCAGCAACTTGGTGGCCTGCATCAAGTGCTCCAGCTGGAGGGTACCTTCTGGCATGTCGTGGGACTTGCACCATTCCTCAATACGAGTGATGTTGTAGTTGATCTGAAGACCACGCTTCCAGGAGAGGAAGTTGCGCCTCATGAGCAAGTCGTTGAAGGCAGTAACACCGACGAGTCTAAGGAGCTCGCTGAACGTCCGGGTGATGATTGAGTCTTCGAGGTAGTACGCCTTCATGGCCTTGTAGACGTTGTTCAGCAGGCTGAGCAGATTATCCATGCTGTAAGCAGGAGAGTTGTTGCTCTGAAGAAGCTTGCCGAGGAAGCGGTTGCTCTCGTTCGTAACGAAACCGGGCAAGGATTGTGATTCGATGATAGCAGGGATGATCATCTTGTGAAGCTTCTTCTTGAGGACCTTCATCCAGGTGTGGTAGATGTTGAACTCAAGGCTCTCCAAATCGTGCTTAACGATCTCTAACAAACGGTCATACTCGTAGTTGTCCGTCTTCTGCTGCTCGTACCAGTCTTCGGCGAGGAAGACGAATGAAAGCATCTCATGGACGTTGGACAACCAGAAAGCACCGGGATTGACAGCCTCATCGCCATCGTGCTGCATAACCTCCTGCTGGATCGACTGCATAACGTTCGCAAGGAAACGTTCAGATTCCTTAACGAAGCCGTTGTTCCACATCTCGGAAGTGACGAGGTTGATGAGGTAAGCGGGGAAGAGCACCTCTTTGTCCGTGGGAGGAGGAGTTGTCGTAGGTGACGGGATCTTGAGATTCTTGATCAAGCCGAGGGTGACTTCATCGTTAAGGTTGTCTTCGTCACCAAGAATGTTCTCCAGCTCAAGCTCGACATTGTCCAAGTTGTTGTTAAATGTTGAGCCAGAAAGGTTGGGGCGGTGGACAGTAGAGCCGACAGCCATGGAGACAGGGCGCGGGTTGTAGGTCTGGCTGAAGCGGTCCAAGTCGCGTGTGTCGGGTCCAGCACTTCGCCTCTTAGGCTTCTTCGATGAAACGAGGTTGATGAGGCTCGCCGCCATTGGGGTGTGTCCGTTTTCGAGATGTCCAACGTTGATCGGTCCGGATCGCTTCATAACCTCGACTTGCTCTTGCAGCTCGGTGAGCTGTTGGCGCAAAGATAGCTTTTCGGTTTCCGTAATGTTGCTTCTCCGCTTAGCTGACTCGAGATCGTCTGAGGTCTGCTTGAGGGACGTGCGCAGCTGCTTCTCCTCCTCCTGCAGGTGGCGGATCTTCGAGTTGCTCTCGTCATAATTGGTCTGGAGCTTCTTAAACTCTTCCTCTATCGCACTCAACTTGGCAGCGGTGATACCAGCTTGATTGGCCTCTGCCTGGAGCTCCTTTTGTCGGTTCTCCAAAGCACGGCTTCGTTCCTTGTACGACTTGATCTGGCCTTCGTAGTTCTCGACCTGCTGCTTGAGGGACTTGTTTTCTTGCCGCATCGAACCCAGATTCTGTGTGAGTTCGACGACCTTGTTCTCCAGCTTGTAGGAAATGTTCTTGAGATCGCGAGCCTCGGCACGGAGGGTCTTGTACTCCCTGCGAGCCTTCTTTCCTCTCCACAAACCCTGGATGAGGACAATCTTCTTCCTGTATTGTCTCCAAGCACGAAGTTGCCGCTGAGACCTCCAGGAACGCTGAATGATACGTGCGGCATCTCCAAGTCGTTTGTCGAGAATATTCTTCCGGCAAAGATAACCTTTCGCGGCAGCTTGGAACAATATGACCGAGTTTCTAACCACGTGGAATCGTTTCCTGTCCTTAGTACCGCGCCACACACGCTGAATGGTCGTTGCGGCCTTGACCTGCCTGGCCTCTTCTGCACGTTCTCGGGTGATGTATCCACGAGCCAGAGATTGAACAGCGATGATAGCTTCGCGCATCTCCAGATATACACGGCGGTAGTACTTGGCTCGGAGATTCTTTTGAATCATGATAGCAGCATCGTTCAATCGTGCCGAGCGCAAGTTCTCAAGGAACGCAAGCATACCAGCCCGGAAGAAGATCTTGGTAAGACCCATCTGGTACTTGTCGGTGCCATCATTCTTGCCATCACCTAGAGCCTTATGGAGGATAGCCTTGGCCATGTTGCGAATTTCCGGTGTCCAAGACGATGACGGCGTCAGCATGTAGTAGCGCATGGCGAATTCCTCGTAGGTCCATCGCGTCGGGTAACCGGCGCAAGAGATGCGGACCGTCTCGAGAACACCACAAGCTCGAAGCTGGTTGAGGACCATAGGGCCTTCAAACTTCCACGCCTCCTTGGCTTCGTTGGGCTTGATACATCGAATGTAGTGGACATCTGTAGAGTTGATGGTGTTCATGAGCTCGATAAGGGATGACTTGAAGATACCACCGAGAGTCGGCTTTCGGGTCGAAGCGACCCTTCTGCCCGGAGCGGCGGATTTCGCTGAGGCGGTGGCTGCGTTTTCCTTGTCGCGGATTGCTGCTGCGGTGTCCAGAACCTGTATCAAGAACCTGTTGCTAGAGGCCTTGAGGACTTCCATATGCTCGTCTGGCACGGTGTCTCGGTTCTTCTCAATGAAACCCTCAGACTCATAAGTAACTGGGACAGCATAGTGCTTGACGGTAAATGCTGACTTTCCGAAACGGGGCTTTTGGTAGAATTCATGCTTGTTATCGCCAAAGAAGTTATGGTGCAGCTTTGTGACGAATTGGTCGTCTGATCCCATGGGGAGACGCGATTCTTCATCCAGCAAAGCTAGCACCCCGAGCTTGCCTTCGATCAAATCGATACATTTTTGGTTGTCCGCAAAGTCAATGAATGTCCAGTCGATCTCTTCCCGGAGATATTCCTCTTGCTCTAGCTTGAAGACGTGCTGGTTGAACTCTTGCTGCAGCTTCTCGTTTGCGTAGTTGATACAGAATTGTTCGAAAGAATTTTTCGCAAAGTGTTCGAATCCATAGATGTCAAGCACACCAATGAACGTCTTGGCATTTGCAATGACTTCTTCTGTGGCGAGACTCTCATTGGTACGCTCAACGAGCCAGTCGAACAAACTCGAATAGATGAACTTGGCCACGGAATCCCGAACAACTACAGCGGCCTGCTTGGTGAGATTTGATACAATCTTTTCGCCTCGCGTGATCAGCTGCTTCTTGACCGTCCATTTGGCGAAATTGGCCGCGTTGATACCGAGTAGGTCACAGGCCTTCACCAGGGAAGGCTCGGCAGGGTCCAGTGCAGAGTCGGTACGGGTGGCTGTAATTTGAATGTCTCCAATGTGCAAAAGAGCAGCAAGCAACCGCCAGAGCTGGGATTGTGTCTCTGGTGGAACACCAATCGTGGTCAGCGATTTCCGCGTCGCATCGAATTCTGCTTTGTCATCCACACCATCGATGGTGGGAGAGCTACCTTGGTTGAGATAGCTAAATTCTTCTACAGTCTTCAGAGAAAGCTCCTGAGTTTCGGCCTCTGTCGCTCCCTTGATCAATTGGTAGAAGATGTGGTAGTTCCGCTCCTTCAGCGGCTGGAAGACCAATCGTGACCGTTCCAGCAAGTATGTCCGTATCTTTGCACCTGTGATATCTGTCTCCTTGTTGAACATGATCTCGATATATTTACCGAAGCGGGAGGAGTTGTCGTTTCGGGTGGTTTTCGCGTTACCAAAGGCTTCCATGATGGGATTGGTTGCCAGGATCTGCTCTTCTGTCTCGCTCATGGAGTCTGCTTTGCCTCTCCGCTTGCCGGGGTTGTCGGGCGACTCTCGGGTCGCAAAATATCGCATGATGTATTTGGCGCTGACAGTTTTACCTGCTCCGGATTCACCAGAAACGACAATGGTCTGGTTCTTGTCGTCCCGCAACATGTCTCTGCCGAGTGTTAGCACGTGGTATTTATCTCGCCGTCCATCAATGATTGACGAAAGCAATGGCGGGGCAGACGTACGCAAAGGCTTCTTCAGCAATGGCGAACAGATGCGGCGCGCCGTAGGATCTCTGCTTCCCGGCATAGACCTGCACCATTCCAGGTACATATAGAGAGTCGACCCTGGCGAACGGGTTCGCTGCTATCAGCACGATACCGGAATATGTGTAGATCTCCTTCTGCGCATATCGCAGTCTGATGGCCTGTAGCACTGTGCACAGTCAGTATGCCGCCCTCAGCGGGTGTGTCCAACATACCGGCCGGCTCATTAAGATGTGAGAGGTTCGTAAGATCATCGCTGGCCTCGAGCATGGCCGGGTTCATCAGCGGCGGTAGGTTCGGGTCGTTGCCATCCTGGATGGCGGCGAGCGTCGTCACGACCGTCTTGGTCTGTGGCCAAATTGTCAGCTAATTGTGTCTCCCGCATCGCCATACAGCATGTCTCTGCTCGCGTACCTCGCCATTCTCCAGCGTAAAGACCAGCGTGACCTGGTCGCCGGCTACCTGCTTGTCGGTGACCTCGGAGGCAATCCAGCCCTCGGCCGTATCTGGCTGCCACGCGCGAGTCCCAACATCGAAAATGTGCGCCATGATGTGTCCTCGGAGTGCGTCTCGTCGAGGGGGTGGCCGCGGTGATAGCGGGCTTCTCAGGGTCCAGGTCTCCCTTTCAGTGTCTGGCGGTCAAAGTGGTGCCTCTGCCGGCGGGTGGGGCGGTGCGCGGCGGAAGACTCGCTGTCTGCAAGCAGTGTCGCTGCGTCACAGAGCGGAATGCATGCCTCGAGTGCGTGAGTGAAGAGGGCGGGTGTTGTACAGCTGTTTAATGGAGTGGAACGCGGACCTTCACTAAGGAATAACCTCACCGCCAACAGCCCGCAGGCAAGCAGGGGCACCACGCCGCAGCAGCCAATGGGCCTCTGCCAAGCGGCCCACCCCGAGCACGCAGCTCGACGCCGTCTCACGAGCATGCACCTCAGACGCGCAGCGACCTGCGACTTTGCACCCGCTAGCCATCGCACGCCCTCCTGCGAGGCCTCGAGCGCGCCCGTCGCCCGCCCGCCCGCCGAACTGCTGTGCTTCTCACCACGGGGCTCCACGGCTCACGCCCGCGGTCAGACCGCAGCGCGGTGTGCATCGCTCAGGGAACGTGTTAAAACAGAATCGCCCCCTTTCAATCGAGCTTGCGCAAGCCGGCTCCTTGCAAACGTCTCGTGCTTCACAGCGCTGCTAATCTCGTGAAATGACCTCAGATTATGCTTTTCCTCTGAAACCGCTACGTGAAGATCATCAGATACATGCTTGCAAACAAAACTTTATGCGCCTCCTTCGATGCACTCGTACACGCGTGTCTATCTAAACGCCATGTTGAATACTTTTGGCTGCGTGAGTACCACCAGGATAATTGAGAATTCCATGCCCAGTTCAAAATTCCTCGCATAGACGAAAAAGTCTCGATCCATCAACCCGTCCGCCCCGCTTTGTCTAGTACAACATCCTTGTCCGCAGGCTCGACGGCAGCTCCTCGAGGCTCTGGAAGAGATTCTTAATCTCGTCCTCCTTCACGTCGCTAACGTCCGCCATGAGATACGCAACGTCGCCTCTTGAATCGGAGCTCTGCTTGTCGATGTTGTGGTTCAGCAATACGCCGTTGACCTGCCTCAGCACACCGGGCACGTTCTTGTGGATGAAAACCACCCGCACGCAGTTTGGCTCGTCCAAGTTGATGTTGCGCAGGTTCACCTCGGGCATGTTCACGGCGCCTAGAGTTGAGCCCTCGTTGACATACTTGACAAGCGCGGTGCTGACCTCTGCGCCGATTGCGCTCTGTGCTTCTTCGGTACTGCCACCGATGTGAGGAGTCAGGATGAGGTTCTTCAAACCCTGCAGGTCCTTTGTCCAGTCGTTGAGCTCGTTGTTGAAGTAGTCGCCGTTGCCCGCGGGCTCGTTCGGGAAGACATCAATGGCAGCACCGGCAATCTTTCCGCTGCGCATGGCCTCGATCAAGGAGGGTATGTCGACCACCTTTCCACGAGCGTTGTTGATCAGGTACGATCCGTTCTTCATCTTGTCGAACTGTGCCTTTCCAATCAGGTTCTTCGTGTCGCCTGTCTCTGGAACATGCAGCGTCACGAAATCCGACTGATCCAGCAAGTCGTCCAGCGTTTTGACCTGCTTGGCGGTTCCCAGACCCATCAGGTTCACAACGTCGTAGTAGATGACCTCCATGCCCATCGCCTCGGCTAGAACGGACAGCTGGCTACCGATGTGACCGTAGCCAACTATGCCGAGAGTCTTGCCACGAATCTCCCAGCAGCCCTTGCTGACCTTGTTCCATGTGCCATTGTGTAGTTCCATCGAGCGGTCGGCAAGTTGTCGCGCAAGAGCGATGACTTCAGAGATAACAAGTTCGGCGACGGAGCGCGAGTTGGAAAAGGGAGAGTTGAACACCGCGATACCTTGCGACGCGGCATAATTGAGGTCGACCTGGTTTGTACCGATGCAGAAGCAGCCGATTACAATGAGGTTCTTGGCCTCCTTCAGGACGCGCTCGGTGAGCTTCGTCTTCGAGCGGATGCCGATAACGTGAACATCGCGGATTTTCTCGATCAATTGGTCCTCTGGCAAGCTGCTCTTGATCGCTTCCACTTGGTAGCCCTGCTCCTTCAGTATGTTCACACCAGCGAGATTGACGTTCTCAAGCAGCAACACCTTCACATCCTTGGTGTCGAAAGGCTTAAGTTGCTTCGCGTTCGCTGCGGCGGCACCGCCGGAGTAGCCGGGGGTATTGGCTGTGTAGCTAGGTCTGTCCAGGACAGTAAGCGCATGCCTTTAACATAATCTTGTAGTTTGACTCACGGTGCCCGGAAGCTAGTCGGAGGGCTGTGGAAAGTGAGATTTGGGCTGGTGCTGAGGTTCAGACTGTTGGACACCTGTCTGGAAAGGTTGCTCATGTTGGAGGTGGGCACCGGAATTTGTCTAGGCGGGCTGGGGGGACTCATGTTGGCGGCTGGTGACGGAAATGCGCGCGCGGTGGTACTACGTTACAGTAGCCCTATATAGGAAATCGGATCCGTGATATGTGTCGAGGGCCCTAAGGTAGAGATACGATAGGAAGAAGATGTTCTATAAAGTATAGCGGGGTAGCAGAGTGAGTTGGAGGGGAACAAAAGTTTCGACAATGGACAATGACACCACTATTTTTCAAATTAGCCTCACAACTGCTCGATGCGTCACAGCAATAAAAGGCTCAAGCCTCAGGCGCTACTGTGTTATACCTGGCTCCGGTTTTCGGTGACTCGAGCTCGTGGTCGAAAAATTATCTGACCCGACCCGCCGCTTGCGTGACGCAATTCTCTTAGCCCACTCAACCCAATGACCCCGGCCTTGCGGCGCGCTCGTGAAACTGCACGTGATATGACCTTAGCCTCCCTGGGCTGTTCCCGGAAAGTATTCGTTTGCAGCACGGAGAGTTCCCGAGAAACTTAACAGCACTGTAGATCAGGGTAAACGGGAGCTAAGGGGACTAGAAGAGACAAAGCGATCGGATCTCATGCACGATGGGAAGTAAATTCAGGTACGGGCAGCTGCTAGCGGGGCGAGGCCCATCCAAGCTCATGACAAGCATACGAGAAGCCGTAGAGGCGTGCGGGGTAAACACTCAAACAGTCGTTTTGTCAAATTCACAATTCCCCCAACTGTGTCCATCCACGATGACCAATCAAATAATAGTTTACAAACGTATAGTAGAGTGAGTTCGTACAGGATGAGATGCGCCGCTACGTTCCCATTCTTCTTTCATCCATCGTGTTTCATATTGCCAGACGTTCAAGAGCATGCATTTAAGATCAGATTCGTTGCATTCATATCTATTTGATTCTGCCCAGCAGGCATACTTGCTCAAAGACAGCATCTAGGCCGTACTCCAACGCAAATCAGTCCCACTAATGTAGTCCTTTACATGCAACTTTTAAGGAGCATTATACGGATCTTCATAGCTTCTCCGCGTTTGACATGGGCCATTGGTAGCCTGACATAAGTCAATGTCTGCGCAGAGAAGCTGGGGAGCTGGGGATCTAGGAATCGGGGACAGAAGACAGAGGTGGGATCGTACCTGCTGCGTCGCTGAACTTGTAGCCGTAAGAGGATGTGAAGTCGTCCAGCACGGCAGGGCCGCGCGAGCCTGATTGCATTAGTTGATGATAATAATATGGGGAATTTTGCAGATCGAGTTCGTACCATAGGGGTATTCCATAGGGATGATCTCCTTGTTGTCGTCAAGGTAGTGAAGAAGAGGAGTGAAGATCCTCCAGCTGGCGTCGAGTTCGTCATCACGGACGAAGTTGGAGTGATCTCCCTTCAGGGCGTCCAAGATCAACGACTCGTAGGCCTCTGGGATCTTGAGATCAGAGAATCGTCGCCTGTAAGTGAGGTCAAGCTCGGTAACAACGGTCTGCATGCTGAGGCCGGGCAGCTTGGAGTTCATCTTGATGTAGACACTTTCGTTGGGCTGCACACGGATGACGAGCTCGTTTCGGGGGATATCCTTGAAGATCCCAGACGTCACATCCTTGAACTGGATGCGGACCTCCGTCTTCTGCTCGTTAAGAGCCTTTCCTGCCTTCAGAATAAAGGGCACGCCGTCCCACCGCTCGTTCTTAATGTAAGCGACCATGGAGGCAAAAGTAGGGCATCGCGAGTCTTTGGGAACGGTGTCATCTTCCTTGTATGCGGGCTTCGTGCCGTCAAGCGACTTGCCGTACTGGCCGATGATAACGTTCTTGGGCTCGATAGCGGGCATGCCGCGAAGGACGCGCACTTTCTCGTCGCGAATGTCTTCGGCGGAGAAGGAGATGGGTCGCTCCATGGTAAGAAGGGTCAGCACCTGCAGCAAGTCTTTTCGATGTTAGTGAGAGTTCTTCTGGATCTTGAAGCGTACTAACGGTTCTGCATGACATCGCGGATGATGCCGAACTCATCGAAGTAACCGCCTCGGCCTTCGGTTCCAAATGGCTCCTTGAAGGAGATCTGCAAGGTCTTAGCTACATCCATAGAAACAAGACATGCAACCCACCTGGACATTGTCAATGTGGTTTCTGTTCCAGGTAGCGCCAAAGAATTCGTTTCCAAATCGCAGAATGAGAATGTTTTTGACCATTTCCTTGCCCAAGTAATGGTCAATTCGGAAGATCTCGTCCTCGACCCAATCAGGTGCAAGCGCGCGCTGAAGCTCCCGAGAGCTGGCAAGGTCCTTTCCAAAAGGCTTCTCGACCTGCACAAATAATCAGTATTTTCCCGACGCGTGTTTAGATCAAGTACTGACAATGACACGAGCAATGCCCTTGGTGGGGTAGCAGTTGCGCTTCAGGTGCTGTGAGACTGGGATGAAGACACTCGGGGGCAATGCCATGTAAAATATCCTGTGCGTCTCGCTGCGGCCCTGCTCAAGCTCCTCGAGATGCTTGCGGAGATTGATGAACGAGTCATCCTGATCGTACTGCCCAGAAACATACGTGCAGAAGCTGCAGAACTCCTCCAACTGTTGCTCTAGGTCCTTCGTTGGGGTCTTGATGTATGACTTGACGCGCTTGAGGTATTCCTCGTGGTCCATCTTCGTTCTGGCATATCCGACGATCTTGACATTCTTGGGAAGGAAGTTGTTTCGGTGCTGTGCGGGTTAGCCTGGCGTGAGGCTGTTCGTGAGCGATGCTACTTACGAGACCGAAGAGTGCGGGGAACTGGACCAGGTCAGCAAGACCGCTCGAATGCGCGGTTCTTCTCAAGTACTCACAGTCTTCTTCTTTGCCAGGTCACCAGAGGCGCCCAGAACAACAATGACGGTGTTGTCTTTGAGCTCGAGGTTTCTGCGGTCGCACTCTCATTAGCTTTTGATCTCCGAAGGTTCCGCGAATGCGATCGCTTGAGGCGGGGCATCGTCAAGACGAGATGCCACCGCGTCCGCTCTTCAAGCATGCTAGATGCGCCAGGTCCCGCGATGGGGCAGCTGTAGGGTCGCTGTGTGACGCAGCGTGGAAGGCAATGCACATACCCGGCGTTGGCCTCGACCTCCGGCTGGATAACTGTGTTGGCCATTGTGCTGGCTGTCCGGAGGGAGACGGACTGGAAAGGTCTAAGTTGCCGGCTTAATGGGTCCGCAGCTCGGTTCCTGAGCTACAAGTGAAGAGAGGCTGGTGAGAGTGTGATGGCGGTGTAAGGAGAGCTGGAATCGGCGAACTTTGAGTGGTGGGGTCAATCCGAAAGGTGTGGATCGCCTCGTTGGGATTGACGTATTTTATTCAAGTACAGTCGCGCTAAGAGCAGCAGTCCGCCGGCGCTTTTGCAGGATACTGAGTAGATTGTCGCGATAAAAGGCAGAGATAGGCAAGAGGGGCCCTGGCCAGATTTTAATCCCAAGTTGGCTTTCAAGCATCACTAAGCCGATGCATCTCTTGCAAAGCATCTCCGGCGCCAAACGCGTTCCTAACGCCGAGCGGTAGGGACGACCCCGCCATAGCCATTGATTGCGCTCGCGACTTCCGCCCGTCGCTGTTTCGCGGCGAGCTTGACACTGCAGCAGCCTATGCATACTTTTCTGTTGAGCTTCCAAGCCTTCGTTCTCGTCTCAGGCTCGTTGCAGCGCCGCAAAGGTAGCTTGTTCGCTCCGGCCTCCCCTCACTGACACCTCCGATGTCCGGCTTCTCTAGGCGATGGAAGACGCCCCGAAACCTCTTTCTCCGGCGTCTACCTAAGCTTTACTAACATCTTCTGTCCAGCTTAGTACCTGACGCACTGGCTACGCATTTGAGGCCCAATCACGATAATTCGCAATGAGCTTCATCCTCCTCTGTCGACTGCTCGGCGCATTTCCGACAGTCGGAACCCGACCTTTATAGGTTCTTATGTGAGAAGACATGGTGACACGGATGAATTGAGCTGGTCTGGGCCGATGCCAATCAACCCCTGTCGCGGGGAAGTTGCTTGATGGCAAAGAGGCCCAGATATGAGTAATCCTGGCAGAACTCAGGACCTTACCGTAGCGGCGTAGCTTCGTCGATGTGGAATTATGTGATTCCGCGGCAGAGCTTTGTGGCGTGGGGGACAATCATGTGTACTGGAGTATTGATAGCCCGAAGCAAAGGCCGACATTCAACAGGATGCTTCGTGGGGCTAGATCAAGCCAGCCAACCGGCGGAATGTAGCCCGCATACAACACCTCGAAAAACATCCACCGCCAGCCTTCCCTCGCGCCATATCGCCAGCAGTTTGTTGACGGAGCAACAGTTCAGGAACATGGGAATGCCGTGGCAGGACTCAATGTATGATTCCAAAGCAAAGGCCTATGCCCTAGAATTGGGGTGCTAGTAGCGTGGTGCGGCTGCATTCAATTCTTGCTGCAGTTCTTTGATGTTTGATCGCACGACGACCCAGAATATATTGATATGTCTGGCTCAGCAGGACGCTTCCGCGAAAGTCCGCCAAAGGTTCGCGCACTCCTTTCATCCACTTCGTGTCCTATCGCGTGCGCTCAGGACACTGCGAGCGGGACGTGGCAATGTCATTAGTTGTGCTCCGTTGGTCTCAACTGTGGAACCATCTACAAGGACATTTATCCGTTAGTTAATTACCAGGCCCAGTAAAATCGAGCGACCTTTGTAGAGGGCATGTTCGTGTTGTTCTTGTTGTTGTTGTCATGATGGTAACAGCATCTAGCTTAGTTGTATACTCACCGCTAACGCTGCCAGAATTGGCTAGGGCCTGTCGAGCTCTTGGCGCAGTTAAGCGAGCGCACCAAGCGCACACAATCGACTTCGCGACTTCACAGAGCGACGACCAACTAACCGGCAGCAACAACGACTTCGGTCCCGACACCCATCCCACACAAATTCCAGAGGCCAGGAAACCTTCGCCATGTCTGAACAGTCTCACCGCCGTAAGTCGACCCCCAGCCCGGTCGCATTGGCCGTCGACCTAAGGTTCATCCACTGGACCTGGGGTGACGAACAGGCTCCCATACACTCTGAATACATGCGCTAACATACGGCTGCAATAGTCTACGTGAAGTAAGTCAACCATCGCTTTTCGAATCGTCGACGAACCGCTTTGCTCTGTATCCGAATGTTGAACTCGAAGAATGCGCAAAACTGGGAACTGCAGCTACAGGAGGGCAAATGGGTTTCCATCAAGGGAAAAGGGCATGGGTTGTCGGGAGCGTTGCAGCATCCGGATACAGAGCAGAGCTGGTTGTGTTTAGTCGCAGGCATTCGTTGGGCAGTTTGGACAGTGACTAATTTCGTGCGCAGGGGAAAGCACATCTCCTACCAGAGGGGCAAGCGCAACACCACTCCCGGTACCTCGCTTCTGAAGCTCGAGGGCGTCGACAACACCGACTCCGCACAATGGTACGCCGGTAAGCGCGTCGCGTACGTCTACCGCGCCCAGCGAACCGTCCGTGGCTCCAAGATCCGTGTCATCTGGGGCAAGATCACCCGTCCTCACGGTGCGTTTTCTCATCCCAATCGGTTAGATCACCAATACTGATGCCGTCTAGGCAACTCCGGTGTCGTGCGCGCCAAGTTCAGGTCCAACCTTCCACCGAAGACTTTCGGTGCCTCCGTCCGCGTCATGCTTTACCCTTCGTCCATATAATTTCTTCCACTAGCGTAGGGGAAGGGGACGGTCGATGATTAACGATGTGTGCGGTCGTGTGGCGTATCCCGGCAATGGAAACAGCGACGAGCAGGGAGGCTTTGTGCTCGATCTCATTCACATGGCATATTCGGGCTGGTTACGGGTGTCACTGCTTTTCGGAAAACCCATGGCAGAGACAAATCAAGATTCCTCCCTCCGATCAATGAAAATATGATCAAACACACTTACCTTCACGCATCGCAATCCTATGCAGATACCACGGTTCACCAACTCTAGCACCTTCGTGAAGTACTCATGCAAAGCACGGCCGCGATAACAATAGTCTGCCACAATGTGCAAAGCTGCGAACATTCAGTCGAATATCAACCAGTCAGCCATTAAATTTCGCTCAAGGGAAGTGACACGTACTGGAGAGCGTTAATGTGTCGTCATCACAGAAGACATGGCTTCTTCATCATTGAGACATACTTCATCCTGTCTTAAATCATACTGACTTTGTGCCCGCAAATTGTATATACATAAATAGGCGCTACTTACTTTAGGACTCCTTTCTCTGATGTGCTGCTCGGTGCACGACACTAAAGGCGCCAGATCACCTGAGCTATCTTCACACATACGCCGCGTGACCCTAGTACACGCCAAATGTCGTACATGAAAGACGCCCTGGGAGTGTAGCTGCGTTCGGATGCTTCACATACCACTTCTTTGTGTGACTGCCCACCTATAGATAATCGTGATCATGTGAAGATATATGCAACGCAGTACATCGCTATGTACACATCTTGAAGGACTACCTCCGTACGCCCGGCCTCATCGTCTCATTATGTGTCATGTAACACGTACTCCCCTCGCACCCACAAGACATCTGTGAAGAGCCAAGACGGCCGTACGTAATAACCCAAGGCTCCAACCCTGGAACGGTTCACAGTGGCAGAACACTTAGGATGGGAATCCTAGAGGCAGAACCTATTGTGAACATTCAGTTGACTTATTACACTATCATAGGTATAAGTTGACAACCGTAAAATGGAGCAAGTCAAAAGAGGATAAGCTGCGCCCCTGTATTCCTTGTTTCGTATGTCATGTACAATATGCTTAGTTTGGTTGTGGTCTTGAAGGCTGGACTCAGGTCCCAAGCCGGATCGTCAACCGTGAATAGTGGGGAAGCGGCACAATTACGTGTACAGAAGCGGCATACCGTCGCCGCAACTGCTGTGAACACTAGGATTGGTAGTTCATTGTACACTGCTTAGAACCAGCACCCTCTGGCGTACAGCAGACGGTGAATCTCTCTTATGCATGATGGGCTAAACCAGAATTGGAATAATGGCTATTTTTACGCGCAACCCCCAAGTGAACCCTGGAGACCCTCGAAATCAGCCAAGCCCCAGGCGGGCTGACGTCCCCTTACAGCCGCTCTAATACAATCCCGCTCCTACAGCCAAATAGAATAAGTGTCCTCCTCTCGCTCGCGAGTCCGCTCTCTCCCTCTTCCACTGTGTGCAGCGTTCACGTCCAGTCTCAGTTCCTTCTGTTTTTGCGCCCAATGCGACTTCCATTCTCTACACTGTCCTAATATCAGGCCGCGCAACCCGCTGCGCACGCGACACGCATACACGTACACCATGGTCGCAGGCGGAGGTAGTATGGGAGGAGGGCTTTCGGCGCAGGCACAATGGTCTGGGACGCCGTCTGTCAAAGGCTCTTCTGAGGCTATGAAGATGGCGCTGTTGACGCTGTCGCTCGTTGGTCTCCAGTACGCGCACCGTGGCTGATACACAAACCCCCGCAATGTGCTGACTCGGCCGTAGGGTCACCTGGAATGTCGAGATGACATACTGCACGCCGTACCTCCTCGAATTGGGCTTGACAAAGTCCAAGATATCCCTCGTTTGGGTCGCCGGACCCCTATCTGGCCTTATCATGCAGCCTATCGTCGGTGTCGTCGCGGATAGATCCAAAAGCCGCTGGGGCAGAAGAAGACCGTTCATGATAATCGGTACCGTTCTGGTGTGCATGTTCCTGCTATTGCTCGGATTCACGAAAGAGGTGGTGCAGCACTTCGTAAAGGACAAGGAGAGTGCCAAAAGCGCCACAATCGTCCTCGCTGTGTTGAGCATCTACGGAATTGACTTCGCGATCAACGCTGTGCAAGGGAGCTGCAGAGGCCTCATTGTGGATACACTACCGATTTCGAAACAACAGAGCGGCAGCAGTTGGGCCAGTAGGATGGTCGCTGTGGGATCACTGGTGGGATATGCTGCGGGGGCTCTTGACCTGAAGAAGGTGTTTGGACCAATGCTTGGAGACTCGCAGTTCAAGCAATTGACCTCCATAGCCGCGTTGTGTCTCTGCATTACCGTAGGAATTACTTCGTGGGCAGTGACCGAGCGCGTGCTCATCCACGACGGGAAAGAGGAGGGAGAAGAATTCGGTCCGCTGCATGTTCTCTCTGAGATTGCGCATACCGCCATGAATCTGCCCCGGAGCATCCAAGCTATCTGCTATGTTCAATTTTGGGCATGGATTGGTAGGTGTTCAGCCCAAGGCACAAAATGGTCGAACTTTAACTAACGTGCGGGCCTAGGCTGGTTTCCGTTCCTCTTCTATTCAACTACCTGGATTGGAGAGGTGTATTTGCGCTACGATGCCCCTGCAGACGCCAAGGCTGCGGGTGACTTGACGGGTCAGGTTGGTCGTGTCGGGTCGATGGCTTTGATCGCGTTCTCCATCATTACGTTCATCATGTCCGTGATACTACCCTTCTTCGTCAAGAGCCCAGATGAAGAAGGTCCCGGATTTACGCCGCGCCCACCTGCAAGCATCGCAGGTTTTGTGACGGAGTTCGAGAAGTATAAGCCGTCTCTGCTCACGACTTGGACTGTCTCTCATTGCATTTTCGCTGGTTCCATGATCATGGCCCCATTCGTTCAGTCACTAAGAAGCGCGACTATTATAGTAGCTGCATGTGGCATGTAAGTCAAACCGTCCCCTTGTTACTTGCAGATGGATTGACCACATACAGTTCGTGGGCCATCGCTTGCTGGGCCCCTTTCACCTTCCTGGGCGTAGAAATCAACCGTTTGTCTCAGACAGGCCACTCCTACGGACATCTGGGGCGCAACTCAATTGAGCTCGAGTCGCCTGTGCAGCTGCATCTCAACCATGGTCTTGAGGAAGCGTCTGGGTCAACCGGAGAAAGCTCCGGAAAGTATCTCGGCATCATGAATCTGTATACAACACTCCCACAGTTCGTCGGCACAGGTATTTCATGGGTTGTGTTTACTCTGCTGGAACCGGGTAAAAGCCCGGAGCTCTCAAAAGAGAGTGATCCTTCAGAGCACCACTCGACGGACGGACCGAATGCTATTGGAGTGTGTCTCTTCATTGGCGCAGTATGTGCAGTATTCGCAGCATTGGCAACTCGGCGCTTGAAGCGTCTGCAAGGACATTGAGGTCACATATATTATTTAACGTCCGAGGGTCTCAACACGCAGGAAGGCCAACCGATGGCCAGCTGCTATTTTTGGCCAAGGTCGACGCTATGGTGACGGCGGCGATGCAGCGTTTTTTTTCTTCGGCCGATCCGCTTTGTTCTAGAAGGCTTGCCGGTGCACGGGCTTACTGGCGTTCGATACCAGGGTAGACTTTAGATGCACGGTGCGGTGTATAACAATGCGAGTGAACGGAATATACCCAGTACCTTTTGAACATCTTCGCCACAACCGGTGGACATCGGCAAGGGCGCATGTTTCTTTGGGTTCTGTAGCGACGCGGTCAGGCAGAGGACGAGCCCTCGATACGGTGGTGCGCCCCTGCTCCGGGGTTGAATGGATACACGTGGGAGCCGCAATGCGCCGCGAGAACTCGTCTTTATCGCAGCCGGCTGCCCGTGTAAAGGCGAGTCGTCGGCTCATCGTCTTCCTGCTGCGCCAGTACATCGACGGCACGACTTCTTCGTTCCCTGTTGTAAAGCGCGTCCTGCGCACACGCCCCAGCCACGCCCACGACCAGCGCGCCTGCCGCCGAGCGTGCACTGTTGACCTGGTTGAGTCGGCGCTATAACGCGTGTCCTGGGGCAACACCCTTCAGTTGGTTTACATCACGGCTTGCGGGGCTAGGACTAAGCGAGTAAAGCCGTGCCAGAAGAGGGGCGGGCAAGACTAGTTACTTTCTGCGCTCGAAGCCATAATTCTCACCAACAGCAACCGCACTTCTCAACACACCCTCCCAACACATCGCCCGCATACACCCGCCATCATGTCTGAGCCGATCCGCAACAAGAAGCTCGAGAACATGACCGCGCCGTAAGTCTCCTCCCCGCCCCCGACGTGCCTTCTGGAGCCGCAACCATGTCCGCCACAAACACAGTAGACGTGCCGTTCGCTGACCATGCTGCCACCAGGACGCCGCAGAACACGCCTCTGAATGCGGCCCCGATCTCGTCGCGCGCACAGCAGCCCGGCGTCGACAGCATCAAGGAGGGTAAGTTTTCGATTTCTCCGCGCTGCCCCTCGTCCCCGCCGGCCGTGACGAGCTTGACCGCCAATTCTAATTTTCTGCCCACAGAGGACCTTGAGCGTCAAGCCGCCGGCCTCTTCGCCGCAAATCCCGCCCTCGCTTCCCTTATGCAGGCAAAGCTCGGCTCCCTCGTCGGCCGGTCAAGTGGTTACATCGAGTCCCTCCCTGGCTCCGTGCGCCGCCGCGTCGCTGGCTTGAAGGGCATCCAAAAGGAGCACTCCAAGCTCGAGGCTGAGTTCCAGGAGGAGGTCCTGCAACTGGAGAAGAAGTACTTTGCCAAGTTCACACCGCTGTACCAGTCCCGTGCCAAGATCATCAACGGCCAGACCGAGCCCACTGAGGAGCAGGTCACAGTCGGCGAGAAAAAGGACGACGATGACGAGGAGGACGACGTGCCCGAGGAGGAGGTCAACAAGGATGAGGGCAAGGATGTCAAGGGTATCCCAGAGTTCTGGCTGAGCGCCATGAAGAACCAGATCTCGCTTGCCGAGATGATCACCGACAGAGATGAGGGCGCTTTGAAGCATCTTACCGACATCCGCATGGAGTACCTTGACCGCCCAGGCTTCCGTCTGATTTTTGAGTTTGAGGAGAACGAGTACTTCACCAACAAGACTATCACTAAGACCTACTTCTATCAGGAGGAGAACGGCTACGGTGGAGACTTCATCTATGACCACGCTGAGGGCGAGAAAGTTGATTGGAAGGCCGGAAAGGACCTCACCGTCCGCGTCGAGAGCAAGAAGCAGCGTAACAAGAGTAAGTGTAGCTTCAGCTTCTCAGCAAGACTTGATCGCTAACAGATGACCAGACACAAAGCAGACCCGTGTGGTTAAGAAGACTGTACCAACAGAGTCATTCTTCAACTTCTTCGAGCCGCCTAGCCCACCGCAGGACGACGACGACGCTTCCTCTGACATTGAGGAGCGCCTAGAACTTGACTACCAGCTCGGTGAGGACATCAAGGAGAAGCTCATCCCCCGTGCCATCGACTGGTTCACTGGCGAGGCTCTCCAGTATGAGAACTTGGAGGACTTTGATGAGGGCGAGTTCGAGGACGAAGATGATGAGGACGACGATGACGACCAGAGCGATCGGGATGAGGATGACGAGTCAGACGAAGAGGTGCGTCGATGCCCTTATTGAGCGCCATGTTATCAGCTGCTAATTGAAAATCCAGGACGACGGCACAAAACCCAAGCAAGAGGCTGCCGAGTGCAAACAGAGCTAAACGTTCTGCATACGGTTCGACCTTCGACGGATATCTGACAATGGCTTCCTCTTTCAACTCAGATGCCGGCATCATGTTACGCCTGGTGGCTACACGGCGGTCATAAGGTGAAGCTTGTGGCTTTCTTGCACTTGGATCATCTACCCGCCCCTCATCACATCTCTACCACATTCTACCCCGGTCCTCCTTCATTGCTTCGCTCATGGCACTGTCTGCGTTTCCACCCGGCTTAATTTCTCCCTGCCTTATGAGGTACCCGCACCGGTGGCAGCTTGCTCGGGTAGTTACTCAGGCGCGGGGGCTCCACTGTGCATGCTATGCTGTACGCGTGTTGTTCGCACGCTACTTCTCTCTTCGGGGGTTGGGCAAGGTTCTGGTTCTCTCGGAACTCTAACTCTGTAGGCATAGATCGCGCTAGCTTTGTGTCTTCGAACGAAATGTATCCGGTTTTGGCGTTGCGTTATGATGCGTCCGTTTTTCTTTTGGTTGTGGTTTTAATCTGTTTCTGCAAAAAGTTTAGGTTCAGGCATGGTTGGGGAAAGAGCAGTTTTAGACGGTTGCGTTGCGAATTCGATACGATCATGGTAGCTACCCTTAATATTATCTGTGCGTTGATAGCCATGGTGTTTCTGATACGTAGGGTTCGTGGAGTGCCGTGATGAAGGTATGTGTATATTGAAAGCGTGTAGGAGAGCATCCAGCTTGGATTCTGCGAAGACTCGCTCAAGACGCAACCAGCTCACTTGATGCAATATAGCAATTCGAATGCAGCCAAAGATTGCCTCGTATCCGACACGACGCGATCGTACCGCTGGTTGACTTCGCGAAGCAGGGTGTGCCAGGGTCTCGTATCGTACCGTGGTCCACGCCGTGATGCAGTGTCTGCCGGTCGCTGGAAGCGGCTTAGTGCGGGGTTGGCGGGGCGCCCGCTGCCTCGGCGGATGAAACTCGGCCTGGAAATTTTTGGCTGGCATGGCATGCGCAGCGCAGGCGTACGTCGACGGGGACACTGAGCACAAACCATAAACTACCACCTGACCCCATACCGATATCGACATCCTCTCCAATTCCACGCGACGAGCGACAAGCAACCAAATCTCCAACCAGCTGCACGACCGCCGCCTGAAAAAATAAAACTTACAAAAGCGAGATAAACATGGCGCGCCAGAACCCGAACATCGTGATTACGGGCACCCCGGGCGTGGGCAAGACGACGCATGCCGAGCAGCTGGCGCGGAATCTGGGGTTTACGCATGTCAGCGTGAATCAGATAGTCAAGGATGAGGGGTTCCACGAGGGGCGGGACGAGGAGCTGGGGAGTTGGGTTGTCGATGAGGATAAGGTACTTTGCCGCTCTCGCCCATTCTTCCCACACCTTTTTTTTTTTTGGCGCATCTGATGTACTCGATGGATGTCCATAATCTGACAGCGCGACACAGCTCCTAGACCACCTCGAAGCGACAGGCATCTCCGAAAAAGGCGGCAACATCCTCGACTGGCACGCCTGCGAGCTGTTCCCCGAGCGCTGGATCGACCTCGTCATCGTGCTGCGTTGCGATAGCACTGTGCTATACGACCGGCTCACGGCCCGCGGGTACAAGGGGAAGAAGCTCGAGGAGAACATGGATTCGGAGATTATGCAGGTGTTACTGGATGAGGCGCGGGAGAGCTACAAGGAGGAGATTGTGGTGGAGTTGCAGAGTAGTGGCGACGGGGATGTTGATGGGAATGTGGAGAGGATTGAGCAGTGGGTGGAGCAGTGGAGGAAGGACAATGAGGGCAAGAGCGAAGAGTGAGGATGATATCAGGGATTGCGTGAGTGGGTGCGGTGGATGGTGAGTTGGATTTGGTTTTCTTTGATTGGGGGTATGGTATGGTACAGGAGCTGGGTGTGGGCACTACGCGTCGACCTTGCTCGCGAGCCACACTTTGAGCTTGTCCAGCGCTTTCCCGCGGTGCGAGATCTTGTTCTTCTCGCTCTTGTCCATCTCCGCGTACGTTGTGCCTTCGTACTCGAAGCACGAGTCCCAGCCTTCCCTCTCGTTAGCACCTGCCGCGGGTTTTGCAGGAAGAGACAGCCACTTACCGAAGACCGTAGGACCTCTGCTGGCAACCAGCTTCCCGTCCGTTCTGCCCTGGAAAAGCACCGGTTCGTGGCCCGGGCCCTCGCAGTACGCAAACGTGCACACGGCTTGTGCCGACTTGTCGTCGAAGCCATCGAGCATGTGGTGTAATTTCGCGGGGCCAAGGGCGAGCATGAACCATTTGCTGGAGGATGTGGTCAGATGAGGTGTTCCTGACTGGACAAGAGGAAGACTTACATGTAAGGTCCTGGGAGGTCGTTCATAGCTTTGAAGCAGAGACATGTGTCTTCCACAAGCACGGGACCATTGATCTATAGATACCTAGTCAGCGATGCAACGGAAGCGAACGAATCAAAGAAATCACGTACTGCATCTGCTGCTCGCCGGGCCTTGTCTAGTGTGACTTCCTCCACCGTACCCTGGATCTCTACCAAGTCGACATTCTGATTCCTCAGCTCGATGACGCCTTCAAGGATAGCTTGGACCTGCATGCCATGCACAATTAGCCGTAAGGCCTCGCGGAAATTTCTCCCGTGCCAACCCTGCGCACATGGCGTGACCCGCGGCGGTCCCGAGCGACAGTCGGCGTGCAGCAGAGCCTCAAATCTCACGCCGCGCCCCTGCCAACGTCGTCCCAGCTGCGCCATCGTGCTCGGAGCAGGCCGAATACGAGCCCTACATGCAGGCACACTACCACGTGGGGAAGTCAGAATGCACGTACCTCGGCGAGCTTGTTCTTGTTGCCGGTGATGAAGTTCAGGTGCTTGGGCACTGCCGCGCGGGAGCCCATGGTGCTGATCTTGCTGCGGGCGGGCTGTACTTGACGGCGATTACTGGACTGGTAGGGGTGCTGCTGCAGGCGGTGGTGGAGTTCTTCCTGTGCTGGGATTGCGGGCTGCGGAAAGCTTTCTAGGCGGGGTTTCGCGGTTTCCTCTTGAGACTGAGAGTCGACAGGGAGGCCGGGGAATTGAATCTGCGCGCTGTTGGATGATGATGTAAGTCTTGATGTGTTCATGTCAATGGTTTTCCAGACGAGATATACCGGGTGGAGTAGCGATTTCCGCGGTTTGGTAATGAAGGCAATGAGTCTTTGGTGCAGCGGAATTAGCAGCCTTGCAGATGGGAAGGGCTGCGCTGTGGACTGCGAGACAAGTGTGATTGGCTGCTGCGAAGGACTAGTATGGCTGAGGTTGCAACTGCGGCTGCGGAGCTGAATAATGCCCAGTTCAAGTCTTCTCAAGGTACTCTGTGACAGCTATCTTATGCCGCCATTTCAGGGCTGAGCTAGGCCCCATCTGGATATTTACGCGACACCCGGCGCTTCTAGCGCCCTTCGCGAATGCTACTGTGCCCTTCGTCAGCCGCTGTCATCTCTATACCTCGCCGTTTCACACAGTCTGTAGGCACCGCTGAGGTCTCGAACACCACAGGGCTGCAGCAGAGACCTAGTCTGAATCCCAAACGCTCATACGTCACCCGTGCGCGAGCGTTGTAGAAACGGCAGGGCTGGTCTTGGCTCCAGGTACTGGGTACCGCTCGCCGACATCGTCGCTGCAGCTGAGCAGGCTGTGAAGCTACCGCTTCGGCGAGAGCAACCAGAGGGGCTTAACAGACCGCCAATTTCGACGACAACATGGGGTCGCTCAAGGGGCTATTCCTGGGCGTGTATGCCTCGAACAGCGTTATAAGGACGCTGTTTCTGCCGCTGTGCTATTTGCTACTCAGCAGTCCGTTTCTTCTCGTTTTCGCTCGCTACTACGGATTTGACAGCAGGTTATTCGAATTCATTGGTAAAGATAAAAGTGTGAAGGAAATTGCTCTTCAAGTTTTCGTTGGATTGATCGCAGCGACGTTGCCTACTAGGATTCTTTCCGGCAAGAATTGGAATTCGTATCAAAATGGCGGGACGAGGCGGGTACAACAGATTCCATACTGGATTCCCCAGGTGAGACATTGGGGGAGTGTTGTGTTTGGGGGAGAGGGATGGTTGAAGAAAGTCAGGTATGTCGAACTCCTCAGCAAGTTGAACTCGGTGCTAACAAGCTCTCAGGGATTCGGCACTTGCGCCTGTCGTTGCATTCAACATTGGAGGCGCAAAACACAACGTTGTTCTGTCACCTGCACTACTTGAGCAAGTTCAGAAGGATCCAACCGGACTTGACAAACTTGATATCACGGAGTGGTCGGTGTTGCGGAATGCATTCAATTTACCTAATGACACGGAGATGGGATACCACGATTTGCGACCCAAGTTAAAAGATGCTTTGGACGACAACATTTTCAAAGCTCAGACGGCGGAGAAGTTGATCTCTGCATCTCTGTCGGTCCTTTCGGATTCTCTTCCAGATTTGGTGACCTTCAATACCTCGATCGTGGATCAGTTGCCCTGGGAGCGAGTCGCCAACCTGGAGCTCACCGATGGCACTATCGAAGCAGAGTGTGATTTTTTCACACTGATCAACGAATACTTTTGCAGTGCAATCGTTGCACCGATTACAGGAGCTCAATTCCCAGAATCATACGAGTTGCTGGCTTCAGACCTCTCTACAGTCACAGAATGTTACTATGCGCTTGCGCTGGGACTACCACGGCTGTTTCCGAAACCTGGATTACCTGGAGCAATGCTAGCGAAGAAGAGATTGTTTCAGAAGTTTGTACAATTCTTCTACGACTTAGACAATCCGAAAAAGAGAGTACCGGATGACGACGAGAGTATGAGTGGCGAGGAGACTGACGCTGAAACACCCACTCCGCTGACAAGGATGAATGAGTTCTTCTCGAAGAATGACATCCCACTGGAAGCGCGCGCAGCCATCACTATACAATTACTTCATGCCCTCGTGTCGGAAGTGGTACCCCTAGCGTTCTGGACCTTGCTGCACCTTCACACTTCGGTAGCAGCGCAGCCAAAAACCCACAAAGCGGACACATTGATCGACGAAATCCGCAAAGAAACGCAGATCTGGGCCCTAGCAACGCAGCCGCCATCGATACACCCTGCTTTTCCAGCACCGCCGGCAATATCATTCTCCGGCCTCCCACGCCTTGTCTCCCCGACCTCGTTCCCGCATCTACGTTCAGCGATCAACGAAGCAAGACGCCTCTACAAAGCCCCTATTACGACTCTCAAAACCAACAAGCCCATTACACTCACGGAAGTGGAAAGCATACGGCCTGGTGTCCAGGAGAAGTGGGAACTCGATGCCGGATCGTACATCGCCATCGGCCTCTCTCAAAGCCTCATCAATACATCTGCCGCACACTTTATCGCACCAGCAGAATACCGCCCCGACCGCTTCTACCACACCGCGCCCCCGCTCTCCATCACCTCGCACTCTGACCCCCAAGAGTCTCTCACAACCTCCCTGCTCATCGCTTTCGTTGCAGGCATTCTTCAACTCTGGGAGATAGCGCCCGCGCCGAAGAAGAGCTTCATGGATCACATGCAGGAGGCGCAGGCGGCGGCTATGGGGCCTGTGGATGGCAAGGCTCAGTCAGCGGCCCAGAGTGGTGTGCAGAAGAAGGTTGGGCGGTGGGTAGTGCCTAGAGCTGTTGATGGTGCAAGCGTCAAGATTCCGAAGGGCGATGTGAGGGTGAGGATTAGGCGAAGAGAGGGGCTTCCGGAGCAGAGGTTGCTGAGGAAGGGAAAGTAGATACTGGGTGGCTAATGGAAAGGTCAGAGAAGAGGAGGGACTCTGCGCGATGTCCTCTCGCGCAGAGGGGTAGCATATAGACTGCAATTGGCTTAGACTGCAATGAAAACTACATCAAATGCATTACCACTAGCGACCAACTTTAGATGTACGTTCACTCACGAATCTTGCAGCTAGATACATATTCCAAGTACAGCTTGGTAACCTTAATCGAATCACAGATATGGGGCTGTGTGGGGCATCAAGTTAACACGGGGTATCGCAAGGCTCACTACTCTCAACTGGGAGACCAATGGACCAAGATTGGCTTGGAGGTTTCAAGAGATATATAACCTAGTACCGTGAAAGATATTGAGTTTACTCAGAATATGATATAGCTCACGAATGTCAGTTGCAAGATTTCTTACTCAAGTTCAGTGTGGACAACGTAAAATATTTCCAAATCTAGCACTGTAATGGGTAGTGGGTCAATCTAGGGCATCGCAACTAAAGCCCAATATGCATGCATACCAAGAGAGCCATGTCTCATTTAATCTATCGGGGCCCATTGAGGCACTCGGGCAGACTTTGTTATCGTAAGACACGACTGTGATAGCTGAGCTAGGATCATCTAATGAGAACTTAGACCCATCAGCGAAGATCCCCCGTCGAATAAAGCCTTCACTTGTGACATCGCCCAGTAGGATTGATTAAATTCCATGTATAAAAAATGTCCACCAGGCAGCCTCGTCGGCGTCCCTGGCTACGATGACAACCGTTGGTTGCCAGCGGGAATCCTCTGTCGAAACCTTGTTGCACGAGGCTCATTAAAGCCCATCGCTGCATGCGAACTATTTTTAGGATACCAGGTATCCATATCAGCCATTTGTGGGCCAGGATCGTATTTGACGCCGAAAATGCGTTGGTGTCAAGCCCATCGACGGCGCCCAGCTTGATGAACTCGATGTACGTGATGCAGCAGGCGTGCGACGTATTGTCTAGTAGCATGCGTAGTCGCAAGATAGCGCCGGCCCAGTATTCCACTTGTCCATGCCCAAAAGAATCACACAAAACTAGGGAGTGTAGGCATCATCCCCAGGTGCTTGCCACGGGTAATACCTCACTGTACAGTGGGAGTCACGCACGTTTGCACTCTCTTCAATCAAAATTCGTCTGATACTACCGACAAGCTAATTCTGGTTTGTCGGGATCGTGTCGTATATCGTTTCCAACGGCATTGGGCGAGCCTGGGCGTGGCTAGCCGGTACGACCAACGGCGGTTAAGCTCGGCCGAGCCTGCCATGACTCAAACCCTGATACATAGGTCAATCAGGCTACTCTCGGCATATCCTGGGAGAATTCAAAGTACTCAACCTCGTCTGAAAGTAGCGATCTTTGTTCTTTCATGCGGGAGGGTAGATTCCGTTGGAATCATGCACTTGCGAAGTGTGGGGGTGCTGGAGCCTCTTTATATAGTCACAAGAGGGTCCACGGATGCTAAAAATCTCAGCAAGGCGATGTATGGGTAGATGAACTATGGCACGGATCACAGAAATTCAAATATGCTGTGTTATCCCAAGAGACCTCGACAACCCACACCCCTCGCCTGCTCAATTCAAATTGTGTCTTACAGCACAGCCTACTCGCACAAGATACAGTTCTTTCACTTTTCAAAAGGTAGCCTCCCAGCAAGACGATCCCAAAACTGCTGCGCCGTTCCCCCTATCGCTTCCCGGCATCTCATTCTTTCGATCCACGCCTTCACAACTGCAAACTCTTCCACATCAAACCCAACAACAATAAGATCTGCCTTTTCTGCAATGAGCATCATCTCAACCTGCCATGGAACCCACGCCAGGTCCGCATATGAGAACTTCCCGCCTACTAACCACGGCCCATCGCCACCCGGGAACAGCTCAGCTTGTTTCTTCAAATGGCCTTCCAGCACACCCGTTACACGTTTTACCTCGGCTGCGTACCGCTGCACCGCCGAAGGAAGCCTCTCCGAATGGAAAAAATTGAACCAGACAAGTTGACCATAGTAAGGGCCTTGACCTGTGGCCTGGAAGTGCAGCCACTGTTTCGTGTGATATGCTTCCTTGCTGCCCGGCTCAAAACTAATCTTGCGTTCCGTGTCATATTTCTCGACAAGGTATTCGACGATAGCGCCAGATTCCCAGAGCGTAATATCGAAGTTTGGGTCGTAGATGGTTGGGAGACGACCATTTGGATTGATGGCTAGATATTCAGGCTGCTTGATACCGCTGTCGTCGATAGGGTCGTCTGAGAAGGGGATGGCGAGCTCTTGGAGGATCATGCGGACTTTAACGGGGTTGGGACCGGATAATTTACCCCAGAGGTGGATTGGTCTGAGAGACATCCTTGCAAATGAGGATTTCTTTGCGATGGGTGGAGGGATTCCGAAGTGTAGTATGTAGTAGTGGTTGTTGCAGGTTGTCCCGCCAAGATGAGGATGAGACCAGCATTAGACACCGTCAGTTTGTAGTCGATCCAGTAGTACGGTCAGGTTATTTGTACGCACTGGTAGTTGTATAACTGACTAAGCCAAGAGCTAGCAGTTGCGCCGACCAGTCCCCACAAATATTTGCTTTCGCTCGCTTCTTTTAGCCTAGAAAAGCATGACTCCCGTGAATAGTGCACGCCCTGTCCATTACATCACCCGAAACAGGATAAAGACCTCGCAAATACGAGGGCCTGAGTTCTAGTAAGACCGCCGGGAGGCATTGCACAGTTTCCATGGTGTTCCCTTTCGCAGTTCTTCGCAGGTTGACAGTCAGTTCGACTATCTCTAAGAGTAGACATCAAATAGATTTGTGAACTCGCGGAGCTAGACTACTGGATATGTGCTCTCCAAATAAACGCTCCATGGGGTGGTCTTGTAGTGCCTTGCTACTTGACTGAGTCGACAGCTGGGTGTAAAGATGGAAAGGAGAAGGGACCACAAACGCGCCTCCTTCTTGTTCAGCCTCCTCTTGAGCTTAACGAGCGATAGGTTCCCCCGTTCTATTCCTTATTTTGTATTGCATAATGAAGGTGCGAAGCTGGTCATCAGTGGCGTTGGCTTGCTGTGGTGCTAGTCGGCTCCGCAATGCTTGAATTTCCTGTGGAGTAACTTGGACATGGCCAGGGTTGCGCATATTCGGTTGCTGTTGTGGTGTCCGGTCAGAAACAGCGCCAAGCGTCATCTGAGCGGAAGCGGCTGGGACCAGCTGCATCTGATGAGGTTGCAACCTTTGTATCTGATTCATCCCCTGCGGGGTGATTTGTGGAGGTGCCAATGGTGTACCTAATTTCATCGAGGGCGAGTAGCTGCAGAATATATCCATGTGTTCACACCTGCCGCAGCGTGGCCTGACTTTGTTGCACTTGACTTTGGCACGGGAGCAGGCATCGCAGGCAGCTCGCAGGTTGCGAGGCTTCTGCTCACTGCTGGGGTGCAACGGTTGACGAAGATGTGGAGGAAGGGTAGGAATGGGTTGCCCTTCTACCTTGTATTTTGGGACTGCGGTGGAAGTTCGCGGATAAAATTTGGCGAGTTCCTCTTTATCTGAATCGCGGAAGAATTCAAAATGGGCATCTGTTACTTCATTCACTTCGTGAGAGTTACCACTATCGAACAAGTTGTCGATCCTGCTATTATGCTGGTATTTTGCAGTTTCCAAATCAAAGTTTGGCGAAGTGGAAGCTTGTTGTTGCGACTCGCCGGAAGCGATATCTTGCCGATTCGTGTTCTGAGTGAAACCTGTAAGGTGACTCGATGGGTCCGTCACTGTTCTTGTGGCCACAGCGTCTTGTTCTTCTCTAGCCTTAATCAATCGTTTCTTGTTCTGCTGCTCGAGGAGCATCAGATGCATCTGATAATCTTGAAGTCTTTCTCTCAGGTTTTTCAATTTAGACAAGGCCTCTGTATGACGCTTTCGAGCTTGATCGATGGTTGACTGCGACCATCCTGCCTTTTCCGCCTCGTCCAATGTTGTTCTTGCTGCTATCTCTTCTAACTCTGCGCGCGAAATCTGCTCATGTAAAGATAGGTCTAGCCGCAAGGTCGATTGCGAAGCAGGATTCCAGTCCTTCGGTGCTTTGTACTCGCAGTGGATACCCATGTCTTGGCATGATGCGCCTAATACTTGTCAACGATACGATCTAGTGAGGAGTAAAGTACTATTTCGGGAGCTTGTGGGTCATCTGGCTGTGTATTGAGTACCCTGGAGTAGATTACAGTACTCAAACGTCTGGTGATAGTGCTCTGGAACTGCTTACAGGATGGGCGTGACATATCACACTTCTTGTGATGTTTTAGGCATTCCTCGCACTCAACATTGACGAACGCACCCGAGAAGCCATGTCCCGCTTCTTGAGGATGAACAATTCCAGACTCTCTGGACTTAGAGGCGTCTGTTAATTTCGATGATCGCAGCAATATCAATTGTAGAAATTGAGTGACTTGCAGCTCTTTCAGCTTCCGGACAGTACCATTTGGGAAAGTACCGAAGTTCCTCTGGACAAGGGCCTTGAGTTGCCGCCAGGTCTTGAGATCTGAGGGTACTGCCTGTCGAACAACTCCATCGCCAGGACCCAGTACGAAAGGGACGTCATCAAATGTGGAAGTGATGTTTGAATCTTCCCGAAGCAATTGCTGAGCAATGAGGATTCGATCTTGATCTTCGCGCTGGCGAGAGAGGATGAAGTTTGTCAGTGGTTCAGACAAGAGGCTCGCATTCAACGTATCGACTTTCTCATCAGCAAAGTCCAAAAATGAATCAAAGTCGAAATCTTCCAGTTCATGCGCTTCATCCAATTCCCATTTTGGGCTGAAGCCGCCCATTGAAAGATTCCCGGATAATTGGCCAAATGCCTCGGGGTCATTGTTCTCTGGAGGTGGCTGCTGCTGGGTGGCCCTAGGAGGCTGCTGCAATTCACTTGGAGAACCCCGTGGCGACTGAACAGTTAGTGTAGCTTCTTCTTTGCCACTGAAAGTTGCTGAGATCCCTCCTTTCTGATATGCGGGCATTTTCTGGTGAGCTAATGATATGGATTTTGCTTCTTCCATTTCTTCCCCTCCTTTGCCTTGCCTTTTCTTGCGAGCTCTTCCACAAGCATCCATCAGGGCCACGTAGAAGTCGTTTTGAGTCATCCCCAGAAGTTTCTTCCTAAAAAGGTCACCAATGCCTGGTGGCATCAGCATTGCCCTGATCTGGGGCGAAAATACGGCTCCCGAGTCCCTGAATGATTTCAATGTCGCCTCCAATCGCTGCCAAACACCATCAGAACTTTCTTGTTCAAATACTTGATCCAACGCAATTTCCAAAAGCCCAGGTTCCTGAACGGCAGAGAGTGTCGAATGTGGATCTAAGGTTTCAACTCCTGGAAGGGCGACTTTGATGGGAGAGGGCCAAGTGGGGTCTCCGAACTTGCTACCCTCGTCTTCGACCCTGTAAGATGGGACGGATCCATTCTCAACCTGGTCATATTCGTGTTGGATCCTTGCCACAGGTACAGTATCAGCACTTTGGACGCCAAAGGATGTCCTCCCAGAAGCATTCTGTTCCAACGAATTTTGCTTCGTTACGGTCTTTCGAGTGTATGAAGGTCTAATCAGACCATTCAGCTGTCCGACGTGACGTATAGACTTCGGGGCCCGATCCGGGTTATGAACGTTTTCCGTGTGATTTTTCAAAGATTTTGCCGACGGGAAAGGAGGGTACTGGCAGTTGACGACCGAGCACCGATGACCTCCTACATGCGTCATCTCGTGTTCACGTCGCAGAGAATCGTTCTCGAAGCCTAGCGTTGCTCTCGGACAGGATCGCAGGCGACAAGTGAACGCCGAAGCTCTGAACTGGCTCTTGACTAAACGTGAGATCGTAGTCAGCAATCTCTTCTTCTACGCATATTTTGACTCGTCTTACAGTTTTCCAGCTCCTCGGCAGACACGCCAGGGTGAGACTCTTCGTTCAAGAGCAGTTCTACGGCCTTCTGATAGGATTGTAGCATGTACGATACGGCGTCCAGAGCGTTTGAGTGATCAGTGACTGATCTAGGGTCTTGGGTGTCATCAGCACCGTGATTTAGACCCGCGTACACAGCTCAGTCTTGGTAATTGAGAACCCACCTTGCTGTTTGAACAATTCGACTTCAAGACGTTTGCGCGATCGCGAATTCAAGGAAGCTTTCATCTGCTCATAGAGTGGATGATATTCCTGGAACAGTTGTAATCGTTCGTCAATGTCAGACGGTTGGGCTGTAAGCTCTTTGGGTAGAGACTCAATGCGTCCAGCGCTAAGCTCGTGCGCCAGGCGCGACGCTAGCGCGAACAGGTCAGAGGAGACATCAGGCCCATTGGAGAGCGCTGCATCGCTCAAAAGATATTCGATCCAGAATTCGGTGGCGTAAACATGGAGTCCATGCACGCCTCGCACAAGCTGAAGCAGTCGTAAACGCTCGTCGAAGTCCTCTCTGAATATTCTTCTGCCAGCTAAAAGGGCAGTAACCGTGGCCGTGGCGTGTTCTCGTATCGCGGTACGCTCGGAAACCGAGAGGAGGCCTTGAGCGGACAAGAGGAATCTAATCAGAGTGTTAGCTTTGATGTGAAAGTCGAAAACCCGGGTGTGCTTACTCTTTTACAGAGACATGTATAAATGCAAAGGTCGAGTCGCGTCTTTCCTCCATGAGTGGTCCGCAGATGTCCAGGATGTACCTAGCGGTGCGGGCACCCAAGTTAGTGTGAGTCAAGACAGGCTGGATAATTACATTATGTATGCTTCAGTCCAATGGGGGCGGTTACTTCCCTTTTGCGACAAAGACATGAAAGACCTGGTGATTTACTTACGATGGGACAAGGCGATCAACCTCTGGATTGCCTTGACCTACTGTTACCGCCGAAAGCAATTCCAACTTCTTCAGTGGTCGTTTCGCAAATGACACCCAACTTAGAATAGTTTTAACTCGATCCACTGAGCGCGCATCCAAGCCCTTGATCATCTGAGCCAGTATAGTCTGGTAGAATTCAGTCAAACTCGGAGGCAGTCGGTTGATGGAATCTCGGATTTCGTCTGGGTTGTAGAAGATGTTCGATGTGACGTAGTCAAGGACCAATCTTGCATATAGGAACATCCCATGGGCTTTGGTCGCGACATTGTTGGCCAGTTCGCTGATGTCTTCGTGTTCAATTTCCAATTGTCGGAGCCGTTTAATCGCGGACAGGAGCCTTTGCGATGCATACAGCTGGATAGACTTGTATAGCTGCGTCGCTTCGTCGGAGAGTGAAACGACTTGCTTCCTCCGGAGATATTTGTTGATCGCTGACGACGGTCTGCTCGATATGAGTACTTTGCATACTGTGTTCCCTTCGGAAGCCGATCTTGACGTGATTTGATTCATCAAAGTGAGCAGACGAGACTGCTTACTCTGCTCGCACTCATCCAGACCATCCAGAACTATCCATATATATCGCATCTTGCCAGGTTCATCGGTTGTGCTCGCGCAGAGTGCCCCTACAAGCTGTTCCAAGAGCGTGATGGTTGGAGCTTTCTTACTCAGAATACACTCTTGGTAGACATGCGCGACAAGTTCCCCATTCTTACGAATGAGCTGCGTCAGTAAAGACTTCACAATGTTATCGTACTTAGTGGAAGCCGCGTGCGAGTATGTGCAAAAGTGTCGCAACACCAGGGCGTGACCGTTATTGTCAATGAATTTTACGATCTGGCCGGAGGCAACACTCTTGCCCGTGCCAGGATTGCCTTGCAACCAAACGACTGGATTGGTTTGCTGCTGTTGGAGCCACAACCGTATTTTCGTATGGCGTGTAACCCAAGAACATGTACCAGGATATTTTGAGCCTTCGTCGAAGATGGAGTCACATATAGAAAGCTGCTCAGATTCATCGATTTTGAGCCAAGACAGAACCGATCTGAAGTGACTGGAAGCTCGCTCCTCTTCGTCACGTTTGACTTGATCCAGGCTTTCTTCTCTCCATTGTCGTATCTCCGTGCGCATACGGCCGGCCTCCACGATGTTATGGGAGTTTGCTTCTGAGTCAATCAACTCACCGTGTCTTTTGAGGTCTTCGAGAAGATTATCAAATCGCCTTTGAAAACGGCCCCAGGACGTAATGAAAAGAAGTCGCCAACCTGCAGCTTTTCAGTTTTGTCCAATTCAGACTGGAACCTGCAGGTCCGAATAGAAGTCTTACCGCTACGACGAATAAATATATAGGCGTGCTTATGGAATTGCAGAATATCTGCGTAGTAGACAGCTAATGTTTGTTGAAAGTCTTGATTTGTGAGAAACTCTGAGCTGAGCCTCTCGAACCTCCCAAGATTCGAAGCAATTCTGGCGTACCTGGTCACGTGTCGGTGTTAGCGTGTTTCTCCGCGTGCCTTACTTGGCAAAAACCTTCGAGTGAACCCTAGATGTCGCAAAACTAGCTTTCTCCATCGCTACGACTTTCAGTCTCGAGTGTCTAACCTCGATATGCAAACAGAATGGCCACCAAGCTCAAAACGGACGATCGACGAGCACTCCGGACTGGCCGAGTTTGAAGACCGGTTCTTATTACCAACCACAGTGCTTCATCGAAGGTTTAAGTACTCTGGAGTACCCGCGGAGGACATGCAGGACTCACACTTTTGACTCAATACTGCATTTAAACGACAAGAAAGCACTTACCCTTTCATCAATAATTCGAAGGCTTCGATGTATTCGGACGAAACTCTTAGTATCAGGGTGATGGGCGCCCATATCCACGGTAAAAACGGGGTTCCATTGCACAATATGTCAACGACTTTTGCATAGTGCTCCATGCCATCAAGCAGTGGTTTCAGGCGGCGCATGTTTCGCAGCGCTTGTTTCGCTTCCATCCTTTTTTCCAGTTCCAAGGCTGCCATCCGTACAGCATCGAGGGAAGTGGTTCGAAAGTCGCGTGCATCCGCGGGCGTGATAGTCCTTTCCAATTCGTCAAAGGCCGTCTTCATGGTCTGGCGTGCCAGCGCTGACACGGCAGGTGCGAGCCGAGGCATTGAGTTTGCGTGGAAATCCGGATCGAGATTATTCTGCGAGTGGTGGTGACTGTACAACTTTCAAGGTTCCCTCGTTCAATCCCGAACACACGCGCCAGCCCACAACTACGTCGTGACGGCGAGGCTTTCGCGTCGGGTTCGAATCCTCGATATGAAGGGTGCAAGTCAAGCCCGGAGGGTATCAAGAGAGCGTATACGTGTTCGTTGGGAACATGGTTTTTTTGAGCCAGGCTGTGCGGATGGTGAGGCAATGACGATGTTCGAAGAAATGCCGTTGGGCGACACGCTCGCAGTGGCTGAGGGCTCAGCCCCCACAGGGCGACGTCGCCACGCAGCTCCAGATCTTAGCAGCCCAGCCTTCTCCTGATTCTCTAGAACTCATATCGCGTGCTCAAACTATTCGAGATGGACAGCATCTCTGGGTCTGCGGGCGCGGCCAGGTACTTCTGGGCCCCTCCTCAGATTGACCAGCAACCTTACGCCAAGCGGCGTCGCTTAAGTCCGAACGAGCAACCCCTCCACTGTTCGCAGCCAGCGAACACAGGTCAGTCCGAAAACATTCTTGAGGCTCCTCACTGGAACCCGGATCATTGGGGCGTGCAAAACTTCTACCAGATCCACGCGCCGAATCAGCATTTGGATTATTATCAACAGCCTCCCATCTTTCACACCCACTCACAGGAACACAACTTCAGCAGCCTTGACCCGAATCACATTGTGACACTGCCAGTGCCATTGCAATGGCCCAGCAGTGATGCCTCGCATCCACAGCATACCTATGGTGATATTGGGAACGAGTTCGAGCATAGCGAATCGGATCTGAACGTTGCACCATCGCCGCCAGCAGAGACAGATGTGCTAGTATGTTACGGGATGGTGAGTGCCTTTAAAATCTACGAAGTAAAACCCGTACAGTACCCACCTGCTTTGCTCGGGTCTGAAGTGCAAGCAACAGCCGAAAGCTAGGCGAACAGGTGTCTGCTGGATCTCGGACTTCATTGTCACAAGTTGGAGGCATATGGAGAGCTGATCAATACTAGATAGTCGCCCTCGAAGCCAAATGCGACGGAAGGTTGTCGAACGCAACACCATTTCTAGTCGACTTGAAATCTTCCGAGCACTTCACGTCATCCAATCCGTTAACCCGAGGCATTATTTCCTCTCACCATGGGCAAATGGTGCAGGGCCTTCTGGACGAAAAGACGCTGCAACTTCATACGACATGCACCGTGAATATCGACTCGGCGCCAAAACGCACGGACTTTGGTGCACAGACGTCGTGTAAGCAATCCTTTAGGTACGAGTTGGAGGTCTCTGTATTGAAGGGGAAAGAATCTTCTTCTCCTTCGGCGGGGAAACAATTACCATCCTGTCTTGACTCAAACTGACTTGTGCAACCGAACCTTAGGTACCCTAGAGATCACCGTCTTCGGGCCTTGGGAGCTATTCGCGTCCATCGGTCTGTGGTTCCAGGAATATGATGTGTATTTACAAGATCCCCGAACCTGTCATTTGGACGTGAAATATTGCAACCCACACAAACTTGCTTCCGGGGATCTCGAAACCTGTCCCACACTTTCTGAGGTCACTTCTCGTAAGATTGGACTCGGTTACATGCAGGACATTACTTCACGCCCGGATTTGCTCGATTTGCTCAATGGCCAGAACGACCTCGAGGAGGCCCCGACGCCATCAGTTATACAAGCTCATCTGCACAAGCATCAGAGACAAGCTCTAACATTCATGCAACAGCGCGAGCAAGGCTGGGCTCTCGGGACCCATACCTATGATATTTGGGAGATATCTGACTCTACACAAGGTCGATATTTCATTAACCGGATCTCTAACACGCATCAACAAGATCCACCTCAGCAATTTTCTGGGGGTATAATTGCAGATCCAATGGGCCTTGGCAAAACACTCACCATGATTGCTTTGGCCGCAAGCGACTTGGATCACAAAAATGTCGACCCGATGGACCTTTCGTTCGGCCATGACAGCAAGCCGATGGTTCAGGCCACGTTGATTGTTGTACCACAACCGTTGCTTGGTACGTGGGAAGAACAGTTAAGAGATCACGTGAAGACAAATGGGCTGAGGTTTTGTCGACATCATGGAAAGTCCCGACTAAATACACTATCGGATATCGACTCCAGGAACGTAGTGCTTACCACATACCACACATTATCAGCAGACTGGCAAGCAGCGAAGGGGAAAGGTGATCATATCGTCTTTTCCGTCAGGTGGAGAAGAGTAGTCCTAGATGAAGCTCACATCGTACGCAACCTCAAGGCTCGCATGGCTCGTGCTATCTGCGACCTTGATGCAGTATCGAGATGGGCTGTTACCGGCACACCGATTCAGAACAGCCTGAATGACCTTGCAGCTCTTTTGAAGTTCATACGAGCGTTTCCATACGACGAGCCAAAACACTTCGACAGAGACATTTCCAGGTTGTGGAAGTCAGGCGAGGACGCAGAGGCAGTCCAAAGGCTCAAAAGAGTGGCGAGATGCCTCGTTCTGCGCCGCGCAAAACACACCATTGATCTCCCGCCACGCCACGACCAAATTTGTGCGGTTGAGTTCAGTCCTGCGGAGAAGGTACTGTATGATACCATCCGCCAGCAAACTATCCGCAGAATCGACGATGCTCTTCAACATGAGCTGGAGATCTCAACTTCCGGGGTCTACGTCAACGTCCTCCAGCAGCTCGAAAGCATGCGATTAGTCTGCGATCTCGGTCTGCACTATCAGAGTCGGCACGAGAAGAAGCCGTCTCATGAAAGTCTAGACTGGTCGATTGTAGCACAAGAGACGTTCAACACTCAGCGTGAGATGGAACCCATCATATGCTCTCAATGCACATCCGCGCTTGATCTCACTGGAACGTATATGGACGATGTTGCCCAAGAAGCTCCGCTATTCTCTCAGTGCTTGAAGTATGCTTGTCCAAATTGCGCACGTCGGCTGCGCTCTGCAAAGCAGAAGATGGTCTGTGGACATACGCCTAGATGTCCTGTCGCCCGCGTATCGATCTTTGATGCGGCATTAGAAGAGACACCTGGCCATCTTGGGTCCTCACCCCGGGAAATTCTCACCGAACCACCTTCAAAGGTAAAGGCACTCATAGATGATCTGCAAAAGCAGCCGTCGGACGTCAAGAGGTGAGCATTACTACGAACACCACCCTCATTGCCTTCCTGACTGACCACATTCATTAGCATCGTATTTTCAACGTGGCGCCTTACACTAGACGTTATAGAAAGCGGCTTGAACCAACACAATATCTCATGCGTTCGTTTCGATGGAAAAGTGCCACAGACGCAGCGCCAAGTCGTTCTCAACCGCTTCAAGACCGACCCCAATGTTCGCATTATGCTCTTGACACTGTCGTGCGGAGCAGTCGGTCTTACATTGACTGAAGCATCGCGGGCTTACCTCATGGAGCCTCACTGGGTATGTTAACAGTTCCTTGGAACTTTGATTCCCGTAGCTTCAGCCTTCGTCAGCACATGCCAAATCTCAGACCCGTGCTAATCACTTCCTTCCAGAACCCCACAATTGAAGAACAAGCACTCGCACGTATCCATCGCATCGGCCAAACACGCCCCGTGACTACCGTGCGGTTCTACGTCCAAGGCTCTTTCGAGAAACGCGTCATGGAGGTTCAGGAATCGAAGAAGAACCTTGCCGGCGTGCTGTTATCCGGCCACGACGGCGGACAGGCTGATGATAGCCTGGGGGCGCTGCAGGTATGTTTGCCCACCGCAGTGTTTTTGATATGGGACTAATGACTTACAGCGCTTGCGTGCCTTGCTCTGAGGGAAGATGTACGTTTATGACTCTCGCTCTGATTGGTAGAACAGCATAGTATAAAGTAGCACGTGTCTCTTGTACATGTTCATGAAGCTCACCTTGTCGCGTCATTGCACATACTGCCATCGTATCCTTCTCGCCGCCTGTTGCTCGTCGTATGCAAGCACCAACAACAGCATAATCCCCGCGCCCCAAAGAGCTCAAGTAAACGACGCGCAATATCAAGAATCCCCGGACCTTCCTACACGCCCTCATTATGATTTTGCGAGCTACGATACGCAACCCAGAGCTTCCTCCGGGTTGAATCAATCTCGTGAGGTTTGGTACAGAACAAGGTCCAGCGTCAGTTGTGTGCTTGCTCTCAGCCTCACGCCCCCACCGCTGACTAATCCAGCGCCATCGGCGCATCCACGCCAAACCTCCGACATCCACGGCGCCCAACCCAAAAAGTTGCGCGCATCGCCAAACCGCACGACATCATCACCACCCACGAACACCGCCTCGTCGAACCGCCTCGAACCGCAATCGCACACCCCACATCCTGGCATCCTACTACGCGCAATTCCAAACGCCCACCATGGACATGTCCGGCCCCCTCGCCAACGTCGACGTCTCCAAGCTGTCCGACCGCGACAAGCAGGAGCTGCAGCAATTTGTCGTCAACGAGAGCCAGAAGGCCAGGATCCAGTCATGTAACCATCCCTCCCCCTTTCTCCTCCCCATCCCGCCCCACGCTAGGCGCCCTGGTGCACGAGACCGAAGGCTAACCTGGTTGTGACAAATAGCTATCCACAGTCTGACCGACGTCTGCTTCAAGAAATGCATCCCCGCCGGCGGCGTCAAGAACGGGAAACTGGACAAATACGAGGAGCCGTGTGTGCGGCAGTGCGTGGATCGGTTCTTGGATGCGAATTTGGTGGTGTTGAGGGAGCTGGAGAGGTTGAGGGGGTAGATTTCCCTTCTGAGGGCAGGAATCCTGGTGGGGGAGGGAGGGGGTGTACGATATAGACACGTCGGGGAAGGCAGTGAAGTGTACAGTAAAAGGACCCCTGATGGCGGGTTGACTAGAGATGAACCCGTTGGATGGATGACGGCTGGACGGCTGGATGTATGGATATCGGAACGGTGGTGGTGCAGTGTACGAATATGATGCTGTCATTTTGCGCCGCCTCCTGGCTTCGCTCGCGTGTTGACGTCTGCGTTGTCTCGTACCCTGCGTCCACTTAACCGTACCATACGCCCCACGAATCGCGCACCGCTTGCTCTCGGGGTAAATCAGATTATCCCAACTCCCGATCATGCACATGTGCACATGGCGGTATGCTCGATGTATTGATTGAAGGAATACTTTTCTATCGTTGCGGAAGTCTAGACTCCCAGCTGCCCAGCCAGCGCCACGATCTGCACACAGGGTCGAGCTCCCTCAGCGCCTCGTTGACCGGGCCGTCCAACGTCCCCTCTTCCCTCCTCCCTTTGAGCTCCACAAAGAAGATGTAGTTCCAGTTCTCCACGCCCGAAGGCCGCGTATTGATGGACGTGAGGTTGAGCTCGTACTTCTCAAACACGGCCAGCGAGTGCGCCAGCGACCCGGGATTCGCATGGTCGACGGTGAAGCTGACGAGCGTTTTCCACTCGCCGTCGGCTCCATCTTTCCCATCCGCACGCCCGTCCCCTCGTCGCTTGATGACCAAAAACCTCGTCGTGTTGTCCACCCTATCCTCAATCCCCCTCGCCAGCACCCCCAACCCGCACACCTCCGCCGCAAACGCACTGCTCACCGCCGCGCTCTCGCCGCTCTCATCCTCAGCGACTATCTGCGCCGCGCGGCTCGTCGACGACACGTCCTGCCGCTCGACGCCCTTGAGGTACGTGTTGAGGAAGACTTTGCACTGGCCCCAGGCTTGCGGGTGCGAGTACAGCTTGGTGATGCGGGAGAGGTCGGAGAGGGGGCGGGCGGTGGGTTTGGTGGGGTTGGGGATGGAGGGAGTGGGTGTTACGGCGCCGGAGGAGAGCGGGGAAGGGATTACGCCTGTGCCAGCGCGCCTCCCTGCGCCGCCAGCATTCCCGGGACTAGATAACGACGTGGCATGCTGCTGATCAGACCTAGCATGCCCAAGCAGACAGTGCTGCACGGGCACGTAGGACTCCGCGCAGACGACGATGTCGGGGTACTTGGCCTGAACGTCGGCGAAGAGGTCGAGGGTGAAGACTACAGAGCCGTTGGAGGAGTTCTCAAAGGGGACGACGCCGCGAGCTGCGGCGCCGGATTGGACGGAGGCGAAGACGTCTTCGATGGTGGTGGTGGGAGTGAGGGTGTGGGTGGAGTTGGGGAAGGCGGAGAGCGTGGCCTGGTGGGAGGTCAGCACGGGTAGGTCGACAGCGAGGACGGCATTGCGATCCTGCGCGGGCAAGGAGACGTCGAGGAGTAGTTGCTCGTCAAAAAAGGATTGAACGGCGGAGCAACGTGACGTGCCCACGCCCCCGTGCATCATACACAGGCATGCATGTCTTCCAGAATTTTTCCCAATTCGGACACCCACCGCGCACTCCCGGTGCCGGCGCGCATGCTGTCGGAGCGACCTACCTGGTGTGTATAGCTCGCGACAGGCCCCAGAAACGTCACGACTGGCTTCTGCGCTCCCTTCTCTCCCGACTCTTCAGACATGGTGTTTGTGATGTCGTCGCTACCGGGCGTGATGGATTGATGTTCAATTCAAGGCGCGAGCGAAGATCGGAAGTCGGTAATTCGATCGGCACGCATTGCGTACTTTGCTCATGTCACGGGAAGGGCGTGCTGGAGCGATGAAGTCCACATTGTGCAAATTGCTAGCAATTGTCAACGCGGTCGGGTCTCTGGAGATGGCATTGGGTAAGGTGGGGCTTGCGGTTTGGAGGGGAACCCCGCACTAAATCTTACGGCATTAATTGTGCTGCACTTTTGGGGTTGGATGGCAGGATGATGTACTATTGTTGCAGACGATCCACCGTGCGGTTGTTTCATTCATTGGCTGCGTCGGTTGAGCCGCTCCTAGCACACATTTCACGATTGACATTGGAAGTCATGGAAGCGCAATTCAATTTGATTCAGCCGAATAGTAAACGACAGACTAGCTGAGCACACAAAATACTAATCTATCCCTTCTTCAGGGCTGCCTACGAAACGCCCGCAAAAGCAGATGACCCATTGCCTGATCGCCCCTGATCGTTGCTGGCCCGCTCAGATATTCTCATAGAGAGTGGGCACTTGCGCATCGGCGGAGGTGTAGATAGCTTCTCTGTAGCGATCGGCTGCCTCTCCGTGGAAGTGAGCGTGGGTTGTCAATAAGAATGGGTAGACCATCAGTCTGGACGTTGTTAGCTGAGCTGCGCAAGGGATTTGGAATCTGGCCAACTCACTTTACAAACACTCCGTCCGCATTCCTTCAACACGTTTACAACCGGGAGAGGCGACATGTCGTCTGCTCCAGGGCCTGCACGAACTTCCTGGACGCGTCTGGTTGACCTTGGGTGCGGGCAGGCGGCGTTCCTTCACTCGACGCGTGGAGTGGGGCCTCTGCCTCGCGGTCAGCGAGGGCGCACAACCGTCAATCATCGTAGAATTCGTCTTCGTCGTCGTACTCGGCGAGCTGCTCAAAGTTGAGCTTGTAACGCATGATGGCGCCGATGCCACCAAAGCCCTTGACGAACTGGTTGCCCTCGGAAGAACGGTCCGAGACGAACTCGAGGTTGGCACCAAAGTCGCGGTACTTCTCAGCGAGCCATTCCAGGAACGACATCTGGTCGATGACCTCCATTTCCTGACCAGTCTCCTTGTCCATAAACAGGGAGCGGTCCGCTTCCTGGGCCTTGGTGGTGTGGAGGATGATTTCCGAGCCCTCGGAGCTCTTTAGCTGCCAGCGGGTCATTTCCAAGTTCTCGTATACAATCAAAGTCTCGGCAGCACCAGCCTCGAGCGCCTTCAACGTATCGTCGATACCGTAGCACACCTTGCCCGAGTCTTGCGAGATCTCGTCGAAGTAGCGGTTGATGAGCTTCTTCTCCTGGATGAACTTGACGTTGCCGAGAGTCTCCGACGACAGCTCAATGGCCTGGTTGAAGCCGTTCTCTCCTCCGTAGGACACATCGACTACCTTGATGACCTTGGACTGCAGGCGGTTGTCGAACAGGTCGGACTGGTTCAGGTCGTTCTTGAAATCGGCGCTACCGGCCAGGATGATGCCAGCGACGTTGACCTTGTCGGCGGTGATGAAGTTCTGCACAGCCAGCTCGGCGACCTTGCGGACGTAGTTGTGGCGCTTCTCCTCTCGCAGACGGGCGAAACGCAGGGCGGACTGACCACCACGGCCGTGCTTCTTGGGAAGATCGACGGAGAACTTGTGCACAATGTCGCGCGTGTTCCCAGAGAGCGTGCCGAAGAGGGCGCCGTTTCCGTCCATGATGATGAAGCCAAACTTTTGGTCCGACTCGAGCAGCTCGCTCAGCGCTTCGGTATGAAATTTGTTGTCGCAGAGGTACAGCGAGGTATTGATGGGCTTGAAGGGCTCGAAGTCGATGTTGATCTTGCGCTCCTTGCCCTCGGCGGTGATGATTTCACCGCAGTAGATGACCAGGCCGTTCGGGGGGACCTTGGAGTAGAGCTTCAGGCGCTGCTGGGTCGAGGTAATGGCGGAGAGGACGGACAAGCGGTTGACGCGCGACTTGATGTTGCTCGCGGTGCCCTGCGCTGTCAGCCGTGAACGGGGTGGGGGCAGACCATGGACGTACGAATTCTTCCGCCAGCATCTTTGCGGCGCGGGAAACCTGGTCCTTGGGCGCTGCACACAGGGTCAGCAACGACTCGCCCAAGCGAGGGGGGCAGGCGTACGGATGATGAGCGAGATCATGCTCGTGCCGTTTCCACGGGCGGCCTCGAGGCGCTTGATCAGCTTCTTGACCTTCCATATCTCGATGTTCTTCTCGGCGTCAGCGCCCTGTCCCTGGGGAGGTGCCGACATGGCTGCGGTGGGAGAGCGAGAGTCGTGTTCAGGCGGGGTCCAGCGGCGGGGCTGTGATCACAAATTTTCGGCGGGGGCACGCGAGAGCGGAGGAGCCGACGGGCGGCGGGCGGGCGTCTGGGACAGGCAGCCAGGCAGCGAGAGTGCGCTGTGGGGTGTTGCAGTGCAAAAGAGGGAGGCGGACAGGCTCTTGGGCAGCGACTGGATTTATTTGTCCGTGGGCGGTGACGCTGGCCGCCGGCTGCCTTTTGCCAACCAGCGGCAGGGCTCCAGGCGGCGGGCGCTCGGCTGCGCGCCCAATCAGGCCCGCGTCTGCTGCGGCCGGCCGTTATCATCCTGCTGCGCGATCGTGCATGCGCTCAGTGATGTAGGCGGGGATCTCAGTCTTCCTCGTGATTCTGTCCCTCTCGGCGCCGTGGTCTGATCCGGCACCGGACGCGCATAAATCATGGTCAGCGCTGCAGCGTCCAGACGAGTGCTGTGGGCGTTCCCAACCAAGCCTGATCCGACCGCGTAGTCTCCCGCTGCGACAGTAGTGCCCGTCCCAGACCAGGATCCATTTGATAACAGACGCTGTGCACGCCGCCCTCCTTCTGCTCCGCTCCCTTTTAAGTCTGCTCTGTGCGTGCAGAAACCGCACACGCGCCCCAAATGGACATTCGCGGCAAGCAGCCGTCGACCTGGGATGAGTACGAGCACCGCGGCTCCGTCGACTCGACGGGCAGCACTCCCAGTCGCGTGCGCTGGGGCGCCGGCGCAGACCTCGAGCGCAGAGAGAGCGGGCAGAGCACGGCCACGGGCCTCGAGGGGCGACTGCCAGGCCTGAGGCGGCGCGGCTCCTCGATTTCTCAGGGCCTCCATGCCATAGGCCAAGCGGGCGGCGTCAACAGCATCAACAACTTCGCCCGCTCGTGGCAGCGAGCCGCCGGCTTCTTCGAAATCACCCCCGTGCGCCCTTCCTTCCGGGTTTCGAGCGACGACGGCGCCGACGACGACGCAGCCTTCCCACGCGCCGGCCTCACCCCTTCCGACCACCGTTCACTTCTGCGAGCAGCGTTCGAGACCGACGGGAGACGCTCCTCGGACGATGCCGTGGCAGACGACGAGCACGGCGAACCCACCGAGGAATCGGCTCTGCTTTCGACCCCCGTAGGACAGCGTCTAGGCGGACTGAGGAGCCAGAGGTCAGAGAGCATATTCCAGATCGAACCGTCGCTGTCGTCGCCCTTTGGGGGGAGCTATGGAACATCGTATGGCAGCCTTTCGGCCCGCATCAACGAGTCGTCCATGCGCCATGCCGGCCGTCTGTTCACGGAGCAGCAGATGAAAGGCGTCGCCGAGCCCGAGCAGCAACGGGAGCCTCTGCTAGTCAAGCAAATCGAAGAGGATGGGCACGTTATCAATGTGGTCGTGGGCCAGTCAACCCTCCCGCAGACCATCTTCAACAGCGTCAACGTGCTGATTGGAGTCGGCCTACTGACCCTCCCACTTGCATTCAAGTACTCCGGATGGGTTGTCGGCATCATCTTCTTGATCTTCTCGGCAGTGTCAACGCAGTACACTGCAAAGCTGCTCGCCAAGTGCCTTGATGTGGACAGCTCGCTCATCACCTTCGCGGATCTTGCCTACGTCTCTTTTGGCAACAGTGCCCGAATTGCCACAAGCATTCTCTTCTCGCTCGAACTGCTCGCCGCATGCGTTGCTCTCGTGGTGCTCTTTGCAGACAGCATGGATGCACTTGTGCCTGGATATGGAACTTTCTCGTGGAAGATTGTCTGTGGTGTCATACTGGTACCGCTTGCTTTCCTCCCGTTACGGTTGCTTTCTTTCACCTCCATCCTCGGCGTCATGTCCTGCTTCGGAAGTAAGTGCCCCTCTGTCTCGGAAAACCCACCACCTAACAAGAGTTCTAGTCACCATCGCGGTCGTCGTCGACGGCCTCATCAAACCCGAGCAACCCGGTTCCCTGCGCCAACCCGCAACCCAATACCTCTTCCCGGAGAACTGGATGACCATCCCCCTCTCCATGGGCCTGCTCATGTCCCCCTGGGGCGGCCACTCCGTCTTCCCCAACATTTACCGCGACATGCGGCATCCTTACAAGTACCGTAAAGGCGTCAACATCACTTACATATTCACCTTCCTGCTCGACGCTGGCATGGCCTGCGCGGGTATCCTCATGTTCGGCGACTACGTCCGCGACGAAATCACGTCCAACATCTTCATCACGCCGGGGTACCCCGCTCCCCTCTCCGTGTTCATCGCCATCTGCATTGCCATCGTGCCGCTTACCAAAGTCCCGCTGAACGCCCGCCCGATCATTAGCACGCTGGAGGTCGTGCTCGGTCTTGACAACCGCTCGCTCGGAGTAAGTTCGAGCATGACGGGCATGTCTGGCATGAACCGCGGTCTGTTCAAGTTCTTCCTCCGGGTGATCGTTATCATCGTGTTCGTCATCATCGCGATCGTGTTCCCGTCGTTCGACCGCATCATGACACTGCTCGGCAGCGTGGCCTGCTTCTCCATCTGCATCATCCTGCCGCTGATGTTCCACCTGAAGCTGTTCGGGCAGGAGATTGGCAGGGCGGAGAAGGTGATGAACTGGGTGTTGATCATTGTGAGCACCATTATGGCGGTCGTGAGTACGGTGTTTGCGTGTCTGCCAAAGGAGTTGATTGGAGCGATGCCCAAGGAGATGGGTAAAGCCATGTAAGGGAGGAATATCTTGCCATTGTTTTGAGTACTGCTGTGTTCAGTGGATGATTGATTTGGTCAAGGAAACGTAGCTTGGATATCCATCATGCATGCATTGCAGGGCGTTGGTACAGTTGGAGCGCGCATTTGGTATATTAGTTCCACCAATGTTACTCATTGCAACTCAGACTCGCCTTCGAAACGAGAGGCACTCGTCTAAACGAATTGTGACTGCCGTCTGTGGGACGTCAAGTCTCATTGTCGTTGTGACAAACGATAAGAGCTCGCGCGAGTCATGCACTACCTCACCCCTCCGCATCCCACTTCAACCCCACTTACGCAAACAAACACCCCGCGACGCGTCGGACCACCTTCTAGGCGTGTCTTCGTCTTAAAATTCCACGTCTCCCTTTCTTTCTCTTAAACTGATTGCATTGTTGTGCCCACCATGTCGTACAATTTCAAGGACAAGGTCATCCTCATCACAGGCGCCGGCAGTGGAATAGGGTAAGGTAATCCTCCACCTGCATACCTCTTGCATGCACACTTCTCCTTCCCACGCGGAACTTCAATGCACTCACACTCCTAAAGCCTGCATGCACGAACTGACAATCGCCCACAGCCGCGCCACCGCCGTGAAACTCGCCTCCCTCTCCGGCACGCTCGCCCTCTGCGACATAAACTACGACAATCTCGAAGCCACAGCAAAACTATGCGTCGGCACGCCCACGCCGCCTCTGCTGTCTGACGTCGACGTCTCCTCGGTCAAAGAAGTCCAGACCTTCCTTGAAGACACGCTCAAGAAGTTCCACAAAGTAGACCACGTCTTCAACTGCGCGGGCGTAAACCCGACCTCGATCCCCCTCGAATCCACGCCAGACGAATACTGGGAGAAACTCGTTTCCGTCAATCTAAAAGGCGTCTTCAACGTCACACGCGCCGCGATCCCGCATCTGACGCGCGGCTCCACCTTCGTAAACGTCTCGTCCATCTCCGGCCTGAGGCCCTCCGCGCAGCAGGCCGTCTACTGCACCACCAAGTACGGGCTCATCGGGTTCAGCAAGTGCATCGCGCTCGAGCTCGGGCCGCGCGGGATCAGGACGAATGTCGTGTGTCCGGGGTACATCGACACGCCTACGAATGCGGGCATTGTCAAGGGCGGGAGCGCGATTGAGGGCATGGTGAATGGGAATGCGTTACACAGGCTGGGCACGCCCGAGGAGGTGGCGGATGTGGTGGCGTTTTTGATGAGTGAGGAGAGCAGGTATATGAACGGGAGTGTGGTGGAGATTGACGGGGGAGTAAAAAGCAACTCGGATCCGCCGCCGGCGGGGCTGAGTAAGTGAGGTTGGAGCCAGGGGGATGAAGGGGGCTAATGGTGCGATAGGTGGAGGCGGGGTTGAGAAGAGTAAGGTGTAGCTGGGGTGAAGTCGTATTGATGTGGGAGTAATCGTAGGCGGACTGAAATGCCGTACGGAGGCGCATGCAATACATAGATCAAGTTTCTCCATTGTACCTTGTTCATCGCTCCCAGTCAGCCTCGCCGAAAGTCAGAGTCCCTTCCACTATGGGGGAGACAAGGGAGCAATACGACACCAAGGCTCACAGCTTTGGTTCTCCCATGCCAATCCCACTACCCTCTGTTTTTGATAATATCCGCCGCCTTCTCCGCCTATTCACAGTCAGCATGGATCCCACCATCTCAACAATGCACGAAACAGATACATACCACAGCATACATGGTCGCCTGCAAATGCGTTGCCGGAATCATGGGTAGAATGCTCGCATCCACAATGCTCAAGCCATCCACACCGTAAACTAGCAGCTGATCGCTCACACAACCCCCGAGATCCCGCGGCAGCATGGCACACGAGCCCGACGGATGCGCAAAACTCGAACTAACCGCCGCCTTCTCGTTGAGCGCCCGCATAATCTGCTCATCACTAACAAACTCAGCGCCAGGCACGTTCTCAACGGGTGCGTAGCGCGACAGCGCTGGCGACGCCCAGTGCTTCCGGTTGAACCGCACCAGTGCAGTCAGGATGGCAGCGTCGACGGGGTTCTGCAGGGAGTTGTACGCCACCACTGGGTAGCCGTGCGGGTTCGACGTATTCAGCGTAATGGTCCCGCGCGAGAGCGGCTTCTGCAGAGCTACGGCTGCGCGGTTGCTGGGCTGGATTGCCAATTCGCCTGCGGCAGCGGCGTAGCCTTGCTCACCTGTAAACTGCTTCAGAAGGATGGAGCGTTGGGCGAGGTAGCCTGCTTGCAGTGGTTTGGAGGTAGCGTAGCGTTCTGGGAGGAAGTCTGTGGGCGTCTGGGAGGAGGCCGTAGCGGCGAGGGAGGAGTATGAGGGAGTAAGTTGTGGTAGTGTGAGAAATGCGAGGGCGTTGCCGCGACTTAAGGTCCAGGGCCCGGTTTTGTGGTCTGCATACTCTTGTGCTGCTGATGCGTTGAAGGACGCATTTGTTGCGAGTGTGCTGTAATTTGGGAAGGCGAGGTTAGAGAGATTGAAGGTCATATACGCTGGGACGTGGTCTTGGAAGTTCGCGCCCACAGCGGGGAGATCGACTTTAACCGAGATGTTTGCGGCTCCCACGTCGCTGGCTGGGCCGATGCCAGAGACCATTAGGAGATGCGGGGTGAATATGGCGCCGGCGGCGAGAATGACTTCTCGCGATGCCCAGGCAGATGTCGTTGAGGATGTGTTTCTGTCAGTCATTTTCACTCCGTTCGCCCTCAGACTTCCGCCGTTTGAGTTGATGTTGAACAGAATCTCATCTACATGCGTTCCAACCAAAAGCTTGAGGTTCGGCCGCGCCTTGACGGGTTCGTAGTATGCCGTTCTGGCATTTGAGCGCTCGCCAGTGACGTTGTCGATGGTATTGGGCGCCCAAAATGCGCCGAGGGGGCTCGCAAAGCCTTCTTTGGGAAGCGATATGCCGCTTTCGTTCTTCCACGCATCGAAGATGCCCTTGTAATCTGGGTACTGGAAGCTTGCGATCGTCGCTTGAACGGGGCCGTTCCCGTAGGCAGTTTTATCGTAGGTTATACCGATCGCTTTCGTCTGATACTCCGTGAGCCAATTTACGCAGACTGGAAACACAACGGTACGTCAGAAGTTTGGAAATCTGGGTTATGAATCCGCTGATCGTACTTAAACTTTTGAACAGCACTGTATGCATCACTGCACCAAAATACTCACCGTCTCCTCACTCGGCGGTGTAAACGTAAACACCTTCTTGAAAAACGGCGCGAGATCTTTCCACCCCCAACCCACATTTCCCAATTCTTCCCATGCGTTGTAATCCGCATCGGAACCCTGCCACACTTGAGCTTGATACGTGAGAAAAGGATGTCAGGGTTACCCGATCGAGCATCATGCCATTAACGATTGACCCGCCACCGACCACATTGCCTACAGCGACTGAGAAAGTACGATTCCCCAGCTGTGGATCTGGCGCCGAGACAAGCGATTGGTATAGTGGCGGATTGCTGTTGAGCACGCCGGCGAGGTATGGGACTTGTACATTTGGGCTGGAGTCGATGTATCCATTTTCGATCACCAGCACAGTTCCTGTCGAAGTAAGAGATGTCTGCGACTGGTGAACCTCAGGGGGAACCAAATCGGGGTGTAAGAGAGATGGATTGTTCAGATGGAACGTAGTATCTTCAACGCTGGGGCGTACAAAAGGTGCGCACCAGACGCAGCTTCCTAGAGACTGCACCTACTGTTACTGTCTTCTGAAAGACGATTGGCGACTACGAGGCCAGTCAAGCCGCCCCCAACGATAATGTAGTCGTATGTGTCAGTGAGAGCAGACGTATGAGTCGCGAATGCGAAGAACGCGAGGATCTCCCTGAAGCAATACATGGTGGGTGAACGTTTAGAAATGATCGTATCCTTCCCAGACAAGTCAATCGTCGCAGTTCTAGGAGATTTGATTTCCGCGAGCAATGTTTTGTAGGCTGGTGCACTACATATGTGCCTTCGATTTTCATTTACCCGGGCTATTGGGGCGTAATGCCCCTGTCAACTTCTACACCAGTCGCGAGCTGCCGAAGTGGGACAGGTGCGGTCGAGCTGCCTACACTGTCAGGTATAGGTGTAGCGGCATATGGTACAATACTGCGTCGATGGGTGATGCAGTCAGCATCGCCACCGCCAATCCAGGGTCGACCGGTTGCATCAAACCCATCTATGGCAAGTGCACAATTAATGAACATCAGTCGAATACGCAAAAGTACGTTCAACAGAGGATGAAGACGGAACTTCACAATGTGGTAGGTCTTGGAAAGCGTCGGTTGTGGGGCCACATTCAACCTGAACGTCACCGCCCAATCACGTTGCGATCTGAGCGGCCCCCTTCTGCCGAGGAAATCCCGAGCTCGCCGCTACTGCGCGCAACACCAAAAGTTCGTCCATCGTCTGTCTCATCGCCGCAACAACACCACGCCACGCCCCCGAACCATGACCGAAGTACAGTCGCCTCCGCCCACGCTGGCGCCACCTGCAGAGGAGCAACCCTCCCTCACCGCCGACGAGCCCTCCACATCCACGTCACTCGTCCCCGCCTCTACAACTGATCAGGTCATCATCACTACAAATGCCGAAGGAAAACGCGTCAAGAAGATCATTCGTCGCAAGCGTCGCCCAGCGCGGCCGCAGGTAGACGCAGCGACTTTCAAAACCGATGCCCCGCCGCCAACGGGTACCATCTTCAACATTTGGTACAATAAGTGGAGCGGCGGCGACCGTGAGGACAAGTACCTGTCGCAGACGGCTGCGCAAGGGCGCTGCAACGTCGCGAAAGATTCAGGATACACCAAAGCAGACAAAACACCAGGGAGCTACTTCTGCCTGTTCTTCGCGCGCGGCATATGCCCCAAGGGCGTCGACTGTGAATACCTGCACCGCCTGCCGACCGTTACGGATTTGTTCCCCAGCAACGTCGATTGCTTCGGCCGCGATAAGTTCAGCGACTACCGCGACGATATGGGCGGTGTGGGGTCTTTCCAGCGGCAGAACCGCACGCTATACATAGGCAGGATTCACGTCACGGACGATATCGAGGAAATTGTCGCCCGACACTTCCAAGAGTGGGGCCAGGTTGAGCGCGTCCGCGTGTTGACAGCGAGAGGCGTGGCCTTTGTGACCTACATGAACGAGGCGAACTCGCAGTTTGCGAAGGAGGCGATGGCGCACCAGTCGCTCGACCACTCTGAGATCCTGAATGTACGATGGGCGACCACAGACCCGAACCCGGCGGCGCAGAAAAGAGAGGCGAGGCGAATCGAAGAACAGGCCGCTGAGGCGATCCGCAAGGCGCTCCCCGCAGCCTACGTTGCTGAGCTCGAGGGTCGCGACAACGGCGAGGCGAAGAAGAGGCGGAAGATCGAAGGCACATTTGGCCTGCAAGGCTACGAAGCGCCGGATGAGGTGTGGTTCGCGAAGGAGAAGGCAGAGTGGGAGCAGACCAAGGAACTTGGTGCACCGGACGAACTGCTGATGATCGAGGGCGACACCGCGCAAGACGAGCAGGAGATCCCGATGCCAACACAGCAAGAGCCGCCCGCACCACAAATTAGTGGCATCCTCTCTGGCTCGACGCTCGCGGCGCTGAAGGGATACACCGCCAATACCAGCGCGAAGAAGCCAGCTCCGGCGGCTTCGGGGCTACTAGTCGGCTACGGCAGCGACGACGATAGCGATTGAGCTGCGCACCGTGTGGGATGAGTCTGGCTGCACTTGAAGACGATCAGAAGGAGTTTATTGGCGCTGTAGCATAGTATGGCACAGATAGCATGGTGGCGTAAGGCGCAACATCAAATGATACCCTTTATAATTCATTGTTTGCACGGCCAGATTGATTGTTGCTGGTGGCGTTAGGCGATATTCTATCGTTGCATGCAAGGGACTTTGCATTTCCTGCCTAGGCGATGGCTGGATGTGGACGCGGTTCAATTCTTGGGTGGAAGGCGCGACGCAGCTCAACTAGCAGGCGCCGTGATCGTACTTATGGCATATCAACGCTTCCGTGCTTCCGTCTCTTTCCACCCACTGACGATAGTACGCGGTATCAGGCTTCGACGTGATCTACTTTACCCGCCACTAACTCGCCTCCGACCTACGAGACTATGTCTTCGCTCTACTCGGACACCTTAGTGCACACGCTGAGGGGTACTTGATCATAGAACCGAACTACCAGAAGAGTCATCTGAAGATATTTCACGAACTCGCAATCACACTCTTGCAACAATCGCAGGATATGCGAGTTCTTTCTGCAGTACGACATTGTGACCAAAGCCTCTCCAGCAACGAATGACCGTCATGGGTCCCTACTTGGAACCGAGGTGTCGAAACTCAAAGCAACGGCGTGTATTCAGACGATGTCTGTGAACATGACGCTCATGCTGGGTTCCCCAGACGGCTGCGGCTCACGGATTCAGGAAAGGTGTTACAGGTGCTTGGATTTGTGTTCGACACAGTTGCAGAATGCACAGAGAAGTTCAAGATTCCAGAGCACCATGTGTTGTCTTCAAGATATGGCCTCTCGCCGCTGCTATAGAATTGGGCACGCGGATGAAACCCTCAACAAATGATGCGATGGAGGATGTATGTATGGCTCTAGTCGGTGGATGTCACCGCGACGTTGAGATGTATTTGAAAGATTTTGCTGCCATGCGCTTGAAATTTTCAGCCGCAAGTTCTAAGCGAAAACCTAAGGGGCCAGGTAGTCTGTTACCAGAGGGGTTGTCCGCGGCTCAAGAAGCTGCTAGAGAGGGAAATTCCAACAAGTCTATGTCCAAGGATGGCTATATGAAAAGGAAGAGGATTTTCAGGACCGAATGTGGATTGATCTGTTCTGGACCTGCTCCACTTTGGGCTGGTGATGTTTGTCATATTTTATCTGGTGGCTGGGTTCCCTTTCTCTTACGTCCAACAGGACCTGCATACCGACTGGCTGGCGAAATATACATTGATAAAGTCATGCAGGGCGAGGCAGTCGTAGACTACATGCTGCTGACAAGATCCAGGACCAGATGTTTGACATTATCTGAGGGTTTGTAGCTTAATATGGTATAGGCTGTAGTAACGCACTTCCTACTACGTAAACAAGATCGAAGCCTGTCTGTCTATCCAAACCTCACTCCCTGCTGCAATAACTCACTAACAGGGTTCCTAGGATTTCCAAATCGATGTCTTGTCGCAAGTCGATCACGATCCAACAGCACCATACCAGCCCATGCCCAGCACCGCACCAAAAATGATGGCTACAGCAGGAGGAACGTTGAACCACGCAGTCTCGGCGTACGTCACAGCAGCTATAACTACCCACCACGGCTCCTCGGCAAGGCTCTTCCCATTGCTACTCTCCGCCGTGAGATACCCAATCTCCCAGAGCCGATACACGGCCGTGAAGACCAGGCCCACGGCCGCAGCATTGATGCCCCTCAGCAAACTCAATACCCACGCCTTCGTCCGCGCAACCTGCCAAATCGACTGTGCGCCGACAGAGAACACGAGACCCGGGGTAAAGATACCCAGGAACGCCAAAATTGAACCAAAGACAGTGGGTATACGAGTAGACGCGAGCGTCAAGGCGCCGAGGTACACGGAGAAGTTGAAGTTCGGGCCCGGAAAGGCCTGGATGATGGCGAGCCCGAGGAGGAAATTCCGCGGCGAGACCCAACCGGGTTCAACGACGTAGGAACGCAGGAGCGGGATCACGACGGGCCCGCCGCCGAAGATGATGGTGCCGGCGAGGTACATGTTGGCGAAGAGGTCGTAAGCGAGGGCGCGGGAGGAGAGCGTGCCGCGGACCACCATGATGGCGATGAAGGAGGCGAAGAAGAGCGCTGTGAGAGTGAGGCCGAGCTTGATGGTGATGGTGTGTGGTCGGTTAGATTCAACGGGCGTGAGCGCGCGCGTCTCTGTGTTGCTGCGCTCTGTGGTTTGACTTGGGCCTGCCGCTTCTTCGACGGGCAGGATACGATCAGCAGAGGACGCAGCCTGCGGACGACGCTTCACAGCTTCAGGGCGCTCAAGCTGCACTAGAGGGATGTCGTGCACCGCAGCCGTCTCCTCCGCGTCCCCGCCTTCAGTTCTACTCCTTCTCCTCCTCGCCGCATAATCCGCCTTCACCTTCGCAACTTTCTGCCTCAGCCAACCATCCCAAACAACAGTAGCAATCCCCCCAATTGCAATCAGTACAGGAAAATACCACAGCGCATTGTAGCACAATCCGGCACAAGCCCCAAATATCACCAAAATCCTCGTCAACCGGTCTTTGATTGCCTTCTCGGCAAGCTGCACGGCCGCTAATGCGATGATTCCTACGGTGCTGGCGTTCATGCCGCTCAAAAGCGCATACACGATGGCAGGCAGTCGATCAGGCATCTTCTGTACGCCGAGGGAGAGCGCGTACATGCCCGCGGCGCCAGGCACACTCCAGAGGAGGAAGGCTAGCATGGCCGGGATGAAGCCGGCGTGCATCAGTGCGATGCAGAAGACCATCTTTGTGGACGCAGGGCCGGGGAGCGCTTGGCAGATTGCGAAGAGCTCTTGGTACTGGGTGAGGGGTTAGCCATGTGCTGTGGGATTCCACTCGTCGATACTGTGGGCCGACAGAGAGGGGAATACACACAGTCTGCTCATCAATCCATTTTGCGCCGAAGTGGCCCTGGCCTTCTACGAAGCGACGGTAAAGGATCTGGAAATGCACTGGTGGGCCGCCAAAGGCTGTGAAGCCGAGATCCCACGTCCGTGTTGCAACTTCTGCGAGGCGCCATGCTAGGGTTGAGGACTTGGAGCCGGTTGTTTGGGATGACGACGATGCGAGTTGTCGCATGCGTCGGAAGGACGAAAGCGTGGCGTGGAGGACCATTGTGCGAAGCGCAGGCGCTCTACCGCTCCTCCCGAGTCCACGCAGTTGGGTCGAAGCTCCTGAACAGAGATTGAACGCGATGGATGATGGTGGAGGTCAAATTTGAGGTTATGTGATGTGACGGATGGTTCTCTGGTCTTGTACCTTCCAAGACGCTGATGTCCAATCATCTCATCTCGCTACCATTGCGACATCGTGGCCAAGGCCTCGGTACTAGGAAAAAAGAACCATGTTCGGCCTCACTTCAAGGGGCGAGGCTAGTGCGATTTGCTTTGTGGTAGCCACACAGAATCTACATTGGCGGTGGACGTGGTGGTGCGTGTGTGGAATTGGCCTTTTGATTGGCCTCTTGACCCGAGCGCTACCAAATTACGGTACACGACTCCCAGAGCAGAGGGAAATTGAATCGATGATTTGAGGTCGCCAGCGTTGAAGAGCTAGTCGAAGCTCTGATCCGCTACGCAGCGACCGCGATACAATGAACGCGCCTGCCTCCAGATGTCGCAGTGACTGCCGTCTTTCTGCTCGACGGAGGTGCGCATGGCGTACGGAAGGCACGCACTAGCCGTATGTAGTCAGCCCGCCAACGCTCCATCACTCTTCCACCTCACTCCACTCAAAACGTCAGATAACCTCATCGCCTCGCTTCAAAGCCAGCCAGGCCTAACAATAGCGTCTGGTTCTTCCCAGGCTCCAAGGTGCCATTTGTCCTTCGCCATTGCGGTGGAATGCAGTACAAGCTCATCGGGGAGGCCTATCTGCATGGCTGCACGCAAGGTGAACTCGAAGACTTCAATGGGCCTCTCCAGAGAATACCATTAGTTTGAAGAAGATTCTAAGCCCAACTTTACTCGACTAGGTGCCGCCGTGTCGATAGTATCGGAGTGCCTGGCTCGGGCTTCAGTCGAAGACTGGATTCATCGAGGAGAAGTCCACATACTCAAGAGCAACGACCTGAACTCTTTCATAGTGATGTCAGCTTTTTCATAGCATCAAAAGAAATGTTCACATGGTTGATAGACCGCGCTAGTCTGTTGACAGGGCTCCTTTCGACCCGCCGCCACGCTCCGCACTCCACTTCGCTTGTCCTTAGCGCTGCCACCAAGAAAAATTGCAAAAATACATACAACAGCGAGGATTCTCGCGTCCTCACGGACCGCAATACTAATTCGCCGGTACACTGCTTATATATGGCTGAGCGGACGGGAAGCCTAGTTTTCAGTGTCCTATGGTCGTATGTGATGGGTCGGCCCGGCGGCCTTGTAAATATTCCACGGCTCTTAGTGCATTCAAACCGCTACATACAGGGTAAAGATTCCATGTGGTAACATTTCTTGGATTGTATTCGTTGTAAAAATCCAAAAGGTCTGTTTCCAACTTACCACCTCCACTACGTTCTAGCATTACATCCACGCATTGAGTGTCTGCGTAGCGTCCCAAACCTGCTTCGTTCTTGACGCACATCATTTTTATTGCTATAGCCATCTCTCAGACCGTTTGTGTAGTCGCTAGCCAACACGGTCCAATGGGCAAGCCTGTTCTTTTAGGCACCGAGGAATTGACCACCAAATTCGCCCATTGGCGTGCGACCATCTATTACGATTTGAACGTGGGATCGGAAGATTTCGCATGAAAATTGAAGTCAGGGTAGTTTGCAGGCTTAAATGGCCACGGCCTTGCAGCGTCGGCAGAGGCTCGCAAGAACTTCACAGAGACGGTAGCTCACGCGCAAACAGCTCGCGAATAGAAGTGCCTGTATCATAACTAACACTACAACATCTCAACCCAATCACGACTGCCGTGCAGATGAGCACTTGAACCCATCCTTCAAGCGCCCCAGAGAACCATCACGAGGATCGGGGGTTAGTGAACTGACGGAAGATAATCAAGAGAACCACCGTGGCCATGGCTGGTGCGGTAGACCGACCCTCAACGCTGACGTAGAGGAAGGTGATATCATATATAATGAAGATGTAGCGGAGCCAGATGAGTGGAACAACCAAGAAGTCGAAATAATTCCATCACTCTCAAGGAAGCAGATGTCTTTGGTCCTTCCGGAGTCAACAGGTGATGACACAATTGGAAGTCCCGTTCACATGCCCACAGCATACACACGATGTGAGGGATGATGACTGAGAGACTTGCGCTCTGGGTCTTGCCGACGTCAGCAACAATGTTTGAATGCAAGGCGTGTTAAAAGTACGTATCTCGCGCGCGTCTTTGTTTATGGTCTTGTATTCGTTCAATACCTCAGTCGTTCCACTCGATGCAGCAACGACGATAGCTTCGTGCACGATGTCACGGGTCCTCGTGACTTCATCATGATGCATTACATTCCACCAAGACAACATGCTGGGAGGGCCCGAACATGCATGCCTCTCCCCCATGCAGCGAGGCCCGTGCCTGGCATCAGGGGTGTGATAAACGTATACCACATCTTGGATTTCATCTCGGGCTTCGAGATTGCAGTACCGTTCTCGTTAGTGTGGCTCGAACGAATCTACGCACCGCGGTGGGCAGGGTGGTAAAGAAGATAGTCGCCAGTGTTGTCGTAAAGCTCAAAGCAGATATGCCCGAGCCGTGTCCACTACCATCGACGGTGTAGCCTGGGCTCCATTCCAACACAAACCGGTATTGTAAATAATGATCTTAGCCGTTTGGAGCAGATCTGACACGAAGCGGGCAATACATGCGACACCAAGACAGAGCAATGCAGGCCAGAGAAAAAGGCATGTGCCGAGTGTCATTTTCAATAGGGCAACCCCGCGCTTTCCCCCTTGCTTGGCGACGAGAATCTTCGTTATTTGATTCGTTTCAAGTTGGCCGTGATGCGAGTGCGTGGGGAGTCATGGCACCTGCTGCGGTGATCATGTCAAGAGCATAGACGGCTTGGAATCAAGTGCGGTCGTTGTATGTGTTGATCCCAGACATATTGCAACCCAGATGAACTTCGATTGTTCTGTAATATTAGGAGGAGTTCTACCATTCTAGAATTGCACCGCATACAAGCTATGGTAGTCGTGAGGGTGAACCATATGCGCGACCTAACGGCTGATATCAATTTTCACAGAGGCTAGTGGTCAATCGGCTCCCAGAGCCACCTGAAGATATATCGCGAAAGCGCTGGTTTACTCAGAGAGTCGTCAAAACGTCGTATCAGGCGTGAGGTTTGATTCTTGGCCTCCAGGTTGTCAGTGCGAGGAACTGCACTGGACATCTGCCACATACAATGAATAATGCACGCGTCCAATATTACTGCATCTTAGCGCGAATGTTCAGTTACCTCCCGACATGCTTCGATGCGCTGTTGTGATCTCTTCTTGACTTCAGGCACGACCTCGTGTTCAGTCGACTCCATCCCGACTGGATGCTTCGTTTACCTCGTTCAGTGACCGACTTTGACGATGCTCTAGACAATCGCCCAGGTCTAAGTTATCCCCTAATCTATTGGACCGGTTCCCGGTACGCGCTTGTTGAACATCCTGCGTCGTGCCGTTATTCCGTCAGTTCGCCCGTGATTCCACGCCACGGAATGATCGTGATCCAGACAAAAGGCAACATCATTGACAGCACTTAAGCTACCCTTTTTCGTAAAATGCCACATTATGTTCTGTGTCTAGGCGCATATCGGCATGGCGAGCGGCTTCGCTTTCGCTGAGTGATCCTCGAGTGCGAGACTCGCATGCCCGTGCGGTCTTCGCGCGAACGGGGACGGGTGCGGCACGTGAGACTATGGTAATGCTACTCCGTCCGTACGGGAAGTAGCAAGCGGCGATATGAGTGGTCTACCATACAGTGTCTGTGGTGGGTGTTACTGCTTGCATACAGAGTCTAACCACGAGTTTAACTTGACACACCACCACCGCGAATCCCTCAACACTTATTCCACAACATCCGGTCGTGATCTCCTATAACTGTATTTGTTCTTCTCGATCTTGGACAGTCTGACTGCTTCGTCAAGCTTGAGTTCCTCCTGGACTATGGCCACTCCTTGCCCCCTTCTCCCAACATGCAACATTGTCACCCCCATAGGCATGCTTGGGTACGGCCTCGATGAGTCTATCACAGCCTCTCTTCTCGCAGCTGTAATACCGAACGGTTCACCTACAGCGCTAAGTGTGTTTTTCGTCTTCTTCTCTATCATCTCCCCCCAACCCAAACCACTGACACCGCGCAGTTCTGGACTCGGGTAGCACTGACAGCGGACCCGAGAAACTTGCGCTGGGCCAAATGACATCGCCTCGAACGTCGTATGTAAGAGATCTTAGGAAACTGATAAGGTTGGCGTGGCGATTCAAAGTCCCACTTGTGTTCAGTTCGGCCGGGGGTGATGGAAGTGATGAGCATGTTGAGGAGATGGTAAATGTGTTGAAGGAGATTTGCGACGAGGAGGGGAACGAGTAAGTTCAAGCCTAACATCCAAAAACCAGTATGGTACACGTCAAGACCATGGGCAAAACGACTGAGAGGCAATGCTAACGCGACTCTAAGACACTATAAACTCAAGCTCATCGCCATCTACTCCGCAGTCACAAAGACCTTCGTCCACGAGCGTCTCAAGAAGCATGCCATCTCCGGCTGCGGGTCGCAAGTACCACCTCTCACAGCCGAATTGATAGACTCTGCGCCACGCATCGCGTCCCAAATGGGCCCTGAGCCCTTCTACGATGCTATGATGGCCACACCAGACTTCAACGTCATCGTTGGTGGGCGTGCATACGACCCTTCGCCATACATCGCCTTTGCAGCATGGGCCTCCAAGACCTCGCTCAACGACACAGCAACCCCCGAGGCAAAGTCTCTGTGGGGCGGCTTCACGCACATGGGCAAAATACTCGAGTGCGGTGGCCTTTGTGCGACGCCCAAGTGCTCAGCCGTGCGTGCGACTGTCTACCAAGACGGAACTTTCGATCTCACCCCTGGAGAGCCGCAAAGTAGATGTACGCCAGTCAGTGTGAGCGCGCATACATTGTATGAGAAGAGCAGACCGGATCTACTTTACGGCCCCGGCGGATGGCTCGACCTGACAAAAAGTTCGTATGAATCATTGGATGATGGGCGGACGTGCAGGGTTAGAGGCGGGTGTTTCACGTTCTCACGTGATGCGGGGCAGAAGTACACAGTCAAGTTGGAGGCAGCCAGGGTGGTAGGATATAGGTCGAATTATATGGGGAGTGTGAAGGACCGTAAGTCGTGTTCTAGTAGGCTGTTGCAAGACGCGGACAGTGGACTGACTCTTTTGCAGCTATTCTTATTAGCCAACTAGACTCAGTGCTCAAAGCGATCAAGACATATGTTGCACAACAACATGAAGGTGTAGATGGGCAGTGGGATCTTGATTGGCATGTCTACGGCCAGCATCAAACGACAGCGGATGGTAGGCCGGCGGAAGTATTCCTTATCGGTGAGGCCCTTGCGTCAACGCAAGAATTGGCAAGGAGCATAGCGTCGACGGCGAGGATAGCCACAGTCGTAAGTCTTCTTGCGGTAGCGTTCGTTTTCAGCCTCAGCTGACTTCGAACCTTCAGCACGCACCTTATCCGAACCAAAAAGCCACCTCTGGCAATCTCGCTTACGGCCTCGGCGGCAAGATGGAGAGCGATCTAGGGCCTTGCGCACAATTCTCGATATACCACCTCGTGCAACTGGAGGAAGGCGAGGAACGACTCAAACTTGGCACCGACTCGAACGCCCTCTATCGGCAAGAACTGACCGTTATTGGTCGGGGTCATTCGCAGCCAGCCATATCTGACCCACCCTATTCCAAAAAGGAAGAACATGGACAGACACCGCCGTTGTTAGAGACGTCCATTGGCGGTGCACATTATCCGACTTCACCAAAGACACTTGGTGACATAGCGCGTGTGTTGCGTTCCAAGAACGCTGGTCCGTATGAGATAACGTTTGATGTCATGTTCGCGACTCAACCCGTCTTTCAGCTTGTCAAATCGTCGGGTTGTCTCAATGCAGCCGTGATCGCGGGGCTCAACGGTATTTCGAAAGACCAAGTTATTTGGAGCGGCTTCTTTGATCAAGCGCTCGCATACAAAGCGACAATTCCAAGGCTGTGGAGAGGAAACCCGACGCCCAATGGAGGTTTCATGGAGAGTGACGTGCATGGGAGTCAGAGGTACATCGGCTTACTGAACCTTCCATTGTCGAAAGCCTTCCTGGTTGAATGGAGCGATCTGGTCGCGAAGAGGAGAGTTGACAGCGGAGTCTAGTCCCGTCTCGCAATAGGCTTCCATGGCTCTCTAGGTTTGTGTATGAAGGACAGGTTTCGTCAAGCGCTGACCTGAATATAGAGCCTGCGTCACAGCACAACCGAGGAACTTGTTTGACCCCACCCTTCGACTGCAACTTGCCATCAGTACGGCGGTGCGAAAGTGCCAAACATTCCCCACATAGAATCCCCCCAAAGATCCTGCGGCAGGGCATTAAAGTCGAGAGGTATATCGAAGTCGCTCATAGCACTCATGTCGGCTTGCGTCAACTGCGCATAATCGTTAAACTCCGGTGCTGCTGGCGGAGGAGGCATGTCCGCAATCGAGTGTTGCTGAAGGTCTCCGTTCTCTTGTGGAGACGTCCGTTCTTCCACGTCGGCTTTTATGTTCCTTAGCTCATGACCCCTAGTTATCGCGTCGAATACAATGCTTGCGCCCATGCGATCGTCGATCTTGAGTTTCGTGCTGTCAATGTCCATTGGCTGTTGACGACTTAAAACCTCAATGACTAATGCTGCCCGCGCCTTTTCATCGGTTGCTTCGCGTGCTCCGGCGGCTAAGAATCGCTGCGCAATTGCAACGTGGTTCTTTGCTGTCTCTTGTTCTTCGGGTGGGGCGTTGATGTTCAGCGCGAAGAATCTGAGCAAGAACACAGCAGCGAGCATCAGGGCGCGAAAATAGTTCTTGGGGCAAGTCTGCTGCAGGAATGCCGCGGTTATATCGGGATAGTCATCGGAGCGGTGGAAGAGGCCTTGATCAGAGAGATACACTATGCGAAGAGCGACAGAGTATCCGTTTTTCATGAGAACCTCACGCGACGTAACGTCTTGCATGCGGATGATGGTCATGGTATAGAGGTGCAGTTTTGCAACCAACACGGCCATCTCTATGCGCGGAGACCATGGTGTTGGGAATCTCGATTTGAGACTGTCCAACTCTGTGTCGATGAGCTTCACGAGCGACTGGGATACGGTTTCTTGGCTGTTCTCTAGTACTATAGTTGTGAATCTCGCCATGATATGGTGGACCATTACTTGGTAGGCAAACTCTGGTGGGATCGGGTACGTGCGGACAAAGTTTTCTATCGTCGCTAGCTCTGTAGTTTCGTTTATGTGAGGTGAAACTCCAATGTGCATCCCTACTCTGTAGACAGTCAGCATGCTTAAAGCCTGCTGCCACTAGATCTAGCGCCCTATGGAAGGGGACACATTCAACTTACGAGGTGCTGGCTAGGAAACACCCAAGCCAAGTACTAGCTCTGGCTCGCGGGGAGCCGGAAGGAACGCCGATACTCCTTAACGACTGTGGTGGTTTTGAGTGATGCAACCCCATGTAGAGTGCTGCATTGATCGCGACACCACAGTACAGCCAGGAGCAGTCATGTGATTGGCGAGGCGAGGGCAAAGGCCACATAATAAGGTGGATGAGTGCCTGGATAGTCTGTAAAGGGACAGGTGCAGCCAAGATCTCGAGACGAAGTTTGGCCAAGTATGGCTCTTTAAGCTGTTCGAACAATGCAATATGTTGGGGCAAAGGTCCACGGGAAGCGACTATTACGATGAGAGTCCAAAATAAGAGTGGTGCCGTATCGTACATGGTCGAAATGGAGAAGTTGGGATTTACCACTGGAAAGTGCGGGTAATAGAATGCTGCAAAGCTAAAAATGGCCAGTCAGACGGTCCTCAAGTGATGACGAAATCTTGTACTTACACTTTGATTATGTCGGCGACTGTGTTCTTATCAATCACAAAGCCCTCCAATTGGTATTGCTCTTTGATGCCAAAGTCGGTCACCACAGCAGTCCCGGATTGCTCGAGGGCAGACTCAGGCGAGTCGAAATGGGTGTCTGGTGACACTGTAGATTTGAAGCCATTATCTTCTCTCTGGCTTCTCAAAGTTTCTAACTCTTTTGCCATCTCTTCGACACGTCTGTATTCTTGAGTCAGCCATGAAATCATCCACAAAGTAATTGTGGCAGCGAGAGCGACATACTTGCGGGCAGGTGTACGCCGAAATGAAGAATCGACGACACACTGCAAGTTGCGCATCTGGCATCTTGAACACGGTGCCGGGAATTTTGCTTTGGAATCGCAACGAAGCTGCGTTCCTCGTCAGAACGTGTCGATTGCAATAAATGTAGAATAAAGTTACTTTAACCTGCTTGCACTCGGTACAAGTCTTGACCGGACGGTGGATTGATCGCCCAAGCGGACCCGATAACCCGAGTGCGGCCATGACAATCTCGTGCGCGCTCGTTGAACCCGTTACCAATCTTCCACGCAGTAGACCGCAGTCATCCGATGCGACGCCGTCTTGACAGTTATGGGGAGCGCGATTGCATGAGAGACGATCGCTATGGCGCACTTCAGTTGGCGCAAATAATTTGACGTCGTTTGGTGTTCGTCTCTTCAAAGTTACGACAGGAGAGGTGGGTGGAACGCACGGGCATTGGGAAGGATCAGGCGTAAAAGATCGACGGAGGTCATTGGCCAGCCAATTTAGCCCTTTTCTTCGGATACATCACTCTGGCGTTCTCTGCTCGGATTTCTCGGACTGTTCCTCCAATTTTCTCCTCCAAGTCTAATCAGTGTGTATCGAAGCCCAATTCATCATGTGCACCGCTTCGCTCATGTCGTCCTGGAACCTCCTCGTTCTAAACTTCCAGTGAAAGAAATCTCAATAGACGCTTTACCGCCCCCAAGTAAGATGGGCTAGGCAGCCTTGCTTCAGTTCGCGACCCGCGCCATTTCAGGACTTTTCGCCCCATGCGCAGTCATCATAGGCCATGACATGCACATTCCACCGTTATGGTCCCGTGCCCAGAATCATCAAATGAGACCCCATGGTCATCAATCAATGAAATATGCGCTTACTTGGAAACTCCCATCTCGCGCGTCTGTCATGTCGAATACCGCGCACTGTCTACAATGAACAAGAAGAGATGAATGTCCCTTCAAATGCTGGCGCCATTGCTATCTATGGTATAGGCTTATTGTATCGCGTGCAACGGTGCCTCGTCAAAAACGCAAGCATGGTACATTATGACTGTCCTACCCCAGAACCTACGATGAGCAACGCCAGACTCAATCGTTGTATACAGCATGTTCGCATTTCGTATGCACAACAACTAATTGCGTTCTAAACAACATCACCAACCTGGTAGTGTCAGTATCGCGCTTCTTCGAACTCAACGCTCAAACTTGACGGCAGTAGTGGCCTTTTTGAAATTGGGCAGTACGCATCGTTCCTTTACTGTAACAGTAGAACGACAAAGACGGGTGTAGGAAGGGTTCACCAGAGCGTGATGACAGTGCCAAGCCACTAGATGCCGCTAAGCGGGGCATCAAGCAGCAGATTTTGGGCTCAAAAAGTACAACCACCACACAGAATACTGAACGCTCGAAGACATGGGATCAACGCAGGAGAACACGGTCTTCTTGACGGAGAAAGAAGCCGAACGGATCCGGAATACAGTGAAGGAGACCATAAGAAAAAGCTCCGAACTTTGTGGCCATGCGCGAGAATCACGAGACGCAAAATCAGCCATCAGCCAAGCGACTGGCGCATCACTAATGGCAGACATGGAATCTATGCAGTCGAGTGGTCGGGGAGAAACATTACCTGCCCTTGCCGTGGGAGAGGTGTATCCGCCTTGCACGGTCACAAGCGAGGAACTTGAACCTATGAAAATCAGCGAGCTTAAGATGGATACACATCATCGTGGTCGCCGGCTCCACGTAAAGCGCGCCAGCCCAGTTGTTGTACTTACCGCGCGTTCGTGGGTCATGGTGGAGGATGCCGAGGGCGGCGACATAGAGCGACTAGAGATGAGTCTTCACAAGTCACGGCACGGCGAAGACATCCTGGAGTATGCGAAGAATTACATCATCAAAGAACCATTCTTTACTCTTACCGAAGAAGGCGAGGCTACGTTACGCATAGACCATCCTTCCGATCTGATATCTCTCAGCGATGCGCTTACGGGAAAGACTTTCTCGAGCGCTAAAGCAGCAGAGAAGTTCGCCACGACTTGCAAAAGCGGTGGGAACGATGAGCTCAAAAATGGTGACCTGGCAGCGGCGCACGAAAAGTACACGGACGGCTTGACTGTCGCAAGACGAGATTCTGTTTCGCAAACAAATCCTGACCTCGCTCGAGACATTGCTCGCAACCGGGCCCTTGTCAACCTTCGATTAAGTCACTTTGACGAAGCCATCGCGGATGCGAAAGCTTCTCTGATAGGCAAAGACGATCAGAAATCGAAAGATCTTGACAGTAAAGCATACTACCGAGCTGGATCTGCTGCGTACGGGCTCGGTCAGTTTGAAGACGCGAAGAAATTCTTTGAGGAGCAGCTGAAGCTTGCACCAAACGACAAAGATGCGAGTATTTACTTGAAGCGGATAGATGTACGACTCCGGGAACAACAGACCGGAGCGTACAACTGGAAGAAGCTGCGGACAGGTCTCTCGAAAGCTCGGCCACATGTCGATGCCGCAAGTTTCATTGGCAACGTCAAGGTTGAAAACAGCGAAGGCCGCGGACGCGGTATGTATGTTACTCGTAACATACCTGCTGGAGAGGTGGTGATGGCCGACAAAGCATTCCACGTGGTATGGGGCCACGACAAGGAGGCATTGACGGCAATGACCTACGATGTACGCGACGATCGAATCAGGGTACAGCCTGTAGGTCTAAGCAAATCAATAGTACAGAAACTCCTTGGAAACTCTTCCCAAATAGAGAGGGTAATGGACCTCTTCGGCGATTACGAAGGTGACGGCAAGAAGATCTTCCGAACCGGAGACGGTCCTATCGTCGACACTTTCCGGATACACGATATAGTTTCCCGTAATGGATTTGGGCTGGGAAATCAATATGGAGAAGAAGGTGCACGGAATGCAAGTACCGGTCTCTGCACTTGGGCGGCATATATTAACCATTCCTGCGTTCCCAATACCAGCAAAGACTTTGTTGGCGATCTGATGGTCCTCCGCGCCATACGCCCTCTCATAGCGGGTGAGGAAGTCTTCTTCAGTTACAACGAAGATGGTGACTACGACGCACGACAGGCCGCTCTGATGACTACATGGGGCTTTGAATGCAAGTGTCCACTTTGCGCTGCCGAGAAGGCTGATGATCTTGCGGTGCGAAAGAAGAGGGCAGAGCTGGTGCAGCAATCGGTGGACTTCGTCAAACACGAAAACTGGCCTGATGCAAATAGGCTCAAGATTGCAAGCGCGCAAAGACTTGCTAAAGCTATCGACGACACTTACGACAACGAGCGGTACAAGGGTGTGCCTCGGTTGGCTGGGCGGATCATCCAAGAATGGCTCATGAAGGCGAGCCCGAGGAAATGATCGAAAAGCGATGTGTCAAAGCGCGCATTTTACTTTGCAATGGGCAATTGTAATTTCCACTGGGTGCGAACATGTGGTGCGGCGATCCATCGGAGTTCACCACACAATGTCGGGTCCGGTCTCGCCTCGCCCAAGGATGGTGCGACGTAGGGCCCTCAACACAGCCCTCTGATCTGTTGGCGCGATCAGAGTACATTCTGAGCTTGCTACGCGAGTAGAGTGAGCGCTTCCACCACGGCACTGCAACAAAGATCCGTTATGACAGCCTCAATTATGTGCACACAATATCGAGTCTATGAAAAGGGTATACATGGCAAAATCATGAACCAAACTCCGATGTCCCCATGAATGACACGAGCCTCTAATGACACGCCAGGCGCTTGTTTCAAACCCCATTCTCGATGCGTCTAGTAGTTCCTTTCAATCAATTCAATTTTGTCAGTAGACCCAGTATCTCCATGCTTGAAAAAGCGATATCCCTTGCCCGCAGGGATCCACAAGTCGTCGAAAATCCGCCCAGGATGAAACGCTGTCATCATCATAACAGCGACAATGATCATCGGTCCCTCGAAGATCATGAACGTGACCTCATCGTTGGCAAGGTGACTCTGGAATCCGCCCCAAAGCTCCGCAACACGGTACACACTTCGGATGAAGATGAGCAAGGTCGCGACAAAAAGACTCCACTGGAACCAGCGGAAGCTGGGGTCCGCGCGTAGGCTTTCGTATAATGGGGCCTGCCCGGTGAGGTTTCCAGCGCTTTTAGCCTTGCGCACGCGGAACGCAAAGTCGCCCCAAAGGGCGAAGAAGATGATCATAGAGATAATCTGGGAAATCAGGCCTGCGATCATAATGTGGACACCGAGGTCTCTGCTGCTGGTGTTTCTAGCCATAGAGGCTATGGCACCGCCGATGGATTGTAGAACCAGTGAGAGCAGATCGCAGCCGACGAAGATGTAGGTGTACATTTTGGGCTTTATGCGGGAGTAGTCGGCGCCTACGGCTACTATAACACGACTCAGGCAAAGGTAGATGCCACCCGTCAGCAGGGCGGGTGCGACCGTGAGAGGTACCAAGTACCTGCTAATTGTTAGCACACTAAAGTCACGCTTATAGATGTAGACCAGGTTTCTTACACAAGAAAGTTGTTCATGTCAAAAGGGTTGTTGTTCAGCATCAAACGCCCACCGTACCCGACGATCTCGCCGAAGATTCCCAAGCATACTGCACTCATGTACGTCCATGTCTTCTTATGGATACCAAAAAAAAGCTGCATGAAAAGCAAAATGATAAAGCAGACGCCATATATTGTGTTACCCGCGAAATTCGGGTAATAAGTGATAATGGCCTTGTCGAGAGGACGTACACCAGCCTTAGGCTTGGCGGCAGCGGTACCGTTCTTTGCGGCTTCGCGGACCACGAGGGTCAAAAGCTCTCCGGGATCCATAAGGCGTGGTGAAAAAAAATAAAAAAATCAAATGAATGTGGTTGAACGAATGTGATCGGGGTTTGTGTCTCGGGAAGACCTGAGCACGCAGGTATATGTACGACCTCTGACAGTTCTGCTAGAATTCGCGCGATAAAGAACGCAAGGCCCGATTCGGAGAATTGCGTAGGAGCTGGATGTAGGAGACCGCCTAGCACGTACAAAGTCCGATGAGGCACCCATTTTAGCCCCCGTCTCCGCGGTTAGGAAACCCTGTCGCTGTTGCGCTCAGGTAGAAACACCACAGGCAACCAATGGCGGAGAATAGGATTCTCAAAGTCCTGCCGTACGACAATGGAGAATACATGATAAAACCTAGCGCGTTCTCGGCTGCTTCGATGCCCGTATATGGACGATCGGTCTGCTTACGCTGCGGAGATTACCTTAGGTATGTAGGAACACCGGTACGTAAGGCTGAGCTGCAGAATCTTGACTGGTAGCAATGGCACACAGCATTGTCGCGAGCCTATTCTTTATGCAAGATGCGGTACTTTGTATGCGACGATGGGACTTCGCTTCTACTTATCGTCTGCCAGTTGTTTGGGAAGAGGGGACAATGCTCTCGATGTGAAACACCCACACAATTGGACTCAGATATCACTTCGCGATGTTTGGACCAAATACGTGTCATTCGTGCTTCTTTACGAGTCCATAATTGAGAACATGAGGATCGGGACGAAGCCCGATTTGAAGCGGCGGTAGGAGATGACATCGGAGGTTTGGGAAGTCCAAACGACTTGGAGCTTGAGTGCGCTACGGTAATTATGTAATTGATCAAATACGGTTAGTGGGTGATGGGTATATGTGGGAACCACGCACATCCTCTCCTTCATTATGGCACCCTTGAAGGATCGCAACTCACTACGAGACAATGGCTGTCAGAACAATCGATCAATTGCAAGACTGATCGAAACCGTGGATACTGCAACGCCCCTGTATGGTGTTGCATACGTTGAATGCTCTCACAACTCTTCAGGCCTCCTCGGGAAAATTTACTGTAACAAAGTCCCCCTCTTATAGAGGCCCCCGTATCATCAAAGGCGCGGTGAACGTCTTATCTCCGCCAAAAGGTCTCATGTCGCATTCGAAGGTCTCTGCGTCATTGAATCCATGTCGCCCATAGAGGATATGAGCCTCATGAGACGATTCAAGATATACCGGCAAACCCAGCTGGTCTGCTCTTTCGGTTCCCCATCTTAGCAGTGCACTTGCAGCACCACGTCTTTGGTACTTGGGTTCGGTATGCAGCATGTGCAGATCTGCGCTTGTCAGCTAAGTCCGCTTTTACTCTAAACTTCGACGTACATATATGTGGTTTCGTTCCCATAATCGCTTTCTTTCGGACAACGAGACCGCCGAAGAAAGCTTCACATGCCGCTTCGTTCACTCCGGGTCCCGATGGTACTGGACGTCCTGCGGATGAGCTGACGTCCTCTGATGTCTTGTAGATGTGGTATTTCGCGAATCCCATTTGCTCGCCTGTTTCTTCATCGACAGCAATCAGGAGTTGACATGTAGGGTCGCTATTGCGCATGTTGATGATTTGATTGGCTCTTGACTCTGTGGGTGCGACTGGGAAGGGGCCAGGGAAAAATAGAGAGGGACCATTCTGGCCAGCACCGTATGCGTCGGCTTCCCCTTGCGCAGCGCGCGGTATGTCCGCATCGGACGCTTCCCGTATTTTGATACCCATGATATTCTTCTTCTTCTTGGTGTGTGAGGACAGTTGGCTAGATGGTTCCCATGCAGAGGATTATGTATGGTGCCATGACACCTGAATAGGAAGGTGCATCCTCCGCCCTTCTGACTCACGCGCCCTTGGACTTGACTAACAGCGACAGATAAGTCTCGCGGAGTTTTCATCAGCCTTCTTGTTCTTACTCGCTCATGCTGGATGCATGGTTCCGATCTCTTCTTCGAAACGACCAATCCCTGGCTGTGGCGAATGCAGGTCCTGCCAGAATTGCCATACTTTCTGCTCCATTGAATGGCTCGACCACACGAATGTCTTCATCACTTTCAGCAGCTGGTCCCAGTCATCGTATAGACCGTCCAGAAGATCATGAAAGCAGCCATGGACCATGTTGATGGCGCGCGATCGAATTCGGTTCCGCTTTGCCATAGCTCCACTCACAAATAGAAGCCACAGCAACAGGTTTTCATAGCGTTCTTCCTTCCATCGTGGATCGCTCCGCGTCTTGGTCAATAGAGTCATAACCTGCGTAGCACACCACTCCGGGATGAAACAGCCTTCCCAGATGCCGGTGGACAGATTGTAAGTAACAAAAAATGAAGCATAAATACATGCTTGCAGAAAATGATCCTCTGTACCCGAGAACCTGTTCTGGCTGAGCAGGTCGACCAAGCGGGACTCTATGTAGTACTGGAAGTTATCAATGGGACACTCTCGAAGTGGAAGATCTCCCGGACTACAGCGCGTGTCGACCAAAGTGCAAAGCGCATTGAGGTCACCCATAATCTCTGCGAATTCTCCAGGGAAATCGGATATTATATTCTCGAATCCTGGAGATACAAAGGATCCCGCTGCCGAAGACGGAAGTGTCTCGCGGCTGGTCTCTTCGTAGTCCCGATGAGAAAGCAGACGAGTCGTGCCAACGAAGAGACATGAATAAAGGTCCTGCCAGAACAGCGCTCGCCTTATCGCGTCTGATATCGAAACGTTTGAGGCGTTGGTAAGTTCTACGACGTTTTTTATGGCACTAAGATGCGTTGATATGCTATTCGCGTTGGATCCATCCACTCGATACTGAAGTACGCATTAGGCTTGTAAAGGTACTATGGGTCACAGTGAGGTTTACCTCGTAGCCGATGATCATCAGCATAGCTGTAAGTGTTGATACCGATGGTACCAGTCCTGGGTTGGACATGCGGTGCCTTAGATTACGAAGCGTCGCTCCACGCTGCGTCAAGCATTCTACGTTGGGAACATTCATATTCGCAGCCAGCGCCAATGCTAATGAGAGCGCATGAAACATCAAGGGATCCGATAACGCGCCTCGAAAGACGTCGTCCAGGCCTTCGAAGAAGATTTTCCCGGCGTCCTCAACGCAGAAGACCGGTTCGCCGGCAGAGCGTGCACTCTCTACAAAGAATTAGCCAAATAACTTACGGTCATATACACAAGGAAACTGACTGTGCGCCATCAATGACCTCAAGCGTTCACCATCGCCAGGCAGAGAGTCAAATGGATCAAGTCGCCCACCCGACAGAGGCTTCGGCAAAACCAGCGCAGAGCTCGATCGTACTTCCAGTCTCAGCTTTCCAGTGCGTGCGTCGATAACACTGGCTACGAAGTTGTCGTTCCTCCTCGCTTCTTCCTTTCGCTTGTTCTGCATCCCGTTGCGGATGGCGTGCTGCCGTATGCGCTTTTGGCGCTGCCGGTCGTGCATTTCGTGGGGGTGGTTGACTGTCACAAACTCGAACATTGTGCTGATTCGGTCTTATCTGTTATGACTCTTTGTGGTGATGGAAATGGAAAGAAGAGGTTTCCCAAAGTTCCTTGCTCAGCCTGGCCCCCACTAGTGCGCCAAGCGGTTTGTCTTGTGAGTGGTGGATTCGATCGTGCTTACATTTGTCGGATATAACAGATTCACGGATGATGAAAGAACATTGTGAGATGTGACCAATCTGTGGCTGAACCAGCATGATTATTGCTGTGGAGAATCTACGAGGAGTATATTCGCGAAGGAGAGATGCGTGGCGTAAAAAGTGGCTCGAGCATGGCAGATCCACTGACGCTTTTAGCTCCTTCCCCATCATTTGCTTCTCCGGCCTCAACAACACATCATTTTCGCATACTACTGAAGTACAGACTCACTCAGCTTGAGCTTTCCATCGTGTCACTCGGTTGTTGCAACGAGATGACGTCACATACATCCTCAAGCCTCCTCGGGGTTGCACATCAGCCTAATTGGCCTGCCAAACCAACAACGTATAACATGCCAGGGTTGCAATGCGGAAGCACTTGCAGAATAGTACGCTGTATATCACATTGAGCAGATTGCGGAAGATATGGAAACGCAGAAACCCTTCGACGTCCTCGTCTTCAGCAAGACATGTGGCTACCGGCACGACTCCATTCCAGCCGGCGTCGCCTCACTCCAATGCCTCGCAGAGCAAACCTCGCAATTCATCGTCACAGCGAGCGAAGACGCATCGACCTTTACTTTTGACAATCTCTCTAATTATGCAGTTATCATCCTTCTCCAAACCATCGGCGACATTTTCACCCAAGACCAACTCGATGCTCTGAAACAATTCGTCCGCGATGGTGGCGGCGTAGTCGCCATCCATGGCGCAGCAGCTGGCATGCCAAATGACGCGTGGTATGAGAATCTCATCGGCGCGCACTTCGATCAGCATCCGCCGCACGAGCCAGGCATTGTGCTCGTCGAGGACATGAACCAGGACCACTTCATCATGAACTGCTGTGGTGGCCGGGAAAGCTGGACCGACGAGTTTTACAATTTTACGTCCCATCCGCGTGGGAACAGCAATCTGAAAGTCTTGCTTAGAGGGGATCCGAAGTCTTTTGAGGGGGGGAAGCATGGAGATGATCATCCACTGGCGTGGTGTCAGGAGTTTGAGGGTGGGAGGGTTTTCTTTACGGCATTAGGGCATTTTGATGAGGCGTATTCGGATGAATGGTTTATTGAGCAGATGAAAAGAGGTATCTTGTGGGCTGCGCGAAAAGACAACAAAGGTTGAGGAAAATAGCAATTTTGAGAGAAACGCCATTGAGCACGCCCAGTACAAAATGTCTCCTTTGCGTTTCAGATGAAATACTCAAACAGATAAGCAACTGACTATGTTGACTCCCAGACTGACAGAGAACCTGGTGTGTAACCAGACTCCAGCCTCCGCGAAACTCCAACATCCTGAATATTTCCGACGGAAATTTCGTGCACATTCAAGAGCCAAGGATATCTTCTCTCCTCTAGGGACAAAGTTATGTCTTGGTATTGCCAGGCTATACTGTCGAAATTGGGCGTCGTCAGCTCAAGCCGCCACTTCATTACGACAAGACGATGCGATTGCAAGAGCAAATCGCAGCATCACGAAGCGTAGGATAATTCTACGCTGCAATCGCAGTGAGCAGTCGTTAAAAATCGGACACTCTGTAGGTATAGAGAGAACGACGGCGCCCCTGAGTGACAAGGCGGTCGATAGGACAGGGCTCCTGAGCGCTAGACAGTTACTTTTTTCGCTACCAGTCTGACAGCACGATGGTGCCATCTCGAATCCCGCATTTCCTCAAATAGGACAGCTCCATGCATGCGGCTCTATCCTTCTGTGACCGATCTTGCATAATGTACATCGTCTTCCTTCGAAACGACAAAAGACCCCATATCCACCTATGACCCGCCCACTACCATCCCAAAAGGTACCTCTTCGTCACCCTCACTCAACCTGCGGTCCGCTTCCACCGCCAAAGCTTGGAGTAAATGAGGCTTGCGTCAGAGCGCTCAGACCTGTCGTTCTTTTCTAACGCGGCTCGCCTGAAACAACTGCCCACATCATAGACTTCTGGATTTCCATGGTTTGGTAGAAATGAAGGTGCGGACATGCGCCGTGAAGCGGGAGCGGCCAGTGACATGTTGGTCCGAGGACCGGACTGCAACGCTCATGCAGGAACGCGCTGGAATGGGCAGGTTTGTCGGATGCAGCCCTTCAACGTTTGTACTTATGCGACTTGTCCATAGCTTGATGCCGTGATGAAAGGCTTCAAAACTTTACCTTGCCCATCATCGACTGTTCAACTTTCCGCAATAATTTTCCGCGATGCATTCGCTTGAGGCTACACTGTTGTCCGTCCACAGCGACCTTCCCGCTTGCACATGAAACATCGCGCCCGCGCTACGGCCGCCCCGCTGCATACGCGTCCCATGGTACTCATTCTACCACCAGCTCTCACCATGTTTCACGGAAAGCATACGCGTCACTAAACCTCGTCCCCATTCGCGATCTGCGAGGCTGGGCTCGCCTCGTCACGGACGGTCACAGGGGGATGCGTGCTGTTTAATGAAACGGGCTCCACCGAAACAACGCGACGACTCGATGCACGCTCTCGACCCCGGCGCGTGAGCCTCAGGCGAAAGCTTGAATGGATCGGGGGTTTTCGTGGGGGCTGGTGAGGTGCGATGGTATATAAGGCTGGGCAGGCACAGGGAGGGAGGGTACAGCTCAGCAAGACATTCTCTTCGTTTACTTTCACCGACTTCTCAGTCACTGTCTTTCTTTCAGAGTACACTGTGTGTCTCGCTCATTTCAGCACATCTGCATCTATCTGCATCCCAGAATTTCCAGTCCTCCAACCCTTTTCGCCGTCCGCATTCACTGCATCCATTCTTGTCACCCAAGTCAAAATGAAGTTCACCGCCCTCACCGCAGCCTTCATCATCGCTTTCGCCTCCGCCCAGGAGTCTGGCTCCGCCCGCCCTCAATTCAGCGGCGTCCCCAGCTTTTCCGGCGAACACAGCTTCGCTGCTCGCCCGACGGGAGCTTTCCCGTCTGGTGCTTCAGGCTTCGCCAGCCCGTCTGGCCACCACGGCCATCCTCACCACAGGCCCAGTGGCGCTTCAGGCTTCGCTCACCCCTCTGGGGCCCGGCCCACAGACCTGCCTGCATTCTCGGGCTTCCCATCTGCGGCCGGACCTTCTGGAGCTGCGCCTACCGATGCTGGGCTCCAGCGTCGTCAAGAGAGCTCTGGACTTCCTTCGTTCCCCAGCGGTCTGCCAAGTGTCCTGCCCAGCGGCCTTCCCAGCGGCCTTCCCAGCGGCTTTCCTAGCGGATCTGGTGGCGTAGCGCCGACGGGGCTCCCCTCGTTCCCGTCAGGCTTCGCTCACGGCAGCGGTCGTCCTCAACCTACTGGTAAGTAGTCTTCACATAACCTGTGCGGATATGCGGCTCTCAAATCGTTGTTCACCACCCATCCTGGGGTACCTCAACGCGCCGAGATGCCAGCCCACAGCCTCAATTTCCTTAACTTCAACTGACATCGTACTCGTCTAGGCCCTCCGCCTTCAGGATTCCCGTCAGGTTCGGGTTTCCCCCGCCCTACGGGCAGCTTCAGCGGCGTCGCTCCGTCCGCCGCGCCGTCTTTTGCGGCTCAAGCGGCCGACGCCAGCGGTGTCCAGGGTGGTGAGCGACCCACGGGCACTCTGCCATCAGGCGTTGCCCACGGCAGCGGTCGTCCTCACCACAGTGGCGGATTCTCTGGCTCTGCGCGGCCTACCGGCGGCTTCGGCGGACACGGCCAACACTCTGGTGCTCCCGGCGCCGGACCTACTGCTGCTCCCTCATTCAGTGGCTCTATCGCCGCGCCCAGCGGATTCCAGACGCTCCGCCGCGTTTAAGATGACGAGTGTGGAGGCATGATACGAGCATGTTGTAGAGAGGATTGTTACTGGGGTGAAAAACGTGGTGATTGTGGATAGAGCTGGATCTTCTGTTGTACATATACTTTCTTACACTCTTTATAGCGCGAGCGCGACACTTTCATCAATGGAGCTGATACTCATCAATGGTTACCCACTGCGCGAGTGTACCCTTGTGACCGTGAGGGACGAGCTTATGCGAACTCGATCGTGGTCTTTGAACTGCTGGCAGCGTTCTCGATGCGGAAAAGCCATGTAGTATGAGTGAACACGATGTTGATGTGATACGGCATGCGGCCACTGCATCCCGATCCGCCATCCCAGGGACGAATAATATTTACAATATAGCACAGTATACTTACAAGCTCTGACTATGGATTCGTTATCTTCCCACCCTTGCGATACGTCTCGATAGCCTTCTCAAACAACGCGCGACATGGCACTCTGCTCCCCAACCTCGCGCAGAGCAAAAACGCGCCGCTCAGCTTCCGATGCAAACTATAAGTTTCCTCAGGCGGCGGTGCCAGGCGTTCCCGCACCATAACCGGAATCAGCCCACGCACCCGGTCGGTGATGGTCTGGTCCCTGAAGTCGTAAATCTCTGGCCCAGACTCCTGGAAGGGCTCTGCGAGTGTGAGGACCGACTGGATGTGTGCGTCGAGCATAGGCTGCGATTCCGCACCAGTGAGATAGCCGAGCTGGATGGAGAGGTCGCGGATAGCGTTGCGGTCGTTCAGCGAAGCGGCGATGAGGACGTTGATGTAAGGGTCTACAAACTCCTCAGCGTACTCGCGGGAGGCGCCAAAGTCGAGGAGCTCAATCTTGTGGTCCTTCTCGTTGTAGAGAAAGTTCGTCCAGTTTGGATCCGTCTGCATGAACTTGAATTCTATAATTTCTCGGAGGCACAGCCGCAGGATCTGGGTGCCGATCCAGTCGCGTTTTTCCTGGGCGAGGGTGGGCAGCTTCGCAACGCCGACGCCGTGGACGAGCTCGGCGGTTAGGACTTGCGGCCCGCAGGCTTCCGGGAAGGTCTTGGGAACTTTGAAGACTGAGGAGTCATCGGCGACGGCGGCGCGGAAGCGCTCTTGCCACTCGGCTTCGCGGACATAGTCGCATTCCCATGCTAGCTCTGTGCGGGCGTTTGCGATGGTGCGGTCGAGGAACAGGCCTTTGGGAAGGAGGCGCGAGGCAGTGAGTAGGATGGAGAGATTGTTGAGGTCGGAGTCAATAGAATCGGCTACGCCAGGATACTGGACCTTGACTGCGACAGGATGTCCCGTGGACTTGAGCACAGCTTTGTGGACCTGGCCGATCGATGCTGCTGCAATTGGCTTCTCATCAAATGAGGTGAACAGATCTCGCCATTCGCTGCCGAGGTTGCTCGCAAGAACCTTGTCGCGTTGCCAGGCGGGCATGTAGTCTGCACTGTCCTGCACGCGTTGCAGAACTTCGTGGATAGCCGGCGGCAGCATCTTGATGTCCTGAAAGCTGATGATCTGACCCAGCTTCAGAGCAGCACCGCGCATTCGGGACAGCTTCGCAACCAGTATTTCGAGGTTGCCTGGACTCAGCATGAGCGACCCTCCAGTGGCTGCCGCAGTGCCCGTGACCCGTCTCAAGCCCTCCCCAACAGCACCGAATGCCATGCTTGTACCCAGCCCTGCGTATTGCCATATGCGGCCGAACCGTGATGACGGAACTCGTGACTCTCGTAGTTCATACCGGGCCTTTTCTGGCTCGTCAATCACTTCACTGGGAATCTGCGATAGTGCTGTTAGTATATCAGCATGCTGGATGTCTGATCATTGCAGACGCAGGTGCTTACCTCAGAGGCGGGCGAAGCGGCTGCCTCGGCGTCCTTTGCAAGCTGCGAGGCTAGCTCATGCATCTCTTTCTCTGATGTCCCGGGTTGCGTGGGCTGTGTGGGCTGTGCTGGGTGTGATTGCTGCAGGGGTTCTTCTGGCAGCGACGGCTGGCTCTCCTCACTTCTCCGCACATTGAACGTGTCCTGATCGTGGCCTTGTGCAGTTTTGGTGTGGTCAAGCGGCGTACGCGCTGCGCCCTTCAGATCCATGTGTGGCTTCTGGTTGTACGGGTTCCCTCCTAGCATCTTCTTGTATCGGGTAGTGAGGAACACGTCTGTGTTGATGCCCTCTGGCACGCTCTCCTGTAATGGGACAGCAACCCGTTGTGGAATGTCCTCTCTTTGCATCTGCTCTTGGTCTGGCTCAGCTACAGAGTAGTAGACGTCCTGGTTCATCTGCTCATCCCGGACGTGGAAGTCGCTCTCTTGGTGCGTCTCGCCATATCTGGGTATCCGCGTCTTCGGTGATTGGTGAGAGGAGGTCGTTGGTTCTGATTCTACTGATCGCGTGTAGAAGACGTCTCGGTCGTGTCCTTCCTGCAATTGCTGTACTCGCGGCGCGGGAGAGGGATGGTACGGCTCGTTTGCGTGCGACGGGATCTGGTCGAACTGTTCACGCTGGGCGCGCATCTCATCCACCGACATGATCTTGTCACTCGAGGCACCGGCGGGCTTGCCTGGCACAGGTATCGTCGACGCCCTGGACTCGACAGGCCGCATGCCCTCGTCATCCCTCGGCTTGGTGCGGTGTTCCTCTGCGAGCGGCGCTTTCGGGGCCTCGGGAACCGGCCGTTCGCTGAACGTGTCCTGGCCTCTGGTTCCCTCCTCCAGCGTGACCCCAGCTGAAGGAATTGTCCCGTCCGGCAGCGGCGCCTGGCCGGCCTCCTCCTGGCGCACGCCGAGTTCTCCGTCAGCCGGCGGTGCTGCCTGCGTGTTCTTTGCCGACCGGTCATAATGATGGTCCTGTTCCAGGCCCGTCTTTGTATCTTCCCTGGGCCTCTCGCCCTTGACACTGTCCTTCGTCGGGACGTCCGCATGCTGGGCACCTGTCGCCCGCTGTACGGCAGCAGAGGCATACCTGGGCGCCTCCTCGTTCAGCCGCTGCGAGAGCACGCGCGCAGCCTCGAGCGTCAGGGTAATGCGGTCGGTCTGGTTCTTCGCGGCCTTGGCGAGGGAGGACGTCTTGGTGAAGACATCGAGCTGCTGCGAGCGGAGCTTCAGGTGCTGCTGCGCGATGCCTTTCGAGGCATTGAACAGCTTCGCCGCGTCGATGAGCCGTCGGCCCGCCATTGGAAATAACTAATGCGTCTGTCGCATCGAGCCACGCAGAATGCAGCGTGCCTGGACTCGAGCACCTCTCGTGAGACGTTGGCAAAAAGACATGATAGCGTCATAGCTTGCTCGGCTTAAGCTCGCCCGCGCGGCCGCCGTGATTGGCTGCCCGCGCACTGCGTTCTAGACCCGTTCAGGAACCTTGTATCCCACTTCATTCACCCGGGCACAATGTCCAGCCAACGCTGGAGCGAGGCCATCCAAATCTGCTTGCGGCTATTGCGCGTGCATTTACATGATAGCCTGCGTAGTGCGCGCGGATCCTCTGGCGGTGGTTCACTAACTTAGCCTGCCCGCACCGCCGTACGAGGTAGCTCGCGCGAGCTGGGAGCCAAGATCGTTCAGGGGAGCTTCCACAGCTGTACACGAGCGGTGCACGAGGGCTGCTGAAAAGATGAAGATTGCGCTGCTGCAGTTTGCCCCAGATGTGGGTACCGTGCAGGCCAACATCAAGCGGGCCGATGACCTACTGCAGCGCGCAAAGATACCTGTGGATCTGGACTGGCTGATATTGCCAGAAATGGCCTTTTCAGGTACGTTTTGGGCATGAGCGCCGCTTCTTCTCCACAGACGGTCAGCCACTGGAGAGTATGAACAAACATTGTCTGCCCTTTGCAGCATTGACAGGTTCATATTGGCAACCGATCGAACAGGGCAATACATGTGACCAAAACGATGACATATCTGACAAGACTTGTTATACTCTACATGGACACATCTACCACAAGCTCAACCACAACAACATCATATCTGCACATGCTAACACACCCCAGGCTACAACTTCCACTCCCTCGAAGAAATCACCCCCTACCTGGAACCCACCACCTCAGGCATAACAACCCACTGGGCCATCCAAGTCGCCCAGCACTACAACTGCCATGTAACCGTCGGCTACCCCGAGCGCACCCTCCCCTCCCCCTCATCCCCCCACCAAGAACCAACAAACTACAACTCCACCGTCACCGTCTCCCCCACCGGCGCCATCCTCCAAAACTACCGCAAATCCTTCCTCTACTACACGGACGAAACCTGGGCCGCCGAGCCCCCGGAGCGCTTCAAAGTCGAGCATCTGCAGAAGCTGGGCAACGTGATTCAGGGGATATGCATGGACATCAACCCGCACCGGTTTCTGGCGCCGTGGTCGGACTACGAGTTTGCAAGCGCAGCGCTGGCTCCCGTGCCACCGCTATCCCACTCGGACTCGCCCACGCCACAGGGAACGAACCCTCTGATCGTCGTCTCCATGGCCTGGCTGTCCCACCTCACGGCCTCGGAAATCGCAGCCGAGCCCGCAGCCCCGGACGTCGCGACTGTCGCGTACTGGGTGGAGCGGTTCCAGCCCGTCGTCGAGCGCAGCAAGGACGTGCCTGGCCCGTGGTACGTGGTCCTGGCGAACCGGTGCGGCAGCGAGAAGAGCGTCTGCTACGCGGGGAGCAGCACGGTGATCAAGGTGGAGGATGGCGGGGTGAGTCTGTTTGAGACGTGTGGGCGGGGCGAGGAGCGGGTGTGTGTGGTGGATTTGGAGGGTGAGCCGAGGTTTAGTGTTAGGAGTGGGCGGTAGGGTGGGGATCATGGGAGGGGTTATGGTTTATGAGGTATGAGGTATGGGTTATGGGTTATGGTATGCATGAGATACGTTAGGCATGGAAAATAGAAGTTACGGTGCATGTTGACGGTGGTGTGTATCGTTGCGTTATCGTCGTGTTTGTGATGTGCCTGCGGGCGTGCTGCGTCAATTTACTGTGCTTCGGTCACCCTGGGTTTAGGGAACAAAGGTGCACACGCTGCGCCAATGCGATGTGTCGAGACTTGCGAGGTCTCTGTCGTAGAGCTGCCATGTCGTCTTTGGTGATTGTCTGCGCTTCGGATGAAGCGCCCTGTTGGGCGCGGAGAGATGTGCCGTGTAAATGCGTGAGGCGACGCCATAAATAGTTGCTGTGTTGTATCCGGCAGACGGGACGTCAGGTCATCCGGCAAAGCGACTCAAAACAACGATTATAGATACCGAAGTTTCCGTCGAGCGATCACAGCACCTCAACTCGTCAATGTTCCGGTTGCGTCTGCACAATCCACCAGTGTTCAGTCCTGCAAGTGTTTCATTCATGTCCACTGCCTAACCCTAATTTTCGAACCCATAAGCGCCAGCCAGAGTGAGCGTCCTTGGAAAACCCTTCACTCAAATCATGATATGCATGCAAGCCTCCCTCGTGAGAGCGTCCATCCATCGTTCCACCCTACCGCCGCGCAGCAGCCAGCCAATTGCCAGCCATGCCGTTCCCGTGTCGCTCGCTCGCCGGACGTGAAAGAATTGATGCTGGGGCTCGAGAATCGTGAGCTGGCAGGGAGAGGGGTGGCGAATCGTTTAGATGCCGATACGGGTCTTGCGCCAGTGTCGCCTCTTGGCGTTGTAGCTGCATCGCTGTCAGTATGTCTGGATTTTCTGTCGGATCGAAGTGTCGCGGGCAGCGCGTCGAGGGGAAAGTACCGGATGGTGTTGCCCGTCCTCAGGCGGATCCACTGAGGGATGGGGCGGTTCTGCTTCTGAGCTTTGGCAAGCTTTTGCTTGGTGCGGAAGGACTTGTGGCTCTGTGGCACGTCAGTACGATGTTCACGCGAAGGCGGGCGGGGCGGCGGCGTACCGGCATGGTGACGGTTGTCGATATGTCGAGAGGTTCGAAGTGGGAAGTCTTGCGGAGGGTTGTTCTGCTCGGCTTGGGTGTCGAGTGCGCTTCAAAATCTAAGCGAGGTGGGTCGCACGATTTACGGACTAGTGTCATCACGTGAAGGAATTCGCCTCGTCGCTCCTCTCTAAATAGCGCACGACCAACACGTCCACAAAGGCCGCGAGTCGAAAATACCCAGCTACTCCTTGTAGAGATGATTGCGCTTATGATGTTCGTCAACATATCCGCTCTGAAAACCCTCATGAAATCGCTCATGAGGACAACATGCTTCGCATCGCGTATGACTGTCGCAAAATCTCAACGACCTTGACCACACTCACAACAGAGCTCGCTCAGGACGGGATCTGAACATGCAGCGATGTCCAATATTAGTCTTCTGCTTCTTTTCATCACAAGGCGATTGACTGTATTAGACGTTTCGTAACGCGTCTCATCTGAAAGTTTCCTAGCGGAGAAGTTTGCAGGGATCCTTCGCGACGAACAACAAAAGCGTAAGGGAGCTGACGCGGGCAGCGCTGCGTTGGACTTCGTGTACTCACTGAACCAACGACCCCTGAAGCCTATACATCCAAAGTCTGATTGATTCTATCAGATCCAGCATCCGATAGTCCAACCGTACAAATCTCTCCCATTGGGAAGGGCCAGTCTCGTTCAGTTCCTCATTCAACGAACTTGGTCGTCTACAAACTTGGCTTTTCATTCTTTCTATCGAACGACGTAATGCCATGTGGTATCTCGCGTCCAACATCAAGTTTAACTAGGCTGGGTGTTGAGTAAATCCATAGATTTGGGACGTATGTCGTGTCTTTGTTACCAGACCGCCGTCGTCGTCGGAACCGGCGCCTTTGTCTACACAGCTATACAGCCACGACATGAGTGTCTTTGTCCTTACCGCACCCTAAATCCTTTCCTATTACATTCTCAATAAAGACTGCTAAGATGCCATTCTCTCCTTCAGTCTGGCAGGTTTGTGGAACTGCATCGTATCCCGCACAGCGTCTGCATCATCTGCCCAGGGAAAATTTCCCCCGCTGTCTGAGATTCACATCTTTCGTACTTGCCAGTTAGCGCCATACTCCCAATATGGCAGACAACGAGGAAGAGATTGACTTCGGCGAGATTCCTGAGCGACGTCCCAGCGGCGAGTCCTTCGACGGCCAAGACTCGCTCGACGATGGTTCCGATTTCGACCCAGACGACGCCCTCGCCGATATGGAGGCCGCAAACCAGGACAATGACGATGGACGCAGCGACGCCGACAACAACCTCACCGGCAACGACAACGACAACGACAACGACAACGACAACGACAACGACAACGACAACGACAACGACAACGACAACGACAACGACAACGAGGGCGACGACGGAGACGCCGCCAACGACCTCACCGGCAACGACAAGGACGCCCCCACTGCAAAACCCCGCCTCCCACGCATCGGCTCCGGCGGCATCCACATATCCGCGCCCTCGACTACCAAGTTCGCCAACACGGCGCCGAAGCCGCACAACGGCACAAATTCTGCGGAGCTGGAAGCCGGAGCCAGCGGGCAGTCCCACTTGGGGTATACCGGGCAGTGGAGCGACGAGAACAGGGCGGTAGCGTACGTCTGCGGGACGAACTGGGATATTTCGAGATATCAAGAGAAGGAACGACCTGCAAATTGGCCGTCTAAGGGGTGGCAGTGTGGGGAGGTGGTACTGAAGAAAGGGGAGCCGATAAGGTGCAAGGAGTGCGGGGGGAGGTTGTTGTATAAGAAGAGAACAGATAGGATGGTGCAGTTTGAGGCGCGGTAAGGGGTGTGGCTGAGACATTTGGATCGGGATCAGGAGGAGAGTGTGTTGGATATGGTAGTTCGAGTTGTTTGGAGTCGCGCAGGTTAGGCGTGTAAAATGCGATACGATTCAATACTCCCACACCCCATCGCCACTGACTTCCGGATGCGCGAGGCTGCTCTTCACCTTTTGGTTGTCACCTTGCAAACTGCATCCTGTTCCGCCTTGTCCGGGGGCTGTCTCCCATGACCGCCGTCCTTGCTCTGTCCCGACCTTAGCGTCTACGGGTCTACTGCTTTACTATTATGTTCGTACGTCGTAGTGCTCACTGATGTAAATCGACTCAAGTCAAATCAAGTACGCGAAATAAAGAGAACCCACCCAAACATGGCACCCTCTCCACCTCATCACTCGCCCTCTTCACCCCGAATAAAGCCTCCTTGTGGAATCCACCCCCCGCAACAACCGCTCTCGGAATCTGCGAGTAATTCTGGCTGCCCAGATCGGAGGATGTGTTTTACAGCTATTCAAACCTTCCCGAGAGCAGAAGCGGGATATCCTTAGTACCGGTTTCTTTGCCCATAATGATGTGCACTGCGTCATATTCTGGGAGGAGGTATTCCTGGACTAGGTTTATGAATTCCGGGGGGATCTGCCGCACGCGATCAGGGGGACCATGTTCGGAGGCAATGGTGCTGAATTTCAGTGTCGATACTAGCCGTAGAATAGATGATGAGTTGGTCGGCCTGCAGAGGATTGCGAGTGCCCTGGGAGAGCGCATTTTGGACTCCGTCACCTTTAGGTCTCGGACTCGGATGTCATTCCCTAACAGCGGTGGTCTGGGCCTGCGATTCAGTGTTAATTCTTATAGTATATTACGCTGTCTGTCAGACGCGGTGTCTCGCGGAAGCCTCGCGGGACGATCGCGAGTGGGTGAGGCGCGGGACTAGCACCATCTTGGCGTAGGCTTGCAGTACGGTAAGCTTAAATCGACACAGTGAGCTAGGGTGAAACTAGGGGATACATCCGGCGATAGTGACCAGCAGACGCAAGAAAAGATGGATCTCGGGAACGCGGAGGAGATGGTTGTGAGAAAGTGAACTACGTCATTTTGCCAATCCTTTAGTGCTGTGATCGATTGCGTAGAGGATTTCTGTTTTGGGAAGATCGGATTGCAAAAATTTACCAAAATTCCGCGCTGATGATGCAAAGCAGTAGCAAAACCGATACGTAGATGAGCCAACCCTCAGCGGATCACCCTGTGCCTTCAATGCAGGCTTGAACCCCTTCGCCATATCCATCCTCCCCATGCACACATTTACCATCGTCAACCCCTTCCCATTTTAGAAATTCAGATCCTCAAACGCCGGCATGAGCTCGCCCCAGGTACATACATCGTATGTATTGACGCTGGAGTCACTCACCCCCTTCTGCGGCGCACCTATCATTTCCGGAGCCATCAGGTCCTTCCAAGGTACGATATCATAGTACTCCTCCTCTTCGCCATGGATCATACGCTGTCCGTGTACCAATCATGGTTGATGGGAAATACGATGACATCCAGCTTATTCTTGATGATCGTGCTCAGCTCCTGCAACGAGACCTGAAAGCCGCTGTCGCCTTCCAAGAGGATAAGGTCTAAGAGGATGGTGCGGCCGCCGGTTTTGAGCTCCAGTGCTGAGCCATATAGGCGAGTGATGAGTTTGGTTTCTGGGGGGATGACGAAGTCACGACTACCGGGGAATGGCGTGGCGTGGCGTTTGCACATATGATGTTGTCTTGCGGTCTCAAGGAAGAAGACAGACGGAGGTATAAGGTATCTTAGTCAATAGGCACGGATAAGTTTGATGGAGCTAGAGGTTTTTATGCCTCCCGCACCTTAGGCAGTGAAGCTGCTTAGAGGGGTTTCGGCAAACGAGAAGTGTCGATGCTGTCTAGCAGTTTGCGTGGAAAGCTTTTCACATGTAAGCCGTACGCTTCTTCTCCAACCTCGACATCTTGCGACAGAAAGGGAAGGCGAATTTTTATCACAAACACTCGTCCAGCCTTGTGTATCAAAATTGATCATAAATGGACTGAAGAGCAAAGCTAGGTCTGCTGTGCTAGTGTAAGCTTGCTAAAGTTTCCCGTGTTCACTCCATGATAATTGGGCAGCGAGCCATGAATGATGCCACCTCCGGATGGATAGCTGAGGGTCAGAAACCATGTGAATTGTGCAAACTCGTTGACTTCATCGACGATTTGACCCGGCGCTGCTAGACCGTCGACCAGGATATACGGTTGTTTTGATGCATATATGAGATTCAGAACTGTGTCAACGATTTGCGCTTCGTAATTCTGATCATTCGCGGAGGGGCCTTATCCAATGGTACGGTCAGCGCGTCTCCTGGCACTGGAACCGTCACCATGTTGCTTGGCATCTCCAAGTATACCAGTCTGCTTTCTTGAATGCATGCTTATAAGGTCTCATCTATGAGCCTGCGTGCATGATCGGGGTTAAAGATTGCAGCTTGGGAAACTGTGTAGTGCTTCCAGATCCCGGGGTGTACTCGCAAGTTGCCGTCTCCAAGACTGTGCTGGATGGTTATCCCCCTCCTGTAAGTGGATCTTGCAGGACATCCTACGATGTGAACCTGAGAATAATGTCAGTCCTCGTGTTTCTTATACAGTTCAGCTTGGCTGGCCTGACCGATAGATGAACACTTCAGATGCTGCGGAATATGCCACGTTTAGCCGCGAAAATTGATGCCCATGTCAAGTCATGGTACTCTAACAGCTCTTTGAAACATCGGGCCGAACCGACCACGATAAGGCCGCTCGGACGAAGAGTCATTCGGTTACATAGTTACAGCTGCAAACAGGCATACCTCGAACGGTGGAAACCTTGCTTGGGCGCTTGACAGAACATCGAGACTGGACGTGTTGGACCACATACCACTAGCAAACTCTGCGTATCATCCCGCTGCAGCAATCAGAGCACTCAGCTCGCCAATGCCGTACCGGATGAATAGGGCGAACATGCCCTTGATTCTGGCGTAGTCGTTGTAACGTTTCCTAAGCTATTAGCTCTCTGGTTACCAACAGTAGTATTACTGCAGCATATCTCGTGTTGAGTTCGTTGCAATTGCCAACCCATCTTGAGCCTGCCAGCCTTAATCGATCTAGCGCGAGGAGGAATAAGCCGCCTGGAACGCCCTGTCGCAATGTTATCAATACGCATAGGCGGGTGATGATACGGGGAACTTGCATGTACAGATCCCACGCCGAACTGGCGCAAGGGTGTGAAAAGAAAGGTGGCCAAGCTCACTCTGCTGCGACCCATGTCGGCGGTCGTCGATGGGATGATTCGCGGCTGCACTTATTCACATTGGCGCGGAAAGAGTGATCTCCGCGTGTACAGATACAGAAGGACTGGTGCGGATAAGGTAGGAACCACAACGGTGCCGAAAGCGCGCAGAAGTCGCTTTCGGGACATGCTGCCATCAACGCCGATGTATGACATCTGTTCCTCTATTGTATGCACCTCTGTTAATGTGCGTAAGGGTTGCTCCCTAAGTGTTGATGCGCACACACGTGGAAATCATCGCGCTAGGTGTTACATCTAACCGGATATAGTTTGGCCCCACTCTCGATCCAGAAGTTCTCTTCGTTCTTACCCTACTGGGTCATCATCTTTTCATCACATCGACTCGTCTTAGACATCGGTCCACTCTTGCATACGTACCGTTTCAATAGGGTCTCGGAGTATTGCCCAAATTGATGCATCGCACTGGATTCATAAGCGGTCGCGTCATGCCACTCTGAAACGCGTCTTGTCACTCTGCTGCCTAGGATACAGAACACCTGAGAAGGGTTTCTACACATGTTATTATGGAGATGAATATGAAGAAATACTATAGATCTGGCCCCACAGGCTCATTGGCGAACACGCATAGGCAGCCCGACAAAGTCGCGTTACCGAGGGAGCCGCAAAGGTTTGTAGCCCCACGAATTTTGCGTAGGATCCTTTTCTCAGCGATGTTCGAGGTCAGTCTCGGTTTCTGTCTGAGGCTCACATAGACCCACATCGACTCGCCCCCGGTAGACGTCATTCGCTGGGGCTTTTTTACGTCTCCGCATCCTTGGGACAATCGCTACCAGCAGGCAGAAACCCTGACTCGATCCATGCATGTCCTTGTCGAGAAGGACCTCCAAGGATCCCCCACGGCTCGGAACCTCGTTATCCAGGCGCTAAAGTTTAGTCCATGAGAATATGAATGCGGCTCAGGCACCTTTCTAACATCCTAGGTTCTGTCGACAGACTCACACTAGGAGGCGGGAGTTGTATGTTGACTCTAAGAGATGACATCGTTAGAGTAGAAAATTCCTCGCGGCTTTCTCCACATTCTTTTGTACGGTTTTTATTTTATTTTTACCGTTCGCTCGCTGTTCACAGAGTTGATCTCTGCATCATACTAATGCCATAATCTTGTCGCTCCTTCACGAAGTTGATCTTCGCCGCTTCAGTACAATAATAGCCACGATGGCGCAAGCACTCTCCTTTTCACCACTGGCCTTGGACCTTCCAAGCTCTCGCATGAGCGTCGACTTTTCGACATTTGCAGCATCCCGACCCGACACGCAGAACCTCAAACCAGGAAGAGAAGCACCACCTGTGACGACATCAAAACTAATCACGCGCAAGCCCATTGCACAGTACGTTCCTTTACCAGACCTTAGAGAAGAGCAGGCCGCGTTCAACAACCCGAGTACGCAGAAATCGCGAAAGTGGCCATGGCGACAGCCACCTTCCGGCAGAGAATCTCCGGTCACTGTGCTGTCAAGGACTAACTCTAGCGCCTCCGTGTCTTCATCCACATCATCAGCATCCACGACCGTGTCTTCAGTCTTCTCCCGCAACCAATCAACAACTACATCTCGCACCTCACTCTCATCAGTGGAGTACGTTGACTACTCTCCTAAGCCGCCAACGAAGAAGAGAGCGAGCCTATCGTCGCTGCCAATCTCGCTACTTGAGTCTATCTTATCATATGCTTTATGTCTTCCGTTGACAGTGTCAGTCGGCCCGCAATGCTCGGAGAATCGTCATATGCAGTATCGCTATCACCGTGCTGGGCTAGATTACATCGATCTGCAACTGATCCGCAAGCATCCACTTTTTCTGGTATCCCACCACATCCGCTCAGTTGCACTCGACGTGTTCCACGAGAAATGCGACTTCGTTGTCGACTTCCATAGGATCTACCATACGAAAGTTTCCTCCACCGTCAACGATAACTTGAAGGCATACGAGAAGTTTTGGATCTCCGAACAAGCCCCGAAGATGGTCGCAGATACTTTGCGCAGCCTTTCAAGGCTCTACCTTCGCCTTCCGGTCCCTAGCTGCGAGAATGGTGGTCATCGAGGACGCGACGAGGATGACTGGATGGACGGCAGTGACGGACAGGGTGGAGGCAATTGGAAGATCAAAAGCATGAAGCGAGAACAGGAGGATGCCACAAGGGTCCTACGTTGCTTGGACTCAGTCATGAAGGTGGTAATGGCTGATCCTGCGACGGTGGATTCGCGAGGAAGAACAGCCAGCGTGTCCAGAAGCACGTCATTGAGACGAAGCTTGTCGCGGGCGAGGAGTAAGAGTCGAGGCCGCCGTTCTGAGAGCCGCAGCGAGTCTAGGCAGGGCGCGGACGAGGAAAGAAAGAGACACCTGAGACGACTCGAAGTAACTCTTGTCAAGAAGAACTCCCATGTGATGGTCTTACCGGACATATTGGGGCTGATCAAGCTTCTACGCTCTGTTCCAGTCGATGGGTTCACCAAGTACTTCTTTGAGCTAGAGGAGCAGCAGGTTCTCTGGGCCACGAAACATCGCAAGAAGTGGAAGGGCTTCGAGCCTGATGGCACAAGGCTTCTTAATGGTATTTGCTGAATCCGTACAACTTGCGACTTAATCCACTAACTCAACCTAGACCTGCAGAACCTTACCATGGCTGACAAGCCAATCGAGCCCATCCGTACTCCTACACAATTCCAATTCGTGAAGGTAGACAACACAGGGAAGCTTCAACTTTCTAGTTCGCCCATAATCGTTCTCGAACGTCCCGAACCCAGAGAAGAACCGCACCCTTCGCCTGCAGCCCCAGCTGCAAGACGCATGGGCCTACCTTGGGCGCGCAAGAAGACCCATGCACGAAAGAACAGCAACGATAGCTTCGCGATTATGATCGATCAGGGCAAGGAGAAGGTGGGAAGCAGTGGCACGACTACTTCGGGGCGCAACAACCCGCCCTCCGTGGACGAGCTGAAGAAAATTGCTGAGGATATCAAGAATGGGTTGTATTGATTCAACCATTACTACATTAGAACCGAATGGTTCATTCTACGTGAGCATATTGATAGACATAGTATATAGTACATGAAAGGGGAGTGCTGGGCACTCTGTAACGCTCCATTACCGCTCCAATCCTCCTGATCCCACGCCCAACCCCGACCCCATACCGCCACTAGCTCAAACCCGCCCTACCTCCCTCCCTCTAATTGCTCTAGTATCTGCTCGCAGTTGCGGCAGATGCCCGGAATAAACCTCGGCACATCCCAGATCCATATTCCCCTCCCATCGGTTATATTTGAGCACCCTCGCGGCCGACCATTTCCGTCAAGACACTTTCTGAGTCCAGTACGTACCTCACACTTGCAGATTGTGTACTTTTGCTTGAGGTAGAAGCACATCTTGGATGCTTGCTGTGGGTAGAAGTAGGCTGAGAGGGAGTGATGTCCAGTCGATTGATCCGGGGAAAAATGGTGTAGGCAGTAAATAAGAGTCGTATCCTGAAGGGAAGGGGAGTCAGGTATTTGACGAGTATGCATCGTGGGCTTTGAGGTCGCTGTCGACAGTTTGCAGATGTCAGTTGCTGTGTTGGTTGTTCAAGCGCTGTGAAGCTGCGCTATCATTGACATGCATGTAGTGGCTGCCCACGTTCGATCCCCGTCACCTTTCCAATCCATGTTTACGTTCTCTATTGAATTTAGCACTACAGTAATGTCGCTGGTAGTTGAGTGCGAGAGCTAGCCGAGTGCGACCCATACCGCCTTAACATGACGACACTATCAACTGGAATGTCTGCAGGGCATGAACGTTTAGCATGTTTAGGATGTTTGAAAAAAAACAAAATCACTCGAGTACCGCTATATCGACCTCGCAGTGGAGCGCAAGCTAGTACTCTACATCGAGTTACCAAATGCACACCCATGGGTTATTTCCACGCTGTCGCTCGGTTCTGAGCCTGCGCGTTGACATCGATGTGCGTCCACCTCGTTGGGAACAAGCCCCTCTTGCAATCCTCACAATATTCTTCTTGCTTCTGTGGTAAGTTCAATACCCATTGCAATTCCTCTTTTGGTCCTTCCTTCATAGCGCATCCATAAACTCCACGGGTTCCTTCGCACTTATAGATGGGTTTTGCTTCGTTCTCCAGGACTATCTTGTGGCTGCAGCGTGTATTATTCTCATAGAGTACCTAACATATCTTTAGTAGCTTTGGAAATGTGTGCTGAGTGAAGAGGTGGTGGGAAATGTGTGGATTAATAGATTTAAATGGTATGTAAGATTTCAATTATACAGAGTAAGCCTTTCGGCACATTACTAGGGTATATATATTATACATCGATGCTCTTGTTAGCATTTGATACGTTAGTGGTATGCTGTTATCGACATTCAGGCCGTGAGTGACATGCTGCCATTGGTCAATTGCTTTGTGTGGAGTATGATTGCCATTGCGTATGCTATAACGTTAGGGAATTAAGCAAGCACACGCTTCTATATGTTTGCGCTGGCGCTAGACATAACACGAAGTAATCCTTCACAATTCAGGCGGGAAGGGCAGACTGAACCACTTGCCCATGCATCAGACTGTGAGATTCGTGCTGGACGCAACAAAGTCGACCGTCATACCGCAAACCTCATCCCCAAGTCGTGCATTCACAGCCACGCCTTAGCGACAATACGGTCTTGGTACAGAACCGTGGACTATGGGAATAGTCTCTGAACACAATACTCGATGCGTCGAGTCCTACTTCAATTGTCCCGAAACAAACATCTGTCGCTAGCGCCTTTCACAAAAGGCTTGCTCCACGTCTTCAAATATGGCAAAGGGTTTGGGCATTCTGCCGTGTCATAGAATTGACTACGCTAACAAGCGGCTTCACCGCGGTATATCCAGAGATAATGAAGGTTCTTCCCATGTAGGGTGTTTTCTTTCGAAAAGAAAAAGAAAAAGTCCGATCTATAAGCGCGGGGAAAACAACGTAGGATATCCTCTAAAAATGTGCCGGGTCGTGTACCGAATACTGGCGAATATAGACGAATTGAATAAAACTTGAAAATGGAAGGATCGCTAGAAACGCGAATATTCGGACGTAAGGGACTTTCGACGTCCGTCTCTATATTGTAGAGTTGTATCGACGGGTCATTGACCTGCTAGATTTATTCCCCCACGTTCCTCCGGCGTAATAGTAGCGAAATAAATTGAGACGCTGTTTTGTTCATGGTTGGCGTAGCGTTCGCGGCGAAGGACTAGATGGGGTGGGTAAGAATTATGGACGATTCAAAGCAGATGTGCAGCACTAACATCCGGGCCTCTCATCCTCGTATTGATGAATGCCGATTGCTTTACGACGATTCCGTTCGGCATGAAAATCGTGGAAGGCGGGAACAGCTTTGGGAGGAGTTCACAAGCATCGCGGAAAGAGTCCGGGCCGTGGCGTCCTGCTAGACTTAGTGATTACGCTGAATCAAACCCAAGAACTGGAAGTGCAGAACTAGAGGACCGCGAGTCGAGTGAGAATGCACTTACTACTTGAACGCCTGACCAAGACGAGAGTGTTAATAACACTGAGGGATGCGATAATCAGAAGCAAGATGAGGCACGCCACCGATACCACGAGTACGTTCATACCGCTGAAGACTGGTGTCAGTACCATTTTATATTCTTCAGAGATGTAATGGAATGGTAGTTTGTGTCCAGTACAACTCAGAGGTTTTAAACTTGGTATGCCAAGGAGAGGTCTGATATGATTGGTACTCTCTGTCAGAGTCTTGCGGCTGAGCTTTCTTGTGTAACTTCGTTGCCAGGCCGTAGCTCATCTGTGCCAATCAAAGTCTGTCTTCCTCTGCATTCGAGACCCCCTTGCAAGGGGCCCTGGCAAGCCACTTGGTTTGCGGCACGGTCTCGGGGTCTCTGGATCTCCCCCATCTTTTTGTTGTTCGCAGTTTTTTACATACCGGAATAGCAAAAGCCGTCACCTCGCCCTCCCTAAGCAACATGTCGCGCGCGGGCAGCCCTTCGGAGATCTCGCCTGCACACATACCAAAAATAACAGATCTTCGTAAACAACTTGCCTACGGCGACAGTGGGCTCTCCCGCTGCATCGCATTTACTGACGACCTTCGCGTCTTCCGACGGCGTTATTCTGTAGCAGGCCTCCGTGGAATCGACTTATGTGACTGGAGACTACCGCGACACCAAGAAGCACTGAAGCAGATGACTTCATCTTTCTTAGATCAAGAAGGACATGGCGAGAGGTACTGGCCCAGCGATCCCACGGCAGCCAACTTTAACTCGCTGCAATATTCCACCCATCGCACGTTGTAAGACTTTGCGTCTCCAATTATTGCATTTCTAACATGCTTAGCATCAATCAAACTATGCGAAAGCTCATTTTTCGAATGAATCTCCAACAATACCGAAACGCAAAATACAAGAAGAAGGATGTTCAGTATGGGCCCGAGGTCATTGACCAGGAAGACGAACTACCAAACTCCAGGTAAGTCTTTGTATAATCGCATATGCCTCTTCTGATGCCAATCGCAGGCCGGATCGCTCCGATTCCAGCGTGGAAATACTATCTATGTCTGCAGCCACGGCCACTCCTATGCAAACACATACCGGCGGCAACGTAGCCGCTAGACTGCCTCTGGCAGCCGAAGGCTCATTTCGGCAAGACCACGATATATACGAAGTTCCGACAAGCCCGGAATACGTACCAGAGGTACGCGTTCGAATTGTGCCGACGGACCAACGCACTAATAACACACTTCTAGAAGAATAGTATAACGAAACGGAAACTGAAGGCACCGACTAAGAGCAGCCCTCAGAAGCGATCCAAGATCGTGAGTTTAAAAGTTGGTAACGGCAAACCTCCGAGGCACTATCTCAGATCGATAGCGCCGATGCCCAAGCGGACATCACCTCGTGGAAAGACAACGGTGCCGCCCGTAAATTACGTTGACCGCCTCGACCTCGATCAGTTCTCTACTTCAGTGATATCAACGACAGAACCGACATTGGGTCCTGACAGCGTTACTGGGGCGGGACACCAGGACCAGGCGAATGTTCAACAACGATCCGAGAAGGAAGATATCTTCAACTACAGAATAACAACTCAGTCCTTGATGAGAATTGGAAGCACCCCGCCTACATCCGCTGTCTCCATCACAAGTGCGAATGTTGACCCCAACATCGATCCGAACCTGGACCGAATATCTTCGACAGAATTCCATATGAATCCACCGATGCAACAAGCCTCGCACCAATCAAGACCAAGTTGGTCTAACCCTCCCTTGACCCACGTGGGTCCAAGCAACAGCATCCAGCCTGAAGCTGAACAAGCGCCGTCTTCCACTCGGTCAATGTCAATGTCTACAATCGAGTCGATGCACGGAACCAACAAGACCCCAATCCCGCTTTATCCATCGCCTGTTCCAAGCGATGCAAAGAAACCAGCTAAAGAAGTACCCTCCACTACCATCTCCAGACCAGCAGTAGCCTCTTCCACAGACTCCAAAGCCGGAATTAGTTTCAATTACCGGGTCATTCTCTCCCGCACACCAATATACCAAGCCAAAAGCTGGCACCCAAAGGGCCATTTCTTAGAGAAATCTCTGAGCGAACTCATCGACGAATTGCCCTTTGAGAACAAAGGGGCGGTCATAGGCTTGATAATCCAACTGACCGGCCCCGGCGTCGCTGTAGAGGAGACTGTAGCGCGCGGCGAAGACGGCATGGATAACTACAGCAGCACCAAAAAGGAGCTCATGCAGGTAGTCAAGATGTGCCTCAAGAAACACTCGAAAGCAAAACCGGGCAGCAGGTTAGAGATGAATTTCAAAATAGAAGCTGTGAGGGAAGGTGGCGTTGATGAAGATGCGGAAGACGATGACGATGTATTGTTATTCTAGACTATTCATCGGTTCTGGCCCTAGCAACCGACATGTTCAACCCGCATATCTACAATTCCGAGTGCTCACGATAATTTTCCTAGTCACTGCAGGACATGTGCGCAACGCGCACAGTCAACAGACTTCACGGTGTGTGGAGCGAAACCTTGAAGACCGACATGTTACGCTGTGTATGATAGCGACTACGCATTTGAGATGGGTCTTTCGTAGTCTTGTTGGAGGTTGGGATTCAAGACAGATTTAATTAATTCGCAGAATAAGAGTAAACACGACGGAAACAATGTGGCCTTGGTTGTACGCTTCTTCGGATACAAAACTACGGTCGGTCAGGCAATTGGCAGTGGTGCCTGAGGCAGGGATCGTCGTCGACTCGTGCCTGAAGCTGAGCGACTCCGCCTAAGTAAAAGTGAACCAGGCTTCTTGGAAGGATGTTCTCAGACACAGATTCGCTTGACCATCGAAAAAAGAGCTCAAAACGTGGTCGCAATACTCGCGCGAAGCGAGAAGTGGGCGGTCTTCCTTGATACAACCACACGCCGTTCGGGGCCCTTGGGAGCAACAGTCAGCCAGGCCTTGACCAATATTTAATGCAAGACTTTTTAAACGAGGCGCATGCATTCCAAATGTGAGACTGCCGATTTACTTTTACTATTTCCTTTGAATGACCAGGCAGCATTTTAGTTGCCGGCATTGGCGGCTGGTGACGCGCTATCCCCAACGTGGGAAATGCTCCCAATCAGTACCACGGAAGCAGTACACCTTCAGGCACGCAGTTTATCACTACCTTTGCGCTGCGCGAGGTCTGGTGACTCCATGAGCTAGTAGCTGAACTGGTCTGGCGGGGAGGAAGGGGCACGTTACAGCCTCTTCCGAGCCGCAGGTTCGTGAAAGCGAACATTGTGGCTTCAAGGAATTTTGCACAGCAATGTGAGCGCAAGCATTGCCAATCGCAAAGCCCTCTCATCTTCACAACGATGACTGTGGCATCAGTAGTATCAGTGGCATATCCTTGGAAAGGAAAAAAGAAAAGAAAGTGACGGATAGTTTTCCCTGAAGCGGATGAATCCTCGTGCAAGGTGCGAGGGGCCACATTTGTATCCGTTACAACCGCATGTCCCTATACAATTAAACCATGCCTGAGGCGGCTATTGCGACTCCACCTTTGGCCACGCACCGCCTGTGGGTTCTCTGGGCCTCGCGCCCGGCTCTCACGTATGTTGCAATGCGACGATGTTGAAATGCGATCTTCTGACTTAGCTGTCTGGGACGTATCGAGGCATGGAAGCTACTGAGTTGCACTCGCTAGTGTTGATACCCAGCGCAGCAACATAATTACATCGTCTAGGCAAGGCGCCCTGCGCTCTGTGACCATGGTACCATAATATATGGCGACTTTCCGTCGAGGCGCGACTTAGATGGTTGACCGCCACGAGCTCAAGCACGAGCTCAGCAGTGAGATGCTAGCATCGCAATGTCGTAAGTGGCTGGTACGAAGCACAAGCACCAAAGGTTCGGATTTGTGCGCAGCTTCCAAGCTGTTGCATATCCCAGGGATATCGCCGGTGAGTTTCGCGCTGCTTGAATAGCGGACACAAAGCAGACAGTTGCGAAGGGGAGATCATGGTGGATAATATCGCTTATTGGCGTGGATACAGGAAGTCATAACTAAACACACCCAACAGCCCTGTTCTTCGTCCTTGCGATAGAATAAAACATGTTCGCAACCTCCGAAAATCGCTGAGTTCTTGATGAAAGTATGTGGTTCTTGTTGTCAAGGAAGCGGTAGCTGGGCAACGGGGCGCGTGCGACCATGTATGCCTGAGGCAGAGATTGCAGTCGGACCGACCCGAAGCCCATGTAGCCATCTGAACGAAGGTGTTAACCCCGTTATAGAGACTAAAATGTCAAATTCAGTCAGATAATATGGCAGCCCGACTTATGCAGTTGTTTCTGATTGCATGTAGTTGGTGTCCAAGTGGCATTCCAATGTTGCGATCGTGGTGGAGAGGGATGCGGATACTTTTGTCAGTTAGAACACTGTCCGAGGATCGTGCTCAAAATCTATTCCTACGCCAACGACAAGTCCGGCGCATTGATTATGATCGGCGACATCGCACAGAACATGTAACTGCTATTCAGCCCTGTACCGCCCGCATTCAGCCTCCCTGCCTCTGTCGATCACAACTCCATTTAATAGCTCAACCCTGGTGGGGAAGCAGTTGTGTTGTTTTTTCCAATTGCATGATATAGCACTTTGCGCATATAGGCAAAGAGCAAGCTTACGTATGTTCGCATCATTCTTGTACTCGAAAGCGCGGCGGGTGTTTAAGTACTGACCATTCGAATATTTCACCTGTGTATCTCAACCCAACTCATAGCCTATGTACCTAGAAGACAGAACTTTCACTGTAAGCATTGCTGAGAGAGAAATGGCAAAAGGTAGCCCCCCGTCTGTCCATCCAAGGGTATCCACCCATCCAATGGTATATGCCTGCCGGGGTTCTCGCGTATATCTTTCCCAGACCTGAGTCCTATCCTATGCAAATGCAACACGCGCAAAATCTATACAATAAGAAGGCAGACGAGGCGCATAGTCACGTCCCAAACCGAGGAGAGCAAGCAGCCCCGCGTGCGAATAAAAGCGTGCGTCCAAGACGGACAAGTGTACAGGAACACCTTCACTCCCTCTCTCCACCATGGAAAGGTGGGAGATGATCAACTCGGAAGCCGCGGCCGACTCCAAATCCCCGAGAAGCTGCGCTCAATCTCCTTCTCCAAGCTGGTGACTCTGTCCAGCGGCTGCCCGTTCCAGCCCTGCGTCGATCCGTTCAGTGAAATACTCGGCACACCGCCCGTCTGTGTCTGAGTTTGTACCGCAGGGGCAGGGGCGGCCGAATCCCCACCACCGAGCTGGACATCCTTTTCCGCCGTCGGCGTCCGCTCAATCTGTACCTTCTCGACCAGCCTCCCAAGACTCGTCGCCGTACCCGGCCGCTCAAACTCTTCGTCATCCACGTCCAACGCCGTCGGAATTCCATTCGCGAGGTTGTAATTTCTTTGCAGGTACTGTTGCAGTCTGTACTCCTGACGCTCCCAGCTCTCATCTACGAGACTCAGCGCAGCTTTGATGTCCTGGTCTGACAATCCCATGGGTAGCGCCTTGTCCGACGCCGAGCGGCCGCGCACGCGTTGTGTGAATTTCTGACGGACGGAGGAGGAGCGACGGTGCGCTGAGGGGCGGGTGGTGGAAGAGGCTTCGTCGCGGATCTGCTTTACTTGGTCTTCGGTGGTTTTGAGGGCGAGCTGGCGGGATTCGTCCATGGAGGGGAGGTGGAGGAGGGTGGTGTTGCGGTGGAGGGCGTTGACGAGGTCGGTGAAGCCTTGGAGGGGGATGCCATTGTTTTCGCAGTAGAGTTGTTCGAGGGTGGTGTTGATTTTGAGGACATCGGCGAGGGTGTTGGCGCCTTGGAGGCCGAGCTTTTGGTCTGGGAGTGGTCAGCGGTAGCGTTGCTCTTGGAGCGGATTATACGTACACTTGATCAAGAGGACCCGCAGAGTGCGGTTTCTCTGCAGGCCTCGTAGGGCGCGGTTGATACCAACGCCTAGCTTGGTTGTCTCGAGCCGAGAATCCTCGCCTGACATATCTAGCCACTCTAGCGTGTTATTGTCAGAAAACATCCGCTCGAGCGCCTGGCAAGTCTCTTCTGAGGCATCACTGGGTAACGAGGCGCGAGAGATGTCGAGATGTTGTATGGTGTTGTTTTGTGCGAAGGCAAGGATCAATTGCCGGAAATCCTCTTCTCTTTCGAATTCGATAAGACGAATAGTCAGGTGGGACGGTGCTATCCCTCCTGCAATGGCATCGGTGAGATCTCGGAGGCCGGTTTCTATGTAATTTTCGCTGACGTCGAAATGAAGATTGCGGGCTATCCCCGGCTTTTCGTTCATGGATCGTAATAAAAATGCGACCGATCTACCGGTAAGATAGCAATGATCTAAGCGAAGGTCCCGAAGTGCTGCTGACTGTTTATAATTGACCAGATAGCTACATCATGGTCAGCAAAGAGAGAGCCATCAACAAGACAAGCAACAGTGCCGGGATCTGGGCAGATCGAATGGTGACAGCCAGACCGCGCAAACAAATTTGAAGCGTCTTGTCCATAGAGCAGCACAAAACTATGTAACCGCCCAGTTCAAAAGAAGAAGTTGAGCTTACCTCGCTATCGCATCGACGGTTGCTTTATTCAATGAGGTTCCACTAAGGACCAACTCTTGCAACCGCCATGCCTGGAACGTCTCCACCGCGATGAGAGGTTCGTCACCAGAAGTTCGCGCGACATTAGAAAGATGAAGCTTGGTGAGATATCCAAAGACTCCAATCTGAGAGTCAAAGATGGTAGGAGAAACGCGGAATGGATTCGACGAGAGGTTCAGGGCTTCCAGGGTGTTCTCCTGGGGTCGAAGAGCGTCCAAAATCAGGGAGAGTGTCCGATCCGTAAGCCCACAGCCGCTCAACTCCAGCGCACGAATGTGGCAGGAGCGTTCAACAGCTGCAGCCACCAGGTAGTCGAGGTCTGTTTCGCCAAGTTGAATATTGTTCAGGGCAATCCAGTCAACATTAGTCGACTGATATTTACAGAGCGGGAATAAAGCTTCGACGATACCGCAGCCCACATCTCTTGCTTTAGCCGTTGATGCCAGGTGATCCCTTGGCTTCCTGGAAATACACCCGGAAAAGTCGAGCCGTCGGAGCCTCCGGCTTGTTACAGCCAAAGCCCGGATTTCTTGCACGAGCAAGCATGACCGGCCCAGTTCTTCAACGTCCAAACGTAATACTGTCCCCCTCTTAGTCTTGGTGCACACATGGTCGTCGCCAAAGTCGTCTGTCAGGCCGTTGAGACAGTCTAGGGAAACGCCTTTGAACGAGATGCCACCAAAATTCTCATTATATCGTAATGAACGCATGACAGCTAAGAGTTCGAGATCCGTGTAATGTGCCCGACGGCCCCCGGGCGGCATGAGCTCGAAACGTGGATGATCCTCATCAGGATAGGTAATCCGATAACGAATGTTCTCCGCTTTCACGCCGTATGCGGCGCAGTATCCAATCAGGGTCCTGTCTAAACTGTCTTGGCTAATTCCATGCGGGCTAGCTTGGCGTAATATATCATGTTTTACAGGGTCGGGAACGATGAATAGGTACGGTCGCGACTCCCACTCTGGTCTTAGGTTCTCCTCAACATACCGTAGACGCACGGCTATGTCGTGCGAAGCGAGGGATGCCAGATGAAGCACTTTTGGCCGTTGCAGTGGTGTCCGAAAGGTGAGCTCGAATGTATCGTCCAGTTCGCTGACGCGCAACTCGGTGATACTAAGGATGCCATATGACGATTGGGTATTGTTTGAAAGCAGTGAAGGGCTCGATGCCCGTTGAGACTGGGGCTTGAAAAGGGGTATCAAATGAACTTTGTGCACACCAATTGCGAGAAAACAGACGGATGCGAGAGCTTTGGGAAGGTCATCTGACGATGCCCGGGTACTACCCTTGCCATTGGGACGCTGCACGACCTTGTAGATAGCGTAATGTTGAGGTACATAGTCGGACTGAGATTCGACCACACGCGCAGCCAAATGAGAATTGTAGGCGGACAGCGGGTTGGCATCTGCGAGTCTGCTATTGTTAGCGGCTTCTCGAACTTTTGCAAGCCACGCGTGCATCTCGTCTGGGTCTCCAAATTGGAGGGTCATAGACGAGGCGTGGTTCGTTTCATCGTCGAGATAGAAGACCTCAAACGCAAAGTGAGGTCTTCCATCATCTTGGTGGAACACGGCTACAATCTGGCGCAGCGGGATGCCCATGTCACGGTCGCCGGAATGGTCGGAGGCCAGCGATTGGAGGTCATGAGACGAACCGAGGGAGGGGCTCTGGCTGTGCCGGTACGAGGACATGCGCTTGTACGAGGAAGAGGTTCTGGACATGTCAGTCTCGGTACGAGAGGGACCGGCAAACCAATTGGCATTGGGGAGGACTGCCCATCTGCCATGGCTGCCAAGTTGACCGTGGTTGTTTGTGGATCTGCAGTCGAAGCTTGTGCTACAAGAAGACGTACATGGGAAAAGCTTCAGCAGCTTTGTAGTAGCTCTTGAAACGCATCAGGTGTGTTTCCGTGAGCACGAGGTACTCCTTCTTCTTGCGGAAGACGGAGCTGCTCGTCTGCACCTCTCCGTGGAGCAGCGGCTGGCGGGCGGCGGGCGGATCATCGGGCGGCGTCCAGTTGTTGGAGAGAGTGCGGGCACGGGAGAATGTGGTGTCGATGGAGTCTTCGTGCTCGTCTGGTATGCGTGGGCTTTTGAGGGAGCCGAAGACGGAGCTCGCCCGCTTGCCGCTGCTACGCGACGCGGGCGAGTGCAGCGTGGGGCTCCCTCCCAGCGTGTGCTGGTCGGTGGTGTCGTCGTCGGCCAGCAGCGAGCTGGAGCCGGCGGCGGAGAGGGTGGTCCTGATCGAGGCGGTGCGGCGCTTGCGGAGCAGGTTCGCGGGCTCCTCGTCGTCCTGGATGCTCTGCGCGCCGAGCAGCGAGCTGCGGCCGAAGAAGCTGCGGCGTTTGCTGCTCGCCATGGTGGGCGTTGATACAGGCCTGCGCCGCCCAGGGCCAGGCAAAGCTCATGCCGCAGACGGCTCGGGATCCAAAGTTGGCAGCACACTAGAGAAGCAGGTGAGGTCGAGCTGGGAGCGTGTGGCAGGCCAATCAGCCACGGGCATGCAGCCGCGTCGCGAAGCTGTTGCAGCAGCCGGCGGCAGCGACGGTGTGCGTGCAGAGCGGGAGCTAGGCGGTGCGAGCTGGGAACTAGCAGCGGCACGCTCAGGCGGGAGCACTGCTGCTGCGCGCGGTGCGTGCGATTCCGAGAACGCGCGGCGCGGGCGGGCTTTGGTGGGAGAGGGCACACAGGCGGTACGGCGCTATGAAGACGGCGGTAATCACAGGCGCGTACCGTCCGCAGGCCTCAGACACTGCGGGCCCGGCGCGGATCCAGCAACCAGCAGCCCGGCTGCGGCAGCGGTTGGCTGCGCTGGTAGATTGCCCATCTCGTCTACGGTGTCAGAGCCGCAGCGCGCCGCAGAGGCCGCGCCGTTGCAGAGCACGACGTAATCAGGCGCCGATCGCAATCGCGACTGTTCCTCAGACGTCGCTTGTTGCCGCAGCCATGCGGCAGGGATGGCCGCGACGAACGACATCGCCGAGCGCTTGAGCCTCGCTCGCGTCTAAGAGGGAAAACGTTTCTCCTTTCGCCGCCCAAAAGTTCGGGCGGCGCGTCGTCTGCACGCGTCTGCCATTGCACGGCTGCCATCACCCCGGTCCCCCAAATCTCTCAATGAAGCGATGCCCCCTGCCGACGCCTCTGCATCTGCGAGCTCCTCTCCCCCGCCCGCCATGGATTCATAGCCGCCTCCCGCACCCAGCCCGGAGCTTCTCCTTCGCCACCCGGCTCGCCAAGGACCAGGACGTCGAGACCCGTCCGGAGCCCACGCACGCGGAAAAGCCCGAGACCACCAGCCCGGAGCCCACGCGCGACGAACGGTCCGAGGATCAGAAAGAAACAAAGGACGGCGAAAAGGCCGAGGCCAGCAAAAGCAGCAAAAAGAAGGCAAAGGGAGGTCACGACGGCGCCGACGGCAATAGAAAGCCGAGGGAAAGCAAAGACGGCAGTGGGGAGAAGAAGAAGGTGAAGGAAGCCAAGGCCGATGGCAAGAAAGGGAAACAAGGCGAAGGGAAGGATAGACCAGATGGCACCGAGGGCCCGAAGAAGGTGTCGCGGCGTGCGCGGGCACGTGCCGCTGCGGCTTCTGCTCCCGAGAACCTAGTTGAGCGGAAAATAGCTCAGATGCGCAAGGAGATTGACGCGATAAACAAGAGGAACCAAAAGGTGCTGGGAGATGCTCCGGGCAAACATGGCTCTGACAAACCGCTGAAGAAGGCGTCCGGGGGCAAAAGCTTGAAGGAAGCTCTTCTTGGGGCGACAGCGGCAAAAGAAGGCGGCAGGTCGCCGAGAACGAAGAAACCTGTCTTGGAAGATGACTTTGCGAAGCTCGATATCAAGCACCTGAACCCTGAAGAGCTGGATTTCCAGCCTGTCGATTACGAGATTCCCCCCGTTCCGAGACTCGCATATGGCTTGGATCGCGTCCTCTTCAACCCTGGCGTCTATCGTCTCCAGGATCCGCGCACGCGCGTTTACAACTTCGACCCATATCTTGAAAAGATCATGAACGTCAACGAGTTCAACTTCTCGGCATTGAGCGAATACAAGACTTCGTCCAAGGATGAGGAGCTTTTGGCACTCACCAAGAAGATGGAGACCAAATTCACTGGATCTACATCGAGCATGTCAGGCGTATTGCAACACTTCCATTTCCTACTTTCCAACTTCCGCCCGCTCAACCACGACATGCTCTCACAAGAGTTCCCAAAGCCGACGAGCAAGTTCTCCAAGATCACTCTGGGTCCAAGCGCCATCTTTCTCCGAAGGAAAGATGGCCTGTATGCTATTGATGCAGACAAAGCTTTTGATTCGCCCAACATCATGAGCTGGCTAGGACACTCACTTGAGAAGCTGTTGACTGTGGATCGTAAGGAATTCGAGCGATATCGTCGCTCAAGTGGGGATGCTGTCCCGGGCGAGGACGAGTCGGCTAGGTGCTACCATTACTCCAAACTTGGTAACTTCCTTATGCGGTCTCAGCTAGACGCATATGACCCGCGATTGCCTGGGAAAGGCATCTTTGACCTGAAAACGCGCGCCGTGGTGTCGATACGCATGAACCACGAAGAATACGAGACTGGGAAGGGGTACCAAATCCGCTATGACCGTGGTGAATGGGAGTCCTACGAACGCGAGTTCTACGACATGACCAGGGCTACCATGCTCAAATACTCCCTGCAAGTGCGCATGGGGCGCATGGACGGCATTTTTGTCGCGTACCACAACGTCGAGCGCATCTTTGGATTCCAGTATCTTCCAATTGAGGACATGGACAATGTGCTGCATGGGCAGAAGGACACATGCCTCGGCGACCAAGAATTCAAGATGAGCATCAGCTTGTTGGACGAGCTAATGCAAAAGGCCACTGAACAGTATCCCGATCAAGTGAGTGCTCCGACCACATGACAATCATCGAAGCTAATCCAGAACAGACATTGCACATGCACTTCCACACGCACCAGAGCAACCGCGGCAACCCACCTTTCATGTACATCTTTGCCGAGCCCGTCACCGAGGAACGAGCAGACGAGATACAGAACAAGAGTCAAGACGCTCAAAGGGCATTCGAGCGGGATATTGTCGGCATAGTCAAAGATGACCCCTCCTTGCAAGCTGAATGGGCAGAGATACAAGATCGAGTCAATGAGGAAATGGGTAGCGAGGACGATTTAGACATGAAGAAAGCGGAGGGAGCTCAAGACGAGGAATCCATCGCGAATGCACTGGAGCAGTCGGGTGAAGAGACTTCCCAAGTGACGGACGAGCCAACCCCAGAAAACACCCAAGATTCCGATGCGCCCGAAGAACCCAAGGGCCCATTGATGGGGTGGACATTGGCAGTCCGTCACCGCCTCAACGGAGAATACGTGGAACGGCCAGCGAAGCTCACGCCCGACGACAGCTGGACACTTGAATACCATATCCGCGAGCTGGCCGAGTCGGACCGGTGGAGTCTTTACGAAAAAGTCAAAAAGACGCGCGATAATCTCATTGGCGAGGCGCGAGACAAGGAGGGTAACAAAGGGTTAGACCAATATCGCCAATTGATCAAGAGATACAGCGACAAAGGTCGTGCGTGGAGGGAGGAGCAGGATGCGCTGGCGGCACAGGTGGACCCCATGGTGTATGAGCCGCTGGGGCCAGGATCGGAGAAGGAGAAATCGAGCTCTGCCTGAGCTTTCTACATGATACCCAACTTGTGAATGACCAGAACTGTACAATATGTAGTTTATGTACCATAGATAGTAGGATAGCATTTCGTGGATTGTATTTGTACGGAAGCATGGATACTGGAGGCTGGCAACTGCTCGTCGGCAGACGATATGAAGACAATATAGACACGATTGTACATGTTTTGATTCTACTCAAATGGTGTGGAAACGACAAACGTCCTCTCATCTGCTTACATGACAATCGGTGCTGACTCGCGTGTTTGGCGAGCACAGACCCACATCTCGTCGTGCAGCTCGCGACTCTCATGAACGCGCGATTGCTTCCTCAAACATGCCGTGGATCGCGACTTCCCAAACTCCCCGCGGTGTCTCGTGCCGCTGCTGATGCGCCCGCGCATGCCTTAACTCAGCCTGCCCCCTTCACTCGCTGAAAATACATAATATCCTCTACACCACCTCCGGCGCAACTCCGCAGAGCTCCCCGCTCCCCCGCCGCAGCCATGGCCAACCTCAACCAGGAGGACATAGACACGCTGGTAGCCGTCTCGGGCCACCAGGTCGACCGAGACCAAGCTGCGCAGGTGCTCAAAGTACGAGTATCCTCCCGCGGCGACGCCACACACGACTTACAGCTGCGCAGATATCAAGTAATAATGTCGAAACGGCCATGAACAAGATCTTCGATGCGCTCGAACGACCGAACGGCATCACGGAGCTCTTGAAGGAAGGCGACACCACGTGGGACGGCACAGCCTTCGGCGGCTTGAGCGGCTATGGCCCGTATCAAGATGCCAATGCCAATACCAACACCAGTGTCCCCAGTACGTCTTCCACAGGTGTATGCCGATACACATGCTAACACTACCCGTTCAGCATTTCACATCGACGCCACGAATGTCGACGACACCAACAACAGCTGCTTCAGTGCAGCGCCAACCAGGCCGCCGTCGAGAACCAGCCAACGCCCCGGTTCCGCAATGTCCACAAACATGGGCGACGTACCAATGCAGAGTTCGTTCTACTCCGAGGATGGCGGATGGCATAACATAGAACCGCTGACTGGGTTCTCAGGCGTCGAAATTGGCCAAGAGTCAGGTGTAGTGGGCAAAGCAGGTACCGCAGGCGTCCTTCGTCCCGCCACCCAAAACTACTATGACAGCGCCTCTTGGGCTTTGGTTCCTGCTGCAAAGAGTACTGAGTTCATTCCAGATGCTTCTTTGAACGATCAAGAACGAAAGGAGCAGCCTGGCTTTATCAAACCCGCCGTCGGCGACAACCATCTTCCTGCATTCATAACAATGCTTCATTCCATACCTCTTGTCCGCAATACACTCCTCGCCCCGGCGATATCAACTAATAATTACTGGCGCGGCGAAGACTGGTGGAAGGGAACCGCCTCTGCAACATCCATCATAGTAGATGACGACACCGGAACCAAAAATGGCGCGGAATTGGAGCTTATCTACGAGGTCCAGCGCCTCATTGCCTTCTTGGATGCCAGCGACAGGACGTACGCAAGTCTTGAAGCGTTTCTTTCGCTTGACGCCTGGGCCCAACCAAGGTTCACAGTTCCCGGTGAGATTTCAGAAAACGATCTAGTGAAATTCCTTATGAGATGGAGCTCCATGTATCGTGCACACGTCCCAGATGCACTACCAGAGAACGTGCTGTCCTCTGAGGTTAATGTCAGTGGAAAACTCGAAAGGAGCCACGTACTCCAAATAGACATGGCTAACATCGACCCTGGCTTTGTTGAACCTACGCTGTACGACTACATCGACGAGATACTCTTCACGGACTATGCCAAAGCTCATATAACGAAGCCCAGTAGTATACTCGTCCTATCGCTGAAATCAATGGGCTCCAAGAGAAGCTGCAAGATCCCAGCTATTCTCTACGCGGATAGATACCTCGAAGAGAATCGGGCAGCTGTCGATGCGAATTATGTCGAGAGGAAAAAGTGTAACGAAGTGTTGGCTACGCTCGAAGCAAAAGTGCAGGATCTCAAGTACCACACGCCACAGAAAGTTCAGTATCCTCAAAAGATGGAGACTTTGACACTTCTCAAGAATAGCATGAGAGCTTTTGAGTCGGATACTGAGGCTATGATTGAGAGCCCTCGGGATGTTGCAGTGCTTGCTCATCTCCAGTCGCTCTACGAGAAAGTAGAGAAGCAGCTGTCTGGTAAGCCTTTCATTTCGTCGGGCAGATCTCTCTGACACGAAGCAGAGCTTGAAGAGCAAATGAAGAAAGCAAAGGAAGCCCTTGACGGAATCGCTCAGCTTTTCCGTGCACCACTGAAAGGATCCCGCTCAGACCAGGGCGCTTTGGAGTATGACACCCAGCACAAGTTCGCTCACCCGTATTGGCTGTGTGGTGTCGCAAAGTCAAATACGGAATACTATATCTGCCAACCAGCGAAGGAATCCGGCAACCCTGAGATGGACTACGCATGGTGGCATATTCAATACACCTTGCCGAAAACAGCCGCTGATGGCGAGTATGCCTCTATAGTACGAAGCCGAAAAGATATTGCCGACGTGCTCGCAGACATGAGCGAGATCAACGAAAGTACAGTCCTCGTCTACGCAAGCGACGCAGCTTTCTCAGCCGAGCCCATACCGCTTTCGGCGAAGCTACAAACATTCGTCAAGAAGGACAACGCGAGCTTCCAGCAAGCACTAGCAGTGGCACGCGCGGAATGGGATGAGGTTAACGACCAGAACGTGACAGACTGGATAGCAGACGATGGCTGGGGTAATGATGATGCTAAACAAGGATACCAGCAGGACACGTTCGGCTCCACGCTGTCATCGAAGACTCTCACGCCCAGCACCGACCCCAACGACCCGCATCCGTACCCTAGTGATGATGGTGTAGTGGACATCACGCTCAGTCCGGAACACGAGTCCGACCAGCCAATGGAGATGCAGGAAGTTAATGGGGGGATCTCGGCGTGGGCGGGTACTAGTAATGCCTCCAGTGAGACGGTGGGGGTGGAGCCGCCGGTGTCGATGGAGGATGTTGTGCGGAGTGATGGAAGGGAGAGTAGGGTGGGGATGAGGGGCGAGGATGCGTTGATGGGCGAAACGACAGACGCAAGTGGGGTCACAGATACAAGCATGGATGAGGATGAGGAGAAGGTTGTGAAGCATATTGAGGTTGTGGAGAAAAAGCCAAATACGGGCTAGGCACTCGATACGAAGGGTGGTGTATTTTTACCGAGGGATGGATTTTCGGGGAATACGGACGCAGATGGAAAGACGGATACCAGCATGCATGAGGAGGGTGGAAGAGGCGAACTTGGGCTACGTGCTTGATCCAACGAGGGGTGTATTTGTACGCAAGGACGGGTCGGAGTGGTGAGTGTGCATAGGGAGGGCAGAGTTAGGTGTTATTCTTATTGCATGCATGGGCTGCATTTATAAGTGCATCGCTCGGCTGGCGGCGCGATGGATAAGTCGTTCGTGCGACTTTGTCTCTTCATTGTTTTGCTTCCCGGCCTGTCCGTTGTCAGATGCTTAGACGAAGCATTTCAAACTGCACCTAAAATCATGTCAAGCTTCTGCAAGCTCCTTTATATCTCCGTCTAGCCGCAGTAGTAAATCTGATCGGATCGGATCGGCACTAATCGTCCCGGGTGCCAGGTAGGCCTACTGCAGCTCCACATATCACGATGATGTAGAGGAAAGCACGCCAATGACAACGCCCACGACTATGCAAGGCCCTTCCCTGGGCGCCTACACAAGAGCGAGGTTGAGCTATCCCAGCCAGAAATCCGACCGATCACTCGCCTTTTCATGCCTGTAGGTCTGCGGCATGCGCTGTGGCAGGGCACCCTGATTTAGCATCTAGGGAACAATTCGCCAAATTGCAACATGTCCACCAATGTTGCCTTGAAACGCGTATGATACCAGGCCAGGCCAGGGAAAGGAGGCTGAGGCGTGCGTGAATTGTAACTGCGTGAAATCGCGTCAAATTGGATTGCATGCGCATTTGTCCATTGGGAAGGACCATGTTGATAGATCGAATCGTAAGGGCTGACCAGTCTTGTAGTATGGATATGGTGATGGTAAGCCCTGCGTTTAACGCAAAAGAACACTAGCATCGACAGTGACCCAACCTAATTCACTCTGATGCACTTGGCGCATTACTACAGGAGAACCGCAAAGCTGTCGCCAGTGATTCTTCTTGCGCGAAAAGATTGCAGCTGCGTCGGAACTGGTTCGCTTCTCATTGTGCCATCCATGTGCGGCGGCTAGCTGATGCACATTGTATGGCTGTTCCCGCGAGTTGTTGGGTAAGAGTAGCCTACAGCACTGGCCTGCAGCTGGCGCTAGTTATGTAGCAAACAGGCGGCGGAAGCGACGACATCTTCTAGCAGCTCGTCTGTCACTTCACAACGCTTATGCAGCGCTAGCTTGGGGCACGTATGGTCTGTATGCACATCGGGAGAATGTGCAATAGGGACGTGGGAATCCCCTGTTCTGGGTGCGAAGAAAGACATGGGGGCTTGACGCCAAACCTAATAGAGCCTAGCTCGGTAATGACCCCACCCTGCATATGAATCATCCTGCATCATAACAACACGAGGAAAACGAAACGAATGAAGCACTCAGTAATCAATAGGCTCGGTAAAATTTCCTGTACAATAATTTTAGCAAGCTGAGCAGAAACCTATATCATAGGGTGGCCACAATAATCACTGCTATGGTTACCCCGATCGCCGTATAAATCTCAAAAGGCTTCCAACTGCCCGCATGATCGTGCTTTGGATCAAGTGCACTTCCGACTTCCCACAACAGCTGCACATCAACGAGTGAACACAAGGCTGGATTTGACGCGCCTCTAGCGAGAACCCCATCATGGCTTCGGAATTCGACCTGACCACCGAACGCGGCCTTTCTGCCTACCTCACATCCCGTTCCGTCTCGCACACTTCTGTTTCCCTTCTAACTGGTGGCACTGCAAACTACGTCTACCGCGTCACCCTCCCAGATGGCTCGACCAAGATATACAAACATGCAGCACCCTATCTCCACTCCAACACCGCCTTTGCCTTTGATCCCAGCAGAATGGATTACGAACACCGGGTCCTTGAGCTCCAAACTTCATCTCCGCATCTGCTCAGCTCACATTCTCCTGAAGCCTCAGTCCACGCCGTAGCCGTTCACAGCTATGACAAAGAGAACAAACTACTGTGTATCTCAGACGGCGGCTCTCGACATTTGAAGGACGCATACGCCGACCCAACCCTGGACATGTCCTCAATCGGTGCCGCCCTAGGCCGCTGGCTCGCGGCACTACATACCTCTACAGTCGCCACCCCTTTATCGCTGGATCCTACATCTCAAAACCTGAAAGATAACAATGCCATCGCAGTCTCAATCTACAGGCACTCCTACAGGAATCTTTCCTCAGCGTTCGCGGAGTACGGTGATAGCGGAGGCAACGTCCCTCGCTACGCGGACTTCATCGACCTTCCCGACAAAGACATCGAGTTCGCGCAGCAGATCAACGACGCATACGGCAGTCGTCTCGCGCATGAAAACGAGTGCATCTGCCACGGGGACTTTTGGCCGGGCAACGTGCTGGTGAAGCCTGCTTCGGAAGAGGGTGGGAAAGTGGTTCTCACGGTGGTGGACTGGGAGATGACGCGCCGCGGCACTTCGGCGACAGACGCTGCGCAGTTCCTCGCCGAGTCTCTTCTCCTCGACCGCTTCTGCGGGCATCGCGGACTTGTGCCTGCGTTTCTAAACGCGTATCTGTCTGCACGCCCCGAGATCCCAGGTAAAGAATGGTTTCGCCGCCTCGCCATTCATGCCGGTGTGCACATTGCGTTCTGGCCGACGCGTGTTGCTTGGACTGACCGCCGCGGCACGCATGCCCTCGTCGAGCTGGGCAAGAGCATTCTGCGCGCTGCGAGCGAGAGTAAGTGGGAGACGTTATTCGGGCTGCCGCTGTTCAGCGGGATGGAGGAGATCTTTCTACCGGCATTTTAGTCGAGTGAAGACAGATAGGGAAGACCGCGAAGCAACATGTTACTTATGCAGTCCAATCGCATGTAGTTTTTCTGCGACCTGAATAGCGTCTATGGTCCACCCACCCTTCACGACAGGAGCATCTTATAGCTCCACTCCTCTTGCGGCACGTCCAGATACCGGATACTCGTAGGGTGTTTCCTCCTTGCTGGCAATATCCTCCTGATATACAAATCACCTACATTAATCTTCTCGTACTTCTGCTCTCCGTCTGCTTTGCAGCACTCCAGCGGCTCAATCTCCGCATCCGCATCCGGCGTCAGGAAGAACGGCAGCGAGTACCGCTCCTGCGCCGTCTTGTTTCTCACTCTGTGCACGGTCGCGGGAAACGTCCCGTTCGTGTGCCGCTCGAGGTACTGCCCGACGTTGCACACGAAGGTACCTTTCTGCGGCGGGGCATCCACCCACATGCCGTCCTGGTTGAGGACTTCGAGGGCGGAGACGGAGTCCTGGAGGACCAGGGTGAGCCCTTTGCACGGGTTAATGGCATCCGTGGATCACTGCTCCCCCGTTTGCTTACAGGAGAAATCGGCGTGAGCCCCCAGGCCCACGTTGTTTGCGTTCTCGGTGATTGGCGTGGGTGGGTAATGCAGCGGGCGCATTCCCGTGATGGGGAAGCGGAAGATGTCGTCGAAAGCCGTCTCCTCCAACTCGAAGGCCAGCGCGAGGATACGCACAAGCTTCATGGCAAGCGGGAGGACGGCGTTGTAGTATTTGTACAGGCCCTCGCGCCACCACGGCGCCTCGCCGGGCCAGATGTTCTGCGGCCGCGTCACGTACGCCGGGGGCTGCAGTCCGGTCTTGCCAGCGTAGTCTTGCTCGGGCTCGAGGTAGCAGTCGCCCATTGTGAATGCCTCTTTCACGTCTTCGGGGAGTCAGCCTGCGGGCGCTGCGCAAAACGGACAATACTCACCGCCCTGCGTTCTGGGATCCAGTCTCGTCTCCAGCATGGGTTCGTAGCCCCTGATCGCAGGGTTCTTCTGCACATGCGCATCCATCTTGACGTCTGTGTCGAGGGCGAAAAAGCGCTTCAAAAGCCCAAACACCTCGTCTACCTCTTCCTGTGGGATCGCGTGGTTCTTGATGTAGAAAAAGCCGCACTCTTCACAGGCGCCGCGGATTTCTGCTGCGATGGCTTTCCGTTGCTCCAGAGAACCATCTATTTTGCTTACATCTACCGTGGGGATTGATGTGAATCCCGTCGGCTTTTCGGACACCTTCCGATATGTTGCTTCGGAGCCTGAGTGGAAATACACATATTTAGTAGATGTCTAGAGAGTGTCAGCCAAAGCGATAGTAGATGTACTGCATTGGCACTCGTAAGTAGTATCTACCTTGTCATCCAATTCAGGTGCCATGGCCGGCGCACGCGACACCTCTGTCATCTTGAAGGAGGACGACTACCTAGTTCCAGCCACTGAGGTCTATCAGACTGGGTCTTGAGCGACAGGTCCCAGTCACTGAGTCCTACCAACAGTGTGATTATCGACAATATCAACCCAAGTTATCTATTCTCTGGAGTCCAGTACTCGGCCGAGCAGCCAAGGCGGTTGTGGTTATCCTTAGCGTGCATGGGACTACTCATCGCTGAAGTGGGGTCGGAAAAATTATTGGTTCCTCGTTATCTTGACTGGGGTGCTTCCCCAACTCCATACTCATTGGGTCGTTAGCGGCGCGGCGAGAGGAGGGAACATCACCAGAGTTCCGATAGTCGATAAGAACGACGAAGCTAAGATCTGCTATGGGGATGGAGGTGCGATAGAGGCGGATATTCAGCGGAGGGGTATAAGTGGGATATACAAAACTCGGGCATGCTGCTGCTATGTCGAGCGGAGATCCGAGTTGGATCAGCGCCCATCGAACGATCCGAGTTTGTGCACGGTGTCGAGCACCGAGTACTCCTAGCTCACACAATCATGGCACTTTCACCAGTGTATTACGCAAAGAACCTCTTCGCGTCGTCGTATGGAAAGGATCGTCCGGAGTTCTTTGTCTGGCATCCTAAAGGCACTCCCTCGAGTGAAAAGAAGTTCGTTCCGATGAGTCCCTGCAACTGGAAAAGCCTAACATCGGACCGTACAGACTCTTGCACAAGATCGACTTCTTCATTCTCACATATGGCTGTCTGGCGTACTTCACCAAATGGCTCGACCAAGCCAACCTCAGCAATGCCTACGTGAGCGGTATGAGGGAGGACTTGAACATGTTAGGCACAGAGTACAATCTTGCCGTGACGTGCTTTCAAGTCGGTAAGTCGACCTGTTTCCGCCTCATGTCGTTGGAAGCGTCATTGACACGTTGCTGTTCCTAGGCCAAATCCTCGGCCCCATCCCAGCGAATCTCTTGCTCACGTGGATCCCACCGCGAATGTTGCTTCCAGGTCTCGAGCTCGCATGGGCAGTCCTGACCATCGGCACGACGTTTGTCACCAGCACGCATCAACTGTATCCAATCCGCTTTCTTATCGGATTCTTGGAGGGGAGCTGCTTCGTCGGCGTCCAGTATGTACTGGGATCTTGGTACAAGAAAACCGAGATCGGCAAGCGCACAGCCATCTTTGCCTGTGCGGCGTACGTCGGGACCATGATATCCGGATACATGCAGTCTGCCATGATTGCGGGGATGAACGGAAGAAACGGACTGGAAGCCTGGTACGTGGTACCCCCACTTTTCGCTCGACTTGGCATGTTAACGAGAAAGGCAGGCGCTGGGTCTTTGTGTTTGACGGCATCATCACTGCAATTGTTGCCGTATATGGATTCTTCTTCTTTCCAGACACGCCATACAAGACCAAAGCTTTCTATCTCTCCGCCGAAGAGAAAGAGAGGTGCGTGCAGCGACTCGTCGAGGACGGGCGGCAGGAAGAAACCAAGTTCAGCTTGGATTTGTTCAAGCGGACCGTCAACTCGTGGCAGTTGTACGTGCTTACAATACTGTGGTGGTAAGCTCGAACCCTCCCAGTCGCGGCAATGCCATTCCTAATCTCCACAGCTTCTGGAACACCACGGTGGGGAAGGTGGCCAACACTGTAGCCCAGCTGTTCTTGAAAAACGACCCACATCACAAGTGGACTCTGTACGAGGTAAGCTTCCTGGCGCCAAAGCCTTGGTCCGAAGACTGACCCATGCCCCAGGTAAACAACATCCCCACCTCAACCAACGGCTTCAACATCATCATGGTTCTCCTCCTAAACGTCTACATCGACAGCACCGGTTACCGTATGAAAGCCGTCGCCCTGAACCTCGTCATCCTCCTCTTCGGCACCATTTGCCTTGTCATCTGGGAGATCCCGCTGGGCCTGAAGATTGTCTCCTACATGTTCGCCGGCCTCGACGGCCCGCTCTCCCCCATCTTCTACGCGTGGGCAAACATCCTTACCACCGGCGATGCGCAGGTCCGCGCGTTGACGCTGGCGGTTATGAATAGTTGCGGTGCGGCGTTGACGACGGTGATACAACAGTTTCTGTACCCGGTTACGGATGCGCCGGAGTTTGGAAGGGGTTTCAAAGCGAGCCTAGGATTTTTGATTGGTATGTGCGTGTGGGTTGTTGTGGTTAGGATGTTCGAGATGCGGGCGCTGGCTAGGAAACAGACTGAACTCGAGGGGGTTGCGCGCGAAGAGGGGAGCGAGCAGGATGTAACGGCGGTAAGATTGGATGCTAGTAGCAAGGCGTAGGGCCCGATGTTCATTTCAGGCTACCTTGCACTCCTGTGCGTATTCACACTCCATTCCCATCTATGCATCCCTTGCTCACGCACAATAAACCACTCATCAAAATATCTACGCTTCTGGTGATTCTATTTTCTGTACAAAGTGCATGCGACGCCATGCGATGCAAGTGCTAAGACACATATACACACTCGCCAGCACGGCTCGTCTCTTTTCCACTCCTCACATCTTCACATCCTCCCTAATAAGCTTATACTCCTTCCTCTTCTTCCTCCACCCGGGATTAACCCTCACCTTCGCGAGCCCAATCCACTTCGCCAACACAGGCAGCACGTACTTCTCGCCGAGATAGGCGAGCGCGAAGTTGCCGAGCCCCAGCACAAGCAGGAAAATCTGGAAGCCCAGACTCATTGGGGTGAGTTCCATGAGCCGGACGAGCCACTGCGCGGGGTCGAACAGCATGTAGCACGTCACCACGAGCGCGAACAGGATGGTGACGACGAAGGGCAGATTCTGGCTCATGGGCTGGCGGAAGGGCTTGCCAACGGAGAGCACGATGGCGGAGAGCGTGTACTGGAAGCAGGAGACGAGGAAGAGGGCCGTGTTCTGGGAGTTGAGGCTGTTGGAGTGGTCTTTGTCGACGACGGGCGGGAGGTACCAGGGCTGCTTCTGGACGTATTCGTAGGCAAGGGCCTGCGTGAGGATGCAGAGGACAATCTGGCCGAGCAGGGGAGTCAGCACTTTGCGGCTGACGAGGCTGGCGGTGGGGCGCTTGCGGCTGAGCTGGGGGAAGGCGCCGGACCAGCCCATGAAGATGGCGATGGGCAGGATGAGCAGGAGATCGATGAAGAGGAACTGGAAGTCGCCGAGGTTGGACGCGGACGCGTAGAGGAAGCTGACGGACGTGAACTGGATCGCCGAGTACAAGCTCATGTACTTGAAGCAGCTGAAGCTGGTGACTAGCGCGGCGCGGCCTTCTTTGATGACTTGGGGCACGCACGAGATGTCGAAGACGCGGCTGGTGAATGGCGCTGCGACAGAGGCTTCTGCTTCGGAAAGCGAGATGCCTACATCGGCGGCTTTGAGAGCGCCGCAGTCGTTCGCGCCGTCGCCGCAGAATCCGACACAATAGTCAATGCTTTGCAGCTTCTCGACGAGCTCGTGTTTCTCGTCGGGCGACATGCGTGCGAAGACTTGTCCACACACCAGCATTTCGCGGAGAACCTTTTCTGGCGCAAAGTCGATGATCCAGCGGAAGACGTCTCCGCTAACGGCTAAAGAGTAGTTTCGGAGGTTAGAAATATCGTAAGGCAAAGATATGTCGGCTTCGGCCGGTGGGGGCAGAGGCCTGAGTGTGTTCTCGTCCAGCTTGAACAGAGGATCATCGACGCTCTCCCAACTAAGGCTAGCGAGTGCAGTCCTCGAATCGCCCTCGACGAAATGCGGGATAAAGCAATGAGCAGTCTTGTTGATGAGTCCACACTCCCTCGCGACGCTGATAGCTGTAAGGATATTGTCACCGGTGCACATGACGGTCCTAATGTTGGCCCTGTCCAGCTCTTCGATAACAGGCGATGTGGTAGGCTTCAGCTTGTTCTCAAAGATGATGAAGCCGACGAACTCAAGTTCTTTTTCGGCCTCCTCTCGCTTCATCTTTTGCAACTTTAGCCAGTTGGCTTTGAGACTTTTTGTAGCGCAAGCAATGACACGGAAGCCTTTGTGGGTATAAAAAGCCAGAAGCTCTTCGTAATCCGTAGGAAAACTGTCAGGACGGCAAATATCTCTCATACACTCTGGCGCTCCTTTGACGTAGACCTGCGCGGTCTTGGAACCGAATTGGCGCACGATCACGCTTGCTCTTCTGAGTTGCGAAACAAACTCGAAAGACTTCAGTACACCAAGCTCGATTGGCTTTCTGTTTTCGTCGTCCTCTTCATCGTCGATGTCGTACTCGCGGCCGGGAGGCGGCCTTGCAACAGACGGCCGGAGCTTGTCCTGTTCATCATCTCCAGCGCCCGCCCCTTGCTCTCCTTCAGAAAAGCTCCATCCAGTGAAGTTGAACATTTTGACATCCAGCGGGTCGCCCAAAAGCTCATCATCGATCAGTCGCAAAGAATGGCAGGTCGCCATGGTGTACAGTATGGCCTTGTGTTTCGCGTAATCAATGGTCGGATCCCGGTCATACCTCGAGTTGGGAAGCACGTCTACGTTCTCAGAAAGAATCTCACTGAATCTGTTTGCAGGGCGCTCGACCACGCGTACTCCAAGCACGTCCAGTCCCTCTTCGGTTAGAGTTCCAGTTTTGTCGAAGCAGATCACATCGAGTTTACCTCCGACATTCACACGCTGCGGGGATATGCAGAAGATCTGCTTCTGCTTTAACCGAGAGAGGGCGAAGTTGGTCCCAATGGTAAGAGTGGCAGGCAGCGCAGGCGGAACGACGATGGTAATCAGATCAAGCGCGCGCACCACGATCAAGTGCCAGGCGAGACCGAAGTGGATGAAGTTAATGAACGATGCGACGAAACCGATCATGGCGATACCTGCCATGACTGAGATATACCGGAAGGAATCGCGGTAGAACTTGAAGCCGGAAGGCTTGGGGAAGAGCATGGATCGGACCAATGCACCCTTTGTCGTGTTGAAGCCAGTCCGCACTACCATGGCCAAGGCAGCGGCTTCTTCGTCGCTGTCGTCTTCATGTGGCCTGCGAGCGCGGATGATCTTCGTTCCGGAGAACAGCATGTGCCTTGCGATTTCGGGGTGAATGGTCGAAGCGCCTAGGTCAAGAACCTCGAGGGCCTAAATACGCACATCAGTATGCTCTAGGCAATCACACCGATAGTTACGTACCTCGTCTGTCATGGGGATCTTGGACACAGGTACTGATTCACCTGTGAGCATACTCTCGTTGACAATGCAGTCTCCCGAAAGCAGCAGACTGTCGCAAGGAAGCTGCGTGAGCGACGGATCCGTGACCTCGTAGACATCACCTGGCACCAACTCGGCCGAATCGACGGTGCGCCAGAACCCGTTTCGCAGCACGCGCACCTCGCACTCAAAGCGCGATACTTCTCGTAGGCGTTTCATCGTAGCTCTCGTCTCGATCACTGTTGCCGTTATGCTGACCACCGAAATGACAAAGATGCAGGCGGCATAGTAGTAATACTCGTCGACAGACCAGAGGAACAGACTGGCAATCTGGAAGACGTAGAAGGGGTTGATTACTTCCTCGACTAGCAGTTGGCCTAGCGGCTTCTCAGCAAGGTCAATCATGTTCTTGCCGAAGACCAGCTCGCGGTAGTCACGCTCTTCGGTGTCAAGACCTTCGCGCAGAGCCGTGACATTGGTCCAGGCCGGGTCCTGCCACGTGTTGGCCAGAACGAACTTGTCTTTGAGCGGGTTGTAGCAGAAGCGAATGTAGCGGTAGTCGAGACAGCGCAACTGCTTGATGACGGGGTCGAAGTCCTCATCGTAGTCGCGATGGCGGTCCTTTTCAGGAACGCCAAATACGGTCGACAGCGAGCGGCCGTATTCCTGCTCCGCGATGTGCTGCACGGCAAACTCGCCCCACTGGTTCTCAATGACCAGCCACGAGCAGTCCTTCAGGGGCGCAGGCCGGCCGACCAGCGCGACCTTCCACCTCGGCAGCCACTGGAAGATGAGCCATGCGAGTCCGACCGTGGAGATGCATATGGCGAGGTACATGGCGAATCCGATCTTGGACGTGTGGAAGCCAGCGACCACAATAGTCAGGTCTTCGGTCAAGATGTAGATCTTCTGGTTGTTTCGGCGCCCTCTGGTGCCGTCGGCAGAGCCGACACTGGACCCGGACGACTGCCTGCGCAGCAGAGGCCGGTCGACCGAGCTGCGCCTGGAGAAGCCAGACGACTTGCGCCGCCGATGCGAGGGCGCGGGGGAGTCGGCGTCGTCCAGCTCGTCCAGCTCCTCGACCGTGTACCCGTCGTACTCAATCTCGCCGTACTCCTCGGCAATGGCCTCCTCCTCGATGTCCACGTCCGAGTCGTGCTCGTCGTCATAGTAGGTGAAGCTGGTGGTCGAGTCTGCGCGAGCGCGGCGGTGGGCAAACGAGGAAATGCTCGTGGGCACGCTCTCCGACATGGGGCCGGCAAACATCTTGATGGCGGGGGTCAGCTGCTGTCTCCATGTACGTGTGCGCCGTGCGTTCAATGGCTGGAGCTCTACCTCGTCCTGCGCCATCTCCACATCCTCCATGAAGCTGGCCGTGCTGCGCGCCCGGTTAGCATCCACCTAGACGCGCCGAGAGACGAAATTGCATACTTGCTGACATTCGACCCCGACCGGTACAGCGACCTCCTGCGGCGCCGCTCTGGGCTCCGGTGCGCGTCCATGGTGTCGGCGCGGGTGTAGGGGCGCAGGAAAGTCAGGCCATGGTCCGCTTGGGTTTTCCTCGACACGTCCCGTACCTGCGTCTGTGCAGCGATGACGATGCGTACGGGTGAACCTTGCAACTTATCACTTCGCTTATCTAGTCCCAGATAGGAAACGTGTCTATCCTCCCTCTCCACATGGAGCCAGGATGCACGCACTGCACAATCCACGGGAAGCAAGTATCCACAGTACAATTTCTACAGCTCTGTCTTGCATACTTCCCCCTAGTCAAGAATTGTTTTGTTGGTATAATTCTTTGTGCTTTTTTGAAGCTATGTACGACTCTATTGCTTAGAACGAATGACATCGCATGATGTAGCCGAGTGCAGTGGCTATAGCATTGACCGAGCGTTGGGCATCGATATCGGCACCGCTGCCTCAAAGACTTGGTCAGTGGTGAAAGCGTAGTCAAGGATGTGTGTATGCTTTACGAAGAAAGGTAGCTAAAGTTGTTACGGCTACAATGGACACCGCGCTGACCCACGCCATGACTGCCGTGCTACTCGTTGAGTCACGAAACAGAGTCCGTCCCTGGTCTCCCATATTTCCGGTGCCTTGGCCAATCATGCAAATGTGTAAGGCTTGCTGAAACGAACAGAAGCTGAACGCAAGGTTCATTTAGGTTGAACAGATTGCGACATGCGAACGTAGGTGTGTGGCGTTTGAGGATTGAGGTGATGACAACAAGGACTTGTTTTAGATATTGATGCTGGTAATATCGAGTGTGACACTTTCTAGGAAAGAGCTAACGAGAACCAGGTTCACCTCCTCTAAACCCTACCACTTCAAACTCGGCTCATATATCATACATGCATGCCATCGTCCAAAACATTTTGATAGAACCTATCATTTGCTGAACTCATGTCTATGTGAGTCCCCGACATCACATGCATCTCCACATCTTACATCTAATCACCCACTAAGCATAGGTGTCAAACGCACCATGATACTGGAGATGAGCACTCCCACGCTTTCAACAACGATTACTCGCACCGAATCATATCATAAATCGTCCAAGCTGGCATGGCTATCTACCAATCCAGCGCATTGCTTCGTTTCGTTTCGCTTTCGTGTTCATTCAATCATTCCCCCACCCCCTCTTCCTCCCCCAAAATGTATCAGGATTCCGAGCCAAAACCTTTGTGCAGAGAATCGATGCAAGACAAGCCCCCCACGTATTGGAACAAGAAAGAGAAGTTTCATTAATCCGCCCAAACGCCCTTCGCTCAGCCTGAGGATCTGTCCCAAAAAGTATCCGAAAACGGTTTGCGGACTGTACTGCCCAGGGTTTTCATCGGCGCGATTAGCGGCGACGCGCTGGCGTTGTATACGTGGTCATGTAATCTGACGGAACCGCGGTGCTCGCTCACAGAATCTGCTTGAGCTGCTCTTTTTGATGTCCCGTGAGCGACTTCGGGAACTTGATGCGCACGCCGACAACGAAGTCGCCGCGCTCATTGGGCTTCTTGCTCTTGGGCATGCCGAGGCTGGGGAAGCGCTCTATGAAGTCGGGTCCGGTGGGGCCGCCGCTGCGGACGGCGACTTGCTTTCCGTCGATTGTTTGTACGGTTCGTTGCCAGCCGGTCAGGGCTTCCTTGAGGTCGAGGTCGATGACGTGCTTGATGTCGTCGCCTTCGCGGGTGAAGAGGGGATGTGCTTTCTGTACGGTATTAGTTTGTGCTGATAGAATGGATATTGATGTGAACTTACCTCTGATACAATGAAGTGCAGGTCCTGCGTGCCTCCTTCGACTTGGTCGCCAACATCCGAAAACTTGATCTTGCTGCCGGCCTTCAGGCCCTTCTTGATAGGCACTTCGAGAATCCGATCCTGCGTGCTCTGCTTCCCGGTCGCCTGATCGTATGTCTTACGCTTGATCTTCATCTTCTTTGTTGTGCCATTGAACAGTTCCTCAAGCGATACCGGTAGAGGCTTCTCCACAACCGTAACTTCCGGCGCCGGCGCTCTCCTCCCACCCTCAAATCGCGGTCCACCAGGGCCTCTCCTCTTCGAGCCTCCACCAAGTCCTCCCGGCATGCCTCCCATGCCGAAGCTACCGAAGCCGCCATCGTCTTCATCGAACACGCCACCTCCTTGCCCGCGCATAAACTCAGCGAATATGTTCTCGGCGTTGGAGAAGTTGAAGCCGCCCGCGCCGCCTCCGCCGCCAGTGTTGAAGTGGAATGTCCGCGTGCCGCCGGGCATGCCGCCCGCCGATGTGAAGGGAAAGCCTCCGCCGGCTCCCTCAAACGGATTGCCGCCGTCGAAGCCAGCGCCGCCCTCTGGCGGAGGAGCCCCACCCCGCAGCAGGAATTCGAGGCCGTACTGGTCATATGTCTTTCGCTTTTCGGGGTCGGATAGGATTTCGTAGGCTTGCGAGACCTCTGCGAATGCGTTAGCTCATGTTCAGGGTTCGTGGCAAAGTATGTGCAGTCGTATCTTACCTTTGAACTTCTCGGAGGCGGACGGATTGTCTTTGTTTTTGTCGGGATGCCATTTCAGCGCCGCTTTACGATAGGCTTTTTTGATCTCATCTTGCGTCGCGGAACTTGATATGCCTATGCATGCATGTTAGCAAGCTGTGCATGCGGTTTGCTGGGCGCAGCGCAGGAGGGAAGGCTGGCAAGCTGCAGAGCGCAGAGGAGGGGTTGCGCGCGGGTAGACTCACCTAACGAATCGTAGAGCTTAGTCTCCTTGACCATTGTGGAATTATTGTGCAGCTAAGGATCGAGTAATGTGTGTCGTGTTCGTGTCTGAAAGCTTTGTCTGGAGCGGTGCAGAAGGTTGCGGTGTGCTTTATTACTTGCATGCGCCATCTCCCCACCGTTTGGGGGGTCAGTGCGCAAAGAGGCAAGACGTCAGAGCTAGCCCGTGAGTGGGAGAAGGTTCTCGAAGCTTCAGTCACGAGCATATACATCAATTGGCACAGCATCAGCATTCCAGACTTTTCAAAATTGGTGATATTCATATCGCGAAACTGTCAGGCCCACATTGGAATCTACAACATTCGCCGGTGAATTGACTCTGGCGTTCTCTCACACATAGTCAACACCCCTGCTGCCCCACGAACCGGAATGCTCCGAACTCCACCAGGTTACCCTTAACGCCGATATCGACACGCTGTCGTATGCTACAAAGCAGTGAAAAGTCGAGGTATCTTGACAAGTTGTACATGCACTTGCGGATCCACAGTACAGCGCATGCCAAAAATTTGAGTACCCAGCGCTAGTCCAGTATAGGTAACACGTAGGCGGGCAAACTTCTGGGTGCAGCTGCAGGCTCGCAGTGGCCGAATCGGTCGCGCACTTTTGTTGTTGTAACGTCAAAAAATCGAGATCCAGTATATCCAAAGATTTAGTCAGAGTCCTCGGATTCAGCGCCGCCCTTGGACTTCCTCTTCTCTTTCTTGGCCGCCTTCGCTTCCTTCTTCGCCTTCTTTGCGGCCTTGCGAGCGGCCTTCTCTTCGACAGTCTCCTCCTCCTCGTCGCCGCGGCTCTTACGCTTCTTGCTCTTGGAGATCTCGGCCTCAGCCTCGGCCTCGCCGTTGGCATCCAGACCCGTTGGGGGTACAGCAGGAGCTGCAAGAACATCGCTGGTAGTCGTGGTCTCACCCATGGTCACATCAGTAGATCCCTGGTTCTGCGCGTCGTAGTCCTTGTAGTTAGAAGTCCATGTGGCAGGGGTCTTCTCGTTGTTACGACCGAATTTCTGCATTCAATTAGTCGTTGTTGTGATTGGAGAACAGAGATATACTCACGTCGAGAGTACCGTTCTCCTTCATCTTCTTCTTCTCAGTCGCAACGGGACCCAAGCCCCATCGTCGTGGGTATAGATCGCGCTCCATGATGACACGCTTGATGCGTGCAACAACACCGTGGTCACAGGTCGACATCTCGACAGCAGACATCTGCGCATACGCAAGAGCGATAGCCTCACCCTTGGTGGTCATAAGGACAACCTCTTCGTGAAGCTCGATGTTCTTCTCAAAGCGGAGCAGACCAGGGACCATGAGTTTGGCACCATAGCAGATGGCGTTGACTGAGCTGTCCTTGACGACAATGCGCTTGTAGCTGGTCAGGAGCGTCTCCAAAGGAGAGATGACGTAGCGCAGATATTCCTCGTCGCGGTTGTTGTCCTGCATCCACTGAGCGTCCATGACGTCGTGCAGAGTGACCATGTCCTTGGACTCGTCCATAGCTCCAGATCGCACACGGCGAAGCTCCTGCATGTGCGCACCAACACCCAAAAGCAGACCCAAATGCACACACAGCGTTCGGATGTAGGTTCCTGCCTCGCAGCTCACCCAGAAGACACCAAGCTGCCTCTCGTTGTCGAACTCGTACAATTTGCTCTCATGGATGGTTCGGATACGGAGCTGGCGCTTGACGGCGGAAATGAGCGGCGGTCGCTGGAACAGAGCACCGGTCAGGGTCTCAAGAGCGCGAGCGAATTGGGCCTCGCCGCCAGGGAGCTTGTCGTGCAGGCGGATGACGCAGACATACTCCTTTCCGGCTCCTTGCTGAGACTTGACCAGACGGGTCGCACGGTCAATGCAGACAATGAGGCAACCAGTGACCTTAGGATCAAGAGTTCCGCTGTGACCAGTCTTCTCCACCCTACGATTCGGTTAGTTCCGAACAATCGTTATAACGTGCGACGAAAGTACCTCAGGATGCGCTTGATCCAAGCTACAACTTCGTGGGACGAGGGGTTCGAAGGCTTGTCAAGGTTGATGACACCAGAGCTAACATATTGCTTCAGGTCGCGAGCATGCGGCGAGCATCCTGCGGGGATAGGAGTGAAGTGCGCGGTTCGCACGAGCACTGCGCATGGTCAGTTGCTATGCTTGAAGCTGTCCCAGGATCTGCATACAGTCGCTGTAATTTTTGAGCAGCAGCGGCCAGTCGCTGGTGTCAATGGGCGCAGCGGCAGCTTGCGGCTTGATCGTGTAGTCGGGCGCGGCATCCTGCTTAACGAGCGCCATTTTGTTCGTCAGGAAGTCGTCGTTAGCACTGTAGTCGGTAGCTCTTGCCTGCAGTCGCGATGGAGAATCGAATATTTTCTTAGCGCGCTAGGGCTAGGGCGGAAAGGAACAATTTTCTTGCGAGGCAGGTGCGCCAAGGCACAGCGACCCACAGCGGCGGGGTGCGCCTCAACATCCTCGGCAAGCATTCATCGAAATGAAATCACACAGGTTCGTTTACAGCCCGGGTGTCGATTTCACCATGCAGAATGTTCTACTCGAGATCTCTTAAGGTCTACCAAGCTCTTTACGACTTGGAGTCAACGTGTAATTTGTACAGACAGTGGGATCAACCTCCGTTTGTTCAAGAATCATAGGGGTACGCAAACAAATCGATTTGCTTTTGTTGGTTGTAGTACATAACAGGCCGTATAAAATGTCGTTAAAATCATCAGTATAGTGCGACCACCACGGTGCTACACCTTCATTACCATTATCGTCGGTTGACCTCCTCATCGCGTGCGCCTAGCGCTCCCATGTTGCATCAATCCAATAATCACGAAACTTAACACTTCGTGGCTGCATTGGTGACTCGGCACCCAAGCAAAGCACCGTTTACAGCGTACTCTGGTGCTCGCCCCGCGCGACTGCAATATTATCAGCTTGTTGTTCTCTTCCGCAATCCATCTCAACTCACCATTGGTCCGCGGTCGGAGAGCAGCAGGTGTCGCGAGTCTGCTCGAGACAAGCTGCGTGCGCCTTGTGGTTGACCTCCACATCTGTTGTGCCATTGGGGTTTGTATTGAAGATGCAAATCTGACAATACCAGATTAGCCAATTTCTACGACTGCTACGAATTACAGAGACTCACTCTTGCGGTGCCGAGCTCCCACGTGTACCACCCACCAGCTGCAATGAAGTCGTTGGCATCTGGTGTTTGCGTTTGGAACCATGTTCGCAAAGCTTCTACGTCCGTCTTGTTGAAAGGTGTGATAAGGCCTTGGACACAGGTAGGGTGCGTTGTGTCAACTTGTCGCGTGGTAAGAACGCCATTCTCAGAGTACACGGGGGTTCCGCTGGCCAATTGAGCGGCAGCCAGGAGAGCTGTACAGACGGATGTGAAGAGCATGATGAGTGTGAAGAAGCAATGGGAAGATTGTGATGGGTTTCGGTTGAAGGTTGTCGGTAACAGAGGATTGTTTTGCTGTGAGGAAGACGCTGGCGAAGCAAGGGTGTTGGCTCACAACGAAGGGCAGCCCGTTCTATATAGTGTTCCTGGGCGTACCATGCCAACCTTTGTGCCCCCAATTTGGCGGCTCAATGAATTCTACGATGACCTAAGAGTGGTTCTGTTAGCCAGGCATTAGCCAGGCACGAGCGACGAAAGCGGAGCAGAGTCTCGCGATGTGCGGTCGCATGACGCTCGCTGGTTCCTGAGGTCACCAGATTCATCCCAATGACGTTTTTCTGCGTCCTGTTCGAGTGGTACCGCCACAGCCTAGCTGGCATTAAACCGGGGCTGCTGTGCGACTAGGATCTAGGGTCGCGTCCAAAACCTCGCCACACTTGGGCAAAGATCGCCATACGAGGCTGTACCTCGGATAAACAGTTTAATATGTCGTAGCGAATACCAATTGAGCGGTGATAATGGTCATAGAGAGGTTACAAGTTCTGCGAGATATTGTCAGTGCTACTCGGTGATGGTTGCCTTCGACGTACCAACGCATGGGTAGGTTCCATGCACGGGAACCTTGTCCCACGATGCATCCCGACAGACTGCAAACGACTCCCGTCCTCAACGGTAACAACAAAATTCTGGTTATCAAACTGGCATTATGAGACACCAGATATCTGTCAAAAAGCTGTCAGTCCTCCATGCGGAAAAGTGCCTGGCGAGCACGCGCTTCCGTAGCCATACTTAGGCCTCCTGTGAAACTTTAACTTGCCGAAGTTACTTCAGTTCACAAAGTCCGAGCTTGCACGCGCCAGTAACTACACCAAACGTTGTTGATGGGCTTTCGAGGTCGTTGCCTTCGTCCGGTCTGAACATGGGTTCGTCTTCCAGCGCTCACTGGTTGGCTGCCTCGACCGGACCCTTGTGTAGTCTGGCGGTAGTACATGTGTCTCATCCTTACACCGTTTGGATTGCCATGAAGGTGTGCCTTCAGCAACGGACATGCCATAACTGGTCTTTTCTTTCAAAAACGAGTTCCTTGATGTGGCGTCGTGGCTTATTTGTCGCCTCCGTGTTGCTGACAAGCGAATCCAACATAAACAATCCTCTCTGTCACAGGATGTCGTCCGTAGTTGGAGCAGGGGTCAACAGCGTGCACATGGTAGGTACATCCACAAACAGGATATTTCTCAATCAGTCGGAGACACATGTCTGGTGCAGTGATATCGGGTGTACAAGATTGGGGTTTGAAATGGACAGTCGATAGTTTTGGTGGGACGAGGACGTTGCTTGATAAGTCTGAGGGTGACTTGAGAGATTCTGAGTCGAGGAAAGTTAAATGCAATAGAATTCAGGTAGCCCGGGGAAGACAAGAGAGTGAGGACACGTCGTGCAGTATATGTGATGGCGCGACTCCGGCGGTCGAAAAGTCCATGACTTGGGGCCTTGTCTGACAACGAGGCATAACTCTATCCTTTGACCGGAACCGCGATCAGTGCGAGGGACGATATGATCGTTAGGGCGCTAGGGCGTCCCTCTCCTTGACTTGATGTGAGAACAAAGGGCTACGAGGCACAGCTATTGGCCGCGACAAGCACGGAGGACAGCGGAAGACGACAAGAAGCATTTCCCGCACCACGCGGGCGACGAACCGTCACTAGATCCTTCTCAGAGGTTTGGATGCGTGGGTTAGGCAACCGTGTGGCAGTGCGGTTGTTACAAAGACGATTCGTGGATCGAACATAGATGACTTGGCCCCGCGTGAAATAAGGTCGACAAGGGTCCAGCAATCGCCAGCCAGTACATTGTGATTTCTAGAAGAGACCTGTCAGCAAACGTTAGTACCGACCAAGAATTAACCCTTCTCGAGCGGCCGTGATGGAGCTCGTTCTGCGTGCGACACCAACCACGACCGTTGCGCCCGACTCCGAACCTGCAGAACTCGTTTCAGTCTTTCTTTGGAAACTGGCCTAACATGACACTGACTATTTCATGCGATTGGTAGTACCGATATCGAGGGCAGGTGCTAAAGAAGAGGTAGTCGCCATGACGTTAGGAGGCTGCAGCCGTGGACCCACATTTTCAGCCCTAGGAACATCGCATCTTTCAGCTCGGCCACGCTTCGGCATGTCTCCATGATCCCCGAGCCCTACATATCGTATCAGGGATATGTGCAGTACGCGTCAGAACTCGGTGCTATCTCGCCGTTCATACAATCCTTCGAAATCAAAGGCGTGACCAATGGCATCACGCAGCGAGCGATGTTAAGTCTGGCAGCGCACGGCATATTCCAGCGTAGGCAAGAACGACCAATTGGTGCTTTCAGCTCACACATGCTGAGTCTTGCCATAAGTCGGAAGCGTACGCACGTTGCCCCTGATGCTTGTTACCTGAATGCATACACATGTCCAAAGAGTCGTCGGAGCGCTGGTCGTGATATGGCTGAGCCTTCACAGCTTTTTCTTTTTTGCGATCTGTTCGAAAACCGACAGCCTCAGTTGCTCCTCTCGCATGACGATTTTGACTAGCAATGTTGTATTGGCTCACAATCAAATACAGTTACATTAGTGCGATCCACACAGGGTGAACTATCGAGAATCCGACTCGAAAAGGCCTCGACCAAGTATTAGTTGGTTCCAGGAGCAGGTTCGAACTCAGCAGAACCACGATGCTATACATTGCTCACAACGGAATCAACCAAAAAATTCGAACGCCATCTCAACGATCAAAATGCGACCTTCCAAAAACCGTGGCCAATTAATCATGAAACAGTAGTACTAGAGAAGAGACGTAAGCTAACCACTCTGTATGCGATTGCCGCGCCAGGGAAGCATGCCATGCGCACCCCGTCGACGTAGTGTTGCCGCATATCCTGCATGGAAACAGTCGGTCTTTAAATTGCACTACGGTCACAGAGAACTTCTGCGGGGATCGTCCACACATTACGGTCCAGAAGTGTCTGGATCCATTCGATCCAACTTTCATTCCGACATGTTCGATGGCTACAGCACTGAGCGTTGCTTTGTCGAATATACCACCGACGATTGATTCATACCAACCCCATATCAGCCTATGTGCACACTACTACCCCAGAATGCAAGAAGAAGATGGCGAATATCCAAACTTCGGATTCCCTAACGCATGTATTATCTGTCACTCACTTTCATGTCATCCCCTCGACATCGTTCACTTACCGCAATCTTAGAGATTTGCGTGCTTATCGAAGCTGTCCGTCCCAGAGACTCACCTTCACCACGGCAACAGCTGACCTTATCTTCGACCATAGCCCGAACCTCCAGCTTTCCAACTCCACTTCCTCCCCTCTACTCCAACACGCTCGCACACAAGCATTCGTATCCACCAACTTATATCTTCTCCAGCACCCAACCTCACCGTCAAGAAGATGCCTCCCAAGAAGGTCGTAGCTACCAAGGGCGACGCCGGTGACGATGGCGACAAGGTCCGTCCGCCCTTCTCAACACGCAGCAAACCACGCAAACTAACATCCCCAGTTCAGCTGGACCGCCGAGAACGAGCGCAAGGTACCACCCGCTTTCCCACTTCCAAATGCCCAATTAACCAACCCCCCAGCTCCTCCTCTTCATGATCGGCACCACCAGCTTCACCAAGGAGGACACCGAGCGCCTCGCCGAGCACGCGTTCAATGGTGGGTTGCTCACCACACCACCTACATCCACAACGCTAATCTGTAACACAGGCCCCTCCGCGAACGCCATCAAGCAGCGCGCAAACAAGATCCGCATCGAGCACCGTGCGCTTTACGAGGAGCACGGTTGGCCGGCGCCGGACGGCAAGCCCGCTGTCAAGGCCGCCACCCCCAAGACCAAGAAGCGCGGCGCTGCCGACGGCACCGACGACGCTCCCGCGACGCCCTCCAAAAAAGGCAAGAAGGGCAAAGCTGCTGAGGATGGTGATGGTCCCAGCAACGATCTCGACCGCGGTATCAAGGCCGAGGCTGTGGAAGAGATCTGAGTGTCGTGGCGGGAATATGTAGATGACATGAGAGCGGGAGGGTTGACACGGGCGGGGTGAACTTGAGGTGGTAGTCAATCAGTCGGTGCGTGCAAGAATGGGTTGGTTTTCCTTGCATGGCAAATGAAAGAGTTGGGAGCGGGGAGCATTTCGAAAGACCTCGACTTGGATGGCATTGGTCTTCGGGGTTGATAGGGCGTATGCTTGGCCCTTCGGCGTTGCATAGGAACGCGATAACCCGCTATCGAGACATGGAACTCAAGCTCCCTTCGAGAGACGTGTGCGTGATCGCAAACGTGATGCAGCGTGGGAAGCCTACCGCGCTCCCACGAGCATTAGCACGGTGTGTTTATTCCTGGTAAAACGCAAAGAGTGTGATGGACGACCCTTACTTCTCGGCCTGCCCAAGGAAACTGATGGCCCATAGTCCATCTTCTGTCTAACGCCACGCGCCCATGTGTCCATTCCCTGTCCTGCGCCACCCAAATGCTTTAGCAATGCTTGCATAGCCATGATACCCGATGTCCCAGAGAAGCCAAAGCGACCCATATCGTACTATCTATCCCACCTACTTGTTGTCCTTCTTTTTCCGCAGGGTCTGACCGGAACCCTCAAAGTGCTTCGACTCGTCTTTCTTCTCGTCGCCCTCCTTCCCTTTCACAGGCTTGACCTCATACCCGAAGAACAGCTTGCCTGGCGGTAACCGAAGCGGCTGTGGGCCATTTGTCCGTCGAACGGTCGGTGGAGGAGCGTTGGTCGACTGACCCGCTACAGGGGTGGAGGCCTGAGGGGTGGGTGCCTTGCTGCCCTTCTTAGAGTTCAGCTTGTGGCCCGATGTCAGAAAGTTAGACGACGTTGCTTTAGCGCCGGCAGCTGCAGTTGTTGCTGAGGGAGCAATAGCTGCGTAGTTGATCGCCTGCGCCATAGTGCCGTGTGAATGTAGTGTTCCTCCTTTACCCGCCATAACGCCCTTGCTGCTGCGTGGTGTGCTCGTACCGCTGGCCCGTTTGGGTTCCTCGTAGCCAACTGGGGGTGCGAAGTCGACTGACAGATCGGTCTCGAGGGTGCATATTCCATTACTAGCGTGGGGAGGTTTTGTTTCGAGAACCTCGACGGCGTACTGGTTGTCGTTATAGGCGAATGTGAAGACATCACCTTTGGTGAGGCAGGAAAAGTTCCTGAATGCGTTTTCCAGCACGGCTTTCGGGTCGGAGATCTCGAGGAAGGAAGAGTCTTGTGGCTGTAGCTTGATGAATGTGCCCAGAGGGAGATCGGTAGATTTAACTTGAATCAAGTCGCCAGGCTCCAAGAGTAGCGTCTGCATAAGCTGCAAGATCTATTAGCATGGAAGCGGAAACCTGGCGTTCTCGGGAACGTACCCAGTAAGGTAGATAGATCTTGCCCTCTTCAGCTATGAATTCCAGCACACCAGCATGCGTTTTCCGACCATCCTTTGCACCGTTTGTGAGCTCGAAGAGCATAGGATATGTGATGTGTAGCCTCGTGAGCTTGTCCAAAGCGCTCGGTGGGAGGAACACTTTGCCGCCGTGGTTCGCATCCTCACGGTCTGGGCCGGGCAGCATGGAAATGGGGTAGCATCGGAAGTACTCGTCGAAGCGCCGGGGAGCCCCGCCGCGGCGGAGCTGCTGGTACATCTGCATCGGATCGTCTTCGTCGTAGAAGCCGGGGTTGAACTGTCCGGAGTCAGTCGCGGAGTGTATCAGCCCGGTGGTGGGGCGACTCGTACCATTTTGAAAAGCTTGGGCAAGCGCAGAGTCGGTGGCGGATGGCAGAAGGCAGGAACTAAGTACGGTGGAGCAGGTGCGACGTGGTTCGTAGGTGCGTGTTGGGTTGCGGAGGCGTATGTTTGACAGAAGCGGCCAGAATGACGACGGCCTAGGTACCACTACGCACTACGGTAGACCACACGTACCATTCGCGCGCGAAACTTGGCGCGTCCTCCACTCACCGCTGCAGCCTGGCCCAAGCTCCAGCTCTCAGCAAAACGCCGAGAGTCAGACGTCACTAGGCCAATTCCGAAAAGCAAAGCTTCAAGGCACCTCACACAGTCCTCGATCAATATTCGCGACTCAACATGGCAAGCTCGTCAAGGCCATTTGCCGCAGCCCGGCCGAAACGCTCCGGCGAGCATTTTACTCGAACCCATCACCTGGACGCAGACGAGCCCTCCACAAAGAAACCCCGCTTCGATCCCCGAAACCCTTCTACCTTGGCGCCTGATAACGACGACGAGGAGGATCCGACATTGGAGGCCGACGTGATTGGCAAGGGCGGTGCCGGCGTGAAGCGCAACGCTGTGAATATCGATGGCTACGACTCGGACAGCTCCACGGAAAACTTCGATACGCGAGCGGAAGCAAGGACCAAGAAAGATGCGCCCCCCAAAGACGAGGACGACGACGACGACGACATGTTTGCAGAAGATCAAAACGACGACGAGCAGAATGAAGAGACACGGCGCGGAAACAAGAAGAAGAAACAGCTGCGTTTCCTTGATACCCATGAGATAGAGGGACAGGAGGAAGACAGCAAAGCCGGAGGACATGTTGCTGTCGATTTTCGCGCAGGAAACGACATGCAAACGGAAGAAGTGGAGAGTAGCAGCGAGGAGGGCGATGATGAAGAGCGCGACAGGCTTGATCCCGGCATGGATGAGGAGATCGGAGCCGGTGGAAAGAAGCGTCGTGCACCCAAACTAGATGCCTTCAACATGAAGGCAGAGCAGGAAGATGGTCGCTTCGATGAGGCCGGGAACTACGTTCGCAAAGCGTTTGACCCGGAGGCTGCGCAGGATTCTTGGTTAGAAGGTCTTTCCAAGAAGGATATTCGAAAAGCCAAGGAAGCACACGACAAACTAGAAGCAGAGAGGAGAGAGCGCGAGAGACAAGAGGACAGCATCGCAACAAGCGACGTGCTTTCTTCGCTGATTCAATATTTGGACGTTGGGGAATCGGCAATGGAAGCTCTGATACGGCATGGCAAAGCCGCGCCCAAAAAGAAAAACACAAGTAACTGGAGCAAGAAGAAGAAAAGCCAAGAAATGGACGTCGAGACCGACCCAGCACAGGAAGCAGCAGCAGCCAAAGCAAAAGAGGCCATCGATACTATAACTGAATGCGCAAGCCGTCTGACGGATCGTGGCGTGGAAGATATCTACGATCAACCCCGCGAGATGATTATGCGCGCATACAAGCGCGAGACAGGAGAGGATTGGAAGAATCCTAATCCTACTGAAGCTGCATGGGAGTTCCACTGGCTGAACGCGCCCGAAGACGCTATCAACGGGCCCTATGACACGGCGACCATGCAGGCCTGGGACGAAAGCGGGCAATTTGCGGCTGGCGCCGAATTCCGTCGCGTAGGCGAAACAGAGTGGAGTCGTTTACTCGACTTGGACGACTGAGCTGTCTGGAAGGGGACGCGTTGAGTACGGTAGGTTACACAGTGCTACTATACACCGGACCGTCACCTGCCGCAGAGTACTCCAGGGCTTCAGCACCGTTGAACAGACATATTAGCCGCCTAGCCCGCTGCCTCGTCCGCCAGACGGTCCGATGGCTTGCAGACTACCATGCTTCGCACGGTCAATTGTGCAGCGCGGTTGTACATGCACAACGCTCACTCGCTCGCTAGCGTCACGTGAACGAAAGTTCATGCGAGTTGTGAGCGATCCTTGTAACGTATCCTGCCTGCTGGAAGAGGAGACAGCTCGCGCCGGGTTGTCACCGGTCGGCAGCGCCGCCGATGCAGAGGAAACCGACGGCTGTGTGACGCTAGGGCAGACAATGAATCGAATCGTAGACAACGCAGACCTGCCATCTGCCGTGCAACCCTCCCCTCGCTCGCCGTGACTGCTTCTGTGTGCGCGTGCAGATCTCTGAGCCCAACTGATGAATGTGACCGCGTGCCGTGAGCTCCGGAGCAATCAGAGGGCGCAGAGGGAGGGCATTTGACAACAAGCTGGCTGCGGAAAGTCTTACCGGCGAATCTGGTTCCCATGTGCAGCGCAGTGCCCCATCGCGCCCCGACTCGATCCCTGAGCGCAGCGTGGCAGTTAACGGGGCCCCGTTCAACGGACCGAACGGGAGATTCTTTGGTGGCAAAGCCAGCGCTCGGAATGCCTGCTGATCGCTGCAGGCCGCGGCGCATCCCAGCCCCGCGCCTAGCCATGGAAAAATAAAAGTGTCATGGCGGCGCGAGTCACGACAGGCTTCAGGGCGCGAGACTGTGCAAATGTGAGTGAGGACGACATGCGGTCGCTAACAGCGACTACAAGTGCACTAGCAAGCACCCCGAGCGCAACGGCCCGCCTGAAGGCTCGGGTGAAGGGCGGAGCGCGAGACGGGCTCCAGGATCTAGAGAGCGGAAGGCCGCCCGCGAGCCATGCTGTGGGTGCAGAAACAGAACAACGGTTCACTGGCGGCGAGGTGTCGCTGTCTCGTTATGGAGCGAGGCTGTCTCGGCTGGGGGGGTTGTGGGCAAGACTATTGACGATAGACGCGTACCATGGCACGGCAGAGGCTTTTATTGATAGGGGCAGGACGAGAGACATGAGGGCTGCGGTCCAATGAAGGCATGCTTGGGTCTCAAGTCGTGGATCTGACCTGGGCCGCCCTCCCCGCTAGCATCCTCTCTTTTGCCATACTTAGCACGCGCACACTGCCCTCGCTGCCTACCACGCTGACTGAACGGCTCGCCACTGTTGCCTCGCGTTAACGACGCGCGCAGACCCGGAACCCCTTCGTGTTTTGCTCTGACGCCAGCCCGAGCAGCCGTCTGGTCTGTTTGCGGCCCACCCTCTGCAGTGCTCATCTCCCGCCAGCGACGGTGTGCAAAGGGGGAAAAGGAGAGCAGCTGGCTCGCCCGCCCGCCAGCCCAGCCCTGTCATTTCCCGCTCTTTCATAGCCTCTGCCCGCGCCGTCTTGTGGCCGCTCGAGCGCCGCCATCCCCTATTCCACCGCGACAGGACCAGCAGCCAGTCGCCGCGACCGTCCGTCCGCAGACGCAGACCCTCTGAGCCGCCGCCTTGGCACGAGGACCTGCCCTAGTTAATTTTCCCATCCACGTCCGCCCCGACCTGCTGCAGCCCACCTCTCCTGCACACTCACCACCATGTACTCCGCGTACGATCCACCCTCGTCGCGGTCGCCCGGCTCGCACCGCCACCAGCCCCAGACCCTTCACCGCCAGCCCTCCCGCCAGTTTGACGCCTACGGCCAGCTGCCGCCCGGCGCCCTGTATGCAGGCGACGACCATCAGCAAGGCTACCAGCAGCCGCAGCCGCGCAGCTACGACCGCCTGAATGCGACCGTCCACTCCCCCTACGACTACAACATGGGCGCCCAGGGCTGGAACGCAAACGCCTTTGGGCAAAACACCATCGGCGCGCTCGGCGGCGCTGCCACCACCCGGTCAAAGCAGCAGGGTCGCGGCGGCGGGCGCAGCGCTCTGCCGGCGGTAAGTGATGTCGCGCCAATTTATTCTGCATCCGCTGACGATTCCCAGGGATGGCTGGACCAGTCCCAGGGTCTTCCGACGTTCGCGCTAGGTGGCTTGGGCAATGGTCACCCCAACTCGCTGCTGAACCCTGCCATGCAGCAGAACCAGTTCTCGCACGACGTTGACGAAGAGCTCATCCCCACCGCCATCGTGATTAAGAACATCCCCTTCGCTGTGAAAAAGGAGCAGCTTGTGTCGCTGATGACCGAGCTCCGCCTGCCCCTGCCCTATGCCTTCAACTACCACTTCGACAATGGCGTCTTCAGGGGTCTTGCCTTCGCCAACTTCACGACTGCAGAGGAGACGGCCCAGGTCATCGAGGCTATGAACCACTTCGAGCTCCACGGCAGGAAGCTCCGTGTCGAGTACAAGAAGATGCTGCCGCTGGCCGAGCGGGAAAGGATCGAACGCGAGAAGAGGGAACGCAGAGGCCAGCTGGAGGAGCAGCACCGTCCTATGCCTGGATCCCTACAGACGCAACAATCATACAGCTCCCTGGCTTCTCACATACCAGCGACATCGCCCTCCCCCGTGTCCGGGCTTCGTCAGCAAAAGCCTGGTATGTGGCGCGGAGACCTCGGAGCAGGACCCTCTCCGACTAACCCTTCGGCAGAAGTGGACTTGAACGACCCCCAGGTACTGCAGTTCTATTCACAGCTGCTTCTTTTCAAGGAGTCACCCGAAAGGGATAGCATGACCTTCCCATCTACCTTGTCACCGCCTCAGCGACGCATTGTGCACACCCTGGCTCATCAACTTGGCCTTGCCCATATCTCCAAGGGCGACAGCGGACAGCGCCAGCTGCACATCTTCAAGGTCCACGACAGCCAGGGTTTGAGCCCGCCTATGCCGCAGATGCCCACGAGCCATGCCACAGAACAACCAGGACGCCGCGGTCTCAACCGCGCCGCTACCACCGACTTCAGTGACGTCCGCGCCTCGGAAGGTTTCTACAACGCGTTCGGCAGGCAAGCCTCTGGCCTGCTTGGGTTCCCCGATTCTCCTGGTGGGCTTGCCGCTGCACCTAATCTACGAGCCGCCAAGTCGTATGCTGACCTTCGATCGTACACACCATCACCAGCGCCATCCACAGCAAGCCATCCCATCGGACGCTTGGGAGGCCCTACACTGGAAGGCTTGTCCTTCACTGGTTCCTCGACAAACCCAAACGGGACCCCGACTACGGCTTCCATGTCGCAACGTGATGACGGGCTTCTCGAACGTGAGCTTGGTCGCATGCAGATTGGAGGAGGCTTCGCCCAAGGCGGCAGCCCGCGTTCGCTTCGGCAAATGACATCCTGGGATAACCCGGGACCTATTGGAGGCCATCGTACGTTTGGAGGAGGAAACTACGACGACCGTCCTTCCCGACAACCTCGTGGCCCTGTGCCCGAGCGCGGCAGTGGCTTCAGCCGCCCTCGACAGAACGGCCACCAAGGCCGTGGCAGCGACGAACTCTCCTCGCAGTCCAACGTGGAGATTCTGGTTGGCCAGTGAGAAGACCGACGACGATAATATGTTTAAGAGCACTACGCATGCTCGCCCTACGTCACATGTGGGTGGATATTTGAGACGAGAGATGATGACGTTTACGGCCGTGTACACCTGGCCTTCGCTCGAGACAGACTTTACTCTCACGACGTATACGAAGAATGACGCTACGACAGTAGAGACTACATTTGACGGAGCTCGGGCTCCTGATACTCGCATTTTTAACTTGGGTACACCGAAAAAAGCATTTCAAGGATATACTGGATCTCCACTGTTGTTTCTGCCTGTTTGCTTTGTCTGTTTTTCCTTCCCTACTTACTGGATGGATTGTATTAATTGTTTCTTCATCACCGACTGGCATTGGGTCTTGCTTAGTGGTTAGGCTTCGTAATCGCGCGTTGGGGATCAGGGCTAGCACGGGAATCACCTCTTCGTTACTACCTTCGCACTGAAAAGGCGGCTTGCTGCGATGCTCTCCGGAGCACTGGCTGCCGGCCGTCATAGCATACCCTCTCACGGGCATGCTGGCCCATGGGCGGTGCGCCGAGTCAAATTCAACGCTGCTTTGCTTTGCGCCCCAATCTGCGTCTTGTTTCTTGCGTTTCGTACCGTGTTCTTTTCAATTTGTATCTTCTTTGAGAAACGTAACAACACACACAACCGATGACGATCCCGACCAGACAACTGCATCCGACACGAGCCAAACGACGAGATACCTTGTACACATGACGTCTGCTTTACTCCCGCGTCCCGCGACAGCAAATTGACGACCACGCTTCACGACTCAGCAATCTTACGACACGCCTGCATTGTCTATATCCCCAAATCAAGTCCGGTATCGGTCCGGATTCAGTCCAGTTCGATACCGAGAACGATTCATGTTCCGCGATCTCTCGCGTTCTGCGCGTAGCCTAGCCTAGCCTCATCGTTCTGTGTTGTGTTGTTCACCCCCTTTCTTCTCTTCTCTTCCTCGTCCTCTTTTTACTGGCTTTGCATATACGAACACTTTGTTTGGTGGGTTTGGTGGTTTTTCCTGGACGACGACGGCTTGGAGATGGGATTGGTGAGTGGTGGATTGATTGCCTTGGATGTGGGTGACTGAAGGGCGAGAATCGTGGTTTCGAGGTGGAGGCTCGCTCGCTACCTCGCTACCTAAGAGAGTGATTGCAAAGGATTGGAGTGGCGTAATTCAATGGATTTTCCTCCGTCTTGACTTGCTGATTTCCATGCTGTGAAGTGAGGTTAGTTGCGTGTCGCAAAAGGCAACATTCAATATGCATGACGGGATGCGCTCTCACGCTATTTCTATGTTGTACGTGTAATTACCACGTCTTCTGTAACTTACATTTCTGATACCTCTGGCGCACCGCTCGGCTCGCCCACCATGCACAATGCCCTTCCTACTCTTTATCCCTAACTGTGCTGAAGGCAAGCCCCACTGGATCGGAGTTGGGTCCTTTCAGCCCAAAGCAGGCTGACATCTTCTAGCCATTCTCAGCCAAAGTCATGTTTTACAGTACAAATGTTCTGTGCATCTGGATTCTTTGCACGTGCCCCTTTATCCAACCATCATTCTTCTTTCTTGTCTTACAAAGCGCGGGCTGGTAAATCGTTGCTTTCTCTTGTTTAGTTGCCTACGATGGGTGCCGCGATATCTACCCCCTTGAAGAAGGCGTATCTGCTCCGAGTCACTTCCCAGCCTCCCTTTAACCCACACGACACTAGGTAGGCACCAGTCCGCAACACCACCACGTGCAAAGGGACTGCACAGAAAATACGCTCTTCTGGTCAACCCCTGCCTGCGCTTGTCTTCATCCACTCTGTGGGCAAATTCTAGTCTACCTCAGGCATAACTCAAGCCGCCACAGCACCCTAGTTTAGCAAGTTGGTTGAGCAGCGGTCAGTCTGTGCCTCGCACTGCGTTGCCCGAGGCTAGAATAATGCCCCAGGACTCTACGGGTCGAGTGCCCACGTCTCAAAGGGCGAAGTTCCGAATTTGAGAAGGCGCATGTGGTTCGCGAAATGTACCCTACGCTGGAAAGGACACGCTGTTTCGTTCGCGGTGCTGTGCAAGAAGTAGATAGACAGGGATGATGGAGGAATAGTAGGGAGATTTCTGTCTTGGGCAAGGGCGATATGCTGAGCTCGGGATGTAGTGCAAAGTAGCAGCCACTTGATGAGTGCGAAAAGAATGCTGATGGAAAACAGTGCTTAATTAGAGCGACATGCCCGTCACTCGAGCCAGTACGGTGTACAAGAAGGTGGAGACATCCATGCCGCATGTTGCCTGGGCCTGAGGAGGCGTTTCGGTGAATTTTCGCGCATGAAGGCAGTGTGTTCAACTGCAGCATTGTGAATGGAGAGCGTACAAACTGTTCAAAGCACGCAGATGACAAGGTGTTCTCCGGACGCGGGATATTTGCTGCTTACTACTACATAATGGTGGAACCTGACTGAAGCCCAAACCGAACACCTACCCACACACGCCATTCACAGACAAAAGAAAGGTAACACAGTAGAAACCTATCCCAGTAGTCTCCATCGACCCAAGCATCGGGAAAAAAAGAAAAAAAGGAGGCGGCTGAGCGCGCCGTGTGCTAGCCGCCCGGAGCGACTCGCCACACAATACAACAAGCGGAGGAGCTGGCTAACACCATTTCTCGAAATGTTTGAAGAATGTTTCCCTCCGCTCATCCAATGCCCTTGCTCTTGCGAAGATCGTCACCAGAAAGGCATTTCTTGCTCGCATGCGCGATTTCGCATCGGACGTTCGAGATGTCGCATCCACATGGCTCCCTAATTTTCGACTTCTACGCTTCAATGGGCTTGATGCCCTTCTTCTTTTGCTCTACCTTGAGCAGCAGCGCGCGGTTGATGTGTGGCAGTACACCTCCGAAGGCGATGGTTGCGCGGATGAGCGTGTCGAGCTCCTCGTCACCGCGGATGGCGAGCTGCAGGTGGCGCGGCGTAATACGCTTAACCTTGAGATCCTTGGCGGCGTTTCCAGCCAGTTCGAGGACTTCAGCAGTCAAATACTCGAGGACGGCGGTGAGGTAGATGGAGGCTTTAGCGCCAATGCGCGTCTTTTGGCGGGTGATGGTTCGGAGGTGGCGCTTTATGCGACCGCAAGGGAACTGGACGGAAGTGTGAGCGAGTGCGGGCTGCGACATGGCGCGGCGCATCGCAGCAGGGACCCTTCGTTGCGCGAGGAGGGGCTGCGAGCGCGCATCTAGAGCTTACCTGCAGGCCAGCCTTCGCCGAGTGGGATTTGGTCGTCTTGACGTGCGAGTCTCCCTTTCCTCCCGTCTTGCCACCGGTCTTGCCCTAGAAGCGCATCAGCTTCGGTGCGCTCTTCATCGCGCTGAGAGGGGTCGCCCGAATCAGGCGCGTACCTTTCCTCCTGGCATCCTTAGGGCGTATTTCGCGAGAAATTACTGTTGAGTTGGTATGAATAGAGGTGCGCGACCGTGAATCCCGGAGTTGAAGTCGCGTTCGATGGTGGTGGTGTGGGTGTCGGTGGGGTGGCTGGGTGGAGAGAGAGCTCTTCTTTGGAATGGTTGTTGTTGTGGTAGGCGCGTTAATCGGATCGGGGAAGGTGCCACTTGGCGGAAGGCGCCACCATGCGTTTTCGAACAGGCAGCAAGTGTACAAAAGGGTGCTACGGTGGGCCAGTAATTGTAGCCAATGAGTTGTCGTTCATCTAGCGTTTGTGTGTCATAGATGGATGGCTGTAGGCGTACGGCTGTGACTCCAGGGACTTGGTGACGTGATGGCCAGGCCGGACTTGCAGTCTTGGAGGATCCGAGACCAGGCGCTATCGTCGAATATTAGTAAGTTCGGCAGAGCGATAGAAACGCGTACCTTGCATTGCATCCTTGGTGCAGCATGCTAAGGTGTGTCGGCTCGTGATCCTCATGTGACTTGGCCATCCGGGATATCCCATAGCGTACATTTATGTTGGCCGGTTTCTGTTCCAGAGAGGAGATACAATACATGTAGAGGACGTGACCCAAGTAAGAAGAGCTTGAAAGATAGAGGAGAACGATATTGAAAGGGAGCATGTGAGGGAGAGGAGAAAATCCCGAAAAAGCAATAGGTTATGCAGTGCTGAGAGAAAGGACTGAAAACGAGGATGGAGGATAGCCACGAGAAGTGCAATCAGACCTGGAAATACCGAATGATCAACTGTGAGTAGTGTTGAGGGGTGTTGAATCAGTCCGACATGTGCTGTATCCTAGAAGAAAAGCCGTTAGCGGACGCTTTTCTAAGAGCTGAAGTTGGCAGACAAAGTGCCAGCTTCAAAAAATGTCCCTGGATATGAGACCCCGGGTTAGTCTAATGATCGTAGTAATCCCTTTCTTGCTCGGTCCTGCGAGCGACTGATAGAATGGTACAGTGGACTCGAGCTGCTGCAGCTACCCGCATGTGTGGGAGATGACAGAGCTCAAAGGTCTGGCCATGTATGGTTCCGTGTGTTTGGGCAGCTTGAATCAGTTCAACATGACACGGATACATTTGGTATAGCAGAGAGAAGACGGCACAAAAGCCTCAAAGGCAGCGCAACGAAAGCCGCGATGTTCGCTGTGCTTCGAAGACAGAATCGAGCCGACAGCGCAGGCATGCGGGGCTAACCCAGACAGGCATAGAGCACAGGGTCGCTTGGCATTTCCAGTGTCAATGGGGCACCACGACACGCCCAGCTCTCCCTTTCCGCGCCGCAAGCCGCTGATAGCTGGTCTGTTTCCAAAAGCCGCTGTAAGCTCTCTCGTGCACCCCGCCGACCGCACTGCACATCTTCTCCGCGCAGTCGCGGCTGCCCCAGACGCTCGAGCGCCTGCCCGATCCGAGCTCCGCGTTGCGGACAGCTATTCATCGCTTGGGTTGACACCTCGCCGCCGCATGTTGACACCCGCGGAACCGCTTGACGCAACACACGACCACTTCAGAGGAGCGACGCAATGGCATGGCAGTCGCCCTCGGCCATGGGCCCGGGCGGAGCTGCTGGCGGAGGTGACGGCAATGCGCAGACAGGGACAGAGTACACGCTGCAGGGTAAGGGATGCCGCTACTGGCACGATGTCGTCGCAGGCTATATGTGCTAATTGGTGCCTATAGGAGTTATGCGCTTCCTGCAGCTGGAATGGCACAGTCACGAACGAGCGCGCAATGCCTGGGACATCGAGCGCGCCGAAATGAAGGCCAAGATCGCAAAGCAGGAGGGCGAGGTCCGCAGCGCGAAGAAGCTCAACGACCAGCTCAACAGGCACGTGCAGATGCTCGAGCAGGCACTGAAGAACGAGCGGTCAAAGTCGAAGGCCGGGGCGAGCGCCCAAGCCGCGGCCGACGAAAAGAAAGACAAGGCCAAAGCAGAAGCGAAAAGTGGTATGGGACTTGCAAAGCGTGCGCAAACAATTCTTATTGTGCTGCTCCCCTCTCTCGTCCAAGCTGACATATTGCATTTCCAGCCCAAGCCAAGCCTCACAATTCGTTCCTCGATGTTGACCCGGAATCCTCGGAGCATGCCGAAGCCGAGCGAGACAGCCTCCGCGAAAAGTCCAAGATGTATCTCACCAGATGCGTCGAGGAGATCACCTATTTGCTGACACCGCCCGCTCAGCCGGCGCCTCAGCCAGGCCATCATGGAATGGACAACGGCTCTGGTTTTCTGAATCACGGACAGCCTTCAATGGACGACCTATACCCCGGCCTTCGGCAGCACCAGGGAAAGCCGCAATTGCCTACGATACCTGGCACATCCTTATCGAACCATCAAGTACACGGTATTCCTACAACTACAGAGATGCACCCTTTCGGAGTGCAGCCGCCTCAGTTCCCTCCTCAGGCCCCGCCCATGACGCGTGAGCCTTCAGGGCAGCCCCTAATCTCTCATACAGGCCCCTCAACCGACTTCCTTGCACAACCTCCGCAACAACAGCAACAACAACAACCCTATGCCTCTGTGCCTGAGGAACAGGTGGAGAAAGTCACACACACTTTTGACAACCAGGGTCGACCGATAGCCAGTCGAGAAGAAGGCTCATTGGGCAATACTCCAGTGACGGTGGATGACCCCGGAAGCTGGAATTTCGAAGAAGAACCAATCACCGAAATACCCCAGGAGCCCCCGCTACCCCGGCGACCAGATACTGAATCCTTTCCGAGTGCCAATAGCATCCCCGCAAAATCACCGCCGCGACAAGGGAAACGTAAAACAAGTCTAGAGCTGCATCGGAGGCGGGCAAGCCAAGGAGAAGCACGAGAAGTCGCCAGTCAGAATGCACGATCTGATCCGCAGAATTTCAAAGTACGATTCGCGCTTCGTGGGCACCTTGACGTTGTGCGGTCGGTCATTTTCACCGGTGGTGGTAGTCCCACTGAGCCGGAGATCTGCACTGCGGGTGACGACGGCATGATTAAGAGGTGGATTATTCCTGCAAGTTATGCCAACCAACATAGCATGAACAATGATCTGGACATCTCTCCATACTGGTCACATCGAGGTCACGACGGCATTGTAACTTCTCTGGCGGCATGTCCCTCGACAGCCTCCTTCGCAACTGGCGGAAGGGTTTCTGGCGATGGCTGGATATTCTCCGGAGGACAGGATGCTACCATTCGTGTCTGGGAGAGAGGCCGTGTGGATCCGAAAGCTACCCTCGAGGGGCACACAGATGCTGTCTGGACTGTATGCGTACTCCCGGCAACATGTCATTCAGTGTTTGGTGCGGACTGTAGCAACTACGGTGGCCCCGACCGGGTGTTGCTTGCATCAGGTTCGGCAGACGGTACCATCAAGATATGGGCCGTGAGCGCACCTCCACAGCTCGTCTCGCCCCAGACAGGCTCTCGCCGTGGCGTTGGTGGAAGTCGAAGACACTCGGTGACATCGGGATCAAACTATCCTTCATCTCCCCAACCAAGTATCGCAACTTCGACACCCTTCCACTACATGCTTGTACACACCATTGAGCGTGCTACGCACCCTTCGCCCACTTGCATCAGCCCTCTTTCTCCCAACGGTGAGAATTTTGTGGTTTCGTTCACAGACGCTTCGATTCTCGTATACGATACACGAACGGGCGAAGAGCTCATTGGCATGGCCAGCGCAGAAACCTATGACGGCACACCGGCAACAGGTATCACATCTGTCGTCACGACTTCACAAAGCTTGGAAGGTGCATCGGCACAAGATTCCAACCGCGGATCCGACGAAGAGGGCGCTGTCCACGGGCCAACTGGGTCGGGCACCAGTGGGGGTGTGGAGGGCGTTATCATCAGTGGGCACGAAGACCAGTTCATCAGGTTCTACGACGCGAACTCTGGTAAGTCTTCCCACCCACTGCATTCCTTGACCAACATGCTTACAATGCCAGGTCAATGCACCTACAACATGCTCGCCCACCCCGCCGCGATATCATCCCTTGCCATCAGCAAAGATGGCCACGAAGCCGTCTCTGCGGGCCACGACGCCTCGATCCGCTTCTGGTCACTCGACAAGCGCATCTGCACGCAGGAAATCACCGCGCACCGCATCATGCGCGGCGAGGGCGTGTGCAGCGTCGTCTGGAGTCAGGATGGGCGCCTCGTCGTCTCCGCGGGCGGCGACGGCGTTGTCAAGGTATTCGCTAGATGATGAAATCCTGCATTCAAATTTCTAGCGCGCGCTGAGCTGCATTTTCAACCCACACGCGTATTGCATACCGTACATTTTTAACCAGAAAAATACCCCCAACGCGCACGAGCATTCATTGGAACGAGACATGGGATTTTCCTTAAGATCGGACGGAGTTGGAGTGTCGGGCAGGGCTGATGAGGGTAATGGATGAATGGCGGATGGCTTTTATCCTTCTTGTATCAAGTTCAAGTACTTTGCGCAGCTTGAGGGGTGGATCAGAGCTGGATGGCGCAGTTTCGGCTGCGAGCATGGGCCGTCAGATTAATACATGGTACTTTGGCGCCGCGTTCTTTGCCTGTGAGAGGCTATGCCGGCGGACTTGTTCTGTATTTGTACTATATACACGAGAGGAGGTGGCGGGGAGTCGCCAGCTGTGAGCCGAATAGAGAGTTGAGGATCGTGTGAGAGAACGAACGTGCCTTCTGGTGTCTGGCTGCACGCATACTTCCTGCAAACGCAGTGCTTTTACGAGACCACGCGTGAATGGCTCAGGGCGCCGATCTATTCGTCTCGGGCGATATGACGCGACCCGACCTGTGCCACAATGCCATAACCTCCATAACCCGCGCGAGTCGACACTTCTGCTCTTCGCAAGCTAGGCTTTTGATTCCGATTCTAGAGCCACGTCAACACACGTGCCCGCCGCAATGGCACAATGGGCAGCCCACCGCCTCGAATTCCAGCTCGGCGAAGCTAGGTACACGACGCGGCCTGTCGACTCAATCTTGCCACGGTCTGAAAAGCCTGTTGAAGAGTCCCTCGTCACTGTCATATTTGCCTGACCCAGCCGAGCTTGTCGACGGCAGCTGGATTGAGGCACAAGTGCGCAAGCTAATTGAAGAGAGGGATGATGTGTGGACTGACGGCTTTCTGTGAGGTATAATCATTGGCATACCTGGGTCTGGGGCATGCTCTTCCGAGGCGCGTCTGGACTGTATTCGACGTTTGGTCTCCTGGCACGGCTTTCGTTCGGGATTCGAAGATTGCCTGGAAATTCATTTTGTAACTTGCTGAGCTCCTGAGATCGGTCCGTATATGCTTTCACCCGGGGGAGTTCGTCACGTATACCGACTATACGACGATACTCGCAGCGACGTGATGGCGCCCGTTGATCCGACATCTGCTCCAACAGGGTTAGTACTCCTGTCCGTCCAGCGGCACACAAGTCACTGGCAAAGAGGCCATTTCAAGCCTTTGAACGTTGCAGGCACCTATCCACACTCGCTGCACATCGCCGTCCCTTCCAAGCTCTCCTTCCTCCCAACTCCCTCCCGCCCCCTCAGCGGCTTGAAAGACCTCTTCACCCTCCGCGCTCTCCGCGTTTCGCTCTCCACGAAATGCAGTTCAATGATTTCGCGGAAGGATACGATCGAAGCGATGGATTCCAGGCTCCGTGGAACCCTCGGGGTATGGGTACCAGTCTCTAGTTGGGAGCAGTAGTGGTAGTGCTGCGGGGATTGCGGCCTATGAGTGACTTGATGTTGGATTGGGTGCGATAGTGAGTAGACGCGTGCTGGAAGATTGTCATGTGTTCTAATTTCGAACGCCGCAGCTACAGGGAGCAGCCGGCTACCTGCTTCTGTGAATGGCTGTTTTCAGCTCCGATTCTCACATGACTTGTTCTTACTTGAGGGAGTGCAGCTATGCTACGGGTAAGCATCTCTCTCGGTCGTCTTGTTGAAGATGAATCTGATACTTAGGAGGCCCATGGATGTGGCGGCGGCTTCTAGGTGGTGTATCGGCGAACTTGAGGAGGTTGTCAGGGCTTGGGTGCCAGAAGGTGTTTCTGATACCTCGCGGAAGGTACTGTTGCATCCCAAAAAGATATTGGCGAGCAACCTGACACGATCAGCCAACAGTCATCCTTTACCCAACAGACTATCTGCCCGTAGCAAACCCGATGCAGCAGGACATGATCGACCAGACAGTTGACGATGTAGCGAAAACTTTCTCGATTCCCATAAAGGTAGGCTCTTTCAGAGAGATGTTGCAACGTTCTCCTCTCGAAAATTCTCGACAAGTCTCCAGAGTTTTACCTGCGCAACGTAAGTCATCCGTCTCGAATAGAGACAGACAGCTCTAACACACACCCAGGTTGGCCTATACACCTTTGTCTACGGCTTCAGCTATAAGCATCACGGCTTCCGGAAGATAGAGCCACCGGAAAAATTACGGACCGCCCTACGTGAGCAAAGTCACGCAGTGAGGATGGGATGTCGGCAGCACCATCACCCCCGCCCAGCACGACGACGCCTTCCGCCATACAAAAGCGTACAAGACGTGGCTGTTGCAAATGATCCTGGAGGTAGATAGCCAGTCCGCACTCATCGTTCTTCCGATCATGGATGCGGTGCCGAACTACCACGATACAGACCCAGGGTAAGGTTACTTCAGCACACACAATGACACCTGTTGATTTACTCAGGCCACCTTTCGCGCAGGACACTTGGGACCCCCTGTAGCTCGCACCCGTCCTTGGGGGGCCGGAGATCAGTGTGTCAGGTAAAGCCTTTATTGCGAACCTGAGCATGGTGTTTGACTGACGTGGGGTAGTCGGCAACATCGCGTACACTTCCAGGGTCAAAAACCGCAAGGAATTGCTGTCTGTTGCTGTTTCCTTTCTTGCACCCCCGGGTAAGACATCGAGAGCCTCAGAGATAGGTTTTTGCTCATGAGTATGCTCGGAAGTGATGCTATGTTGGTGAGTGCGCTGAGATCCACATTCTTTAGGGTTGGGCGTCCTGATAAGGTTGGGGCGGGGAGGAAGATGTATAAGTGGTGTGTATTCGATGTGAGGAATGAACAGAGGCTTCGATGGAACTCCTCACTTGACAACACTCGGGGTCTAACGGTGGCTTCTTCGGCGGCTGTGAGGACTGGTTGCTAGGCTTCGACGGGAATTCTCCATTTAGACGTCTGTCGAGTAGATAAGCCTGGGAAACATTGCGAGGCGTCACCGCTCCAACCAATCGACTGGCTTCCTGGCTTTATCATTGCCCCGTTCCTCGCTCTTCTTTCAGATAAAGCCCACCCTGGAGGCAATCTTGTGCCTTAGTCCTCGCCGCCCCTCGCTATCACCACCCGGCTGCCCGTTTTGATTCTCGCCGCGACTTTTCTGCATGAAGTGTATGTAAGCCACTGAGCCCACATTACCGCTGCGTTTAGCTGTAGTGGGTTTTGGACGGAAGTTCCAGGCCGCTACCAAAAAGTGTGGGTTTCTGGGGTTGCGGACACATCTACATGTCGCAGGAAGTTACGATCAGGAACGTCAACGATTGTGCGAAGACCTTCGAACTGTGGGCATTTGCACGCAAAATCTTGGTGGATGACAGTATCGGAACAAGGGGCTTGGACGTTACACATGCGTATTCCAAGCCCTCAGTTGCAGTATTGCGCACGCTACGGCAGAGCTAAAAAAGGCCGCGACCAGTGGGGGCTGGTGGCGCAACAGCGGGTTTAGGATCTCAGGAACAAGACGGCCGCCTCGGTTTCATCTCGTCCATGTGCTACTTTAAGTAATGTCCGAAACTAACGAACACGGCATATATCGGATGAGATGGTGTGTCGAAAGGTTGGTATCTTCATCAACACCCTGGTGATCGCGCTGTTCTCCCAACCTGCCTTTCGCGTCAGCACCTGGCAGTTTCCACAGAACCTGTCAACGGTCATCCGTACAACGCACCATGCCTCCGCCAACAACGGAATGGCTCGCAGAGCAGTACCACTCTGGTCAATTTCGCCTGCAAGAGGCGCATTACGACGTTCTTACGGACAGGGAGCATGAAGCCCTCTCTAATGGCTTCAACAGTCTCGCCACACAGGCATCAGGCGAGTTGCGCCTCACGAGGACAGGTATTGTAAAGCGCATTCAATCTCAACTTCCTCGAGGCTTCCCAAGCATCTTCGCAGACCTTGTCTATCGCATCCTGGCCTACCACAGCACAGCGCCTTTCTACAAGGCTCCAAGCACGCCTCTCCCGGAATCTCTATCTCTGGAAGACACCCAACGCGCACTAGCATGGCTGCTCCCAGATCGGCATGTATTGATGGCAACGATAGGAAATCACGGTCGCACGCGAACGCGCGCCGACCAGCGTCGCCTTCTCTTCCAGAGTCTCGCCACCTGCAGTGTTTCCAAGGAGGACCCAGCTGAATCTGCTGATGAAGATGCACGCCGCCGCTACGCCCATCGCAATGCCTTCGATGTGAAGCATGATGAGGATTATGCCCGCGTTAACCGCGATGATGACGGCGACGAAATGTATCACGATCTTCTTGATGTACTGCAGCGCAATGTCCCGGATAACCATCCGTATGGCACGACGCGCGACGATTTGCGGCCATTGGCGAAGGAACTCAAGGCGGACTTTGCGTTCCATGAACTTGGCATTGACCGCCGTGAAATGGAAAAATTCTCCAGAGCGCTATTGGCCCTACAGTTTGAGACCGCCCAGACTAGCTTGAAGGATACTGATCTGGATTACATGGGTGACGTTGAGGCATGCGTTCAGGCTACATTCTCTACATCTGCCGGCGAAGTGGGGGAGGACGTCCATATCGCGTTTTCCGACCTCATCGCCTGGCCAGCTTTCGATCAAGGCCTCAAACAGATGCCGCATCTCTTCGATCCTGTATACCGCGTTCTCAATAACGTGCTCCTCAATGGCGAAGTCGATAGCGAAACCATACCACCAGTCTACGGCATCCCACCAGAGTTGCCAGGACAGGAACACTCACACGTTCTTAATGACCGTCTCATAGCCCTTGCGCCCGCCGTCCTCCCCCCGCTCGTCGACTGGGACTCCCTCCACACCGTCGTGCCCTGGTGTCGCGACCCGCCAGAGTTCCCCAGCAGCGACACCCTCTGGACACATCTTCGCCACGCAGCGCCCTCACCAGACGCCGAGCCTCCAACCACCATCCTCACCTTTACCGGGCGCATTCGTGGCTCAGAAGGCGCGTCGTTCACAGGCGGCGTTCTGTCTGCTGCCGACTACGATGCGAACGACGGGCGGGAGCAGATTTACAGTGTGTACGTCTTCCAGCTGGAGCCTGTGGTGCATTGCAAGAAGCTGGTGGGGCAGGAGTGGCGGAGGGGGCCGAGCGGGGAGTTGGTGTTCGATGGGGCGAGTTTGGCGGACTGGAGGATGGATGTTGAGGCGAGGGTTGTGGGAATGGAGGGGGACACCGTGGTTGAACTGGAGGGTTTGGAGGTTTGGAGAGATGGGTAGTAATGGGCATACTTTTGATTATAGGGTTGCTGTCAGATGCCTTACCACGTTGTATTGCAAGGTCCATTCTCAACACTGACATGCAATTACTTGGGAAGCACCTGACATCTACTACCAACTAGTAGACGAAAACAAAAATTGAAAGATCTGTATCTATCGAGTTGACACTTGTTCCAAACATTCAGGGGCTTTCAGGGGTTTTGGTCTACTAAGTTCACATGCGCAATCTGGCTTGCCCGATATCTTTCCAAGCTCGGAGACCCCGACGCGCTATCCCACCGGATGTGCTAGGAGCGCTAAAGCGATGGAAACTTGCGCCACCCACCTTGGAACGAACCAAGCTTTTCCGAACAAGACCTTGATCCTCCTCACATGGTCCTTTCGAGGTTCTAGATCACGTACCTGGATCAACACCCTTTGCCTTGAATCGGTGCCGGAATAGCTGAAGGGTGTTTGTGCTCCGCCTCAGCGCGACGAAGTTTTGCCTAGCTCAACCACCAACACCAGTCCATCAATCACCCTGCCCCACCCATAGCATGTTGTCGCCCAATCTGTGGCGCTCCCCCTCTCTACCCCTCTTTGTGACGCCATCTGTGGCGGTGCAGTACCCTCTCAACCAAGCTTTTCGCTAGCCCTGCCGCCGACCATCTGACAGCACCCTTACACGATCTATCGAACTGTCTCGATCCGGCTACGCCGCCTCGTCTATATCGCGCAAGCTTGCGCAACCGACGCGAGATCTAGGGCATTGGCGAATGGGAATGGGAGCTATGTGCCTTCCGGGGCGGTGGCCACCTCCACGTGCGGCAGCGACGCGGTAGAGATGGGCTGTGTGACGAAATGCGGCTGGGGAGTGCGTGCCCCGCGATATGGTGCCATTCGAGCTGAAAGAGAGTGCTGCAGCGTGGTGGAAGCAGTCTAGACTTTGAAAACAGGTTTTGGGGTTAGCATGCGAGCTTGATCGAGGGGCGGAGGGGTAAACAATGGGGTTATAAAAGAGGAGTAGGTTGAGCTGCTCCCAAGCTCTGATCGATACAACGTACCCTTCCTTACCTCCATACATACAAACTCGAACTTGAAACCCGAAGAGACACTGCCATCATGTCTGGATTCATTGACAAGGTGAAGGACAAGGTGAAGGATAAGGTGGGCAAGAACAACGACAATGACAACGACGAGTCGTACGGCTCGGGCCGCGACAATGACAACTCGTATGGCTCAGGCCGCGACAACAACGACTCCTACGGAAGCGGTCGCCAGACTACGGGCGGTGACAGCTACGGCAGCTCTGGTCGTGACACCAGCGACACCTACGGCAGCTCTGGCCGCGATACGAGTGATACCTATGGAAGCTCAGGCCGTGACAATACCGTAGGTAGCGACTCCTACGGAAGTGGCCGCAAGGACGACTCGGACACGTTCGGGAGTGGACGCCAGACTGGAGGAGACAGCTATGGCAGCTCGGGTCGTGACACTAGCGACACCTTCGGTAGCTCTGGTCGTGACACTAGCGACACCTTTGGTAGCTCCGGCCGCGACACGAGCGATACTTACGGCAGCTCTGGCCGCGACAAGAGTGATACCTATGGTAGCTCAGGCCGTGACAAGAGTGATACCTATGGTAGCTCAGGCCGTGACACAAGCGATACTTATGGAAGCTCGGGTCGCGATACCAGTGATACCTACGGCAGCTCAGGGCGCAACACTGGCGACGACAACCTTGGCTCGACCGGACGCTCTGGAGGAGATGACAGCTTCGGATCCTCCCGACGCGATGATGTATCCTCTGGTGGTGAGTATCCTCGTAACGCTTCAAATTTATCGGGCTAACATTGAACAGGCCTCGGAGGCGATTCGAACACATCCTCAGGAGGATATGGCTCGAGCCGCAGGAATGACGACGACAGCTTCGGAGGCAGCAAGACAACAGGCGATGACAGCTACGGCAGCAGTGGCCGCACTGGAGACAACGAGTTTGGCAGTGGTACCACGGGCTCTGGCTTCGGAAGCAGTGGAAGACAAACGGGTGGTGACAGCTACGGCCAGGGAGACTCCTACGGCAGCGGAAACCGCCGGGATGACAACTACTAGCTTTGTACCTAGTTCTTTTCCCGTCAATAATGATTGAAATTATCCGAACATGAATCGCATGTAATGCTGTCCTAGAATGCGAACCGGAGGTTACTACACGTCAAAGACTTGCCGTTTTCACACCCGATAGCAAGCTGACGAGGCTACATGGACTAGATTCTTTCTAATCCGCAGCGTGACTGGACACACAATTACCTTTCAAGGTCGTCCTTCGGGTTGATGGTTGATTAGACGGAGATTTAGCGCCACAGCCCCCTTGTGGCTGAGCCAAATTTCGATTTTAGGCCGCTTACAAAAGCAAGCTTGTTCTTTTGGCTCGCTTGTTGATTGGTTACGGAGATTCAACTCGATCCTGGGCCCATGCGACCATCATGTTGTGCGCAGGCGGCCGGACTTACACTGCGTTTTCCTCCTTGCGGTCTAGCCACGAGGTCGGACTTCACTATGTCGCCAGGTAACATGCTTCTCAATGCGGCCCAAAGTAGGCGTTCATCGTTTCCTACGTCCCGTTAGCTTCGGCTCGGGACCTTCTCGTATGTTTCATCGGACTTCGTGTGTCTTCACCCTCTCCTCGCGGTGCATGAGGCGAGACGCATGCCGAATAGCCGATTCATGGCTTGGAATACGGATGTCATTGTGTCTACGATGATCCGTCGGCCGTAGAGGAGGTATATATCTTCGCAATTATCTACCAAACGAGAAAATCCATCAGCTCATCGCATCATTTCATTCGCTTCTCCAGTCATTCCTTTTGACCATTTCCCCACATTCGTTACATTTCCATTCATTCGCATTTTCGTTTCTGCGTCGCCATGCGCACAGCTGGTCTCGTGGTGGCCCTTGGCAGCCTGCTCAATGTTGCCTTTGCAAATGTAGTCTGCAACACCGAGGCAGTACACTCAAAGCCCAGAATCGTTTCTGCCGCCGAAAAAGACGGGCTCGCCACATCCATCGAGGAGGTTTGCAGCACCACCGACAGCTTCTCCGAAAGTCGATCTGGATCGACCGTTTTTACTATCACTGGCACCGATGAGGATCTTGGCAGCGATGACTGCGAGGCCCAGTTCCATGCCATCATCGAGCAGTGTGTGGCTGGCCACAACTTTGGGGGTGGCAGGCTCATCACTACGGATGGGTTGACGCTCGAGGTGTCGACTACCGATGCTGGAGGTAGTCACGCTCTGGAGGCGAGGAGGTCCAGGGGCGGTCGGTCCCGCACCAGCAGGACGCGCACACGCACCAAGCGCCCAAAGAAGACCAAGAAGCCGAAGAAAACTAAGACCAAGAAGCCTAAGAAGACGAAGGCCAAGAAGCCCAAGAAGCCCAAGACTAAGCAGCCTACCTCCTGCCCTCTTCCCAAGAAGAAGACCGGCATCAAGCGCTTTATCCCCGACTTCATCCTCAAGCGCGCAGGCTCCTCCTCCGGCGGCGGCGCTGCCGGCTGCGCCCCCGAGGAGCTCACCGAGACCAACGCCTTCAAGTCCCTCGCCAAGGAGTTCCCCAATGCCAAAGACGGCGAGTTTTACAAATTCACCTCCAAGTCCCCTTTCACGGAGCCCGGCCCCAACGAAACCAACGACGAGCTCAAGCAGCTCCAGCGGACGTTGGGCTTCAACCACATCGCTGTAGTCGTCGGGGAGGTCAAGATCACGGAAAAGATCATCGGCAAGGGCGCCAAGGCGAAGAAGAAGGTGCACAAAGACTTCGTGGCTAGCATCATTGATCTATGGAAGATGGATAATGGTGACTCGAAGTACAATGAGAAGAGATTCGAGCCAAAGAAGGTCTTCAAGCTGTGGGATGGCCAGAAGACGACGAGGGCGAAGGCAGGTAAGGCGAAGAGCAAGGGTAAGGAGTACTTTGACGAGGCGGATCATAAGAAGTATAGCGTTGCGACCAACAACTGCAACACTTTTGCTCAGACATTGATGAAGGAGATATAAGGGATGTGTGAGGTACTGTTTTCGAGGTGGGCACGGGAATGGATGGATGGGATGACACTCATCTAAAGACGGTGGTGATATGCAACGCAATCGTCTGGTGTAGAGAGGTGAGGCTATGGGATTATTCGAGATATCTGGTACGGGGGAGCTCCGCTGTCGAAGTGGAGATGATTCAAACTACATTACAAAACATTCATCACATGCTTACTCGACTCTCGTTCGAACTCACTCCGTGAATTTCGTTAGCCCCAGGATCTTATATTTGACCTACACTGCGAAAAGCCATCCAACCCTGACTCAAGTACTAAATCTCGCCAGCTTCACATGGAGCTGCATCAAGGGATTGCCTCAAGCTCAAAGAGCATGCCATAGTCCTGAGGTGCCTTTGAAAATGAAGCCGAATCCTCATTCGGTCCAGGGTCATTCGTAACAGATCCTGGAGAGCCATGGAAATCGCTGTCCCCATCTTCTGTCATATCCACGTCCGAGTCGACGTCTGATTCATAGTGCTGGGGTGAGTCGACATCTATTTCGCTATCGGACTGTGTGACACTCGTTTCATCGCGCGTGATGTATACTTTCTTGATGCGACGCGGGCCTAGCTTTTCAACGTCACTGCAAGATGGTTAGGGTGGCTCTCAGTCGAATATGAAGAAAGGAACATTGGAGAGGAAAGGAGTAGAAATTATCAGGGGATCAGGCGCTATGAAACGTTCTCGTAAAGTAAGTGCAATGCGCGCTTCCCATTGGTTGTGCCCATAATGGCCTCAAATTCTGGGTGCCGCGGTCGAAGCTCACGAATTCTTCCGGGCGCTCCAATTTCTGTCCGAATCTTCCTAGTGCAGCTTCAATGACCTCATTGGTCTCAATGGTTTGGATGTTCCGGTGGACGATATTCTCTATCGGGTGTTGAATCGGGTCAAGACCTTCGCTTCTACTGTAGGCTTGTTCCAGGCTGTACATAACCTGATCTGTCCATCGAATAGACTCTTGCTGATCATTGGGCCTACCGTCGTCAAAGCCATTCCTGATAAGTCTTTCGTCTGCTGCAGGGTCGTGAGGCTTGGGTACATAATTGCGATACAGCTGGAATTTTATTGAAGCTGAAATCCAATACAATGGACCGTGACTTAACGTCCAAGTTGATCGAGGTCTTAAGCATATCGCCCCCGTTTTCTTCTCCCAGCTCAGATGCAAGCGCGTCGAGGTTGGTTTTCTGCTTTTCAATCTCTTCTGGCGATAGGTTTTAGTCGATTTGAGCTTTTTTGTCAGCGATAAATTTGTCGATGTTCTCCTTTGTATACTTAATAATCAAGAATTCGGTCCTTAGAAGTTGGATCAGAATAATCCAACCGCAGTGTTCAGAATCTGAGACCAAAATGTGGCCACAATTGGTCTGCATTGCCCACTTTAGGATAACACGCTTACTCATGCTCTTTTCACGAGGATGTAGAGTGCTAATGAGACTTACCATTCACTGTCAATCTTACCGTTCATACCCTTCACAACGCTGAGAATCTTGGGGTAATCTGTACGTCCCCAATCGCCAAGTTGGTATCTCGAATTCATGATTTCTTCGGTCGGAACACTTCTTGGTGTGCGTATATCCGTCTTTACGTTATCTAGACGAGCGATTGCTGCTCTGCTAGAAATGGAGAATCGGTTTTCTGTTTGTCTCACGTATACTTCCAAGGCATTCCATTTCGTCTCATCGTTTGGACAGACTGTCCTCTTTCTCCGTTGATAGTGCAAGAAGTCAATTCTGGCTCCTGATTGGAGGTAGGGTCTTTCGGATTATTAGGACTCTGAGCAATTGGGGCAATCGTTTCCGGAGTATCCGGATTTTGCGTTTCAGGTGGCCAGCGGCCATCCTCGGGAACATCTTGGTTTGGGTTGTTGAAGTTTGGTATCTCAGGAGTGAATCCTGTTCTTGATGCATCAGGTAGTTTTCGTGCATTGGGGAATTTAGGGATGAATCCTGGACGATGAAGCGCTGTCGAGAGTAGCACGTTGAGGAGAGCGAGTTTTGCAGCAGTAAGAAACATATTGAGGATATGAACCGCAGTAAAGATACTTTTCACTTGTTTTGACGGTAAATCGATAGGCGTTATTGTACACTTCCCCTTCCTACAGTGAGATATATACATGCAATATTTCTATCGTGTCTCAGTTCCATTCGCGGTGCTTGTAGTACCTCAATGCTAAGTCTTCGGTAGACATACACCGGCTCCTACCATCTCACGAAACTTTGCTTGCCGCTTTGTTGTGTCACATGTTTCTCTTTGAGACCTGGATAACAATCTTCCGTTTACTTGGTTGCTATTTCAATGAAGATGTGTCACAACTCTGGCTTACTCGGTCGAGGCTCTCAGCGTCACAGATCATTCGCGTTAGCAATGACTCAAGACATGGCGTAATACGGACGCCAATCAACGACAACTTTACTAAAACCGACCTTCGCTATCAATACTGGAGATCATGTTCCATCATCATGTGTTGCCACGTGGTCATTGCAGAGGCGTGGTCATTGGCTGCCTTGTGTTAATGGTTTGAGGTTAGCACCTTCAATCTCTACGCTCAAAGTTCGACTAAAACCCGGGCTCGTATAAAACAGCAAATCTATTATTTGCAGGCGCTTAGCTGAGATTGTGTGTGTGTGGTAGTTCCATAGCGGTCTTTGCAGAAAACTTTCATTCTCTCACTTCTCCTATAATAACACAGATCTTTCCGCAACGTCATACCAAAAAACTACAAGACTCACTCAGAATGGAAATGAAGGTGATGAAAGGACCGGTAAAACACTGGTTGTGGAAGAGACTTAACCGCATTTTGAGCTCCAAAATGAATCCCAGAGAATGTTTATCATATGTAACAAGGTTACCTCGGAATTTCTACGTCATGACTTGGATCGCTTGAAATCGCGGCGCAGTGATCTGAGTCGCGTCTCCCAATAATTGTCTTTGCACCATTTCAAGAACTTCATAAGAGGCTTAGACCCATCTGCAAGGAGCGGTTCGCCTAGGCCATTACGCAACCAATGAAGACTGCATTGGAGACGCAGGATAATCTAATCTCAAACCTATTCCAAAAACGAGGTGTAAGCAGCCCGTAGAGTCGTGGCGTAGTTTCTGAATACACGTTCTCAATTCTTACATCCTCTCATGAAGGCCGCATCCACTAACGCTCATCTGCGTATCTAAGTTCGGGCCGATTTCTTTATATTGGTCGAGAGAGGATCTGCATTTTATATAGCTTCTGCAGCATCTCCTCGTGGTCCCCGTGCAATACGCCGCGATCAACAATAATTCTCTCTCACTTTCAATCATCTCCTACAATTTTGCCTATTCAGCGCGAATTGAGCCCGGCGGAGAATAAAGTCTGATGGGTCTGCCTCTTGGAAATTCATAGAACCATACTGGCAGAAGCTGTTCGGCTGTGCGGCGTCAAACGCGCGATGAGGCTGCGATTGGTCAAGAGTGAGTGCGCTTGAGCGGTAGTCTTCATGACTAACATGGAATAAGAGATCTTCTCGGATGAGCTTGTCGAAGCCTTATGTATGTCTTAAAGACTTGACACTTATCACCTGGAGCCAGGCGCATGGGCGTTTAAACGACCTTACATCGAACGTCGTTTGCTCGCACACCAGACCGAAGACTTCCCTACACTTCATACCATCAAAAAGGCCGCAGCGGTCCTGGCGTCGCAGAATGAAGCCCCATCTGGCTACGAAATTTACGCGCTAGAGCTTCTTCATGTAGCTACTACGAGTTCCGACGTTACAATGGTGCGCTCGCCGCTGTTCCAGCGGAAAGGCAAAGAGATGTCTCACCGCTGTGCTGTAGTTCTACGAGTACCATGTTATCCATAGAAGTATTACAAATGCGGATAATGCTTCTTTTTAGTAATGTAGTCCATCACGATCTAGATAAGCAGATATCATGGTATTCTGACATTCCGGCTCCGCCAGAAAGCAAAATCCCGACGATTGGCCATGATTACATGTTACAATATACATGATGTGATTGATCCCCAATGATTGGCCCGTTGTCAGTTACTGGGGCTGAGCTTCACTGTTCACACCAGGCTACAAAGCCAGTCCTGCAATCGATGTCTACACCATTAAAGCTCAGACCAAGATGATGAGAGATCACCTTGGAGATACCGAGATTGGTGAGTCGGACTCGTATATGCACGATGCGCGATTTTTTCGTACCTACCGTATCGGTTCGCGATTTCGATCCGAAGCCAGTCCAAGTCTACTCAGCAACTCTTCGTTTCGCATTACGGAGAATGAAAGATTCGCAAACATGGGTAATGCTTCTAAGCTCCGAGTCCAACGACCTGCAGCACTGTAAGCCTCTTATCGCAGATGACACGCGATCATTGCTTTATCACTGACATAGAGCGATTTCCCGATCTTCAATTGGCATAGAAAACATAGAAAACATAGAAGATAGCCTTGAAAGTGGACTGTACAATGGCGACCTAGAGAGTTGGACTCGCGCACCGCAAAGTGACAATTCTTGGATCCGGGTACCTGTACGCTTTGTATGTACTAAGCTCATCATGACTCTAATTGAGGATTCTTCTGATCTTCGTGCCTTCATGCGAGATATGAGGCATTATTCAAGAGCCATCATAGACCCCGTGATGATTGCTTGCTCTGTACTCGGGATCTTGTTCTGCGTTATTCTAACGCTTGTCGCGGGGTACTACATTTGGAGTCACTTCGACAGAGGAGCATTCTTCGTTTTTGTTCTATTCGTGGCGGAGGCTTGTACTATTTTGTTTATAGTCATTAGGTGCATGTTTCAGTTAAACAGGAAGTTATTTACGCCGAATTCCTTATGCTCACACGAACTTCGACCATCTACAAGCTATCGACATCAACAACACTCTTCGAATCCACCCTTACACGACACTTTCAAAGGTCCCAAAGACCGAACTACCTCACGTACCAAACCCAGTACGGCAGACCTCCGAGTCACTCTCCCCTTCCCCATCACGATCCCAATTCCCGAGCCCCCGCTAACTCCTCACTAAGCACGACAACACGAACCTCCTGACGATGAAAAGATCTCATTCCAGGACCACACCACGCCGCGCTATACCAGCAACCCCACAACCCGCTTCCCCAACAGCGGCGCAGTCCTAGCCCTATCTCACGCTCACGACTAACGCTGTCAGAGTAGCGGTGTACCACGCGGGAAGCCCTCCATTCCCAATCCAGCAGCACTAAGTTGCACCCCACCAACATCAACGAGCAACACGATGGAAGTAAAGCACGATGGGTTAGCCGCTCAGCCTGAACATAGTGCATTTTCTATGTGGAGGATGAGAGTAGACGTGATTGAGTGGTGCGGGGTGGGGCTACGATTGTGTTGAAGAGAAGCGGGCTGTTCCGAAATCTCTCTAGACTTGACTTCACTTGTCTTATCGACACGAGAGTTGACAAGTGTCGTGGTAAACTTGATGCACTAGGGCTCGCTTGGATGGTGCCGGAGTGGCGCCGCAGTCTGTCAAAGCGAACTTGGGGGTTTGGTGGAGAGCAGGTGGTGCGTCGGGGAAGTCGGAACCTGCGAGCTAAACTTTGATCGTGGTCTCGGTCGTACTGTCGAGCGTGTGTGCTTCGACGGGGGAAACGTGGGATGCGGACCAGAGTACGTCGCACGGGCTGCATGCGTGGTGATGTAACTGCCTTCTTGCCAAACCGGTGTCTGTGATATTTTGGATGCGGGCTTGGGTGGTGAGTATGCAGTGCTGTCGATCCTATGTTCCAGAAACACGGCTGATTGCAGCGGCGGCAGGCGAGATCCCGCAGAGTGAGTGCGAGTGCCGATCGGGTCTTGTCCTGGAATGTGTGTTGGGGTAGGGACAAGGTCGGGAACAGGTATATGCATGGTGTGCATGAGCACGAGGACAGCGCGGGGAGTGTCCGGTGAGAACTTCCGCGAGTACCGTCGAATGCAGATCTGGCATGTAGTACATGGATGTAAAGTGATGCGCGATCGACACTGTTAGACGAGAGACGTTAATACCGCACATTGCGCACAAGACCACAGAGACATGAATCGTGATCTGACATTTCGACATGCCTGCAGCTAAGGAGCGCGGGGCGAGGGACAGAGGTGAACGTTGTCAATGCCAAAATGTCATTGCCTGGGACTTTTCCTGCACCACCGCTGAACACCATGGTATGAATCGTTGTAGCCATGCACGCCGTCACTGCCACCTAGCACTCAGTAGGGTCATGTTTAACCTTTCATTTGTAAACATAACACCATGTGATGCCCATATTCATGTCGAAAAAACCGTAAGAGACCCCAGCCTATTCAACCAAGTCCCTTACACCTCAGCAAGCACCGTCTCCTTGAACTCCCGCTCAACCTGGTATGTGTTAGCTGCTACGTCCAATTACATCGGATATGGCGTTCCATACCTTCTGGCCAGAGTCGTCCGCGTTTGACTCGCCGTGGAGTCCGAGGAGAGCACCAAGGTCGAACTTGGGCTGCTTGAGAAGCTTAAGCTTGCGGACGTGGATCTATGCTGCTGTCAGCTCGGACCTTTGAACACGCGCATCCTGATTTCACATACGTTCTGGAGGGGGTAGATGCCCTGGGTGGCCTTCTCAATCTCGCGGCCGATGACCTCGGGGATGAGCTTCTGGGTGAGCTGGGCGAGGGAGCACGAGCTGGCCTCACGGGTCATGATCTCGGTCATCTTCTTGCGGATCTGCCTGATCTGAGACGAAGCGGCGTAGGTGGTCTTCTTGATCTGGTTGGGTCGTCGCTTGGTGAAGGCGATGGCGAAGAGGCGGACGAGGTAGTCGTCGGTGGTCTTGACGACGACGTTGGCCTCGATGAGGGTTTGCCACTTGCGGACGAGCGAGCGGAGCTTGTCCGAGGTGAAGTCGAGGCCGTGGAAGTTGGTCAGGCAGTTCTTGCCCTGGACCTCGTCGACGCGGAGCTTGACCTTGCGGAAAGCGTGGTCCTCATCCTTCTGGAGGTCGGCGAGGGAGACCTCGAATATCCGGCCCTTCAGCGCATCGTTGGCGTTCTTGAGACCGGAGGTGCGGTTGACGAGGGTCTTGCCGACGCTGCAGAAGGAGAAAGCGTCAGAATTCAGTCCATTGAATTGCGTGCGGGCGCGCAATGTTGCGGCGGGGAGTCTTACTCTCGGACCTGGAAAGTGCCAGGGGCCTTGACGTTGTACCAGTCCTTCTTCGCGAAGGTGTCGGTCTTCTTCTTGAGACCCTTCTTGCCCTTTGAAAGACGCTTGTTCTTGCCGACAGCCATGGTTGCGATGGGGTGGAAGGGCTGTTCTGGTTGTGTCGTTTAACAAGTCGAAGCCCACGCTGAATTTCTTCGCTAAGCGAGTGGTGTGCGCGCACGGGCCGCGTCACGTGCATCATCTTGGCAGCAACACGAACACCGCAACTGCTCGCATGCGAGTCTGGTTTGCGCACTTAGTCTCCATTGATGCCCTTGTTCGTGCGTAACATTGCCGTGCCCAACCCGACGTCTGTTAGACTGTACCCGCGATACGGTATCGGAAGGGGTAGGATGCCTTGCTGCACTTGTGCATGATTTTTCACGCCTTCGCCACAGCAGTGTATTGGCCTTCGTATAGATGGTCTCAGGCACATACCTCGCTGATTGGGTTACATCTCGATTCTCTGAGAGCGGTCTGGATGCCGATATCAAATGTCCTGGTCCGCTTCACTCATCAGGGACGGATTGATCTGCAACGATTGCAAGTGTCCTCCACGCGGCATATTTGAGCAGCAAGGAACCTCCGGAAAGTACGCCTTACCGTGGCAGACTAAAGCAATTTCAGGTATAGAATATGCAGACGAATAATGCCGCTGGACATCAATGCCAGCAACAGTCTTCTGTACGGGCGATGCTCGTTGTACCCTTAAAAGCCCCACAAAACTATCGAACTCGACGTACCACCACTGTAGCTACACGTCGCCAGCAAGCTTCACGCACGGATCCAATTCAAGAAAGATTTATGACATCTTATACTTTTCTTTATTCCTCTATTCTTGCACAAGCTACACTCATTTCTCCTGACCGCTCCCTTCACGACTCGCTACTCTCGGTCCGCACCACTAGTCTCGCTTCTCGCCTCGCTACTTCGTTCCTCCCACAGACCATCATCCGACACTTCACTGCCGACCTCCCTTCGCCTCGTGACTTGGCAATCGGTCGAAATTGCTCGCCGATCAGGATTGGGCCATATGGAGCCGCTGAATGCAGTCGATGCTGACTCTTCTTCAATTTGCTTTTCGCCGAGCGATGCCTCGTGTTGAGCTCGAAACACCTGCCCGTCCCCTTTTTCTTCTGGCGGGTCTGAGACTGACGCGTCTTTCAGTCCGAGAGAAGTGGAGATCTCGATGGCCGATCCGTTGGCTTCTTCTTTAATCCACTAGGCATTGGGTGTTGATGCAGAGTTGTGTGTCTGCGCAAAATCTTATGTCGGTGACAAGGGAGTGGTGGTGTTCTTTATCGACGATGTCGTTCATCAATGATGAGCATCAGTCAACGTGATACCGGTGATTGGGCTTCTCTTCACTGCAGCATTTTGCTGTTCACGTGACCAAATCAAGTCCTTACAGCGCTATGCTCCCTCCGCGGCTGCTGGTAAGGGTTTTGCGACTGGCAAAACTTCTCAAAGTCTGGGAAGCTAATGTAACCATCTGAGACGAGTCAGCTATTGATCTTCCACCAAAGGCTACGCGTGCTTACCCTGCTGCCTGTACTGATGGACGTAACGAGCACTCTCGCTCCTCCACACCGCAGGCCGATCTGGGCTGTACATTGGACTTGAGTGCATTCTCTCTTCTGGCGAGGACATCGGGCTACCCATCGGTGTCTCGGCCCTCGGCGTGGATGGGTGTGAGGCAACCTTGGCTAGTAGGGCTGAGGCTTTGGTCGGACTGCCCGATCCAGAGTCTCGTCGGCTTGCTATCGTGGACTGCGTTGTGAGACATGGCGATGAGACGGTGGAAGGCGTGAGCGGTGGACGACGGCTGCCTGATGTTGACCGTGGCTGCTGGGGCGGTTGTGTTGGGAGCGAGTAGTAGTATCTGGTGTTGTTCGCCATTGCGGAGGATCGTATGGATTTGATTCGTTCGGCGATCAGTACGGTAGATTTGTGGTTGGGAAAGGTGGAATGGCAAAGCAAAGCAGTTGGAAGACGTAGTGGTAATAATGCTGAGTGCCCGCGCCCAGACGCCATTCACCCAGACTACAACGCCTCTGCAAGTGCAGGGAACCCCTGCAACGCCAGCTGCATCATCAGCCGGGCCCTCCACCTTCGAGTTCCTCGGCCCCGGTCGTTATGCACGATGCACGCCTCTTAACAACGTGGACCGTTAGGACAGCAGGCAGCTAGCCGGCCACAAGGCGGCTGCGCTGTCATCACTTCATACGTCCTGACTCGCCTCCGACCGACACACGATCACATTCATCTCGGAGGGTGCGTTGGCCACCGATGTGTCCCATTTAGTCGCCTTTAGTCTGGAAGCGGTTGCTCCTTCTAGCGAAGTCGCTGACGTTGGTCGTATTGAGGCCTCTCGTGCCTGATTGGCATCGCGGCTCTGAAGCCGGGAGCGCGGGTTCCAAGGCAGCGGGGTCTCGAATCGGGACATGGATGCGCCTTCAACAAACGCTTCCGTCATGGGTACGTGTGGTGGAGAGACAACTGCCAGACAGCCACCAATTCAGGGCTGGCAAGGCACGCGCCAGTTGGTGGGAGTTCCTTGCGGATGCCTTCCGCCGTTCCTGAAGCTACATCGGCAGGACCGCGCTCTGGTGTGTGCGGCCACAGATGGGATGGAAAGACCGTGCAACCGCCTCACAATGCTTCACGTCGTCGGTCCTGCGACGTGCGAGGAAGCGGTGTCGGAAGCAGCCGAAGGTCTTGCTTTTGACCAGATACGCGCAATGACATGGCTCGCGCAACGATGGTGAAAGAAGCACGCACAACACGAGCCAGAATCCAACAGAATCCCACGCGTTGGACCTGCATTTCATCCTTCCATACCTGCAAGCCGTCGTCCCACCTCTATGACGCATTGTCATCTATTTGCCCTCCTGATATGGTACTTGGCTATATTCTGCACGCTCGGGCGGGATCGATTAAGCGGCGGCCACGTACTCCCGGCCGCTCGCTCCCGCCAGTGTACCAGTGTAGCAGCTGAGTCCACTCGTTCTCGATCGCACTGTGCATCCCACCGACCGGGCGAGCGCGAGGGTGAGTGCTACCAAACACCCTGCGCCGTGAGGGCGAGTGCTTACAAGACACTCTGCGTCGTGAGCAGCTCCTCTGACGTTGCACCACGAAATGGACTACCGAATAAACTTCCGACGGCCCTTCTTGTGTCAGAAGTTTCCAAGTTCTGACCTGTTCAGCTCATCGCATAACATCGCGATCCACTCCGCTCTGGAGAGCGGGGCGGACAGGCGTCCAGACTCGCGTCTCCTCTTGACTAACTCTCAGCTGCGCGGCATGACGCTCGCCAGCGGCTGCGACGGCCGGAAAATTGCCCGCAACCTCCAGGGAAATCGGTATCCTTCCCATGCGACGCGGAGGAGCCAAATCAGCATCGACCTGACCCCAATCTGGTTGACCGCTCAACACGCCTGGTGTATTTGGTGGGCGCCGTATCCGCTGTCTCACGATTGATCGCACCGCGCACTGGATCGCTCAACTCCTTCTCGCCACATCAAGCAGCTACTACGTTGTAGTACGCGAACATCACCCATTGTGCATTATCTAGTCCTCGGTATGAGGTATGAGCGCTAAGAGCTTGCTCTGCGACGATCGGTTGTCTCCCTACCACCGCTCATGGCATTCCTATTTCTCCATCCATGAGTGGGTACAAAACCACACACCGCCGAGCACGCCAGACACCTGCTATATGCTATGCTGCCCAGCCCGTTATGAAAGCGCCTGCTAGCCCACGATACCGTACACTAGATGCTCTCGGTACCTGTCGCCGCCCCACTGCGACGATTAAGGTTATCGTGTGACACCCTCTCCGTGCCCCTCCTCGCTGTCATCTCGACGCCTCTTGGGCACTTTCGAGAGAAGGTGCATGTATGCATGGGTGCTATTTCCGGTAGACTGTATTATTGACAGTATGACTGGTAACGTGGTGGGGTTTGCATTGCGCGAGGGGATGTTGGTGCCGTGCTTTGCTGTGTATATTGACCGCTTTTCGAGGCCGTGAAGATGCAGCCAAAGCGAATGTGCACTGTGGTCTATACTCGACACAGCACAGCATAACACAACGCAACACAACAACACCACCACCTTCCCCGCGGCAAACGCCTGCAAATCTGCGCCAAATACGCCGCCTGGGAGATGTGCAATGCAGACGCCGCCTCTCTCTCTCCTGCGGTGCAACCCACCTGTCAAGCCAAGTCCCAACCCCAACCCTCCCTCCCAGGGCCTTCGGCATCCTCCCGAGCATGTGTTGCCCACCCCAACAACTCCCCTACACACCACTCACAGCACCCAGCAACAGCGAAAAAAAATCCCCACAGCGATCTAGAATGCCACCCGTGCCGATCTTTTCCGAGGAAGTGCGCGCACGCAGGTTCGCCTGCGTACCAAAGCTGCTAGCCCTGCCTGTGCCTCACACGTGTACGTGGGACAGCCGCCACTCGACTCGACTCCACGGCCGCAGCGTAGGCAGGTATCTCCCAGCGCGAGCAGGGCCAACGCGTCTGGGCCTGAAACCCATGCCGAAACATACGCATCCAGACCCTGAGACCTTTGATTCAAGTGCAGTGTAGAGGAGGCAGTGGTGCCGCTCTCTGCGGTAAGCATCTCCCTGCCTCACGCACTCTACGTGCGGTGGCAGACACCCCACATCGCGTGTCCTGTACATGTGTAGAAAGAATTCCCGGCCGAGACCAGCAAGGCCGCTTACTCTTAGGTACACACGCACGTGCAAGTACAAAGGCGCGCTCAGGCGGTCGAGCCCAAGAGCGGGCCGCGCCGGTAGTGTGTGTCTGCCGTGCGCTTCTAGTCTTGCCTTGCCTACAGACGCGCTGGGCGCGGCTTGGGGAGTCAGTCGGTCGTACGGCGGGCAGGTGGGAGGAGCGGGTAGGGCGGATTGGGATTGGGATTTGGGATGGTAAGGTGCGGCACGTGGAGAGCGAGCGTATGCCCGGGGGTGTATGTACATGTACCTGTACAGGGAGGGTAAGACTCGCATACGCTGGATGTGCTGATTGTTGCGTCTACTATACACACGCTGCTGGGCAAAGGCTTTGCAGCAGTCAGTGACTGTTTGGTTGGTAGATGGCCTTGGTAGTGTGTGGCTGGTAGCGAGGGGTGCAGGTCTCACGTGCTATAGTGCGTTTAGGTTGGTTGGTTGGTGAAAGGGAAGCATGTGCTTGTTAATGCTGTTGTTGATGAGTGGTATGACTATGCTGAATTGAACACGTGAGGGAGGATGAGTGGTGGTGCAGGTGCGGGGGGCGTGGGTGTACGAGTAGGCGTTGGGTGGAGAGATGCGATGTGGACGGAGTGATTCGGTGATGCTGGTCAGGTGTGTCCGTGACTCCGGTCTGAGTGAGCATCGCTTCGAGACTCATCTCGAGGGAGCATTCGTTTTTCACTGGTCATCCTTCCATGGTATACCGAAGCTGCCAATAATGCAGGTGAACGTGGCGTGCGTTGTTGCGTGAAAATATTCCCACAACAACTGGACCGAACCAATCGCTAATAGTCACGCATAAATCAAGGTGAGGGCAAGTTGCCCATTCGCTGGATGTAGGTATTTGTTTAGTCTACTTGCATTTCTTGCGTGAGCACTTTCGCTGTTTCTTCGGAGCCGCAGGATGCATGCTGCACACTCCACGCCAACGGAGTCTACCTAAGAGTCAGGCTTATCGAGTGTTCAAAACGGTCACTGCGATGTGTCAATTTGAATCCAATCATGACAATCTGGCGAAGGTCGAGGTGCACGAAGATGTGCAGGCAGTCGATAGCTCCCCTGGTGTGCTTTTGGCGCTCAGTGCTGTCGCAACGGTCAGTCCTTGATACACTTTGCTGTGATGATGCGGAAGACTTACATCAATATCCTCCCATCCACGGCCCTTCACGTTCGCAAGCTCATCCATTGACATGACATGACCGGTAGTGACTGCGAGAATTGTGTCAGCGATTGCTCTGCGTAAGGCCAGACGTCTTCTCTTCAGGCATAGACAAGGCCTCCGACATCTGAAAACCATTCTGATCGCGTGTGCATGTGTGAAGAACTTACAATATCCTGCTTGGATCTTCGCATCGATCTCAACGCGGCTGTCCGCCGGAATCATCTCTTCAGGGATCGGAACACGCTCGTGGATTGGGATGCCCTGATCGACAATCGCATCGTGTTTCATGCTGTAGCCATGTTAGTACTGGCGGACTGACCGTGCGGCCTGAATGCCGTGCGCTTCTGGTTGCTTACTTAGACATGCTGAGCATCCTGTCAATCTTCGTGATGCCGAGCCAGTGCAGGATCTACGTGACACGACGGTTAGCAGCTGAATCGACACGCGGCAGATGCTGTAGAACAGTATACAATGCAGGATGACTCACATCAGGCATGAGTGCTTGGAAGCGCATGTCCTTGACACCGGCGATGTTCTCGGTTCGCTTGAAGTACTCGCTCGCGCGGTCTTCTCCGCGTTTCCGTGCGTTGTACACGAGATACTTGGTCACTTCGCCCAGAGCTCGTCCTTCCTTGCGGAAATAGATGACGACACCGCTGCCGCCCTTTTGGGCCTCCTTTACAGCCTCTTCCACACCGAAGATGAGGTACGGGCGGCATGTGCAGATATCGGAACCGAACACATCGCTGCCGTTGCACTCATCGTGAACGCGCAGAGCGAGACGAACGTTCGGGTCTGACATCTTGGCTGGGTCGCCGAAGATGTACACGGTCAAACCACCGATCGGGGGCAGGAAGAGCTTGATGTCGTGGCGCGTAATCAGCTCGGGGTAGGACCCGCCGGTCTCTTCAAACAATGTACGGCGAAGCGTGCCCTCATCTGGCGAAGATGTCAGCACATGTAGTCAGACGACGATAACTGTACTTACCGATGCCGAAACGTTCGGCGACTCCGGGGAGATACCAAACAGGCTCAACGGCAACTTTGGTGACGGCCAATTCACCGCTCTCGTTCAAACAGATCTTGCCATCAGGAACGAGGCGTCCCTTCCTAACGCTGTCCTCCAGCTCAGGGAGCTTCATGTGAGCTTTGGTAATGGCAATGGAAGGCCTGATCTCGACACCATCTTTATCCATGATCTCCTTGTACAGCCAAGGAGCCAGATGGCCAAGGGGATCCATGGCTACGATCTTCTTCTTGTCACTCCATTGCGGGAACGGCCCAATCGTTGCGGCAGGCTCGGTGTTGGTAAAGTCAGGCTTGTGGGTAATGTCGAGATTGCCACTTGCTACGGCGAGAGCGTGGTAGATTGAGTAAGAGCCACCGTGAGCACCAATAGCTTTACGATGTTAGCAATTTCAACAATAAACGGAAAAACAAAACATACCGTTACGCCTCCGGATGGTATTCGCATGGCGGGACACGACCACAGGACCTCGAACAGCCGGGTCTTTGTGACCCCATTCCATAGGCAATGGGTCAACTCCAGCTTGACCAGGATACGAAGTCAAGATGATCTTGGAGGTCTTGGAAACGCTGGCTCGACGAGGAGGGGCATCAGCAACAGAGGGTGATTCCTCATACTGTGTACTGACGGCCTCTGCGGCCTTCTCCGACACACTCGCCACAGCTTGTTTGGCCTTCTCAAGCAGACCGTTGGAAGGTTGGGGCTGTCCCTTTGCCTCATCCTTGATTTGCTTGATTTCTGACAACATGTTCACACGGCCATTGATGGCGTCTACGGCTGACGCAAGCTGGGAGTTCTCCTTGCGCAAGGAGTGGAGACCTTCCAAGATCTCCTTGAGGAGAGCATCACTTGAGCTTTCGGCAGACATGATGACCCTGTAACGCTTTCATGCAAATACAAAGAGACCCTCTGGACAAAGAGGAACACGTGGATCCCTCCGAGTTTACCGCTTGTAGATAATGAATCGCTGATTACCGAGGAAGAGCTGGAGGAGGTGGGTGTTGGACTGTGTGTGAAGACAGAACGCAAGCACCAACTGAGAAAAGTTGAAGCCGTGATCCCTTCCTGAGCTCTGAACGACTGCAGCGGAAGTGAGAATAAGAGCGAGGGACAGCAGCGTGGCGGGGAATGAATGACAGGGAGAGCCGACCCGAGCGTGTGATTGGTCAAGCTTATCGACGCTTTGGGCAACACCTATGTTTTGCTTGGCGCGGCTATCGGGATATGCCGACGACATTGTTCATGCCTCACATATACATGACAAAACGCCTCCCGCCGAGACAGCCCGCCCTGCGTAGATTACGACACCGCGCCTTTTATCTCGCCGCAATCGCTCCCTCACATCCACCTTCCCAACACAGCAAAGACCCATTGCTAACTCCACAGCATGGCAAGTAGACGCGCCTAGCTGTATGTGCGTTGGTTCTAACGGAGCCCAGGGCAAGCGCAAGTCTGCAAAGAAGCCCCAGGGCCCGAGAAAGGTATGTATACATGGTCGCGCAAATCCTACGAGACTTGCTAACCATTTGCGTAGAAGGAGAAGCTCCCCACGACGTTCCAGTGCCTGTTCTGCAACCACGAGAACTCTGTCTCCGTCTCCATCGAGAAGAAGTCTGGTGTCGGCAACCTTCAGTGCAAGGTGTGCGGCCAGACTTTCCAGACCAACACCAACTGTACGTCGCAAATGTCTCCAATTTGCAGTCCCTAGATCAGTCTGTGGGCGGCCGGCGCCGCCTTGATCTCTGCCAGACGGGCCCCGCTCGCATAGCCGTCTCAGTTGGCGGAGGTTGGGGTTGCAAGTGCTGACTATTGACAGACCTCTCTGCGCCTGTCGATGTCTACTCGGACTGGGTTGACGCTTGCGATGCGGTAGCCAAGGAAGCGGCCGCAGCCAACACATCCACCTCGCGGCCTGTCAACCGTGGAGGCCGGTCTCGCGTCGAAGAGGAGACGGAAGACTTCGTGGTCCAGGACGATGCCGACGCTGAGGGTGAATACGACGACTACTGAGTGCCTGGCCAGGCGCATGTACGTTGCATGTACAACACAAGATTCGACAGCATGTAGTCAAGGAATGACTAGCGGCTTGTATGGCGTTTGAGGTATACCAGGGTTTTACAGGGAGGCGTTTTCTAAAAGTATCGCGCACCAATACGCAATTCTCAATGGACGCTATTTGATCATGTCCGTCTCAACTGTCACGTGGGACGGATAACACAAGCTCTTGTGGCCGTTTGTTTGCACTGGCTTGAACTGCATATAAGGTCGAGGCCCGATTCCCTACAACGTGATCCGTCAAATGCACGCGCATACATGTCCTCATTGCTCGTAGATCATGGTCTAGCTTTTTCTTTGGAAATTGCCACTGTAAAATGCCAACCTTTACATGGTATAGAAGCGGTCGCCAAAGTCACCAAGACCTGGAACAATGTAGCTGCAGCATGGTCAGCTGTGAACGCGAATGCATCATCGCACACTCACTTCTTCTCGTCGAGACCTTGGTCAACAAAGGCCGTCACTACCCTAACCTTGGGGTACTCGTCGGCAAACTTTTTGATTCCTTCTGGACTGGCGATGAGGTTGAGGAAGAGGATGTGGTCCTCTGGTACGCCCCGGTTCTTGAGCACCTCAACTGCCATGAGAGCCGAGCCACCTGTCCATCGTTAACACCACTTAGATGATCAAAGTTAGATGAATTTACCAGTAGCCAGCATCGGATCCAGCAAGAGGACCCATCGATCCGCAATGTCTTCCGGAAGCTTGTCGTAGTACAACTTGGGCTTGGACGTCTCCTCGTCCCGCTGGATGAGAATCTTGCCAATTCTCACCGACCGGCAGCAATCCCGCAAACCCTGCTCCATAGACTCACCCGCGCGCATGATGGACACGCCGCAGATCTTGCCCTCAAACTTGACGCCGACATAGTGCCTCCCCACGGGGGTGCTGATCTCGTGGCCGACGACGGGCAAGTGGTTCAGGCCCTCCTCCACAAGCAGCCGAATGATGCGGTTGGAATAGAAGATGAAGTCTGCGCGGCCCGTGTTCTTATCTCGGATCATCCTAGCATAGGTAGTGAGTATTGCGTGGAACCACATGCGCACGTGCTCTTACGTTAGCAGGGCTATCAGCTGGGGCGTCTGCTCGAGGATGAAGACATTGTCCTGGGGAATTGGCTTGGAGACGGTCGCGGTTGGCCGCTGGGCGTCGTCGCGGAGCCCGAGAGGCTGCGAGGGGGGCTGCGATTCGGAGGCCATTTTTGAGGCGTGATAAGAGGGCTCGTGGAAGCGAAAGTGGAGAAGTGGGAGGTGAGACTAGGTATTGCGGATGAGAAGACCAAGTCCAACAAGCGTCCGCTGCAGCTCTGGATGCAATGCGCGTGGAATTGGGCAGGGCAAGTGAAGCTGGAGTGAGAATCACCAGCAGGCGTCGAAGGCTGCTCGAGAGTCCAGACACTCGTGACCGGTGCGTACCGTCGGCGAGCTCCACCACACCATGGGCTTGTTGCGGTACTGACCGCCCGCAGTTTTGCGTTAGCACCGTGTGGACCCTGTTCCCTGCCACCAGCCACTGAGGCAACGGCACCGCCACAGCGGGCGCCGGCCGAATCACGCGTCTGCTCGCTCCCAGGTTTCAAACGTCGCCAGCAGCGCATGCTTCAAACGAGTCGACACGACACGCCGCCACCCGCGCACCTTCACACTGTGCTAGTGCTCGAACCAACTTATCCCCAGAGACGGAACCGCCTGCGACGCGCACGCCGCCCCATCAACACCGACCGACACCCCTCCAGCGACGATGCGCCGGTAAACAAGACGACCCCCCGCTCGCCACCCGCGCCCGACACCCGCGCCCGATGGCCATGCCCATGTCGTCCGTCTTCACCGGCCCCGAGCGCCGCAAGAAGCTCGTGACGTACGGCCGGGGGGCACGCCCCAGCAACGCGCAGATCTTCAACGACGACGCGCCGTCGCCGGAGCGGCCGCGCAAGCAGGTGGGCAGACTCGCGGGTGCGGACGCTTCTGTGTCGCAAAAGACGGGAGCAGGCCTCGGAGACAGGACTGGGGCGGTCGCTTCGCCGTACGACGAGTTCGATGTGCCGGACGAGGACGAACCTGCGCCGAGGGTGGTGGTTAAAAAGACGATGTTCAAATCTACCCCCCGGGGAGATGTGGATGCAGAGGTCCCGGAAGATGGCGTGCCCAGACCTCGAGTTGTTCCGGTCAAGAAGCTGGCGCAGAAGGCTCCACCAAAGGCCGTTGACGACCTCGATGTCTTCGATGTGCCTTCCTCGGGCGACGAGCGAGAAGCTATGAACTATGGCAAAGTCAGGAGAGCGCAGTCGCCAAGGAAAAACCTCAATGCGATGCGCCCCAAGTTACCTACGCACCAAGCAAAGACGTTGGAGAGAAAACAGATTGTACAAATGCCATTGAATGACCCTCTCAGCACAAGGACCCAAGCACCACGGACACGAGCCAAAACTCCCGTCGCAATTGCAAAGCCCACATCGACGATGGCAGCAAAAGCTGCGAAGCAAAACGCTGCGGCAAGCAAAGAAAATGCACGAGCGACGGTCCCTGCACCTCAAGCCGCACCCAGGCTGAAGAAAGCCAACCCGGCTCCAGCACCTTCAGTCACCGAAGCGGCGCCGACGCCACCGACTGAGCCGAATTCGGATTTTGCTGTTTTCGATGTGCCTTCTTCCGACGATGATGTCCCGACACAGACACCCGTAAGGCCACGCAAGGCTCCAACTGCGCGCGCAAAGGGATCCTCAAGACCTATCACAGCAAGAGTGCCGCTCTCTCCAGAACCCTCGGCAGAGTCTGATACGTCCAATGCCTCTCGCAAGCGCACACGGCGTGGTTCCGTGTCGTCGTCTGTGACAGTGAGGAAAGCGGGAGTTGCACCGATGAAGAGAGAAGCACATGTGCCTACACAGGGGAGAAGGGAAGCTTCTGCACCTGCACAGCGCAAAAGAGAAGCATCCATACCCATACAAAGGAAACGCGAGGCATCTGCGGCCCCGCGGAGTAGGAAGCAACAGAAAACAGACGAAAATATGTCACCAGGCCATAGTGCGAATGAAGCTACGCAGCCGAATCTGGTGGCGGTGGTCCACGAGGCTCCAACCAACAAGCCGAAGCGTACAAGGATACGCACTGTTCCTGTGATCTCAAAACCGACGATAGCAAAGGCACAGTCATCTCCTGTCAAGCTTCACAGTATGCTCGCCATGCGCTCAGCCACAAAACCGTCACCTGTGCGGGAAACCCCTGCAGTACCGGTGGTCGAAGACGAGACCATGTACGACATTCCCGACGAGGCCACACCGCGGGCACAAGGCATGAGATCTACTTTGCCAGGATCTGTGACACCGCGGCAGCGGGACCTGTTCAGCAACTTGCTGGAGGACGATACAGATTTGACCACCCCGATGCCTAGTATCTCGAAGCTTCGAATTACTGAGCGAACACCTGGATCTGCATTCGCTGCATTGGCTCGATCGTCGTCTGATATTCCTCAGTCTACACATACACGGAAAGGGAGGCTGCTCGATATGCTGAAACGGGCTGCTCCGAGCGCGGATGGAGAGAGTGGAAGTGAGGAGGAATCCGACGCTGATTCTACAGAAATCCCTATAGCGATTGCTACGGACCGACCTAAGGTTGATTATGCTGCTGCCCAAAAAGTACATGATGCAATGGAGATTGATCCGGACACCCAAGCCAGCTCACAATCGTCTCGAGCTCCTCTTTCCCTTGGGGAAGGTACGCGGACGTACGCCCAACAAAGGTCCTACCTTGAAGAGACTAATCCTGAAGACGGCCTGTTGAATTGGGACGATGATATCGAAGTGGACTTACCTACCAGACAAGGCTCGGTGACTGAAAGCGAAGATGATTCGCAGCAAGTGACAGGTCTTCCGGAGCTTCGGCGAAAGGGACAGCTTTACAAGTTCGAGGCAGAGACTCAGGCTATCATCGAGGACATATCCGGGAACACCAACACCAATATCTCGGCACGGCGCAGCGCAATGATGGAGTTCGCAACACAATTGGCCGACGTGAGCTACGTCAATCAGCTGCTGGAGTCGGCGATGACTTCCTCATTGCTTCGGGCTGTCTCTGCTACCGGGGACGTCATCTTCGATTTCGCAGCTGCTGGTGCGGTAGTTTTCATATTAAGAACAAAACCGAGCCACGCCGTCGTGGAGCAGATTTACCAGGCAGGTGTTTTGTCGACCTTGCAGAAGCTCTTGGCGTCGCCCATGTCTAGCTTGGATATACACCGCATCTCGAAAGATAGGAAGACAAACATGTCTCGCAATGCGCAAGAGTCCGTGGCAGATTTCCGAGCACTCATCCTGAAATTGCTTGACTGGCCTGAAGCGGACGTGCCTAAGCTGTCGCCACAGCTGCTAGCTATGAAGGTTCTGGAGGAGCTGGTTATAGGACTTCGAATTCCCGGTAACACAGACGCTATTGTAGACGATGGCATGATCGGCAGAGTGCTCGACGTAGCATCCGGACCTGTACAACGTTTGCAGTCAGGTAAAGCAACTGCACAAGATGACCTGATGCTAGAAACAATATTCTCAGCACTAGAGTCACTCTCGATATCCAAAGACGGTCAAGCTACCTGGCCAGACGAGATCGTCCAAAGACTGGCTGATATGATGTCAGCCTTCTTCGACACAACGCGCCCCTCGCCCAAGCGGTTGGTCATCCGACTTTGCATGAATCTGTCCAACAGCCGGCCCAAAGCCTGTCAGATCTTTGCAGGCCAGACCTTCGTCACCCGACTTACTAGCTTCATCGTCGGATGCTTCAAAATACTAGGTGATAAGACGAGCCGGCAGCCGTTAGCACGCGTGCGGGACGACCTCATCCTGGCACTGGGCGCTATGATGAATCTTGCAGAGTTCAGTGACGAAGCCAGAGTCAACGTCGTTCACGACGGTGACGAGCTGATGGGCGAGCTAGTGCGCATCTTTCTCGAGGGCTCGGAACGCGCTGATCGGGTAAGCTCCTCTCACCCCATCTCCCCCCAAAATGCAAACCCCAGCACGGATGCTAACACTCTCCAGGCCGAGTCCGAAGAAGAATCGCACACGCTCGTGCCCGTCGGATACCTCACCATCATGTTAGGCAATCTGTGCCTCAACACCCGGGTGCGGCGCAAAGTCACCGCACTGCTCCCTGGCAACAACATCGACCTGCTCGTGCGGCGGGTGAGGGAGTTTGTGGCACATAATCAGCGGCTGGATCAGGTCTCAGGGGAGTTTGAGGGCGCGCAGGGGGCGCGGACGTTGAAGAATTTTACGCTGAGGCTGATGCGGGTTGTGGAGCGGTTGGAGGGGGTGGGGGTATAGGGGTGGGAGATACTCTGAAAAGGAGCGAGGACGGGAATGATGCGGAATTTTTCCTGCGCGTGGACCTGCTTGGCCTTGGCCTTGGGTTGGGGTTGGGGATTGGACTGGATTTTGCATATGTGGACTGACGGACGGACGGGAAGCGGTCGAGTTGGGGTGGGCTCCGATGAGATCATCCGCATTGGACATGGACGCGGCGACGGGACTCGTGGAACAGGACGGACAGCTCGATACCCCAGATATGATTTTACCCCAGTTACGATGATTATGCGGCTTGCCAGTGGAAATGACATCCCCAGACCTGGGGCGTGGCGCGGTGTCGTGTGCTGTGTAAACTTTAGGCGTTAGGAATCGTGCGTGGCTGCATGCAGTGGCATCTGGAAGAGGCCATTGACCCTGGCAGTCATTTTTATTGACAGGCCGCTGGGAAGAAGCGTCGGGTCGGCGAGGAAAAGATAGCACCGGTAAAGAGTCTTGGTGCAGGCTTAGGTACGAGCTGGGTTTACATACGCGGCTGGGTGGCGTGACATGAGATGGCAAGGTACGGCACTTTGTGCACGCCACGGTGTGTACGGGTTGGTCTGGGCGTGCGGCCTGCGTAGGGGTGCAGTATACCTCGCGCCATCTCCCAGAGGTACGCGTGGCTGGCGAAAGAAGCAAAAAAAAAAAAAAAAAAAAAGATAGTAAAATACCCTGGACTTGGAGAACACACCGCATGCTGCAGGAACTCCCCATGTAATACAATTATAGAACCGTTGTGTGATCCTGGATTTGCACAGCTACAGAAGTCCAGTCTTTCTGCCGGCCCCGGTAACGGACACGCGAGCAGTGTACGGGGACAGCACACGTCGTGCGCCGTCCCGATAGGTACGCGTGCGGGTAAGTGATGTCAGACTACACATGTGGTGCAAGGTACGGCAGCACGCTACAAGCCGCTGTTTCTATAGACACGGCGTGTTTGTGCTGTGTGTATGGATAAATACCTGGGTAGCATCTGCACGGTGCCAAGATTGTAGAGTGTAGGATTACGTATAGTGGGTCGGGTACAGAGGCAGTTTGCTCCGTTCTGATTGACGGAGCACGCGCGCTGGGGATGCAATGGGAGGGTTTGCGCCGGCAAAAGCTGCAGGTTGCAATCCAAATTTCCGGACGCGAGGCGGGATATTTGGGCAATGCTTCTGGCGCGCTTCCACGGCTTCCATGCAGCGGGTCGCTTCAGGGACGGCGGGCGGGGAGGTGGCGGGACGAGGGGAGGGGCGGCGCGCTCGCACCTTGTACAGCATCGAGTGTTCTGTCGAGACAAGTCGAGACAGTGGGTGGGCGCTCTGCAGTGTTGCACGCTGTGTTGACGAGACCATGCCGGCAGCAGCCATCTGCGCGAGGCTTCTGGCGCGCTTCCATTGTTCCATGCAGCGGGTCGCTTCACATGCGCTTTCGGGCGAGGGTCGGAGGATGCGGCCAATTGCCCTCTTCACAGCGCATCCGCAGCCGGCCTTTGTCTGCTTCTGCTCGGAGGCTGCACGGCCTAGGCGCTAGCAGCTGCTGACGCGCGCGGTGAGCGGCACGCAACGAATAGAGGGCCGTCGGTTTACGTGATGCAATTCTTTGGCAGCCCAACGCGCACCGCGGTGTGTGTGTGTCGAAAAGGCATGACGCAAGAGGGACGGGCGCGAGAAAGAGAGTGAAGGTCGTCGGCGCTGCTCGCTGCGTGTACACTCCACTGCTGCTGCCCCCAGGATACCCCTCTTTCGCCCTCAGTTGCGCTTGCTTCTTGGTTCGATAGTTCGAGCCAGTATAGGCTTCCCGAGAGCCAACCGCGCCCAACGGCCGCCCTTCACTAACTGCTTGCGCTGAGCAGCGTCGAGCTCTTGCAGCGCGCCGGCGTCGTTGTCCGGCCTAGCGGAGAAGGGCGTTTCCAGCCATCAGCACCTTCCACATTATCTCACCTCTTCATACTGGCGAGCCGCGCTGCAGCCTCGAGACTCGCACCCCCACCCGCCGCCACCACCACCATGGCCGGCCCTAAGCAGCGCAAGATTGCCATTGTCGGCAGCAGAGCCGTCGGTGAGTTGATCCACCCACCCCGCCCGGCACCCTCCTGACCGCCCAGGCAAATCGAGCTTGACGGTGCAGTTCGTCGACGGCCACTTCGTCGAGAGCTACTATCCCACCATCGAGAACACGTTCAGCAAGGTCATCCGCTACAAGAACCAGGAATATGCCACCGAGATCATCGATACCGCCGGCCAGGTACGCAGCCCGCGCGTCTCCCCGCGTCTGCACCCCGTAGTCCCCCATGCACATGGGCTGCACCGTCCACTTCAGAAAGTGCTCAGTGCATCCTGAAAGAGAAGAACTGACAGCAATGCTCCAGGATGAGTACAGCATCCTCAACTCGAAGCACTTCATCGGCATCCACGGCTACATGATCGTCTACTCGGTCGCCAACAAGCAGTCGTTCGAGATGGCCCGCATAATACGCGACAAGATCCTCAACCACCTGGTCAGTTACATCCACGCCGACGCCGCCGCCGCGCATCCAGCAGTACAGCCCTGTTCCGCCCGCGCGGTCCGAGGCAGCTAACACATTGTCGCACAGGCCGCCGAATACGTCCCGCTTGTCATCGTCGGCAACAAGTCGGATCTGCGTCCGGAGCAGCGCCAGGTCACCGCCGAGGAGGGCAAGGCGCTGTCGACGGAGCTGAGCTGCGGCTGGACCGAGGCCAGCGCGCGCTACAACGAGAACGTGCAGAAGGCGTTTGAGCTGATGATTGGCGAGATCGAGAAGAGTCAGAACCCTGGCGAGCCCGCCGGCGGGAGCAAGTGCGCTGTCATGTAGACGATGACTGACGTGTGCGAGCGTGCAGACGAAGACCGGTTGGCTCAGCTGGGGCGTCCGCCGGTGAAGAAGCGGTGGGACAAGGTCAAGGATGAGTGCAAGCTCTCCTAGGGTGAGAGGAGATGGGGGGTATATTATACGTTTGTCAAGGAACGGATTAGACTTAGACGGTTGGGTTCGCGTGTTTCTGGTCTCGACGAGATGTAATGGCGTTCAGAGCCGAGGTGTAATGGGCGTTTGGAATGAATGGGATCATTGTCTTGCATGATTGTATCTCGCTGTGCTGCTTCAACAGATCCTGGCCCCCTCGGAAGTCGACGTACAGTTCCACCGTCGTATCTTACGGGATCACAGTGGCTTACAATGCAAACCGGGCGTGTTGTAGCTGCATTTAGAAGAACGCGGGACACGGTACTGGTTCAAATTATGCCGCCGTATTATAGAGCCAGTCACTACAGCAGTATGTACACTGGGTGTGCTCCTGATCCTAGTTTGTAGTGTCAGCCCCTGTGCATCACTCAATGCGATCATTCCTTACTTTTCGAACGTTAACAAGGCGTGCGCATTCTTGCATCCGTGCCCTCGAATAGGCAGCTCTGAAGCTATGACGACGGCCCACGGTAATCCACACTTTCACATGATTGCGGTCAGCCTGCCGAAGAGGGAAAGTTGAGAGGGTAAGGCGGCCCGGGACTACATTGACCCGCTGCACGAGTGCAGCACCAATCGCAGCTCCCGAAACGAGCACCGCCACCACCGCCACGGATGCCCCGCAGAGTGCGCCCCTGAGTCATGCGTATGCGACAACACCAGTCATCGAACTTTTGACATCTGGAGGGGCACATCCAGACAAGCGCGCCAGAACGTCCCGCCAGCCCGAGCTAGCCAGCAGCCTGCACCATGTTGGACGTGTGAGTGTCTCTGCCCTGCTGGAACGGCCTTTTCGAGGAATTGGGAACGCGTGTTGGGAGCAGCACTGACACGGAGGGGTAACAGGAACGACTTCATCGCCGAGCGCGGCGGCAATCCTGAGAAGATCCGGGAGTCGCAGCGCAAGCGACATGCGAACGTCGAGATTGTGGATGAAATCATAAAGGAGTTCGAGGTGCACAGGCAGAGTACGCGCCCGCACGCTGCTGCACACGACCATGTCTGAGTCGCATCTCGCTAACAGCGGCCCAACAGCACAGTACGCGGCGACGCAGATCGGCAGCACCATCAATGGCCTGCAGAAGCAGATCGGACAGAAGAAGAAGGCCAAGGAGAGCGCAGACGACCTGCTCAAGGAGATGGCAGACCTAAAGAAGCAAAAGGCTGCAAAGGAGGCCGAGGCCGCAGAGAAGGTCGTCAAGTTGCTCGCCAAGGTCAAGATGGTCGGCAACTACGTGCACCCCGACGTGCCCGTCTCCAACAACGAGGACGACAACGCCATCCTCAAGACGTGGTCGCCCGACGGCAAGAAGCCCGAGTTCAACGCCACCGGCATCCCGCACCACGGCGTGCTCGCGCGGCTCAACGGCTACGACCCGGAGCGCGGCGTCAAGATCGTCGGCCACCGCGGCTACTGCCTCATCGGCTACGGCCTCTTCCTCAACATGGCCCTCATCAACTACGGCCTCGAGTTCCTCTTCAATAAGGGCTACACGCCCAACCAGCCGCCCTTTTTCATGCTGCGTGACCAGATGGCCAAGACGGCGCAGCTCTCCGATTTCGACGAGGAGCTGTACAAGGTGACCGAGAGCAAGGACAAGCCCGAGACAGACAAGTACCTCATTGCCACCTCCGAGCAGCCCATCTCCGCGCTGCACTCGGAGGAGTGGCTCGGCACCGCGGACCTGCCGATCAAGTATGCCGGATACTCGACCAACTTCCGCAAGGAGGCCGGGTCCCACGGCAAGGACGCGTGGGGCATCTTCCGCATTCACCAGTTCGAGAAGGTTGAGCAGTTCCTCATCACCAACCCGGAGAAGAGCTGGGAGGCGTTTGAGCAGATGCTTGAGACGTCCGAAGAGTTCTACCAGAGCCTCGGCCTGTCGTACCAGGTCGTGGGCATTGTGAGCGGCGCGCTGAGTACGTTTTGACCAGTATCGATGTTATGGGAATCGTGGTGCTAATGGGATGCAGACAACGCCGCGTCCATGAAGCGCGACCTCGAGGCCTGGTTCCCCGTCACCGGCGGCGGCGAGTACAAGGAGCTCGTCTCGTGCTCAAACTGCACAGACTACCAGACGCGCGAGCTCGAAATCCGCTTTGGTGCGTCCATTTCTTTCCCCCCTTACAACTCCTCACTGATCCTTCCCCCAGGCGTCAAGAAGCAAACCTCGACCCGCAAAGAATACGTCCACGCCCTCAACGGCACCCTCACCGCCACCGAACGCACGCTGTGCTGCCTGCTCGAGAACTTCCAGACCCCCGAGGGCTTCAACGTGCCCAAGGTGCTGCAGAAATACATCCCCGGGCAGCCCGAGTTCCTGCCGTTTGTCAAGGAGTGGAAGCCGGTCAAGGACGAGGTCAAGATGCCGGAGCGGCCAAAGGAGAGCAAGTAGAGTCAGGCTGCGATGGTGGCAAGGGGTTTTGTTTGGTGTGGGTGGGGGAAGAAGTGTGGGGAAAGGCAGAAGAGCAGCGGTGCGACGTGCAGGTGTGGATGGAGTCAGCATATCATCTACCTATCAACACATGTGCGCACGTAGCATGAAACATGGAAATGAAACGAAAAATACCCACCATCACATGAATGAATTGCATTAGCAAAGTGAAATTAAACAACATGCACTGAGCCAGATCAGGTAAGCTGCTATCTCCAAGGCTTCTTCGTCACCCTCGATCGGCATTTAAACCTCATTCCTCGACCGGAGATGCCGCTACTTTACCCTCCACCAAGAATCTGTCGCTCTTGATTCTTTGCACTGCCACCCGTCGGGGATGGTGGGTGGTGTTTATGACAAGAGCAAGATTCTCGTCAAGTCTCCAGCTCAAGCTTGGTGTGCTGCTAATGTTGACGCTCTCTGGGCAGACGACATTGTCGTTGGATTCGGAGACGCTGCTTTGTGACTTGTGGCGAGGTGGTGGTGGCGTGCATTGATCGATACATGTGCCTGGGTCTGCGTAACACGTCGGCTAGAAGAATCAATTCACCCCTCTTTCCACCATCGTTTAGCAGTCTGGGCTGGCCTTGGACTGCGAGAATGCGAGACTGCGGCTTGATAGCGCAACGGCTATGCGCTCTACGAGAAACCTCGAGATAAAAGTCGTCGAAGCCCTCATTGGACTGTCGCTGACAGCCATCGCTGTGCTGACTTACTCAATTGTACTAAAAAAAAAAAAACACACACACAATTTCCTCAGGAAGGCGTAAGGACAGCAGTGGACAGAAGACCAACACAGCCTGTCGTCAGAAATGTTCGCAGGAACAGCCTGCGGTCGCTCTTGCATGCCATCAACTCAGTTCTGCCTCTCTTCAGGTCATCTGCGTAATCCCGACCGAACTCCTTGCGCTACCGCGCAAGCAATGGGCACTGTTCGTGCGTGTCTCGGCAGAGGTGCACACAGCCCTGTTGCTAGCAATGTCCTTTGGGCTCACGAGTCTCACTCCGCGCTCAGAGGAGCACCAACGACAGCAACTTCCAGTCTTGACGGACCAAGCTTTGGCCGAGCTCGGGTTCGCTTCGAAGCTGTGCGTTGGTCGCCCGCAGAACACACAGCGCAAAGCAAGCTGGTGGTGCAAGTTCTGGTTTCAAGCGCCGCCTTACACCCCCTTTGAACTTGTTGCCTGGAGCGCAGAAGAATGCGGACTTCGGTATCAGACCTCGAACGTCGGGAACCAAGGGCGGATGCGTCCAGGAACATGCTGAGCATCAAACACTCTTTGCGAGGCGCTGTGCTCGGAAGGAGTCATCTTGCATCGGTGCTACACACTTCGATCCTAGAACGCAGAACCACCTCTGGTCCCTTTTGCTTGCGTCAACGCCGACACCGTCACCTCGAGGAACGAAAGAGAGCACCGGTGACAGTGAATGCATCTCCGCGGCCGAGCCGTCGATACGAAAGCAGCTACCCGAAGAGGAGACACCTCTTTCTCCCAGCCTACTATCTTACCTGCCGACGGACGGATTACCTGCGCGTTCGACTACGTGTGAATACGAGCTTGGCGCAGTGCCGCCTACACCGCAGAGAAGCCGCGCACGCCTTTTCGATGTCACGCCATCAGCAGCTGAGATCCTACAAGGCCACCTCCTTGGTGTATCGCGCCTTGTGGAGTCACGGACGCGTATGCAATGGCCTCATCAAGCAGCGCCAGGAAGAGCCGTGGAAGTAGGAACCTCAACTCACAACACGTAAAGGATGCGAATTCAGACACCATGCTTGTACGCATTCAAACCAGGCACTCCGCAATCTTACCATACTACCTACACGCTACACCTCAGGCTGCTGGCTCGACAGCGTTCCTTGCTTGTCGATACGTCAGTTCTCACCACTCGCCCAGGCTCTCGCGACATACAAATCCTTCAGAACCTCTGGATGCACATGCTCGTAGAATTCATTTGTTTGATGGTGGGAGCTAGGGGATATCTTCTGGTGTTCGCCCCACAATGCACGCCATTGCATGCAGTCGCTGCGCATGAACCGGCGGCCCGGTATAGGCCAAACCTCTGCTCTGCGGTCCGCCCGTTTCTCGGGCCTTCCTCCTCCTACATGCGGATGCTCCCATTCGCCCTTGGATGCAAGACAAGCTCGAAATGCATAACTCATAAAACATATTCTTCTACCCCTTTCGTCTGGCATTTGCGTCATTCCCACGCCCAACGCCTCTAATGCAACCACTCCCCATCCCCGCCCATCAATCGCCCTACCCATTCCCGCTCTTCGGCAACAAGCTTCTTATCTTGACCACCAGATCCTCGACCTTGAACGGTTTACTAATGACCGCGTCCATGCCGGCATCCAGCATGCTCTTCGTCTGCGCCTCGCGCACGTTGGCCGACACGCCGAGAATGGGACTGTACCCCGCCTGGCCGGCGTCCTGGAGGTCGCGGATCTCGACAGTTGCGGCGTTGCCGTCTTTGATAGGCATTTCCTGTGCGCGGATCAGCATCTCGCGAAATGGGAATGACGTAGAGGATAAGAAACCTACTTGGTCCATGAGGATGCAATCAAAGTAGTTTCTGGAGCCGGGCTCGCCGGACGCGCGCTTGCCGCGCTGGTTGACGGCGTCGACGGCTTCTTGGCCGTTGTTCGCGACGAAGACCTGTGGCGAGTGAGTGTCGCGGATACGCAGAATTGTTTGTTTACATACCTCGAAGCCCTTGCCCTGCAGCTGCCGCTTGAGCACCTTCTGGTTGATGAGGTTGTCTTCCACCAAGAGGAGCGTGCTGCGGGAGTCAGATGGGTTATTGTGGTCGGCTTCGGAGCGTTCCTGCGAATGCAGTGCTTGCCTTTTCGTTTCGCCGAGCGAGAGGTCGGGAAGACGCGTCTCGATCTCGTGTGAAAAGGACGAGCGTCGCTCTTCGACTTGGTCCGCTATCTGCGCGGTTTCTTGGAACCTTTGATCCCGGATAGCCTCAGGGTGCGCCTCGGGACGGTACTCGGTGGGAGGGTTTCGTATCGACTCATTCATGTTCATCTCTTCTGAGTTGATTCCAGCACTACTTGAAAGGGTGTTTAGTGATGGTCTCTTGGGGTCTTGCTCCGCATCCTTTTCTTTCTTCATTTCGTCTGAAGCACCGGGATCGTGTTCCAGTTCCTTGATGCGTTTGAGGTTCGAATTGCTGCGGATGTAGGAGGGTCTTGGCGTCTGTGCTCGCTCGGGTGCACTCGATGAGCTTGATGAACGTGCATTTAAGGATGGTCGGCCCTCTCCCGGGCTACCTATGGGGCGGCGGACTTTGAAGTAGAATCCAAAGGTCGAGCCTTCTCCACTTTTGCTGGACACACCGATATCACCACCGTGCAGCTGGCACACTGCAGCAGTCAGTCAGTCAAACGGCTCATGCGGAAACGTGCATCGGCTTACATTTGCGAGAGATGAAGAGGCCCAACCCGGAGCCCCCGTACTTTTCTTGCGTCTTCGGAGTGGCTTGTCTAAATCTTTCAAAGAGTTTGGCCTGGCCTTCATCGTTGATGCCGATGCCCGTGTCCTTGACTGCTACCATCAGGTACATGACAGGTCCGCCGCCCCATTCGGAAGTCATGGTAGAATCTATGTGGAAGGCGTCATTATCGTTGCCGAAGAATATTACATTAGGAGGGTAGGAAGACGGTCTCTCGACGGACGCGCCCATGGACACGCATATTTGTCGGTCTCCGTCTTTCCTGGCAGTAAACTTGATCGTGTTAGCAACTATCTCCCCTGTAGGGTGATGATACCTACCTTGATGGCATTAGTGATGAGGTTAACCAGCACCTGCTTCATCCGGTTGCAATCGGCGATTACAACATCGATGTTCATGTCGTCGTACGAATAGTCCATGGCGTAGTGGAATTTGATGCCCTTGGCCCTGAACTCGGAGTTGAAGACTTTCAGGGCGCGTGAAAACTCCCATTTCGGCTTGACCTCCCTGGGGACCAACGACAGCATCATCGAGTCTAGTTTTGAGAAGGACAGTATGTCGTCGACGAGCGTGTTTTGGTGGGACACGCACAGCAGAATGGTATCGGCAGCGTCCAGGATGTCGTCTACCTTGGTCTTGATGTCTTCACGGCCGTGGCCAATGTCGCGTGCCACCTCCTTGACCTCTTCAGCCAGATGCAAAACGGCACTCAGGGGGTTTCTGATTTCGTGGGAGACCATGTCGATGAACCGCTCCTGCTGTTCCTTGCGCTCCTGGGCCTCGAGGGCGGCCTTTTCCTGGGTGATCTCGGCCTGCTTGATTTCGGTGATGTCGACGACGGCGCAGATGAAGCCGGCCTCTGGGTCGTCGCTCAGGGGCCGGAACAAAAACAGGCGCCACTCGCCCTCCTCGCCCTGTGCGTCGGCGGCACAGCGGAACTCGATGCGCAGTTCCTCGCGCGAGGAGAAGGCGCGGCGATAGGCTTGCATGACACGCTCGTAGTCCTGGGGGTGGATGCTCTCTGGCCAGGCGCGGAACTCGTTCTGGCTCTTGTTGGTGGTCAGCTTGAAGAAGCCGTCGTTGACGAAGATGGCCTCGGCCTCCTTGTCGAGGATGGCGAGGCCATTGGGCAGCAGCTCGGCGAACTTGGAGAAGAGCTGCGTCTGCTGGGCGTCGGCCTGGTTGTGCCTTCCACGCCAGTGCGGCTGCTGCGCGCCCGAGTGCAGCAGCTGGCGGGCGCGCTTTGTGCTGAGGTTTTCGACGGCGGTGCCCGTCTGCGGCTCTCGGGCGGCGCCGTGTTGGGGGGAGCGCGTGGCCGTCAGGTCGTCGATGTTGTGCGTGTCGATGTAGCGGTTCGCCGACGCGGCTCCCAGCAGCTGGGCAAGCACGCCCTGGCGGGTGCCGTTGTCGTCGATGACGGTGCTCAGCAGGATCTGGGCATCGTCGTTGGGCTCGGGCGCGTCTGGGAGGAAGAACCTGGCGGCTGCTGGCGGTCAGGCGGGGCATTGGGTGAACGGGAAGGAGCAACGCACCCACCTTGCAGGTCCGGCCACGCACTGCTGCGCGCAGCGAAGAGAGGGCCTCCTCGGCGTACGAGTCGCCGGCGCGCGTGCCCAGCCCGTCGAGGTCGCCGCGCGCCTTGCCCCACGCGAGGTTGTGGACGATGGAGAGGTCATCGCCCCAGAAGATGGCGGCGCAGTGCGGGATGGGCAGGATGCACGAGTTGGTGAGCACCTTGAGCGCCGCGGGCCACGAGTCGCGCGTGCCGAGCGACGATGCTGTCCTACACGGCGTCTGTTCAGCGTGGGTCGACCAAAGTGCCGAGACATGGCGGCTCACCAGTCGTTGCGGTCGAGGTTCTCCAGATTCAAGTCGTACACGGGCAGGCCCGCGGCCGTGAGCTTGTCGAGATTCTCCATGGCGGCAGGGCGGGCGCAGAGGGGTCGTGGGGCTGCTGTCCTCGCTCAGTGCGGCATCGCGATTGGGGTGTGCAGAGCAAAGCGTCGTCCGCCAGCTGCATCTCGCAGTGACGTAATGCGCAGAGGTTGCCCGCTGTCAAGCTGTGCACGACGTGTGCCTGGGGCCACGGCGGTCTGGCCACGGCGATCGCCGCCTTGATTCTGCTTTGGCCCGCTGCGGCACCTCGTTCTGTGCCTCTCGCAAACGCCCCCAAGCCGTCTGGTCGCCGTCAGTCGTCCTGGGCCTGTCGCTGTGTCAAGCCACGTCGGCATCCCTTCGCAGCCGTCGAGTGGCACGGTCGTGGCCCTAGGACGCCGACGTGGCTCCGTGGCTCTCAGGAACCATCAGTACAACCTCTAGAAGGCGTCGGTGTTTAGCGGATCTAAATGCTCCGCTTCCCGTGACCCCCCGCGGGTACACAATACATCAGCTCACACACTCAACACCGCCCATAACACGCGCCATGTCTCACACCAGGGCCCCGGGGAGCATCGTCCAGCTGGCCCCCGAGCTGCTGGAGCTCATCCTGTCCTATCTCGGCCCCCAGGACCTGACGAGGTTCGGTCAAACCTGCCGGCTCGCCCATGACTTTGTCCGTCCTACCAACCAGCTGCTGTGGAAGCAGACTTTCCTGCAACTCTTCGACCACCCGAAACATGTCTGGGAGCATCTTGTCCCCACCGCCCGCGCCCAGAATCAGCCCCGCGAGGCCCTTTGGGACTGGCACCGTGAACTCGTGCGCCGCATCAAGGCCTACAACTTCGTGCTGAAGTTCGACAAGGAGACCCTTGCCCTTGAAATCGACAATGTTGTTCGAGCCCTGCTCGACGTTGAGCAAACCGCATCTTGCGCGAGTGTGGCCGAGAATGGCTCCCCCGTGTCTCTGAACGTCATGTATCTCAACCGCCTGGTCCAGCGCGCACCGGACTTTGATTCCCTCATCCACGACTTCAGCAGACATCCTTCGTCGCTCGCGGTCCCGCGAGACTTGAAAATGGACCTCGATCGGCCCGTCACTCGCTCCATGTTGAGGCGCGGGTCTGTGCCACCCGAGTGGGCCAGCCGTTTCCATGTGAGTATCTTTCCTGCAATCAGATATCTTGACTGACCAGTCGCTAGATAATGTACGGTCCGACCGAAAGGGAGCAAGAATCGACTGCGTCAAAGGCCGCCGCAAGAGCCATCGTGTACGACTGGGGCGTAACGAGCGAAGATGCCGACTTTGGCCCGTTCCTCAAAGACGGCTCCGGAGCTGTAGATTGGCAGTCGGTTGAGGCCATCAGCTCCTTGATGCATCGCATCTTCGACACGGCGCTGAAAGCATACCATTTGCATCCGACGGGTTTCGACATGCACGTGCCCAACAGGCAACCCATCAACCCCGCCGCCCCGGACGACTGGGCAGGCGTAACAGGCACGTGGGCGGGTACGTAAGCTCGGGGTACAAGTCCTGAATACTAGGTGCAGGCAATATCTGAATTCTTTTAGCTATTGCTTCCGCACTCTAGCCTAGCCTAGTCCTCTCCCTTCCCTGATGCTCTTCCCCTTGTAAAATGTATATATCGCTAACGTTACCCCAACCTTTAGGCACTTACGCCTTTCTAGACTACCGCGCGCTCGTACACTACAACTTTGCGCACAGCTTGGAGCATCCTTTGGACCTAGGAAACTACGAAGAGGCGTGTGGAGATCTGATGCGATTTGACCTCGAGGCCAACGACTCGGAAGAGCTACGGAACGATGAACGGCTCCAGTCTGACCTACCATACTGCGACGACCTTCCAAAATTATATTTTGAGGGCACGTCGACGCGGCAGGCGACTGAAAGACCGTCGATAGGCGTGAGGGGAGTCGCGTGTCTCGCTCCCGGTGGACGCGAGGTGCGCTGGCGGCTCATCATCAGGTAGGTTCAAGTACATCGTTCTTTGGCTATTTTGCTGATGACTGTAGATATGCGGGTGCAGACCAGTGGCAGCTGGAGGGTGTCCAGCCCAGTGGCATACGCTGCGGGGGCATATACGGACTCTGGAGCCACGTGGACCACGACGACCACGGCCCAATGGGTCCTTTCTACTACACACCATGTGCGATCACCGAGTTCTCGTTCGACTAGACAGCAACGATACACACTGACGTGATCTATTCTATCGTCTTCCCTCTTCTTCTCAAGCACTCGCCGAACCGCCATAGAATGTACGGCGCCGGAACCCCAAGTACAGTTGCAATAGCAGCAAGGGTCGTGTTGCCCAATCCGTATCCCAAGGAATTGTACAGACTGGGTGCAAAAACGGGGAAACAGAAAGCGAAAACATTTCGAGGAAGCTGTGACGCGGCCGCGCCAGACGCTGTGTAGTCCAGATATGCCTCGACGATGTAGGATTGTACGGCAGTTGTGCTCAGGATGTAACCACATCCGAGGACTCCGACACCTAATGGCAATTAGTTTCGAAGGTGGTCGAATTGGAATCGGCACTCTCACCAACATCCACCACTGCCCAGTGTGCACGTTTTTCGGCTGCCCACCCGTACATTAGGAGGCCTATCGGTAATAGCAGCGTTCCCGGTATCATCAATGGCACACGATTTTCTGGCCGCGCCACTCCTCCATTGCTCGCCTTCAGTCGAGCCCATATCGCATCCATTGCCCACCATTCAATGAGTAGCGCAGTCAAGCACCCCGTCACAATGGCAAAGTAGTGAAGACCGCTCGCAGTATGCGACTGTCCGTACTGATCAATCCACATACTCGCGAACGTGGAATGGATGATGTACAACAAGCCGAACTGGTAGCCCATCAAACATGCCGCGAGCTGAATTACCGGCTGTGTGCACAGCATGACGGTCGGCCGAAGCGTGGTGATCTTCAGGCGAGCGGCAATCGTCATGCCGGATATGTCCTTTTCCGCATAGAAAGGCTTGCCTGTATCCTTCCGCAACGTCGCCGCTTTCCGAGACAGGAGAGTCTGGGCGTGTGTCTCGGGCAGGAACAACGCAAACAGGACGACCAACAAGGCGGCGAAGATCGAAAGCGTGTAGAAGAGCCACCGCCAACTGACCTGCTGCACCATCACGCCACCAATGAGGGGGCCTATCGCCGGCCCAAGCAGCGGCAGAAAACTCCTCACAGCAATCGACTTTCCCCGCTCATCTGAGTCGAAGCAGTCCGCCACAATAGCACCAGATACCTTCTCGCCCGTCAGTGACAGCGCTGGCAGCAGGATTCCCGTCCCCCATACTCGCAGCTGTTCAATGACAGTGACAGGCTTGAGGAGCTTGAGCGGCAGGTAGGGGATTTTAGGGGGGTTGTAAGGGCGCTGCAGAGTAATAGGAGGTCTGAGGGAGCGGGAGAAGAGAAGAAGTAGGGTGGGTGAGCAGATATGAGGTGGAGGTAGAGGACGCGGTGACTTACAGCAAACTCCGCACTCGCCCCCAATCCCGCCATCAGCCTCGCTGCAATTAACAGTCCCCTTCCGCGACTCATACCGCACACCGCATTCCACAGCACATACCAGCTCCCGCCGGCCACCCACACCACCTTCCGGCCCCACACCTCGCTGCACGGCGCCAGCACCATCGGCCCAAAAGCAAAGGCGAGGACGTAGATGGACAGCGCCATCGTGGCTTCTGCAGAGCTGATGGAAAGTTCGGTGCTGATGGCATCGAGGGCGGGAGCGAGCATGGGGCCGCTCATTAGGGTGACGAGGCCGCCAAGGGAAGTTAGGAGGACGGTGGCCCATTTTCGAGGAAGGGGCCAGTTGTACGGGTTGGTGGGGTCGGATGGGGAGGACCAGGTTATGAGGAGGGGAGATGTGTCTGTTTGTTTGGTGAGAGTGTTCGGTATGTTTGTTTCCACAGCGGAGGCGGCCTTCTCCATGTCAGGGATATCACGCGCTTCGATCAAGAGATGGGCGTCCGGGGCGCCCATGACGGATGCGCGTGTATGCACATTGACTGGGACGCTTCAGCGCACATCTTATAGAATCCCATCAGTTGCTGAGAATTCATAGACTCTCCATCCATTTTGCACACATCATTTTCTCCGAACCTCGCTCGCCTTTCCTCCGCATCCTTCGTCCCTGCACCACTTCGACAGTTCCTCTGCAGCCTACGGTTGAATCTGTTACTACGAATCACAACCCGGGACGGTTATCAGATCTATTGATAACCCGCGCTCATACATAGCGGCCATTCCTCTTCCATCACGCCGGCGTCGGACATTTTCGGATATGCTGGAAATATCCGAGCCTGACCTGCTCAACCCGGCTAGCCCCTACCATCCTCCGCCTGCCTGCCGACTAGTGTACGCTATTCCCTCGCATATATACAATCCTCCACGACCGTCTTTCTCCGAGTCTCGCTCCGCGCAGGAGTTCTGTCAATCACGTCCGGAGCTTTTCTGCGAAACCACATGGACGCCCGGAAACGCAAACAGCGCGCCATCCTCAGCTGCAACGACTGCCGCCGCCGCAAACTGAAATGCGATAGGGAGTTACCCTGCAATCGGTGTCTGGGCGGCGGATACGCGGAGAAATGTGCGTATAGTATCCTTGAAGGGGATGATCGGGGAAAGACGCCTAAAAGAGTGCGAGTGCGCACGGAGGAGACGTTCCAGTCTCTGACAGGGAAGGGGAAAGAGACGGAGAGTGAGCGGATTGAGGCGCTAGAACGCCAACTCCGCGAGCTTGGGGAGGCTGTGAGATCGCTGCAGAGTAATAGGAGGTTTGAGGAAGCAGGTCGAAGAGAAGAGGTGGGGCTGGACGGTGGCGAAGAGGTGGAGTTGGAGGATGCGGTGGTGCAGGGTGAAGCGGTAGTGGAGAAGGAGGTGGGATTGTGCAAGGGGAGGGGCGTGCGGACGTTTTATTATGGTCCGAGCAGTCCGATTACAGTCGTTGCGCATGTAGGTCGTGGGTTTCTTGGTTTCACCGAAGGTGATCTACGGCACCTGGACAGAAGTCTGAATACGACCAGACTACGTGTTGACTACCCTGTGGTGACACACCGCACTTAGACTCTTTCCTTGGTGCTGTTTGGGTATCGTTGCCGGCCAGTTGGGGCCGTTATGTCACTCTTACTATCTTTTCGACGATTCCACTAACTCTACGCAGTTCCCCGACCTCCGCCCCTTCATGAAGCAGGTAGCCAGCAACCACCCCAGTCCAGCCCGTTCATACCAAGTCTAATGCCCCCACAGGTCTTCGTCGGCTCGACCCTGCAGAAACTCCGCCAGGAGTCCAAACCGCAGGAAGACCGCGCCCGCGCCAAAGCAACTGCAAACCGCGTTCTCACCATCCCCCACCTACGCAGCCTCCTCCCAGATCGCCATACGGTAGAAACGCTCCTAAAAACTTACTTCGCCACCTTTGAAACTACATACCGTGTCCTGCACGCGCCTTCGTTCTGGGCTGCTTACGCGGACTACTGGGACGTCCCGCACGCGCGCGAGCTGGATACGGAAATAGATGCTACCATCCTAGCCATCCTCGCGGCTACGCTGTGCACGTCTACTCATGAGAGCCCGCGGTACAACGCCGAGGGGTCGAGCTTTCGCAGCCAGGCGGTGGTTTGGATCAGGGCTTGTGAGGCGTGGCTGAGGAGACAGAGTAACAAGCACAGGAGTCTGGCAAGTGTGCAGGTGAGGCTTCTGAGGCTACTGGCGTTGAGCACGACGTGTTTGAAGACAAAAGAGTACTACCAGGAGGTGCAGGGGGTCATGGCATTTATGGTGTCATCTGGTATGCACCGGGACCCGGGGATTCTGGGGAGCAGGTGCTCGGCGTTTGAAGGCGAGATGAGGCGGAGGCTGTGGGCGACGGCAATGGAATTGGAGTTACAGGCGAGTGTGGACAAAGGTGGGCCAGTCAGGTCAAGTCATCTCAGGACGAGCTATTGCAGCTAACGATGTAAAGGCACGCCGTCCACGCTTTCAAGCCTCCAGTACGACTGCGCCGCGCCCAGTAACATCCACGACGCCGACATCCACCCCGAGATAACCTCCCTCCCCTCGTCCCTCCCCAACACCACGTTCACAGACACCTCCTACCTGTACCTCTCCGCGGCCTCCCTCCCCCTCCGCGCTGCCCTCTGCGCATCCCACAACGCCCTCCACACTACGCCCTCTCCCACCGCAACCCTCGCTTCCGAAACCTCTATCCACGCTGCGCTCACCGCCCTCCCCACCTACACCGACACACGGGCCCTTCTCCCTTCCACCCTCCTCCACCTCCAACTCACACAGTTCACCCTCCTCCTCCACGCCCCCACCATCCTGCACACGCCCGCCCCCGTCCGCCCTTCCCCCTCCCACACCCACGCCACGACCACCGTCCTCTCCACCGCCGAAACAGTAATTACCCTGCACTCCGCCCTGACAACCAGCGGCATCTTCACACTCACCCTCCTCCGCCTCGACTACCTCCGCGCCGCCCTGCTGACCACCCACATCGCATACCACACCCCCGCCCACGACACGTTCACCGCCCGCCTCGCGCGCAGCGCGTGCGACGCCATCGCGTCCCACGCGCTAAAGCTGCTCGAGGAGAGGAGCATGCGTCCCGGAAGGGGGAGCCATCACTACTGGTATCTCAGCGCGGCGGTGGGGTTGGTGGAGATCAAGTTCTGCAGGGGCGGGGAGGAGGAGAAGATGAGGCTGGGAAGGGAGGCGGGGGAGAGGGTGAGTCGGTTGCTGTATCGGGTGCTGGCGCTGCGGGAGGAGGGGGAGGTGTGCCCTGGGGAGATCATCATGGGGAGTGGTGAGGGCGCGGCGATGGAGACGCCGGCGTCGATGGGGACGGGGTTTGAGATTGGCAACGGGGGTGCTGCGGGGTTCCAGGGCGTGGGGATGGAGGGTTGGGATGTAGATGTGTGGGGGCTGGATGACTTCTGGGTTTTGGGGGATTGGGACGAGCGCGCGGCGATGGGATATGGGTAGCTTGGCTTCCCGTTGCGGCGCTGCACGCATGCAATGGGGGCTCCTGCTGCCATCTACATGCTGCATCACGTACCATGCGAGTGCCTGCCCGACGACAGGATGCAATTGCCCACACACACCGCCCCACCCCCTACACTGCTGAACCACTTCCGAGAAACGCTCTCCCGCCACCCCTTCGGTCGAAGCCGACAGCACAGGCTACTCCAACGCAGAACTCACTTCTCGACCTCATCGCCACGGCTTCTCGCACGCATCAATCGGACAGCCGGTCCCCTCCTCTCAGCGCTACCGGTACTCAGTAGCCGCTGCATGATTTGTACATGTCGACGTCGCATTCTACAACCGTCAGCCTCGCCCGCTCACCCCCCGCGACTGACCCGCCACGTCATGAACCTACCTGCGGCGGCTTCACCGTCGACGCATCGAAGCACGCATATCTATCCACAGTCAGTACCACCCGTCCACTCCTCCACAAGATTGCAAACTCACGCAGGCGCAGGCAGATCTATCTTTCCCGGAAAATTGACACACATGCCGCCTCCCTCGTTGACGATGGTTTCGTAGATGTCTGACCCGTTGCAGTACGGGGTCCGGATATTGATGCCGAGCTGCCCGGCCACCTGCAGCAGGTACCCAGTCCAGATCTCGCGGTTGTCTTTGAAGATGTTGCCACCGCAGGCCGCGCAGTCGAGATATGCGACAACCGGGACTGCCGCCGCGAGGAAGAGGAAGGCGTGCGTGCGCATCGTTTCAGTAAGTCTCAAGGACGGAGTGTTCAGCCCGCGGTAACGGACGGGATGTGAGCTGGTGCAGTCGGGTCCCCCGGCCTCTATATAGCGGATGCAGGCAACCAGGTGTAACTGTGGTGTCGTGGAAGCGTGGCTCTGGCATGTGCATTTTGCCCAAGGGATGTGGAAAGGAGCTTTACACGGCTCCACATGTCGAGCAATGCATGCAGCCTATGCCCTGATCAGGCGCATGCGGTTCAGCCTGATTGCCACCACGCCCCTAGCCTATCAGGCCCCCAATGTATGGTTTAATCTTCGAATTCCTCCTTTGGGATGGAGATGGCAGGGTTGTGGTAGCCGTGTAGGAAAACCCCGCGTTTTGGAATTCAGGCTGTGCGCGATGTGATTGGAGCAGCCATCCTTGCGAATGTCTGACTTCGATGTTGGAATTTAGGAAGGTGGAAAATGGCGAGTGGAAGAAAACGGCGGTTAGCGCAGGGCGTGTACGATGGCGGTTTGTGCGACCGCTGGCTCTCGGTCATTACCGCTTGTTGCAAGATGGCGTGGGCTTGTGACCGATGGTGGGAGAGCTGTCTCGCGATCTGGGCTGGCGCAGAGAATGTCTTGCGGAGGAGTTGTTCAGGGCGGTCGTTATGTATAGGACATGACTTCTGTTTGCGCGCATGTTGTGCGAGGTCCGGAAATTAAATGAAGCGAGTCTGTTTGTCTCATCCGTTGTGGGAGAACATCCCTTCCCAGCAAGTTTACGGCCTAAGGTAAACGGCTTTGCACCTTCACGTGCACATGGCGTGCCTACGATGGCTTTGGCAGATCCTACTGCGGCACAAATGAGCCATGGGTGAGATTACGTGCTCCACACCAGCATTTTCCGTTCTCTCGACTTGCGCAAGCCGAGAACAGACATCACATAAGTGATGAGGCTCACGAATATCGTAGATGAGTACCAAACCCACTGCGTGAACCGTCGAAACCGTCGCACTCGCATTAGACCCGTTGCAGCGTCTTTGCATTCTCCCTGCTCAAATGCACTTGCAGCAGCCACTGCGGACTTATCAGTACAATGTTCCGTAGAAGAAGGAGAAAGCGGCACCTCAGCGGTGATATACGCCATACCCAACCCCATGAACACGCACGTAATGATAGTGCCTTCAAGCTAGTATGTCGCTACTCTCGGGCTATCCGCTTGATTGGCTTGCGTGAAGTCCATGTACCCTCCGTATCTGCCCCAGCTCGAGGTCATACATGCGCAATTATTGAACGCACCTATTGTCTGTGCCATGACCAGGTAGCACAGCCAGACCGTGTTAGCAAACTCTAGGGGTGTGAAGAACGAGCGCTGCAGCCTATTGCGCGTGGTGAGATCGCGCAGGATGTTGAAGTGATTGTGGGTGAGCGCTTCGGTGGTTCGCAGTCGCCGACGCTTGCTGCGCAAAGGAAGCAGGCGGATCAAAGTCAAGGCCAGAAGTTTGGTAGTGGTTTCGGTGGAGTCTAACAACTTCCTCAAGAAATCTTTTGAGCTCGCAAGCCCGAGCACGTTCATGCGCTTGGAGCTATGGTGGGGACTCCTGGCTACTCGGATTGTGTAGGTGTTGAGATGAGCGTCGAAATGGATGTGCTTCCGCAAAGGCGACGTGAGCCACCACACCAGGATCTACACGAACAATAGGGCGAACGCGACAACGAAAAATACCATGTAGCCTACGGTACGGCAACTTAAAACCACAGTAGGTGTCTGCAATGAAAATGGGAATGCTCCTAAGCCGGTACCACCTACAAGGAAGAACGATCCGTAGACTCTCCACAGCTGGCGCCCATCGAACCAGGTGAGTCCGTGGTCGACTTGTCCCAAGACCAACGAGGCTCGAGCCGTGTTGTGGTCACCAAGCCAGTTACTTCCTCTATCCGCGATGTACGCTTTCTCGATGTCAGCTAGAATTGCGTATGCGGCTCCGTAACGAAATCGAGTTCTTGCTTGGCCGGCGAAGCCACAGAAGTAGCTATGTTGGATGTATTGCGCCTTTGCTGATATCTTCTCAACCCAGTAGGCCATCTGAGCGGCGTGCGGTTGCCCATTGAAAGACGCGATATACCTATATCGGGTTGTTTCATCCTGTAGAGACATACACACGAGATCAAATAACTTGTTTAGCTTTCTCTGGATGTTGTCGGAGCCCATGGGGTTGCGATCGAGGATTGAACACAAGATGAGCACAGGAAACCAGGCAAGAAACAAGCCCATGGCAAGGATGTGAGCTTGAACGTTGCTTCCAATGTCGCTAAATGCTTTTCGCGTTTAGCAAGGCATTCTTATGGATATGGGGAGCAGCACCCTAGCAACTCTGAGGCGTACCTGCTTCAACAGATATTGCCAAACCAAGAGAAACCACAACGTCGAAATGAAGATAGGTACCACGCCTCTTCGTCTATTGCTGCGAAGATCGTTGGTCAGCTTGGCATGAAGTTGACTCAAAGTCTTCCGAGAACCTGGCAGCGTAAGTTCTTCGCTGAACAGCGCGATGCGTAGGAGGCCCTCCGCTTCCTTAGCCATCGAGGTGACCGGCTTCATCTTGTACTGATTAAGATTCGTCAAGATGAAAAAGGAGCGTGGATGCTGCTGAATCCACTCTTCAGGTCCGGAACGGGCGACTCATACGGCGTGGCCATGTCGACTCGAGAGGTCGACGTGGACGTTCATGAAGTCATAGGACATCTGGTTTAACCGAATAGTGCACATTTGCCTGATACTTCGATATTACATAGAATTGAAGCGAAACTAGACATTGGGCTGCCGATCCAGCGATTGACGGCCTTGACAGTCCGCCAGAAGGCATTGCTCTCGAACGGCGCTTGTAGCAAAGTACCTAGGATAGGTAAAATCCATGTGGTTAAAGTGGCTGAGATGGTGGACCATAGAAATTACTCATTGCCGGCTCCGCATAATGCCACGCAGCCGTGGTACGTGATCTGAGTCTCTGGCTTCGGGTTATCAGACGGACTAGGCCACTATAGTGATACCGCTCGACTAGCGTCGCGTTTGACATATAACGATATCCGCATTCTGTGAAGTTAGGACGTCTCATCTTCCTGTAAGTCGTGCAATTCACTTGTTCCTAGGATGTTGTAGCAGGCACGGTAATTGTCGTTCATAAGGAGAGCAGATCTATGTGGCCAAGATAGGCTTAGAAAAGTGGGGTGTTGTACAGCTCTCATTTATTTCTTCGTGTGTGACGCACCATCGAGCATAGCTCGCCCAGTCAACGCCGGAACGAAACCCCTCATTTGATAACCAAGAGCGAGATTATTTTCGTTGGATGGAGATACTTAGACCTATCAATATATTATCGACGCCAACCAAAATGCCTAACTGGAAGCAAGGTGATGATGTCCGCGTGATTGAAGTACTATTGGAACATCCTGGACACTAGTCGTACTGTAAGCTTCACAAGGTCATTTACGGTGAAATGGCGGAGTAAGGCCTCAGCGAGTGGCTTAGAAGCTGCGAACGACACGAGCATTGTGACGTCTCGAGTTCGACTGATCCCAGGATCGAAGTCACTTTCCTCGGTCTCGACCCTGCGAGTTTGGTCGGTGAAAAACGACGCATCGCGTCATCATTTCCGGGACAGGAGTGATGGAATTGATCCGTACGTAGCTTTCGAAGCCAGCTGGATCTTGTCGGTCTGCCAATGCACAAGGGCATCGAGCCTCCGACCAGCATTGTCACCAGTGGTACGTACGGCAATTGGATGATGCTCCGGCAAGCGATGGCACACCAAGCCTTCAACACAAAACGTGGCATTCACGTTCTGCGGTATGTACTTGTGATCGCTTCGTGGTGGTGGTGGGGTTGCATGTTGTGAACCGTCGCGTCGCAATTCGACCCTAAACGCAGCCATTGGGACCAATCGGCGTTCGGATGCGCCGGTATAAGAGTCACGTGCCGTGAAATTGGAGGAAGCGCTTCACGTTTGATCTCCATTGTGTTCATCTCACGACCCACCTCACTCCATGTCTCTCATCTCGCCAAGCAACATTTGCACATGGCGATCCCTAAAGGACGCAAGTCTAGACGCGTGGCGTTCACGGGAGCGTGAGAAACGGCGCTTTTGCGCTGCGGACCAACGTCTGCGAGATTGACTCCCGTGATGTGTGCTCCACCTCAGGCCTGTAAATTTCCACATGAGGTTGTTCTGCTGATTTGAGAGCTGTCGCAGGATCAGTTGCATATGTAGGCTGCGGACGCCCGCTTTCTTTCGGTTTTTCTTCTCTTCTAGACTTACCTCAGGTCTCTCCCACACTCGCTACCTTCACTTTTCGCAAGCCGCTGTGCTGTGCTTCCATTCGTTGTATCTGTTTTCACGCAGAGTCAGTCGACTCGCATCCACTCATTCACGCTCTTTTCCAACCACGCTAGTGCGTTTGCTTGAAGCATCACCAGACTTTTCCACGGCAACGCATTCAACCTCAAAACAATATCAGAAATCAACATGAAGTCTTTCGTGGCCATGCTCCCGTTCGCGGGCTTTGCTCTTGCGCAAGGACAGTGCGCGCCCGGCATCACCGTCACGGAGACCTCGATCGAGAGAATCACCGTGACCGTCAAGCCCACCTCGCAAGTTGCACCGTCCGCCATTGTCACCCCAAGCACCGAGGAAACCAAGCCGTTGCCAACCCCACAGGTTCCCTACTACCCCGTCGGAAACACAACCACCAACGGCCCCTCTGCCTTCCCCACGCACACACCTAAAGCTCCAACCACCTTGGAGTCCTTCATCTTCCCTTCGGACGTCGTCTCTTCCTCGTCATCAAGCAAGAAGATCAAGACTGTCTTCGTTGTTCCCTCGCCTGTCGGTCCTTCCTCATCGCATAGCCAAGCTGCTGCTGCCACGAGCTCCGTAGCTGCGGCGCCCGCTCAATCATCTCAGGCTGCTGCCATTCCTGATACCGCTGCTGAGGAGGCTACCAGTTCTGCCGCCTCCGTCAGCGGTACCGCATCGTTCTACGGTGGCAACACTGCCGGCGGAGCTTGTTCCTTCTCGGGATACACCATCCCTTCGAATCTTTTCGGGACAGCCTTTGGCGGAAGCTGGGATGCCTCGCAGTGCGGTGCCTGCGTGCAGGTCACAAACAAGGCCGGCAAGTTCATCAAAGCTATGGTAAGTACCTTGCACATCTGCGATTGTTAGCCGCGACTAACCGTTCCCCAGGTCGTCGACCAATGCCCCGAGTGCGCCGTCAACAAGCTCGACCTCTTCGAAAATGCCTTCACCCAAATCGGCACCAAATCCGAGGGCATCATACCCATCACCTACTCCATCGTCCCCTGCGGCATCACCTCCCCTATCATCCTCAAGAACAAGGAAGGCACCTCGCCATACTGGTTCAGCATGCAAGTCATGAACTCTAACGTCGCCGTCTCCAAGCTTGAGGTGTCGACCGATGGCGGCGCCACCTGGAAGGCGACCAAGCGCAGCGCGTACAACTTCTGGGAGAACAGCGCTGGATTCGGAACGAGCAGTGTGGATGTGAGGGTTACGGGTGTAAATGGCAAGACTGTTACGGTGAAGGGTGTAAGCGTTGCGGCCTCGACGACGAAGACGGCGGGCGGAAACTTCTAAGCTGGGTGTAGGTGATGGGTAGGGGATTTTGGAACTGAGATTGCCCGCACAATTACTCCTGATGTTTAACTTCTAGTATACTTACTTTCTGCACGTGAGCTAAGCTCAATTTTTCGAGGCGACTTCGAAGCCTACAATGGAGGTGTTTGCCTCGTCAACGAGGATTTTGTTGACTGGAAGTTCCTACTGTGCCAGTTTGTTCTGACTGCTCACTGTCATTGCGGCTCACTGAACCCCAACTCGCAACCTTTGGCGTCAAAGCGCGAGACGAAAAGTAAGGAGGCCGTCGGGCTATGTGCAGCGCAATCTGCAAAATCAAGTTCTCGATCGCGATTCTAAATTTGGCTATGTAAAGTGGGTGTATGGTCGTGGTGTTTAGAGCGAAATACGATCCGTTACGGATAGTACGGCATATGGGGGGCTCGCTAGGCACAAGGCTGGGGCGCAGCGACCTTATGTAGGATTCAGGAAAATTTCAGGTCGCTTAACGTCTTGTCGTTTGGATTGTGAACAGAGACGATATTTTTGTATGCGAGCAGCGGATCGTACTACTGAGGGGCTATTAAGTCTCGAGGTTAGTGTACCCAAGCGGTCCACGGCACCCCTTGAGCACATCATCATCAGCCCTACACACGGATTTCTGGTAGCGATGTACCCAGAAAGCCTTGCACGAGTCGCGACAGCTCCCAGACCACGGCCGTAGCTACCCGTCGCGCCTTTCTACCCCATCCAGACCAGCCCTCCCGGACATCGGGGATGTTCACTGGCATCGCAACCTGAAACACGACCTCCGACGCTCGCACTCCAACTCTAAATCTATGTCTGGCACACGGAGCATTCCTGCCGTTATGCTAGCGCCACCGTGCGCGCAGACCAGAAGGTTATCTGATTGAGTTGGGGAAAACCCTCAGGATCACTTCGCGCATTGCGTGCATCTGTATTCAGCAGCCAACGTTGTTGACGTGAGATGTAGAAACACCGGATCGGGCAATGATGGGTGAGACTCCCGACCTTTACGGGTTAGAAGGCATCCTGGCGGGGGCGCTCAGATCGCAGGCGACGTGACGCGCTGCTGATGTGAGTGTTTGCTGCAGGAACGCTGGCGCTGGCTGGCCCTATGAGTCCCGAGCAGGGAGTACTGTGCGGATGCGGATTGAGTCGCGTGAGCATGCGCTGTGTGGTGGTTAGCTCAGGATGAGCGAGTCGTGTTGTCGCAGTGCCAAGGGCACCAGGGCAAGCTTGTGTAGACTTGTGGAGGCGTTGTGCAGCAAGGCTGGGCCGTTCTCAAATTCGCCTCAAGTAAAGCGGATTGCTAGATGCGAATGGAGACTTGCAAGGGCCTGCTAATTTTGGCCCCTCAAGCGATCGTGAGATTCCCTAACACAGACATAAACAAGTGTTAGGCTGGCCCCGAAGCGCCACTTGCGTAGGAGTCTTGCATAGAGATATGTGCAGATCGTAATAAATGCAGATGGTCTGTCCAAAAGAATCGCTGGCGTGTTCGGGAAGGCGGCAGGAGGTGGGGGCTGTGTGACCTGCCTCCAATCGTGATGATGAAAAAACGAGAATTCGCATTGACCGGATTGAGACAGCGGAAGATTTGGGGTCGAAACTGGATCGGGGCCCACACAGAACAAAGTCCAATTCGAAAGGGAGAAACCGACAGCAAGCGCGCTCGTATACTGAAGAAGTGATTCGGAGCAGGAGATTTGCAGTAAACGTTCTGCGCTAATACGTGGGGCGCTCTCTTTGTAGCGAGGGAGCAGTGCGATGCGGTTGGACGTTTGTTGTATAGCCCCCAACCATAGGCCATTTGTTATTCTCCTTCCCACGTTACCTGCGGCCTGCGGAACTGGCCGCTCGGAGAAGTTCGTCTGCGGTCGCGGACGTCCTTGGTTCGTTGGAAAGACACAAGCACCATCCCTAGTTGTGTGCGTGGCTTCGAGCAATGGTCAAAATGATTCAAGTCCGCAGTCATGCAAGTGTAATGGCGTAAAGTCGCTCGTTCAACAAGCCGTACGCACCTTAGTTGGTGTATCAATCGTGCAAGTAATATACGAGGCCCCTGCAGGATGCATAATGGTCTCGCTTCCATTTGTTGCACTTTCAGAGGGCCGCCTCACTGTTAGGGCTACATGGCCCAGTGAGAGCCGGAGCAAAATGGCCTCCGCATCCTCCGCATTACTTCGTGAAAGTAAAACTTCCCTGAACTATGGCCGTGGGTGCTGTGATATAAGATTAGAGAGCAAAAGACGTACGGAGCGAGCCGGCCCCTGTCTTGCAGCATCGCTGTTGTGGCAGATCAATGCTGCATCAGCTCCATGATCTTCGCATGATCCGAACGACTTGTTTCCAAGCTTCTTTATGAGCTTCGTAGGCTCAATTTCGCAAAGTACTCGCCACTGCTGAGTCCATGGAAGTGGTACAGTGGAAGGCCTACGAATCTAAGCTGTGTTGTGGCGGGACTTGAAGTGGCAAGTGGTGTCACTAGTCGCATTGCTGACATGCGAATCCGGCAGGAGACAACCCCAGGAAATGAAGTCGAGCAAGCGGAAATGAAATCAGAAGGGATTGCGTAAACTTTCGATCAAATACCAGATGTATTGCCAAACATGGTGAGGTCTGCAAGGACAACAAGCCATAGCTATACATGCCTGTTGGACCGGTCCATCGTGATGGCGTCAGAACGGAGCTAATCCTAGCGATGGTGGATGTGATCTGAAATCTAGCACCTGTCCTACAGTGAAGGAGTGTCGAGAGAAATTGATTGCAGGTGTCCACTACCTGTGAGGTAAGACTGGGAGAGACGATCGCTGCTCGAGAACCTTCGAACAGGCGTCCAGCGCCGCTCGTAGCATTTTGCCCGCGAGACTGAGGGCGGCACAGGGTGGAGGTTTCAGATGAGACGGAGTCGACGGACTTCGGGGACACCTGCGCTGGGTCCACGAGTGGTCAATTAAGCGACACGCGCGAAAGGTGCACCAAGAAGGCCATCCCCGTAAAAGCTTGATCAAGAGCCGCAACGCACGTCCAAGGGGGCCCATGCGGCGATCGCACTGAGGGTTGATGTGGGCCGTGGCACTGCCGCTCCGGAAAAAGCTCGACATGGGATTTTTCCTCTTGCGGACCGACCAGGGCTGCGCCGCACCGCTCCCTACGACTTGGCGCGTCGCCTGCTCCCTAACGCTTCCTAGGTCATGTACAATCCCGGCACCACACCGCTGACGTGGGCTACCACTCGTGCCCTGTCCCACTGTACCGACAGCCCGAGCGATGCGAAAACCCCCTGGCTTGCGTATGCGCAGTCATTCTTTGCTCTCGCGAGCGCTCGTGGCTGGCGTCGAATGGGGACGCGCCCACGGCAGCTCCCACTCGCTCAGCAACAGTCATGTATTGGCGCATTCAACGGCCGCCATGTAGCAATGCCTCCTTCCGATCGTGGGTGGAGGACGGGCCAGCAGCAAATTAAGCTCATGGCCCACTTCCAGCGTTCACGAGGGTCAGTGCTGGGCCTGGGGTATCCCTCTCGGGGACTTGGCCGCTAGGAGCGCCGTCAGAATCAGCCTTCCTTTGGTGGACAGCCTCAGCGTATATACGCTCCCCCTCCACACGTTTCACCTTCTCGGTACACAGAGCCTCTTCGTTCCTTTCTATTCCTGTCAGCGACCGGGGTGCTACTAGCTACTGTTCTCCACATTCTGCGCGCAGCCTCTAGTGTAGACTACCGACCTCCGACTTCACGAGGCTATACAAGCCCGATACGGGAATCGGCCTGCACTTTACAGACCCTCGAACATACCATAAGTTCTCCCAGTCCGCTACTTTACAGTCCCTACAGCAATCTCCGGATCTACGGACAGCACTGGGCAGCTCTACTCGACTCCATTTAGCAACACATCACAACAAACAATGGACGCAGACAGACGGCTTGTCAAGGCTCTCGAGGCCGCCAACGATGCTCTTCAACATCTTTCCATGTCGCCGGACTTCGGATGCCTGGACTGCACACACATCGACCGTCTACTTGCTAGGGTAGTGGACCTACCAACAGAGGGGAACCAGAGGAACAGCAGGCGCAACCTTTTGGTTATACGGCAATGGATGATCACAGAGGGACCTGGTGTCGTACTGCTGGAGGTGCTAGGACAGCTGTACTGGCGCTTGGGCGAGCTCAACGCGAAGCAGTTTGAGAAGTTCAAGACTACACTACAGGCACAGCAATCCTACCTTGCACTCATCCAGGATACTGGAGCAGTCACACTAGTGATCCAGCGGATCCGTCATATTCAAAGGTCCAAGGCAGATGCATGTCAGGACTTCTTGTGCGAGCTTTCAGACCTCACAGGTGCGAAGGGTAAGCATATACCATCGAGGAGCTTAGAGACGCATGCTGACTAGGTCTAGTCGATTCACCAATGGCAGATATGGATGTGATGCGCGCCAGATCGAGCAGCCCTTTCTCGCCTGGACACTCTTCACACTCGTCACACCACTCCGTCATTTCTTTCGATAGCTCTGCCTCTCAAGAGGAAGCATTCACAAGCCTGGTCAAGTATGTCCCTGATGGCAGACACTTCGGTGGAGATATGGAACAGCTTCTCTTCGACTTCTTCATCAACGGGATCTGCCCCGGTCGCACTCCCGCGACTCAGACCAACACCTACCTCTCCCTTTTCCAAACCGCCAACATTTGCGAGAGTACCAAATTCGCTCTCTTGAGCCTCAGCGCTTCTTACATTCGTGAATACCTTCACTCAGACAAAGAGCGCTATCACCAGGCCGAGCTTTACTACTCCGGCCAGGCATTTCAGGCCCTTGGCCAGCAGATCAGCAATGGCGAGGACTATGACGCCGCTCTCTCCACAGCCATGCTGCTTATGCATCACGGTGCCATCAACGACTCAGACGAAGCGAGTCTGTGCTGGTCTGTCCACGCCAACATTTTCGACATCATCCCATCAGAGTTCATCGACCACGCATCAGAGCCAGCCCTCTACATGCGCACCCAGCTCGTGCTTGCACGCACCGGTCAAACGGCATACACGCTTGAGAGCGCCCCCTTGCCGCAGTCCCTGCAGGCCAACAACTGGCTCGATGGAATGCAGAACGGAGATGCGCAGAAGATCTGCAGCATCTTGGGCATGTCCCCCCAACTCGTCTTCTTCATATCTTCGATCAATTCGCTTGCGACCGAGAACGCACAGAATAAGCACATGTACGCGCAGGTACTCGAAACACAAATACAGAACCTCACGCAGTGGACGCCGGAGCCTCAAGGCGATGGACGCGACATCATCCTCGCTACTGCGGAGTCTTTCAGACTCGCCGCACTTATCTACTTGCGGTGTCGTTTGTATGGGTAAGTTCACGTTCCGTCATCGCGTACCACCCACATTCTGACAAAGTGACAGTCTGACTCGCTTCAACCCCGCCATCATGGAACTCAACGACGCGCTGACCGCCGTTATACTCTCTCTCCCTGTCAAGGGACATCTCTACACTGCGATTTACCCTGTTTGGCCTGTCTTCATCGCCGCCGTCACGGCAAACTCCGACAAGCGTGACTGCCTCTACCAGCGCGTAGTGCCAATCCGCGAGGGCGACAAGAACACACTCCCCGCTGTCCTCAAGCGCGTCTCGGGCATGCGCATCTGGTTCGCAAAGCAGGACCCTACCGCGCTGCTTCGCGATGGCTGGTGGGACGAGATGCTCCTCCCGAGCAGCAGCACCACCGCCGTGTCGGCCAACCGCCTCCTGTGCCTCGGCTAAAGATTCTTCACTTCACTTCGTTTTCCATTCTTCTTCACTTCTCTGTCAATACTTTTACCACTTGTTTCTCCTTCTGTTTATACCCCGCAACTGCATTGAGCGTTGTTTATCATCATGACTGCATACTCGGCGTTTGTGGCTTTCTCGCATTTCCGGGCTGCATTCCAGCGATTCGATTCCCAAAATTCTTTAGACGGACGTGGCCGTCATGGCTAGGAAGTAATGAGGACTCGGAAAAGGGTCTCATTTGTATATGGCTTTTCGCATGCATTTCATGCTGTAAATATCCTTCTTGCTTATACCATTGTTCTACACCTGCATCTCACGACTCAAACATGCTTGATATTTCTATGTCTCTGAATATCTATTCTCAAATGTACCCACTACGCACTTTTGTAGAACATCTTCAAAATCTGTTCACCTGTCAGCTTGTCCCTTCGTGTCGCCCCGCCCAAAACAGTAAGATCCGCCCCCCATTGCACCCCTGCACGCCTCGGCAATCCTGCATGCGCTAGCCGCCATGCCTGCTCGCCCACGTCCGCCCCATAAAAAAGGGTATTTTCAGCTCGGAGGACGGGTCCGCTTCTCCTGGAGGAATGTCGCGTGCGCAGACGCTGACGGCACGGCGGGTATGTGTCTCTGTTCCTGGATGTGTGGGTAAGATGGGCGGTGCGGTGTGTTCCATTGATGCAGGCTCAGGTGACCGATTTGCAACGCATGCACTGCGTTATTACGTGGACGGCGCGGTCTGGATTTGTCTTCCCAGTACAGGACATGGTGCCAAATATGCTGGACTTACGCTTACGAAAGAGGAGAAAGATGCGCGGAGGCAAATACTCACCTGGAGCCGCAGTAAGTAGATCACGTGCGGGAACGTACTTGTGAGCCCTCATTTGTTGGTTGTGGTGAAGGTAGCTTCTATGTTTCGATGCGGAGCAGAGCGTTCGAGGAGGATTCGATAAGTGAGACACGTTGCGTTGGCTACAATTAAGCTGCTTATGGCTCCATAATTAAGGCATTATGATGGGTTGTAAATTCTCGTAGAAAATATGCCACAGGCGACGTTGACTTGATTTCTAGGATTGGTAGCCATTCCGTCCTTGATGTTGATATGTGTCACGGTTCATCGAGCAGTGCTCCAGAACGTTCGCTAGACGCTGCATCGTTGGCGCCAGCGCTTGTCGTCAGCGCTTGTCGCAACCAGCATATCGAGCTCTGTGACCGTGCCCACTGGCGGCTTGCTCGGCGTCTCTGGCGACCGCCGGGACGCATAGAAGGGGTGTGTTTGAAAGCAGGCCTTTTGGAAGCCTGAATGAGGGCGTCTGTTATGTGTTCAGTGGCTCTGCACGGTTCTAAGTCGCTTGAAAGAAAGTCACTTCTATATTTCAGTTTCCCACTTGCGGCATCTGGTCGTGCCTGCCAATACTCAGTACCGTCAGTCATGCCTTCCATGTGGGCCACGACTGAACCATCACCACGAGCTTCCTATACTCGTTCCCTCTAACTCTTTGCAATCATGGCCATTTGAATGTTGGTGGTCTCTTCAGAGAGTATACGCCCGCAAACATGAATCACCGCTGATGCTCCCGCTTCGCGATCTCTTCCGAGACTAGCCACGAACAGAAAGCCGCTGTAAAAGATGGATGACACCGGTCAAGCATAACAGCTGGATTATATCTTCGTCGGCTTCCTGACACCCCACTCTCGCTCAGTTTCCTGATCCCACGCTATCCTCAGAGCCCTATGGTTCTCTTTCACCGGAGCATTGACCTTATGATGCTCCACCGTACAATACACCACCTTACCCATCATCTTCCCGAGAATCAGTGCCATCTGCTTGGCCTTCAGATACAACTTTGAACTCCAGGCGTACCGTAATGCCGACAAGTACGGCCTTGAGGTAGGGGATATTCAGCGAGCGGGTAACGCCGACCATGAACTCCGAGGAGCCGGGGCGGATATGGGGAACAAGAGCTGCGGTGGTTGCCTAGGGTGACCAGATATTGGTAATGCCTTTCGCGTTTACCATGTCCAAAAATAACACCTGCAGCGCCGCCGTGCATCACATCGTTCAGATTGGAGATATGCAATTGGAAGATCATGGAGCCGTCTAGGCCTGCTGTCTGATTTTGAGATTGCGCATCACATCGCTGTCAGAACCTGCCTAGTTTCAGATCGCCAAACTTTTACGACCTTTAGGTCCTTACAATATGGTGTTACGGCCGCTGGGCAGCTCTGAGCTAGTACCGCCCGTATGGCTTTTTTCCGGCGTCCTTCAGCATCCGCCATGGTATTGGAATTCCAATCGGACTATGTGAGATGGTAAAGCGCAGGCAGGGTAACGAACGAAATGTTACGTTATAGCTGACTGAATCGGATCATCCGGCCTTTCCCCCCCAAAGCAGATTCTATGGAGGCTGGCAGCTACTCAGCACTGCTTGTTCTCATGGCCTGTTCCCCTGCTCTGGTCAGGACTCCAATGAGGAGACCGCAGACCGTATCATTACTTTGGACCGATCCAGCACAAGAGGCTCTGCCCATAAATTCGGTGCAGAGAGCGCAGCCTTGAAACTTATCTGGGGTCGATCTGGCTGAAGGGTTCAAAGAATTGGAGGATGACAGCGAAGATAAGCCTCGCGCACCGAGTTCCGCAAGAAAGAGAGTGATATAAAAAAGTCCTGGGTTTTCATGGGTCATTTATTTCACAGCAGACGCGTTGAAAGCAGGCCGCGTACTAGTCATCGGTTGCATCTCAAATGGCAAGTTATACCTACAGTATTCGAGACGCTATTCGAGACGCCCTCGCCGCACTAACGATGCTGACAGATGATACTAGGCAGCAAAATCGTAGCACAAGAGTTCCAAGATCTGACCGCCTTGAGGAGGCTTTACAGAGCTGTATAAGTGTTATCTTCTGCTGGCCATGACTGATCGCTTGACAGGGAATAGACCAACAAGCCTTGCGTGTGATGTAAGCCAATTCTATACGTTCTAGAACAGAGGCACTCAACCGTTCTACAACCATGTACAAAACGCGCCGTGGGCAACAAGATTTTTTCTCCGAAATTTCAATATATGAGTTCAACTTAGATCCATCTGATGACTCAGTGGGTGACGACTTTGGGAGATGCGTAAGGGATGGTAGGAATCGGCGCGGCTGCGGCAAACCTGTCTCGAACGAGCGGTACTTTCCGTACGAACAAGACCCATGGCGTGGTATCTCCCGCTCGTCTTTCAAGATCGATTAGGTTCATGTAAAAGATCATCGCAGAGGAGGAGCTACATCGAATGTACCAAGAATTGCGTACTTGAACGAATATGACGAATTAGACAGCCGGGATCCATATTAGAGGGTAGCCAATCGAGGGGAGATTGCCCCAGAGGTCGGGGGGGGGGGGGGGGGGGGGGGTTTGAAAACTGTATGTACTTTGAAGGTGAGCTAACAGATGATGCTAAAGTAATGCTGCTCCTAGGTTCGACGGTCATTCTGTTCGACAACGGGACCCCTCGTCCCAGCGAACCCTTGACGGGCACCTTTGCGGCAGCTCGTGCAGGACTTGAATCATGATGGGTCAGATGCAAATCACCTTCAAAGCTTGCCGTAGACTAACAGGCTAATAGAGACGTTTTTTCTTCTTTCTCCCAAGAGAAGTTAAAGATACAGATTAGGGGACGGCCAAAGAGTGCATGTTATTCATACGGCATTGGAATTCGCTGGAATCAAACCCTGCTCAGATTACCTGAGCATCTTGCTGCGTCCCTACCCAAGCTGCCTATCGGTCTCTCTATAACACAACAGACTGGAAGAGCAAGCTTACAAGTCGGCTGCGGAGCCAGACGAGAATCGCGCTGCCGCCCTCTCGCACGCTGCGAGTCAATGACTGACTCTGGAGAAGCTCATGAGAGTACATTCAGACGTCCTGCGCGATCTCAAGACTCAGGTAGCGGAGTTGCTCGATGATCTTGAAGTGGAGGAGAGGTTCGCGTCTCCACAAATCAGTTTCGAAAGGCTGGACCACAGCTTTCAGGAGGATATCACAAACCCCACAGCGGCGGTGAGTGAGCTGATAAGCGACAAACCTTTGTCGAACAATTCGACTCGGCGACCCAAATAATCCCCGACTTCACTGTAGCTGTTCAGAAGCGTCGGATACCGCGCCTCCTGAATCTCCCTGAAGCTTAACACCAGCATCTGGCGCTTATCGTGGATAACCTTCATCTTCCTCCCCTCACATTCCTCGTGGGCTCCTTTGGCGTCAACGTCGACACATGCGAGAACAGCCCCAGCATCAGTGGTACTTTGTGGCCGTCGCAGGCCTTCTGGTTCTCGTGCTCGTCTTCTGGTACATTGCCTGACACTCTCCGAGTCGCGAGCGCCAGACGCAGCAACGGCACGTTTTCGAATCCTTTAACCGCAATCATGCAGAGACCTATCCCTACATCTGGACACGGCACGGTCCGCGACGTGAGCGTACTCCAGCCACATTCGCCCAGCGCGTGAAATACCGCCTTTTGACGTCGTGATATGCACCGCACCAAGTAACTCCTTCCCCCAAGAAGCTGGCCTGAACGGTCTCGTCTGAGATACAGACTGACAAGAAGGCAGCTTTCTGAGCCCTGGATGCACCAATCTTACGAATCTCGTCAGGTTGAGCCGCTGCTCGATACACCTTTCCCTGAAAGCCCACTTCAGTCACGCGAAATGGCAAAGCGCTCATCTGACCTAGGGGTTCAACGTCCACTAGAGCCACGGATGCTGTCTGTTCCGCGATCGACGCAGTGAGGTTAGCATGTCAGCGTCAGGGCGGTGCCTCGGCTTGCCCCACCACACCATCACCACCTCCCCCGTCACCAGAATGACCCGGCAGCGAAGAACATCCGCGTCCGAAGAGACAAACAGATTCTGCCGTTTCGAAACAAGCAGAGGCGCTGTGCGCGCCTCAGGTTTGTTTCACAATGGCGGTGCCACGCTAGCTCGCGGGGCCGCTCAGGAGACTTGCAATTCGTCGGATGTTTGATCGTCGCATCGTGGCATCGTCGAATGGCCGATGCACGTTATATAATATTCTAGCTCATCTCATCGCGGCCAGCACTACTCAGGGCAAGCGAGAAGCGTCGTATTTGTATTTATTCTCGGCGTGCGACACGGCTGCAGGACAGCTGCGAGCCTTTTGTTTCCTCTTCCATCGAGACACGCGCGCGCGCTTCCGGTTGCGTATACGTGTTACCTCTGCGTTTACGAGCTGAGCTTCCGCTTCCGCCGAGTATATATTGCGCGGGCCGCGAGCTGCAAAGCGCTCCACTGGCCTTGTTTCTGGCGTCGGGACTGATCTCTAGACATGTCTTCTGCGCCTGTCCCACCGGCGCTGCGCAAGAAGGTGCTGCGCGTGCTCTTCATCTCGCTGCTGCTCGACCTGGTACGTCATCGCATGGCATCCCTTGTACCACCGTCGAGAGACACTACTCACGCAGTGCCGTGCTAGATATCCTTCACCTTCATCCTGCCGCTGTTCCCCAAGCTCCTCGAATTCTACCGCGACCACGAAGCCGCACAGAACCATGCTACGCCCACGCTCCTCGCGCGCATCCTCAGCGGGCTCAATGCGTACAAGAACTCGTTCGCCAGACCCATCAACGACCGCTACGATATCGTCCTCCTCGGCGGGGCCCTTGGGTCCCTGTTCTCCTTCCTCCAGGCCATTGCCTCTCCTATAATTGGCACTCTGTCCGATCGTTACGGGCGGCGCACGGCGTTGCTGTGGTCTATGACTGGCAATGTGCTGAGCGTCGCGCTGTGGGTCGCCGCGACCGACTTCCGCACATTCCTGGCGAGCAGAGTCGTGGGAGGGCTGAGCGAGGGCAATGTACAGCTGGCCATGGCGATTGCGACCGACATCAGTGATGAGAGCCAGCGCGGTGCAACCATGGCACTAGTGGGCGCATGCTTCAGCATAGCCTTTACATTTGGGCCGACACTGGGAGCGTGGCTGTCGAGCATCGAGAGCGTGAAGGCGAACCCGTTTGCGACCGCGGCGGGCTTTTCGCTTTTCCTCATCGTGTCCGAGACCTTGTATCTCTACTTCTGCCTGCCCGAGACGCTTCCGAGTGCCGCGCCCGCGGTAGACAAGAACCACGCGAACGGCAATGGGACGAAGAAGGAGGAGCTTGAAAAGCCGCGCGTGCGCACAAATTCACACTTCATCCTCAACGCCACCCACTTCTCTTTCATCCTGTTCTTCTCGGGCATGGAGTTCTCCCTCCCCTTCATGACCTACGACCTCTTCTCGTACCAGTCCAAAGACACGGGCCGCCTTCTCGGTTTCATCGGGCTCATCGCGTCGCTTCTGCAGGGCTCCGTCGTGCGCCGTACACACCCGCTCAAAGTCGTGAAAATGGGCGTTGTAAGCTGCACTATCGCCTTCTTCATTCTCGGCCGCGTAGAGTCCCAAAAGATGCTGTACACCGCCGCCGCGCTGCTCGCTGTTACTAGCGCGACAGTAGTGACTGGTCTGAACAGCCTGAGCAGCTTCGAAGCGAGCGCAGATGAGAGAGGAGGAAAGCTAGGGAACCACAGGAGTTTCGGTATGTTCTTGGTCATCGCGTACTTGTATCATGGCATCCGAACTAACACTCACAGGGCAAATTGGGCGCTCCCTCGGGCCCCTGATCTTCTGCTCGCTGTACTGGTGGGCTGGACGCGAGACGGCGTACGCAGCGGGTGCCGCGGGCATGATTGCCGTGTGCGCGCTGGTCTTTGGTGGCTTGAAGGTGCCACCAGGGACGGAGACGGTGAGGAAGAGCAAGGCCAAGGCGACGTAAAGCGCGGGCGGCAAGAACTCTGCATCGAAATGTACATAGCTGAATTGCATTGTTTCAAAAATCAGCATGCGTCGTGCACTGTATTGTGTTGCGGTGAGTGAGTGTAGAGGAAGCGTTGCCGGTGCTTAGCCGACTGTGCAGAGGCATGCTCTGGAAAGAGGTGAGAAGAAGCTTTTCAAGTGTTGGCGTGATGGGGTGCAAAGAGCGCAACAAACGTGAAGTATGGCTGGCTGGCCGTGGGCCCGGATGGAAGGCAAGGCTGACAGGCACTGGATAATGGAAGGTACGGCCCATCTAGAGCTTGTCTTCTCCCGTTTCTGTCATGCATCACGAACAGCCATATGCTGTCATTCCTGGAATAACGACCCGATTGCACACACGGTCCGAGGATGGATCGAGAGACGAGATGAGCAGGTGGTATTATGCGGTCGCGTAGAGTAAGATGGCTGCAAAGATGAGGAGGCGGATGAGTGTTTAGGCGATGTGGTTGAAGGTTTGAGAAAGTGGACGAGAATAAAGCTAAAAGTCATGCAAATTGCATCTGGTTTATTCCAGGCTCATAAGCTCACTGATATGAGCTAGACGTCTGGCCAGATGGCAGCAAGACCTGCGGATGTTGCGAGCGCTACACCAACCCTCAGCATCCCGGTAACACCCCCAGGCACATCCTCGCTGAGCCTGAAATCGCCTACGCAGCCTGTCCCAAACTTCAGCGCACCTATTTCGTGGTTGCGCATGCGCCATTCGACCATCAAAGGCTCATAGAGCGTCGTCGGCATTGGTCCGGGATCCATCTTGATGGCGACGGAGGGCGCTTCTGCGTCAAGTCTAGGATCGTCCACCAGATATCGCGGTATGTGTCGCGAAATGGTCATGGGCTCGCGCGAGTTGGAGATGGAGGGGTCGCAGGTGCCGCAGATGGTGATGTTGTCCGGGCCTTGAGGGTCAGGGGTCCATCAGTTTGATTCGGGACGACCTCCTGCTGACTTTCGCGCTGTTTGCTTGGTTCGGGGCTTGCGGGCGGGAAGGTTTGCTGCGTCATTTGAGTGATTGACTGGGACGGGGGGTTCGGTACGGTGCTTGTGGGTACTGCCTCTAATATCTTGTATCACATAGCTGCCTCCATCGCTGTCAAAATGTCTGTGACAAAACCGAGATTTACTCGGCTTGTTCCCATTCTGGCTGGAAACATGTCCACAGTTGTAACCTTTTTTTCGATCTTCACCATTAAGATAATTAAGAGTGTCTCCGAGAGCCGGATGGTGTTTCTCAATACGGTGCAGCATGCAGCTCACTTTGTAGCGAGTCTCCTAGTCCTCTGTGGAAAGGCCCAATTGCAGATGCCACCGCTGCAAGCCAATCCAGGTGTTGCTCTACGCGTGATAACGAAAACTTTGAGTTCGAACTCGAATACCGGTATAGCAAAGTGAAAGCGTCTGAAGTAGCATACGAACATGAATAGTCAAACAAGAAGTGAACCAGAGCGCTGAAAAGGGAATTTTGCATTCACGAAAGCAAGTTTAACGCCCGAGCCCGCGATACAACGATATGGAGTTTCCTCAAGTGTCGGTATGTAGTGTCAGTACGTAGTGCGCTGCCCTGTGCGTTCCGCCGGCTGGCCGGCAGCTGGAGAATGCCGGTTTGCCGCATAGCCTACATTTTGCTCCGGTTTCCACACAACTTCTGCCCTGTTTTGCTCACCGTCAAAACATGACAATTGTTTCACAACCGAAGCAGTGGAGTCAATGATGTAATCTGTGGCTATGCTCCGCAGATGATATCTTGGTACTCGTATAGGGGATGGAAGGTTATGTTGACAGCCAATCACAGATGGCGAACACCAGAACTTGGAATCCCAGAGCATAGGCAGGAATGCAGCCCACGGCCCACAGCCAAGTGACTAAGGCTTTCACGCGGAGGGCCATAACACTATACGATCTTGGCTGCTGCCAACCAACGAGCTGGCGGAATGACATGTGTGGTACACAGTATTGGCATCTTATAACGTGTATCATACTTGTCCCTTAAACATTTTCCAATATCGACGGAATGCATCAGATATACACTTCACCATTCATTCATAGCCGTGGATATCCAATAAAGGACCGTATGGGCAAGCCTCACGCCGCACGATGGAGATTACCAAGACCAGTTCATTCTCGGGTCTCACGTATTCGCGTCATTGGCGCTCTCTTAGTTCTCTGGATGGTATGCCAACTTCACCTCTTCTCGGTATATCGGGATGCACTATCTGCCAAATACGGGCCAACAGAGTTTGGCATACTAGGCGCCGAGCAACACTATCGACCAGACAGTGAGGCAGAGAAACTACAAGCAGAACTAGTTGCGAGCAGATCTGAATGGAAGAAGCTGGGAGCCGGGTTTGAAGGAACTACGTACGTGCTTAACGACACAGTCATCAAGACCTTCACGCCTGGACGAAGCCCTTTCCGTAATTGTCATCCCAAACATACAACTATACGATGGCCAACAGAGATTCCTGCATCACTTCTCTTTTGCAGTGGTAGTTCAGGTCGCAATGCCACGTCTCGGGTGTCACGAAATGCGCCAACGATCGGCTGCCTTCCTGTAAAGGCAGCGTTCCATACTGCAGCTGGCCCGGGGATGATCACACAATGGCACTTGGTCATGCCTCTTGCTCGCCAAGGTACGCTTAAAAGCTTGTCGAAGAACGTTCAAACTCAAAATCTGGGATTCCGCATTTTAGACGCCCGATACCGCGCAACCTTCCATGAGCTTCTCCGCTCACTGCAGATCTTACACGAAACTGGATTTTGCCATGACGACATCAAGCCGGACAATATCTTCGTCGGGGAAAAACAAAGATGGATACTAGGCGACTTGGGCAACGTTCGACATGTCTCTCATCCATACCACAAGTCTCGCATCTGGTCAGATAACATGCAACTACCAGATTGCCGCACGAACGATGCAGTCCGCGCACTCAAATCATACATTTTATTCCTCCGCGCTTCTTCTATTAATGTGGAAGCCTTGGATGAAGAACTCTTTTTGGGGAGGGAACCTCTCAGTAAACTATTTCTGTGGATGTTAGATGATGCGACGACGATGACTGCTGAAGAGTTACGAGAACGATCGAGTTTCAAGCATCCAGCTCAGACAGTACAGGTTGAGGCTGTGCATGCTGTGAGTAGTCGGCCAGCGTGGCCTAGTCTACTTCCTTACCTCTCGTTCAGAGGTCAAAGACTGTCGAGGAGGGTCAAGCACGCCCTGAATTTGAGCAACAGTGAGATGTTGGCAAGGTGGAAAGCTATGACTTGGATCTTCGGCATTGATCAAAGTGTCTGCTCTGGCATGTAAACATCGTTTCCGCTTGGAACTTTGGGTATGGAGTCTCAAGCATCGCATTGGAGGCAAGGGCTGTTCCTGGTCGACAAAAACCGACCATGCTGTTAAGCTTGTCATCATGATACCCATATGTCTATAACTTTTATAATCTTAATAATGCGATGGCTGCATTTATCTCAGCTAGTATGGCGATATTGCCACTACACCACCAATACTCACCGGCTCTAGTTGAGGGTATACACCCTTCCAGACGCTACATGGGAGGCTGCTGCTCGCTATCTTTCGAAGCAACAGAGACAAAGTCTCACTGTACACAACACCTTTAACTTCTCTTCTTGCTCTCCCTCCAAGCTTTAACATCATCAATGAATCTGGGATAGCGTCGCTCGGCAAGCTCCATCGCATATCCTGGATCCTCACCACGGTCTAAAATCGTCCACGTTAAATCGCGAGAGTCCCTGTCCAGTACTTCGCTTTCGGGTATATGACAGATCGGAACCGCACTTCTGCCGTTTCCACTCAAATGCTTAGGTAGAGTAGGTATATCAGGCGGTTGGCCAGGCGCGTTGACGTCCAGCTTCACCCTATCGAGCAGATGTTGGACCATGTTCATGTGCTCTCTATGCGCTCGCTCGTCTTCCTCAGGAGTAGTATACAGGTACGGATCAGACGCTTCCGTAACCACTCCCAAATGCAATTATCTTCTACCATGAGGCGCGCCGTGGGATTGAAGAAGCTCGTAGGTGAAGATGGAACAGTCACCACGGCACTTTTCCAGCAACTCCTGATGTAACAGTCGAGTCCTCTGTGGCGTAGATCGAGCAAATTGCACCGAAGTACGAGCACCGTGTTCGAGACCCCATTTCATTAGCTCGTAGTCGTCTAGTACATGCCAAAGAAACGGAAGTCTGTTGGCTCTTACTCTGTCTGCGAATGTAGAGTTGATGTCCCATCCGATGTCCAATCAATTTTGGAGCGTCTTCATATGTATCACTGCTTTTGTGATGAATCCTGGCAATTCCGGCCCGATAAATACTCCTCTTGCAGCGAGATCGTTCAAAAGTTTGACGGCGTTATTATTTATAGGTTGTGGAAGAATGCGGTCGTATGATTTGATGAGACCCTAAGAAAACAACTTGGATATAGCCTAATCAAGCAGAATCGTCGAGTCGTCTGTGCATGCCTGCTTACCTGTGGTCAGGTCAGGCTTCAGATTGCCTTGAGAAGCCTCCCAATTGCTGAAAGAAGTTGAGCCCACTGGAAGCTGGACATGGCCGCAGAGAGGAGGCTCAGTATGGGCAACTTTGGGTACTGCATCGCTGATGCTGTGGGTAGAGAGCTGGTAAAAGGACAAAGGGGTCGGTAGGGCGAGCTTGAAGTCTGTGGAAAGACTGTGCCGCGTGCTTGCTCTTAGCTTTGAATTTGGACGTAGTTCGCTTCTGGCGTCGCAGTCTGGAAACTGCAGACTCGCGAAAGAACGAAAGAATGAGTCCTGTTGCAGGCACCAGTACTGGGTTTAGAGTCAGCCGAAATATAATATGGGATGAGACGTTCCGAGTACCAACATTTCCCTTCCGCACTTCAAGATCCATATTGCGTACATTATATTATACCTCCTACTAATTGATCTGGGCAGACATTTGTACAACGAGGTTGTGTCACTGTCACGCCATAAAAAATTGACCTCCGGAGTTTGAGTGGTGTTTCTACATCAGTATGTTCAATTGTCTAGGTTCTCTATGAACCTAAAGCAATCCAAAGTTCGTATAGAGAAGGAACAAGCGAACTCAAAGTTGAGTGCGCAGAGCGAGAATGATAAACTCATGCTGCGCGCAGCGGTGGCTTAGATTCCGGTCTCATAATTGGATCAAGGGTTGGGTCAGGTTTGCTGCTTTGGTCAAACATCGCTTTGATTGCGTTAGACATCATATCAGAAACGTAGGGATTATAGCATGGATGATGTCTTTGATCTCGTAAGCCGAAATTTAATCGTGTACTGATAAGGGTTGAGATCTCGACCGTTTGCTAGAAGCTGAGATGAGTGGCTGAGTGGCTTCGCAATGTTTTTGAGTTTTCCATAAATCCAGTTGTTCCCATACGACCTTCAAGTCATTTTAGCAGAGTTTTGCTTACTAAATCCTGCTTGTTGGGCAAGGCGCTGGCGAGTTATTGATATTGTCCATGCTTCGAGACAAAGCCAATCTAAGTAACAAATGCTAGCCTCGATGGCGCGCTTGCGGAGTGTCCCGAGTCGCTAGCGTCGCCCCCGGACTGTTTATGGTACTAAGCCATACGTCATCCACGCGCTGCGGGCGCGTCTAGGGATGCTCGGCAAATAGCTTCAACTTGTTACTTGAACTTGTAGAACGTTATACGGATGATGAGGAGTTGCGACGTCTAGGGGGTATTTTCAACGATCAGAGGGTTTAGCAGAGACGTCGACGATCGGTTTATGATCGACGTCAGATCGACGCTAGTACGACTCGCGTTCTAGACCCGTAACCAAGACGTAGTCTGAGGCGACATCCGATTCTGAACAGTCCTCGTAAGCAGGTTCATCCGGCAGTCGCAAGTCAACAACGAAAACGCGCGTTTATCACGACGGTTAACCCCCAATTCCCATGTTACGTGGCATGTCATGAGTGATCTGCAGGCGCGGGTCCCTCCGACACACCTCGGCATCAAACAATCCTTCGACAAGGCGGGGTTAGCTAAGTGGACCATCAATGTTGTCCTGGATGCCTCAGACCTTCGTCCACGCTCAGCACATTTTGACGAAAACTCGGGGCTATGGATACTGGAACATCTGAGGAAAGATGACCCGGCATCGCCTTCTGGCTTGCAAGCTTCGCGCAATGAATCCATTACTCCACGAAATGAGGCCACCTGGTTAGATGCTCTGCCTCCATCCGACCATACCGACTTCTTTCGTAATCTGGATTGGTCGGCGACTCCTTTAGGTCCATGTGCAGCCTGGTCCCATGCGCTTCGGCTGTACACCCAAATGCTTTTTTCTGATAGCCGGGCTGCCGCAATCTACTGGGGTCCCCAGCGCATCGCCATCTATAACGAAAGCGCAGCTCCTCTCCTTGGTAGCCTACACCCGAAACTGATGGGGAATGCTTTCAAGGAGACCATGGAACATCTCTGGGGATTCTATGGCCCTTTATTTCACACCCTAGAGAACGGCCAGCAAGGTTTTTCCCAGAACGAACTCGAAATACCGTTCCACCGAGACGGCTTCCTGGAAGAGACATGGTGGGACGGGGGTCTGGTTTCGCTAAAGAATGATGCAGGCAATCATGGCGGAGTCTACTTCTCCTGGACTGAGGTAACCAGAGCCGTTCTGCAGAATCGTAGAATGGCTTTATCAAAAAGGCTAGGGCTTTCCCCCTCTGCTACTATCGAGTCAACATGGCAGCATATCCACGATGTCCTGGCCCAACACCCTCGTGATATTCCAATGGCCATTATGTACGGTACAGACGAGCACGACCTGCATAACGGGACACTCCGCCTGAGACACACGATCGGCCTACCTCCAGATCATGCTGGCGCACCCAGTACCCTCGATGTTAGTTACAGAAACTCTATCTTACATTATCTCCTTCGAAGCATTGCTGACCCATTCCTCGTCTTAGCTCCTTGCGCAATACAAGCCTTGCCCAATAGTTTCTCTCTTCAGGCGCGCGCAGGAATCTCCAACAGACTTTCTAATGATTGTAAGCAACTTTTGACCCAAGTCCCGCAATTGATCATCTGACCTTTAATCCCCGATGGCCAGGACCTATCGAAAGAGCAAGTTGATCCTACCATCCTTGAAAACATCGATTGGCAAGGATATGGTGAACCAAGTCGGCATCTTGTGATAATCCCTTTAGAGATCAGCAAGATAGTCCGTGGGTACATCATGCTGGGCCTCAACCCCCGACAGCCCTTTGATTTGGACTACGAGCAGTCCATGACTGAGCTCACACGCCAACTCAGAGAGCTGATGGCAAGGATCACGATTCAGAAGGATACACAGAAAAGAGAACTCGACTTGAAGGAGGAGCTCAGTCATACAGAAAGACGCATTAGCCGGCTGGCTGAGGTTGTGCCAGTAGGCATCTATGAGCTTGCCGCGGACGGCACCTTGCTCTGGGCCAATACACAGTTCTGGGAGATATTTGAATTGCCTTATGACCAACGCGATCCCGAAAAGTTTGATTGGAAAGAATACATCCACCCAGATGATCATCCTCGAGCTCTTGGCGAGATGGGGAAATGCTTAGTACAAGCAGTGGAAATATCGGACACCTTGCGGCTGAAGAAATACTATCAGCCGCCGCAGCTGGGCCATGACTTGCCCTCGAGCGACGAACCTTTCTGGCTTATGTACGCTGCATCGCCAAATCTCAATCGCGACGGTACCGTGCATTCGCTCATGGGTTCCCTCACGGATATTTCGCATCTCAAATGGTCAGAGCAGTTACATCTCCGGAATGCCGAAGCGGCCCGCAAAGAGCGGCAGAGACAGGAAGAATTCATCGATATCACATCGCACGAGATGAGAAATCCCCTTTCAGCCATCACCCAATGCGCAGACAGTGTGATCATGTCACTGCAGGACGCACAGAGCAAGAGCGACGTAGATTCTTTATTCGAGATCATCAAGCTCAATGCTGAAGCTGCGGAGTCGATCCTGTTTTGCGCAGCGCACCAACGACGCATAATCAACGACATATTGCTACTAGGCAAGCTCGATTCGAAGCTGCTGACGATATCGCCCAAAGCCTTCCACCCGCAGGACCTTGTCAATCAAGCTTTACAAATGTTTTCGGCAGAATGCGACGCGAACGATATCGATATTCGCACAGACACGGACAGCTCGCCAGCTATGGACAGATCTTCAACAGTGTGTGCCGATCCGTCCCGACTGATGCAGATAATGGTCAATCTTCTTAGCAACGCAATCAAGTTCTCAAGATCACGGCCGATACGACAAATCACGATTCGGTGTGGCTCCTCTGCAAGCCCTCCACCTGAACATACGTTTGGGCCAAACTTTAAATGGTATTCCACTGGCACACGGCGACCAGACTTAACGCGCGAGTCAGATTACGGGGAAGGGGATATTCTCTATCTGCATTACGCAATTATCGATAGTGGAAAAGGCATTAAACCAGAGTTCGTTAGTAATGTCTTCACGAAGTTCAACCAAGCCGAGAGGCGGACCCATACCGAATATGGCGGCTCTGGCCTCGGCTTGTACATCTCACAAGAACTCACCGAAATGCAAGGCGGACGCATTGGCATCGAATCAGAATTCGAAGTCGGTAGTACGTTCGCATTTTACACTAAGGTACGGTTGTCACTCAGCGAGTCGGCCACACCGATCGACTCTACGGGCCACATGTATTCTGTCGCCAAAACAAATCACGCTCTCAAGTCCCTCGGATCAACTGGGATGGGCAACGGCCTTCAGGCGCCTCCCCATTCGCCATCTGTGACTTACAAAATCCTTCTTGTCGAGGACAACCTCCTCAATCAGAAGGTTCTCGCAAAGCAACTCCGCAAAGTAGGCTGCGTGGTGCGCACTTGCAACCACGGTGGTGAAGCGGTCGATTCGATCCTACGCTTGTACAATCGGCCACCGGAATTCGGCACTCCGGCACCGGACGACAATATCACACGTTTTGACTGCATTCTGATGGACTGGGAAATGCCCGTGTGCGATGGCATCAGAGCGTCGAAGAAGATACGAGCTATCGAGGCGGAAGGAGAAAAAAAGAGAAACGTAATTATTGGTGTCACAGCGAATGCCCGTACAGAGCAGATAGCCATGGCTGAAAAGGCAGGGATGGATTCGGTTATAACAAAGCCATTTCGGGTGGCGGAGTTACTGGCGAAGCTTGGGAAGTATGTTGCGGTGCCTGGTGGTACTAATGATGAATAAGTAGCAGGACGACTGCGAGGTCTGGATTTGAATGAGAAGAAAATCACTGAACTAATTATACGATGAAGACGTGTTTCGTGATGGACAAAGTTTCCAGATGACTTTAAACAGGGACATCAGACTGCGTAGGCTGCATTCGTTGAGGCACAAGCTTTGCTCACCGTTTTTTTACGATGGTGCAAAATCAACACGCCTCGACGGTATCAAATGTTTCATGGAAGTGGCAAGTATCTCCCTTCGGTTTCCCTAACTGCGGCTCATTCACTGTTGGCTTGGTGGTTCACAGACAAGAAGGCTCAAGATTTCATTCGCTCGCGAGTTGGTTTGTTTCGACCAGTTGCAAAGCTACTCTATTACGTATCGCTGGTATGCCTGAGGTATGACTTCAGTACAAAGAGCGCAAAACTGCCAAGAACCTTAGATATCGATCCTTCTTGCCCCATCAGGCGGAAAACGTGAGAACAGTAGGCTATTACAAATCAGCAAATGTACTTAGCATCCTGTAGTAGGACTTACGCGATAAATCCTATAAGAGCAACTCCCGCGTTGCACACGAATACAAGATGCGTCTTTCCGACTTCTGCCAGTGCCGCAAACACGAACCCGAAGACGGATACTATCTGTGTCAGCTCGGTTCCACGTTTTGAAAACAAAATGACCAAGGAGATCTTACTAGTCGACAGCCTTGCCACGTTCTCCACAAGCGTGATACCACTCAAGGCATCTACACGGTCTTTGCTCGCAATCATCTGAAGTATGCTGCCCTTCGATGCGGATCCTGTGCCTGCTGCAAGTGGCAATACCACAGCTACCATATACATCTGCCATCCTTCCGAGACGAAGACACAGAGGCCGGTTAAGATACCATCCACGAGCAGGCTGCATCGCGCATACAGTAAATCGAATGCAAAGGTTTCCTCCTCATTCTCTCGCTGTGGCGGGTTGAGCGGCTCAGTCTCCGCGTCCATGGAATCCGCAATCTCAATCTCGCTAGCCGATGTTCCAACAGGCTCTGATGCGGCCGTCTCGATCTTGGATGATTCGCTGGTCGGAGGCTGCAGCCACTTGCGTCCGATTTTGATGATGCGCGGAAATGCGAGAGATAGGTACAGTCCTCGCAGTGATGAGTACATGAAGATCAAGTAGCCGTTGGCTGAAGTGCCAAATCCAAATGCAGTAGTGGCATACATCTGCAGCAGGGTAACGAGGTAACCTGTTGCGAGAATAGCCAGGAATACGCCGATACCCAACATTAATGCACCAAACTGCGTGCTTGTCCGTCCGTCTTTCAGTGTCCACTTCTGAGGAGTGAAAATCCGTAGCGGTCCAAAGAAGCGCATCAGTCCTACAGACTTCTGCCTCGTGTCTGTATTGTTTGGGTCGGCTCGCGGTAACACCGGTAAGGCGATCGCGACGTATACGCAACACAGCAAAAAAAGGAGGAGCGTAATGCGAAAGGGTGCCAGGATGCCGAATGCATCTCCAAGAACGCCTCCAACGAGAAATCCAATAGCTGAGCCAATCATCATATAGCCTTGGATCTGACCCAAAGCTCCCGTCCGTTCTTCCGGGTTGACGATTTCTGTCACAAACGAGTTCAACGCAAGGACATAGCCGTTAGGACCTCCAATGATGGTGATAATCTGACTCGCCTGAAAGATGAGGATGCCTTTGCTGCCACCGGTCATCGCGCCCAAATTCTGTATCGCAAGTCTCACGGCTGGCCAGAAGATCTGTATCAGCAGTGCTTGCTTCACACCTAGCTTCTTGATACACCACGTAGCGACCAGTAAATTCGCAACGCCAAAGAATGTTGTCGACATCCCAACAATGGCGACTTCTCGTGCAGTTCGCGCCCCGATCTCTCGAAGCGAGCAACGGTCCTCCGGTGGGTGCAAAACATTATGCTCCAAATAGTACGCATCACAGGCCATGACCCGGAAAATGTAAAGGATGCTTGTCGAGGTTAGATTGCATGCGTCAAACCAAGCTTTCGGCTAGAATATACTAACGGAACTTGAGTAACGCCAAATGACAAAGAAGTCTACCCACGAAGTCATGTCAGCGTAAATTATAGTGGTCGCGTGCTTCGAACTTTGGTTTCTCACCACAAAAGCGCAGAGGAGCGCCGGGAAAACACCCCGCTTTTTCGCCGCGGCGAGCTGCTCCGCTTCCGCAGAGCGAGCCAAGAGCGGCGTCGTCTCTTGAGCCGCTGGCTCATCGTTCCGGGTAGACATTTCTTCCTCCGCCAGTCCACCAGCGAAATATGGAAGAACGAAGAATCCAGGAAGCGATAGAAAGATCCGATCTGCGGAAGTCGGTGAGGCTTTTTCGTTCGATGTCGTTATGCCGACAACCGATCCAATTGTCTCTCGTTGTAGTTAGCATGGGCAAATGTGGAGCTAAGCCGGAGATAGGCGCGTTCACGGAGTGCGAGCTTGCAGCGATTCTGAAGGACAGAAGGTCGACATTGTACTATGGTGGCCATCCTCGTGAAAAGCTTCAAGTTAGAAGGAGTGCAATGCAACGCTCCAATCCATCATCTCTAACCCTCGACCTGAAAGTACATATCCAACAAATTGCGCCTCCGTCGCCGAACTCCAACGCCAGACTCTATAGCCCGACTCCATACGGAGGCGGCCATTCACACTCATGTAAGATCACTTACGGAGTATTATCAGTGATCAATTGCACCTTCGCGCATTTGGACTGGTCAATGTCTTGGTTCGTAGCCACGTCTTGCGACTGCAGCTCAATCTGGCCATTCTCCTTGCATGCCAGCCATGAGCCGAAGCGGTCGTTCTGCCACTCAAGCTCGCCCCAGTCGATATTCATCCGGGCAGTCCCAACGGTATAAGAAATAAAGACTGAAGACCAAGCGTTCTAGTCGTTGTCGATATTGATTATGAGGCCGCGGGTAGCACGCTTCGCGTGGTAGAACTGAAGGCCGCCCGTGTTAAGATCGTAGTAGTCAAGATACGCTTTAGAATGATCGGAAGTGAAGACAGGAATCATATTTTCCGCGTCTGATGTGCCGAATCAGCTTCGATGACCTTCACTTGGGATTGGCGACTTACTTGCGGGGGCAGATTCAATGTAGAGGTTCTCAAACTCATGTCTGCCGTAGACAACGTGGCTGCGGAGGAAGAACTTCCCACTGCTATGATTCTTCCCTGGGCACCCAGCTGCTGCTGCGCCACACTGCTTGCCGTCCCCAACTGAGGTTGACCCGGTAGGTGAAGGCTGAGACGTTGGCGAAGAATGACTTAGGTAAGTCGAAGGGGAAGAAGTCATCGTAGTCGTCGCCCTCACCGTGGCGATAGATGTAGTTATCAATATGAATGTGGAACTTCTAATGAGCGAAAACGGATGGGTGGGTTGTGCGCTTGTTTGTTGTGAAACCGTAAGCACAGAATTACAAGCCATTGGAGCCCGATGGCCCTTCAACGCTAGAAGCTGTCGCTCCTGCAGTCCCGAAACTCGAAGACTCTCCGGCCGAAGAAGAGGCACTGGGTTGTGGGCTTGGTTCTGAAGCCGTAGACGTGGGATCTGGTCCAATGGAAGACGTTGCAGCGGCCGATTGCCCAGAGCTGGTAGTCGACAATGTTTTAGCCAGAAAAGAGGGACTGGGCCGTGTGCTTGTTGATGAACCTGAGGATGTGGGATTGAGACCATTTGGAGGTGAAGAAGTCGGTCCCCCAGTGCTGGGAATCGATAGTAATCCGGCCGACGAAGAGAAGATGGGACTTGACTGAGTTGGGCTCGCCAGCGACGCTTGTTTTGTTGTCGAGGCACGCGCTGTGCTAGTTCGAGTGAGGATGCCATTTCCTGTCATGCTGGAACTACTGCTTCCTGTAGTGCTGGAATTGCCACGTCTTAAAGCGCTATGCCTCACACTTCCCGACGCACTGCTTATTGAAGCACTGGTGTTGGAACTTGCTAGACTGCTAGGCTTGACGCTTTCCGGAGCATTGCTTGGTGGAGCACTCGGCTTAACTTCTCCTGTAGGCTTGGAAATGCTGTATTCTACCTATGGCAGAGAGCCGAACGCACTGGTGGTAACTACCTGTGTGACCTCGGGCGTGGCACCGCTGGCGTTGGATGTCGTTCCGGAACAGAAGGTACATAAATTGGTGCTCGTAGCGCCTGCGACGGTTTTCGTACTCATCATACCAGTGGTAGTGGTTCTAGTCAGGTTAGTACACGCTACGAAGATGAAAAGAAAAAGTCTTAAATGAGTTGCGACGGGTCATACTGTGCCGAGGCTGTGCGAGATACTCAAAGCAAGGAGAGAAGCGCGAGGAAGAAAATAAAAGGGCCTGAACGAATGTTATGAACGTTGATGAGACAGTAGAAATCAGGCAATACTGCTGTGGCGCTGCAGCTGTGGCAGGCGCTACACGCACTGGTGCACTCTAGGCTTGTTCAGGTTCCCAGCTACGATCTGACACCGCAAGGGCTTGAGAAATACGTCCAAATCTACTCACCCATATTGAAAAAGCAACAAGTGCTGTGAGCCAACCTGAGTGGTTGGCCATCTTCTTCTTGATGCTGCGCTGCTGAGTGCTTGCGAACACAGAGCCAAACGATGAGGTATCTTGAGCCGTGGAAGAGTGGGGGAAGGGCAGAAGAGAGCAGAAGACGATCGTTGGGCAGTCTGAGGTAAATACATTACTTGGCAGCAAAGGCGATGGCCTGCCCCCGTGGGTGTTTGAGGCGCTGCTGGAACACCGGACAGGAAGTGAGCCATGGGGATTATCTTGCTGGCTCTAGACGGCTCGGGAAACTACTCGGGAACTTGGAACACTGTTTTACAGATTAAATTGATTCTCGTAGGGAGGGTGCACTTGAGGCACTGCATTCTACGACGTATATGGTGAGCACGAGCGAGGAACGATGGGGCCACTGACATCAGGTCAGCACCTGTCGATTGCTGTCACTTCGTTCAGATCCGTCAGATTGGAGTCTACTTCAACCTGGTAGTTCTGCTCTTGTCGTTAACTGTCTAATTGAGAAAATAGCATGCTAGTACCGTAGCCCTAAACAACAGGAAACGGGACGTGCCGAAAGCCGCGGAGTAGGCCGAGCCACCAAACTCAGCAGGGCGGCGCCAAATTGCAGCTCGTGAATCTTACTGATATTTTGCGAATTGAATCACATATTAAGCTGCCATGTGAGCTGTTCGTCGTCGGTCAACTGTGTACAACGCGTCGCATCGCCATGCTCATTTGCAGTCTGCAGACTGAAACCATCAAAGCGGGGGACCTCAATCATAGAAACTGAACGTTGGATCTTGGATACAATTGCTTGAAGATTATTTGACCATCTGGCGAGCTTGAGCTGATGGCGGCGAAGAGGGGAGGGGGCGTTGAGGCGCCGCTCCATTGTTCCGAGAATCTGAAATTGACATATAACGGCTTGGTTACAGCTCGAGCCTCTCCACTACTGAAAGCATATTGCTTTATCTCTATTGATTGATGGGCAGCCTCACAGATCTCGCTTGCGGACGAGGGAGGAGCGCAGGGCGTTGTGAAGGCGAAAGATGTCGTAAAAACAAAACACGCTAGCGTCTGTCGGGTACCGGTACCGTGCCTTGGTGGTCAATGCGCATCGCAAGTCAGCGCACCCCAACATGATCGCTCGCTCTACGCAACGCGTTGTAACTCCACCAATATGGACCCGATTCAGGCTGCGATTAATGATATCGAATCGCTGCAACCAGGAGAATCTTTCTCATATAGCCAAATGGCTAGAAAACATCACGTTGTACGATCTACGTTATCACGAAGGCACCAAGGGATCACTCAATCGCGTGCAGTCGTGAACAACAACCGCCAGAACATCAACCAACAACAAGAAAAGGAAGTCCTACGAGATCAGTCCATTAGACGGAACACCTCAGTGCTCAGCGCGTCCGATTGGCGTAAATTCGAGCGACTTCTATGCTCCGCTGTAAAGGGTCTAGCAACTGAGGAGTCATACAAGCTCAGTCAAACATTACACTCAATATCTATACAAAACCAGCTCCTAGAGCATGAAAATAAGTGCCTCCGAGAGGCTCTGGCTACTCAAAAGAGAAGCTCAAAGTGAGGCAGGCCTCTGCCTCTCGATCGGCCCGATGAGTATCATGGTGGAGCTGTTTCCTGGTCACCCTATAGCGTACAGCGGGCCCACGATCGTCAACACGAAAGAGACATAGAGGAGCAACAGATACAGCTTCAAAAAAGTGAGCAAGCAGAGGCCCGTCGGGCCAGTAAGAAGCTGAAGGAAAGGCTACTCCAGGAGAGGCGTATTGCTCGAGCAGCTGCTAGAGATGCACGCGCAAAGCAGAGGGCCGATGAGGCTGCAGATCGACGTCTCAAACAACAGGCCCGCAAGGCACAAAGGCAACTTCAAAATCGTATCAAATTGTCTAAAAAGAGTAACGAGAAGGTCTTGAAGCCTTCTAGCAGATCTATTGAGAAGACACAGGCTCAGCGTGAGGCTGTAGATGTTGATGAGGCCTCATCCGTTGCATCCGCCTCACAGTCGCGCAGAGGCCGTATCATCAAAAAACCAAGTAGATATCGATCATCTGAGTAGCTAGCAATAATCTACAGACCTCTGAGGCCTCAACTCTAAAGAATCTCGTGATAATATTGATTGTAGGCGTCTCTACAGCCTCACTTTGCTGGCCGAGTGATCATGTTGGGGTGCGCATTGACTTACGATGCGCATTGACCACCAAGGCACGGTAGCTCACCCGCAATTTTGGAACCTCGAACTTGAGGTCGTGCAACAACATAAGTCTTGCAGATTGCGGCAGAAGAAGAGGAATCTGTGAGAAGATATAGCGCGGAGATTTGCAGCTGCGCCTTGTGCTGGCACCACTACAGCTCGACATGGCGCAGTCTCTCCCCGCCTCACAAATCTATCTGCACGACCCATCCGCAACACAAGCCAAACGCGCCTACATCGTCTACTTCATCACGGGCAATCCAGGCCTCATCGAATACTATCGCACCTTTCTTACGCAAATCTACGGTCTCCTCACCCGGTCTTCCTTTCCTTCGACATCATTCCACGTCTTCGGTAGAAGTCTTTCGGCCTTCGAAGCCTCCACATCGACGGAAGGAAGACAAGGTCGTGACCCACCTTTCAGCCTGCAAGAACAAATTGTTAAGTCCCAGGTTGCACTTGAAGAGTTAGTCCGCGATGTTAAAGAAATTAATCACGTGCAGGATGTACGCGTGATACTCATGGGGCACTCGGTGGGATCGTACATCCTACTTGAGGTCATCCGCAGGGTGAGGGAGAAAGCCGAAGTTGAGAAAGAGGCAATGTGCATCGCAGGAGGGGTGTGCTTGTTCCCGACAGTAACGCACATTGCGAAGAGTGATAGCGGGAAGAAAGCTACTGTACGTAAAGAATTTAACAACTATTGCCCACACAGGCACCAGTCCAAGTCTATCGCGGCAAAAGTCTCCATCACAATCCGATACTAACAACCCACCAGCCCCTGCTCACGCTCCCACACCTCCCCCGCATCGCGTCCGCACTAGCTCACGCGTTGACATTCCTCCTCCCTCTGCCCCTCCTCACCTTCCTCATACAAAAGTTCCTATCCTTCCCACCTGACGCCGCGAACACCACAGCCTCCTTCGTCAAGTCGCCTCACGGCGTGCACCAGGCACTCCACATGGCACGCGACGAGATGCGCGAGATCACCGAAGATACGTGGTCCACCGAGATCTGGGGCGCCTCTAACCCAAGCCCTTCGTCCCCCGCAGTGCCCCTTCGCTTCCTCTTTGCCGAAAAAGACCACTGGGTTGCCGACACCACGCGCGACGAGCTCATAGCCGCGCGGGGCCGACCCGAAGCACACTCAGGCAACGACGCGTGGAAGCCGGTCATGGAAATCGACACGTCCAAGGGGTGGGAGCACGGCTTCTGCATCCGGCAGAGCGTCCCAGTTGCGGAGAGGGTAGGAGGATGGTTGAGGGAGATGATAGAGGGGGACGGAACACGATGAATAGACATAGACATGGAACTAGACGGATCACTTAGATGGAGTTCCTCTTTGACACACAGACTATACTACAAATTCTCTCAAACCCACGATTGGTATACAAATCCTATGTCTCACCGAGCCGAACGCCTCAGCGCTAATGCAATATGAATGAATCCCTCAATCCAGGTCCTGGCTAGGCCACGGCCACACGCAGCAATCCCCCCTACAGCTCTGCTACGCTACTCGTCTTCTTCATCATCATCCACGGCAGTTACACCAGCGCCATCACCATTGTTAGTTGGCGCCGCGACGTCGTCGTCCTCATCTTCATCCTCGTCAACGACGCGCTTCCGTCCAGCAGCCCGCGGTGCTGAGATATCCTCGTCCCCGCTCGGCATAGCGTCTTCATTGTCAGCTGCAGGCGCCGGCGCATCCGGGAGCTCGTCGTCGCTGTCGTCGTCGACGAATTCGGCTGACTTGTATTTGCCCGCAGGCTCGTTTTTGCGGGCGAGCTTCCTCTTCTTCGCTCGAGGCCGCTCCTCGTCGGAGAGACCGTCCGTGCCCGAAGCACCCGCGCTCTTGTTCCTGCGCCTGCGCGGCTTCGCGCTGGCCTCTGAGTCTGAACCGCCGGCCTCGGTCTCGGAATCGTCGGCGTCGCCCTTCTTCTTCCGCTTGCCGCCCTTACCCTTTGCGCGTCGCTCGCTCCTGCGCATCTCGCTGTCGTCGATGAGCTCCTGGCGCCGCCGGTCCTCTTCGATACGACGCTCCATGTACTCCCTGTCACGCTCCTCGAGTTTCTGCCGCTCCTCCAAGATCTTGCGCGCGCGCTCGGCCTGCTCCTCGGCCACTCGGCGCTTCTCATCTTCGCGCTTCTTGATTTCGGCTTCGCGTGCTTCACGGGCCTGTTGGAGTTTGTCTGCGTTCTCCCTCTCGTACTCCGCTTGCTTGTCGTGGCTACGCTGGAGTTGCTTGGCCATCGTGTTGCGACCCATGTTTGCACGCTGGATGATATCGTCCTTGGGATAAGGTGGATTCTCGGAGTTCGCCACGGCTTCGAACATCTTGATGGCTTCATCCAGGCCTTGCTGGGCCTCTTCGACGTCGACGAGAGTTCGCGTAGTCTCCTTCAGGTTGTATACGAGCTGTGCGATCTGAAATTGCACGAAGGCTACATTGAACTGCAAGTGGTTCTGGTTGGGTGCGAGCTTGAGGGCTTGCTGCGAGTAGTCCAATGCGGTTTTCATGTGTGACAGGCTCTGGTCGCTCTTTCCTCGCACAAACCAGACGCGGCCAAGACATGCAATTATGTTCAAGTCATGCGGTTTTTTATTCAGGGCTATCTCGTACTGCAATGCGTCAGTAGATGTCTCTGGACTGTTTTGTATGACTTACGTTCTCAATCGCACGAGCGTACTGTTTCAGCTCACCATAGGTGTGACCTAGGTTCATGTACACATTGAAGTCCTTGAGAGTGTCCTTGACCTTCATGAAGATTTGAAGGCTTGTTGAATGCTCCTTCCTATCCTCTGCCATGGCGATAGCAATGCCTTGCGCGGCATATGCGTTCCGTGGGTCCAACTCCAGAACTTTGTTGAAGAATTCGACAGCTCGCTCATACATCTTGCGCTTCTTCTCTTTGTCTTGTTCGGTGTCTCGTCGCATTTCACGCGCAATCGCGAGGTGAATGTTACCCATGCCGGTGAGAGAATACGTGTCATGCTTGTCGAACTTCTGCAACGTATGCTTGTAATGTCTTTGTTCTTGGTCTTCCGCAAAAGGCACGCCTCGCTTCTTCGACTTGTTGGCATACCAGCCGTACAAAGCACGAACCTCAAGGTTGTCCTCGTGGCCCCTCACGAGATCCTTAACAGCCTTAGGGCCCTCGTCTGTGGGCTGCTGCCTGAGAGCGATGTATGCAAGACGGATCTGGGCATCAATGTAGTTAGGGTGACGATTCTGAAGACCCTCAAAAACGCCCTTGGCCTCGGTCAGCATCCCTTCAGCCTCGTACGTTCGGCCTAAATTATAGCTGATCGAAGTAACTAGCGCATCGGTGTCGATACTCTCGTCCCTGTCTGCAGCTTTGACACAGCCCTGAAGTGCCGCTTGGAACAGCTCTCGCGCACGCAAGTAGCGCTCAGCCTGGTAATGGAAGCATGCCATGTTGTTGAGCAATTGGGGTGGCAATAGCTCACGAAGCGCATTTTTTAGCTCTGCTTCATCTTCGACGTCCGGACGGTCCTCCTCGGGTATGCCATCCAGCTCGATCTGTTCAACTTCTTCGAGGCACTTCAGACTCTTTTCCGGGTGTTCGGTCTCATACAGGCGGGCGAGGTTGAGCAGCACGGACGGGTCGGGTGTCAGCTTCCTCTTCGTGTCCTTCCAGGCTTTTTGAACGTCTTCCAAGTATTTCAATGCCTTCTTGAGCGCAGCTGACTTGTCATCCTTTCCTGCCTGTCCAGAGAAGACCTCCTCGGCATAGAGTGTGCCAAGAAGAGTTTGCGCTTCCACGACAGGCGATTGTTGCTGCAGAATTTTCTCCAAACGGAACTTGGCACCATCGTGGTCATGTTTCAATACCCTCAGTTGGGCAGATCCAAACTTGGCGGGCGTGTACCCGGCGTTGTCACCTCCACGAGCAAGATCGGATCTTTGGTAGTAGTCCGTAGCCTTGTTAAGGTCCCCAAGCTGGTGTTCTTTCCGCGCCAACTGGTACCAGCCGTCACTTGCTATGGCATTGACATCAGTGAGTTCGATGGCACGTCGAGAGAGTTTCTCAACCTTGTCCATGTCTTTGGAGATGTAGTACCACTTGGCAAGAGTGGCGCATGTGAGAGGGTACTTGTTATCCACTTTGAGCGAAGGAGCAATGTAGTTTCTGATGGAACTCGTGGTGAACTCGGCAAAAGACGGATCGGTCGCAGGAAGCGTGGACGTCTTGTTCAAGGTGTGCAGACCAAGCAGCGTCAGAGCGATTTTGGACTGAGGGTTCAGCTCGAGAGACCTTTGCCAAGCGGTAGCGGCGTCGTCCTTGAAGCCAAGCTGCCAGAAGCAGCATCCGATACCGATGCGCGGATCTGGGTCGATTAGACCAGGCGAGCTTTCCAAGATGCTCTGATATGCCTTCAGGGCCTCGGCATATTTGCCCATGGAGTAGCTGACACGCGCCTTGCCCATCTTGGCCATGAGGTTCTTGCCGCCCGACGCGCGAATGGCATCCTCGAAGCACTTGACCGCCTGCTTCAGCGTGTCCATGCGCTCTGTGTTGACAGCATTCGGCCCGGTGGCGCTGGAGACACCTTGTTTCGCCATGGATGCGCGGAGGAGGTACAGGACGCCGCGGGCGAGGTAGAGCGGCGGGTACGAAGGGCTGATGCGCGACGCCTCGTTGATGACGCCAGTCGCCTGCTGAAGGTAGTAGTCCTTGGTCTTGACGTCGGGGTCGTTGTCTGCCATAGTCAGTCTCCTTTCTCCAGAAACATCCTTGAAGTAGCTACGCACCACTGTTGACACGCGGGGCCTCGCGACACTTGAGGAGGTACAGCCAGCACGTCGCATTGAGGATGCTGAGCTTCTCATCGCTGCGCGCATGGGCAAAGACGCTGATGGCTTTTCCGAGCACTTCGATTGCCACGTCTAGCTTCTTGTGCTTCGCGTAGGCTATGGCGACCATGACCCACGTGGTTTTGGCGCTGCGCTCCGTCTCGAGCAGCGTGAGCAGCTCCGTCGGGTCGTCTTCGATCTGCTCGCCCAACTCGAGGTCGATGTCGACGATGCCATCCTCGTCGGCTACGGGGACCGAAATCGACTCTGGGACTTTGGAAAAACGCGCCGGAGGGAACGAGGCGCCGTTCATGCCGTTGGTGCCATTGTGGACGGCCGCCATGTTGAGCTGTCGCGCTCCGGGGCGCGCGAGGGTTCGTTGGGAGTCGTGCAGCGCGGTGTCTATCGGAGCATCTCCAAACGCGCGAGAGTGGAAGGGAAAAGCAGAGGGGCTGCTGCGACGGGGTAATGGGCGCGACACAGAGTGAGGAGCGATGGAGCTTCACCGGGCGCGGAAAAACGTGCGCCGAGGCATTTCTTGGCAACGCGGAGGTGCTGGCGCCGCAATGCGACAAGTGGTGCGCTGTCGAGTGCAGCAACCCAGATTGGCAACCACCTCAATATCCTTGCGTGAAAGGTCTGCTGATATCACTGTGCAAGCCATTCAACTCTGCAAATCCACAACCGCCCCTTCCATAAGTTGGACCGCGCCTTCTGCATACGCCCTGCGCCTGCCGTCCACGTCCCCCCGCCAGTGAACCGCACCTTCCCTACCATGCTTCGCTAGCACACCGACCTGTAAATGCGATGAACTGAAGCACACGTGCAAACCGACACCCAACCAAAGAGGCGCCATGTCGCGTGAGCCAGGCGGCTTCCGCTCGAGGACGAACGGCTCTGGAGGTTATACCAACGGCTACGGCTCCCGCGAGGGTGGATATGGCGGCCTCGGAGCTGCAGACGACGACTACCCCAGGCGCCCGAGCGCAGACAGGCCCAGGCCGAGTGCGGAGAGACCAAGCGGCGAGAGGCGCCGGCGGCCAGGCGGCTACGGTGGCTACGGCGGCTTCTCGCAGGAAGACGAGGACGCTCCCCAGGTACAGCGACCGACCAGTCTCGAGCGCTCGCGGGCAAACAGGAGGAGTGGTGAGGTAAGACCGAGAAGCGCCGGCGGTCCTGGTAGCAACTACGGGCCAGGAAGCCAGCAGATGGAGGAAGTTCTCAGATACATCAAACAGAACTGGGAGTTCATGACCTCGGAGAACTGCGTGCCCGTCGAGGTGGCGCTCAAGCTGATGGATTCTAGCTCGCTGGGACTAGCAGGCCAGTATAACAGCTTCCAACAGACCCACCAGGACATGCAACGCGCGCTCAAGGCCATTGTCAACGAGCACCACCAAGGCTTCAACAGTTCCATTGGTACATTCCACAAGATCCAATCCAGTTTGCAGTCTTCTCAAATCCGTGTCAGGACTCTCAAGGAGTCTTTGACGCAGGCAAAGGTCCACTTATCCACAACGAAGCCAGAGCTGAAGGAGTTTGCAACTTCATCGCAAAACTACGACGAGATGATTCAAGTGCTGAACATCATCGAGCAACTGCAGTTGGTACCGGACAAGCTGGAAGCCCGCATCTCCGAGAAACGTTTTCTGTCCGCTGTCGACATCCTGCAGGATGCATTGCGCATGATACGAAAATCTGAGATGGAGAAGATTGGCGCTCTCAGTGAACTTCGTACATACTTAAGCAACCAAGAACACTCCTTGACCGATATCCTACTGGAAGAACTGCATAATCACTTATATCTTAAGTCACCTTACTGTGAGGATAGATGGAAAGTGTACGCGCAGAACCAACCAAAAGGCGACGGAGCAGAACGCAGCAAGGGGCATGCACGTGCGCGGAGGCTCTATGAGTTCTTGTCTGACCTCGACACGTCCGAACCTATGGTCGATGATTCACAGCGTAACCCGGAAGCTGACACCTTTGAGTACATTCGACTGATTGTAGAGGCGCTCAACAAGATGAACCGACTCGACATTGCAGTCGATACAATTCACGAGCGTCTGCCTGTGGAGCTATACAGAGTTGTCGAGAAGTCCAACAACGAAGTCACGCAGCGCCATCCCAGCATCATACGCGCGTACGCTGCCAGAAAGGAGGAGAAGCGCACGGTTGCCGCCGAAAGTGACGAGCTCCGCGCAGGTGTCCTCAATGATCTACTGTGGACTTTGTATGCTCGATTCGAAGCAATCGCTGAGAGTCACCGTGTAGTGTACGATGTTGTGACCGGTATTGTCCGCAGAGACGGTATCCGTGATTCAAATAGCACTCCACTCACCCGAGGATTCAAGGAATTGTGGAAACTCTTCCAGAACGAGGTGAGTGGTGTACGTCGTTTAAATCTGCACAGTTGCTAATGCTTTTGTAGATCCGATCTCTGCTTCATGACTACCTTGCCACAGACGGTGACTTTGGCAGTGGCCGTGGCCAAGGCAAGGCTACCAGTGGAAGTGCGTATTCGCGCACACCGCGCGACAGGAACAAGCGGATGTTCAAGCTCTCGGACATGGACACAAAATCAACCGAGCTTGCAGAGGAGCGCGATAGTCTCGAGTTCATCTTGAAGTCCTCGGTACCCGGTCTCGTTTCCGATTCTAAACAGCCGGAAGACGTGTCTAACAACACCAGCTCGAATCTTGATGGTAGTGCCACAGGCCACAAACTGCTGGTCGAACCGAGTGTCTTTAACATGGGTATCCTACTGCCGCCCTCTCTTGACTTTTTGAATCGCCTGAAAGAAGTCGTACCATCTGGCTCAGATATCGTCATCAGTACCCTGCACTCATTCCTTGATGACTTCCTCGTGAACGTGTTCCTTCCTCAACTGGATGACACGCTGAACGAGCTGTCCGACAAAACCTTTGTTGAGCTGGACGCTTTCCAAGAGGATCCGCAGTGGTCACATTACTCGAAGAAGCCCATCTTCAAAGGAACAGTCAAATTTTTCAACCTCATCACAGCTTTCTGCAAAATGCTTGATAATCTTCCTCACGACCAGGCATTCTCTCAACTCATCATTACGCAGATGAGAACGTACGGTGACAAGTGTGTCGGCAACTTCAAAGCTATGATGGCCAGGGGCCAACCTAAGGGGCCCACGAACGAGCTACTCAAGGCGTGTGCGGTTTATGCCGAGTTCGAAGGCGAGATTGGTGAGGTCATCGGCCAGCTGTTCGACTCAGATGCCGACAAACTTGAGCTCATTAATACCGAAACCAAGTTAATCATAGCCGCGACTGAAGAGGCCCCGATCGACCAGCAGGACATCATCCAGGACAGGAAGACGATCCAAATGCTATGCCTGTTGTACACCAGCATGAAATGGCTGGCGACTAAGGTATCTCAATTACGGCATATTAGCAACCGTGCTACAGATTCGTCGAAACCGCAGATCAGCGGCCAACGCCACAATAGACGATGGACGTTCATCGCAGAATCAAGGACAGAAGGCACCGCGGTATACCTGCCACTAAATCAAGAAACCGCAGGGTAAGTTGCCACACCATCCCACTCACCTATTTGAAAACTAACATTACTTCACCAGCCAACTAGACATGGTCGTAGATACATACCGAAAACTGGCCACCCTCGTCCATCGCATGCTGCACGTCAACCTCCGCCTCACCACCATGCACTCGCTCGCCGCCACCATACAAACCACGTACAACCTTGACTCGGCAGTCACAGACCCCGACCCTGCCATTCAGGCCCTCACTACCGCCCTCACTGCCTACGAAGCCGAAATGTCAACGTATCTCCCCACAACTCAATACACACAAATCATCGCGGGCCTCGCCCCTTTCACTGACACGTACCTCCTGTACCTCTGCATCCAGCGCATCAAGTCCATGAACGCGGACGGCTGCGCCGCGATGCAGCTCAACATTCTTGTGCTGCAGCAGAACCTCAAAAACATCGAGAGCGACGCAAAGTTGACGTACTCTGCGCTATATTTTGATTTATTCACCGAGGGCCCTGATGCGGTCGTCGCACGCGCGAAGGAGTACGGCAAGGGGTACGGGGTGCCCAGCGGGCTTGTCACAGAAGCTGTTGTAAAGGACCTGCTGCGGCTGTGCTATGCGGAGCGTCTGAAGAACGAGCGGAGGGAGGTTGGTGTGCAGGCGCAGCGACAGCTTGAGGCGCAGGAGTTGGAGGTTAGCGAGTATATGTACTAGAATATAGTATACCCCATTGCAGCTCCCCCGTCACGTTGAGTAATGTTACTTGATGCTGTGTCCTGCTACGTATGTGCTTGTTGGCGGAAGAATATAGGAACGGCATGCAAGAGAACAACGATATCGTTCTACGATATCGCCATTTCGATTGCTACGGAATAACTCTTGAAGCCATCTCTTCTAATTCAGTCGACATCGGCCATCACGGCTATACTCCAACTTGCGGAGTGAGTTCCCCACCGGCGTGTCTGACAAGACTCCATCGTACGTTACCCCATTGTAGGTCGATCGGGTAATTTTACCATTCAAATGCGGGGGTGGGGAAATGCGGTCTAATTCTAATCGTTCCAACAACAAGCTCTATAGCGACTGTAGCAGTTGTCCACGGCTATTAATCTACGCAGATCCTGTTGTCGATATTCATTATCCGATCTTCACCCTGATTAGCCAGGCGACCTGGGTCAAGGAAACCAGGCTACTGGAGGAACATCTCGGGATGTGACACGCTGTAGATTGGACTTCAGTTCTTGGCCCAGAAACAGAGTACAGGATGGCAATGTATATAGCACCGGTAAGGCAAGACGCTCTTTTGTTTGATCGCAAGCATTTTTCATTGGGAAGCCGGACATCATGCGCGCCGGCTCCTGCATCTTTGCGCTCCTCAGCGCACCCATTGCACACGCGCAGTGGGACCCGTCCCGCTACCTCTACTTCAACTCCGCAGGCAGCGCCCTCTCATCCTCCCTCCCTCTAGGAAATGGCCGCGTCGCCGCAGCCGTCTACGGCACCGCGACCGAGAAAATCACCCTCAACGAAAACTCAGTCTGGAGCGGCCAATGGCAGGACCGCGGAAACGCGAATTCTGCCGGCGCGCTATCAGCGATCAGACAAAAGCTCACGAGTGGGGATGTCACGGGCGCCGGACAGCAGACGCTCGATGCCATGGCGGGGAATCCGACGAGCCCGAAGCAGTACCAGCCCACCGTGGATATGGGGATTGACTTTGGGCACAGTGGCACGTTGGGTGGGTACACGAGGGTGTTGGATACGAGGCTGGGGACGGCGATGGTGACTTATACACTTGGGGGCGTTAACTATACGTAAGGCCTGAGTGATCGTGTGGGAACTTATGGGTGCTGAGAAATTTGACAGAAGAGAATACGTCGCAAGCTATCCGGCTGGTGTGCTTGCATTTAGGATGACGGCAAGTCAAGCTGGGAAGTTGAACGCGAAAATTTCTCTCAACCGGTCGAAGAATGTGGCGTCTAATTCTGCGTCTACTTCAGGTGGAGTAAACGCTGTGACGTTGAAGTCGAACGGCGGCATTACGTTCACGGCCGAGGCTAGAGTCGTGAGTGACGGAGGTAAGACCTTACGTAGGTACACAGCCTGCCGCTCAGCTTACACGCACTTTTAGGATCTGTCTCTACGAGTGGTTCAGCGATACAGGTGACGGGCGCTACGACAGTCGACATTTTCTTCGACGCGGAAACTGCATACAGATACTCGAGCTCATCAGCATACGAGGCAGAACTCAAGAAGAAACTAGACAACGCAGTCAAGGCCAGTTATGAGGGTGTCAGAACGGCAGCGGCCAAGGACACAGAGGGTATCCTTTCGCGCGTCGATCTCAACCTGGGCTCCTCTGGCTCTGCCGGTAGCCAACCCGTTCCCACACGCCTCTCAAACTACAAAAAAAACCCAAATGCTGATCCTGAGCTGGTGACTCTTTACTTCAACTATGGTCGCCACCTTCTGCTAGCATCTTCTCGCGACTCTGGCGACCGATCGCTGCCAGCGAATCTGCAGGGTATCTGGAACGACAACTATGACCCGCCGTGGCAAAGCAAGTACACAATCAACATCAACACCGAGATGAACTACTGGCATGCTCTCACAACCAATCTCCAAGAGACTCACAAGGCATTATTCGACCTCATCGACATTGCACGTCCCCGCGGTAACGCCATGGCAAAGAAGATGTACAACTGCAACAGTGGGTTTGTTCTCCATCACAACACTGACCTCTGGGGTGATGCAGCCCCGGTCGACAAGGGAACGCCTTATACGATGTGGCCGATGGGTGGCGCATGGCTATCTCAGCACGTCATGGAACACTATCGCTTCACGCAGGATAAGACTTTCCTGCAAGACCGCGCATGGCCGATTCTAAAAGACGCCGCGGACTTCTACTACTGCTACCTCTTCCAGTACAACGGCAACTACGTTACGGGCCCCACCGCCTCCCCCGAAAACACCTACATCGTCCCCTCTAACATGAAAACCGCAGGCAAGAGCGAAGGCGTGGACCTCGCAACCGCGTGTGACAACGAGCTTCTCTTCCACCTCTTCAGCGACGTTCTTGAGGCTGCAGAGGTCCTGGGCATCAATGGCACAGATGTCACAAAAGCGAAGGACTACCTCTCCAAAATCAAAGCCCCGCAGGTAGGCTCCAAAGGCCAGATCCTCGAGTGGCGCAGTGAGTACAGCGAAGCTGAGCCGGGGCATCGCCACTTCAGCCACCTCGTTGGTCTCTATCCTGGGTCACAGATGACGCCGCTGGTGTCAGACAAGCTTTCCAAGGCGGCGAAGGTCAGTCTGGACAACCGCATCAAGGCTGGCTCGGGCAGCACGGGGTGGTCCCGCGTGTGGGCGATGAATCTGTACGCGCGCTTGCTAGACGGGGCGTCTGTGTGGTCGAACGCTATCACCTTTCTGCAAACCTACCCCCTCGATAATCTCTGGAATTCCGGGGAGAACAGGTGGTTCCAGATCGACGGCAATTTTGGCTTCACGTCGGCAATAGCCGAGATGCTGCTCCAGAGCCACTCGGTCGTGCATGTCTTGCCTGCGCTGCCCAAGTCTGCGGTGCCGAAGGGAAGCGTCAAGGGGCTGGTTGCGAGGGGCAACTTTGTAGTGGATGTGGAGTGGAGTGGAGGCGCGTTTGTGCAGGCTACGGTGACGTCCAAGAGTGGCGCGGACTTGGAGCTTAGGGTGGAGGGTGGAACGGCGATCAAGGTAGATGGGAAGGCGTATGGCGGGCCGATCAAGACGACTGCTGGGGGAAAGTACACCGTTACCAAAGCGTGAGGATTGAGATGGGAAGAGATCGTTGATATTTGTAACGAACAGAGAATCATATATGCGGCAGCAGCATGACTTTCAGCTTGAGATGCTCGCCCAGTTGATGCTGAGGTGATATTTAGTTGCAGGCGAAGTGTTTGTAACGGTGATCATGCAGGACCACTGAACGAGCAGTAATGTGCGCTAAGGAGTACGGCAAGCCTTCGGTGAAACCAGATTTCTTGAATCTCAAGACCTTTTTGGGCTTTTGACGTGCACTTAGCAGCGCGGGGGAAGACGATGTGATTTGACGAGAGTTGGTCTTGAGGCCGACAGGAATCTCGTTGTGGCCTTACTGACAAACAGTCTACCAGAGCTTGCTTTTTGGCCGACGCGTCTCACCGTCGGCCGTTCAGGTGCAATCTCAAAAGTCGGTTGCGCCACAACTGCATGCAGGTCCACACCTGGATGGATTATTTTGGCCACCTCCACGTGGGCCGAACATGTGTTTCTCCACTTGTCCCCCTGTGGCAGTATCTCGCGGTGGCCAGACCAGAGCGAATGTGAATCGATTTGCAAACGCGCGAAGATCAACACTTCAGCAGGATCACACAATAGTACACTTGGATGACACAAAAACCTCTCGAGCGAACACAAGGACCTAAGCAGGGCATGCCGGGAATTCAGATCTCACTATATCCACACAGGAAGGTAGAAGTCGTTTCATTGCATGGCGCTGGTGAGCACACTGAAGCCAAAATAGCGTTGTTGGAGCACCAAGAGAATTGGCACCGCCGTGCCATGCAACCCGCCAGCCCGGATCTGAAACTTCTCGATGACCTCTAGAATGTCGTTCAGTCCCAGCAGCGTGTCTCCATCATCGGCCGTTCCGACAGATGCAACGCTACGCTGATGGTCAGTGAATAAACATGCCACTAAGCCCACCACGATCACCAGAGCATGCAGCCCCCAGCCAATGCGGCTCTGCGGTCCAGCAAAGCCCTCCCGGCGCCGAGCCGACACAGCACTCCTTTGGGCGCTCTGGACGCATTCGTCTTTTGCATAAGAGATCGCGCAAGGGCGCTAGCGGGAGCACCAACCCGAAGCAGCTAGCCGCGACAAATTCACACGGCGCGAAACCATGGTCTCCGATCACGACATTGGCGCTCTGGCCGTCGCGAAAACCCGTCACCGCTCGACAAGGAAAGCGTTGGGTAACAGCATAGCGTGTGCCACAAGCACGTCATCGGCTTTCGTCGGTAGAGGCTCGGTTGGCGCCGAAAACTTCGCCATCATGGCGAGCCCGTGCGAAAGCAGTGCACGCGAGGTCTCAGCACTCTTGGGTGCCATTTCCGCCAACTGGGACGAGGCGTGAAGGGACTGTGTATAAGTGCCCTCGAGGACGGGCGCCATGGTCAGCGAAACGTCCCCCTTACTTGGCCCTGCGTCTGCCTCCGCGCCGCCCTCCATGTCCAAGTTCTTCAAGCACGGTGGCTCGGCTGAGGCCGCCCCGACTGATGTCAAAGGCCCCGATGCTGCTCAGGATGTCGATGAGGGCTCTCTCTTCCAGGTGCGCCAGGCGAAGCGCCAGATTGGCGTTACGTCTGCAGTCTTCCTCATCTTCAACCGCATGATCGGAACTGGCATCTTCGCGACGCCCAGCGCCATCTTCTCCCTGTCCGGCAGTGTTGGTTTGTCCCTATTCATCTGGGTTGCGGGTATGTTGATTGCGGCCGCGGGTATGGCTGTGTACTTGGAATTTGGAACTGCGATACCAAGGAATGGTGGCGAGAAGAACTACCTGGAGTTCGTCTACCGCAAGCCCCGCTTCCTGGCCACCGGACTGTACACAGGCTACGTGATCTTGCTCGGCTGGGCCGGTTCAAACTCAGTCGTCTTCGGAGAATACATTCTTCATGCCGCCAACGTCGAGGTCAACCGATGGAACCAACGTGGGATTGGACTCGCCTGCATCACAACCGCCTTCCTCATCCACGGCCTGGCTTTGAAATGGGGTCTGAGACTCCAGAACTTGCTCGGCATCATCAAGCTCGGTATCATTCTCCTGATCGTCGTCTCAGGATGGGCTGCACTCGGAGGAGCTCTCAAGATCGACAAGCCGAACAACTTCGACAATGCTTTCCAGGGAACAACTGGAAGCGCGTACGGTGTCGTCACCGCTCTGTACAATGTCATCTGGAGTTATATTGGATACAGCAACGCAAACTATGCGCTGAGTGAGACGAAGAACCCGGTTCGGACACTGAAGATTGCCGCTCCGTTGGCTCTGACCTCCGTCGCCATCCTATACATGTTCGTCAACATCGCCTACTTCGCCGCCGTCCCTGCCGAGGAGATAATCTCGTCGAAGCGACTTGTCGCTGCGTCTCTTTTCCGCAACGTCTTCGGTCCCAGGGCTGAGCGTGCGCTCTCAGTCTTCGTTGCCCTCTCCGCTTTTGGCAACGTCTTGAGCGTCATCTTCTCTCAGGGTCGTCTCGTCCAGGAACTCGGCCGTGAAGGCATCCTTCCCTTCTCTCGCTTTTGGGCCAGCAACAGGCCCTTCAACGCTCCTCTTGCGGGTCTTTTCGAACACTGGCTCGTCTCAGTGATTATCATGCTTGCGCCCCCGCCAGGCGATGCCTACAACTTCATCCTCAAGTAAGTGCACCTTGCTCCACGCGCGTGTGAGACAGTGCTAACAGCTGCTAGCGTCATCTCCTACCCTCTCGCTATCGTCAATGTCTTCGTCGCCGGCGCCCTGATCCACCTCTACCTGCACAAGGCAGCCTGGCAGTGGAACCCACCGATCAAAGCGACTCTCCCTGTCGCCGTGTTCTTCCTGCTTAGCAACATCTACCTCACTGTTGCGCCTTTCGTGCCACCATCTGACGGCAACAGCGTGTACGAGTCGCTCCCTTACTGGCTGCACTGTGTTGTCGGCATCGGTATCATCGTCGCTGGAGGCGTGTATTGGGTCATTTGGGCAGTTCTGTTGCCGAAAGTCGGCCATTACAGGCTTGAGAGGGAAGTCGTTGTGGATGAGATTGATGGGTGGGAGAGGCATGTCTTCAGACGTGTGCCGAATTGAGACGGTTCGTTGGTGTGAGGTTTGGACGCGCGTATTGTAATTTTGATAGACCTCCAGAGTGAGCATAATGGCCAACGCTGATAAGTGACCATGATCTCGCAGCCTCTTGTAAAACTCGACGTGTAACCCGGCGATAAAGTGAGCATTCGATAGTCGGTCCCGAGATAACTTGGTTTGTAGTACTCCTCGTGGCGTAATTCGGCCCGCGAGCCGAGTAGGTTTTCGGAAAGCGCGACACTGTGCACTTGGCCACCCGCCCTCCACATCTAGCCAGCGCTCAGGCCCACAATGAATGAGCACATCGTGCTTTCACCTACGCAAGTCCGGACGCAGAAGCGGTCGTTGTCTATGTTGATAAACCACGGAATGACGTCAATTACAGTCGATGAACGATAACCCAGACAAATACTGGATACGAAACATCACGATGGTAGCCGCACGCGGCACCTGTAGGAGACTGTTATCACTGCTTCCCCAACAGATGCTCCCGAACGTGACAATGGACATGTCTCGGGTCATGCAACGTGGCATTGATCAGTCTCTGCGATCATTAAAAGTCGATCGATGTAACTTCCATGAGCACTCTAAAGCGGAAGCGGCGAAACGTCCTGCACGCCACTTGAATGATGGGGAATTCTATAGCATCTTCCTTCTGGCCTGTCTTGACGCGTCGATTGAAAAGGACACTAATGAAGACATCTTTGGGAGCTCGCTCACACATGACCAGGCTAAGGTTCGGGAGCAGACTCAGTTTACAAGCCAGAAAGAACGACCAAAACAGCCACACGACCCCAGGTGACTCGAAGGCCGTCAGGTGCAAGCACCAGGGTAATGAGAGTTGATGCACGAACATGGTCAAGCAGGGTAATGTTGTCGATGCCGAGATCCCAAGTTTCTATATCCTTGGATAGCAGGATGGTATCGCGATACGAATGCGCGAGCGTTCATCGTTTATTGCTTTTCCAAAGACCAGCTTGGTTTCTCATGGATCGAAAGCTACATGCCCAAGCCTCCTCACTGCATTGCCAGGTCTCAGGCCCGGATCTGGCTTGAGACCGACTTATATGAACAGCCTCAACGTTTTATTGACGGACAACACAACAGATTGATAATGACTATATATTCGGTACTTATAAGCTGGTGATGTCTGTGTCGCTTCATTAGGCATGTTTGAGGTGCAATTGACACGGCTTAGGCAGTGTGGGCCTTGCTAGTCGGTGTTCCCATGCTCTGCTAACCACTTTCTAGTCTTTTCCAACCTATTTCGGGCACTTGTCAGGGACTTCCCCATACTCTGTATCTCCATCTCCACCATAGCAATGCCCTCAGGTGCATTTTTGGGTACCGTTTTCGCAAAGTCACGAACGTCTTGAACGTAGCGTTCCATGGATTCGATAGCCTCCTTCTGCGACGCAATCGATGAGAGCGTATCCTGGCGGCCTAGAGAATTGATGCCGGCAACCTCATGGAAAGTGGCACCAGGGCGCAAGCGCTCCGCGTCGACCTTTGAGGCTTCGAATGCCTTTTCATACACCTCCAATTGCTTCTGAGCACGACGATGTCGCCCCTTCATGTGTTTCAACTGCTTGGGATTGTCCTTGAAACGTTCTGCGAAGGTAACGTAGTCGTTACGTTGCGCACTCTCACGTTTATGTTGCGTCTCTACTCTGAGTCGTTCCACCTGCCATAGCGGCAGGTCCTCCTCTTTCTGACACACGCCGTCAGGGCACAACTTCTCTGCCTTTTTCTTAGCCTCCTGAAGGTCGTTGGCGTTCCTTCTCGAACTCTCTTCTGCTTTCCACAGTTTGAAGCGGGCCGCCCATTCGTTGTCCGGTATTAAAGCGTCCGCGACCTCTTTCTTGTATCGCTCCACTTTACGATCCGAATCTTCAGCCCAGCCAACGTGACATTCCACCTTCCTCAATGGCTCCTCCGCGAAGTAACGCGCTCTTTCGGTGGCGTATGCTCGAGCCACATCTATTTCAAATTGCTCACCGTTGAAGTGATCCGGCCAGCCATTGTTCAGATACAACGGCTTCAGGATGACTGGCTCCATCCAGTGGTTGTATTCGCCCTGGCCTGGCAGTTCCTTGAGTGCGCAATACAAGCGGTTAATGTCTCGCAGAACGTCACCGGCAGATCGACTTCGCACGGCCTCCAAGCTATTTTTATTGTTGATCCCCGCAGCCTCTTCTCGTTCTCTGTCGTTTAGCTCTTCGATGTGCTCAAATCCTTCGTCGTACTCGACGACTTCCGCCTGGTCTTCCACCATGGCATCGATCTCCCGCGTCTCACTAACATCATCCTCATCGTCCCAGAATTCGCTGCTTCCCTCCGAAGCACCGTCGCTGAAATCCATATCTTGTTCGCTATCGCCATCGCCACTCCAATCGCTGGAGCTACTGTCACCCCAGTTGCTCGCCTCATCTTTTGTGCTCTCCGATTCGCTGTACCAGCCTTTACAGTAAACAGGATCCGTGCTGGTCCCTTCGATCTGGTCCACGATCCAGATACGATGTTCCTTGGCATCGTAGATGATAACGGGCGAATGATTACCGCAGTTCGATAGTGGTGTGTACCACGGGTACATGTATTGACCCTCCTCATCATCAAAGCCGCCCTCAGGTGAAAGATAACGTGGATCTCTTCCTGTCTCCACATCATCAATGCTCAATGGGTTGAAGAAGGCGCCTCCCTGGAAAAAGTCCCTTGCATCCGTTTCTGCCCCGTCGATGTACGGCATTATGCTGTAGAGATAGATGATTGCGGGGTCGAGCTCGCATTCGGCGTAGCTGGCCAGCAGTCCCTCGCTCAGTTCGTGTGGTCCGCGGATAAGTGCTTCGGGATCGACATATCGCATGGCGACGAGTGTTTCGTAGATGTTGAGCAGCTCATTGGCTACACCATGTATACGCTCTCTTTGCTCCGCAGACAAGCTGTCAGCTGCCAATTTTGCGTCGAAATTAGGTTTCGCCATGACTGATTGTAGTTGTTTGGAATTTTCGCTCGGAGTCACCGCAGAGGTAATGTAGGCTATGTACTTCGCACAATTAGGGGGATTGTCATGCTGGCACGATACCTGATCAGGGATAGTGCATGGCAAACCAACTCGCCAGCAGGCAACCGCACCGACCCAATCTCAAAAAGTCATCAAACCTACACCCGTATCGCGCTATTGCATCTGTATTACGGCCCCTGGCTATGTCGGCCACCTTTATAAATTACCGGAAGTATTTATTGAACAAACAAAAGTACCACCCAAATTGCCTCGCTACAAATCTTAAGTCACCCGGAACACAGTCTTGCCCACGCCTCCCTTCCCGTCGAAGACCATCTTGCACGCCTCTCGAACTCCGTCAATGTCCCTGATATCTACTTGCTTACCTACGACAGGCCTCAGAAGTCCATCCTCGACGTTTGCACGCAATGCGTCTAGGTCTTCAGCGTTGGGTTCCATGAACCAGTAGGCGTACTCGACGCCAGAGCGCCTAGCGTAGAATTTACGCCCGGAATCTACCAAATTCAAGCCCATGAGAATGTACCAGGGTAACTTAGGTTTATCAGGCCGATCCATGATGCCCGAATCTTGTAGCTGTGTACCGGACGGCTGCGTCGCTATAGATATAATGAGGCTCGTGGATGGTATCATCAAAGGCAGGAACTCCATCGCCTGGCCAGTTGTATCAAACAAAAAGTCCACCGATTGAGGTGGGATGACCTTGAGGGGGCTTTCCGTGGTGTAATCGATTACTACACAGGAATCAGAACGCAAAGTCTGGAAGGGGACTTGCAGGCAGGAACGTACTTTGATCTACCACACCTTCGCCGAGCAGCTCTGGTACTCTACTGATTTTGGAGGTGGATACAGTCGTGATGACCTTGCCGGCATGGAACACGTTCTTGGCCAGTTGACAGGCCATCGATCCAGTTCCGCTGACTGTGGGATAAGTCAGTGAATATTCAAGCATTGCTATGAACAAGTCTTACGCCCAGCAGGCACGAAAACCGTCTTTCCGGCCAAAGAGCCCTTGTACTTCTGCAGTGCTTGCATTGCAGTTAGAGCCGCCAGCGGGATCGCTGCAGCATGTGCAAACGACATGTTGCTCGGCATCTTGGCCACAAACCTATCCGGGCATTTGGCATATTCCGCCCATGACCCTGCATCTGTGTCAGGTTCTCTATCCGCATTGGAAGCTTCCTGTCGCGTACCTCGATATGCTTCCGGCAAGCGGGTGTACACCTGGTCCCCAACTTTGAGTTTGCTCACGTTCCTCCCTATAGCGGTGACTTCACCTGCGCAGTCGTATCCAATCTGATACGGAAATCTATTGCGCGTCAAATACTATCGTTGTCAATTGGTCTACACACTTACCTCTCTTTTATCGCTATTTTGAAGACACCAGCGGCTTTCTTCAAGTCTATCGGGTTGACGCTTGCAGCGTGCACTTTGATGATAACGTCATGCGAATCTGAGATTGTTGGCTCAGGAACATTTCCATTAAGCTCGTAGCTCAAAGGCTCGCAATGCGCAGGTGCCACTATGCTCAACATCTTGAGTATGTATGTCCTATGCGATACAAGTTCGATGACATGCAAGTGCAATAGGTTTTTATCAAATTTTCGCGTCTCAGGGTTTGTATGGGTTTTGGAGGATGCACGAGGATCAATCAGTTTCTGATATCTTGTCGGACGAAACAAGGACTATTGCGCGCGCATGCCTCGGTAATTAGTTTCAGCGTGGCAGGGGGTAGTGCGCTTGTCTGGAAATACCTCCTCTTTTTTTCCTTTGAAACACAACGGGACTTGAAGTTGTTCGTGGTTCTACAGCCTCGGATTGGGTCAGGAAAGGCCACTAGCCAGCCGGTACCGGTAGCGGAACATGAATTTGGCCGCGACTTGATTACAGCCTCGGTTCGGCCCAGGGTTAGGCCGATCTTCAGAGGCGCCTCGATAAAGGCAACCACTCTAGATTACAATACACAACAGCGACTTTCGCTGCACAGGTAGCAGCTCAAAACACCGTCGGTACTCTTGGCGCGAGATCCGCAGACGATTAGACGAAGCCTGCTTTATAGATTCTTTAGAATCCATATTGCCAGGCTGATGGCTCCAACGGCAGCTCCGCCTATCATACTGCTCGTGGTCTGGCCAACTTCTCCCCTGCTAAGCCCGAAGACCAGATTCGCAATGTCCACGGAATCGTTCATAATTCCTGCCCAAAGAGCCCTACGGATTTCCCTGCCTCCTCCGTCTTCCCTCTTCCCATCGACAGCAGTAATCAAAAGGCCTCCGATTACAGCCTCCCGTATAGCCATCATACGCACCAAGAACGAATGCTCACTTGGCACGTTGTAAGAGTGTAGCCCACATGTCTATAGGTGATAGCGCTCCGTTAGTATCGTACTCACGCAGCGATGACGCCAACATCGACCACTATACGTACCAAGCGGGGTGCGATTAGGCAAGCTGCACCGGTAAAAATGCGAACTATTGACAGAGTCTTGATCGCAAATGAGGTCGCCGACGAACGCGGCGCCGCCGGAACTGCATCCTTGGCTTGTGGTTGCGAGGGAGACATTGAGGCCTCACTGGACACTGGATATTGGTTTCTTGATATTCTCTTGATCTGGGAAAGCTACAGCAGAGATTGAGTGTTGTCGCGATCGAGGGCCCTGGGCTTCATAACGTGTTCGGAAGCCAAGTAAGTGTGCCAAGTACAATTGGCCCGGGTACTCTCCGGCAGGGGCTTGGTCTTATCTGATCGGGCCTATTGGTGCGTCTTTTACCAGAAGGATAACTCTGTTGATACTTTCCGTACCTCTAATAATGTCCAAAGCTAATTGGTTTAGCAGATAAGTAAGGTGCGATGTGCGACCAAGAAATTCATTCAGTGTAACCCTTGGACCGTAGTGATCGACCCTTTACTTTTTCCTCCCTAGCAAGTATTTTCGGAACGTTCCTCTAAAAACGTCGTAATCATTCTAATATAGACCCCGCCTCTGCAATTCGGGTAATCAGAAGATGGACAACATTCTCCCAGGTTCCAGGGTCCATTACGCTCCTGATACTACATCTATTGATGTCTGCCTCTTCGACCCACTCCTAAATCACATCCGCAACTTCCGAAGCAGTGCCTACAGCGCACGGGCGCAACCCACGAAGGGCAATATGCATGCCCACCCGTTGAGGTGTCCATAGTTGGTTCTATTCTCCTTCGCTGGCCTCGAGTGCTTTTAAGACTGCTTGGATAGTTATGGCTTGCGACATGCCGTCCAGATTTATAGGCTCGTGAGAGGGAAGGTTGCCAAATTAATGCCTGTGTATTACTGAACTGTGCGAATCCAGCCACTGTATCTGCATTGGCAATAGCTCAGTGGTGTTTTCCCTTATCCTCCCCTGGTGTACTGCGGGTGATCGGCATGGAGCATGGGAAGAATAGATCGCGCCCTTTGGTAGCCGCTGCTGTGCACATGTCTGCAATAGTCTTCTTTGCTTGACCCGCATTAGCGTAGACGTAAAGTTTAGAGTACGTTGTTGACTGGGTCACCGTAAAGGATAATTGTCAGTAACCACGGCTGTGGCCTAGACGATTGTAAAAGGGCCCAATTGAGCGACCTAGTGCGCAGAGCACAACATTGTGCCCAGCCCGCAACTGTACATTTTGAAACCAACGAACCAACCTGTAAAGGATATTGCGGAGATTCTACCGTGCTCAGCAAACTTCGCTGGGTCTGTAAAGTACTTTAATTTGTACCTTCCGATATTCGGCCAGTGCGGCTTACTCCGTCAATGCAGCTTTTGGCTCTTTGGGGGTTCGGACTGCTTCATCACGCGTGTGAACGTGTTCTCTCGTTTCGCACGACATGCCGCAGTTGAGGTGATCTTGCAAGTTCTCGCTGACTCCCAGAAGCGCGTACAGGACTGGGACGTTCACTGCCTCCAGGGCCTTCTTGGATCCTATACCCGATCGCTCGAGAATGATGGGAGAACCAAACCGCCAGCACAACGAACGACCTCCTGGGCAGGAACGAACCCCTCCCCTTGGTATTTATAGCGAACCCCACTAGCTCTGAGCGCTCCAGCAGTGGTCAATGCCTCATCGAATACAATCTTCTTGACCAGTGTGCCGGTCTCCAATATCACATTGCCTCATTCCAAAGCCGGCTAGAGAAATGAGTGCCTACATGTCTGCGCTCGCCTTTCGATGAATCCACTGCGTTGGTGACAGTGATTTCCCCAAAGGAGCTTTCTGTGAAATCTGTGGCCCTTGTCGGGTGACCAAGCTCCTTAAAAGCCTGAGTTCACTGCGATTAGATTAAATCCAGGTCACGCGGGTATGATGTCTTCACATAACCCAGAAATTCCACGTCAATGCTTATTTCCGGCTCAGAGCTCTCAACTTGCCACCATTTATAGCAGTCTTGCATACCTTTTCAGCTCCACCCTGCTCTTCTTAAATCTGGAAGAAGCTTTGTCGCAAGGCGATCATGCCATTTGTACTTCGGATACACCACGCTGTGACTATTGATCGCACTCGTACCACCTACCGACTTTCCTCTCGGATGCTTCACGACCCTGTTATTGAGGCCCGGCTCCGGCACACTGGCATACTGCCTATCATGCAAAGGATTTGACAAAGCGCGGCGGGGATACCACGTGTCTGAACTTTGCAATCATCGCGAAGATGTTCTCCAGCTTCCAGAACCAAAAACCAGCGATTGAGGAGCAGATTTGATAGACGCGATGTTATCAAGCACGATGCTGAACCGGCCCCGATCAGGATGAAGTCGTAGTCCTGTGCGTCTTCGGAAAGATTATTGCCTGACATTGTTAGAAAACCGAGGGGAAATCGTCTTGAACCGCCCGGCTTACCCAATGATCCACTACTTGTGTGTTGTCTGAAGGTAGAAATCGTTCACGGCGAGAGTATGGAGCTGACTACAAACCACTAATATATATTAGGAAGTCAATGCAAGTACAAACAATCGTAATCTTTGCAACAGATACATCTAGGCCGAGGGCGTTTCGTCGCTGCATCGTAGCTATTCGCTGATAAATCTATATCCACAAATCACAGCTTACGTTGGCTCCAGCCCGAAAACCCGAATACAAGTACTCATGGTGATGACAACCAATGGTATGCACCATCTTTCCTGAGTGTATATAAGGAGCGTGGGAATGGGAGGTCTTGTTGTCTGCTCTTTCGTGTTGCCAAAGCATGGGGCGGCTCCCCAGAAGGTGATTTGGGTCAGAAAAAGGGTCCACCTCGGCAAATCGAATTTCGCCCCCAGAACATGCGCAACCGTTCGACACATTAACGCCATGTTCTTCGAAGCATTCCTTCGGAGCTGCATCGACGCGTAACTTCTCATACCTGTCCTCATCACGCTGATGACTTGTCTTCGTGTTCACAACTAGCCATCGCAATTTTCTCGCGTTCAGAAGCCACCAGCACTGAACGGGCAAAACTCGCGGCGCCTGCAAGAGCCAGCATTGAAGTCGCCCTTGTCATGGAAAAGCCAGTACATAGAGTTTGAAATCTTTCAGTGACGTACTGCCGGGTCCAACGAGTCCATCATCGCCATAGCCTGATCTAGACCCTCTTACATTTCTACGTGCGTACCAAATATTGAATGACATGAGGTTGACCTTGCTATTTTCTTCGTCTAGAGCAACACACCATGATAGAAACTTGATAATGAGACATGCGCTTGGGTGCGATAAAGCTGTAAGAACAACAGGGAGGCGATCATCAGAGGAACAGGTGCATCCCTTACTTCAACTTTAGTTTCGCGCAGCTGGCATGGTGGCCCACATCGACACTATGTAATGAACGACGCTGTACGCTTGGCTCCCCTTGGTTTGCAGACTGTACCAATGGTCTGTGTCGGAGTAACGCATACTGCAGAGCGTGTTATCGGCGTCGGCGTCTCCACAATACTTGTAGTTGGCCTCACGCCAACGGTAATGTCTGCGTTGCCTCTCCCTTGCTGGCCTTCCACAACAATGAATGTGTTCCCCAAACTTCCCATTGGTAGACCAGCGGCCACCCAGGCTTTATAGTGGTTGTTGAAAGTAATGGTACCCCCACGACGATTTGTCCGCCTCACCGACCAGTATTGCCTCAAGTTCCCGTTATACTTTGACCAGAGCTCGTATTGCGCTCCATCACTGGTGTGATATCCGTAGAAAGACTGTGCTGCATTGTCTGAAGGGTTATGCGATGCGAATGCCTCGACGACGTAAAATTCTACACGAGGGTTGCTCGTGAAGCCATAGAGAGCAAGGTAAGAGTTGCCCTGAGGATTGTAGTTGGCGGTGTAGTTGACCACGCTGCATGATCGTTAGCTTTGTATCAAAGGCATCATTGGGTAAAGCAGACAGATTCTGGTTTCCTCGATAGCCCTTGCCAGCGACAAAATTGCCTCCCGCTCCGAGGATCCAGTCTAATGTAAAACGACCGGCTGCGAGGCTGGTGTACGTATAGTTGGTAGCGTCTTCGCCATTTCCCCAATTCTGAATCTGGAACTGTTGGCCTTGAGCAAGAGGGATCAGCGCAATTGCCGCGATGAAGAGTTTGAACGGAAACATCTTATACCGCGATACTCACTTTGCGTGGCAGTGGTAGAGCCTGTTGGGCATACTCATGTCGCTTCTTATAGCTTCCCAGAGCGATAATGCTGCACCTGAAAGTCTTCACACTTGCCTGTCGCTGATTTCATCGTAATCCTACTGTCTGTGCAATTCATTTTGGGTTTATCCGGTGGCAAAGATGTGTTGGCGGTTCTATACGAGGGTCGTACATACACGAGGGTACAAACCCAGATAAAGCGAATCAAATGTAGCACAAAGTCGCTGTGAGAGAAAGCTCTTGCCCGTGACACTGCAGATTCCACTTTTCGTACTAAAACAATTAACGCAAAACCTATCTGTTCATCCTTTTCCTGTACATGAATAATGCCTGCTACTTTTCTAGTGCGATCTTACTGAGGTGTCTGTTGACACTTGACGTGCTCGCTTGGTTTGTCTAGTTGGTGACGTGCGTAGGAAATACTGGCAATTCTGCGATGTAACATTGAACAAGGGCTTGTCGTGTTCGTGAATACTGTAATTGGAGCCTTATCATATCGTATCTGCATGCATGATGTTATTGCTGACCCGGCGTCAGGTAGCGAGAACGCCGTGCAGGAGGATAAACCCGGGAAGCGAGGAAGCAATCCCCAAATGGACCTTGGATTACGAGCAATGCAGATCCTGGCGAATTTCGATCGGCCAACTGCCACTACGTAACCTCCTTCGAGATGGATTATACGGGGATCGCCTGGGATCTAGTACCACTAAGGATCATGTAAGAGTACCTATGGTATGCAGGTTGTAAGACGCTGATGGTGTGGACTTCATATGCAAAGTGCCACGGCTCTATGTGGGTACACAGCACGTGTGACGTCTTCGTGTAGTTCTCCTCACCCCCCTTCATTGAGGCAAAGAGACGACTGATTTGTGCATAGATACTCGGACTCTATCACTTTATAGTGTGACCCCACCAAACATAATACCTTCCTCCGATACTATTAACTATATATGGTCACTTGATTCCTAGATAACTACTCCTACATTATGATACTTATTTAAGAAACTACTTAGTAGTAATCCTTTATAGTATTTCCATCTATATGTTACAATCACACAGAATAACCGTAGGGGAATTGTTAAATCCAGAAGGGTAGAATGTCCTAAAGGGTTAAGGTTGGTTCTCGGGCAAGACAACTAAGGGAAGGGAAGGGGTTTTGTTGATACAATGGTATCTTGCGAAATATAACGAGTCGACAATATGGCCTGAGTGTAATCCCAACGATAGATCAATAAACAGGTTGAACACGAGTATGAGAGTTCATACTCGAGTTCCTATATACTAAGGTTGATCAGTTATCCGATAACTCTCATCAAGGTGATCAAACTGTGCTCAGTGATCAGTATGCAAATTGCTCAGTATGATCAGTGTGCTAAGAACACTGATCACTCTGATCAAGTCACGTGACCGGTGTCGCATCATGACCTGGCGACTAACTGCTAATTACATGTAGATCCGGATGACTGTTCATCGTGGATCCTAACACTTTTTATCCCAACCAACTCGGGATTATACCCCCGGGATACACTACCGGCCTGGAAACACAGTAGAGTGACCTCATATGCAAACTACATTAAGATGAACTATCATTGATGCTTGTGTGAAGCGAACGGAGATATGAATACCGTTAGGGGAAACTATCAGCCTTCCACTAAGACCACGCCCGAAAGGCCTTCGCGTGAGATACCTGGGAGGTGTAGGCCATCATATCCCGATCATATATCTCAAAGCAATTTGCACAGAAAGCTCGCATCATCAATCCGCATCTGCACACAAGGTGGTGTATTTGCACTCAAAACCCAAATAAATTTTCCCCCTCCTCAAATCCCCACTCCTTCAGTGCTGGCAATGCAGCTTTCTGAACCATACCCAGCGGCCCGCAAAGGAAAACACCGGTGCCCTGCTCCGGCGCAAACAGTGCTTCCTTGAGAACGTCCGGGTCAACATGTCCCTTCTTCCCCTTCCAATCATCACTAGGATGACTGAGGATATGTGTAATCTTCAGCCTGCCTCCACTCCCCCTCTCAAACTCATCAAGCTCTTTGTGAAGCAAGATATCCTTCTCAGACTTATTTGCATCCACAACCCGTATCTGCGTCTCGTCGTCATTGGAGAGAATGGTGCGTGCGATGAGAGAGTAACCAGGCGTAATACCACTTCCACCAAGAACGAGGTTGATCTTTTTGAACGTGTATTCTTTGCCTGATATCGTAAAGGAACCATTACCATAATACACCATCTCACCGGTTGGCCCGCGTATCTCGATTTCTTCGCCGAGGGGCATGTAGTCAAGGATATTATACATTGCGCCGCCGGGTTGGGAGGGAGAGGGGAAGTAGGGTTTGACGGTGAGTTCGAAGGTGCCAGTGCCGTCTGCGAGGCTGTCGTTGTCGGTTTTGTTGTTGATTTGCTTCGATGGATCGGGAAGAAGTGGTTTCGTTGGTGTGTATGAATGGATGAGCATCTTGTCTTGGAGATGATAACCTAATTGTACGTGTTGGCAAGTTGCGAGACCCAAATCGGGGGTGTTATCTGGTAGTTGGAAAGTGTATGCGCGTGTATCCTCCGAAATCGATTTGCGGTCGATGAGTTTGACTGGTACCCATCGGTGCTTCTGCAGCACCATTTTGCTTTGTTGGGATGATGTTGGTGACTGCTCATTCGCGGCAGTCTTGTCCGTCACCACACCAATCGCGCATTCTGTTCCGGAACATCAGTAGACGTCCAACAGCAACATTCGGTGGGCTTACCGTTGAGCTTCTTATAGGCATACCCGTCATGTATACTTTCGAACTCATTGCTAGTTTCTGCATGCACTTTACCAGCATGACCTAACGCCGCGGCTTTGCCTCCCGGATGCCAATCCAACACGCTCGTCGCATCGTACACTTTCCTATCGACCACAATCCAGCAATCATCCTCCTTATCATGTTTCTCAATCTCCTGCCGTGTGAATTGCTTCTGCGGTGTACCAGCCGCCTGCTTGATAGTCGCCATCTGGTTCTCAACACTCGGTTCCATCCACCCGCCATCTGCTGTGCCTGGTTCCACAGGGTGTCGGAAGAAAATTGATGGACTATCTGAGTCATCTTCTTGTACAATATACAGCTTAACGACGTACCAGCAGTTGTTCATCATGCCCATGACATTCCAGTTCGGGTCTTTCGGCTGTGTATTTTTGAATACATTAAAGCAGCGCACCGTGATGCTCTTCGCTCGGAGGAAGTGCGTGATCTCGATATCGACATGCCAGTGCAGCCATGTCCAGAACTTGTTCCCATGTCGAATCGGCGCTTCTGGGAACTTTCTGATGCAATAAAGCCATGTATCTTCATTATCCAGCGACATTATCCAGCGAGACCTCCACTCTCTGGACTTCATGACCACCACCGTCATACGCGTAGCCTTCAATGCGATACGTATTACCTTTCTTGGCCTCCGAAAGTGATATCTTCTCACCCTGCCCAGGCTTCACAATGACGGAGTTCAGATTTTGCTCATTGCACGCCGTATCCGGATGGCGAAACAGCGCCTCCGCAAACTCGCCGTCCTTCTCCGTAACGAAAGACGGTAGGACACGGTTATCCCAGATATGGTAGTGCGAGTCGTTCCCCTTATCCGTTACCCAGAGTCGCTTCAGCCACTTGACGCAGCGTCCACCAACATACCCTGGTATCATCAGGCGCACCGGGTATCCGTGATCAGGCGGAAGCGGAAGGTCGTTCATCTCGTATGCCAGGACCACGTTGTTCGTTGCATCCATGACGTATTCGAACGGCAGGCATGTGGCATATTTCCCCTCGCTCGGCTCGTCCGCGCCCTCGAAGTTGACCCAGTACCGTTTGCCTTCAGGCATCTTTCCTGGTACGCCGGCTTTGAGTAGCACATCCCGCACCAGCGATCCTTTCCAGTATGCGCAACTAACCGCCGCGCTACCCCAGCTGAACCCTTTAGACTTCTTGAGCATGTTTAGCTCTTTGCGACGGTTTCCATCGCATGCTAGCGCCACGGGGATGTTGATTGAGTCGAAGTCGTTCCTTAGCGCATCCATGGACAGCACAAGCTTGCCTCCTTCAACATTCAACTCGTGAAACTCCCACAGTAACGGTGGAACAGCGCCATGATTGCGTACGTAGTGCAGATCATTAGGCGTGATAAGTCCTGCGTCGTAGAGATGCGATAGATTGGCCTCCGCATTCATCGGATGCTTGCCCGTCAATCGAATTAGATCCGGAGAACGTGGTAGCCAGTTGTCGGGCGAGAACTGGTCCGCTTCATCGATGGAAATAGTACTTCGATTGTTTGTCTGGGGGCTTTTGCGCTTTCCGTCGTTTTGTTCGAGATTCTGGATGTAGTCCTTTTTGTGTTGTAGGTTTCGAAGCAAGGCAATTTCTTGTACGGAGTATCGCTCTCGCAGCTTCTCGTATTTAGTTTTCTGTTTCTTGCCGGCTTCATCGTTGTAGTAGCCTGAGTCCTCTGCGTTTCCGGCATATGCGTCGTGATGCTTCCCGCTGTCACCTTGCTCGTTTCCATTGCTCTTCGTCTATGCCTTCGTCCTCGTGCTTGTCAGATGAGATCTCGCGTTGTTGCTCCTCCTTCGTTTGCTCTTCCTTTTCGCGTTTCTCTACGTTCGCCGGCCACTCCTCCTGATTCTTGACCCAATCTTCCGTACAGGGTAGCACGTATCTCCAGCCCAAGCTTCTGTTCTCCGGATGCTGCAGGTGAAGATCTTTTTCCTCCATCACGAAGTCTCGGAAATTAATCAGATCGCCCTTCTTCGCTCTTTCAACTAAGTCTTCGTGCCCATATCGCGCTTTTTCAACGTCATCGTTCGCATTGACTTCCTCGCAGTGGTGGGTGATGCCAGCTAGACGGTCATCGTGATTCTTATACCCAACGCGATGTTCATGTCTATGTGCCGTCGACCAATTAGGCTCTTCCTCAATTTCCTGTCGCGTTGAACTAGGGTGGTCGGTAATGCGAACTCGCCAAGGTACTAGAGGCATCGTTGTGTGCTTCTTAATTAGAAGTAGTCGGGCCAAGGGATGCTTATATGCGACAAACACCCGCGGAGATATGCAATTACGCAACCATCGCTAAAGGCTGTAAGCACGGGTGGTTATATACCACGGCGTCATAGTGAGTTAGCTTTTGTGATGCGTGAGGTGCTCCAGACATCCTTATTGGCACGTGGATAATAGCTAACTTGGAACTATTTGTTGATGCAATGGTACCTCCGCGATTAGGTCGGCACGAGTGCATTCTACCCCAGATTTAGTCTCGGCCCCAAACACCATAACGAACTTCGTGATCTGCTCATTACATAGTCCTTTCTCGATTATTTAGATCCGACCTCAACGCCCTCATTCTAATAATAGTAGAGTGCGTGATCTGCTAACTATGCGCAATTGCTGCCAATCTATAATAAGACCAGTTTAATTGGCGAAAGTGTCATAGCAAGTTGACGTAAAGCTGGACCTCGGAGACCGATTTTTCGATTAATAGTTAGACTTTGGTAAAATCTTATTTTAGTCTCCTCCTTAGAGGATATAATCCATTCATCAGATGAATCCTTTTACACGAACCGTATCAGCATCGTCACCTAAGAAGAATCCGGCAAATGTTCGTTCGATCCCATAGTTCTCCTTGCATCATGCCCTCGATGAATGCTGGGCCAACAACTTCATATGTATCCATCAGTGACGTCGAACGCAATATCATTGGGCAATGGACACCCGAAATCAGTGCAATGACATCTTTCGGTCCTATCGAAGTATGAGCCGCTCCGATGTATCCGCTCTCTGAAAGGAAGACTGTCTTTCCCTGCATCATCATCCATATGGAATGGGTCAGTGTTGAAATTTTTAGATCTGTTTTAAGAGCCCACAACATCGTGAGGTCTTTTGACTTGAAAATCCTCTGCTTAGTCCGATCATCGAGCAGAAGGGAGTCCTGCAGCGCCTCGCGCGCTTTCTGGAGATTCCCTTCGAGAAGTAACATGGACCACTCATGAATGGCAGTCCCGTGACCGATGCTTTCCAGGATCTGCATATTACCGCTCGTTACTGCCTGTCCCAGGGCAAGGAGACTCTTTTGTGCATTCCTGTTTCTGTCCATGCACAGACCGAGAATCGCGACCCAGTCTCGATAAGCTGTGAGAATGAATCTTGCCTCAACTTCGGATCCCCAATTAACATTGAAGCTTTCTGTACCGAGCAAGGATTCCTCCGGACGTCTGACTAAAACCTTGTTTCTGGAATTCAGCTCGACTCTATCCACAATCATTCCGTGCGTCTGAAGAATTAGCCCGTCAGGAGAAAATGAAAACCTGGCTTGCGAGTCGCCAGCAGCATAATGATCTCCAGGGTAAACTCCAGGTCTGTAAGGCTCGGAATAATTCGGTACCCACGTAGGCATCCGGCGTTCTTCCTCTGAGATAAGTCCACCGGTGAGCCCCAAGAGTTCCAAAGATGCAGCAGCTTTACAGAAGGCCATGGTGAATTTCCAGAAAAGGGTATGGGCATGTGCAGCCCCGTCATAATCCGGTTTTGGAAGATGAATGTCGGCATCCTGGAACATTCCGTACAGACCGTATATGCGATCTCTCGGATCCTTGCAACCACAAGCTCGAATATTAAACATCATGCGTGGTATCTCGTCTTTGGTTGTGGCCCTCTTATAGTTTTGGTGGTGCAAAACTATCGCAGTCGAAGTGGGGACAAAACTGAATATGTGAGAATTTTGTGTGAGTATATTGTATGCGGCATAAAAATCGACAAGAAAGCCACTGAGACACCTAAACGGCATCTCCAAGTCTCCACAATTGACTAAGAGTGGGACCGGACATAGCAGTCTACCTTGAGGGGCGAGTAGTGTTTCTTGGACAGTCCAAACTCGGCGCCACCAGCCCTTGTTCATTACTTGAGCAATGTACTTGGAGTGCCCTCGGTCTTACGAATAGACATGGTCAGTATCAATTTTGCTTAAGAGACAGGTTCTCAGAATACCTTTGATGAAGCGAAACAGTCTCAGCCGAAGTTTCCCCTTGTCCATAATCGGATGGGCCACAGAGTAACATACAGCTAGCCATGCATAATGAAAGGCTAATTCGTCTCCAGGGGAAGGCATGCCTAGCCAGACGTTGACTTGAATGGCTTTTCTGTATATTTCGGACATAAGTGACACTTGTTTGCCCTTCTCAAGCGTATCATCTTGATTGATGCAGATTGCATCGATCCAAATGTGGAAGGGTCGACTGAGTCGTCGAGACAGGTTAATGATATCCACACAATTCTTTGTGACGAACAAATGTTTACCATTGCAGAGAATAACCCGGTCGAACGGCTGATCGTCCCTGAACGTCGTTAGCTTCTTTCTTGTCTCGCTGAACTACATTGCTTTTCTGACCATGTGTAAGAGAACGCGCGATAAGCTCGCATTGAGGTAGGAACATCTAAAGAGACGGTCTCGAGCTCACAAGTAATGAACCTCTCGTCCTTCAATTTGCGATGAGGTCTGAGAAGACGGATATGTCTGTCAGAGAGCAGCGGGGGATAGACGAAATTATTATTACTGCCAGATTCAAGCACTGATCTCCTGGTCGAATTGCTTCCGTAGTGGGATGGATCTCCTTGAGTCCGAATATTGTACCGTGCTTTCACGTCGAAGATCAGGATTTGCGAACCATGTTTGATAACTCGGTAGATGATGAACGCAAAGTCATACAGCCGACCAAGAACCCAAATCATTGGTCTAAAAAGAAAGCAGACGCCAATCAGCCACTTTAAGAACGTCTAGAATATCATGTCAGGCAATAGTAGAAAGTGAAGAGGGTATGCAGCATACCCGGGTAATGAGGATGTTCTAGGAATGAGCTCAATATGTACTCTGCAATGTGCGTATGCACTATTGGCCTAGACCGCTCTCCGCGGAGTGTTGGTCCAACTTCCGGATGATGGGGGAGCCTATTTTGGGGCTGAACTTCAAGGTTCTCCAATCAATGCAAGGCTAGCCCATTTAACACGAAGAGCCACTCGGATGCTGAAGAAAAGCAAAATCAAGTTGGATAGATAGGAAATTCTTAGGAGTACCATGCCTTGGTAGCCAATGCATGATGTTAGGACCCACTCGCGCGTGGCGCGGGGTATCGGCTTATTATACTCCCACTGTGGTACAGGGCAAAAGTAGTATTGGGCTGATTGTTGGCCCTCTGGATATTGCTTAGAGACGCATTTTTCGCTAGGCCTACTTCGGACGGAAAGTGTTTTATGTCGCCGACCTTAGTAGCTGCGCACCTGTTACTGTAGCCGCGCCACAACTGAATTACGATAATGACAGCGTCAGCAGCAATGATCAATGGGAAAAGGATTGCGATTACGGGTCAGATGCTGAGCATAACATGGGCACGTGACTTAGTTATGTAACCGGATCTGTGGCTCTATCGTGACAGAAGTTAGAACTCTGGGTATCCTGTACCTCACCTCCCGGGTGACGGGATATCCATCGAGACGGGGCGCAGCCCGGGGTGATTAGGTCTGGGCTAATAGTAGCTCGCTATAAAGGCTAGGGAGCGTATTCTGGTTATACGATGGGGTTTGCTGGCTAAGGTGATGAAGAAGTTGGCGACCAGCAGATAGAAGGTGACTGGTGGAAAAATTGCTATTGCTTCTGTCGGGAGCTTGATATATTCGAACATGATTGCTCTCTATGATGCGATTCGTGGTTGTGCATAGGGATGCCTTCTCGTTAATGGCGATAGATAAGGCCTTGGCGCCCTTTGCATAGTCGGCGGCGCATGCTCTGATGCCGGTTTTGGTGGTGGTGGCCTGATTACGTTCTCATGATGGAACGGCCATGCTGAGTAGTATTGTATCGTTACATAGTGCCAGCCTTGAAGTATTAGAGAACAAGAACCCCCCTGGATCGGAAGTACCGTGCGTGCTGATAGAATAAGACGTAGGACATGGACTTATGGCCTCTGGTATTATTCGTTCTGCTGTAGTGAGCTATTCTTTAAGATTATCTCCACTGCTGTCCTCTGCGCGCCTTGAAACCTCGAAACCTGGAGTGAAGGTGCTGAACCCCTAGACAAAGTTAGTGAGAGCTTAATAATTATAGTAAGGAGGTTTGTGGCGGCTGCACGCAATGTTTCCCCTAAAAGCAATTAACCGCGAAGGGAATCAAGTTTTTTTTTAAAATTTATAGAAACATACCATATATACTGTAAGCGTGAACAGTAATGCGGATGATAGAAAGCTGTCTAACGAGGCCCTCATCATCTTGGCTGAAATCCAAAGCTTGTAATTAAGGGAGCATGAACAACTTTCGTCGCAAACGAATGGAATGGATGGTAATAACGACTAATGATTGAGTGGATGGCGAAGTTTTGGTCAATATGCCGTTTATGCTGGGTGCTGGGATTGGGCCTATTTAGTCTGACGAGAGGCTAAACTCAACCTCGAACTAGTGTGATTTTCTGAAATTGCTTCTTCGGTCGCCTTTTTGGTTTGCTGATCTACGTCCATTGTACCTTCCCGATTCTAAAGCTCCCGACGATTTTTTCTCAGCTGGATGCTTGACTTGGCCGCGTCCCTGTATATTCTAATTAATCTGTGGAGTTATCGCGGCCCCTACTAGGTGATGTATGTGCCTCACGCTATAATAAATTACTACGGATACTGTGCCATAGGAGTACCTGAATTAGCTGGGATCTCGTGCCATGCTTGGTAGTATGTAGTCAGTCCAGACCTCGTGCCACCGCTTTAAGACGAGGCATTGCCGACCAGTCCTCGCGTGAATGAGCTTTTTCCCCCGTAAGATTACATCTGTTCCTGCTAAGGCTCACGCGCCCAACCCTGCCTACCGAAGACTGAGGGTAGACTATCACTCAGAAGGAGTCAGGTAGGTTATTCTGGGATTAAAAAGGCCATTAGCACTTCCGTGCCTCTGCAAGCTGTTGCATCCTAGGGTTGTATACTTAAGGATAAGAGTGCTTGCCAAATTGAGCAATTGGTCCGAAAGGCTGATAATGTTAAGCGCTATAGCAATGTATAATGACCTAACCCTAGAGAGATATGCCAGGGTCTTTGCACCCGGTGACATTAAATCGTGTCTTATCTGTCCGTCAGTCACTGAACACCATTGTTCCGAGCATTGCCCCAATCATTCGTTCATTTCTTCTTACCATCATGGAATTACAACTTATCTGCTGCAATGAGACTTTTTGTCGGTGTGTTCCTCCTGCATCTGGCTGTAATCGTATGGGCTGGAGGTTATTAATGATGTATGGAGCGTGTACACTTGTGAGTTGTTGCCTGTCCCTGTGTTAAGCTGTCGGAATTAAGGTTTTCCTTGTCCAAGTTGTTTGGATCATACTGACATAGTTCAAGATACCAAGCGTACCAAATCGATGAATTTAACGATCCAGCCGATCGTAAGATTGGCTTCAAGTGTAAAAGGTGGCGTAATAACCAGTGCCAAGGTGACGACTGGCTAGAATGTAGGGGCTGAAATGGTGGTCGCTGCAACTTTGATGAGCTCAATCTTTTTCTCAGATGAGTACAGCAACGATTCGATTATACCGTCCTCAAGGCTGGCACTAATCCGCTTGACGAATGTGCCTTCGGCCCTGGCTTGTTTCATAACACATGAAAACCATAATACGAGGGTTTATAATTTTCCTCTCGTAAATATTATGAAAACCGACGTGAACGGATTCGGCGACCAAATCAAGAAGCTGGGTGACCATATGGACGAGACGTACTGAAGGCTGGAACCAAACCTTACTCCCGAACAGATTTGACCGTATTCAGATATCGATTATGTGACGGATAGAGTCGTTGAGGCTTGGATTGGGGATCAGGGATACTTCCTGTAAGTAATTCAGCTTTCAATAGCTTTCGCAATGAGTAGATAGTATGGAGCGTACTTTTGATTGTCAGTTCTGGTGCTCACGCTGGCGGTGGCGGTGGTGATGGTGCTGGTGGTTATACAGCATTTTCGAAGACATTGATAGATTACTGTGGCTTTGCTAACGGCGATTTTTGCAATCTAGTTTGGAAAAGGCTAGACAGAGATTGGAACCCGCCTTGACAGTCAGGGTACAGTAACTGAACAATGGCGTGAACCCTATATAGGCGATAGATCCTACGGTATATGCCTAGTATAGTGCACCGGCCCTAATCTTTTGAATTAGATCGCTGACTGATGGATCCTTTTGCAGGGAAACCGTTGACTGGGGAGAGACAATTAAGCAGCGCCCGAACACTATGTCTCTATATACAGCCCGGAGAACTGTGAATGACTTCTTCGTCTATTTAAAAACAACTGCCCGAGTACCGGAGCATTTAGCTGTCATTAAGTCGCATAAGTATGTTAAGGCTAAGATCGTTAGCTGCCGACGGTCTTAATTATGGGTTTGGTCACGACATAAGGGTACGGCCCGTATCTCGGAAGTAGTCGTGGCATATCTCTAGTAGTTTTTAGGAGGGCCATTCTATAATTGTATAATTGTATACGCTTTCATTGAAGTAATTCCTTACGGACAGCTTCCCCAGTATCATGCAGTCGCCAACCCGCCGAGGGATGGTAGTTCGAATTATTCGTGGTACTAAGCGAGGTGTGCTTTAGTAACTAGTTTGAAGCTCCAGTCTGATTTAAATTTTGCGTTCATCATATGTAAAACTGTGCACAAGTAAGGGGTTCTTTTCCTCTATCTTCTGCATGAGTCTACACACTTTCCAATACCAAGGTCCCCATTGCTCGTTATCTCGAAATCGCTGCCGCTCGTCGCCTCATCGCTCGCCTGCAAAGCCGTACTAAAATGAGGGGTAGACCAGTGTCGTAATCGTCACCCATCTCCCACCATTGAACCCTGTACTGGTGCAAACAATTGGCGTCATTCTCAGATGCTCTCATCATGTTTCCGTTATCTGGATCAATAAACCAAATGCTCTCCTCGCCGCACGGCCATAAATTTTCTTGATTTTCTTCCAAAGCACCCCACCAAGCTTTCATACCATCCATACAGACGATGAAGATTTCCTTGATACTGGTGAAAGATTGAAGATCTTTCATGCTGCCGCGATAGAATGTTTCGTCGCTATATTCGGCCTCGAACCGAAGCCGCTGTATCTGCGGCGCAACTGCTTTATAGAGGCCAAGGTGATTCCCATTGCCGATGTAAATAATGTCGATTTCGAAGTTAACCCATACGTAGCGTAGCCCCATGTCGTCCCTGTTCCTGAGCTCAACGAGTCCGCGCTGATAGTGCTTTTGCATTTCACGCCTTGATTCTCGGCACGTCTGTAACGGAGCTGGCACGGGCGTGTTCGTCACCGGAAGCGGATTATCATACCTCCAGGACAAGTAGGAGTCGGAAATTGACACATCAACAGTCCGGGGCTCGACTGTGAGTCCCCAAATCCGTAAGCGCAGCTCCGTTGGCAAGTGTGAAAACAGTGAAAAGGTTGACATCTCTAGCTGTGCGATGTATTTCGGTGCAATTAAGCCAATGCACCTGGTCGACTCGGCGGCTAAGGATATTTAGTGACTGAAGTGTCTGGGAATCTCCCCAGTCCCTGTACGCTAGGCCCTGGTGCTTGGATCGTACGGCTGGAGGGTTGAGTATGTGGCGTGACTCACGAACTCGACGTGTGACTACCAAGAGTCAGCTCTCGCTCCGATCCTACCGATTGTTCAACTATGGGAAGCGTATCTTTGCATGCCATGAGCATCGTGTGATGGTTGTGGTCAGTGCAGGGTAGGATCCTGGAGATACTTGAGCTCATGTAGTGAATACTTGCACTAGCGCCGCGGGCTTGGCAGTGCCAAGGCTCCGTGTCCCGTGCTTCGCCTCGCCTTGGGCTGCTTCTTGTCTACTGCAGCGGTGAGGTAATGGCAAAGCTGCTGAGTAGAGATAGTTATCTCTTGCTCTTCACTACCCGTGATCTCGTTACTAAGCTCCTCACAAGCAAAGTCAGAAAGCTGTAGTCTTAAACCTGGATGATGCAAGGGGTTACCCTGATCTGGCATACAATGTTCCAACCATTGCTGGCACTTTCAGCTACGGGCTACCTATGCATATGTTGTTGACGCGGTCGCTGAGTCCACCGTAAAACAGATACGGCATTCTCGCGCCGATACGGTGCGCTGAGAGATGTCTGACGCTAGTCTTCTCGAACGAGTTGCAGGGCTGAGCAGACGTTCACCGGTCTTGGAGGGATAGGCACGTCCGCTATTGGCGCGTTTGATGGCATGATCCGTTCGGCTCATGTTATTAGCCAACTGCGTGATAGTG